GTCGAGGAATGGGCGGATCGCATGATCAACGACCGCCTGGAAGGTTGCCGGTGCGTTTGTCAATCCGAAGGGCATTACGAGGTACTCGTAATGGCCGTAGGGAGTGCGAAACGCTGTCTTCCATTCATCCCCTTCCTTGATGCGAATGTGGGCGTACGCTGTTGGAAGGTCGAGGCGAGTAAAGTAACGGGCGCCTGCCAACTGGTCTCGAAGCCGCGAGATAAGTGGCAAGGGGTACCGGTTCTTTACCGTCTCTCCGTTCAGCTGTCGGTAGTCCACACACATCCGAAGCTTCCCATCCTTCTTTGGAACGAATAGGACTGGGTAGCCCGCCGGTGATGTCGATGGTCTGATATGCCCTATCTTGAGATTCTCCTCAAGATATCTCCTTAACTCAGCATCTTGTTTTTCGTTGGTGTGGTACACCTTGAAGAACTTCAATTGGGCTCCTTCCTTGAGTTTGATTTCGTGATCCCAAGGTCCATGGTCTGGTAGCCCCTTAAGATGCTTTGCTTCGAACGCCGGGTGTCCTTGGTATTCCGCTGGGATTTTGCCCGTTTCCGCGTTCTTCTCTGTACTCCGGTAGTACGAGAACTTGTCTCCGGCCGTGATACTGGCCGCTTCCCTCCAGGTGACCCAATCCTGGAATTCAAATTCTCCGGTCTCATCGATTGAGATGACAGCGATTTCGATGTCGTCTGTGTCTCTCTGAGCCGTGCGAGGGCATCGTCGCAAGTGGCGTCGTCTCTGGCCTGGTCTTGCCGATTCCCGCTGTTCTTCCTGGTGACTGCCGCCTCTTCCTGAGTCCGTAGTGCGCTGCCTGGCACTGTCCGTCTCTTGCGGTGGATCCATAGGGGCCGCCTTCCGGGGCGATCTTCCCTGCTGCGATCCGTCGTCTGCGCTTTCCATCTCGTTGGTCGGATACGGCCTCTGTTCCCGAGGTCGTAGGTGGCCACCTCCCTTCCAACTGATGTCTGGGTCGTAGTCTCGATGCCATGGGCGTCCTAGAATCATGTCCTTCTTAGGCCCCATTTCAACAATGTCAAACACCACTCTGGTGGTTTTCCCTTCCACCGTGATCTCAAGTGGTTCCGTTTCCCGTCGTACCCATTGGGTGTCGAATGGTCCTTTAACGATGTGCTGTTTCTTCTTGATCCTCCACGGGATCCTAAGTCGATTGACAAGTGTTGGCGAGATGAGGTCGACCTGAGATCCTCCATCTACCAGTGCCAATGTTTGGAATCCTTTCCAGTATGCCATAACCCAGATTCTGTCATCGGGCTTGTCGTTCTGAATCGCAGCGGCTTCCTTTTTGCTCGCTGGGAGGTCGTAGATCCTTTTCCTTGCGTGGTTCTTCCTGCACCCGCGGATCTGTCGTTGTTGTGATGGATTTAGTGGTTTCCGGGCCCCTCGGAGGGCCCTGAGCCGTTTCCCAACTCCGTCCTGGCGTCTGGATAGGCGTCCCCATCCTCCTGTGCCTCTTGGTTGCCGTCCTGCGGTCCAAGTCTCGGGAGTTCTTCGAATAATTGTCGAATTTCGTTGGCTCTTCTTCCTTCCTCTCGTCGTTCGCGAGGCGTCATCCATCTTCGTGTATGTGTCTTGCGTTCGTGATGTTCTTGGAGCTTCGCTTGCATATGGATTAAGCAATCCTGGCTCTTGCACTGTCGAGTGCTATTGGGCCACCGCTGGCAGTCTTCTGGCTGGGTTCTTCGCGGTGTCACCCTGATTCTGTCGTATGCGTTGGTCCTTTCGACCTTCCATAGGGACTGGTCGGCGCCGGTCCCTGCGTCCCAAACCCACGGGACTGGTCGAGGTTCTCCGTTTTGGTCGGTAGGCCTGTCGGGCCAAAAGTCGTTGTCGAATTTTGATCGAAAATGGTATCGGCATTCGTGCGCGATGCACTGGAACCATGGGACGTAGACGTGGTCGTATCGCTGGGGTTGGAGTCGAAGTGCGTCTTGTTCGTGGGGTTCGTAGCGCGGGCCGAATCCAATCCAGATGCGTACCGCGTTGCTGTCCCCGACGCCGTTGTACGGCTTCTTATTCCAAAAAGTGTCCCAATCTTGTGGTTCCTGCCCCTTGAGTCTTCGCTGGTTCTGGGCCTTCTGGTATTCAGCCTCGGGGTTCTTGATTCCATTATTCCCCCTGCCCTGGCTTAGGTCCTGTGCTGGTCCATCCCACAAGTTCGAGTGGTGCTCTTCCTGGACCCTGACCAACTTGGCCTTGACGAATTCTAGTTGGCTCATGGCCTGAGCCTTTTCTTCTGCGAGTCTTCGGGTAATTGTTCGAAGCTCGGCTTGTTCCTCTTCAGCCTCCTGAAGGCGCTGGGCGAGAAAGATGGGGTTCGGGCCAACGGGTTCGTTGTCCGATTGTCGTGTCCTCCATTGACCTTCTTCATTCTGGGTCAACTGGAATCCCCAACCTTCTGCGAGTTGTGATGCTGCGGCGGCGGCAATGTCGTAGCCTGTGATGGGTTCTTCGAACGTAACGTGGGGGCTATTGCTTCCTGACCGAGAGGAGTCATCGATGCTTCCTTCAGCCATGCCTCGGTCAACTGCGTCGTCGAAGTCATCCTCGGTGTAGCTTGCCGCAGCCACTTCAACCACGCGGGTTGACTTGTCGATCGTGGCATTTTCCTTGCCGGGCACCTGCTTCCAGTTCTTCTTGCTGCGGCACTCCCGCTTGAAGTGCCCTTTCTTGCCGCAATTGAAACAGGTGGCCTGGGACTTGTCCTTCCGTCCTTTATCCTCACGCTGAGTGGCGTCCACGTCCATTGGACCAGCGTGGGTGCCATGCGACGTGCTGGGGTACTGTCGCTTCTTTTTGTCGTTTGCCTTGACGAATGTAGGCTGCGTTCCGCGTCCCTTGCGCTGCTGGCGCCTGGCATAAATCCGGTCGTCGATGCGGATAGCCATGGCGATATATTCGTCAAGCGTGTCGGGTCGGTCCTTTTGATACAGTTCATCCTTGACTTCTTCCTTCAAGCCATCGTAGAACAACTGCATAAGACCTTCGTCATTGATCTCGCACCGAAGTGAGTCCTGGCGGAACTGCATGGCGTAGGCAGCCGCCGACTTTGTCTGCCTCAGGCGTGCGAGTCGCTCCTGCGCGTGGAGCTTCTCATCATGGTCTCCGAACACCTTCTGGATTTCCTGCTCAAATTTGTCGTACGATTTGAAAATTTCAATGGTGAAATCGTCCTGAGCGTCCGCACTGTTGGTTAGCCAATCCTTGAGGGTGGGTTCAAACCATCGAAGTGCCTTCCCCTCGAGCCGCGAGGAGATGAACATGACTTTGGCGGATTCGTCCGCGAACTTGTCCGGGTAGTACTTGAGGTAGGCCCTCATGGATGTGAGGAATCCAGTGAGTCCTTCTTTGTCGCCTCCGTACTTGGGGGGTGCTTCGAGTTTGGCTCTGTCCTTGGGCTTGCCGTTGTAGGCCTCGTTGACGAGTTGCTGCATATGGCCATTCTCGGCCTCAAGCTGGGCGATTTTGGCGTTGAGAGCCTCGAGAGCCTGCTGCATCTGTCGCATGGTTGCGGCCTGGCTCTGGGATTCCGGGGTGCTAGGTGTCTGGGGCGCCATGATGGTCGGTGGTACCTTCGATCTGAACCGTGACAGAGTCAAAGGGAGTGAGCAACGTGTGACGAAACCACAGGCAGTCCTGCCTCTGAAAGGGTTCGCCGGTCGAAGGTATCTGCTGGTCGGACTGTAGGTCTCGGTGAAGCCAAAAGGTTCACAACAATGCAAGTCGCAATGTCTGCACAGTAATGTAGGGCTACTTTACTGCTTGTAATTGCTCACTGAGGAAGCTAGCTATCTGAATGAGAGGCAGAATGGTAGAACTATATACAGCTTCCTCCCCTAGGTATCCCGTACCTAGATCTCTGGAACATTTGGAACAATTGTCGTTCCCATTGTTCCATCTGGAACAACGTTCCTTGGCGTTGTTCCCCAGGAACAATCGTTCTTGGCATTGTTCCTGATTTCCCTAATCCTCATTGGTTCCTTCTTCCTCGTAATGATTGGGTACGGGCGCCGCCCGTTGACCATGCAGGTCGGCCCCCACCGGCCTCTGCAGGTTAGTTCATGACAAACAGCTATAACCCGGCCATCTGGTATAAACTGGATTTGGCTCCAAAAGCCCTCTTTATCAAGCCGATTAGCTAGAGCATAAATTGGGCTCTGACCTTTATATATATCTCGACATATATCCGCAATCCGGTTATAGATATCTTGCCGTATAGCAAGTGAGCCACTCTGCCATATAATAGTCTGAATCTCCTTTGGTGTAACGCCGGCATTCGAAAGACTTGCAAGTTGTAAAGTACCTCTAGAGAGCTGTCGATGAATTGGGTGCGCAACTGGGTATTGACTTGGTTCGTGGTTATAGACTGAGAATCGAGGATCGGAACGGTGCTTGAGTACCCAACTACCGTCAGACAACTCTTTAGCTAGAACCGAGAATGGGCAGCTTGTTACTCGACTAGTCGTTCTTCTCTGGCGGTTGTTTAATGCCTTGGGTGGTCGGCGGCTCCGATCGCAAGCGAAGGTAATGGTAGCTCTTCCGCTCTTTTCGGCTGTCGATCTTCCTGTTGTGAAGGCATATCCTCTCGTGATAGCCCACGAATTGATTGCTTCAAACAAGGCTGTTCGGGAGCTGTATATATTCTCGGGAGGGAGGCAGTCGTCTGCGAAGAGAGTGGCCATGGCAATGTTGGTGTTGCTGGTGGTGGCATTCAGGGGCTCAGGGGCTCAGGGAAGGCGCGGGGTCAACGCTGCGATAGATGCATTTTTTATGTTTACGTAATCAACTGTGCTTACATAATTGAGACGGACCCGTGCATCTAGTGGGCGCCCATTGGTTGGAAGGCATCTCCTTGGATGTGGCTCATTCGGCACTTAGTGCCGATAGGTACCTACGAGTCAAGTATATACCTATCCCTGCATGCGAACATCGATAAGTTCCGGTACAGTGCATGGTCGGCGAGTCTCTTTTGACTGAGTTGCTTGGGAATTGGTATTCCATCTGTCATGTTATACATTGCTTTGCTTTCACCATCATTATGCCCGTATGAATGTACCTCGTCAACTTGAACTGATCCATATCTTCCTTCAAGTCATGCAGCAAGGACCACAGTATAGCTTAGTGGCCGCGCGATCTTGTAATAAGGTTAGTCCCATTCTCCCTCACGATCCACGTGTGCATGAACCCGCCGTTTCAAAATGCGCGTGGTAAGCGGATGGAATGCTCCTACTGGTATCTATCGGCAACAAGCGGGATGTGCATCCCTGTTCCGGCCTGCTTCCTCGTCATCTTCAATAGCCACGTTGTGCTGTTTAGCGGAGGGGCAGATGAAGGTTCCTGACTTCGAGATTGCATCACAACAATGCAAAGCCGCATCCTTCTGAACGAATGAGACAGGTGGGGAACTGGCCGTGGTACGTACCTGCTTGCCTCGACAAGCGATGTCCCCACTTTTGTCGAATGGAACTAAGGTACTAACCTCCCCTTGAGCAGAATAATTGATACAGGAAAACCAATCCACCACCACACAAGTCACCACAACTAGGTTAAAACACATGCAATTTGAACACTAGCTATACTAATGGAAACTAAGCAAGAATGTAATATTGTAAAGAGAAAGGGATTATCATGAAGTGTTTATTTACATTGCGTCGTGGCTGATGTAATTGTGGCGGTGTTCTGAGAGACCGGTTTTCCTGTATCAACTATTCTGCACAGGGGGAGCCTACCTATGGTGGGGGCTTGCCGGCGGGGAGGAGGGGTTGTCTGCCGCTGACCACGAGCGAACGTCGGACACGGAGCGGGGTCCGCACTGTTCGTGTGGCCGCTCCCCAGCCTCTCGTTTTTGGCTCCCCTCGACAAATGGTCGTCGCATCGGATGCCAATGGCCCGGCCCTTGCGATGCGCTGCGGCCTGAAGATGCCGAGGCAGAACAACATCTCTGAATGGACTCTTTCTGTTTCAAAAGCAGATCCGTGTGAATCGCCATTGGAACGCGACTGAATTCATAGACTATACTCCCCGTTTGAATCGTTTGTTGTTTGCAGTGAGGTGCCGAAAGACACTTGTGATTCGCGACCGTTGACCCATTCCCCGGCTCGCGACGGCGCATATCACAATCATACCACGCCACACCCAAGAGGGCATCGCGCCGACCGCCCGATCGGCCCGCCCCTCTCGCGCATTGCATCAAACGGCATCTCCCTTGCGGGCGACACACTCGAACGCGGTTTGGTGTGATGCAGTCTCTCTTCACCGTGCACAATAACGTGTCGCTTATCAGCATCACGATTGCGCCGAGCGCCTGGGTCGCCTCCCTGGTACTCTCCCTGGTCTTCGTCTTCTTGTATCTGGTCTACCTGTCTCCCCTGCAGACTTTCCGGTGGAAGAAACTATTCTGGTTCAGGCGCCGCAGGCAGCAGCAGCAGCAGCAGCAGAAGATTTCCAGGCCGATATTCGAGGAGGACGAGGAGGACACGCTGTCGGAAGAGGAACCACCCCGGCGACGACACATCGAGGACACGCCGCTGCCACCTCTTCTAACCGACTATCCCTTTGATTACAGTATCTACACCTCCAGCAGCAGGGATATTGGACATAGAGAGAGGTCCGGAAAGAAGGAGAAAGCAAGCCGCAAACACCAGGTCCGAAGCGGCGACAAACGAAGCTATAGCGCTGTCAAACGACCCGCAAGCAGGGACGGAGGAGGCGGCGGAGGGGTTTCAGGCAGCCACAACAGCAATTACCATGGCGGGTTCGACATCGATACCACCACTGGGTCCGCTCGACCAGCTCGACGCGTCGTTGGACGAATTCGTGCGGTCGATTGGCAACCCGAGCAACCGGCCGACGTTCGGCTACCCGTCGGCCCACTCGGGCTTCCGGAGCGACGACATGGAGAGCGAGGCGGACGATTCGGACTCGGAAGCTTCCGCCGGTGGCTACAGTCCGCCGGTCTGGAGACGCCTCGGCAACGGCGACCACAGTAGCGGCTTTTGGCGGAAGGGTGACAGGATGATGTACGGCGATGATGACGAAGCGGGCCTCTCAAGGGAGAGCAGTCCCGGATACGAGAGTGCAGATGAGATACTCGCGCAGGCGATCAGGACGAGGTTACCCACGGGGAGTCTGTCGCCCGAAAAGGAGAGGAGTCCGGAGCCGGAGTATTATCCTGCGCAGCAGCATTTGATTGATGACATGGTGAATGTCAAGCAAGAGGCTAAGGATGATATGGCATTGAGCGAACTGAAAGATGGGTTACTCAGGTCAAAGGAGGTTGCGGACAATTGTATGTCCTAGTCCTCTTTGTCTGTCCGGCCGTTGTCCCACCAGCGCTGACAAAACATTGCCAGTCATCCGCTTCGCTGTCAGGGCAGAAGTTCAACACAGGACCGAGCCCATCGACACGACCATCAACTTCGTCCGTGCTAGATTCCGTGCCGTAACCAGCTCCTGGACATCCATGTTTTCCTCCTTCATCATCGTTACCCTCGCGTATGCGGCGCTCCGATGGATATCACAGCCGGCAGCATTGCGGCCCGTACCTGACCTCGTCAAGGTCGCCGGCGTCGCCCGCTCACTGGAGCCTCTAATCTACTACTCCGAGAATGGGGTCCAGCAGGTTGGCGATCTGCAGGCAACTGGCGTCGCCGTCTGGGATCTCGGCGAGAGCGTCCGGAGCAGCAACCTGACCTCAGCTCCCATCATCGTGAAGGAGCTTGACGAACTCAGTGACAGCCTTAAGGCGCTGGCCATCGAGCTAACCAAGTTCTTCGCCAACGTGGACGGAGATATCGACGGGTAACTTCCCTGCCCCGCAGCTCCTCTGTCCCCTACCCCTCTCCTTTCCCGTACTAATTCCCCGCTCGCAGCATCTTAATAGTTATGGACTGGGCGCGCCGCGAGCTCTACCAAGTCCAGCAGCTCCCGACCCTCCCGCTGTCCTCCGCCTTCGATAACATCCACAACCTGCTCTCCAACGCCGGCATCCTAGAAGACTCCGTGACAGGCCAGCCCACCCGCCTCGGCCGCCTGGCAACCTCCTTGTTCGGTCAATCAACGCCGCAACGAACAAAGCAGACCCTGCAGCGCACCTTCAACGAGTTCCTCACGGTTCTCGAAGACGCCGTCGCGTCCGAGCTGCAACACTCCCTCGCACTCTTCGCCCTGTTCGAGGCAATCGACCACCAGTTCCTCAACCTGGTGCGCACCGTCATCCGCGAGGCCTCGCTGCAGGACGAGGCGCACACCGACCTGCTGTCCTCGCTCTGGACTCGCATCCTGGGGCCCAAGGCCTCCGAGGTGGCCAAGTACGAGCGCAACCGGCTGCTGCTGCAGAACGTCCGGGAGAAGACGGTGCGCAACAAGGGCATCCTCGTCGAGCACAACCACAAGCTGCTCGCGCTCAAGGCGAATCTCGAGAGTCTCCGCCGGAAGCTCGTGTCGCCGCTCGTGCGGAGCGTGAACAGCAGTACCCTGACGCTTGAGGAGCAGATCCGCGGGCTGGAGGATGTCGGGTCGTATCTGGAAGGGGTGCGGATACGGCAGAAGGGGAAGCTGCTCGAGATGTTGTATGGCAGTGGCAGCGGGAGTGGGAATGCCATTGCCAGGCCCACTGTCGAGGGGGGCAGTAATATGTTTTCTGCCAGGGCGGGAGGGAGATGAGGTGTTGTGTTCCTGTTTGTATCTGCTTTGATGTACGAGGGAAGGCCATTTTTTTCTTGTTTCGTGTGTTTGGGCTGGGAAAGCACCCGGATACCATTGGTTTACGGATACTCATCATGACACGGGAAGTGAGGCTGGGAGTTCGGCGTCTCCTCTCAGGGGAGGGATGCCGGTCGGAAGCTGTCAATCTTTGGAGGTTCGAGGTCATCCGATTTTGGCGTACGTGCGGGAATTGGCGGCTATGATTTAGATGGGTTTGGGTCTTGGTGGTGTCTACATATCTGAGTCGACACATGGGAGTTGAGGCATGCTGACTTTCCGGCGGTATGGTCCTGGAAATAAACGCATTGGCTCATTGGGCACTTTAGCACCATTAGCACATCACTCACGGATTAAGACATCAGGTTCAGCATCGTTCTAAAATAACAGCCAAAAACAAACTTTTTGTCACTGGACTCAGCGAGAACATTCCCAACGGGATACAGCACAGCAGGGACGAGCCAGTTTGTAGGACTTTTACTGTCTATTAGCTAGCGTTCCTGTTCGGGATAAAGACTATCTTGGTCCCTGAACAGGAGTCGTTCTGCGACGACGGGCTTCCAAGATCAGAGCAGTCACGGGGCTTTCTGTTGCCGAGCACACCCGTCCTGAAAGTCCTGGAACTGGTCGGCAGGACAGCCTCCCCTGAGAATACACAACCCATAACGCCGAGTCGGCCGATAACATCCCGCCCTGTCCGTAAAAGATGGCCACCTGCGGACCGGATCTCCCCATCATAAGCGAAGTCTATTGAGATACATGACCATGATGTAGCAATGCCGTAGCGAAATGCCGTGATAATCCGTCGTCCGAGTGTCGTTGTTCCCCCCGTCGTAATAAGCCAGATCTATCTGATGCCGGCTCTCATCACCCCTGCACCATCGGACTGGATAAATGTGCTGCCAAGCTGGTATCAAAACTTTTCCCGACCGACCAAAACCGAAAAACGAAGAAATCACCGCGCACCTAGGAAGACAAGGGCTGTGAAAGGAAGAAGCTTAAGCCTTCTCCTCGCCCTTCTCCTCCTTGGGCTTGTCGGCCTGAGCCTCGCCCTGCGCAGGGCCTTGGCCCTGTCCCTGCTGGCCCTGCTGCGACTTGACATATTCGTCGTAGACAGCCATGGCCTCGTTGACCTTGGCAAGGAGAGCGGCCTCATCCTCAAGCCTACCACTTGTCAGCGAGAAAATTCAGGTAAAGCGTGGAGACGCAATTGACTTACAGGTTCACGAGCTCATTGTTGTCCATCTCCAGCAGCATACCAGTGATCTTACCGGCCAGCTCAGGCTGAATGGCCTGAATCTTAGGGAACAGATTCTCGCCGAGAATTTGCTTCTGCTGCTGAAGGTTCGTGGTGGCAGCGAGCTGCGATTGCAAGAGGGAGCTAGCACTGAGCTCGCCAGCCGCACCTAGAGGTCCGGCAGGAGGAACTGCACCACGGCCAGCGGCGAAGTTACCACCAGCGCGGTTGGGCCCGCCGCGACCGCCCATGTTGCCGTTCTGGGGCCGGCTGTTCGGAGGATATCCGCTAAGAGCAGGACCACCCGGAATTCCTTGGGGAACAGGCATACCCTGCATACCACGGCCGCCAGGACCGCCACGTCCGCCACCGAGAGCAGCGGCCTGCTGCTGGACCTGCTGAATGGCGGCAAGGAACTGCGGGTTGTTGGGCTGAGGGTATGCTCCGGGAGGGAACTGCCCAAGTGGGTAGATGGGGATCTGCTGAGGCGGCATGCCACCGCGACCGCCCTGCTGGGCATAAGGAGGGAATTGTCCGGGACGGCCTCCCTGCACGCCAGGCATGCCGATACCGCCCTGGGGGAAAGGCATGCCACGGCCGCCAGGAGGCAGGAAGCCGGGCTGCTGGCCGGGAGCATAATAGACAGGAGGTTGCATGAACTGCTGAGGCATGCCGGCCTGCGCAGCAGCCTGCTGCAGGCGGAGCTGGTTGCGAGCCTGGATGCTCGCCTCGAGCTGGCTCTTACGCACGTCCTTGCGCTGGGCAAGCGCGACGTAGAGCGGCTTGCCGTCAATCATGCGCTGGTTCATCTCAGCGACAGCCTTGGTCGCGTCGTCAGGGTTGCTGAAGCACACGAAACCAAAACCCTTGCTCTTGCCGAGCCTGCGGTCACCCTTCTTCTCCGTCTTCTTCTCGGAAGTCTCACCCTCACCCTCCTTCTCGCCCTCCTTCTTATTTTCCTTATCCTTCCCCTCCTTGTCGTCCTCGGAGCCGGCTGCACCGGGCTCGGGGGCCGCATCACGCATGACCTTGGCAGAAGTGATGGGACCGAACTCGGCGAACATCTGGCGCAGCTTGTCGTCGTCGACATCGTCGCTCAGGTTCTTGATGTAGAGGTTGACGCCCTGGTACTTGCTTGCCTTCTCAAGGCGAGCAGCCTCGTAAGACTTCCGAAGCTCCTCCTCACGCTCATGCTTCTTCTGAGCACGGCCGACGTAGAGCTCCTGGCCGCGGTATTCCTTGCCGTTCAGCTCCTCGACAGCTTTCGCCGCACTCGCGTGGGCGGTGAAGTTGACGAAGCCGAAACCGCGGCTCTTGCCCTCACTGTCGCGGGCAAGTGATGACGAGGTGATATCACCGTACTTGGCGAACAGGTCGCGGAACTCGTCGTCGCTGACCTCGAGGTTGATGTTCTTGACATACACGTTCGTGTAGTTGGCCTTCATCTCCTCAAACTTGCTCTGACGATCCTTCTTGGGGATGTGGTATCCAACGTAAACCTTCTTCTCGTTCAGAAGCATGCCGTTGACGTGCTTGATGGCCTGCGCAGCGGCCTCATCGGTTTCGTAGTGCACGAATCCGTAGCCCTTGGAGTTTCCGTGCTCGTCCTGGGCGACCTTGCAGCTCAGAATGTTGCCGAAAGCAGCAAACGTGTCGTGCAGCGCCTTGTTATCGATGGCGACATCAAGGTTCTTGATGAAGACATTGCCCTGGCCGGTCTTGCGCAAAGCAGGGTCACGCTGCGACCACATGATGCGGCAAGGGCGGCCCTTGATGAGCGTGTAGTTGAGCTCCTCCAGAGCCTTCTCGCCATCCTGGGTCGAGTTATAGTTGACGTAGGCATAGCCCAGCGAACGGCGTGTGACAGCATCACGGCAGACGCGGATCGAGGCGACAGACCCAATCTGAGAGAATAACTCGAAGAGCATAGCCTCGGTCACAGAAGGGTCCAGCTCCCCGACGTAGAGGGACGCCGAAGACTGTGGGTGGGGAGCCGCGGAGCTCGGGGTAGGACCAGCCGTATCGGTGTCGGCGGCCTGGTATTCGCCAGATGCCACATTCGTGTTGATCGCGGGCGCGCGGCTGTCACCGAGGGTGGTGTTTCCGAGATCAGCGGCAAGCTGGTCAACAGCACCAGGTGCAACGGGAGCGGCCATTTTGACAATCGAGTCTAGACAGAAAGGCGATTAATGTCAGTTCAGCGTCTTGCAACTTGGAAAGGTCGCAACAGTTATCGGCCCACGGTCTCTGCCTTTTATTCGGGACGATCACATACCGAATGCTCAAGCGCAAAGAGTTGTGCGACAGAGCGGGAGGAATACCGTGCGCGCGGAGCAGCAGCGGTAGACAAAGAACGAGACTGTGATAAAGCCCTGAATGAGTCCTACTCTGCGGCGGAGGCTGGGCAATCGATTGGAAGAACGATCGAAGTGCGTCTTCCAAGGTGAATTGTTTGTCTGGGAGATGGCGTTTCGTTACTTTCTTTTTGAATTTTTTTGGTTTTTTGATAGGTAGGTATCGGGACTTTTTTTTTGGTGGTTTTCAATTTTTTTTTCAGTCGGTTTTTTTGTGAAGGGTCAGAAAAGAAGTAGATGAGAACAGAACCAGTGACGCTCGTGTCGTACTGATCTGGATCTGACTCTTTTCTGAGGGTTTGGAAAGAATCCGGCGATAAAAGGTTTGATCGTTCGATGAAGAGGAGGAAGGAAGAGGGCAGGTTCGCCGCTGTGGAGACAGGAATTTTCTGCCACTCTGCGCCCACGAATGCATATATGCATCTATTAAAGCTGCGCAACTTGTGACAGACCCTGATACAGTGATACCTAACTAGTAAGTTCAGACGTTTCTAAACGTGGGGCATTGTCCCAATTGAGCTTCAGGGTTTCCCAACAGTCACCAGGACGACGCATTGCTGCCACACGTCATCAACATCAATCACCGCCTCGAAACACCTTAAGACATAGGTAGGTAAGCAGTAAGCACAGGCTGCTACGGCTACACTCTCGACTCGCTTGTAGTAATATTGTAATATTATTCTATGGAGTTCGGTGCAGGTCGACGCCACGTCGGCAGCGCTCAGCAGGGCCCCGACATGGTGGGGCTGCTTATCGTTATCGATTACTGCAGGCGGCAGCTCGTCACCGCAGACGACGTAGAAGGAGCTTCCGCACATCAGAGCAGGGGCAAGCAATACTAGTATTGTATCAATGAAGTTCTGTAGATCGCGCCGAATTCATTGTCATAGTTAGGTTGTCTTTCTATTCCCTTCGCCTCATCAACTCATTGCCGCCAACCCTTTGCCGCTGTTGGTTGAGCCAAGTTGCGCCTGCGCTGCTGCTGCCTCGCTTGGGACCCAAAGTAGCGGACTATCCGGCCGCAAAAGCAGCAAAGCGAACCTCTTGTCTTTGGTGCCTTCGAATAACGTCCTCATCAAAACATCCAATCTCCTTGGGCCCGGGTTACATGACACAATAGTTACCTACCCATATTTCAGATCGGCTTGCGAACGTTAGGCTGCTGTTTCAGCTGCCCCTCCATCCGCCGCACGCTGCGCCGCCAACTTTCCGAACGATGTTTCCGACCTTCACCGGAAGCTCGCGCAAGTCGCGGAACGTCAACCTCAGCGGCCAGAAAGGGGTAAATCCCTTCACCAGCACATCATGGGCACCCGGTGCGGCCGTCGGAGCTTCGAAGACGGTGGCGCACGCTCAGGCCGAGCGGTTCCAGAGGCAACAAGAGAGAAAGCGGCTGAACGCTGCACAGTGCATCCAAAGATCATGGAGAGGTCACCGGGCACGGCGGATTTTGAGGGGGTCCCGCCGCCAGACCATCGACCAGCTGTACAATGACGTAGGGCCGGTCGACGTTAAGAGGAGAACAGTCGAGGCCATACCCCTGGTGCTCAGCGTATACCAGGCCTCCAACCCAGACGACCGGCAGCGGCTGTGCCTACTCGTTCACGACCTTCTGGAAACAAACTTCGCGTGCTTTGCATCCGGGGATATAGCGGCCCCTCGTCTGGAAAAGCTTGCGCGGATACTTGTTGCTACTCTCGGAAGGTGATCAACACTTTGTCACGCTGCACTGGCCGGAAAGCTGACATTGACAACGATAGTCTCGGCTCGAACTTTGCACCCACACAAGCCCAAATTCTCCTAGAGACCGTCGTTGAGGTGGTAATAGCGAGGCCTCAATCGGTTCAACATGTTTTGGGCCAATACTACAGGGTGCTTGGGGGCTTATGCCACAGCCTCGGTTCAACGTCCCCACTACTCGACGGTATCCGGCGCGCCGTAGTTGCGCCGCTGACCACAAACAGTGCTTCCGGTATGCGGTTTGCCTTTGCTTCCAAGCAGCCGAGTCGGGCGTGCAGGTCATGCCATTGCTAACTCGGCTACAGAGTCATTTACCAAGCTCGCCTATAGCGAATTTGCGGCCTCTTTCTTGACCCAACCGGACATGACGCTGTTCGAGGCAAATATCGATTTATTCGCGGCTGACGTAGATCTCGATCTCCTCGCGGACTCGCTTCAGGTCGATATGGTCGCCGATTCCGAAATGCCCGGGACACAGACGGGACTCATGTGGCTGTTGGCGCACTTCATTGTCCTACAAAAGACCAAAGGGCAGCCGGTCCCACATTCTTTTCGTTCTCTTCGGGTCCTTTATTTCCTCCTGTCTGCATTATCAAACCGGATCCGGGCCGGCTTTACGGCCTCCAACGGGAAACGCTCGGGTGAGGCTCGCGACGTTGAGGAAAACCCCCAGGCTACGCTACCCCGATATGTCTCTCTCTCACTCGCTTCGTTGACTGAAAAACACGAGATATCCGGCCTTCTCGAGAAGCTTACCCCGTAAGTGCACCAGGGAAACGAAATCCTAGTTGCAACACGCTGACCAGATCAGAGATTCCTTGAGCATGACCGTCTGGGAGGTGCAGGATGCTGGTTTCCTCGCCGGCTACATCCTCACACTAGTCTACTGCTTCCCGGCGTTGGGTGATGACATCCGGATGCGCCTGTACCTTGCCAATGTTCCCACGAGTCAGGGCCCATTTCCTGCTCTGAAGTTCTTTTGGAACGCCGTTAGTAGGACGTCGATATTCTCCAGGATCGCTTCTGATCCTGATACGGCTCTTGAAATCTTACGGCAACGGCCGTCTTCCGAGTCAAATTCTGCCTGGCACCGTGAATGGCGAACGATCCTTCTTTTCCTCGAGTTGTACATCTTTGTTCTCCGCCTAACCGATGACGATGATTTCTTCAATGGCCTGGGCGTGTTGGCAAGTTCAGGCGATTCCAGCTCGCGGCTGCGCTCGAGCGGCCTCAGCCTACAGGAGTTAAAGCGCTTCACTCTCTTCCTCAAGCATCTCAGCTTTACGCTCTACTACAACGCCGCCGAGCTGCTTGGGTCGATGCTCACCACCTCCAGCACCCGCAATGCTGATGACAGTTCGTCAGGCTCTTCATCTCGCGCGAATGCTCCGCCGTTCGTTCTCACGGCTGGCTTCGACTTTGAGAACTTCAGGAATCTCGTCACCACGGCCATGAGAATGCTCTATGAACGCGATTCCCGGCGTCAATTTCTCCCACCAGACCACTGGCTGATGACGTCTAAGCTCGACATGGCAGGCTTTCTCTCTGCGGTCGTACTTGAAGAGCAGGAGCGGCGTGAACACGATGAGCACGAAGATGGCGAGGATGAGGACGATGAGGATGGGATCAGTGTAGGGGAAGTACCGACTGGTCTGTCCTCAGGCGGCTCGAGACTGTCGCGGCAAGCTCGGTTGGAGAGAATAAGGGTCTTACGGAAACAAGCTGCGCGTGAGAGTCTGAGGGCGGCTGCCGCGCCCAGGCTGGAGATTCTACGTAACATGCCGTTCGTGATTCCATTCGACATACGCGTCCAGATATTCCGCCAGTTTGTCTTCCTTGACAAGCAGCGGAGGAGAGGAGGCAACATCGACGCGGACAACTGGAGGCTGTGGATACTCAGTCAACAAGGGGGCCCTTTCCAGCCAACATCTCCGGCCGGCGCGAACATCCTTTCCAAGCACCAGGCGCAAATACAGAGAGGCCGGGTCTTCCGGGATGCCATGGACTCATTCTGGGAACTGGGGGAAGGACTGAAAGAGCCAATACAGATTACGTTTGTGGATGAGTTCGGCATTCCGGAAGCTGGCATTGACGGAGGCGGTGTGACCAAAGAGTTTCTCATGAGCACGACAACGGAAGCTTTCGGGCCGGATCAGAGGCTGTTCGTCGCCAACAATAAGAACGCATACTACCCCAACCCCAGCGACATGGACCAGACAAAGAACTCACTCAGGGAAGCGCAGATCGCAGAGAACTCGGAAGACTGGAACGAGGCCATCACTTACCGCCTTCGGCAATACGAGTTCCTGGGAAGGGTCATCGGGAAGTGTCTCTACGAAGGCATCCTCATCGACATCGTCTTTGCAGGCTTCTTCCTTCTGAAATGGGCCTCGCCGGCCGGAGCAGCGGACACGTACCGGGCCAACATCAACGATCTGCGCGAACTCGACGAGGAGCTCTACCAGGGCATCCTGCGCCTAAAGAATTATCCCGGCGATGTCAGCGACCTCGAGCTTGACTTCACCATCACCGATCAGGTATCCCTCCCCGGCGAACCGGTCCGCACGATAACGCGCAACCTCATTCCCAACGGCGAGAATGTGCGCGTCACCAACGAGAACCGGCCGCTTTACATCAGCTACGTGGCGCGGCACCGGCTGGTGGTGCAGCCGTACGCGCAAACACGCGCCTTCCTCCGCGGGCTGGGCATGGTCATCGACCCGGCGTGGCTGAGCATGTTCAACCGCAACGAGCTGCAGCGGCTGGTGGGCGGCGACAGCTCCGAGATCGACGTCGAGGACCTGAGGCGACACACGGTCTACAGCGGCGTGTATGCCATCGGCGACGACGGCGAGGAGCACCCGACGGTGCAGCTCTTCTGGCAGGTCATGCACGAGCTCGAGGACCGCGAGCGGCGGGATGTGCTCAAGTATGTCACCAGCACGCCGCGCGCCCCCCTGCTCGGCTTCAGCCAGCTCCACCCGCCTTTCAGTATCCGCGACGGCGGAGGGGACGAGGACAGGCTCCCCAGCGCGAGCACCTGTGTCAATCTGTTGAAGCTCCCGCGGTACAAGACTGCGGACGTGCTGAAGAGCAAGCTGCTGTATGCGGTAACGAGCGGCGCTGGGTTTGATCTTAGTTAGTTTGTGTTGCGGGTGTTTAAATGAGAGATATAGGTAGCTAAGGCAAGCGGGCTGATGAAGTAATGAAGAAGAATGTGTACGGATGCATGGCCAAACCCTTGGGACGGCCGACTGAATTCGCGGGCGTACGTACACATTCGACTCCGTTGATGCCCCCTGTGATTCTCGCCATCTGCCATTGTGTCTTTTACTGCGTTACGATTCTTTGGTAGTGACTGCCTAAAACTACTAATGTAAATAAAGAGCCTTTGCCAACCGCTGACCGGCAGTGCGGCACCCGCCGCTGCTCCGTTTCGGGCCCTCCAAAACCCAACCTCGCAATGGTCTTCTCGAGGCTCGGATTCCATGTGCCGGACGAAGAGGCACGACACTGCGCGATGGAACGCTCCCCCGCCAAACCGACCAACGGTCCAACACAGTCCGTGGTTAGTGCAGTCTGCCTCAAGCCCCGAGCCAATCGAACCCCCGGTAGCACTCTGCGGCAGAAGCCCTTGCATGCTTGGCATGCCTAAAGGTCCAGGGGAGTATTATTTATTTTCTTGGCATGACATTTTGACAAACCTCCTTCGGTCCAGGTTTGCTGGCCTCTTTGGACTCCCTGACTAGCGATGACGGCCTTCCAAGACCACGGATGAACTTTTTTTTTTATTTCTTTAGAGAGACAGGTGGTCGCATTTTCAGACTTTCTCTCTGAGGTATTGAGTTGCTAGCCTGTTTCGAAACTCCCTCCCGTCTACTCAACTCATGCGCCGCATGATGCCACTGCTGTGCCAGTGAGAGAGCATGTTGGCTCCGGAACGCTGTCAAACGACCAGTCCCTCAGGTGGTGGAAAGAGCCTCTTTCCTTAAGAAACATGAGACGCGGAATCTCGTCGCCCTACTGCAAGGCTGCCGCGGCTATGGCGGCGCCTCTCCATCTCACTCTCAGCAACGTGCCGCGCCGGACTCGCATGCTGGTGTTTGCCGTGCTCGGCGCCTGCTTTCTCCTGCTGCTCGCGCGGTCGAGTGGCTCGGACGGGGCTTTGAACGGGTCTCCGTTGCGGTTTGGGGGGCTCGGCAGGCCACCGCGATACGACGTGCTGGATTTTGTTGAACCCCTGATTGGGACGACGAATGGAGGTGAGTCTGGGACACTCTCTCATAATATTCTCTCCCGAACCCCTATGGTATAGTGGGCTGATTGTCAACAAGGCCATGTCTTCCCCGGCGCAACACTACCCTACGGTAAAGCCACCCTTCACTCTCTTTCCCCCCCTTTTTCTCCTCAACAACCGAACTCACCTCTGCCACAGGCATGGCCAAGCCAGTGGCCGACACGCTCTCCCCGGCCGAGAACGCCGCCGGCTTCGTGTCCGACTCGAACCCCGTCACGGGCTTCAGCCACATGCACGACTCCGGCACGGGCGGCCAGCCGTCGCTGGGCAACTTCCCCTTGTTCGTGCACCCGGGCTGCCCGGACGACGACTACGCGCAGTGCGCGTACAGCGTCATGCACCGCGGCACTAAGAGGGTCGAGGGCTCGGCCTTTGCCGCGCCCGGCTATTTCCGGGTGAATCTGACGAACTCGGTGCAGGCCGAGATGACGGCGACGATGCATGCCGCACTGTATCGGTTCGGCTTCGATGGGAACGGGACGGTGCGTGTGTACGGACCGGAGACGGGGAATCAGGAACAGGCGGGGGAGGAGAAGGCGGAGGAGGTGGCGGTGGAAGTGCCGTACTCGCCGCTGGTGGTGGTGGATCTGGTGGATCTGATGAACAGCCGGAGCGCTGGCAGCATCAAGGTCGACCCTGACTCGGGCCGCGTGGTGGGCGAGGGGAAGTATGGCCCGTCGTTTGGCACGGGCAAGTATCACGCGTATTTCTGTGCGGATTTCAGGGGGCCCGCCATCCGCAGGACGGGGACGTTCAAGACGAACAACGCGACCGAGGAGCCCAAGGCCCTGGACGGAGTCGGCGAGGGTTTCTACATCCCCACGGGATCGGCGGGGGCGTGGATCCAGTTCGAGAGGCCTGCAGAGAACTCCATTCTGGCCAGGGTTGGCGTGTCGTTTATCTCGGTCGACCAGGCGTGCGAGAACGCCGAGAGGGAGATCGGAGACTGGCACTTTGAGAGGGTGGAGAGCGACGCGAGGAAGGCGTGGCGGGAGAAGCTGGGAGTGGTTCAGGTGGATGCCAGGGGGGTGAGCGAGGAACTGCAGACGACGTTCTGGTCGGGCCTTTACCGGACGCTGCTGTCGCCACAGAACTATACCGGGGAGAATCCGCTGTGGAACTCGACCGAGCCGTATTTTGACTCGTGAGTCGCTGTGGTCTACGCGGAATGATCCGGGTCGGGTTTGCCGGGCTGACTGATGGAATGTTGTATAGCTTCTACTGCATCTGGGACTCTTTCCGCGCGCAGCACCCACTGCTGACCATCATCGACCCGGCTGCGCAGACCGAGATGGTGCGCGCTTTGATCGACATTTACAGGCACGAAGGGAAACTGCCCGACTGCCGGATGAGCTTCTGCAAGGGTTTTACCCAGGGTGGCTCCAACGCGGATGTGGTGATTGCCGATGCCTTCATCAAGAACCTGAGAGAGGGCATCGACTGGGACGCTGCATACGAAGCCGTCGTCTCGGACGCCGAAGGTTGGTTACACCACAAGTACCCCCTGTTCGGTGCCCACCAAAATAAGTACACGTACAAAATGAAATAAACCATGCGCTAACCACCCTCCAAAAACACAACAGTCGAACCCAAGCAATGGGGGCTCGAAGGACGCGGAAACCTCGAGAGCTGGCACAACGTCGGCTACATCCCGCAGGACGACGTCGACAGGAACGGCACTGGCCCGAACAGCCGCACCGTCAGCCGGGGCGTCGAGTACGCCTACGACGACTTCTGCATCTCGCTGCTGGCCGAGGGCCTCGACCGCGCGGCCGACGCAGCCAAGTACCGACGCCGCAGCGGCAACTGGCGCAACTACTGGAACCCGGACCAGCCCGACCTTTACCGCGAACACGACGACGATGACGGCGCTGACGGCACCGGCAAGGTGCTGCAGACGGCCTTCAAGGGTTTCATGCAGCCGCGGCTGCTCAACGGCACGTTCCGGTACCAGAACACGCGCGCGTGCTCGCCCGTCCAGGACATGCACAAGTGCTACTACGACACGGGGCTCGACACGTATGAGGGCAGCCCCTGGCTGTACAGCTTCTACGCGCCGCAGGACATGGCCTCGCTGATCGCGCTCATGGGCGGGCCGGAGCACTTCGTCGCCCGCCTCCGCTTCTTCCACACCAGCGGCATCGCCTACATGGGCAACGAGCAGGCCTTCCTGCCCGTCTTCCAGTTCCACTACGCCGCCCGCCCGGGCGTGAGCAGCTTCTTCGTGCGCGAGTACATCCCAAGCCTGTTCAACGCCAGCGTGAACGGCATCCCGGGGAACGACGACTGTGCCATGGGCGCGTTCAGCGCCTTCGCCATGATGGGCTTCTTCCCCGTCGCCGGGCAGGACGTGTACCTGCTCACCACCCCGTTCTTCCCCGAGGTGAGGATCAAAGCCAGGACCGAGGGGAAGTGGGCCGTGATTCGGGTGAGGAATTTCGATCCGGCGGGGAAGAGGATATACATCCAGCGGGCGAAGCTTAACGGGAAGAAGTATACCAGGAATTGGATCACGCACGAGTTCTTCGTTAAGGGGGGTGTACTGGAGTTGGTGGTCGGCGAAGAGGAGGGCGTGACCTGGGGTAGGGCAGACGCCGATTTGCCGCCGAGTTATCCCGTTGAATGGGACCAGGTGGACGATGTACCGGATGGCCTCTCTAGTGTAGATAATAATTAGACACCCAGGGGTATGGTATAATATCCTGTCTGAAGCGGATTTCACAGAACAACAGACAAGCCTAATCCTTTGCCCAGGGCGCCTTCGTTACCGCGAACTGATTACTCGCCGTGCCCGGCTTGCCGCGCGGAAAGACTGTCGGCGGGGCCGGCCCAGTATCAGGGACTCCCCCTCTCGGCATGGTCGGGCCCGAACTTCCCGTCCCTGCCCACGGCGCCCTCGAATAAGGAATTCCAGGCCCGGACGGCACACCGGCCGCTACACCAGGCATCTGCGTGGCTTGCGCCCAGGGCGCGGCTGTTCCTGTTCTTGGCCCGCTTCCAGCAGCGGGAGCACCCGAGGCTGCAGTGCTGTTTCCATGAGCAACCAAATGAACCGAGCCTGCCGGCGTCGTGGCCTCGGGGTCCGCGTCCCATGAGAAGAGCGACCCGAACGGGAAGTGCTGCACGACGGGGAACTTGGACAGCACCTCGGCGTTGAACATCTTGATCATGCCCTTGTTAATCTTTCCCCAGCCGTCCTTGATGCCCGAGACATCGAACAGGATCGGGCTGTGCTCCCAGAACGGGCCCGTCTTGACGTCGTTGATGAAACCGATGGCCGAGAAGTACATGTTGGACTCCCGGTAAAGGTCTACCGACGCGGCCTTGACCACGGTCGAGGGCCGCGGGGCGTCGGGGGCCGAGCCTTCCAGCGGCATGGGTTCCGTCTCGGTGATGGGGCGGGTGAGCTGGGCCGAGCCGAAGATGTACGGCAGGAAGGAGTGGTCGTCGAGCCCCCAAACGCCGTGCGACCCGGCCGGCTCGAGGTTGTACGTTAGGATCAACCGGCGGATGACCTTGAGGTATCTGCTCCTGTTAGCTCTCCCGTTCAAACCAACTTTCCCTTGCCAAAACAACGAGTCAAACTCACGGCTCAAACACCCCCAACACAACGCTCCTCTCCACCTCGCCATCGCCATCTCCGTCCCCTTCCGTTGCTCCCCCCTCGCCGCGAACTGGAGTAAAAGCGCCCAACTTCCACAGACACCCCAGGAACGCCAGAAAGCTCAGCTCATGGCCCGTGCCATAGTCCAGCCTCTGCGCACTCCCAAACGCACCCATGAAATACGCCTTCACCTCCTCCTTCAGGTCCTCCTCTTTCTCTTTCACTCCCTGGCCCCACTCCTCCCACATCCGCGCCGGCAAATACTCCCTCAACAGCTTGTCCACCCTCTCGCCTAGGATCCCATACCACCGGCGAAAACTGACGTTCCCGAACCTCCGCGGCCCCTTCTCCGGGGGCGCCTCCTCGATCATCCCCTCCACCAACCCTAGCATCTCCCTGAGCTTTGTGACCGCCTCTGGCTCGTTCGGTCGCGGGGTGCCGAGGGTAAAGGATTGGATTTTTGAACGCGCATTGTTGTCCTTCTTCTCGGACGACTCGATCCTGCGCGGGCACAGCGCGCGGTTGAGCTGCAGGATGAAGACGCCTATGTCGCGGTAGGCGAGCGACGTGAGGAAGTGGGGCAGGTCGGCGCCCGTGTGGATGCGTTTGCTCGGTTTGAGGAAGCGGTGCGTTGGGGACGGGGCGAGGACTGCCAGGTGCGGGAAGGAGGGAGTAGATGCGGTGGAAAGGTGGGAAGTGGGTGGTGATTGCGGGTTGGATTCTGAGCTTGGTGCTGCTGCTTGTGCTGACGGTGGTGGCGGTGGGGTTTCCATCTTGTGAGGTTCGGTTCTTCCGTTGTGGTCGGCTGAGCTATCAAGGTGTGTGTCGGGGTGGGTAGAGCAGAGTCTGATGATAGGTTCGATGTTGCCACAAATGTCTTGCAAGTTGCAGGTTAGTAAGAGTCAAGTGGATGCACTTCTAGGCTATGGGGGCTATGGGATAGTCGGAAATAGTAATGATTGTATGTCGATGTTAGTGTACACTAGGTTGAAGTGGGGCATGCGGGTGGCGGGGCTAGCTTAGCGAGCTTAGCTAGAAAGTTGAGACCCGCTGTCGTCATCGAGTGGTGACGCTGATGAACGAAGCACTGAGGGAAGGCTGCAGGTGAAATAAGGCAATTGTACCTTACCGTCAGGTAGTTATTAGCGCTGAGGATATACGGATTAGACGGTTGCTTCTCACATGATATCCTCGAGCTAGGCTAACAATCTCAAGCAAAGGTGGGATCCGAGACTTAGATTGCCCTACTGTGCACAGAGTAGATTTTCTTTCTATTCACATCTAGCTCCCCCCTGTTGAGCATTCCTCCCTCCTGCCCTGCCAAAACCCCCTCCCATAGCTAACCAGCACTTCCTCCCCCTTCGCAATCCCCACGACCCTCGCCCTCCCAACAGCCCTTTTGCCAGCATGTAGTACAAACACAGCCATGCACCTCTCCCCTCCTTCCGCTCCTCCTCTGCGGGGATCCCACGCTACGCGGAACTCGGCATTCGCTTTCCTGCCGTCCCGGCCCGGCACGCCGCGGTAGTCGTTGATGAAGCGTGCCTCGTTGCCCATGCGCGCGGCGTCCACCGCGAGGTCGGCGTCCCGGTCCAGCCAGAGGTCGTAGTCCGATGTGGCGTAGTCGTAGTCGTCAGAGGCAGAGGTAGGGCTGCCGAACGGCGCCGTGCCGATGTGCACTTCGCCCAGGTACGGCAGGACCAGCTCGCCGGGCGCGAGGTCGCGGGTTGCGAAGAGCCCTGCCTGGCCGTAGGCGGGGTCTGGTTGTTGTTTACGATTTTAGGTTGTGATTCTTTTACCAGGAAAATTACCGGCGCAGAATTCGAAGGTGGTACTTAGCAAAAGAAAGCTTACGGTTGGGGTCCGTGATCCGGGTGATGCGGACGGCCGGACACGGGCCCGGCTTCAGATCGCGGGGAATCTCCGGGAGCGGGTCGGATGAGTCTGTCAGGCGGGTGCGGAGGGCCCGGAGGTGGGCCGGGGTGAGGTGCGGCGAGAGAGAAGGTGCAGTGAGATAGGGGAGCTGAGCTGGCCAGTTTATGGGGAAGGGGGTGGAGTGAGGTGTCTGCGGTTTCGCTTTGCCTCCCATTTTGCTCTCAGTAATCCATTGAATAAGGTAGTCTCGCAATGTAATGTACAGCTTGAGGCCTGTTGTGGTGATGGTCTCCACTGTTTAGTTCCGGCCGAGTAGCAAAAATCAAGCTGTACTGAGCGGGGTTTCGCACCTAATCAACTCCAAAGTTCCAGAGGGCTCCGGACTTGCACGCAGACGGACCAGTCTTTATGCTACACAGTATCATGATAGACTGATAGATCATACGTGTCACCACCTACCTAGGTCTTAATCGTATCTGTCTACCCAAGAATAGCGGATGCGGTAGGTACTGGCTATGCTCCGCCACATGACACACCATTATCTGTTTCTTGGATATCTTGCACCAGGTCTAGCCTCGGCTCCAAAAGCTCCCTCCCTCCCCATGCGGTTGGATATGTACACTACCCTTTTCGGCACATTCCCATCATGGACACTAGTAAAAACTATTCAACAAGGAACCCACCACCGCCGCCACCATCCTCGTCTTCTTCATCTGGCACGAAGAACCCACCTCCTCCCATACCGTCCTCGCTCACAGCGTCTTCCATGCCAATATCATCTTCCTCCACCGCCTGCTTCTCTTTCCCCTTGCCCTTGCTATTGTCCTCCGTCTCTGCCCTCTCCCGCTCCACCTCTGCCTCCGCCTCCTCATCTACGCCAGCCCATATCCTCTCCCGAATCCGCAGCGCCTTCAAGAACCGGCTCCACATCCTCAGCGCCCTCCTCGTCCTTCTCTCCTGTTCCTCTTCGGCTTCCATATCCACCAGCCCCTGAATCACCGCCCAGACCGCGTCGCCAGCCTCCTGCGGCACGACCACCCCGTTCAACACCGCCGTGCCATGCCTGCCCTTAAACTCAAACCCAGTCAGTGCAGGCGCATAGTCCACGCCCAGTATGAACGCCGCCTGCGCCGCCCGCTCATGCGCAATATGCACACCCCCCCGCGGCACCATACTCGGCACGTACAGATCCAGGTTCCCAAACTTGTTCTTGGGCACCCGCCCGTTCACCACCGGCGGCGCCACATACGCCTCGGTCTGCTCCAGCATATACAGCGGCGAATACCCGGCCGTGGCATCCCCGAACAAGCCCACCCTGTCCGGATCATCATCATTATCATCGTAGGCATTATCCTCTCCGTCACCGTCACTGTCCAGCGCCCCCTTCCGCCTCTTCCTCTTCGGCAGGCTCTTGACAGCCTCCTCGCCATCTTTCACCACCCTACCAAGCCTATACCATCGCTCTCTGGTCCGGGCGACGCGCACATCGCGGCGGCGATAGATGCGCTCCATGGGGGCGCCGGCCCTGGCCCCAGCGCTGACCGTGCCGATGGCCTCGGCTCCCGGAACAAGCACCTCGTGGCGCCGCAGGTGCCGCTCCAGCGCGTAGACGGGGTGGTCCTTGAAGTCGGCCACGTTGCGCGGCATCGGCTCGCGTGCCTCCTCGGCCGCCAGCTCGTTGAGCTCGATCTGGTCGAGGTCGGTGGGGATCGGGCGCGTGTACCGCCGGAGCAGGCGGCGGTACCAGCGGGCGTTTTCCTTCTCGGAGGTTGTAGAGGTAGAGGTAGAGGAGGACGTGAGAGTGGCGGTGGCGCCGTCAATGCGCAGCTTGCGGGTTTTGGAGTTGTAGGCCTTGGTGTAGCGCCGGGTCACGTCGCGCGCGCTGGAGTCGGCTTCGAAGGCGAACACGTAGGTCATGCAGTTCTGCGGGTCCGAGGCTGGCGGCTCGAGGGCGCGCGGCTTCCACTGTGTGTGGGTTACGAGCGGGTCGACGGGTTGCCATTTCTGGTGCGCTACATCGAGGACTTCGACCCAGTACACGGGAAAGGGGGACTCGCCACGGATTCTCCTCGGAGTCTGGGCTGGCGGTGCTGGGGGTGGCTGAGGGGATGCGCTCATGGACGGGACGTGATAGGCGGTTGCGTGCGGGTGACCAAGCCGTCGACGGGGGGAAGGCGTTGTTGCGCCGGCCTGGAACTCTGGAAATTGGCTCTCCTGCCTTGCCATTGCTGCTGCGTAGACTTCGGCTCTCGAGGGCTGCTTTTTGGGTGTTTGTTGCTTCGGCATCGGAGGGGCACCAGCGACGCAGGACAGAGGCTGCAGCGAGCAGACCAGTCGGGCTTCGACCCCTACAGATCGCAGTAGTGCACAGAATAACTGGGCACCGACATCGCGCGAACCATGTAGCGTCCGGGCGGCCTCGAGGAAATCACTCTTCTCCAGGGTGGACTCGATATCGTCGGGAAGCTCATACTGTCGAGTGTATTAGTCCCATGCTGAGGGTGCATGGATGAGCGACCGCTACGTACACTTTTGAGTTGTTCTTCATCCTCCGCCCACAAGGCCCTCCGCAAGCCACGCTCCGTGATGGCAAACCTCAACTTGAACAGGTCCTTTGCCTCCTGGAGGCCTTTTCTCAGCGACTCTGTGCGCCCAAACTGGTTGAGACTCGCCCTGGGAAGCAGAGCCGCCACTGTTTTCGGAGGAAGCAGTGGTCGGAGGGCATCCTGCACATGCGGGTCGTTACACCACCGGTTTCTGAGCTCAACGTGCGCAAGAAGACACACAAGATGTATTTTGTGCACCTCGACACGGCGTTCTTTCTCCTCTCGACTGATGGCCCTGCGACGGTCAGCGCGGCGCTGGGTCATGGCCGCCATGTGCGCCGAGAGGTCTAGGTTCAGTCGTTTGGACTCCTCGCCCGCCCCGGCAGCCGACGACCGGGCAGGCTCAATGGCGACATCTTCGAAGTCGATCTCACCGTCGTCGTCCTCATCTTCCGATTCTCTTACAATGGTCTGCACTGTGGCTGTCGGCAGGACAACGCCCTCGAAGTCGATGTTATCGTCATTGGAAGTATCAGGGCCAAGGATGTCTTCGGGGTTTGGCTTCCTGTTGCCGGGCGCCCTGGTTTTGGCAACAACACCCTCCTTCTGCTGCTGCTCTGCTCGGACAGGGCGTCCTTCGCCGGGGCGCTTCCGTTTGAAGGGTCTTTCTGCAACAGTTGCATCTCGCGAGGTGAACTCGGACCTCGCCTCGACCAGCATCTCGCGGTAGACGTCCGGGAGGTCGGCGCTTCTGCCTGCAGGTTTCCGCTGCGTCCCGGGCCGGCCCGCGGCATTTTGCGACGCAGCTCTAGCGCTCGCGCGCGTTGTCCTCGTGCTGGCTTCCACTGGAGCGCTGCGCTTTCTGCCCGCCATTTCCTGAAGCCGAAGCGAAACAAGCGCAGTATTGCATTGGACCGCGGTGCGCTCGCTGTGGGCCTGAGTCGCCCGACACTGACACACTCCGGCCGGATGCGTGTGCTGTTAAAAGATATACGTTATTTGAGGCGACTTTTCCATCGGTAGCAGATGCAATCCAGTACAATTAAGCGAACAGAAGGCGCCGTCCGGTTGCGCGCAACCAGAACTTGGCCCAATCACCAAGATGTTGTAATCATCAAAGGTGGCGTGGGTGCTTCCTGCACGCGATGGCCGCCCAGGTACGCGAGGTCACGTGATGTACACTCGAAGTTTAAAGAGATCTGACGTCATGTTTTCCATGGCCGTGAGTTGACATGTCACACTGGCACTTTGCATTGATAACAAGTGCAAAGTTCCAGGTTATTTCTCAATGCCCCCAAATGCCGTCCCCGTAAGAACTACCTTAGTAGCTTGTTGCAAAACGTTACAAAGGTATTATCCCGCTGAATTGCACCCATAGCGCCCACAACGACCGATTACCGAATACCACACGATATTGCAACCAAATTGGGGTATCGTATCTCAACCCACGCCGCCACAACTCCATCATCGCAGAGATTCCCATGCGTGAACGTTCCAGACGCTGTCAAAACAATATAGAGGATGTACGGGTTATAGCCTCGTCCCCCATCACTTCGCCCGTCCAACGCCCCTTCTCCGGGCCGAGTACGGAGAGAGCGATGGATCATTTTCCTCCGGCTTCAGATGTAGATGCTGCCGTGACCTGCAGTCGTAGCAGGGCCCCTCGGCATCGACAAACTTCTCGGTGCCGTCTGGCCCATAGCAGCCGGACCCGAGCCTCGAACACCTCTCGACCTTCTTGAAGCCGATGTGCCCGCAGCTGAAGCGGTTCTTCCACTCGAAGCACATGCTGTCGTACCTGTCCTACCTCCTTCTTTTTCTCTGTTGTTTCGGTTGTTTCGAAGTTCGGCGGGCTTCGCTTCTTTTACCGATGGTGGAAATCGCGGGTTGTCTCCACTCCGACGTCCCCTTTGTGAGAGTGGAGTTCGCGGGGTGATGGCTGCTAAAGTGGGACTTGGGATCAGGGAAGGGGTACGGATAAGGAGTGTACACAGTAGCGACAAGTAGCTCTTGATTTCCGAAGATAAAAGGGAGAATGAGCGATGCGATGCTGTATAGGAATTGGTAGGTCAAATAACACGGCAACTGTTTGGCTTGGACGAGAAGTTCCTTTTATACACGGGCTCGAGCCGGGCTTTGCTTTTTGCAAGGCGAGCACACAATCCTACGACAATGGCCTTAGCTCGCCACAACCTGCATGCAAGGCTGGTCAGCCCTGCCCGTCATCCACCGAGCCAGTATGACGATGGCCTGATATGGACCGTTAGCGCTCTTGCTCGCCTGAAAATTCCAGCCTTTGACATCATAAGTGGGGATTGGCGGTACCTGCGACTATTGTATCAACGTCGACAGCCTGAGTGGCAAACGGCAAACTTCAACCTAATCCCCGAGTCAAACCTGAGCCTAGTTGTCGTCTCCCCGCCTTAGCGAGCTGATAGAGTCGAGTTTCTTGTATTTCAAGGAGCTAGATTTACAAGCCGTCCCAATCCAGACGACGTTAGGGGTATAGTATCTCTATATGCAATTGTACAACAGCCGTACATACCACGTTGTACGTGCACAGACTTGGAAGGTCTGACGCTGTCTGTCCATGACTCTTCGGCTCACGGGATCTAGACGGCCTTGTTCTCGGTAAGCTTCTTCACCAGCTTCGAGCCAATCGCCTCGGCTTGTATCCTGTGGGGATTCTGCAGGGCCTTTCGCACCAGGGCCTGTGTAGCCTTCGGCACCCGCAGGCGATGGCCAAGGACCAACGCCCCTGTCAACAGAGCGAGGGCGCCGGCCTGGTGGGCGGCCGCAAGGTAAATCGGAACCATGTACCATAGCGTCGTGATACCCAGAGTAGCCTGCAGCAAAACGAGATGCATCAGGCCGTTGACGCCCTTGCGCACGTTCCTAGGCATCGCGGCTTTGATCCTGCCAGTCCGGCCATAGGCAAACAGAACACACACAGCGGTGAAGGTCGTCGTGGCGAGGATACGATGATCGAGCTGGACAAGCGAGGGGTTCTCTAGCATGTTGCGCCACCACAGGTCGGATCCATCCTCCTTACGGCAATAGAACTTGTCGAAGAGCTCTGACTTTGGCGGCGCATACCCGGTGCCCATCTTCGGGAACTCGTTGTAGATAAGACCGGCGTCGAGGCCCGCAACGAGGGCGCCCGAGAGCACGGTGGTGAAGATGAGCACGGTCAAAGCAGCAACGGAGCCCCGGAGGGTCCTCAGCGTGGGCGACTTCAGCGCAGCAAAGGTCTTGGCAGCACCTTCGGGGTCGCGAAGGAGTCGGTGTGTTCGGAGCACACCGAGACCAGACAAGAGCATCCAGCCGTAGCAGACGAAGGCCGTGGCAAGATGCGCGGTCAACCGGTACTGGCTGACACGCGGGTGAGATCCAGGGGCAAAGAGATCGTCCTTCAGCCCAGATTTGACCATCCACCATCCGATAAAGCCCTGGAAACCGATCAGGCCAGATATACCGACCAAGTTGGCAGCCATCCGCGGGGTCACTCGACGGCGAGCGATGAAGTAGATCGTCGGAAGCACGAACGAGAGGCCGATGACACGGCCCCACAAGCGGTGCGCCCACTCCATGAAGTAGATCTTCTTGAACTCGGCGAGGTCCATGTGGGGGTTGAGCAGCTTGTACTCCGGAGAAGCGCGGTACTTGTCGAATTCAGACTGCCAGTCGGCGTCGGACATGGGTGGCAGTGAACCTGTGACGGGCCTCCATTCTGTAATGCTCAGACTGCGCGCATTGGTTAGTTTCGTGGACAGACGGCCTGCAGAAACATCCTGCCATGGCGATTGGCATACCCAGACTCGGTCAATCTGGTCAGTCCACCCCAGATCACGATGCCGAAGACGCTCACGGCACTTCCAATAAGCCAGTAGCCCACGGCTTTGTCGTTAACCTCGGGAAATGACGAGGTCTTCCCGGAGCTTCTAGCTGCCGACGTTTGCGCAACCGAACTGGCAGACTTGGCGATGCTGTTGCTTAACGATCCAAGCGGGGTCTGGGCCTCGGCGGCGGTCGAGGTATAGCGCCGCGCAGCTCTCACGAGCTTCAGGACTCGCGACGCCGGGCGCGCGGGCAGCTGCTGCCGTAGACACGGACCGCAGACGACCGGCACCCGAGAGATATGCGCAGCGGTCCTGCGCAGACCGAGCTGAAAGAAGGCCATCGTGGTGGCTTTGCGCCGGCAATGGCGGTTGTTGTTGGCAGCTCTCGTTTCGTGAGCTCACATCGGACAAAAAAGACCCACGAGACGATCAGCCCACCATTCAGACCTCTCAGGCGGCCGGGGTCTTCGGCGTTGCTACTGTCCGATCCAGCAATTGGAATTGCGTATTCGCGATTGGTCAATCTCAGAAAATGGGAGCGAAGTGGAGCGCTGATGGGGGTCACACGGTAAAGCCCGGAGTGTGGAGTTTATCAAACATCCTCACCTGCTCAATCTTTACGAACGGTTTTCCTTCAGAGGCAACGAAAATGCATTCACACTAGCACAGTTGGGAGAGTCTCGCCTGTCACTGGATACTATCAAGGCATATCCGGGTTCCTAAAGGTTTGCGTCAAGCTCGGCGTGGAAGGGAAAAGCCTGAGATGCACTGCCCCGCCTCGTCTTCGCCCATGTCTCGGCCGCCGGCCAACAAATCTACCCTTCTCATACCATTAGTCCTACCGCCATCATGAAGAACTTAATTGAGCCTGAACCGTTCCCGACGCTGATCCTGCCACTACGCCAGGATGTGTCTTATCTGTTCGCCTAAACTTGCCAGCACAACGCGTTTACGCTGGCTGCGTATGAGCCAACGTAGATCTCGGCTGGCATCTATTCCGTACACTACCTCCGGATTGGTAGAATGCATTCGCGACTGCCAAGAACTTCACGTCAGGCGTGGCAAGCAAAGGCGGGTTCCAGATCCCTTCTTGACTTCAAGCCATATCGGACCAAGCACACTGACAGTTCATCGCTCTGGATTGCACAGCCTCAACTAAACAAAGATTTGCCGGGCTCCGAGACACAACGGGGTACTGGTGGTGGTATCCGGGAGCTCAAGGGTCACACAGACCAACCCGTCCACACCAAGCCCATTGCAGGATCTCATACCATAAGCCTATTGCACTCTTTGGCCATCACCGCAGAGTTCTATAGTATGGCCTCACACCTCACACCCACCGAGATAGGCTGTCGAGGAAGTTTCCGTGCATGGAAACCTCGTCATGCCCGGATATGCCCGTTACGTGGGAGGCTCTATCCCTGAAGACTTCCCCACGGCTGGCTCACAGAATGTTTCGACCGAACGGCAGTCGAGTACCCCGAGCGCAGTCTGATACACCACCCTGCGAGATCTGCGCTCAACAGCATGCTAAGGGTAGGGGTCTTCGACAGCCTATTTGGACCTCACTCAGATGGGAATCTGGACGCGCGCGGATTGGGTGCAGAGCCGGCTGTGTGCCCTTTTTTGCTCCTGTAGCGCTTTTACCTCGACTAGACGTTTCTCATCAATCCCCAGTTTGGCGGATGCTTTATGCGGGCCAGCAACCTTGACCTCAAACGGCTCAGATCTTAGACCAAGCCGCCACCCCACACACAGATCTGGCCCGTCTGCATGCTAACCGCTGTTCTCCTCTATCTCCAACAACCTTTCTGCGCATGGTAAGTTCTGCTGTGTGCTGACGGTCGGTGCATCCCCTTACCCGCCGATGGGCCCTGCTAGTCGTTCATTGCGAGCCGCGGAAGCCCAGCTTCTCTCGCTAGAACATAGGTCAACGACCCGAAAAGGAACTGCCCCTGTCGGTAAAACTTTCTTGACGTTTCTTAATTAGTACTTGCACCACATGAGCAAACTCCTGTCGGGAGCGAGCAGGCCAAACTGAGACTACGAGGTGGGTCGTGGGTTCCACCCGCCCTCCGATCTCGAAGATCTCCGGGTGGAGCCCCGGCAGTGACTTCCCGGGGGCCGAGACGCTTGCAGAAAGGTGGCTCGGGTGGGGCTGTTTCGGTTTCACATCCCGCTGCATGACAGACTCCAGACTCGCCGCCGGTTCTGTCTCGCGTCCAGCCACTAGGCACCTTACTTGCCATCGGAACAGAGCAGCGGTGCCTTCGATGGGTTGTTTGTACGGGCTTCATCTAAAAAAAATAAAGCCAAGCACACGACTTCAAGGTTCCAGCCCCGTCAAGGCCCAGAGCATTCCAATACCGACCTGCTGTCTAAACTCTAGACTCTTGAGGCAGGAAAACTACATCCGGATCAACGACGCCGGCTTTATTAAACTAGGAAATGGGTTGACAGCATCCGGAAAGTCGTAAGATGATGAATGCAGCGATATGTTGCATCTTCAAAAGTGGGAGCAGGAGAGATACAAGGTATTTCGTTGATCTCTTCCTAACCTTGATGTCTGGATGGCAGGCTGCTGCTGGCTATCCTGCGACCTGAGCTGCCCTTGTCTGCGACAGGACACGACTCGTAACATAGCAGCACATTGTTGCCTCACCTCCAACGCTGTGATCGGCGCCAAGACACTTCACATACTAAAGACAGGAACCGCATGATGTCGAGGCTTGTTGCTCCTTGGCTCTGCTTAGGTGCAGTTTAGTCAACTACTATCGGTCCTCTGGAGGACTTCCTTTCTATTCCTTCCGTTTGTTTTCTCTCTCTTCTCTTCTCTTCTCTTTTCTTTCGTTTTGCCTTCTTCCACCACTGCTGTCCGGTCCCTTCCGTCTCCTCTTGTCTTTTTCTCTTCTTAGATCGAAGCCGCGGGCGGCTTTGCTGGTCTTTGCTTTATACTACATATTTACCTTTTTTCTCCGTCTGGGCGGAAAGCTTGGAATTGCTCTGCCCTGGCGATAGTTGGAGGATCCTTGGAGTTTCCTAAACAACAGTGGAAATGGATTCCACGGGAGGGAAGCCGGTGTGCGGGAGTGGCCAGGAGGCGGGCGAGTACGATCTTGCTCTCCATGTTGTGGGATTATGTACGTCAACACAGCGTTCCCCTTTCAGCATGATTGAATCGTCACTAACGAGTTATGTCCAGTCTTGGTTCTAGCGGCTTCCATCATTGGTGCCGGCTTCCCGGTTGTTGCGAAAAAGGTCAAATGGGTCAAGGTGCCAACTAAGGTGTTCTTCGTATGCAAGCACTTTGGCACTGGTGTCCTGATTGCTACCGCGTTCGTCCATGTAAGTGGGGGGGAGGCGATGGTTCAACTGCGTTGGGAGAACGAGGAAGCTGACAGTTGGAGTAGCTGCTCCCGACGGCGTTTGGTAATCTCCTGGACCCTTGCCTTCCCGACTTGTTCACCGAGCAGTACCCGCCCATGCCCGGCGTCATCATGATGGGATCCATGTTCTGTCTCTTCGTGATCGAGATGTACCTCAACGGCAAGCTGGGCGGCCATTCCCACGGCGGGCCTATGGGGTTCGAAACGCACAGCCAGCCACCCGCGACTACGGCATCGGCCAACCGCGGCCCCCCGCCTGAACGGCCGCCGCGGTACTCGACCGCGTCCGACTTCGAGATCGAGGAGGTCGAGTACGAGAAGAAGCTCGTGCAGAAGATGTACGAGGAGAAGATGAAGGACTATCGGCCCGAGAGCCCGTCGGAGATGCCGCCCTGGTTCGTCGTCTTCTACGAGCAATACGTCCGCCAGAGGCTCGAGATGATCAACATGATCAAGTCGATGCGGGCGCAGCAGCAGCAGCAGCACCAGCACCAGCAGAATCAGGCTGCCGAGTCTGACAAGCGCCAGACCGTGATTGCCGAGACGTCGATTGCCGACTCGCCGTACATTGACGAGGAGACCGGACAGGCAGTGGCGCCGGACGTGTACCGCAAGATGTCGCTGAACATCACGCTGCTCGAGGGCGGCATCCTGTTCCACTCGGTCTTCGTCGGCATGACCGTCAGCATCACCATCGAGGGCTTTGTGGTCCTATTGATTGCCATTCTCTTCCACCAGATGTTCGAGGGGCTCGGTCTCGGATCGCGCATTGCTGCCGTCCCCTACCCTCGCGGGAGCCTTCGGCCGTGGCTGCTGGTGGTTGCCTTCGGAACGACCGCGCCGATCGGGCAGGCGATTGGACTCATTGCGAGGAACTCGTACGATCCCAACAGCGCCTTCGGCCTGATCATCGTCGGCGTCTTCAACGCTATGTGAGTGGGCTTTCGGAACGTTCTGTTGGTGGTTTTGTCTTTCACTGACAAAGTAAAACTAATTTCATAGCTCGTCTGGCCTCCTTCTCTACGCCGCCCTCGTCGATCTCTTGGCCGAGGATTTCCTGTCTGCCGAAGGGATGTCCATGACCAAGAAAGACCGGGCAACGGCATTCGGGTGTGTGATTCTCGGAGGTATGTCCGGATCCATCCTCCCTACCCAGGTGATAAGCACAGAAAACTGACGCTCACCCCAGCAATTGGCATGTCGATCGTCGGCGCTTTTGCCTAACAACTGTGAAGGTCTGCATTTCATGCATACCTCGACGATCTTCCATTTCTCGAACTCCCTTCGGGCCGTGTTCAAGAAGGGAGCATGCCACTTCCAGTGTGTGTGGATGCCAAAATATCTCGTCGGGTTGGATACTTGACAGGCCCAAGCTTGCATGGTGGGATAGCTTAACGGACACGGATGCGCCGGGGAAAGAGACCACTGTAAGGCCAGGAATGAAGAGAGATAGGTCATGATTCAAACCGTCAACAGACTATTTATGTCTAGAAAAGCAACAGCACATAAGACGAGTGGATGGAGAACTAAGAGACTTCTAGGAAAATGATCGCCGAGTCTTCGCGGTACGAACACCTACATTGGAAACTCATCCCCTTAAATATGCTCAAGGCCATAGATAGGAATACGCTATGCCTATGTAGGTTCAACCTAATGCTTCAGACGGTGCCAGCAGTTCGGCGCAACACGTACCCGCTGGACTTGTCCTACCTCATGCCGGATGACTCTGGGGAGATTTCTCCGAATGGGCTCAATAGAATTATTTGTTCTCTGTTTCCATGGATCTCCGACTTGGGTTGTATGACCGTGGAATTCTTAGTCGTTATGTCTGCAGTACCTGGGACGGCATCCGGATCCAGCATTTCTTTTCAAATCAGCTATGCGTGTCTTGCAAGCTAAAAGAACAGAGATGAAAGAAGGTCAGTATGGTTTTCTCCATTTGCCTGTATCGGAAAGTCAAAAACAGGGGTACATTATGCCGGCCGAGACCAGAACAAAGAGCGGCTCTGAGGCGCACACATTCCACGTCAACAAGGCTTCCCAGCTCAAGGCTTAACTATTCATATCTCACATTCTCACCTTCCTTCCTTCCAAGCCAAGCTAGTATCATCGTCTCATCACTTATTACGCCAAACCCTTGATATCACACTTAGGTCAACACTTCTATAAGCAGCCAGACAACCACGACACAGCAACCAACTCCGAACCCACGCCGTCCAGTCCACGCACACTCCATACTGAGCAGAGCAGCAATGACCTCCACGACCACCATGAAATCCCTGTACGCGCTCTACAAGCCCCTTCCCAATGCCAACGACACCGACACCGACAAAGGAGAATTCCTCGTCCGCCGTGTCACAGACGGCGAGGTCCTGCTCGCCGTTCCCGCGCCCCTGACCACGCTCCGCACCGCCTCCTTCTCCCTAGAGGCCGCCCGCTCCGCAGCAAACCTGCTCAACCACGAGAACCTGGTCTCGATCCACGACGAGCTGGTCGTCCCCCTGGGGGGCGGCCACCATATGCTCGGCTTTGATGATCATGATAATAATAATAATGGAAACGACTCAGAAACGATAATAGGCAGGCGCATGCTTCTGTGGGACTATTGCGACGCGGGCACGCTGCAGGGCGTGCTGGACGAGTATGAGCAGCCGGTACAGAGTAGTAGTGAAGGGGGAGGGGTAGGGGCAAAGGGGGGGTCCCTGCCGGAGTCGTTTGTCTGGCATGTCGGGCTGGGCTTGCTGCGGGCGCTGCAGTGGCTGCATGAAGGGGTGCGGGATACGTACGATGTTCTCCCGAGCGGTCGGGGCAAGAAGGGATGGAAGAGGGTCAGGGGCAACACGGAGGCGGAGGTGGATCGGATGCCGGTTCTGCACCGGGATATCAAGGCGGAGAATGTCCTGCTGCAACGCCCGAGGGGCATTGAGATGTACGGCGCGGTGAAGCTGGGCGGGCTGGGCAGGTGCTGGGTGTCCGGGAGCGTGAGCACGACGCGGGAGACGCCCGTGGTGGTGATGGAGGAGAAGGATGACGTGCCGTTGGGTGTGTTGCGGCACAGGAGGGCGAGGTGGCAGCGCGGCGGGCAGCGCGGCGGGCTGGCCATTCCCAGGCCACATCGGCCTTACACGCAGGGGAGCGAGCTCTTCGCCGTCGGGGCGCTGCTGTACCGCATGATGGTTGGCCGGGCGCTGCCGACGGTGGAAGAGTGCGCCGACTGCGGGTGCTTCCACATCACCAGCAACGACGCGGCCGAGTACAACCCGTGCCACGACAACTGCGTGGGCGACGTCAACATCGACGAGGTGTTTAAGCCGCTGGCCGGCTACACGGCCTACCTGAAGGCGCTGGTCACGCTGCTCCTGCGCCTGAACCGCCGGGACGAGTGGCGCGCGAGTGATGCGCTCAACACCGCTTGGCAGGGCTTTGAGAACTGGGCGGCCAACACCGACGACGGCCGCCGCTATCGAGACATTTTCGACGACATCTGGTTCCGGAAGCAGAACCACGCCCGGCTCAAGAAGCGACGCCGGGAGACCCAGGAGGATGCTGATGCTATGGATGTGGATGGCGATGTTTTGGTTGTCTAGCCGGTCCGCGTGTGTTTCGTTTCGTTTCTCTTGTGGCCAGAGCACGGAATCAAATCGAGCAGGGTTTGTATGCCTAGGAAAATCTCCATGAGATAACTGGCGATGGTTATTACTACTAAGTACTAGTAGTAGTAAAATTAAAGTGCGTTCTATTCAAGAGAATTTAGTCTAAACCCCCCTCCAGCCCATACGGAATGCAAGAAAATCTCAAAGCCCCTGGACCAGCTTGGGCAGCAGGACCTTGTTGAACTCCCACAAGACGGTGCTGAAACCGGCCGAGAAGGCGGCGCCCGTGTAGTAGGTGTTGCGGCGTCCCTGCAGCGAGTTCAGCTGCTGGATGAAGCCGGCGCGGAGCTTGTCGGCCGAGACGCGCGCGTGGAAGTGGCCGTGGTCGGCGAATATGTTGTAGCTGACGCTGCCGCCGGACGCGGGGAGAGTGCCAGCCGCAATCATCTTATCGATCGTCTGGGTCATGAGCGCCTGCATGCTGGCCGGCGTGTCGGTGCTCTTTCCCACGGCGGTGAACTGGAAGAGGTCCTGGGTGCCGCCGAGGTAGTCCACGCGGCCGATCTGGGGAGGGAGCGGGAAGGACGTGTAGTTGAACGACCCGGGGTCCGTAGTGCGGTCGCTGTAGGCGTTCAGCGTCTGCAGCGACGGGTGGGTGAGAATGCCGGCGTAGACGGTGGTGAACTCGAACTGGCCCAGGATCTGCTTCTCGGAGTCGTCGAGGTCAAAGGGCGCCATGTTCTCCGGGGTGGGCTCGATGGCAAGGAGGAGCCGGTTGGCCTCGACGCACGTCACCGTGCCGTCTGCACTCTTCACCGTCAGGTAGACATCCTTCCGCGGGTTGTTCTCATTGTAGCGCTTGGACCCAACGACGGTGCTCGAGTAGAGGACATCATCGCCGAGGAAGTCGGCGACAGCCTCGTACAGGTCCCACAGGCGGCCGGAAGCAGGGACGGCCGCGGCGCCCTGACCCAAGAGCGCCTTGGCCATCGGGACGCCAGAGGCCTGGATCACAAAGAGCGTGGGCACGTCCATGGTGTCGCCCAGACCCTGCGTCGTGGCGTCCCACATCTGGGGCACAGCCGCCTCCAGGTTGTACTTGGCGACGAAGTCGCGGAAGGGCATCAGCAGGTCCTCGGGGATGTTGGCCGGGTCGGGGAAGTTGAAGAAGCCCGGCAGCACCATGTCCTCGTACTGCGCGATGACATCGAGGTACCGCTGCAGCGCAGGGTACATGGCCTCGGACGCAGGCGCCTGGTAGCCCGGAACCGGCTGGCCCGTCGTGAAGTCGATGTACTGGTTGGTGTTCGGCGTGAACGACATGGACCCGCTGGTCGACACGTTCATACGCGCGGGGAAGTCGAAAGCATCCTTGTACTCCATCCACGCCTGCACGCCGACATTGATCTCCTTGCCCGTGGCCGGGTCCTTGTAGAAGGCCGTGTGGCCGCCCTGCAAATAGGAGGTGAGCAACCAGAACACAACATCAACATTGGGGGAAAAAGAAAAAAAAGGAAAAAAGGAAAAAAAGGAAAAAAAAAAAGAAAAAAAGAAAAAATAAGAAAAAAAATAAAAAAAAGAAAAAATAAGAAAAAAAGGGGAAAAATGAACAGGAGACACGGAGACACTCACAAGTTGGCTGGCCTTCTCAATGACAACAACGCTGTGACCGGCGTCCCGCAGCCACACTGCGGCGTGCGCACCGGACGCACCACCACCGACCACGGCAACGTCGCGCACGATGGTCTTGGTGCACGTGCTGCGGCAGTCGATGGTGGCGGCCGAGACGGTGGCCGCTATACAGCCGAGGCTGACTCCGGCACGCATGATGGGATGCATTCTGCGAGTGTGCCAAGGACGTGACGGGGACTTCAGGTCTGCAGGTGCATGCTAGCAGCACACCGGTCGGGTTACGAGCAGCAGCGGCCGGTTTTTATAGGGGGGCGCCACGTGGGAAAGCACCTTCCTGATCCTCCCCTTTTCTTTTCGCGGTTATATCTGCCGAAGCCCACCGGGCAACGTGGGCGTCTGGGAAAGCATCCATGGGGCACTGCGAGACCAAATGCCGACGATGAGGTTGCATGCGAGGGCATCTCCGAAGGTGAGACTATCGAATGTTGAGGCGGCCAGGGGCTGCACCGTGCCTGCCACCAGCGAGCAGCAGAGCGCAGGCAGGCTGCAGCAGAGCTCCGACACGTGCGAATCGGAAATTGCAGCAGCGCGACACGAATCCACACTGCCGGGTGAGGATGCTGAATGCAGGAGACAATGCGACCCCAAGAACTTTCCCCTTCTCCCGTCGAGGCTGTGTACACTATCCGTACATGTACATGGTAGTAGTAGTGTAGGTACGGGGAGCGCTTGGACGCAACGAGTTGGCGAGTTATGGATACCTCTACGGAGTACTGACCCACAACTTCCCCCGATCTTCCGGGCACTTTCTCCGAGCTCCACCCCGGGAGCGACGCCCGCCCGGACAGGGGCTTGTGAGATACCGTATCACTCGCATCGCAGTGACCCTACATATAATCGCTAGGAACCCATATATCTTTGAGCAGCTGGACGGCTCACTCAAGAGAGGAATGAGGTGCTCGGAATGCATTCTCCTATCCTGCCTGCTAGAAGTACCAGAAACGCGCCAAGTGTAGGCGCATTGTACACTAGCGAGACGAAGGATTCAAGGGGAAGAAAACCCCGCCCCACAGCACCGCCAAGCCCCGAGAGCCCGAACCCCAGAGCCCGCGAATCTTCGATCGTTCTGTCAGAACGATCGGATCGGCGCGGCGGCGGCGGCGCTGATCTGCTCCATCCCTCCGCTGCTGATCAACAGCAAAAAATCAAAACAAAAGCCTCGACAGGACACCATGAAGCCCCAGTCATGCGCAAAGGTCGCTCAGCGGATTTCATCTTTCGATATACCCATGCCATGGGTGTTCTCGACGTAGTGTTGGAAACACACATTAAAGAGTATCATTTTCCCCTGTCTGGACAGGGCCTCGGTTTCGGGCCGGGTCTTTCGGGCCGGGACCCCTGTTGCGTTCCTCCTACAGTACAGATTCAGCTGCCCCGCACTGAGAACGAGTGCCCGGCTATCATCTGGCCTCGGAGAGACGGTCTTCTCGCTGGCTACCTACCGTAGGTTATTAGCCGGTGCTCCCGGAAGCCAGAACTAAGCGCTATTGTACGGATCTGTACTTACTGTACACTCCATTCAGCAGGAGATGGTGAATTCCGACGCGAATCGCGATATTCTCCATGGCGGGCAGGCCAAGAAATTCGCCAGTTGCGGAGTTTATGCCATCGTTGTCCGCGTAACTGTTCCCTTGCCGAGTCTTGGACATCGAACGAGTCGCTTAGACAACGGCACTAACGTTAGCAGCTAACTCAGGTACCTAGGTACAGTACTACCTATACGTAAGTCTGTAGGCACATGCCTAATGCAGCATGCATGCATGCGACATTTATAATTACGTCGAATGTAGTAATCACCAACCCCTGGTTTCTGGCCAGACCCGGACAGCGACAACGCCACTGTCGATGTGATTATGCAGGAGCGTCCCAGTCGCTTCAGACAACCTGGTCAATAATCAACAACGGTCGACAAGGATATAGCACAATTATAGTTTTATGCAGTCAGAGTAGAAAGTGTCTGCTCTCATCAAGAAACCACAGTCTTCATGAATCATGACGGGGAGAAAGCAAAGACTGTGAGCGGGCTCGGTTCGGATGTAGCGCGGCTACACAGTGTGTGGTCGATGAGCTTGTTCCCCCCTCCCCACCCCATGTCGGACACTAGGATAGAGTCGCTAACTTGCTAAGAGCCCAGGACACTATTTGCGCCAGGATTCGAAGCCTATTCTGCATCGAGTAGGTGGACACCGGATAAGGTGACAGTCGCGAAGAATCCCTCGGACGCATGTCTTAGAGCCACCGACCGAGCCGCAGGTCCTTGGTGCAGAGTCGAAAAAAAAAATCCCAAATCCCCAAGAACAAGGAGGATGTCTCCCCATCCGCTCTCTCATTGCCCTTGCCCTGCTCCTTTTTAAAGCCCGTCGGACCCACCTCCGGAGGCAGGATGGATTTCAAGTTCCAGTCTGTCGGAATCACGAGAAGGGACGAAGCAGAATGATGTTTATGTTTGCCCGGCGGCCGTGGTGAACCCCCCAAGAACGCCTTGCGCCTGCTCCTCTCGAGCTCCGGACCGTGGCCCTTACGTGTACGCCGACAAGACGCCAAGATGGCGGCGGTGGTGCCTCCGGACCCTTCGACCTTCACGCCGGAGTACGTCAATGCGAGCAATGCGGCGCGGATCGTGGGCGTAGTGGGCGTCTTCCACTTCATCGCCCTCACTTTCGTCTCGCTGCGTCTTTACGTCCGCGCCTTCATGGTCAGGGCCGTCGGGGTCGACGATCTCCTCATTGTGGGGGCTGCTGTAAGTGTGACAGCCCTATTTTAAGCTTGGTCTACCCAAAGACACACATTGCTGACTTCTCCGAACCAACTTGAAGGCTCTCGCGCTCATGTCATGGATCTGTTTGGTGCTCCAAATACCGCACGGCCTCGGCCGTCACGGCTGGGTGGTCCCAGTCGAGGAACGGATCAAGTTTGAGCAGATCACCTTCTGGAAGACGGTCTTCTCGGACGGCGTCGCCATGGGATTGCTGAGGATATCAATGGCCATCAGTCTACTACGGCTCAAGAAGGACCTCAAGTGGTATCGGTATTCCCTCTTTGCTATTATGGGTAAGTGTGCTTTTCTGTGCTCCTTTTTTTCCCTTATTTTTCTTTTTCGTATAAGCACTTACCGTTCGCTGCAGGCTTCGTCGTGGCGTATTCGATCCAAGCTATTGCCTGGCTATTCGTTTACTGCACCCCGTTCTCGGGCTGGTGGGAGTTTCAGTGGATGAACCCGTTCGATCCCCGGTGTAAATCCTTCACCACGTTTGTCAATCTTGTGTATTGGAATATCTGTGAGTTTATCTGGGCTGCCCGCCACAAATCCTCCTTCCCCTATCCATGCAGTGCCCCTGACAATATACGCAGCCTGCAACATCTTTACCGACGTGCTCCTTGGAGCACTGCCCGTTCCCATCATTTGGAACCTCAAAATGAGGCTCCGAGTAAAGCTCTACGTGATTGGCATTCTCAACCTGGGATATCTGTGAGTTTGGTGCTGGCCCCATGTGCAATTCCCATTACTGACCATCGGCGATTTCGCCCTTGCAGCGCTGTCCTGATGGGCATTCTCAAAGCTGTTTTCATGCTCACGACCGGAGGCGATCCCGACGCCATCTTCGACTACTGGGTCCACTTCTGGGAAAAGTAAGTTGAGAGGTCATATGAGAGAAGAGGACTTTTTTTTCTGTTTTTCTCTTTTTCTCTTTTTCTCGAATACTGACACGGCTTGTCCCCCTAGTCTCCAGCTCAACATCGGCATCATCGCCGCCTGCGCCTCGTTCCTCAAGCCACTCGTCGGACGTCTTCTGAAGATCAACAGCTCAGCCGGCTACTCGTACCCAGAGACCCCGTATGGCCGCAGCGGGAACACCCCGCATGGTCTCCAGACCATCGGCAGCAAATATGCCAACAGAAGGCGGACTGCTGACCAGAGCCACATCGGCGACGAATTCGAGCTCCACACTAAGGCTCGCTCGTCAGCCGAAGGGCCTCAGGTGGTCACAAGCGTGGAAGGCGCCCGGCAGCCGCGCAGGGCTTCGCCGAATTACTCAACTGAGGGGGTGGACAGGGTGCCGTCTGACACCAACAGCGAGGAGATCATTCTGCAGAAGCAGGATGCCCCTAATGATGGGATTATGATGACAAGAGATATCAGCGTGCGGTATAGCACTAAACAGCACTAAATTGTGGTCCAAGGGTTGCTATGCCAGCATGTAAGGCACATGTGGTGCATCACAATGGAGGAGGGTACGCGGCGTTATTTGGCATTTTGCGGGCTTGGGTCAGGGCTTACCGCCTAAAAGGAGGCATTCTGTACATGTGTAAACAAATACAAATATTCCATCTACCTGCTTTGGATAGTCCCGGCTGGCTGCAGCACAAGGAAACATTCAGGTCAGAAACATATAGTATCCCCTACCTAATAAAGCTGCTGCACTGACACCAGAAACTGACCACAGCACAGGCTGCTAGCCATCTTCTGGACGGTGCCACGGCGCCAGTCATTGCGCAGCAGGCATGTATGTAACCCAACCGACGAAGGAAGCTAGGTAGGTACAGTACCTAGGGTACCTTACAAGTACTCTCCATCCCACCTTCGTCGCCCCTGCGGTCGTTGAACCAATTCCGTTGTAATCCCTCGAGATTTGGGAGATTGAACAGCTCCAGCGTGCTGCGCCGGAACTATGTACTATGTATATAACAGTGCGAACCGCGCAAGGGACCCATGGAGTAGGTAAGCTACGTACGGGTAAGGTTGGCATGAGTCTTCAAGGTGAGAGGCCTACCATTCTCCGCTTCACACACAGCAGGCCCTGAGATGCCCATCTCATCCGTGGCGCCAAAGGGCCCGTCGCAGGCACTCGGGCTTGTCCCGGTTCCGGACTGACCGCTGGTAAGAATACCGTATTTTACACGCAGTACCTATCCAATGCTAAATACACCGTGATATAGCCGCTACCTACCTACCTGGTAATTTAGCGCCCTTTATCGATAACTAACCGACCTCTGCCCCTGGTCTACTGCCCCACAGCTGCCTTCCGGTTCCCCAACATCCTCCCACCATCCGATCACCATAGCCAGTGCATCACATCAGTCGGAGGGGGCATCCCTCCCAGCATAGGTAACCGACATCATGTCGCGCGTGATGCAGATGCCGCCCCCGCCCCCGCTCCTTCTCACGAAGCGGGTCACGGCCTTTTTGCGCGCGAACCTCTCGGCGCACATCCACTCCGCCATGCTGACCACGCCAGCCGGCAGCCTACTCGCCCACGCCAGCGATCTGCCAGCGAGCGCGCTTCGTCGCCAGGCCGCAGTTGCCGCCTCTCTGTGGGCGCTTCAAGGCCCGGCACCCGGCGCGCCACATACCCCAGGCCCAGCGCAAGCGACACTTCCGACCGGCAGCACCGTCCGAACGAGCAAGAAAAGCGGCAAGCAGCACTCGCCGACGGTGACGATACAAATGGACAGCGGCGCCGTCTTCGTGATTCGCCGCCTGCGCTGCGGGATGCTGTTCATCTGCATGGGCGGCTCCGAGAGCGCCGCCGCGGGACGGCAGACCCCGACTCCTCCGGCTCCGCACAGCACCCGTCTAAGCCGGAGCCCCGCGCCGACAGCACCTCCAACGCCGGGGCCATCGTCAGAGCAGCCGCCAGACATGTCAGCCCCAACTGGCCAATCCAATCCACCACAACCACCGACAGCAACACGAACTCATCCGCCCTTTATAGCAGCAGCGGACGCACCACCACCACCATCATCGACAATAGCAACAACAACACCACCCCCCACAGCCGCAACAACCTCAGCCTCGAAGACCACATCATCCCTGCCCGTACCCCCCGGCGCTCCCGTCGGCTCGCCCTCCGGAGCATCAGTCTTCTCCGCGCACACCACCCACACCACCCACACAACAGGAAGCTCCGCCGCTATCACGGTCTCGGGGAGCAGTGTGTCGCTAATGCGACGGCAGGTGGAGGAGCTTGCGCGGTGGTTAGACGATCGATTGGGGTCGTTGTGCGTGCCGGAGGAAGGGATCGGCATCCCTCCGAATCCGGACTTGGGCGGTAGTACTACGGGGCCACGGGGGGCCGCGAGTACCGAGGTGGAAGTACAGTAATTGGGAAGGGTTTGGGGCTGGCTTATCAATGCTCCACGGTGGATATAACTACTAGTGCGTACCTGGCATGTCATAGAAGGAGCGAATCCCCTAGCGAAAATTGAGATGCCGAACTCTGACCTGGCGGGGACAAACGTCGGGCAGTGATTATTTTGGTGGTGTCTTGCAACGCTTGTTTCAAAAGCAACCCTGCTAGGTACCTACGGTATGATGCCCGTGTGTTCCGCGCCTTAGCTCCATAGAGATTAAAGCATTCCACGTGTCCCTGGCGCACGATTACGCTCGTGATAAAACCATAGCCATGATGCCTCGACTCCTGTTCCAGCGCCGATCCCCGAGCCAGTCCCAGCCCCAGAGTCCGTTTTATGCAAACCCACCCGTTCGCCCCAAGAAGAAAGACCAAGCAACGCCGTATGTGTGCACTTCTGGGGAGCCCGCTGCGTCTTGGCCGGGCCACGTTGGATACTAATACCGCGCCTCAGTCGATACTCAACCGCGTAATACCGTCATTAGTCTCGACCATCCCCTGTAACCCGACTCTCCCTTTCCCACCCGCCACCCTCGCGCCACCACCGTGCGAACTACCATTCTCGCTCCCGGCACCGCTCCCACTCCCCGCGCCTGTCCTGCCTGGTCCAACACCACCATTACTACTGTCCCCACCGACGCTCCCCGGCCGCGACATGGACGACCCCCCGCCGCTGCCTGTGCCGCCCCACGGCGCTGTGTCCCGTTGCAGGGGCGATTGCATGACGGGCGAGTTGTGCACGCTCATGCCCGGGCTGACGGCGCGGCGCTTGATGCTGACAGGATCGAGGTCGTCGTCGCGCCGGCGCTTGCTGTTGATGCGCCGCGTAATCTCGGCCGCGCTCGGCGGGCCGCCGGCGCTGGAGCCTTGGTTGTTGATGAGGCTGCCGATTTGGCTGGGAAGAACGGCCCCGGGAGTGCCGTTCCCGGAGCTGCTCGTTGTAGTCTGCGTACCGCCGCCGGGGAGAAAGAAGGGGTTGTTGCTCTGGCCGGCGGCCGCCCCGCCGCCGTTAGAACTGGCCGAGGGAGAGCCCATGCTCACGTCTTCCAGGGACATGCCGGACGAGGAGGCGCGGGCGGGGCCGAAGGGTGGCGGTGGAGGCGTGACGCGCGATGCGGCCCCTGTGCTGCTCGTCTCCGAGAAGGTATCCCAGAATACCTTGCCCTTCGAGTTTTTCATGGCTTGCTGCTTGAAGGTCCCCGTTAGCCCCAACGCGCTGACACTAGGGTCGTCCATCATCATATCGTCGGTAATGTCTTCCAGACTGTCATGCGTCCCTAGGTTAGGGCTCGACAGTGCCGTCGACGCTACCGATTGGGGAGGTGGATGTCGTGGTTCAAGGTCCATGTCGCTTTCCCGCACCTGGCGGACCACCTCGGCTTCGCGGCGGAACTCAGCTTCGATGGGCGCATTCTCTTCAGCCAGTGCGGCGCGGATACGAGCAAATCCCTTTGTTTTGGGCTGCGGTGAGATGAGTATCCTCCGTGTTCCGAAGCGAAAGGGGGCGGACATACCAGTAAATTCCCCCGCCGTGTGACAGCGCGCCGAACGACGCTGGGTCGAAGCGGACTATCAAGGCCTTCTTGCTGCCTGCTGTGGCTGTCGTCGCTCTCGTTGCCTGATATGTGAAGCTGGTTCGCAGCCCAGCTGATACTCTCGCGTCTTGCGTGGGGCGACATATCGTTTGGCCCGGTGAGGTTGCTGGGCGGCGATCTCGACATGATTCCCGGCGCAGCAGGGGAGTGGAAACCGAGTCCCAGTTGTCTCCGCGCGTTCCTTCTATGCGGTTTACGTTGGCGTTGCCGCTGCTGGAAGCTGAGGAGGCTGTTGACGGCGGGAGACCCAGATGGCCATGGTGCGCCCATCGCGGCAGTACCTCCTGACATAGCCGTCTTCGGCACCTGTGGGGTGGTGACATATGCGTCGTCCATATCCTCGTCCATGTAGTCATCGTCGTCTGAGCTGGATGAGAGATCCGAAATCGCATGGCTGGTGCTCCCCACTGAGCTCGATATCTGCATACGCTCCTGGTTGCCCATCATAGACCAGAGCGACGTGGACGTCTGCTCGGCCGGTCCGTATTCGGCAGCGCGGCGGCCGGGGATGTTCATTGCCCGGGAGCCAATGGTGGGAGAAGCGTCGGGCGACGCCTGGTCGGCGAGGGTGGAGTGGTGCAAGCTAGTCGCGGCGCGCGAGAAATCCAAGCCCCGCGAGCGGCGCGGCAGGATGTTCGTTGGTGACGCATAGATATGCTCGAGTTTCGGGGACGGAGGTGCAGGCCGTACGTGGCTGGGCTGAGCAGGCGATGCGGAGTCGTCACGAGCCAGCTGCAAGGAGAGGCCTCGGCCAGGAAACTCCACGCGGATTGGGGTTGATGGGAGCAGAAATGTGTGCTCGTGGTCCTTATCTCGGATGACAATGTCGTCCTTTGACTGGGAGCGCGCCGCCTTGGCAATGTGCGGAGAGGGCGATAGTCTCGGTGTGCCTCCTCCGTCCGAGTGCGAGCGTGTTCTGGTAGCTGGCGATCGGATGCCTCGACTCGGTGACCAAGGCCGCTTGTTGTGGTTGCAACCGGCCACTGCTGGTTCCGAGTCTCCTTCCACGTCCGACATACGCGACAGGTCCATGCGGGCGGAGGGCGGTCGACGAGGCACGGCTGCCGGTCCCTCATCCAATGTTGCGCGCGTCTTTGTTCGCGAATATGTGACCAACAGGGGAAAAGCACGCGCCGTGTCGGCAAGTTAAGCTTTTTCTGTGCCTGATTAGTCCATGAGATCCCGAGTCGAGCAAGATTCAGCTCACACATGGCCTGAGAGCCTGGATGTGTGAAGTGGAAATCAAATGCGGATGGAATTGTCGGCGTCTGGACCAATGCTGAAGCTTGACACTTGCCCATGTTCAAGTCCCACAGCCCCCACTACAGTTTGATGCACATTGTCTGTTTATCAACCGTCTTATACCAAGTGTATTTGTACTATACAGTCCAACCCCTGAATGTTCGTTAGCGCCTGACTTGAAGACCAGGGTCTACCCAAACTCTCTATCTCAACGTCAAAACGGCCATCTTCTCTACGGAAAAAACGTGCCGATGAACTCAGCCTTTTAGGTTATTGCAAGATGCTCTATTTTTTTGCGTTGAATCAGCTTTCCTCGTAGTTTAGGAGTGTTGCTTCGGAGTTGAGAGCAGGACCCCTGTCGCAGGTTCCGCGCTAACAATCATTCAAGGGCTGTTCTGTACATGGCTGAAAATCACCCTATGTACGGCGTACGGAGTAACGTCTCCCTCCCTGCGCAACTCCGGACTAGGTAAACATAAATTATAATCATATATCAGTACTCCTATTGAAGAACACATTCAGCAACTAGATCAATGGCTTACTTGAAGTTTCTCAGTCGAGATCCGTTAGACCCATTTCACGCTTATCCCACTCAAACGTATTACGATGTGTTGTATATATGGCGCGCAAGTTACCGCGTACCGCCCGGAGACTCAAAAAGACGATCGCTTCAGCAAGCGATGGATGATGCTCCTGAAGATGACAAGGCTCACACTACCAGGTACCTACCTAAGTAGATACTCAAAGCTCACAGAGAAATGCCTCGGAGCTTTATGTTACCTGAATCAGGGCATCCTTCTTACCATTCGGATGATGATCAAAGACAGATAAGACCCTCAAAGGCTGCCACTTACACTTATATGCAGGCTGTCTTTCCCCTTCCGATCAGAGCTCACCAGATTGTTATGGCAGAATAGAACTTGCAGAAGAGACAGAAAGTGGGATAATGAGCGGGAATATACTATGTAAGGTGTCGAATCTCAGCTGCCAAGTGCCTTGGGAGAAGAGTGTTAGAACTTAGAATCTCTGTCAACGGGACTCCCTACAGCCTGACCAGGCTGACATCGAGAATGCCCTCGGACCTGCCCAACTCTTTAAGTACAGCGTCGGTAACATCCCCAGCGACACCTAGGATCATGAGTGCTTCCTTCGCAACACTGCCGGCCTCTGTCCCGACAGGGCCGTCCAGGACGTGGGCCAAAGCTGGGCCGGCGTCGGTCTCCAAGGCAGCGACTTGCATGAAATTGATGTTGACGCCGTGCTTGCCCAGCACCATGCCGACATTGCCGATCTTGCCGGGCTCGTCGTAGTTGTGCAGCACCAACAGGGTGCCCTCGGGCTGGAAGTTCGCCGTGAAGCGGTCCAGCTTCGAAATAAACACGGCACTGCCACTGACATATCCCTCGATGACCTGCTCGTCGGACTCGGTGCTCAGGCTGCGCAGGGTGACGGCGCTTGCGTACGTCGGCACCGCACCGCCGGCGCGGACATGCTTCTCGTCGATGGCGAGGCCGCGCTCCTTGGCGATGAGCGCGGCGTTGACGATGTTGACGTCGCGTCCGCCGAGGCTGCTGATGGAGCTCACCAGGCCCTTGACCAGCGCCGCAAACAGCGGGCGGGTGTTGCTCACGCCGGCCAGTTCGCCATGGTACACGAGCTCAAAGCGCCGTGCACCGACTCGCTTACTGTGTCGCCCGCCAAAGTGCTGGGTGTAGAGACTGCCCATGCGCTCGATGCTGTGGTAAAGGTCGGGGAGTCAGCAGGGGGGAATGTGCGAAAAAAAAAAAAAATAAACTCGAAATGTGCAAGAAGCAGGAAGATGAAGAATGAGAGGAAAATGAAAAAAGAATACAAAAATACAAAAATGGAGGAATATAAAGATATACGCACAGTCTCACAAACGGCTGCAACCGACGGTACTCCTCAGGCAGAATCAGCGGCGCATTGACAGCCGCCGTGGGCAGGCCGCCCCTGAGGATCTCCACCACCTGAGTGCACACGTCCATCGAGACATTCTCCTGGGCCTCGACCGTGCTCGCCCCGAGATGCGGCGTGCTGAGGACCTTCGGGTGGGCGGCCAGTCTCGCAGCCACGGACCGCTCGGCGGGCGGCTCCGACGTGAACACATCCAGTGCGGCCCCGGCAATCCAGCCCTCGTCCAGCGCCTTCAGCAGCGCCTCCTCGTTGTACACGCCGCCCCTCGCCACATTCAACACCCGCGCCGAGCGCTTCATCCTGCGCAGCTCCTTCTCGCCCACCAAATTGGCCGTGCTCGCCAACAGCGGCGTGTGCACCGTCAGGAAATCCACCTCGGCCACCAGCTCGTCCAGACTCGCCCGCAAGTCCACCCCGTTCTGCGTCGCCACCTCGGCCGACGCATACGGATCATACACCCGCACCTCCATCCCCAACCCCTTCGCCATCCGCGCCACTTGCATGCCCACCTTGCCAAACCCCACAATCCCGAGCGTCTTCCTGCCGACCTCTACGCCAACGAGCTTCGCCCTCTCCCACTTGCCGGCCTTCATCCCGGCGTCCGCCCGCCCGACATTCCTCGCCACGGCCAGCAGCAGCGCGACGGTGTGCTCGGCCGCCGCCAGGATGTTGCCGCTGGGCGAGTTGACCACGATCACGCCCTGCCGCGTGGCCGCGTCGACGTCGATGTTGTCGACGCCCACCCCGGCGCGCGCGACCACGCGCAGCTTGGCGCCCGCCGCGAGCACGTCGGCGCTGACCTTGGTCTCGGACCGCACGATCAGCCCGTGATAGGCGGGGATCCGGGAGAGGAGGTCCGAGGGGCTGAAGGGGGCAGGCGGCGTGTCGACCTGGTAGCCTGTGCAGCGGAGCAGGGCGAGGCCTTCCGGCGAGAGCTTCTCGGGCACGAGGATGCGCGGGGCGGAGGGCTGGGTGGTGGTGCTGGTGGTGGTTGGGGAGGCAAGGAGAGCTGCTGGGGCCATTGTTTGTTCTTTTTTGTAGTATCGAGAGAATGAATGGGGAGTTGGGTTGGTTCAGGAGGTTTCACGGACGTGGTGCTGGGCTTGAGTCAGGGAGGGATTGCCAGTAGTTGGACATCGGGGTGAAGGGGTTCGAAGAGGGTGAGAGAGGATGTCCCCAGTTATAAGCTCTGAAAGTTAGCTCACTGTTCCTTTCTCCTCCCGACTGACCGTCTCACTTGAATAAGCTCGTCTCCTGGACGTAACCTAGAATCCAGCGCACGGCAGCCGCGAGCAACCAAATTGGTCGTGGCATGCTCATACACAGTATCTGCAGATGGGCGACATGCCTGGTCGGTGCTGCCGGGACGGGGGACCCGGAAAGGGCCCCGGATGCGGGGTGCGGTGCTGTTCTTTGATGTGGCCAAGGTCGAGTAAGTAGGTAACAGGAGACAGGATGAACACAAAGGAAAGGGCCAGGGGTTCTCCCCGGACCGCCACCTCGATAGCCATTGTCGTGCCGTCTCCTCGTCCACTCCACACTCCATTATCCACGAGCATCTGTCATCGCTTCTCACGCGGACTGGCCAACCAAAAGAGCATGCAGTGGTGGACCTATGCGGAAGCTCTATTCAAAAAGCTAGGCCTGCAGACGAAACGTGCTCTTCCACGCCCGACCCCTCATTCCCCCACGTTTGGCTAATGCGGGCATCTGCAGTCGCCGTGAAACGGGCAATGGGCGAGCTCGACCTGTCATCTCAATGCCGTCTGCAGAAACTACTAGTGCAAATCAAGCCGTGGGGTATGGAACTCTTGACTGGTTACCTTGGATCGGTGAAACTGGGTAGACTCCATCACGCGCCCTCGTTTTGCCAACCACCGCTGCCGCTCGCGGGGAAGTACATATGTACTGCACATACAAAGCGTGTAGATAAGTGGTAGGCACTCAGAAGTTTGCCTTGCCCGTGAAACGCTCGTTCTGGACAATCTCAACCCAGTACCCGTCCGGGTCCAGGACGAAGGCGACGTTCTTCATGCGGCCGTCTGTCAGCCTCTTCTTCCAGTTGACGTTGAGCGCCTCGAGGCGGGCACATGCGGCCTCGAGGTTGTCGACCGAGATGCCTGAGACCGAGTTAGCCAGCAGACTCTTCTTAAACCAAGCTCTTAACGAGGCGCCGTTGCCGCGCGGCCACCCACAGATATGGCCAAAGCCCTGCGGCTCCTTATTGCCATCGTGATAGCTGAAGTTCTCGTCTTTCTCGGTTCCGTAGTTCCAGGTGAGTTCGAGCAGACCCTCGCGATCAGCCGTGCCCTGGCCCTCTCCTGGCACGCCCTTCTCGCCGGGATACCCCAGGAAGTAGAGGTTAAACCCGGCCGCCGCGCTCTCATGCTTCCGGAACAGCGACATGCCCAGCACCTCCTGGTAGAACTTGAGAGACTTCTCGGCGTCCTTGACCCTCAACATGGTGTGGTTCTGTCAGAACACCTTCGTCAGCAACCCCACCCAGTCCTGGCACACATTCGAGGCAACGAGAAGACAGGGAAAGGGCTAAAGCAGGCCCACCATCCGGTACGTCTGGACATCCGTCTCCTTGACGTTCTCCGTCTCCTCCAGCGGCTTCTGCCCAATGATCTCAACCCAGTACCCATCCGGGTCGAGCGCAAACGCAATGTGGTGCATGCGCCCATCCGTCAGCTTCTTCTGGAACCTGTAGCCGGCCTCCTCGATGCGCTGGCAGGCGGCCTGGATGTTGTCGACGCTGATGCACGTGTGGCCAAAGCCGCGGTGGGGCTCGACGTTGCCGTTGTTGACCTTGTACTCCGGGTCGTTCTCGGTGCCGTAGTTGTGCGTCAGCTCGATGAGGCCCTCGCGGTCCCACACGTTGTTGCCGCCCGACGCCGCCTTGGCCGAGTCGTAGCCCAGGAAGTACAGGTCGAACTTGGCCTCGGGGAACTCGAGCTTCTTGACCACCGACATGCCCAGGAAGGAGTAGAACTTGACTTGGTCCAGTGTGAGCCACGCGTTTGTCCGCTGCTTGTTGTGAGATGGATGAACACGCACCGGACTCCTTGGGGTCCTTGACTCGGAGCCTGTGCGTCTACCGTTTAGTGACTGTTGGCTAAAGTAGTCATGGTGACCAAACTAATGTGCCGGTTTTCACTCACATGGAGTGGTTGAACTTGTAGTTCTTAGTATCCGTCGTTGACGACATGGCTGCGAATGTCCTCGATGTCACTTAAGTTGCTAGTCAGTATAAGGGGCTGAAAACTACCCGGCGACACGATCTATCTCAAAAACGAACATTGAGAGACTTACAAGATTTGATATAAAAAGACGGTATTGTCTGAAGAGAAGGGAAGAGTAATCTCAGCCTCTGCGATGCCCGAAGTGACCAGCTCATGTGGCGCTTTGTAATTCGGAGAATGTTTTGCTGCTAAAGTGGGGGGATGAAGCTATCCCAGATAACAAAGCACGGCAGTCAGACAAGACGCAATGCGCTCGTATTAACAATACAAACCATACACTCTGTGAACATCGGATTATTAGTTAGGCCTTGCACTGTCGATAGCCTTTGCATCCACCGTATTGAGTGTAATCATACGTCCAAGATCACTAATCGGGTTTCACTGCCGACACCAATGAGTATTTTTTTATTCAACTTGCGTACTAGGTAGCGAGCCAGGGGTTGAAACTTTGTCAAAGATGACGCTTGTGGCGTCAGTACTGAAAGATACGGCGCTACGGAGTATTTCCGAAGATACTACTGTGTTGGTAGAGGTAAATTCAACCGCGGGGTAGCTCGGAGCTTGGGCCCGCGTAACTTTTTGTGCTGCTCGCACTGACGTCAACAACCCAAGCTGAGTGCTAGCTCCGAGTCGCCGAGTAATGTCCGGAATCGCGGTATGTCTCTTTTCATGCTGGTATAATAAGCCCGACTGATTTTTAAAACACCTCTTGACAAGGGTCTATTATACCATATTATAGAAGAGCGTCAGCAAGCTGAGCTAGTGCATTGTTGATCGATTTGGAAACTAAGCTCTTTGAAGCTTTGATAGGTACACTACTGATTCCCTACAAGCGCAAGACTTATTAAGCTCGACCTTGACGCCCCATGATGATAACCCTGATGTGCACTAGCCCAGTCCTAAACATCCCAGATAACGACGATGCTACATACTGATACAAGCAACGCTGTCTCCTCTTACACTGATTCGACAACAGCCTGAGCGACCAGGTCCAGCCAGTCCACCTATGCCCTGCCGCCCTTGCGCTTCTTCCGCCTGTTGTTCTTCTTCTTGCCCGCACCGCTACCTGTATTTGAGGAATCATCCTGAGATCCTTGGGATGCGCCCTTGGCCACAGCTTCGGCATACGACCCCACCTCTTCGCCCCTGGACGAACTTGAAAAAGGCGACACGAAGACATCCTCATCCTCGTTCTCCTCTTGCTCCTCAACCGCTGACTGCCGAGAAACTTGCCCATTACTTTTCCCTTGCTGCGGCTCCTCCTCGTCGGTAGAACTGGCCATTTCGAGCACCACCTTCCGCACACCCCGTGACTCGACGATGTTCTCGGTTATGCTCCCGGAACGGACATACGGCCGCTTCGGGACGAGGGTGTTTTCTGTTGGTGTGCTGCTAGCGCTCCCACCACTTGAGTTTGTACTTGATTGTTGCTGTAGGTGCTGTCCTGGTTGCTGGCTGCTAGTAGCACCCCCCGTGGCTGTTTCATTTAATTTCCGGTTACCATCGTTTGATGTTTGGGTTGACTTGTCGGCCTGCTCCCCCGATTCGAGGATCAAGATCGGTACGTCGTTCGCGCGCGGCGATAAGTGCAGAGGCATGGCGGGACCGACGGAACCGTAATTTTGCTGCCCCAACGCCTGGATACCGTCCTTCCCGGACAATTCCGGCCTCAACAGTCTGGTGGTCTCATCCCCTTCTTCCATGGCGGCTTCCTCACTAGCTCGTTCAGCACTCGCTCCGGAACGCGGCTGAGTCAAATGTGCGCCACTGCCCGGTTTGATTTTAACAGTGGTTGACCGAGTCTTGTTGGGGTTCGTCGCCGGGTTCGAAGGCCCAAGATGCTTCAAATGCTGTTTGATGTCCTCCAGGTTTGCGCGCACAGGGACAGTTGCTTTGATCATCTGGCCGTCCAAGCCAGCCGAACTCCTCCGCAGCATCAGCGTCGCTGTCTTAGGACTGCTGGACAACATGGGTGAGCCATAGCCCGTCGCACTGGGAGTTTGAACTGCTTGGTGCAAATCCTCGAGTATACTCTCGCTCTCCGATCTCCCGATAGTACCGTGATCGTTGACCTTCCGACTCGGGTCGTCTGATTGTCTGCGTTGGACTCTTGCTTTGGGAGCCGGAGTGAGCCGCCGAATGGCTTTGTGGACATCAATGTAGACATCCGACTCATCGATGATTTCCCTATTGTCGAGTTAGCAACTGGGTATTTCTCCACAGACAATGACGGATATTTAGAACTTACTCCCCTATCAACTCTTCAATCACATCCTCCAGGGTTACAACACCGAGCGCACCATGGTCCTCTCCTGGATATTCAGAAACCAGCACCATGTGAGATTTGCCCTCCTGGAAAAAGTTGACGATATCCAGGCAACTCGTCTCTGGACGAGTCTCTGGAAGCGTGGCCAACGGAAAATCGCGGACGAGCTTGCAATCCTCGGGGTCATAGGTAATGAGAATTTTAACCAGAAGCATGCCCACGAAATTTGTCGGATTCCCAGTTTCATGGATCGGAATGCGCGAATAGCCTGCGGACAGAATCATGGCCATAGTCTCTTCATCCAAGACCGTATCCTCTGACATGACGAAGACGTCGTCCATCGGTGTCATCACATCGGCGACCGACTTGTCCTTCAAGTCTAGGACCGCACTGATGATGGTGACTTCGTCTTGTGTCAGGCGCTGAGACACTTCGCCGAGGCTCTTATGCAGTGTCACAAGAGTCTTCAGCCCGCTCTTCTTGTAGACTGTGCCGTGGTCCTCTCCCAGTAGCCAGTCGAGGAGCTTCGCTGTCGGCCAGGCAATGGGCGCCAGCAAATACATCATGGCAAGGACGGGCTTTGACATGTAGCCACCAATTTGAAGGCCGTATCGAACGCAGACGGACTGGGGTAGAACTTCGCCGAAGATCACTGGGTTCTCAGTGTGTTAAATCAATGTTGGGCGTCTGATAGAGACGGGATAGCACAAACCGATCAAAAAGGTGGAGCCAACGACGGCAGCGACACCGCCACCAAGACAGCGGTCTAGGACCACTGGGAGTGTCTCATTTACGATGACATTGGCCAAGAGTAGTGTGACCAAAACCCAGTGTTTACCCTTGTTGAGAAGATCGTGGACTCGTTTCGCGTTCCTTTGTTGCGGCTCGCTCGGGTCTCGGGCCATGACCTGGAGATATATGCCATCCTGTCCCATCAGTCTGACTCGGGTTAGCCCGCCGGATAGAGTTCAATCGCAATCAGGACGCCTTACGCAATAGTCAAGCCGGCAAACGCACCACCCAGAAGCACGAGAACCCCCGAGGCCACATAGAGAACCCAGAGGCTCGCGCCTTCGGCCTCAGGTTCATCACCGCTGTTGTGGGATCGAGCAGCCAGCGGTGCGGCGTAGGCCGTCGACAGGGTTACGGAGAGGATACGGGCGAGCGCAACGGCAACCGGTCGCACAGAAACGAGGCCATTGGGTTGTTGCGGTATACCGCGTGCGTGTGGCAGTGGCCTGACTACCGCTGTCGTCATCGCCGTTGGTATCTGAGACAAGCGCGACGCGAGGCAGAGGGTTCTTGTTAAAGCGGGGTGATGAGTTTGTGAATTGCCAACAAATTAGCACATCGCACCGGTGAGCATTGACGGCGGTTTGCTACGAGTCCGGTGGTTCGATAGGACCAACGCAGCGGTAAGGTGATCGTCGAAGACGATTGCTTATGCAGGTTGCGCCTGTCCTGTTTGTTGGAGGCGTTGCATCAAGTCAAGCGGGAGTGGAACCCTTAAAGGCCCAGGTGGGGCATTTAATTCTAAGTAGGCCTGGTAAGCTCAAAGCCCCAAATCCTCAGATTTCCCAGTGCTTGATGACGCCATTTCGAATTTGGGGCCGTGTACACAGGATGGACCTTAGGTACCAGGTACCTTAGGTATCCTTCAAGTTACCTTATTAGTGAATGGCTCCGGGCTTCGACGCCCCAGAACGCAATTCTGCCCCTATCTATATTCGCTTGGAGCTACTCTGTGATTCTCCCCACTGTGATTGAGTATGAGTGGGTTCCATTCATCAATGACGGGAGCTTTGCGGTGGCTTGTGTTCGCTACCTAAAGTCGATCGCCTAGGTCAAGTTAACTAGCGTGGTCCCGCGCAGACAATACCTATAGTCGCCCGGCCAACCGATCACCCCTCAACTTTGTGCAGGGTAACTACTAGTACTAGTAGTGTACATAGATGTGCATCGCGTCTAAGTTCCACTTTCCGGTTCAAGGCGACGCGATCATGGTTACTACGCGGCGGGGTAGCCGTCCAGCGGACGACGATAGCAGTTCTGGAGATGACAGTGACATACCTGCTCACCCTGTCGGTCGCCGCGGACCTGCCGCCCCAACATCTGCAACACTTAGACCCCCGATTGAGGCTGCGGGCAGTTCGAATCGTGCCAAAGGAAAGCGAAAGGCTACCGTGCCCGATACACCACAAAAGCGTCCAAGACATACTTCCGACATTGTCAAAGAATCGATCGAAGTCCAACTGGAGGATGACAACGTCGATGCCGTGATCAACGTTACCGACGCCCGACATAGGCGCATCGAGATACCCCTTCCTACTCGCAAGGGACTTTGGGGAGAGGAGGGCAAGAGGAGAAACAATCCTTCTATTGCGGCAATGGCGCCTTCGGAACCTTCGATTGTCGGCGTTCGCGCCCCTCGCCCTCGCGCTAAGCGTATCAACCGACAAACGAAGAGCGTAGAAGTCGTTGATGAGCTTCTCACCTCCCAGGTATCTAGGAGAAAAGCAGGGAAACCGTTGTTGGAAGCTATGGCGGAGACACCTCGGCATGGACGGCTCCTTCCACCAGCGCAGTATGAAAGTCAAGGTGCCGGTAAGGAAGATGACGAACTCCCGGGGAGCCCGGAACTTCAATCTTCGGCCGTGAAACTCTCACCGAGGAGACGTGCTAGTGGAATGGACGATACTCTCGTAGGTGAAGAGGCGCAGGTCCGCCGTTACAATCCGAAAACCCGCCCGTCGGCACCGAAACCCGCACCGAGGAGACTTGTTAGGGGAATGGACAATGCTCTAGTAGATGAAGAAGCGGCGTCTCGCCGTCACAATCCGAAACGCGGCGCCTTGGCACCGAAACGACGACCGAAGAAACCTATGGTGGACATCTACGAGGTGCCGGACGATGAAGAAGAGTTGGAGCCCGGGAGACTCAGCCCGGAACTCCAGTTCTCAGCACCGGAACACCTATCACGGAGGGCTGCCGCCGACCTCCATAATGTACCGCGAGATGATGATTCTCAGCAGCTACCGAAACCTGCGAACACCCGACGGCCGAGTATTGCCGTCGAAGAAGCAGTTGCATTTGCAGGATCGGAGGAGCCAGAAGAGCTAGATGGTTTCGGGGACCAAGAGGACATGGCAGAAGTGGGAGAGAGGGATGAGTTGGACATGGATTCGGGCTCCGTGGACGAGATCCAAGGGAGCGTCGGCGTGAATATCGTGATACGTCGGTTTACGGCAAAGCGGCACGCCATACGCACAATGCGCATACGCAGCTACCACATCAACAACATGTTGCGGATCATGGGTGCAAGCGGCTGGACACGCGCAGGCAGGAGGTGGGGGGTCGAGCTGATCCAAGCCAACTTGTTCAACTTCGACTATGTATCACCGGCTCTCACGAGACTTGCAAAAAACATTTTCAATGCGCTCGGCCTCCTGAAGGATCTTCTAGATGACATTCCTAATGCACTTGATCTAGCGAACCAATCTCAATTCCTCGAGGGGCAAGAGCAGGCAGTGAACGAGGCTATGAGGAGGGTCGACGGGGTAGTGAGCAAGATCAAGTCCCTAAAAGCACCCCCTGCTCTCAACCCAGAACGCCGACGCCAAAACCTCGCCAGATTCAACCAGGCGGTGACGAAGGGTCTCTGCTCCTACGTCATCCCCATGTTCGTTCTGCTCCTACAGAGCTGCTTTGCCGTCGGAATCGAGCAACCCGACGCCGAGGCCGATACGCCGCTCCCAGAGGAGGGTGTCTTCACCGGAGTCACGGCGCAACTCATGCTCTGGGTTTCGAAGTGGCTATTACGTCTCTATAGATCCTTGGCACGGCAATTCAAAGGCCCAGAAGCTGAGGAAGGCCAGGGCCCCGGTGATGCGGCACAGAACCGCGAGAGCTTCGGCGTCATGCTCAGGAAGTGGGACGAGCATTTGAGGCACGCCGTGGCCGCCTACAACGAGCAAATCGACAGGGAAAGAGACATATGTGAGAAGAAGAGACGGGACGAGGAAGCCGCGGAGGCCAAGAGAAAGAAAGAAGAGGAAGAGCTTGCGCGCGTGAGGGAGAACGAAGAGGTATGGAAGCGCTCGTTGCTCGATGCCGCAGGCCAGCCTCGCCCTCTTGCCGAGGCGTGGCACAAGACTACACAGCACTGGCCTGCTTCTCAGACAGGCGACAATTCCTCCACTCCCAAACCTAGGCCACAATCACATACCCTGTCGCGGCTACGACCGTCGAGTTCCGCGATCTCATCGGGAGGGCAAGCCGCACCGCAAGCCGCGCCGCAAGCCAGGGCAAACGCTGGGCGCATGTACCCCCCTTGGCCTGAGGACGAAACGACGTGGTTCCTGGGGGAGTTGAAACAACCGAGGAAGCCTAGGGACTTTCTAGAGATATGTGCCCAGGTTCTTGAACGTCCGCTCTGGGAGGTGCGGGAGGAGAAGGAGCGACTGAAAAGGTTGGGACGGTATCGGTCGCCGGTTCGATAAGGTTTCCGATCTGTTTGGTTCCGTTGCTGTGGGAGCTGGGGATCTTTTTTGTATGGTGCCGGTTCGATGTTGGGTATCGGCCTCTCGGTAAGGGAACGGTTCACCTTGCGTCCGTACAATAGTGGTCAACCTGGATTGGGACTCGTTTTTCAATGTTTTCCTTGCTCTTCATACCGTATCTTGGATGATGCCGTTTCATGAAGTTTCGAACCTCTTACCAACAACGGTCACCCTGGGAGAATTACACGTGTACTTTTCCTTGGCACCTACCCAAGGCAATTAACCCAACAAAGCCGTGCAGCTTCCGGTTTGAGATGGAAGCATCCTGGGATCAGCAGCTTCTATGATCCTGTCACAGCGAACCTACGCTAAATAAGTCGTTCTGTTAATTGCTTACATTGGAGAACTGCCCCTCGTGCATTGCAACCTTGCGGCACGGAGCACACCCCGCAGTCTGCGCCGAGTGCCAGCGAATAACAAAAGCAATATGCAATGTGAAGCGCTCAAGTGCAACTGTCATTTGAATGCTGATAGCGAATCGATGTTAGGCCGCCCCAGCCATCTAGCGCACTGCAACGCGATGCGATGGGTTGTCAACTGTTGTGACTGGCTGCAAGATGAGACGAGCCCGAGCAGAGAAAGGGACCGGCATAACAACCCCTGTTGACAAACCCCCACCAGCCTCCAGGCGTTTATTGAGTAACATCCACACCCTCCCTGGCCAACTGACCACACTAGTCCCGCGCTTTGCCAATCTTGGGGACGGGAGCTCCCAGCAAAAGGGACGGCGGGTTCGGCTCCTCTTTTTCTCGTCTCTTCTCTTCTCGGCAAATTGAGCTGAACCTCTCCTTGCCCACGTCGCAAGGGGTCTTCGTGAAACGAGGTTCTTGGTGATTTTTCTCTCGACAACGTTCCGTGTCCTCTGTGGCTTTCGAGTACGGTACCGGCCCGGTCGAAGCTTCCTGCGGTGCGCTCTCGGCAGGTGCAGGATTCGAATTGCGCGGTGTGCGGTCGGAGAATAGGGGTACAGACAGACAGACAGGTGGGTTGCAGCTCGCTCTGGACAGCTTCAAGAAGCTGCAGGCTGTCTCCTTAGATCTCAACAATGGATCTCATGTCCTGGACTTTAGAGAAGCAGCGGCATTACTGCCTCAATATTGCTTGTCGAATACGGAGGATTTCGCGACAGTTCATGCTCAGGATGTTGGCTGACCTTATCCCAGCCCAACGCAGTCCTGCTGCGCTGCCGGATTGCACCAGTCGCACTCCAAGCTGACGAGGTTCAACGTCTCCGACCATGTCCGACGTCGACAGTTTCGAGGTTGTCCAGCACGCGGATGCTCCTGCGGCCGCGCCTCCCGCGCAGGAGCCCGCAGCTGCGCCAACGCCTGCCTCGCCGGATGGTGCTGCGGAGAAGAAGGAGACGACAGCCACTGCTGCCCCGAAGCGCACAGCGGCCCCTGGCACCGCAGCCGCTCGTCGGCCAGGCACGACTGGTACAGGCTCGACCAAGTCGACTACTAGCTCCTCTACCACCAGTTCAACAACACGGACGAGCACTGCCGGAGGTTTAAGCAAGCCCCCGACTCGGCCTAGCGTTGCAACGACCGGCGCAAAGCGGCCTTCCACTGCTGCATCGACCATCTCCCATCGCTCTCAGCCCTCTCAGTCCGAGGACGAGAAGAAGAAGCGGACCTCAATCTCCGGCACAACTGGGGCAGCCCGCCGGACATCGACCGCGGTCAGCGGCGCTGCCAACTCGCCGAGCAAGCCACGAACCAGCAGCACGACCGCTTCCACTACTGCTGCGGCGAGACGGCCCCCGACGGCCACCGCTACTGCGCCGTCGAGGACCTCAGCGACCACCACGAAGTCGTCGAGCGCTACCGCGTCGTCTCCCACGACAACGGCTCGTACCGCTACCAAACCCGCTGGTGCTGAGACGAAGAAGCGGCTCTCCTCAGTGTCGAGCACCACCATCGGCGGTGCGGCTCGTCATGCGCCCCGCGCCTCCCTCGCATCCAATGCATCGTCCGGGATCACGGTGGCCGCGGCCGAGTCCGCCAAGGAGGTCGAGGATCTCAAGGCCAGGCTCGCATCGAGCGAGTCTGAGATTGCAGAGCTGAAGGCGCAAATCATTACCTCTCAGGAGAAGATCTCGGAGCTCACTGAGAAGACCAGTGCCGCCGAGGGCGATCAGCAAGTCTCCGAAGGCGCCATCACCAAGGAAGTCCTCGAGAGCTTAAAGGGGGAGCACGCTGCTGAACTTGAGGCCCTGAATAAGCAGGTTGCGGAAAAACAGGAGATGCTGGCCGCTGCTGAGGACGAGCTCGACAAGGTGAAGAGTGAGCTTACCGATGCTACTAGCGCAAAGGAAGCTGTGGAAGCCGAGCTCGCCGGGCTTAAGATATCGTTGGAGAGCCTTCAGGCCGAACATGACGCTAAGCTAAACGAGGCCGAGGCGAGCGTGGCTAAAGCAGCAGAGGAGCATGCTGCCAAGCTCGAAGCCCTCCAGAACAGCCTGGTTGAGGAGCACCAGGCAGCCGTCAACGCTTTGAAGGCGAAGCATGCTGAGGAGCTGCAGGGCGGAAGCAGCGCCCTCGTTGCCAACCACGAGAAGGCCATGCAGGAGCTCAATGCCAGTCACGAAAACGCCATCGCCGAACTGCAGAAGAAGATCGACGAGTTGACCTCGGCCCAGGCTGCCCTCGAGGCTGCCCACGAGGCGAAGCTTGCTGCTGCGACTGCGGGTGGCTCGGCACAGCTTAGTGCACTGGAGGCCGAAATCGCCGAGCTCAAGGCCAAGCTTGATGCTGCAGAGAAGAGGGCTGAGGCTGCCAAGTCCGAGTTTGAGGCGAAGACTGCTTCCTTGATTGCCCTTGAGGCTAGGGTTGCTGAGGTCGAGGCCGAGCTCTCTGCGGCGAAGGAGGAGGCTGCCAAGGCCACCAGCACACACGCCGATCTTCAGAAGCTCATCGACAGTCTCACCGAGGAGAACAAGTTAAAGGAAGACACCATCGCGAAGTTGAAGGAGGAGAACGCAGCGGCGGCCGATCACCACCAGAAGCAGCTCCAGCAGGTCAGCCAGGACTACGAGAACGAAATTGAGAGTCTGCGGGGCGACGCCTTCTTCAAGCGGAGATTTGAGGAGTTGGAGGTCAAGCATAATGAGCTCACCCAAGCTCATGAGGAGGCCGTTGCGAGCCATGCCAAGGCCTTGGAAGCCGCGAAGGCCGAATATGAGGCTGCTGTCAAGGCCCTGGAGGCAAAGGAGGCAGAGCACCAGCAGGCTCTGGATGCTTTGAGGGCGAGCCATGCCGAGGAACTGGAAGGGGCCAAGAGCGTGGCGAGGCAGGCACACGAAGCTAGCGCTGAGGAGATACAATCTCTGAAGGAGAGCCATGCCAGTCAGATTGACATCCTGAAGAGCGAGAGCGAGGCCAACCTGGCCAAGCAGCTGGAAGCGCTGAAGGCGGCCCACGATGAGGTTCTTGAGACTCTGAAGAAGGATGCCGAGTCGGAGAAGGAGCAGCTCCTCGCGAAGCATGCTGATGAACTCGCTGCTGCCAAAGCGGCCGGCGATGACAGCCATGGCGCGCTTCTGGAACAGATCAAACAGGAACTGGAGGCAAAACATGCGGATAAGCTGGCGAAGCTGACAGCACAGCTCGAGGCGGCCAGCAGTTTGAAGGCGGAACTCGAGGCCAAACACGCAGAGGAAGTCGCGAAGCTCACGGCAGATCTCGGATCAGCCAGCGGTCTCACGCAAGAGCTGGGAGCCAAGCACGCGGAGGAGATCGAGAGGCTGACGTCGCAACTCGAGGCGGCCATCACCCTCCAAGGCGAGCTCCAGGCGAAGCACGCAGCGGAAATATCAAGCCTAACGGCCCAGCTCGAGGCGGGCAAGACGCTCCAGCAGGAAGTCGAGGCCGCTCAGGCCAAGCTCGCCGAGGCGGAGGCCAACCATACTTCCGCCGTCGAGGCTCTGAAGCAGAGCCTCGAGAACACCCACACGGCCGAGGTTGAGAAGCTGATCTCGATGCACGCCGAGGCTCAAGAGGCTCTGAAGACGGAGGGCGCGACGAACATGAAGGCTCAGCTTGACGCGCTGCGGGCAGAACACGCCAGCCTAGTGGAGGAGCTGACCGCCAAGTACGAGTCGAACGCTAAGGCCGCGTCGGAGGAGCTGGCCAAGGCGCAAGCCGCCATGAGCGAGGCGAATGCGGCGCTCGAAGCTCTTAAGGTCGAGCATGCTACGGCACAGGATGAGCTTGACACTGTCCGGCAGCAGCTCGCGCAGGAGAAGATGGAGAAGTTCACAGCCCAGGCCGAGCTGGATGCGGCCAGAAACGCCAAGCGCGACACATCCGAGGTGGACGCTCTCAAGGAGCAACTTGCCGCCCTCACTGCGGCCCACGACAAGGAGGTTGCTGAACTAAAGGCCAGGCACGAGAAGGAACTCTCTAGCGCTGACGCGGTCACGAGCAAGGCTGCTACGGAACTGGAGACCACCAAGGCCGAGTTGGCGATGGCGCAGAAGGAGCTCGAGGCCCACAGGCTCGAGGCCGAGGCCAAGCAGAAGACGGCCGAGGCTGACTACAAGGACATGCACGACAGTATGACGCAGCTGGTGGAAGAGGCGCAGAGCAAGGCGGCTGAGACGCAGAGCAAACTTGCCGAGACGGAACAGCGGTTCAACGAGGCCGACCAGAAGATCGCGGAGCTCACGGCGCAGCTGAAGGTCAAGGATGCTGAGCTTGCTGAGGCTAGGGTACGTTGGGGCCCCCTTCCCCTTCCCGTGGTAGCCGATTACCGCTCTGCCGCTAACAACACCACATAGACCAGCGCTGGGGCGCCCAAGGGCCTGGCAGCCAGCCGGTTCGCCAACGCCGAAGACAATGAGAGTGCCACTGCCGACCAGACAACGGAAGGTGAGGCAGAGCCAGACCATTCCTCGGCAGCATTAGCTTCGGTGCGGACAACCCTAGCTTACCACGCAGCATATTTATAATACCCCCTCCCTTTCTGGATCCAAGACACACTGACACGTTACGTGGTTACAGCTAGCAAAAGTCGAGAAATCGATTAGCCAGCTCAAGGAGTTTGACGAGCAGCTAGGGAACCAGCACCATCAGATGCTCAAATCCATCACCGACTTCAAGAAGCCGGCGTGAGCGGCCAAGCTGTTCTCCCGGCGGCCGTGACAGATACACGAGAGCTGGGGAAAGGGGCTTTACCTTTTTTTCTGATTCATCTTCGCCATTTCACACCTTTTTGCAATATATGGTGGCCCGTTGTATCACATTACCTCCTGGCCACGGGCACCGAAATCGCTTTTTAATGGAATCCTGTTCATCTTTGCTTCACTGCCCTGATACCCTTATACCTCCCTTTGGTTGTTTCCCCCCCTTTTTCAGCCTGGGAGGAGCTCCACTCAGATCTGTTAGTCAGCGGGTGACGTTGATTTTGATTGTGTATCTGTCTGTTGCTTGTCGCCGAACTGTGGAATCGCCTGTTTTTCAATCCGAGTCTAGGATGTCGTGTGTGGTGTATGTATGCCCTCGGTCGGTGTGAAATAGGCGGGTCGCAGACTGTAATGGGAGAAGTTGGGGCATGTAAGGTGACTTCAGACTGCGTTTGTATGTGACTGTCAGCTACTAAAGCCTAGACGTCACTCCCCATTTTATGCCTACCTAAGGTATATGGCTATTTGTGGGATCCTGAATCACCTGTTCTCTTGTCTGCCTATTTTGTTACGGGAGACGGGGAAAGGAGTCAGTGGCAGTTTAAGTGTGAACACCGTGTGAATAACAGTACGGCCTGCCCGATGGCACGGTGACACTGAGTGTCGCACCTCTAGAGTTCAATTTCAGAACATGCGGGATTTCCCGGACCATACAGCATTATGGAGCATTTTTCCGTGAGCCCGAGAATTCTTCCGCCTCATGCCACGACGGTGAAAACTCCTTCCGTTCCCTTCCTCGGAGCTGTCAGTTCTTCCGCAGCGACAAGAATCCCAGATCCATTCCGACTTGGAATAGTTTCCTGGCCTGACCAAGGTACGTCCGAGGCCTTGCGGCGTTTCCTTTAGCTCCATATGCGTGCCGCCCCAGATCGCATTGAAGATGCAATGCAGTCGGCGGCGAAGATGATTGTTTCATTGTCGTCATGACATCCTCTCGAAGCGATTATTCTTATTCCACTGTCCTGTATTCGTAGTTCCACATGATACCATTTCATAGCAACACCCCAATTGACCCATTCTCCATGACCAGACCGCGCGATCTCAGTGCTCCAGCTAATGCGCGTTGCAGAACTACACAGAGCTCATCGCTAGTTCTGGCTTGTGTAGACTTGCTATCTCCTGTTTCACCGTGCACGCCGCAGCTCTTTCTCAACGGAGTGCTGCGTACCTGCTGTATCTGCTCTACCGCGCGTCAACCTTTCCAGCCCGGAACTCTCTGGGGCAGGGCATCCCGCAATGGATGACAGGAAGCCGCCGCTGGAGGCGGAGGCTGCCCCGATGCAGCAGAGCTACCCGTCTCCCATGGTCGACAGCGCGGAGGCGCAATACTATGAGCAGCTCGCCCAGCATCGCGAGTTAGAGCCTAATGCAGGCCATCAACCGGTGCAGCCGGAGCATCATGGACTTCCCAGCATATCCCAGCACCAGGAGCCACAGGACGAGCACCATGAACTACACAGGCTTCAGGAGCTCCAGGAACCGTCGACAGCACAGCAACAGAACGCACGCGCCCCGGTAAACACAGCAGAGGAACTACAACTGACCGCCCAGTTGACCCAGGAGCTCGCGCCCATGGTGGCCGCCGGCGTAGAAGGTCAGACGCAGGGGCAGCAGACGATGCCGCAACAGGAGCCACCGGCGCAGCAACCCGGGGAGGCCGAGCCCGATCTCCAGCAGCAGCTCCAGGCCTCGCTGCAGAACCACGAACGTGAGATGCAGAGTCACGAGCATGACTTACAAACGCAACAACATCATCAACAACATCTTCATCATCACCACCAACAACAACATCAACACCAACACGAACTCCAAAGCCACGGGCTCCAGGACATGCTGCCGCACCCCGGGCTGCCGCACCCGGACCGCTATCCGCAGAACCCGCCTGCTCCGCCACATCCGAACCTCCCTCACCACATGTCCATGGGCCACCACCTGCCCACTGCGCACCAACCCCAGTATCAACTTCCTGGAGCCACGCCGCCTCGCAAACGCACCAAGGTGTCCCGCGCCTGCGACGAGTGTCGCCGCAAGAAGATCAAGTGCGATGCACAGTCTGAAGCGAGCGAGGAGGCTTGCTCTAACTGCCGCCGGTCTAATACGCAGTGCTTATTCAGTCGTGTCCCGCAGAAGCGCGGCCCCAGCAAAGGGTGAGTGTGTTTTCATTGCATCATGTCCTGGAATGAAGAGCGCGTCGGTTTCGTGCGATGTTAGTTAGACCTTATTAAGTTGGTCGCAACCTATATGATAGCATGGCGTCAATGCTGCAATGCCAATTCCGTGCACAGTAACGCAGCAAGACGGGGAAGGGGCGGGTTTCCAGCAATCTTATAAGAGCTCCTACTGAAATGTTACAGCTACATCAAGGAGCTGGCGGACAGGATCAACAGCATTGAGGGCAAACTCAACACCAGTGTGGGAGGCCTCGAGAGAAGGGTGTCAAGCGAGGTCTTCGCATCTCCCGGCGCGCCTGGCGACGACAGCAGGAAGCGGCCTTTCTCCAGCATTTCTGGCGACAGCTTTCAGACTCCCTCTCCGAGCAGGATACCGAGCATTTCTACCGAGCATCGTCCAATCATGCCCCACGTGCAGCCGGATCTCAGCGCCTCAGAGTCTGGCAATCCAAACAGCCTTGCCCCGAGATCTCTTGCGCCCATCCAGATAAGCGGTGGGACGAACAACGTCAGCTCGCAAGGCCAGCCTGAGATGACGGACAGAATATCGCATGACGAACCCCCGCAGGCGCCCGTGCAACCGGCAGATCAGATGCCCGATATTGAAATTGAGGATGCTGTGTTCAACAAGTAAGTGGCTGCTGCTTGTATTTGTCTCGCATACCAACCGCTCCGCGGGAGCGCCCTTCGCCAACTAACTACCTATTCATAGATACCTGGAAGTGATACATCCGATTTTCCCGGTACTAGCAAGCACCAAGGCCAGGGTCCAGTCACTACTATGGCAAGCCCCACCGGATCTCCAAACTGCTTTCTACACTGGTTTCTCGTCCATGATCAGGCCGTTTCTCTCAGAATCCAGCAACCAAACCAATGGTGATCCTGCTACAGCATGTCGCCAGCTCAGTGACTGGGAGGCGGACCCGAAGCCGGCCTCGGCAGTCATCGATCTGCTACGCCTCCAAACCCTTGTCATGGCGCTGATCGCAGTGGACTGCCATGGTTTGTCTTCGATCAAGGGCGAGGTCGAAGGTCCGTCCAAAGCTGAAATACTTGGGCGAGCTGTTGGGCTCGGATACTCGATGAGACTACATGCCAAGGCCGTCGAACCTGATCCGAATCCCGAGTTGGATCCTAACTCGGACGACAATGTGGCGCTGCGGACCTGGTATGTTCTCGTCATGTTGGATCGGTGGAACGCCGTCGGATTGGCCGCGCCTGTTATGATCAGCAACGACAGCGTGGAGATTCCAGTCGGCCTGAAGCATATCGTCGGCGATGTTGTCTTCACCTTGACTCGTAAGTTCTCCGTCCATATTGGCCGTCCGCTCCGCTTGGCTGACGGGACTCCATCCGCAGGGATATCCTACATCCTCGGGCACCTTGCGCCTCTCACCTTCCGTGCACCATCAGACCCTTTCTCGCCAGCCAGCTCACTGCCCAGTCTGACCACCGAGATGTTGCGCTGGCTGATTCCGGCCGACGCCACCGATCCCGTGGTCCACCTGGCCTACTGGCACGTTCAGCTCCTGACCAAACTCGCTTCTCCCCTGCGGCGCCCGGAAAATGTCTTGCATGCAAGCAAGGACATGGTCGCGCTCCTCGCACGCAACCACGAGCGGGTGACCCCCCTGACGCACCACTTCGTCGCTCTTGTCTCCCTGGGTCTGTTGGATCTGGCCGGGCCCGATGACGACGAGACGCGAGACCAGGCCGCCAAGCTGATGAAGGACGTCATTGAGTTCAGGCTCATGCCGTCCCCCTGGAATGATGCGGTCCGCAAGAAGCTCCATGAACACCTACCCGGTCCGCCAACAGCTCACACTGGTGGTAATGCTGCTGTGCCTGTAACGGCGGCGTCTGAGGATGATGTGCAACGCAAGTCGGAGCCGCTTGTCGCCATTACTGGTGCTGCTATATCGCTTGCAGGTGCTGGTAATCATATGATTACTCAGCCGGGAGAGGATCGCAACGGCCATGGTGATCCTGGGGAGACATCCCGGCCACCGGTCGCCGATGTGCAGGCGATGTTGAAGGCTGGGTATCTCACTTGTTTTGAAGAGCCGACAGCGTATGCGGCAACTTAGTATGTGTCGCGGTATGTGTGGCCGCATGGGAAAATTGCGGCTGGAGGATCCAATGGCCGGGCCGCACTTTACTCGCTACTACTATTGGGAGATGTGCTGTGGGTATCTAACTTTGGCGGTAAGGCATTGTGTACCTATGTTTAATGCAGGCGCTGTCCGAGTTACTCAAGTCTCCTTTCTGTTCTCTCTCAAGTATGAGGACTAGGATCGGGCGGAGCAAAGGGAAGAGCCTCAGTCGGATCTGAAACAGCAGGTTGATATTGTCTTTTCTGTTGTGCTTGTCTAGCCCCTGAATTGCCTGAGATGCCACCGAGGACAAACCCTGGAGGCAGCGCCGATCAATCTCTTTCCACCAAAACAGTCGGGCCGTGGCAGACTCGGACCTGTAGGTTTCAAGTTGAAATCCAGTGGCAACTGCGCTCACGAGTCCTCAGACGTAGTATGGCTTTGTTAACGCAAAACTGATGCCACGTTGTCACGTCGCGCGTAACGGAGCGAAGCTGGACATAGTACTAGTATTTCAAGTGCGCACCGGCAGCAGATACCTTTCAGAACGCCGTCTTGCATGTACGTACGAATTATATACGTACAGTACAAGTACGTTCACGACACCACCTGGGTATTGTATTGTACATACAGTCCACTTTATGTTCTTATTCATTCCTCAACTTTCACGATACTCACCAGTGTCATGGACCTGGTCGCCCGAATTGTCTAGGACCGTCTCACATCCTCAGCCAGGTGCCAAACTATCGCGGATCATGAGCCTTCCCCACAAGGATAGACGCTCAAGCCCAGAGGCCGGAGGAACGGAGATACAGTAGACACAAACCTGGACCTTGAAGCCGTGGAGAAATCATCCCCCCTTCAGCCGCAACAAGCCATCAGCGCCAATCTCATTATCGGGAGACCGCCTCTTCGTCACCCTCCTACACTATGACACTTACCTGATACTTAACCCAGCCAAGTAAAGGGGAGCCACTGACACTAGTAATGTCCTCGGTAGTGTGAAAGCCAAGAGAATGGCACAACACCTTGAACAACAACGGGTATGCACCCCGCGTCAAGTCCAGTCCCTGCAGGATTCAAACGGTTACGTACTGATACCGTGATAGAAACGACCAGAACCACGCACTAACAAGCCACAACCCGACAAGAACCGGTCATGCACCTTGGCACCTCCACGCTTCACTTTGCACGAGGAGAGCCTTGTACGTAAAGAATAGTGCACACCAAGCAGTTGGATAAGGAGAACTGCACCAAATTGTGTCACGCAGCAACAGCAGTTACCTAAGGTATGAAGAAACTTCGTACAAGATCTGCTTGGCAGGCGGTGTTTGTATTAATGCGGTTACTTACGACTTCCCTTACATACCCAGTACGGTATTTACGACCGGACTGTAACAACCTGGAAGGCACCAGAAGAGAGATTCTTCCACCCACTCACTAGCAATCGTTTCGATATAGGTTCCAGAAAGCGATGCCTGCTCGGGAATGGTCGACATGATGTTAGGTATGACAGTACGGAAAATGTGGGCATTCATCCAATGTGGGACAGCTGGGCATGGAACCCTTTCTCTAGGAGATTCAGGAATCGAGTCTGTCCGCCCCGTTCTTGTTCACCGCCGCGTTCTGCCGGCCGGACTCGGCGCTCGGCGCTCGGGCGCCCACACGCAAATCCATCCAAAAACTCATCAGTGCCGGAACAGCCGAGCAAGCCGAGCTTCATCCGGCTTTTTACACAAGTGGATCGGGCTGATCTCCCGACACTATGGTGGGATCAACAGGAGACCGCCGATGCGGATAAATCTTTAAGCAAGCACTTGCGGATGCCGTACACGCGCGGCATCGGGCGTCGCTCCGGTTTTCATCTGTCGTACTACACCACCTATGTGGTCCGCTAGCATACGATGATTCTTGATATATGCTAACGTGGTAAATGGGGAAGACAAAATCCGCTTTACGTTGTCTATAGTTTGTCTATTCGGTGTGCTTGTTTGCCCGCCCTTGCTCCCTAACACGCCTGCCTCTCTGCCGTTCATTCCCCCTTTTCTCACCTCCCAAAACGTTGAGCCACCGCTCTGTCGTCAATGGATTGTCTCAAACCGTTAACGTTAGGTTGGGAAAACGGTAAACATGTGAAGAGTAATGATATCCTTGAGTATATCCCAAGCAACCAACGTGAGAACGTAAAGTAAGGAGGTTACAGTCCACCTCGGATCGCTCAGATGGCCGCACGCAGGCACAAACGCATTTCGCAGATAGGTATTTCGAAATCTCTCAACAAGCCCTCCCCCCTTCCCACGGAACGCCCCAAAAGGTTTAAAAAGCGCCTCTCCCAACAAGCCAAACACTTTTTTTCTTGCTCTTTTTGTATCCCGGTGAATGCTTGAGCAGCTGAAAATGCGACGGAAGCTCGGAAAAGAGAAAAACGGGCATTGTATGATGCAGATAGATCATGGAGACAGGAAATGATCATCATGTCGTTTAACTGTCGTGCCCAGAACAAATAGAAAATAGACAAATTTCAAACTGCCACTTGCGCCGCAAGAACTGACTACACCTGTTGCCGCCCCATGCGCACTCCTTTCGGTGTAAGCCAGCAAATACAATCGACTAACTCCGGTGGATAACGTCAATATGTACGTGGCATAAAGGGTATTCGCTGCTTGAAACCATCGCTCCAGTTCATCGAATGGCAGGGTATGCGTGAAAAGACGGCAGGAAAGAAACCGTCACGTTCGTCTCTTCCGTATTATTATTGCCCGTCCCAGAACGACGGCATGCTGCTGTCCGTGGGCGACTCGGTTTGGTTCGGCATGCCGTAATCGCTCATCCAGAAGGCCGGGTCCTCGTCTAGAGCCGTCAGCGTGCTGAAGCCGGGGGCGCTGGTTGTGAGCAAAGTTGGGTCGTCGGCGGCAACCGAGGTCGAGGGCTGCAGGAACTTGCTTGGGTCCTTCTTCATGAAGTTGAAATCTTCGAAGTCCAGCGCACCGAAATCCGCCGTGGTACCAAGCATGTCTACCTGAGTCTGGCCTAAGCTATAGCCGCCGACGGGGGCGCTGCTGAACGTGTCAAAATCGTCGAGCGAATTTGACAGGAAATCTTCCACTTCCGAAACTTCGCCGGATGTGGAAGTAGTAGTCGTCAGAGTCGGCATTTCCGATCCGGAGAACTCGAAGCCGCCATAACTCTGAGCCTGGCTATAGCTCGAAGGGGCAAAGTCGGCCGTCTTGCTGGCCAGTTCCAGGCCCTCGTAGTTACTCCAATCCACCGAAGCCGCGCTCAGTCCGGCACTGAACATGGGCTGCTCGTAATCCGACAGCGCACCGAAGAAGTCGGCGCTATTGGGGATATACGGCGGATACTTGATGCTCGAGAGGTCCAGAGGCGGGAGCTGGCCGTTGAGTTGGGCAAACGACGAGGAAGGCTGCAACAGCGGCGAAGTGGCCTCCGACTTGACCCTGCGTTGTGCCTGAGCGACTTCTTCGCTGAAACCGGTCCCCGCCGCTGAACTGGACTCGCCGTTTGCCCCAGCGCCAAACAGGTCGTCCATCGACCGGTTCTTCAGGCTGCTCGCACTGGTCATCGAGTGCACGCGGTTGAGCTGATACGGGCCGCATTTCTGCGAAGCCCTGGCGTGCCTGTATGTCGGCTTGTGGTGACCGCTGGCGTCAAACGATAGCGCAGCGTCCGAGCTGGTCGTGTGAGCACGACGCCTGACGCGCGAGCTCGCCTTGGAACTCCTGGACTGGGAGGCTGCGGCCTCGTCCGAGTCCGACTCGGGGACCGTGTCTAGCTTGGGTTCCCTCTTGATGGAGCAGGTGCAGCGGCCGCCATGATTACAGCAGCAGCTTTCTGCAGGCAGAGGTCAGGATATCGAGGAGCATAGCCTTGATCAATCAGACATGACGATGCTCACCCTTATGACCCTCGACAACTGGTCTCAAGTGCACGCACTTGTGTGTTTTCTCCCCGCAGTCGCACTTGACGTGCGCCGAGCGCGACTTGCGCATCGTCCGACAGTGCTGGCATTGCGATACTGGCCTTCCTTTCTTGTTGATGTGCTGGAGAGGCCGATCTGTACCCCCGTGTTAGCTCGCAGGTTCACTTCCCCGCGACCAGATATTAGGGGAGAGCGCATGAAGTTGGTGGCCATTGCGGGCGCATTGAGGGGAACGCCAACCAGGGGCACCAGCTCGGTGCCCCGCACTGCTTAAAACGTTCTGAGAGACTTGCTGTGTCCAGCATTTTCCGTTGCTGCGAAAAAAAAAAAAGGAGCTGTCCGATACCACCCACCCACCGGCTGCAACCGGCCGGCCGACCGTGTGGTAGCGCACTGCAACTATCGAAAGACCGGCGAGAAGGAAGCAGGACGAACGGCGAAAATCACTCACCGTGATGCTGGCAATTGCTGACGCGGTGGCCTCTTACACAGGCCTCGCAAGCCCACTTCTCTCCGTCGATGAGCATGGTGAGCGCCTGAAAAAGTTCCCGTCTATCTGGACGGGTGCGGACGAGCAGCCGTAATGGCTCTTCGAGTTCGTCGCAACCGCCGGTGGTCAGTATTAGACTTGCGGTGCGCTCGGAGGTGAGCGGTAGGCTGGACCTGTCGCTACGGCGGCTGGGGGTGCTGCAGAGCCGACAGGGGGATAGTGACGAAAAGGCCTTCGTTGATGTGCCACGCGCGACGGGGGCTCGAGACAAAGGAGGGTCGCAGATTGCACCGCTTAAAGGGTCATCGCTGGGGGTATCGCCCTTCCAAAAACATCGGTACCGGACGCCGGACACTCCGAGTCGAAGTCAAAGTTCGAGAGGTCTGCTTGAGAAATCCAAAAGGCCAAAATAGCCACGGAAATGAAAGAAAAATAATGTGGGCTGAGTGGAGATAGGGGATGGGGGTTGTTGGTCTTTGCAGGTATTGACTCGTTTCCAGTTGACGGCTGCCCGGTGGAGCGGCTCCAACTTTGTAGTACACAAGTTGACTGCGTTCGCGGGCTCGCGATGACGGCCGAAAACCAGGTTCGTCGCAAGGTAGAGTGGGGTTCTTTTCTTCAGCGCAAACCGGGAGACGGGATGAACCTGTGTCGACGGAAGAGCCCGCTTTACGAGCCGGCTGAAGGCGCTATCAGCTAACTGGTGAGCCGAAGTCCGCTGATAGACCTCCGGTCAGCAATGGTGTTTTTGGCTATGCAAAAGCCAACCGGCAACCAAAACACGAGCTGCCAGACAGCTGACGGCACCGACGGCACAGACAGCCAACGCGGCGGCGTGGCGGCGAGCAAACCCAACCACACGAGACAGAAGCGGCGGGTGGTCAGCTTCCGGGGTTCTTGTAAGCTAGTAGCTGGAGCTCCGGCCCAGCATGACGTGCAGAACAAGCCAAGCTATGAAGACAAGGGTTGAAAGGTGATCCGATGGCAATAACAGACAAGGGAGACGGGGAACGCTGTGAGCAAGACTCGGAGCACCGGGCGGGCGAGGCGGGCTCCTTTAATGTCGGCCCGGCGTGGGACGCCGCGCTTCACTTCATACGCTCATCACAAGGGTCGCCGTGGGGATTCCACATGGGGATGCTCGCGCGAGACCGGGGCGCCACCCAGGACGGATGGACGACTTTGTGCCTGTTGCCCTGCCCAGCCAAGCCAAGCTCTGGCTCCCAGTGACGAAACGAGGGACCAGATCGGGATGCTTCTGCCATGGCGTTTCTTGGCGGAGGTACATGGCTGATGTCGTACCAGCTACTCCGTGCAGGCTGACGCCGCCATGTAGAATTGACAACCGGAAAGCGCGACCGAGTGCTCTGTACATCAGCGGCCATGTTCCGCGCATATGACGCCGAAGACAGGTTGGCGTGCAGCGTCTCCTTAGGCGAATTACGGGTCCGCGGATTTCCTTGATGGGATCGTCCAGCAGCAGTTGGATGGGTCCGACTGACCAGGGCCCCGGGCAGCTTCGCGCCGGAGCGGGAGGTCGGACTTGGGAGGAACAAGTGAACTCGAAGTGCTTTGTGTGGGCGTGGGCGTGGTGGATACCGAAAGGGCAAGGGCAACCTCCATCTGATGGTAACGTGCAAGACCGTGCAGAGTGGAGGCTCTATTGGAGGAATCGGCGGCTGGGTGGGCGGCCATTCGTGCGCTCAAGCGTGTGCCTGCCCCGAGTCGGCCCCCGACCGTCTTCTCCCACTTTCCAGGTTCATCTGCTAGCCGGGGCTCGCCTTCTCACTCGGTCTTCCAGTTTGGCTTGACTCCGAGTCTGCACGGAGCAGCTGCGCTACCTAGGTAGGTATGTACACTAAGGTACCTCTTTGGCTACAATTGTGGCTTCCAATCTCCAGCTCTCTCTCCATGGTTCCAATCTCACACTACACTACACACCTTACTCATCGATGCAACTTCCTGATTCTGGCATCATCGGAAAACCCCTGCGGGCGGTTTTTGCTGCAGTGCCTATATACACTCGGAGTAAGCAGATCTCGACTAGAGTAAGACTGCCGTGTGCGATCCATTGCCGGACTTTCGTCAGAGACCGAGTTCTTGTCGCATTTCTGGCTGTTACTGCATGCACATTGCAAAAGGCTCGGCGTCATCACGGGCAAAGGAAAGTCAATCAACAGACAAGCTACATAATAAGAAGCTGAGTGGATGTTGTGTGGGGTACCAGCTCGATTCCCCACGGCAGCGCTTCTCGAGGCACGGGTAAAAAGCCCCAATCACTGCAATCAAAGGGAACAGGCCCCGATAATCCCGACAAGGAGGTTGGGCGGATATCCGTAATATCATCAACTTCGATGTGGTCCCTATCCGCCGTGCAATTGTTTTGTTCATACACATTAGGTAAGCGGCGATACCGTACGGTACCTGGTTGCTTCAAAGAAGATCAAGCAGGTGGGCCACTCTGTGAACCTGCGACAGCTCGATGCGGCTGCCCATGCTGTTGTGAGCTCTTCCTCTCGGACGAACATCCTCTGAAACCGTAGCACTCGGGGCGGTCATGTCCATGCTACGCAATCCACTCGAGGCCCCAGCATCTGTCTAGTAAGCTTCCTCATCCCGTTTTGCAGGTGTGCGTAAGTCGTGGCTCGTGAGACCTCAACTGCATGGAGCAGCGTTTTCGACTTGTCGTTCTGCGAGTTTGGAAGGGTCCGAGCAGAAACGACACTTGAAGAGAGAAACGAAAAGCCGAACCCCCTCCGCTGGAGCGTTGGTGCCGGCCATTGGAGCGCTTGACATCCCACGCTTGCAAAGCCATAGAAGCCTGAAGCGGTGCAGAAGACACGGTAATGTGCTGTGCAGCCTCACCAGGACACTGACGCACTTGGCTGGCTGGGCGAGGCTTATGAACCCTCGCTTCCGCCTGCAGTCGATTAGAGGCAAAATATGTCCAGCCGCCGCCGAGCCGCGCCGATCGCTCCGTTCATCCCGATGCGAACGGCAGCGGAGCGATAACGTTGATGCTGGGCCACGCACGTTTGACAGGATTCACCGTGTCAATGATACCTGATGGCCGGCTTTCGGCCGGATTGCGGCCAGAGACAAAAAGCACGGTGGAGATCGGCATCGAGTTTCAAGACCGCCAAGGGCTTGGGTCCTCGGGCAGACATTGTCCATGGTCCATCGTCTGGTGTAGGACTTATTAGGTACTGTCATTTTACACGTAGATCCCAGATATTAGGTCGCGCAAGCCGCGGCATGTCCATACTGACTGAGCAACACAGTCAGCACCTTCAGTCAGCCATAATAAGAGCTTGGATACACGACCTGACTTGGCCGCCAATCCATCATCGCTCTGCGTACCCGGAGTCTGTGCTGCCCTGACCCCGCGACGTCGCGGCGTGGCGGGCTGATGCCCTAGAATCGGCCCTTGAAGTTGGAGCGGTCGCTCACAATATGCCCGCTGGCAGGCACCGTCCACCACATTGTACCAGGACTGGGAGAGCCTGGCGCGGCGTTGTAAAATTTTTCATCCACACATCCTTCCGTCCATTCACATATTTGGGGCGGCTTCTCGTGGCACCGTGCGGACAGGCCGGAGTTTCTGCGCAGGATTCGTCCATGATACTATCCCCTCCCATTTCACACGACCAGAAAAGTTTGCGGCCATGGCCATACCCCAACCGGCTTAGCACGCCACCCCCGGGTTCGACATCTGGTTTGCTCGACAAAACCTCGTCCTGCATTGGACCAAAGATGGTCATCTGCAGGAATGAAACGACACCGACGAACTCACACCGGCTTTCTCGGGGTGCAGCTCAGCGACTCAGACGCCGCATATCCGACTCTAACCAGGGCGCTGCCTCGAGCTGCATTATGTTGTCGGTTCCCTGGACTACTCGCCAGTCAGCATGGTTTGGAACACCACTAGACCGATATCGACCTGTCGAATCGCTGCAACGAGTGAGACACGAAGTCGACTCTGCCTGCATCGAACTCCTAAATTAGGACCGAAAACCTTGGGAGACACCTCAGGAAATAGATCCTGCATCTGCCTGAGACATTGTGTCTTCTCTCAGACACCCGGGTTTACCCAACTGCTGTGCCATCCCGCCAACGGCCAGAACCGTCGATGAGTATTGGGCCCTGTTCCTGCACCTGACCTCGTTGTCTTCGTTACACAAAACATCGGCCGTCAAACGTCGCATTCAGGGCCAGCCCTGCCAGTGCCATGCACCGGTCACGTTTGCCAGTGAGGGCCATTTTGGCAGTTGCCAAACCCCAATAATCGGTCGCAAGCGGGAGCGTTTGACGGAAGTTGCTCCGCCCAGATCGAACAGCCAGCAGCGTCCCGGCGCGGGGCAGAGCTCGAAGCGGCAACCCCGTTACCCCGGAAGTTCCCGCTATTTCTCGGTCAACGGCACCAACGTCAACATCTACAGTCGATTGATGCCAGCACCTTAGTGCATCATAGGCCTCAACATAGTCATCACGCTACGAGGGCACTAGCGGACGCATCCGGGACCTTGTTCGACGCCTGGTCAGCCGCCAGTTTCGGGCAGGCGGAGGGACGGACGAAGAAGGGAACAGACGGTCGTCTTAATCCATTTGCACGCTAGCGATGAGCAAACTCGGGTAATCTGATGCTGGTGATGGGTCCCCGGCGGCCCGTTGAGGAGGCCGATCGGCATTTTCTCGTCCATGATCCATCAACCCCCTTCGGTCAATTTTCTCGAACACGTTCCCAATACTTTCAGGGGAGGCGCCGGCAGAGGCGGACTTCCGGTGTCGTTGAGAGAATGACCACAGTTCCTGTCAGCCAGTCTCTCCAGCGTGGCCAGAGCAATTCCGTCAACAAGCGGACTGCTGTCTCAGTGTTTATGGCAGCCACTAAGGTTTGTTGAGTCTCCGCTCCTTCGCTGTTTTTCGGACAGTTACGCTACGCATCGTTTGGCTGCCGCAGCTGGCCGGTGTTACCGCTGATTACTTTCCGAATGCGACTTCGGTCGGGCACTTTCTAGCCATGTTTGCAGCTCGGGAGATGTCCCGATACGAGCGGACTAAGTGCATGCGCCGCAGGTGTCCATTTACACTCTCGACGTATCGAAGCCCGGCACCTTAGAGAAGTCCTGGATCTCCATGATCGTCTCCTATTTCACTCTCCTTTGCACAGACACAGCCTTCTTGACCCCCACGCCCGAACCTCCCCCATTCTGTCAAGTGGCTCCTAGCCCCTCATGTGCGCGTCAACGCGATCCCAGAGCACGCCGCACCGAGCTAGTGGGCATCTCACTGGCGTATTCTGCTGGTCATGGGACAGCACACAAAGGTCAACCTCGCCGCTGTCGGGTGTGACAACAGTTACAACCCATGTGTGGACAGTTGATACAGTTCTTGCAGCTGAGCCAAGAGATCTATCTCTTGTTCGCATCTCCTCGTCTTGGCCTCGTCCTACATGACTGGCTACGAGTGTCAGATTTCTCTGCAAGAAGCCGACTTGGCAAGTGCCCAGCCCGTTTTCTGTGCTTGGTCCGTATGGTACCCTATACTTTGCAACGCGGTCCTCCAACCATCACCCTCACAGGTCAAGGGCTTACGAGACATCGACCGGCCGCCTTGGTTCCAGGTTTGCGATGGCAATGAAATGAGAACAGATGGTCAGCAGGGCAGGTATGAATATGAACGCGGTTTTGGACGCCTCGGGTTGCCATGGCGGGGATACGTCGTTTCGTGTCACCCACATCCGCGGTCACTATCACCGTTGGCCCGGATGGCTCGTCAGATGGCATAGATCAAATCTTTTGACCCATTGCTGGGCGCCCGTGTTGAGAAATCGTCTTGATACTCCAGGATACCCGGGAATCAGTAGAGGTTACATTCACGCGTGTGACAAGCTTCGCTTCGCACTGCACCGGGCATGCGGAGGCATGCGGGGGCGGATGCCAAGAACCCCGACGTCGTAGGCTCACGTCGCATCAGCTCAGCCTGCATGCTCACAACCATGGTACGGATCCGCGCGGTGCATAAGCTTCTCGAGAGCGATGCGGGCGACTCCTAATAGGGGCGACTGAGTTCCGGCCAAGCCAATGTAGACGGGCCGTACCGCGTCAGGATCGATAGCCTTCTGGCCGACATGAGGACCTTCGAGCTCGTGAACGAGGATCTGGGCACGCTCGTTGATGGCCGGAGGGTATATCGGATCCGAGTCGAGCAAATGCCAAGCGGAAGCGGTGGACATAAAGTGCTTCGTGTTCCCGCCCAGCCGGAACGCCGGAGCGGGGCGTTGATGTTCAAGGTAGTTGATTGTAGGTGGAAGCACAGCATGATATGCCAAGAACCGAGATTCGGCGGGTGAGTTGCACCGCAGTGTCAACAGCAAATGACGCGCTCTACGGACGATATACGGTTTGGTCCTTGGGTTTTTGGGCGCGCACAGCAGCAGCATCACTTCCGTCTTACTGGGTCAGCCGTCACCGCTGCCGACTCGGAACCCGCAGACCTCAGACTCGAGCGACGGCTCGTAACTGCCTCTCTCAGTAAGATTTTGCGAGGCTGTCTCAAGATGGAAAGGAGGAGGCAGTGGTGCTTACTGTGCCATGCAAGAGATTCGCATTTCCGGTTGCACATGCTGCTATCTTCCAACTTATCAATCGTCTTGACATCAACTTCTGAAAGTATGGTCATCAAGGTCCAAGTTAAATGCAATGTAAGGTAGGTCCAGATTCTCTCGCTAACATCCATCTTCCCGCCACATGGACGGACCATGGGCAGCGAGAAAGCTCCCGAGACAGACACATAGATGACGAATAACTCACCAGGGCAGGATAACTACACGTGTAGTCTGCGGGCAAATGGCTTACAACATAGCCTAATTATAAAGGTTCCCTAGCTGTGATCTGATAAGCGTTCTGGAAGCACAATAATAGTAGTATGCAGCGGACTGAAGGTACCTTATGTTCACCTGCACCATCATCGTACCCCCACCCAAGCACGTGCCAAGGCCTCATCGGTGCCGGCCCGCTCTTTCCCCGCACCGATGCATCGACTTGGGGCTCAGTTTTCGGGGCGTTTTGCAGAGTGGGGAAGAGAACAGTTACCGGTAGCAACCGATGAACCGCATACACTAAGCAAAGCACCCGGGCTTGGCTACCCAAGACAACCGGATTGCGCGACTTGAGCCGGCATCTTTGAGACCTCGGCATGTTACACAACCTAACACTATCACGGAGCAACCATACATTTTTTCTCTTTTGATCTGCTGCTGCAGGAGCGTGCAGAGAGCGGCTTGCTTATCCTGCGTCTTATTTGAGAGTTGAGACATTGGGACGTGCAGTGCAGCGTGCCGCATTGCCAGGTGTTTCATAGTTATTCTGGAGTGCGGGGCCCGTCCGCTGCAGTCCAGAACTACTTGTATCATCGGTGACATTCTGAGGAAGTCGTCGGTTCGGTGATTGAGAGAGGATTGACTGTTGAGACATACAGCAAGTCTGACTGCAGGTGGAAGAGAAAGCCAAAAAAAAAAAAGGGGGGGGGGAGCAGGATTAAGCGGGCCGTTGTAGTTGGGTACCGAGGAAGGGAAGCCATCGCAACAATGAGTGAGAAGACGCGTGAGGCTCCGAAATCCGGCGCCAGTCGAGACAGGTACGGCCCTCTCATGGAGGAGTAGCACACCAGCAAAGTACAGGACTAACCAGCCAGGCCTGTCCACATCGTCTTTGTCGGCGCTGGCGCCGTTGGGTGTTTCTACGCGTCCAGACTGCACCATGTGAGCGCTCCAGATGACCCCCCGTGTGGACTCTGTGGAGATGGCTTGATCTGACGGGCGCTCCCAGCCATCTCACAACGTCCACGTCTCCCTCATCGCGCGCTCCAACTACAAGGCGCTCGCCGAGCATGGCGTGCAGCTGCAAAGCTACAGCTTCGGCAACTACACCTTCCGCCCGCACGCCGTCTTCGCGTCGGTGGCGGCCGCCGCCTCTTCAGGGCCTGGTCACTGGGACTTCATCATCGTGACGACCAAAGCCTTGCCAGACCGCTCCGACGACAGCGCGCTGATCGCCCCGCTGGTCGGGCCCGGCTCGTGCATCGTGCTGATCCAGAACGGCGTCGGCGTCGAGGAGCCCTACCGCGCCCGCTTTCCCGCCACGCCCATCGTCAGCGCCGTCACCGTCATCTCGGCCGAGCAGATCTCCCCCGGAACAGTCCGCCAGAACCGCTGGACCCGCATCCATCTGGGGCCCTACTCCAACTCGGCTTCGTTCCCCTCCTCCTCCTCCTCTTCTCATAACGACCCCTGTCCCAAGGGGGATGACACAACAGGCGCTCTCCCCTCTCCCTCTCCCTCTTCCCCATCTTCCACCGGCTCTGCTCGTGATAGTACTGATCCCGCCACGCTCCAAACCGCCGGGCTAGAACGAGCGAAGCAGCTCGCCGAGTGGTGGACGGCACTCGGTGGGATCCGCGACGTCGACGTGCGCGACGAAGCCGGGCTGCAGCTGATCCGCTGGCACAAGCTGTGTATCAACGCGGCCTTCAACCCGTCCGCCGTGCTGTCGGGCGGCCGGGGCAACGCCGACATGGCGCGCGACCCGGACCTGCGCCGGCACCTGGCGGGCGTGATGCGCGAGATCTGGGCCGCGGTGCCGCAGGTGCTGGACGGAAGGAGATTCGAGGACGAGCCGGACCACATGGCGAGTCCCGAGAGGATCCTTAGGAGCAGCGAGCGCAACGAGGGCGCGAAGCCCAGCATGTTGCTCGATTGGGAGGCGGGCAGGCCCATGGAGGTGGAGGTCATCCTCGGGAATCCGGTCCGCATTGCGAGGGCGAGGGGCGTGGAGATGCCCCGGTTGCAGACCGTTTACGCCTTGGTGAAGAGCATGCAGGAGGTTCGGGAGCGGAGGGCGAAGGCGGCGAAGTTGTAGAGACAGGGACATTCGTTGTGGAAGATTGTTGTACGCGCTTCCGCGACATGGGATGGTGGTGCCGAATAAAGAATGTACTGCCGCCTAATAATGGATCTACGTCGAGTTGAGAGGCTGATGATATATCGAGCTACCCACGGATGTCTACTAATTTATATAGCGTCCAAACAAGTGGCAACAAACGAGCAAAGGAAGGCCCATACCGTCTGGTCGGTGGTGGTAGGTCTGGGTTAGGTTTGTTTTTGCTTTGATGCCACGCTGGTCGGGTCATCACCACTGTTGTCGGCGTTGCCGTCGAGATCGAAGACCAAGGTGAAAGGCCAGGTCATAATCCCCGCTGACGTCAAGGCCTATGTTTCATGTTGGCATTGATGTTGGGGTCAGCTGAAGGAGCCATCACTGCCGGGGCCGCCGTCATAGTCGTGGATGACGCCGTCGTCCAGGACAGGGTCGATGTCGAGATCGACGCCTGAGTCGAGGTCTGATCCATCCGTCGCCCAGAGAGCATGCTCGAGCAGGTCGCAGTATAAATGGACAAAGCCAAGTATCAATGCTTGTGAGCAATGGTGTTCAGGACTCATTAGTCTTGTGTTCTGGAAATGAAATCTCCTGCAGTGCTTGGGTCGTCATTTATCTGTATTGGGTAGATACAGAAGGCATCGTATCACGATGTGATTCGGTGTCCGGCTGTTGGTGATGTTGCAACAGTAGCCTTGCTGAGCAGGTGGAGGAGCTTTGTGCCTCGTGGTCATACAGCATGACTTCCCGCACAAAGAGGCCGTAAGAGCTGACGTATGACTTAGACTTCATACACAAAGACTCATGAAGATAGATGTTCACAGCTCGAGTCATGAGGGGAGTGACAGGTACCTAGGAAAGCTGCCTTGAACAGCAGTGCACTGGCGTTGACAGGGAAACACATCATGACTCTGAGTCCCGGCGTACAAAGCTGATTCCTGCCAACCGTCTGCGTCCTAGGTGCTTCATCTATAGAACAAGAGAGGCTGCCGGTATGGTATCTACTAGGTACTATATACCTTAGTAATCACCACGGCCATGTCGACTAAGTTCCGTCAGTACGGTGTCTTTCTGCGTCAGTCCGGCCATTTCTTCGCCAAAACAGACATTCTCTGGGTCAATACGAACAAATCGTCATATCAGTACAGAATTCTCTGTGTCAGTACGGACGAATCCTTCGTCAGTACCGACATGTCTCTGTTAGTACGAACGGATCCTCACAGGTTGCTGACCAGCTATAGAATCCCCTTTGCCCCTTCTTTACCCATGTGGTGTTCCCATGTCCTGTAGGTTTTGTTAGAGAAGCAATGTTTTGTCGCATGCTTCTCGTTTCCAATAATACCTGACTCTTCTTACCACTCATAGCAAGAACATATTGATGGCATATTGGTGGAGCTCTTAGTATGTTCACTGCTGTCCTGTGGATATACTTCAGATCACCAATTCTGTATTTGGGCCGTGACCCAGTACTACATGATGTCTCGCTTTCCTTTTCCATTGACATCTTCAACCCACTGATATGGGAACGTACCCGCCCTCACCACGTTCCAAGCATCATAGTCTGAGATCTCATTCTAATACAAGTCGCTCAAGAACTGTGTCCATCTGTAGACGCCCCGGCCTATTTTTCCTTGGGGGCAGACGGGGCAAGAGGCTCTGGGCTTTGCTTCACGCTGTTTATATCACTTCGCCAACCGACACAACCTCACTGATGACGGCGGGACTCAGTTTCATGATGTGTTGTGATATTGAGCCCACAGCTCGGTCAATCTCAAATTGGTCTCTTCTCTCCCACTGCCTCGTTTGTAATGCCACTTAGCTCTCTTTTTGAGTCCTGAATCAGCTGCCGACTCTTGGCCCCTGGGAATCCTTGAAGAGAGGCCACCCATCCCGTACGGAGTAGGTAGGCCACAGTTCCCCATGTTGAGCTTTAAGACCAGGAGTCCGGCCCTTCAACACAATGCCAATCAGCTTTGAGCTACCTCCGCAGACAATAGTCACTTTGGAGGCACCATATATAGCAAGTCCAGCGTGCACTCCTGGTGGGGCAACTCGAGCTCGGCACTCTTGCATGGCTGCATGTCTAGCGCAGTGTTGGCGTCCCAACAAAAGACCCTATAGCGTCATGTTAGGGCCATAGATCGCCTTCCGCTGACCATTCTCCTCGAACAGTAAAGGGAGGCTCAAAGCAGTGAATCTGGAAGAGAACTGCGAGAAGGCTGCCCGGAAGATGGTATGTAAAAGGCAAATCTGCGGAGAGATCGCCAAGCCTCCGCGAAGGTCACATTGTTGGTTATAAAAAAGCTCGCTATGATTAGCCGCCTCTTGGGTTAGCTAGTGCATGTACATAGACCTGGATGCAGGATGCGGCATGCAGAATGAGATGATTTTAAGCGGGCCGCCATCGACAGGGACGATGTGACATTATGGACTTCGCTCCCTTTGCTGTGCGTCCCGGAATCACTGCAGCCGTGCTGTCCCGAACGGAGATAATCTACGCTCACGCTCACAGCGTCAAAGTCATCTCCGGCCCAGCTCTCCTGATGGCTGTGCCTTTTTTTTGCCGTGATGAAGGGGCTCGTGTTTGTGGCTGGCAAATCTCTCTTGGGAGCTTGGGACAGGTTGCGAACCGTGCTCGGTCTCCATGTCTCAAAGTGACCGAACAGGGGGGGCAGAGGTAGGGGTCAGCAGCGGAGCCCAGGGGGTTATCAGACCGTTCAGTTGGGGGCCGCCGAGAGGCAGGGCACCCGCAATGCGAGACCCGCGTGTCTGTCACACGCCCGGCACGGGGGTTATTTATCTTTAGCACGCGCGGGTCCCCAAACCTTTTACCGCTTCCTTTTCCTTCCGCATCTCGGGAGAACTGACTGTTCGCTGCAAACTTCATCACGAACCGACACGAAGCGCGGAACGACTCCGACGTTGCCCGCATCTCCATCCGGCCTCACTTCTATCCGCTGCGTTTCTCGCTTTGACCAGCTATCACCGCCGCAAAAATGCCTGGCATCCGTAAGTTCCGCTCCGGGATGCGTGTTATTTTTCTGTTCCGGTCGGTCATTTTGAGGGGGCGGCGGGCCAACCGAGTGCCGGAGGTGTTGCCTGGCTTCGATCCGCCAGTCGGACTACCTTACGCATCGCGCGGCGCGACGGCTCCTCAGTAGACCAGTATAGACTGTTGACGTTGACTTTGACGGCGGCGAGCGCGATGGCTGACCGAGGGAATCCCCCCGCTCTAGCGTTTGGAGCGTTCGACAACCTGAAGGGTAAGCTCAAGGCTGCCTTCAAGAAGCGCGGTGAGAAGAAAAAGGCGGCCAAGGCCGACCCCAAGAAGACCGAAGATAAGAAGCCCGAGGAGGCTACCGCCACCGCCACGGCTCCTGCTGCTGGTGCTGCTGGTGCTGCTGCCGCGGCTACCGAAGCTACCAAGACCGAGACGGCTGCCGCCCCGGCCGCTGCTCCGGCTCCTGTTGGTAAGTACTACCTTAGTAATAGTCGCTCTTTGGTGACGAATGCTCTCGCCGGTCAACGAGAATCGGGCGCTGATCATGTTTTGTGCAATGTAGCTGAGGCCGCCACGACCGCTCCGGCTGTTGAGGCCCCCGCTGTCGAAGCCCCTGCCGCCGCCGAGCAGAAGGCAGCGGAGACTCCTGGTACGTATTTCAGCCCACGAGACAACGGTCCCGTCGGTAGAGCTTTAACTTAGTAGCAATTGCTAACCGTATCAAAGCCGCAGTTGCTCCTGCTGTCGAAGCTACCCCGGCCCCGGCCCCGGCCGCTGCTCCTGCAACCCCCGCCACGGCTACCGAGACGGCTGCGGCTCCTGCTACCGAGGAGCCCAAGAAGGAGGAACCCGCTGCGGCTGCGGCTGCGGCGCCCGCTCCTGCCCCGACCGCTTAAAGTCTGAAGACGACACCCCCCGGCAACACGGCAACAATGGCGGGCCAGTGGGAGACCGGGGAGGCGCTGTAGAGGGGCGAATGGTGGGGCGGGATTCTCGTTTTCTTTTCTCTCTTTTTCCTTTTTCGGGGTGCGATGCTTTTCGGATGCAGATTCCGGGAACGATACCTGGTACCGATGATACCACACGGTGCAAATTGCTTTTGGCGGGGCTTGCTTTAAGATATCCCAAACTCTACTACTCGATACCCAACTATAATGGACTCGGTTGTCTAATACGAGTGGCCTGGGCTACTGGGCGAGTCGGTAAAGGTGAATACAAAAAGAATGATCTCCTGAGATGATACCCAGCTTGCCTTCTTTGCCCATGCAAGAATCGAATAAGACGACGATTCCAATCCAAATCCGTATATTATAGGTAACGCACTCACTCGTCATCCGAGTCGTCATCATCGTCCGGATCCGGCATGACGATCCGATTCAGGTGCGTGACCTAGGTGCTCGAGTGTCAGCTCACTCATCCCGCAGCAACAGTCGACATCAAAAGAAAAGCGAGACTCACAAATCCAACCATAGCCCGCACAATCCCAGCCACCTCCTCCTGCCCGCTCGCAGAAGTAAACACCTCCTCGGCAACCTTCTTCCCAACAGTAAAATTCCTCAGCTTCAACAGCTGCATGTCCCTATGCTCGGGGATAAACCCCTTCGGCCGCGTCTTGAGCGCGCCCTCACGGTTCCTCTCCGCAAACGCCTTCAGCGCCTCCTCCTCCTCCTCCTCCTCGGCCTCCTCCTCCCCCTTCCCTTTCTTCTTCTTTTTAGTTCCCTTACTCACCTTCCCCACGCGCCCATCAGCAGCGAAGGTAACCGACGAGATGCCCAGAAAAGTCTCCTTGAAGGCCCCGTCGTTGAGCACGCGGCGCCAGCGCCGGGGCCGCTCGTCGATGCTGGCGCGCAGGCGGGCCAGCGCAGACGAGTCCGGGTGCCACAGCCCGCCGCCGACGAAGCTGGCGCCGGGCTCGACGTGGATGTAGTAGCATGCGTAGGGCCCCTTGCGGCCGGTGCGGGAGAAGGCGGCCGAGAAGTGCGCCTTTTGTTTTTTTCCCCCTCTCGTTAGTATTTACGAAATGCAAAGGCAAAGGGAAAGGCGGGCGGGATAATGGAAGGTGAAGAGAGGGGAAAAGGGGGGGGGGGGGCGCCAAGAGGCTAGGGTTTTTACCTTGTAGGGCGTGGGGTCGTTGCTGAAGCGTATGTCGCGGTAGATGCGGAAGTTGACGTCTTTGAAGGGCAGCTCCGGGATGGTCGGGTCTGCGTCGATGATCTTCTCGGTGATGGTCGTGACGTAGGATTCCCAGTCTTTGAGCGCCCGGCGGTACTCTGCGTCGCGCGCTGGGACATCATCAGCCATCAGCCATCAGGCGCGGTGGATGGTGCATGCATGGAATTGGAAACCACAAATCACGGATACACCCACCCTTCAGCCACGACCGCTTGTTGTTGGCCTTGAGGTCCTGGAGGAAGGCCAGCGTGTTCGGGTGCAGCCGGTCGTCGGCGTACTCGATGCCGCCCGTGTCACGCAGCTTCGGCAGGGGCACAAAGGTGACTTTTGGCGGGGCGTTCTCGTCAACCTCATCATCATCGCTGTCTTCGGCGTTCGGCTCTGCTTCGTGCGCCTGCTCCTCCCTGTATTCATCCTCGTCGCCATCCGACTCGGCTTCTGGCTGCTTGACCTTGACCTTAGTCTTCTTGGCCGGTCTGCCCCTGCCGCGGCCCTGCTTCAGCCGGGGTTCATCTTCGGTGGTGTCCGAGTCTGAGTCGGTCCCGAAGTACTTGCTCTTTTGGCCCGACGAGCTGACGCGCAGTGACCGCCGACGAGCCAAGCGTCCTTCCGTCTCTTCTGCGCCAAACTCGGTAGTCACCGGCGCCTTGCGTTTCTGAGGAGGCATGCTGGTAAGGGTTAGAACACTAATGGTGATGGGTTGTGGCTCGGTTCCCTTGAGACAGGATGACGTCGACGGGTGCAATGAAGACGCGTGGATCGGAAGCCGGGTTAGCGTTTCGTGTCGCGAGAGCACGTGATACAATGCATATGAGCAATAAGTACCGTATGATGTGTCCCCGCTTATGTCATAGACCCCCTCATAATAACCTCTCCTTCCCTTCCCCTCTCTCCTGTTTCTATTGTTTCGTTCGCTCTCTGCTTCTCTCCTTTCTTTCCCTTTCGTTCTTTTCCCTCGTGTTTGTTTTCCTGTTCTTCCCTTGTATCATCACTTCTTTTGCTCTGCGTCCTTAACGGGAATCGTCATGGTTTGGATTTGGAACGGTCTGCAGATGTGGAATGTATCTACGTTTGGGTTACTTAGGTAGGTACCATTACCACCACCTAGAGTGGGCAGACAGACACTCCATTCCAAACCTGATCACCGTTGTAGAAGATTGCAAAAACAAAGGCAACGTTCCATCGTATCCAAGTCTACGGGTACCTAGGGCGGACCCATCCCCAACTCGCAGCTTCCCCCACACATTCAGGCCTGCCCCCGCAGTGATTCTCATGGCATGCACCTCGAGAAACCAACCCCACAGTGCCCCAACTCTAACCTCCATATCTCTAAATGCCCCCTCTTGACTGATAAAAACCTCCAGCTCCTGTCTCTCTCTCTCTCTCTCTCTCTCTCTCCTTTTACCTCCCTAAGTGTTACGCTACACCGTCTCATTCTCCCACTGAGACTATCTATGCATACAATACAACTACACCCTACCCCTTTCCCCAACGTACCATCCAACCCCATCCGGTCTCTCTCCCTCCCCCATCCATAAACCAAAATGGCCACAACCCGCGCAGCTCCTTCCGAGGCCCCTTCCCCACTGCTCACCCGCCTCAGACAAGATGGCTTCGTGATCATCCCGTCGGTGCTCACCCGGGACGAGCTCGGCACGCTCCGCAGCGCCGCCGCCCGCCTGACCGCCGTGGCGCGCGCGGGCGACTGGCCACACGTGCGCACCGTCGGCAAGCAGTTCCCTCCCTGGGACGCCTCGCTGGTGAAGAAGAAGCAAGGCGAAGGCGGCGTCGGCATCTGGGGCGTGCAGCACCTGCTGCACCCGGACCTGCCCGTCCCCCAACAGGAAGACAGGGCGGCCTTTGTGCGGCTGTATTTCCACGAGCGGTTGCTGCGTGTCGCGAGGGAGTTTTTGGAGATTGGAGACGGCGACGAGGATGGGGAGGGAGATGGGAAGATGACGATGGAGTTGTGCAACATGCTCGTTAGGCCTGACGCGGGTTGGGAGGAGGAGGAGAAAGAGGAGGAGAAGGGGAAGGAGAAGAAGAAGAAGAAGAAGAAGAAAGGGTTTGCGCTGCGCTGGCACAGGGATGACATCCCCTGGTCTGCGACGCCGGAAGAGGAGACGGCGCGGCTGAAGCGGGAGGGGGACCGGTACGTGCATACGCAGTGGAACCTGCCGCTGTGGGACGACGATAGTCTGGTTGTGGTCCCCGGCAGCCACAAGCGGGCGCGCACGCAGGCCGAGCGGGACGCGGACCCGTTCGACGAGAATTTGCCGGGGCAGGTGAAGGTGCAGTTGAAGGCGGGGGATGTGGTGTTCTATGATAATAATATCCTCCACCGCGGCGTGTATGACGGGGAGAAGGAGAGGATGACGCTGCACGGGTCGGTCGGGCATGTCGAGGGGAGTCAGGAGCGGGCGAGGAACGTGCTCCAGCACGGCGTGGGCGACTGGGTGGATCGGTGCGATTTCTCGGTGCTGGGGGAGGGGAAGGAGAGGAGGACGGCCGAGGGGATGAGGAGGAGATTGGTGCAGCTGGGCAGGGAGAACCAGGGGCGGGATATTGGGTATTCCTTGGAGGGGTAGAGACATCACTACGTAGGTAGGGTGCTACCTAAGGTACAATACGTATGTTCCGATCGTCTGAGACGCCGACGATATATAAGATAGTACTGTATACTCCATGACAGTTGTTATCGAAATGCATCGGTACTAGTAATAATTTGTACATGTATGTATACTGTACTAGTACAGTATATACGGAATACATGTAGGTATATACAATACAATACCTCGCAAAATCCACCAAAACCAGTGGCTTATACTACACCTGCTCTGCTACACCATTTCCCCGGGACTCACTTTCACTCAACCGCTCTTGTAGACGGCAATGTTGGACGCAAAGGTGTTCACGTTGTCCGCGTACCAGGCCACCCGGGCGCCGTTCCGGTTGAGCATCTCGCGCGTGCCGATGGTGTTCAGGTTGTAGATGTTGACGTTGGTCGCCGACCCCTCGATCGACGCGATGCGCTGCTGGCAGGTCTGGCCGGCCGCGAAGGTCGAGCAGGCGGTGCTGTAGTTGTTGAAGAACGAGTACAGCCCGGCGCCGTACACGAGCACGTCCTGCGAGTTGATCACGCGCAGCCCCCACCCGTTGGCGCAGTTGCCCGACACGCCGGCGCACGAAGCGGCGAAGTCCGGGTCGTTGAGCGAGGCGACCGGGCTAAACGGGACGAGCGCGTTGGGCGTGGGCTGGAAGTAGGCTGTCTCGGTCTGGATCTGGCCCATGAAGATGTTCCGCGTGTTGGCAAGCTGGTATTGGTACAACACGTGGTGCTCGCTGCCAGTGCCCCAGAGCCAGAAGGGGCCGTTCTGCGACTCGATGTCTGTGGCCAAAAAGCATTAGTTCCTCCTGCCTGTCCAAGAGATACTACTAGGAACTTCAAGTTGGTAGTAGTATTGAACTAAGACAACAGAGAGACTTACAGAGTCCGCGACCGCTGTAGATGGTGATCTGCGTGTTGGCCGCATCGTCGATATCATGGTCGGCCGTCCTGCTTCTCGTCAGCTCTTTTTTTGTCTATAACAATGACAGAAACGAAAAAAGAAAAAAGAAAAAAAAGGAAAAAAGAAGACTTGGGGAAGCGTACCACAGCCACACATTCTCCATGTACAAGTTGCTCGCCTGCTTCGTGACATGCATCGCCATGTACGCAACGATGCAGTTCTGGTTGACGGCCGCGCTGCCCGGCTGCTTGAGGCACTGCGCAACCTGCTGCTGCGAGCCGGTGAAGCCGCCGATGCGCACATGCACGTCCCACATGCCGCTGGGCGCGCCGGTTGTCGCCAGGTTCCACTCGATGCAGACGGCGCCCGCCTGCGCGTTCTGCGTGCCGACGAGGAAGTCGCTCAGTTCGACCTGCCCGGGCTGGCCCGACGTGCTGCCGACCTGGAGCACGGGCCTGGGGTTGTTGATGTCGTTGAAGAAGGCGCCGGCCGACAGGATGACGGGAAACGACTCGCCCACCACCTTGGCGCCCGGTGGGATCCTGATGGTGCTCGTGACGCGGTACAGGCCGTAGTCGAGGAAGAGGACCTTGCCCTGCGCCACCGCGCTGTTGATGGCGTTCTGCAGCGCCGCCGTGTCGTCCGTGGCCCCGTCGCCCCTGGCCCCCGCCGAGCGGGCCGAGACGAAGGACGAGGCCGGCAGGTTCTCGTACTGCGGCTTGGAGCGCGTGTAGAATCGTCCGTTGGAGAGAAGCGCGGCCGGGCGCGCGTTAGCGCTGACCGCGCCCGACGTCTCGACGGGACCCGACGGCGTGTAGCGGTGGCCGTTGCTCCAGGCCGCGATCGTCGCGGATCCCGTGCTTCCCGCAAGCATGGTGCCGCCGGGCCCCTTGACCGCAACGGGCACGTTGCTGAGCGCAATGTTCTCCATGACCAGGCTACCGGCAGTGTCCGGGTTGGCGCTCGGCGTCCAGGCGGTGAGGATGGCCACGGGCGTGTTGGTGAAGCTGCTGTCCAGGAGCGTCACCGAGCCCACGTTCAGGGCGCTCGAGCCGCCGGCCGAAATGTCGATGCCGACCTGGCAGTTGTTGATGGACAGGCCGTGGTACGTCCAGCCCCAGTTCCAGATCTGGATGATGGCCGTCTTGCAGTTGTTGAACTTCAGGTTCCTCATGGTGAACTGCTGGTTGCCCATGCTGGCTCCCGTCGCGCCGCCGTTGAAGGTGAGGTCGGTCATGAAGCCGCCGCTTCCTTCCTCGAGGAACAGACCAACATGGACCACGTCCGAGGCCGTCGGCATGTTGAACACGATGTTCTGCAGACTGGTCGCCTGGGCCGTCGGCCAATGGATGCCCGTCGCCGCCGTGGCCGCCGGGATGTTGGTGGTGTCGATGATGAAGTTGCGGATCTGCCGGAAGAAGACGTTCACAGACTTCCAGTTGAGGACGTCGGTGTAGTACGGGTTGCCATCGATGAGACCGAAGCCGGCAAAGTTGGCGGTGGCCTTGAGCGTGGGCGGGTTGGCAGCATCGCCGAAGAGCTGGGTGAAGTAGGCCGGTTTGATCGAGGACGAGATCAGATACGTGCCGGCCGGGAAGTACACGAGTGCAGGAGTCATGGTTGTTGATGCCTTGAGATCCCATCAGTACCAGTGCCATGAAGCGGCTTGCCCGGGGCCGACTTACACAGTTCCTGTTGCAAGGGTTGCCAGCGTTGACGGCCGCCATGATAGCCGCCGTGTCGTCGGTAACGCCATCGCCTGTGTGCTGGTCAACCAAAAGGATGTCCACGTTTGGACAGCCTATCCATGGATGTCTGCCAGGGGTTTAGCCAGAGCCACCCACCCCTTGCGCCGTAGTCCTTCACGTTGCGAAAGACAGGATAGCCCGACGGAGTAAAAGGCGCATATCCCTGATCTGAAGAGCCGTCAATAAACCCCTCGACCAGACACCCAACGCTGACGGATCTTACGCTTGATGTCTCCAAGCCAGTGTGCCTTAGCGGTCGACACGAGACTGGCAGCGGCCAGTAACGCCGAGAGGAAACGCATGGCTGGCCACTTTGGTACTGGCCGCGAGCAGCCGACTTGAGAAACGAAACAAGGCGAGTAAACAAGCCTCCTGTCCCGGTTGCTTGGAGGGAAAGGCTGAACGGAAGCCGGTGACACAACACCTCATAGGAGAAGCGGCCGCCGGCTAAGATATAGCTCTCGACGGACACATGCCCATACCTCGCGATTACACACAAGGAGTTCCCCGCGGAACACCACCACGTGCTCATTCCTCAGGGCCTAGCTGACCGGAAGATGGGGTTGCGGACAGGCGAACGGGGGTTGCATCCGCCGTCACTGGCATCTGAGCCGCATACCGCCGAGATGGCACAGTGCAGACCCACGTGCAGTGTGCCCAACTGCTCGAGCATGTAACATTCAAGAAGCGCCAGCAACCACAACTACAGAAAACGCGCCGGCGTCACCATCTCTCCGCCCACCAAAGGGCCGATTGTACTTGGCCCCATGGCCGGCACATGGCTCCGAAAGTAAGCATCAACGCCGGCTGGGGTAGCTCTGGGTATGGTTGCTAGGCCAGATGGCAAGGTGGCCAGCGCGGCTACCTAGAACCGCGTGGTGGAGTTGTGGAATGCTCTTGCGCCGCAGCCATATGCCAGTGGTTCATTCATGCGAGAGCGAGACACAAAATTCCTCCCTCGAGGTCCCGTAGTGTACCGTGACCGTGGCCCGCTCAACCAGGCAGCCCCTGGCTGGAAGACGTCCAGGGCCCCAGGCAGACGGATTCAGTCAGTGCAGACATGCCACATCAGAACGACAACGCTGACGGGCAACATGGAAGCATATGCAAAAAAGCGACTGCTCACTTGAGCATGTCTCACTTCCATCTTGGCGAGCGTGAATGTGACCACGCAGCGGGTTGATCGCGACGGGAGTTCCCCGAGTCCAGACCGTTCATCAGATCTCGTCTCCCTTGCTCCGGGACTTGAGGACATGGCTGCGGGAAAGGCGGAAAGAAGCGAATAGTCTGGGGTTGGGAACGGGGCAAACGAAGGGATTCCCCTGAGATGAACGGGTCAGTCACGTCCCTGAAATGTCGTTGAGAGATCTGGTTCGTCCAGCCGGTCCAACTCCAGACGGAAGCCGGGGGGGGGGGGGGGGGGGGGGGGGGGAGAATGGGGAGAAATAAGGCCGGATGCTACCTACCCGTTGCCGCCTGGTGACCTGCCTGCCTGCCACTTAAGTTAGCTCGACCCACGATTAATCCATCAGATGGGACACTTGTGACCTCGTGCCTTGGCTTTGCTGCAAGACACTGAAGCTTAGCATGAATTAGCATAGCTCACTTTTCCTACCTCGATGATGTGACAAGGCACAGATTTGTGGATGAAGTGAGGGTTGCTGAGGTGCAAAGGTGAACGCGCGATGTGACATCGCAGGCCGACACTAGATCCAGCAAGCGGGGTGCAGAAAACCATGGAAGTCACCGACGCGAGCCGACCGCCGAAGAGGCCATACATACCCCGCGAACCATGCAGGCTTCAGCTCCATGGAGCTGGTTACTGGTTCTGGATGAGGAGGCGTACACTAGGGACCGGGCCGAGTGCACTTGACACGGAGAACGCCGCGCAGGCCGAGGCTAACAGTATCGAACAAGGACCTGGTGAAAGTGCAAGTCGAAGAGAGAATGAAGTAAAACGAAAACGAGGGAAAGAACAACACAATCTCCTCTGACAAACTTGATCTCGGCATCAACACACTTCAAACGCCTTAGCATGCTGTCGCTGCGCCCGCCGTCCGTGAGCAAGTGGAGGATTAGTAGCTTCCTTACGCAGCCCATGTCTGCTTCCTCTATCATAGGAAGTGACGAGGTCGGGTTGCCATTGATGAGCTTGAAGAGCGGGTAGGGGATAAGTGATGTTGCCGTCTATTCTCGCATCACTACTGAATGAAGCTCTGCAGCGTCCTAGCGAGTACCGCCGGCGCTCCTCAATGAGCCCGAGAGTGTGACCGATGATGCCACGCGGGTCAATTTCAGGATTGAGTGAGTTTGCTTATTTCGGAGTGAGGTCGATGGCTATGGGACTTTGGAACAAGCTCAATGTCGCCTGCAACGGGTCGACAACAACTGGGTTTGCGAGCCGCTCGTCACGGGGTACTTGAAATCCCGCAAGGATCGGCGGACGCATAGGAGAGGGCTCTCTAGCCGAGTACTTAGGTGCTCTTTTGGTACTGGGGAAAAATCAGTATGTGAAGCATGACGAACACTTGATGTATAGTCAGTGGCTAGATTGAGAGTCTGTAGTTGTCCAGTCGAAGCTTGGTGATGACTGTCCCCAAGATACCTGCAGGCTGGAGACGTCCCGCTGACCGTGCCTCCGTTTCCTGGAGCGAATAAAGCTCGCGTGTCTCAGGGGTATCATTGACAAACCGCGGTGAGAGGAGTGACTTGTCACTGGAGCGGACATTCTGTGCCTATCTCACAATCACATGATGCGAGACCATGGACGGGAGCTTGTTGAAGCGGCTCCGTAGGTTCTCCGCATCTGAGAAACTTCCATCAAATTGTGTGGAGGCTGGCACGGCTGGCTGCCCCTCTCGGCCGGACAGGGGTTGACAGCTTCCCCAGATCTCCAAACTGGGGTGCATCCACGACCCACAAGTTGCTCCCGGAGATCACAAGCCACCTGGCAAGTACCTAGGTGCAATGCCATACTCCGTACGGCAATCAAGGAGTGCTTTTGATATCGAAGGTATAATGTTCACATGGAAAGGAGGTGAGACGGTGGTGAAGAAAATCTCCATTGCGGAAGTCCTCGTGCGACTTTTCTTAAACGTCCCGAGGATGTTGACCAGGGGTTGCACGAGCCGCCCCTCGGCTCCGCGACTTGTGACTTGGTGGATCACGGAATCGCACCCCGCTTTTTGGTGCACGTAACGTATCCGTATAATACTTCGAATACACATAGACACTCTCGGCTCTTCTCTTGTTCGTTCAGGGCGACCAAGAGAGAGAACTCCATACACAACGTACGAAAGTAGCAGAGATTGAGGACGCACCATCCCATCTGCGGCCCGACAACATCGGAGCGAAGTGCGATCAGTCATTGACATATACACAGATATCCAACTCGAGTGGGGGATAGTCCCATCCGCCCACTTCAAGCTCGGGATAATGCGCGGCCCAAGTTCAGGTGAAGAACACAAAGACCACGTTAGTGTAGGCCGACGAAAGGTCGGGCACAGCGGTGACAAAACTATTATATCAGTCAGATACATCAGGTACTTTCTTAATCCTCGTCGGCTTCTGGTTGTTAGCCTATCATTCAGTCGACGGCGGTTCAGTGATAGCTCAACCCCGAACCAAGAACGGCAGGTAATCGGAAAATTCCCCGCCCCCACATATGAGTGCGGAGATTACACTAGTGCCATGGTATGTATTGTGCATACATCTGGAAAACGTGCAATGAACGCGAAAACTGAGCGAGCAGGGGCCGTGAAACGATGCCTCCTGGAGTCTTAAAGTTGCGAACGAGTTGTCCACAGGGTGTAGTACGATTTTCATTCCAGACAGTATTATTAGTAGCTTGGCAAGATGACAAGGTACAATACCTCATAGAATATTGGCATACGTAGCTAGATTGATAGATACTCTGTATCCATCTTGCATTGCCGAAACCCAATTGGAGCCGGTAAAGGCTCTAATGGTCATGATCAGCTTTCGCGAGCTCTTACAGCCCAGGATCGGTACGTACGGTAACCATCATGATGGATGCCTTGATACAACAGGTCACGGCACCTAAGGTAAGCAAGAAATACGGAATACAGTCGAGCGAGAAGCATCCAAACCTGGAAACCGTCACTACTGTGTAGGTGGCGCGGCTCCAGTTCCTTGCCCACCCCCATCCTTGTGCTTGGCACCGCGGTCCCGTTCTTCCGGCTACCGTGTGGTCCCTCTCGAGTCTCCATTCCCGTTCCCCATTCCCCGCGTTTTGCAACCGCACCATTTCCATTCAACCTCCGCGCCTGGCTGGTCAGCTCCTTCCTGCGAATCGTTTCGATTACCTCTTCTCCGCTCTCCTCTCCACGCCCTTGTTCTGTGCCAATTATTACTTCATCATTAGTTTGCTCCCTTCCCTTCCCGCTTACACGGCGCCTCGATGTCCGCATTTGCCTAACTTGACGAATTTGTTACTACTACATCATCGATGCCACTACGCGCGCCAAGCTCGTGGTGATTAGCACGCTCTCCAACTGCTGTGCACATCAGACCTTCCCGCCCGCCGCCGTAGTCCACGACTCACGATCCACTGCCCGCGTTGTCTTTGCTGGCCTACCCCGCAGGCCCCGGTGTGTTGGTGTCATTATCGGCCATCCTGCCTACCTCCCTACCTACCTTAGTTGCTGGCCCACCCTCTGCCACGGCGCTCTCCCGGCTCCCGCTTGGCTGTACGCGCCTGGTCCTGCTTTGTCCGGTTACCGGTTGTCTCTCATCTCGAACCGCTTGCGTGCCAACGAGAAGAGATCTGGGTGAGACCGAGCACAGCGCGACAGTCCTTTTGACTGTGGATGAGCCGCGCGGGACTGAGAAGCGGCAAGTGCATGACTGCGGTCGTGCGCGCGCGTCAGAGCGGCCAGACATCAGGGGTGCCAGGGACTACCGGCAGTCCGTCCGCGAGTGACCGAGACGGACAGGACCAACCAGTTCGGTACTAGATTTGATATCAAGGCGGGCATGTCTTGGTTCGAGCTCTAGGGCCTGTCGTCCGCTCTCACCGACGGCACCCTAATTACATTACTTTTTTGCAGTATTTGGCTGCTGTCCCCCTCTAAACTACTCCTCCTCCCCCTTTCCCCCACTCCCCAACGAGCCTGAAGTGGCTCCTCATCCACCTTACTGTGCACTCTCCATTCCGATACCCCAATTTGCGCCAGGAAGCTCTCTTGTACACGCCATGCTGCCACTCCAGTCAATCGAGGCGTCGCCCCCGTCTCTCGCACACGATGAGAACGGGGAAACCCGGCAGCAGAAGCCCAAGGCACTACCGTGCAAGTACTGCAGTAAACGGTTCAGGTCAGTACGCAGGGCGCACTCTCCATCCTCCATGCATCTCCTCTACCTTGTATATTGGCTTACACTTGCCTTACAAATTAGGCGTGTGGAACATGTTCAACGACACGAGAGAACACACACCAAGGAAAAGCCATTTGCTTGTGGCTGGGCTCGTTGCGGGAAGACATTTGGACGACGGTGAGCAAGCTTCGTTCTCTCGTTTTCACTTCTTTCTCGCGTCTCATGCGCTTTGTTTTGCATCCGCCCGGGTCTCAGCCCTAGTCTGGGTTGACACCAGATTTGTCCATGTGGCATCCTCCTGCTGTCCCTTATTGCTTACTGCTACCCAACTGCCGCGGGTTGGGGGTGCATCTGTGCCCCCGTACGTCGGCCGATCTCCCACTTTTTTCTTTGTACGGTTCCCCAGCTCTACAGCCCTGCGTTATATCAACTCTTCAAGAGCCGCCCCGTTGGTGCCGCCACCTCCTGGTCTCGCCTCCAACAATCACATCCGACAGCTCTCTCGCTCTCCGGGATGAACTTATGCTTATATGGACATCAGTGATCTCCTCGTCCGCCACGAGAAGCTTGTCCATCTCAACGAAGGCAGCGGCAACAAAGATGGCAGCAGGCCGCGAAAACCGTCCTCGGCTGGGGCCGCTCCCGGCCCGGCCGACAACCAGGTGGACACCGAGATGCTCGGCATGCAACAGCAACAGCAGCAGCAGCAACAGCAACAGCAACTACACCAAAAGCCACAGCTGCCGCCGCAGCCACAGTACCGGCCCGAGGCGATGCAACCGTCGATCACGGCGTCGCTTGCTCCGGATTCCCGTCTTACTGCGCGGGCACCGGTTTGTAACCTCGACCTGCTCTCAGATGCCGCGACGCATCTTGCCTCGGGCGGCGAGGTCAACGGCATGCAGCCGACCATGATGCACGGGCTCGCCCCTCCACCAGCAGATATGGCACCTGTCAAGCCATACCACGACGCGCTGCCGTATGGCGATCGGATGCGGGCCCATGACCCCGGAGTTATCCCCTCCGGCTATGCCGCCCAAGCGCCGCCCCCAGCGTTTGACGACTATAACCTCTTCCTCGACGACTACGGAACGTCGTCGCATTTTCTGCCTTCGTCGCTCGAGGCCGAGCAAGGGTTTGGCATGTGGCCTCGCCCTCTCGGCGTGGGGTTGTCTAAGCCGCCATCTGCTTTCCCATCGAGGTTCTCGTCTCTGGCGCCGGACCTGCGGGATCCGTCGGGGGAGAACTCAAGGATGCATGATGAAGGCGCACGGGCACCAATCTGGAGGATATCCGCGATGGATCACAGTGTCATCAGGAGCCGGCTCGATGAGTTCTCGTCGACTCTTCCCCATGACTTTGTGTTTCCCTCGCGGCACACCCTGAATAGGTTTCTGGAGGGCTATGTTAGCGGCTTCCACGAGAATCTCCCGTTCCTGCATCTGCCCACCTTGTCGCTTACCGAACTGTCGCCCGAGCTGTTGCTAGCGATGCTCGCTGTCGGTGCACAGTATCGGTTTGAAACTAACCGGGGCCATGCATTATGGTACGCGGCCAAAGCCGTAGCGCTCGAGCAGATACGACGCAGGCACAGTCACGAAGTGCATGGGCTGCTCCCCACACCAGCAGCCTACAGCCCGCATTCAACCCGACCGTCTCCGAGTTCCGGCTTTCGCCACTCTTTCCCCTCCATCCATCACGAGCGCCCGGTGACCCAGGACACGCACCGGGAACCATAGTAAGTTGCTACCTCTAGAAAATGTAACACGGAGAGAGGGAAGAACACAGATGCTGACCCTTTTCGTAGTTCTCCCAATACTCCGCAATCACGGCTCGAGACTATCCAAGCCCTGCTCCTTCTGTTTGCCGTTGGCCTCTGGGGCGCCAAAGCGATTCTCCACGAGGCCCTGTCCCTCGGGAGTTTGCTCGCTCTGCTACTGCGGGAGGAGGGCCTGGTAGCGGAAGCGAATCAACAGACAACTGACTGGGAAACCTGGGTTAGGCTAGAGTCGAGCACACGGACGAAGCTGGTTGCGTACTGCTTCTTCAACCTCTGCAGCATTGCGTATAATACCGCCCCGCTGCTTTTGACGTCGGAGATCCACCTCTATCTCCCCAACCCGTCTCGACTCTGGAAGGCCGAAAATGCCTGGCAGTGGCAGCAAGCGAGGCAGTCTTGTCCGAACATCGAGATCACCCTGCAAGAGGCCTTCGCGAGGCTGCTAAACCGGACCTCACAACCCCAGCCCACCACGCTTACATCCCTCGGAAACTACATTCTCATCCACGCCTTGATTCAGCACATCTTCTTACTGAAGCAGACATCCTTCTCCGGCGTGTCGCCCTTTGGGATACAAAGGAGCTTGAAGATGGAAGATGTGGAAGACATCAACCAAGCGCTTCGTGCATGGACCATGAATTACGAGCAGCACCGCCAACTCCGGGCAAACGAGTTGGCGGCCCAGGGCGCTGGAGAGAGCTACTCAGAAGGGCCGGTGGCGTTCAACTCGACTGCGCTGATGAAGCTTGCCTACATCAGACTGCATACGGATCTGAGCGCCAGCCGGAGCCTCGAGACTCGCGACCACGTAATGATTGCGCGGGCATTCAGCGACGCACCGCTGCTTGTACGGAGTCAGCGTCTCTGCCGTGCTGTTGTCCAGGCTATTCACGCCTTGTCTATGCTTGTCAAGCAGGGTGTGAATTATGTGGCGAAGACCAAATCATTGGAGTGGAGCATGCAGCATTCTTGTAAGCCAGCCACCTAGGACCCCCTTATCCCATCAGCGCATGGCATTCCTAACGTTCCACTCTAGTGTGTAATCTGGAGTGTGCCGTTCTCCTATCCAAGTGGCTGCTCACCCTGGCGGCCATCAGTCCGGCCGAGCCGCCGCCATCGGCAGAGGAAAGGAACCTCCTGGAGATGGTCCGCCGCATGCTGGACGAGACCGAGTTTGCCGTTCCCATCGACCCGTCGCTGGCGGGCTCGGCTGGCGGCCATGGCCACGGACACCGCCAGTCGCAGTCGACGGACCTTTCTGCCACTGACAGCACCAAGCTCAGGCAACTCGCGTGCGCCGTTATCAGGCTGTGGGCGGAGACATTCAAGGGTGCGCACATCTTCGAGATCGTGCGCATTCTCGCCGCCGGTTTGGACGGCTACGCGGATATGATGGAGAAGCCAAGGGATCGAACGCCGCTGGGCAGGATCGGTCCAAATCAGGGGCTTGGTTGAGCTAGATTTGTCAGGGGGAGAAGGAAGACTGAATCCTGCAATGGCATTAAAGTCGCTCCGAAGCCAAGAGAGCATGTCCCGCGTTGTCAACTGGTCCTCCTTCTCGGGACAGGAAACCCTGACCTATGTACTGCGACTACCTCGGCGTATCGTCCGGACTCCGCGCAGTTGCCATATTGGACGTCGAATTTGCTTGGTGGGTGAACCGGGCCGAACTCTGTCAAAGACCACGAGGTCGATGAAAAGTTGGCCGTTGGTAGAGCCTAGGCCTAGGCTCATTGGACGTTACCACCCAGAACTTGAGACAGGATAGCTTTGGTTTGAGCAGTTCAGGCCGAGCAAGACGTTATATAGTATGCTACTGACATTAAAGTAACAGTAAGCGAATGTATTGCTATCTACTGGAGCCTAGGAGTTTAACACGGATCCCCGTCTTACTACTCCCTATGTGGGTAAACTACACCGCATCGTTCTGCCGTGTAGAATACTTTAGTAGCTCCAGCTAAACCAGAACCGGTGGTGACGCCTTAGGTTGTTTCAAACAAGTCTTTCCTGCCTACTCCGCTCATGTCCGTTGCTTTCTCGAAACAATGACAAGAGACGACTTATCCGGCAAGCCCCTAAGCATCCCAGCGACAGATCATGGAGAGACGACAGGCTCAATATCGGATTTCTTATTCAAGAGCGAGTCTCGACAGAAGCTCTTAGCGTTTTGAGTACAGACGCCCTGGAAGGTCTAGTCTACGTAGACAAAACAGATCCTGTAGGCGCTATGCATCCCTTTGTATACAACCATCCTTCTATTCAAACAGCCCAAGCAGACTGGCTCTTCGGGGGTATCTGTTCTTTAGGCGGTCCCATCTCTCATCTTGCGGAAGAAGTCCATCACACCGGTGTAAACGACGAGGAGGATACCGCCACCAGGTCCCAGCCGGAGCACCTTGGGGATGAACCCCTTATACAGCGCGCCGAACCCCTCTTCCTTGGCAACCGTTGCCACCGCCGGCCATGCCCAGTTGTACTTCGGTGTTTGGCCGGCAACCTTGATTGTGTTTTGGATTCTCGACTTGACGACGTCCATGGGAGTGTTGAGGATGGTGCCAACGGTGCCACCGACGGTACCAGCAAGGATATCGTTTATGGTCTGGCCCTTCTTGGTATCCGCTTTGGGGAGCAACTGGCGCACCTGGAAGATGCAGCCGAAGTAGCCCGCATTCCAGAGGATGTGGCGCCATAGTGTCGATTCGAGACCTTGGTACATGGCCAGGAGGCCCTCGTTGCGCACCGTCTTGACCACCACATCCACCATGCCGTTGTACTTGCCGGCCGAGGCCTTGTCCTGCAGACGGATCTTGACCAGCTCGAAGGGCACCACAACGAAGGACTCGGTGGCGCCGGCCGACGCGCCTGTCAGGACGGAGAGGGATTGCGTCATCTTCTGCTGGCCGAACAGTTCCCGGTAGAACTTGCCCCACTTGTCGTTGGCGGCGAATTTGGTAGCACGCTTGGGCGCCTCCATGAGGATCGGAGCGGTGATGCCGCGGTAGAGTCTCGAGAAGCTGCCGACGCGTCAGTGCTGGTGCCCCCGCCCCCCCGACGTATCCCCAATTGTACCGGGCGCATACCCCTCATTGCGGATGATCTTTTGGAAGCAGTCAAGCATGCCGGTGTAGGCATCCGCACCACCGCCCTTGCCAGTTTGGAGTTGTCTGTTCGGGTCGTCAGCCGAGGTGCGTCGGTAAGATCAGACCCGCGCAGGCGCTTCTCACACTCGTGTCTTGACGACATCCAGAGGGTACCTGTCAAGTAATAATAGGTTAGCACCTTGGGGCACGCGACCGCGGGCTGGGGCGGCTTACATGACCAGAATCTATGCGCGCATTAGAGTTAGCACGTCAATTGGGCAACGATTGAGGCATTGGCTAACGTGCTTCAGAAACACCGGCAATGGCGCCTGTTTTGCAGCCATGGTTAGCTGTCCAACCTTCTGCGGTCGTTTCCGGGCTCGGCCGAAATGCGCTCACCGGCCATGAAGGTGTAGCCAAAAGGCAGAGGGGCTTTCTCGGAAGCCATTCTGAAGCGCTAGCGTGAGTTAGGAGGTAAAATGAAAACAGGAATAAACACAAAACTGAGGGATGGCGGGATACAAGAATCACCGCAGGAAAAGAATCATCAGCCCTCGGAGTATAGCCGTCAGATGTTTCTACCGAAGTTGTGGGACAAGATGCGCACTGCAGGCTCGTCTGCAAGCCACCCCCACATTTGCCCGTGTGGGGAGACGACATCGGACCTGGACCAAAATCCCGGTCTGATCTGCCAATCCGGGAAGGGCCGAGGCCCATGGCCAACCCTAACCCGTGTTAGACCGAGACGAGACTTGACCCACTGAAACCGACGACTGCGAAAACCTTCAAAACGTGGCTTAATAGAGTGAGTACCACCTTCAGGAATCCGCCATGGCTACGGGGATGCGTATTAGCCCGGTAAATGGAGTACAACCCCTCTTCCATTGAGATCATTTGGATGTTGTCATCTGAACGACGGATTGATGAGCCGTTATCTGCAGGCGTTTTGAGCATGAGCGTAAAAGTCATGCTCCGATTGGCTGTTGGCTTATTAGGGCTGCCGGGGGGTTGAGCGCCGGACTACCGTATAGTACAGTACAGACTCGTGAATATGGCAAAAGCCACGTGGGGTGGAGGTACGATCGCGGGATCCTATAGGCGGCCACCAGCCCTCCCGCCACTCCCACCTTCAGCGCGGTTGTCCATCTTGAGTACGGTTATCGAGTCGGCCTCATTGTGACGTGCCTCAGTGTTGAAAGAGACTGTGTGACGGGGCCTGGCATGATCTGACCTATCAAACCCCGTGCAAAAGCCCTGCAGCGCCACTCGCATTTGCCAATTCTCGCGAGTTCGTACGGTACCCTCATGGACGGGCACGGTTTACTGTGTAAGTTCCCCGGATATGACCAAGCCTACTAGTACCCCGGCGCATTTCGTCTCGCAACTCGCATCTCTCATCAGAAGATTGTAAAGACTGCTTTAGGCACCTTGGAATCATACTCTGAGAACTTCAGGAACGGTTGAATCCCGGAGCGCATCCTCATCGCCTCGTTTGACCGCATCCATTCGAAACTACAATACTCCCGAAGTAGCCGCGTCCGCCCGGTGAAATCGCCATACAAAATTGCACCCATTCATCTCGACGCACAAACCTTGGGGTTCCGGCCTGAACCCTCGGTGTGGGGAAAGCCTTTTGAAGCTTCAGTTCCTTATCGCACCTTTTAAACAGGCCGTGATCCATCGAGACCACGGCGAGGTACATTTGAGGTTTCCAAAGGACATCCCCCAATAGTCACGCATTCGGCACATGACGCATCTCCTGTGGAAATATTACTGGGAAGACGATGTCGACAGATTTCGACGCCTTCTCCAGCCGGCCGGCTATGGCGCCCAGAGTGGCGGCCGGGGATCGAACTTGATGCAAGGGACGGGTGGGAGTCCCGGCTACAGCACCTCGCCGCGCAACACCACGAAATCACGCAAGATTTCCGCATTTTTTACGGGCTCTGGAAATGCGCGCCATGGGCAAACTTGCCTCGGACGCAGCGAAGTCAACAGCCGCGACCATGTCGGACTTACCGTTTTGCTGCGCGCAGCGTCTTCGACCGCTGAGAATGCGATCGCGTTCGTGGAGGCACTCCTCGAACACCCGGCAATAGATATATACGTCCAAGATCCCGAGAGTGGCTGGAATGCGCTCCACCGCGCCCTGTACGCGGGCAACATCGCCATCGCCCGGCTTCTGCTTGAGAAAGAGCGGAGGGACCTGACTGGACACACGGCGCCGCTGCATAGAGTTGGACAGCTCATCAAGACCAAGGATCACGAGGGCAAGACTCCATTCGACCTGTATAACTCGACAGTCGGAGAGCGAAATTTGAAGGGTTTGATAAAGCGGGAGAAGTCCGATGATGAGTCTGACAGTGAGGAGGCCCAGGGTACTCTGGACCACGCTCTGTAAGTTTGCTCCTTAATCCATTTGCGTTCGCGCGCTTGCTTCTGCTGTTCGGACAGCTGATCCAAGAGCAGAAGCGCCAAGGCCGCGGGTACAGCTGGCGAGGAACTGTATGCATTTGGCAGCAACAGGAACCTCACGTTGGGCTTCGGTGATGAAGATGACCGCCAATTTCCGGAGCGAGTACACCTCAAGCGCCCGAACAGCCTATTGCGCCGCTTCCACCGAGAGTATCTCGAGTCGACTGGCGAGGATGGCCCGGCATCCCAGGATCTGGCCAAAATTCCAACCCTTGTGTCGAATCGGCCGCTGATGATCCAAGATGTGGTCCTGTCAAAGTTCCACAGTGCGGTGCTAAGTGCAGATCCTGTTTCGAATCTCTATGTCTGCGGTATTGGCCGTGGGGGTCGGCTCGGCCTCGGCGATGAGAACACGCGCTTCACGTACACGCCCATCCAGGGGCCATTTGCGGACAGGAGGGTGGTTCAAGTTGCGCTTGGCCAGAACCATTCCATGGCCATTGACGACACCGGCGCGCTATGGACATGGGGCAGCAATGCTCAGTACCAGCTTGGCTATGCACTCCCTGAACCGGCCAAGAAGGATGAAGATCCCATGAGCATGGTACCACGCCAGGTGTTCGGACCCTTGAAAAAGGAGGTCATTGTGGGAATTGCTGCCTCTTCCATCCACTCGGTGGCCCACACCGGCACGTCGCTATACTGCTGGGGGAAAAACATCGGACAGTTAGCGCTGATGGATGCTGACTCGAGGTCGCTCGAGTTTCAACAAACGCCGAGGAAAGTTGCAGCGTCGTTGTTCTCGTCTCCCATCGTCATGGTGACTGCGATCGACAAGGCCACGACAGTCCTGCTCCAGAACCACACCGTCTGCGTGTTTACAGCATACGGGTACCACATTGTCAAGTTTCCGCTCGCTGCTTTTGATATCTTTGGCAATACCACCTTGCCAAACTGGTGCGAGCAGCCAGGTTGGTACCAGATTCACCATATCACATCCGGCGGGGAGACAATTGCCGCGCTTACGAGACGTGGTGACTTGTTCACAATGAGCCTAGATCACAAGATTGAGACAAACCCCTCCACCACGTCTACTACAAACCCTTCGAAGATCAAGGGGGCGGTTACCCAACCGCAGTGCATCTGGTCCGCCAGGCAAGACGGTGTTCGGTCTGTCGGAGTTGGCGAGCACGGATCTGTTATTATCAGCACGCAATCCGGAGCTGTGTGGCGGAGGATCAAACGAGCGAAAGCCAAGGACGCGTCGCCGTGGGCACCGAAGTCAAAGCGAAGCGACTACAAGTTCGAACGGGTGCCATGCATTAGCAAGGTGACCACCGTTCGCGCCTCTGCGTTTGGTGCCTTTGCCGCCATCCGAAAAGACACGGATGTGATGAAGGAGCAGATGACGATTGACGACCAGTCACTGTGGGAAGACGTGGCGCCGTTGAACTGCCTTCATGACTTTACAGCGTCGGAACCCGCGGATGAGAAGGATGAGGTTCGGAAGTTTTGGACAAACGATGCCCTCAGAGACCGTCTCAGCCCCGTGGCGCACGAAGTGCTTAAATCCTCGGACATCGAAGGTGACCTGGTGCAGCACCTCACGTCGTGGTCGTACCGGAATGACCCACTCGATGCAGCCATCTGCACCTCTTCTTCACCCGGCGTCAAGATACCTGTCCATGGTTGGCTGCTTGCCGCTCGAAGCCCTGTCCTGCGAGGCGCGCTTGCGCAATGCCGCAAAGCGGGGTCCTTCGCCAACGAGACATTCAGGGTTGCCACTGATGACGGCAAGATCGTAATCTGCTTCCAGGGACTCGACCTTGTCTCGTTGCTGAATCTCGTTCTATTCGCATATGAAGATAAGGTCATCCCCGTTTGGAACTTCACGGGCCACGTCCGACCGCTGGCGTACAGATATCGCCAGATCCGCCAGGAGGTTATGAAGCTTGCCACGCGCCTGAAGATGGATGTTCTGGAGGCGGCCGCAAGGCTGCAAGTGGAACCCAAGAAATGCATGGACCGGGATTTCCAGCTTGCCATCAAGGACCCCCGTTACTTTGCTGACGGCGATGCCCTACTGGAGCTGGATGGAGCGGAAGTCCTGGTTCACAGCGCGTTTGTTCGCCAAAGGTGCCCCTGGTTCGAGGTGCTGTACCAGGGACGCGCTGCGGGCAAGTGGCTCGAGGGCCGTCGCGCAATCTCTGCTGAGCGGATCACGATTGATCTGACCGACGCGGATCCCAAGGCGTTCCAATATGTCCTTCGGTATCTCTATGGGGATCATGGCGCCGAGCTGTTTGATCCTGCGACTAGTGACTCGTTGGAAGACTTCCTGGATCTCGTGATGGAAGTCATGTCATACGCCAATTATCTGTGGCTGGATCGACTATCACAGATCTGCCAGCAGGTCATGGGCAGGTTCGCCGACATGCGCAACATCTGTCAGCTTCTGAATGCCATAAACCCGTGCTGGGTTACAGAGTTCAAGTATGTTGGGTTGGAGTATATCTGCCTACTGTTGGAGACCATGCTTGAGAACGATGTCCTCGACGAGCTTGATGAGGAACTACTTCTCGAGCTGGATAAGGTCGTTCGGGATAACCAGCTTACCCACTCACGTTTCGTGAGGAGCGGCCAGGCTGAGCTGATGCTCCACGAAAACAACCCTTGGCTGGCCGAGGCCGTTGACGAGGAGCGGCGGGTGAGGCTGAAGGATATTGCATTCAAGGCACAAAGAGAAGAGGAGAGGAAGCTGTCGTCGGCGAAAACCAGATACGGGAGCCTTGATGACGCCAGTCCCCTTACACCCACCCCTGATAGAGTCAGGAAGGTGTCAAAGGGTCATTTGAAGGAGCTTTCCAGCCCTAGCCTTCGCCCCGAGGCCTCACAGGGAGACCTCATCTTCGATATGGACGACGATGAGCCCTCGTCTGTCACGAGCCCTTCCGTACGGCCTCGGAGATCTGTCGAAGGGTCGACCGAGCTGGATCAGATCCCGCCACTGGGAAGCTCCTGGAAGAGCACACCGAAGAAGATACGTATCGATCTCCAACCGTCGCCCACGGCCAGTCCGTTAGGCACGCCGCAGAATCAGGCTGTGGCGGTTTCAACACCTACAAAGGCTGCACAGCCTTGGGGGACTGCGCCACTAGCAGCTTCAAAGCTAGACCTCCGCGACATCATCCAATCGGAGGCGCAAAACCGGTCGGCCCTCTCAACAGGCCTAGCGGAGCAGAGAGCCAAAGCGGCAATTTCAAAAGGCACACCGCCAAAATTGTCACAGAAGGAGAAAAAGCGGCTGCAGCAGGCATCCCAAGCAGCGCAAGCAGCCCTGCTCGGCGTCAAGGGGGGCCCTCCCAAGAATGTCTGGGAACGCTCCGCCAACGAAACCCAGCCTTCCCCGTGGAAGACGGTTTCCACCAAGGGCCAGACACCGTTGGAGGGAGGTCCATCAACAGATTGCAACCCGGCAAAGGGCCTTCTCCCTACGGAAGCTGCCGTGCCAATCTCTAGACGCACCGCCTCCCCTGATACCCGCTTCTCCGGACAGCGCACACCAAGCAGTTCCTCCACCGTTCTCACCACCAAACTCAACCCCCCAGTCGCTGCGAAACCAAATAATAACAGCAGCGATAACAACATGGCCCCCCGAGCCACCTCTTCGTCTACGTATACCGACACTCAACAGCCCACCTTTAGCAAGTCACCACTGGTTCCACACTCCAAAGTCTACATGCCTCCCGCACCCAAGGCCGAACCCCTGCTGGGTCTCAGCATGCAAGACATTATGGGCCAGCAGACGCGCGACAAGCAGCAGGTCAAGGAAGCCGTAGCCAAACGGCCGTTGCAAGAAATCCAACAAGAGCAAGCCTTCCAGGAGTGGTGGGACGCCGAGAGCCGGCGGATGCAGGAGGAGGAGCGCCGGCGGATGGAGAGGGCTGGGCGAAATGAGCGGGAAGATAACGGTAGACGTGGGAGGCGAGGGGGTAGAGGGAAGGGAAGAGGCGGCGGCGCCTCTGGTGCTGGCGGTGGGAATGGGAATAACAATGCTAAAGATGAGAGAAGTGATGGGAACGGGAACGCCGGTGGCGATGGAGGTGCAGCGGCGAGTTCCAGGGGTAGCAATAGGAACAAGGGAAAGAGACAGGCCAAGGGTAGAGGGGTGGTGGCGATCGGGGTGGAGGGGAGTAGGCAGGAGACTGCGATTGTTTCTGGCGGCGGGAAGTAATACAGAATATGATATGTGTATAAGCATACAGGATAAAGGAGGGATTGCATCCGGAGGGATTGAGCGGCTGTACATAAGTACCTTACATCTGCATCTCGGGCTTGGGATGGATATCTGCATTTCTTACTGCTGCATTTATGAGTTAGAGGGGATTCGCTTCGGAAACGGCTCTGACTGGGGAGTCTGTATACTGTATTGTAATGTTAGCAGGTAGCATCTATTACAAGAAGGTTGTGGTCTCGATGTGGCAGACTGTCAGCTTGAAGATCACGGAGCCGAAGACTATGGAAGAGAATTAAGACTTCAATTGCAAACACTGCCGGAAGTTCGTCTATGCATCTGTCATACCTGCTTTTGAGGCGAGAAGCCATGTATAGGCAAGAATGCGGCATGGGTCGGGAAGCAAGAACCGGCATGATATGATGATACGAGCCCTCCGATTGGTCACTGGCGTGAGCGGCGTCGCCTTCTGGCGCCAGCTCGAAAGCCTTCGGCTATAACACTGCCTGGTTCTGCCGGTAACCCGTAGGCGAGTTCCGTATCACGCTGCGCTGCGGTATTGTATGGTCAGTTTTCTGTCATCGCTGGTCCTGAGGTGACGGCACGCAGTCGTGTAAGCACGCCCTTCGCCTTCTTGTCACCGCCTGCCAAATCTGTCGTAGCAAACGTCTGGGCCCTTATCGCGTTGTCTGGTTGATGAATCATTGATTGCATCATTCGCCAGCAACAATCTCGGTCCACAGCTCTCGATGACGGAAGAATGGGGTCAAAGATCGCGCCCGGGCAATTGCGTGCACACTCGTTACGCAACCAACAAGACGTGGAAATCAGCAGGGCTTACAATGGCTGTCCGTTGGGCTCTCGATGATTCGAGATCGGCTAGAGAAGTTGACGATTCGAATTCAAAGGACAGGACCAGACCGGGGCCAGCAGACCCACGCCCCTTGTCCACGGGATCCGCTTACATAAGGTACTAGGACTGTACAGTTCCTCAGCGTGGCTCCCGCTCTGGCCTGGACGTTATCTTTGATGCCGCCCGGAATTCCAATGATGTTGAGCAATTTCCTTCCGACATCGCTGATGCTGCGCATCACCGGTCCAGCACTGTGTCTCTCGTTTTCGACTTTGCATTACAACGTGTCGTGACACATACGTGCACCAGGACTCGAGGCTCCCTCAGGCACCCGTCCATCCAGTCACAGTGCAAGAAGATCCTCGCACAGAGCCTGGGCGCAAGCCACCGTCCTTGCATCTATCGGAGCCCCCTGCTTCCCCGGAGCCGCTTTGCTTGCTGGTCTGTCTGCCTTCCCGCGGAGCGTCACCGCCAGCCGGCTGTCGAACCTCTCTGTCCTTCTTCTTCGTTCTGGACCCTATTCTTCGATTTCGGTGCGCATATTGTCTGCCTTGAGGTGCTGCTCCGCACCTACCTTCGACCCCTCCTCTGCATCTTTTTACATTCATTCTTATCAAGAAGGCGACTCCGCACTGCCCTGAACGATGGATGCGAAGGTCCGGTAACCCCAGACACGGACAACCCATTCTCCTACCTGAGTGACGCATCCCAACTGCCCCTTCGCCTCTCGCCGCCAAACCTTGCGGGTTCGTCGCCGCCACCTGAATATCGAGGTATCCAGGCTGCGCATACGACTCCTAGGGCTGTCGGTAACCGCATGCCGCGCGCCGAGCGCCGATGTGAAGCCGCGCCGGAACGGCCGACCTCATCTTATTGTTAGCCGCAAAAATGCATCAACAATCCCGACATCCGCGGCGGGTCTATTCGCCCGCATCTTCTCCTCAGACGAATCCAAACCGCACAAACAACCCGAGGGATCGAGTCCGCGCCGGGTCCGACACCACGAGCCAAGATGGGGGCTCGGATCGCTCTGAGAGCACCAGCCCCGGCGCGAGTCGGGAGTCCATCAAGAAACTGGACCAGATCATTCAGGTGCGGACCACTTGTTTATAGCCTCGACAAAAACGCATCTAAGATCATGGGCTGACTGCCGCCAGAACTTTTACAACAAAGCAGCCGTGCTGATCCTTCAATCACGGCTGAACACCACCTCCATGGGGGAGAAGAGACCGGATGGAAAGAAGCCGAACCAGTGGGTAAGCATGCATCAGGGCGGGAAATCCAGGGGCGGGCGGGAAACTGACAGCCTGGCCTAGTTCTCGATCGAGACGGACGATATCGAAGACTTCCGGGACGAACTCCGCGTGTACAAGCTGTCCGGGGGCTTCGAGAACCGCCCGCCGCCCATGATCATCGAAACTTACATTGACGCATCCAGGTTAACCAGCAGCCAGAGCCTGGTGATTGTGGATGATCACGGCAAGAGGTGGGATGTGATGGAAGCACTGAATTCGTCCGAGACATTGGACGACAGCCCCCGGAAACGCCGTGCCCAAACGCGCAACACCGAGGTCATTCTAGAGCGGTGGCGGGTCGAGCTCAAGTGCCTTCCCGATGTTGGGCGGGAAGACTTCGGTCCTGTGCTGCCCACCGTCTACAAGCGCGCCATTGTGTTCTTCAGGTCACTGTTTGTGACGACGCGAATCATGCCGTGTTGGAAGTATTCGCAGCAAGCATTGGCAAAAGGGATCCATCCTGCGCTGGAGGTCAAGTGCCGAATCCTAACCGCCGAGCCCGAATACACCACCTACGACCCCTTGCGGCAACCACTGCACGACGGGAACGATCCCGTCACGGAATACGTTTTCACGGATCTGGAGCTGCCCGTGGGTCGCTTCTATGCCTCTGTAGCCTACCGCAACGACTGTAATTTCCGGGTGGACGACGCGGAGTCGCTCCTGAGCTCCCGGTTCATGGGGATCGATGAGAACTATTTCAGGCCATCAATCCCCCAGCGACGCGACCATGGCAGGCCCGACCTATACGCCGAACCGGGCTCTCTGCCGTCGCAGCGGCAAGGCCGTGGGCCTCAGGAGCCGCAACAGACGTACGGCAGTCTGTCGACCTTCCACGGAGAAGGGGCCTTGGGCACCAGCCCCATCACCGCTCTTAGGTCAGTGCGGCCAATCGGCTCGGACACGAGCTCCCCGTCCGCTTCCGCAGCCGGGAGCGTCGAACAGCCGGAACCGCCTCACTCATTGCCCATCCGTGGCGCTGCAGCCCGCCCTCCGCTGAGAGCATTCGAAGCCGGCAACAGGCGACCGTCCGTCTCATTTCAGCCGTTCAAAGCCGGCTCACTGTCCGGCTCTCCTAGGATTCCGGACACGGAGCCGCCGTCGTCTCCACAGTCGCTCACGCGTCCTGGCCTGGCGGGGCCGTCACGGGCCGGAAACCGGTCTTCCCTTACGATGGGGATGGCAGCCTCGCTACGCAGCCCTTCTGCGCCTCAGGAGGTTCCCTCCGTCACGGGATCCCCCAGGCCAATTGGGCGGTACAGCAGCAGCTTCAGCCATCGTCGCGGACGGCCGTCATTCGGCGGACAGAGCAAAGGTGACGATGACCAAGCGAGCAGCGGGAAGCAGAGCCTCTCGTCTTCGGCTCAGCCGGGCTCGGGCCTGCTCACTGAGGGCGGCGCGATTGCCAGCTCTGGGTCCTTCGCCACCGACGATGACAACATCTCGGAATTTCTGAAGGAGCTTGACAACCGAAAGACGCTCAAGAGTTTTGAGCCCAACAAGAAGGGCGAGTCGCTCGCGTCCAAGCGAACAGCAGCCCAGTTATCCAAATTCCAACTCATGCGCGAGTCCAACAATGTGCTCACCGACTCCATGACCTCATCCATTCACTTGCAACGCTCATCGAGCTCCTCCAGCCGACAGTTGGCCAATGTTCCTAGCATGGTGAATCCAACCTCCGTGTCCTTTGCCTCATCCTCCCCGGGCAAGCCCCTCTCTCCTCATACGCCCCACACGCCTGCCATCCCGTCCCGCCTTAGTGAGAATTCCATTATTGATTATCAGGCGCAAGAGGGGGCCGCCACGGGCGGTCCTCGCCAAACCATCGGCGAGGAAGAAGAAGCACCCCTCGAAGGAGAGGAGGACGACGACCAAACGCCCATGACAACCCAACAGGCCGGCGGAACAACAACCGCCGCAACCACAGCAGCAGCAGTGAGCACTGCCACCACCACGAGCACCACCATGTCGACGGGCACAACAGCGGCGATCGACATCCCGCTCTCCCCGCGCCTCCTCCAACATCACAGCACCGCCAACCGCCACGCGAATTCCGTCGCTCATCCGCAGCATCACCGCTCCATCGCGGGCGAGGTGGCGGGAAGCTCCCCCTACCACCAGCGGAGCGCCAGCGTCGAGGATTCGTCGGGCAGCGGGAAAAGCAGGGAGGTGCCGGCGGTGAGTGCCCTGCTAGCCCACCGACACGGCCACCGTCAGCAGGGTGGAATGGACGGTGGTGAGGATCCGGCTTCCACGCCGTCGGTCGAGGGAGCCGACGCCAATGCCGCGGTAGAACCGGGTGATAGCGGTAGTAGTAGGCCTGGCAGCGGCGGCCCGCGGAGAACGGGATCGTTTACCAGCAGCTTCACCAGGGCCACGAACACCCGATACCCCCACGCGCACGCCCACCACCACCTTGGTGCTGCTGCGGCGGCGCGTGGCGCACGCGCTGGGTCGTTCTCGTCTCTAGGTACCGGCAGGGGTTATGCAGGCAGCGTGGAAGGCGCGGATGAGGAGCCACTCTTGTTTGCTATGAGCGAGCTGGAGCGCGACTCGAGGAGGAGTTTGGAAGAAGGCCAGGGCAGCGCTGGCTCGGGGGACAAGTATGAGCCGCCGAGGGGCATTTTGAGGAAAGGCTGGTGATTTCCTGATTTAGGATAGATGCTCTTATTAGGCACCTATGCTGCCTGCTTCTTGGCCGGCCCTGTCCCATGTGGAATGGGGCTTTGGCCCTCTTATTTGCCTTTTGGTTTTCAGAGACTGGCTTTGAGCCCAGATCAGATTGTGAGGCGCGGTTCGTGGCACACCTAGGTCCAGGTTGGCTTTGTGGTGGCTTAGAGAGACCGCGCGACAAAGCATCGTGTTTTGAACAGGTTGGATTTCGTGAGGAGACCTTGGGGCGTGGGCTTGGCTCTGGGACAGAATCGGGTTGGCTGGTCGATTGGGTTTGGTGCATAGGCGTCGTTTACCTACCTTACCTAACCTTACTCAATCAACCCTATTATTCTTGCGTGTTGTGCTGTTTGCTGTACGTATTCTTTTTGGTATCCGCTGGTTACCTGGGCGATGTCTACCATACCCCCTTTGACTCCTTGACAGAGTGTAATAGTTATGCCGTGTACAATACAGTACCGTATCTGGCCGAGGCTTGTGTTAAACCTAAGCCCCTGCAACTCAAACTCATACAATTCAGCCCGCATGCCTCCTGACTGCTCCGCACTCTACCGCAATAGTTGCGAAGAGGAAAAATAGGATGTACTTACCGGGCGATGTAGAGGGAGCAAAGGTCTTAACAACATCTAGCGAGAATAGGGGTGACAGGTTACGTTAGGACAGGTAAGGTTAGTGTAGTTGATGGTGAGCAAGGGTGCAGTTGGGCATTTTCTGTAGCGCTCATCGTCGCATTAGGTACAGTACGGAGTATTAGCGTGCATTGATGCCTCCCATACTTGAGACTGGGCAGCCCCAAGATGCAAACTGTGTAAGGTCTTCAAGGTGAGAACGACTAGCCTTTTGCTAAAAGGAAAGCTCAAGCAGAAGAGCAAAGGGAGAAAGAAGCTGAACCGAATTATCTGAGTACTGTGGTAGCTAGACGATTGTTTGCTTATGTCACGGTACTTCTCTCTGATTAATACTGTGGGAAATTGGACCCAACTCACTGCAACTGCAAAGTACGTATACATCCCCAGTCCATATCCATACTGTGTAGAGTTCTATCTCAGTTGAAGCATCAGGCTCGACAACTCTGCTGAGTCTGCTCTATATCAACCTTCACACACGTCTGCACACTTGTTCTCCACTTGTTTGCTCAGCCCAAGCCAAGAGATGTACTGATATATAAGGCGTCACCACTCCAACATCGCACAGTATTTCTCAGATGTTCACCGACAATAGAAGAAGAGTCTGAGGGCTTGCAGTGAACCATTTTATGATCCTCTCTGCTGTTACCACACCCATGCGTCTCGAGCCAGGCACGCAGAAGGCGAGAAGACAGACATGGTTGTTGTCCGTGAGATTGTCGAGCCGCAATGCGAGGCAATAAACCGCTCAGACGGGCAGCGATGCGCGGCCGAGGCCGATGCGCGGCCGAGGCCACTGCGCACGACGGGCTGTTCTGCAAGTTCCACGCCAAGCAATGCTTTGGTCTGTACATGGGCTACAAGCGGCGGAACGCCGAGTTGGATGCACTGGCTGCTACGGCACCGGCATTCCTGCGCAAGTCCAAGGCGTCACTAGCCAGCCAGACTTTTGAGCAGCTCACATCCGAGACCGAGGTCAGCGAGGTGCACGAGTACCTCTTCAAGCAATATGTGCTCCTCGGCAAGGTCATCGCGGCGCGCAAGATCCACCACAAGCACTTCTACTCGCTTGAGATGGACTACGGCCACAAGGCGTACCTGGACAAGCTCGTCAACACGCGCCAATGACGATGGGGATGCTGCTTGGGACCCCATCGAGGATGTTTATGAGGACGACCGGGCCAGGTATCTCGATCTCATCCGGTACTTTCTCTGGATGGCCGCCCCGGCAAGCGAGAGCGACGTCGCAGAGCCGGGCAGCTCTCCTGCCCCTGCTGGCGCAAGCAGCGAGCCGCAGGATAAGGCGGGCGGAAGCGGCGAGCAAGATGCTGCGGAGGGTGGCGGCGACGAAACGCCATCGGGCCAAACAAAGAAGCAAAGGAAAAGAGGATGCAAGAAGAAGAAAAACAGGGCCGAGGAGGGGACCACGGCGGTGACTGCCGTGCAAACCAAACAAAATGCAGACAAGACGAAGCAGGAGCCAGAGCCCAGCAAAAGCATGACTGAGCAAAGAAGACGTCCGGACGCGGCTCAAGGAGGGTGTGGAGGAGGACTACAGCCACATCGACAGACCGATGCTCATGCTTGTCGGCACCGTCCAGAACCCCGAGGAGACAGCGACAAGGACGGCGCCGGTCAAGGAGGACGATGCGGCCCAGCTCATCGCGGAAATCACCGAGATCAAGATGCTCCTCCTCTGCCGGCAGATCATGTCGCACTCGGCCCTCCTGCCTGCGGCACTGCGGGCGAACAGCGTCGACGAATTCCTGTCGGATCCGTCCATCGCTGACTCGGATCTCCGCGACCTGTGCCTCAAGGTCGAACAGCCGAGTCTGCAGGCGCTCCGCGATGCCTGCGCCGACTTTGTGCGCGGCGATGAGGCGGAAAGCGAGGATGGGGGAGAGGATGGGCAGGATGAAACGGCCGAGAAGTGGTCCGTCGAGGAGTACATCCGCCACCACTACCGATACGGCGATCTCGAGTTCGGGCCCCTCGCCGACGCCCTGAGCCCCTTCTCGCGCCAGGCTGCTCTGCCTGGCGCGGAACGGCTCCTGGGCGAGGCCGGGACGGACAGTGCGCCCAAAGACAGGAAAATGAAGGTGACCATCTGCGGGCGAAGCATCTAGAACTACGCTAGCTAGCGGAGCATGGCACGGGCCGGCTGGCTGCACTTCTCCATCATGGCCAAGGACTGGCACCTTCGAGGATGCAGTTGAATTGTGCCGCAACTGGGACGAGTTCTTCGAGCTGAACGTCCTGGCGCTGTGGCAGTATTTCCCTGCCTCCAAGTGGACGGGGTGGAGCGGTAACCACCTGACGGCCGAACTGACGCAGCTGGTGCGTCCCACGCTCTTTCCCCTTCCCAGGTTTTCCCGCAACTTTTGCTGACTCTCTGGCGCAGGGCTTTGTGCCGTTCTACATGGACTTCTCTGCCCAGAAGAACACGACATACAACCACCTCGCAAGCCTCTCGCGCAAAGTCCTCCGAAAGCAAGCGCTCCTCACGGAAACCCGCAATGTGGTCGCGGCCTATATGAAGCGCAACGACCCGGTCACGCGACGGTTTATTCAGTATGCCCTAATGCGCACCAACGAATTTCTTATCCTGGTCAGGGACGGCAAAAACGGCCGCATTGTGGTCGCCCCCGGGGAGAGACACCGGTGGATCCGTCGTTCACGAAGCGGGACCGCCGATATTGGCTACGACGGCGATGAAGGCTGGGACATCGAGATCGAAACCGGCCCTCTCCTGTTTACCATCGCCCAGTTGCGGCGCAGCTGCAGTTCAACTTCATGAACTACTTTGAGGTCTACATCTGGGACTTCAAGCCCGGCGAGAAACCGCTCGACTTGTATCATCACATCCACGACGTGAGTGGCTCATACCCTGCTTTGCTGCATGTATCCCGAATGGGCACCTTTGCTGACAAGCTCGTCCCCCAGTCGCTGCTCAGGGCCCTCCGAGTACAAGGCGTTCGAGACAAGATGAAGCACGTCAGGTACATCATGGGGAGTCTCACGCGGGAGCAAGACACCAAGCGGGTTCGCCAGATCAAGCCCGGCGAGCATGCGCAGAGCTTGTACGACGAGCTGACAGGGCCCAATGCCGAGTTCTATCTCAGAACTAACCAAGGCGTCGTGGTCCGGACGAAAGAAGACCTGCCGGCTGAGGTCAGTCCTTACACGTTCTACAACGAGACGGACGAGGCCGAAGACGCCATCTTGGTCGAGGAAGAGTCCCTCAAGGACGTGCCCGAGGACATGCCTTTTGTCGAGATCACGAACCCGATCCGGGAGCATCGAAAAGCTGGCCCGAACGCTCCCTCCCGAGCTGGAGCGAGCACTCAACCTCGAGCGGGAGCGGGAGAACAAGGACAGGGAGAAGGCGGGCCTGAACTATGAGCCGGGTGCCGAACAGTTCCCCTTCGCAGTTCCCCCAATCTGGGAGCAAGCTCACTTTGTCATCCGGGGCCTTGGCCATCTGGCCGACCATTGCAAAGCGTAAGAAGCACATCCCCCACCCCCCCTTTCTTCCTCTCCCCGAGAGCAGCAGCCACTAAACTCAGCCATCAATCATATGCAGTCTATCGAGCAGGAGTGATAACCCCCGCAGCCCGCGAGGCCGGTCTCGTTCCCGGTTTCGCAACAGCCAACAGCGAACCGCACCGCCCGGGCCAACTGGACCTCTTCATCAAGTACAACAACCTGCACAAATACGCCGACGGCCTGCCGCCCTCGTACATACCCTACAAGGACTTCCCGCAACTCCTGCCCGCAGCACGCAAGTTCTCCGCGGACAAACCATCCGCGCGCTTCGCGCTCCTGCGCCTCTGATCCGCGCCGCACTTTTATCCCCTGATGATGAAGCTCAACAGCAGGAGGGGCACCGCCTTCCTCGACCCGGCGGGGCGGTCATGGGACTGGAAGTTCATCCCCAAGGACGCGCCCGTCAGCGAGCGGAGCATCCACAACATGATCCTGCTGCGGCTTGGCTATCTCAGGGAGTAGCTTATGGGCCGATCCCAAGTTTGGCGGGCAGGACAAGTTCAGTCATGGCTGGTGCGAGCTGGATGAGAGAGTGGTTCATCGGGCCGACCTGGTGCTGGTTATGGGCGAGGACGAGAGGGATTTGCTGAAGTGGTGCACGGCGGTTACCTTCGCGTTGCAGACCAAGCCTTGGTTGAGGGAGGTGGATTTGTGGAAGAGCTTTGTTAATGTGGATCTGGAGTTTCCTGAGGGGCTGGAGCCCTTCTGGTTGGAATGACGGGGCGCATAGGTTATTTCCTGTTGACTGACGTCTCTGTTTGCCTACCTACTAGTCGAGAGATTGGATTACTACAAGCATGGTGTTCGTAGTCACTAGGGTCGCGGTAGCCTAGTGTTGGATGGGGTGTTACATGTATATGTCCACAAAGATACGGCCAAAAACCACAGTCAGCCACTTTGTTCGTGTCTCCCTTTAGTAGTTCCAGACATAGCAGCATCATCAACAATCAACAGGACTATCCAAACAAGCATTCGGGGCGCAATATACCTGTAATAGGAGGGCCAGCATTATTCCTCTCATCCCCTACAGCTTATCCTACGTTTAGCACTCCGCTGCATCAGCTGGATATTCATTTTCCGTTCGTGTCTGTGTCCTCTCGTTTTGTTCTTCTCCTTTTCATTCTTTTCTTTTCTTTTCTTTTCTTTTCTTTCTCTCCACGCTAAGGAATTCAACTTAGACAGCGATGGCTTGATTTATTGACTCTAGCAAACACAGACAAACCACTAGTAAACAAGCTGTACTTTCATTAATGCCAGGTCCAGAAGACAGACTCACAAAAGATCTGACAGGTACAGTACTGTACATAGGTACGTGTGCTTTGGGCTAGGTAAATCAAACATAGAGAGAGGGAGGACGTCCAGGGACGCAGCACCGCTGCCAACCCCAAACCTATCTGTGTAGCCGTGTTACTTGGAGGAAGTCGCCTGCCGCTTTAAACAGTGATCGGGACTATTAGTGACAGTGGACTACGGCAAGAACAGGGCTGCGGAGCTCTAAAGTTCTTCGGTTGCGGTTAGATCGTTCAAAGCATGGTAGACCTGGGAATGATTCTTCCCGAGTAAGCAAAACCACCAAATGGAGGACGCGAGGAGTGAATGACAGTGAATGGAATCCAAGGTAGGATGTTGGTGTGGCACGGAGAGATAACAACATAATGTGGTCGACTATATGCCTGTACAGTATCATGGCCTTGCTAGCCGAGTGTGACAGGCTCTTGGCCCCATCGACTATCAGTCACAGAACATCATCGGCTATTGTTCATCTTCATGACTACTTCCACCCCCTATACCTTAGGTACTAGTAGTGATTATTGAGAGCAATTGTCTCATCTTGCTCCTCGCTTCACCTCATATGAACCCAGGTCACTATGTACCGTGTCATATGTTTCGGCTGCAGCACTCATCAGGGCAGTGATGAAAACACTCATTCGGGGCCTCAAAACATATACCAAATACCGTACCTCCCTTGCCATACACTCCTGCCAGCCTTCGTCAGCAGATCAGATCAATACGCCGCGGTACGATAAAACCCCTCCGCCCCAGACGCCGGCCCCGGTGACGAAGCAGCAGCAGGCGCACTCGGTCCGCTTCCGTCCTCCGCCCCAGAACCCGGCGGAACATAAGCCTTGTACTGCGGCTGTTGGTGTCCCGGGCCGCTGGCCCTGCTAGGTAGGCTCTGGCGCGCATCATAGGCCGGCCCAGCCGGCTGCAGTGGGGGTGGGGAAAGCGGGTTCGCCGGTGGCCGGGAAGAGCCTGCGTGCTGGGGTCCATCCGATGCGCTACCGTCATACCCGCCGTATGTACCGGGATGGGATGGACCGTGGTTGGGGTAGGCCGCATACTGCCCCTGGGTGGGTCCGTGACTGTAGGTCGGTGCCCGGTAATCAGGACTCGGCGCCGATGGGCCTGGAACGGCCGGGGGAGGCGCGGCGGGCGCGCTCGGAGGGTTTGCGTTGGTGGCGTCGTATGGATGTTCGTCTGGAGTGGTGTACGCAGAAGATGAATACGGCGCCGCCGGATTCGCGTTTTGTGGGGCGATGGGAGAGTCGTAAACCGAGGTCGAGAGCTCCTGGGGACCGCTGCCGTAGGTGCTTTGCGGACGCGCGGAGGACTGTGGTGCCTGGTACGCCGCATACGGGTTCCCTGGTGGTGGTGATGCCGAGGTATTCAACGGCGTCGGCTGCTTGCCGCCGGATGGCACCCGCTGCTCCGGCGGACGTTGCGCGTACTGCGGTTGCGATGGTTGCTGCTGCTGCTGCGGCGGCGGCGGCGGCGATGTTTGTGTTGGTGGCTGGTTCTGCTGAGATGGAACCTCGGCTCCTGCTACGTAGAATGGAGCAGGGGCGACTCCTGCGCCGGGACGCTGGAAGTTATTAAGGGGAGGGGAGGACGATGGGTAATGGGATGGTTCTATCAATATCACAATCAGCTACGCTCAAACTTCTCCTTACAGTTTGTGCCGCTGGCGTACCTTGTGCAGGCGCAGGTGTGTAGAACCGCTGCGGATCTTGCGCCTGGGGAGGTGCGCCATAACCCTGGCCCACGGGCGGGTAGCCCTGAGGGATTGGCGGGCGCATGGCATATTGGTGGTAGGTAGGTCCTGGCGGGTGCGACATGGACGACTCAAGCAGAGCTTCGTAGTCTCTCCTGGCTTTGATGAACTTCTCGTTGAGTTGCGTGAAATCATCTGAATACAAGGTCAATCTGGAGCTCAAGCAATCAGTTACCGGGGGCAATTACCCTTCTTCTGAGAGTACTTCTCAATCAGTTTGATGAGCTTTGGCCGGATTGCTAGGGTCTGATGGTAGAGTTTCTGTCCCGGTGTCAGCGTTGGAAACATGAACAGGTTCGAATTGCCTAAGCAGGCCTACCGAGATCTCCTCGTTGTCTTCCTCCCTCGGCCCGGTGTTGCTCGCACTGAGTAGCGTCAACAGCTTCTCAACGTTCTTGATCTCAGCAAACACCTCGGCTTCCATCTGCGCCTCACGCTGCAGCTCCTCAGGGGTCGGGTCGGTGAGCTTCTCTACGTAGTTCAGCGGGAAGATGCCTGTCTTTCCCTTGAGGGACCCGCGCCACCAATCCTTGTAGACGCTCTCGAGGACTGCAATGACATCGCCCTTCTTGAATTCCAACTCGCCGGGCTCCGACGGGACGAAGTCGTACAGCGCTCGGACGCGGGACACGGTCGCGGCTGTGGTCCCGGACGGCACGGGTTGGCCCGGCGTTGCCTGCTGCTCCTGCTGCTGTGCTGCGGCCCCCGCACCGGCGGTTGCCCCCGTTCCTGAGGGTCCCGCTGCTGCTTGAACCGGTTTCTTCTTCCGCTCCTCCTCCTGCAAGCTCAGCTTGAGTGCCATTTGAAGCTCTTCCTCCTCCTTCTGGCGGTCCAACTCCGTGAGGCTGTTCTTTTGCGGCGCGCTGGGCGGCTGCAGCGTTGGATTACTCTGCTTCAGGCGATAGTAGGCGTCGTACATGATGCCGAGATCTGGATCCGACTTGAACATATCGGACCACTCCTTCATGCGCTCAAGAATCTTGGCCTTGACCTGGGTGTGCGTGTTGCGATCGTTGGCGAGTTTGAGGAGGGCATCGGTGAACGCGCGGCTCGACAGCTCGCGGTGCATATTCTTGCCGCAGTTTTGCGAGAGCGCGTTGGCGACCTGGGCAGGATTGTCAATACGGAATTCGGATGGAGACTTCCTGGATAGACCTGAGCCTACCTCGAGCGTGTACAGCTGAACGTTGGCGTTGCGATGCGCCAGTCGCTTGATCAGGCTTTGCGCCGACTCCTTTGGCCCGTTCGGGTCGCCGGATACCCGGTCGCAAACCTCCATGATGGCGGCCCAGTCCTCTGACGTGAGGTTCTCGTCGGTAGCCTTGTCTGAAGCAGCGACGCCCAATGTCAGCTGCTTGCTCCAGTTAGCGCGAAGTTTGGTGGAATAACATACTGATGGCCGCATCGTACGGCCCCGCCGCGGCCGCTCGGAACATGACGACGGTTGTTTGCTTGCTGGTTGTCGAACGATAGATCTAGTGGATTTCTGGCTTGGTGTTTCGAAACTGCCGTCTCTGGTGTCCGATCTCTCGCTGTCCTGACCGGTCTGGTCTTGTTTGCTTGCCCCGCTCGGAACGGTGGTCTCGGAGGGTTGGGATTCGGCGTCAGTGATGCGATGCCCCCTTTGTTGAGGGACCAAAGCAAAGTTTATCGTGAAAAACAGAGGTTGCGTAAGCTTCAATCAATTGTCTTGTCGTATTACGAAACATCTATCACAGGATGTGGATAGTTAATGGATGGATAGGGTCACTGAAGGAAGATGGAAGGTGGGACGTCAGTCGGCTGTGCCCCGTGGTTGGTGACTGCGTGCCTATGACGAACGCAGCTTCGATTGCCAATTCGCCCCGCTTCTTTGCTGCGGAATCGACCAGTTACTAACGTTGGCTTCAAAACCCTGTCAGCTGCCCTGCCCTGCACAACATCATCCCCCTGCAGCCGCCACATCCTCTTGGTGGTCGCATCCTCTTTTGGTTCTCGGCTCAAGGGACCTTCACCCGCATTGCGTACGAGCTTGCGCAGCCATGCCACACCTGCCTCACGCCTGCTGGATGTTTCATACGCCCGGGGGATAAGAACGCTGAGGTATTTGTAGCTATTTCGCATATAATCTTGAAATAGTGCATATCCGTTCTGTATCCCCAGAGTTCTTGGAGGCATTCGCGCATCGGGCTTGTTCAGGGCGAGCAAGGCCAAGTCCTTTGGAAGGTCAATGCAGCGTTACCCTCACCGCTAAATCTTTGACCCTGCGTCACGGCAGGGCACCTCGAGAGTAAGGCACTGCTTTGTCTCAGTCAAACGTGATCTTCTTCCCCTGGAATGGCGCAGTGAGCCTTTCCTTCTCCTTGGCAAGCCTCTTGGCCTCCCAACTGGGGTGCAAGGGCCCACTGTCATCTCTTATCCTCGGAGGCGGCTCTCTCTTTGGAGGAGCGGTTTGCTGTCTATCATCTGCCTTCGAGCCCTTCTTGTCCAGCAACGGGTTGCGGATGCCCCGTTTCCAGGGCTTCGAGTCACCGTCGACCGCACCCCTCTTGAGGTCCCAGCCCGCGTCACGACCATTGGCTGGTTTCTGCAGATGTTTTGCCTTTTCGCCGTACCTTTTCTCCCAGATTGCCTGTCTCGCGCGTTGCCCTCGGCGGTTTTTCCTCGGCGGGGCCAGGTCCACGTCGGACGCCGATTCGGAGCCAGAGATATACCCGCCCATGAGCGTGGGAAGGAAGGTTGAATCTGTAGGTTTGGAAGCTTTTGCTGCCTTTTTGGAGGTGGAGACCTTTTTAGCCGGTGGTGACCGAGCTATGGACGAAGCGGAACTCTCGCTATCGGAGGCACCCTCGTCTTCACTTTTTGAGCTCCCTTGGCTTTCTTGATTCACATCGCTGAAGCCTTGAAAGTCGTCTTCGCTGCCACTGCCGTCTCCCCCCTCATTGGAAGTGACCTGCATGGGGTCAAGGTCTTCGTTATCGTCCTCTTCGTCGTCCCCATCGTCTTCATCAGTAGTAATCTCCATTGGATCCAGGTCCCTGCTTGACGTTGAGTGTTTCCTGCGGCCCTTTACCAGCATCTCCTCCTCGTCGTCCTCCTCTTCCTCAGATTCTAGTCCCAGCAGCTCGTCCAGCTGTGAAACGGCCTTCTCCTCTTCTTCCTCATCAACCTCCTCCCCCTCCTCCACTTGGCTAGCCTTGTCCTTCCCGCACTTCTCTTTCCTCTTAGTTCCATGGCCCTCACGCTCGTCTTCTGAGCTATTTTCGGTGTTACTGTTCTTCTTAGCCCCCTTCTCTTCCGAGCCTGCTTCCTTTCCGCCACTCTTCGCGCTCTTGTCCAGCTCGTTCGGACCTTCCCGCTCCTTCTCTGAGGCCTTCCCCCTTTTGCCCGGCACCGCCACGCCAAGAGCCTTACATATCTCCCCGAGCGCCTTCTGCACGACGTCCTTCACTTGAGCGCGGTTATACAGTGCACTAGTGACGTTGTGCAATAGCGCCTTCTCCTCCTCAGTCAGCTCTGGCTTAGGCACCCCGGCTTTGATATCGTTTGGCAACTTCTCCGATTCCGCAACCGATTTAATTTTGAGGAGCGATGAGCAGAGATGTGCGTGAGCTGTCTGGTGCAGGTCGAGGGACTTGAGAACGACAATCTCCTTCTCTACCCTCTCTTTCCTTTCAGGCGTGGACTTGGGGTCTTTCAGGCGCTTGGCTTGGCGCTGGCGCTCGAAGGCTTTGGCAATCTTGAGAGAATGAAATAGGTCGTTGCGGAAGCGGAAGAAGAGGGCGTCGACGGAGGCGTCCTCATCGCGTTTGCGTTTCGGCATGTTGAGCGAATTGAAAAAGTCAGTTGGAAGCAAGGTCTTTCGGCTCGTGTCACAAGCTCCGGTCCACAAAACGGGGACCTGGTGATCAGGAATCGGCCGAAGAGTTTGAGTTGTCCTGTCTGTAGAGGTTGGCTGTTCGTCTGTTATGAGACTGGAAAAAAGAGTGCCACTGCTGGAAATTTTAGTGGGTCGTTGGTGAGAGCTCGAGCCGAGACCCACCTTTCCCCGTTTCGGCGCAAGGCTGAGTTCCAGTTCACGCCTGTGCACGCTTGACCCGAAATCAGACGCGTACGGTAAAGTGGACAGGGATCAGCGCGACAGTGTCTTTGTCCAACCTCCATGCATTTTGGACTTCGGGAGGTGGAGGGGTGCCGCAAGCAACCCACTCGACGATTGCAAGCAGACAATGCGCGAAGGCGATATACAGTGTCATACCTGTCGAATTTGCCTTATTTCACATTCCCAATAGCACCTCGGGCAGCAATACGACTTCAGTGACCAATCCTGTTTTAGATCTGTTGTTTATTTTGGGTTTGGTGCCGGCCCGATCGCATTCCCAGTCGCACTGTCCAACCCGGTCAGACGTCTTCGAGCCCTTGCGCCTCGTTGCGCCAATCCCGACAACTCATTGATACACAATGGCAATGGCATCCTCAGGCCGCGCAATACAGTACACTATCCCGGCAAGGGAAGACTTCAACAAGCTACCTGACGAGCAGAAAACACGCATCAACGAGGCAGTGAGTCTGGTCTGACCGCCCTGTTGTGCAGCGACGCGGCTAACATGGTCCCCTTAGTTCGACCTTTTCGACTCCAACAAAGACGGCCTCCTCTCATACGAAGAATTCCGCTTCGTCCTCCGCGCGCTAGGCTTCGAACTACCCAAGCCGCAAACCTACGACCTGCTGATACGCCACGGGCAAAAGCCCGCCAACTGGCCACACGACCAGGACTGCGCGCCCGTGTACCGTCAGTTCAACCTACCGACAACTCAGGCCATCGCCGGGACGTTAATACGTGGACGTGACCCACGAGAAGAGCTGCGGCGCGCCTTCCGCCTATTCGATACTGAGGGGAAGGGCATGATCACGCAGGAGGATCTGAGGAAGGTCAGCAAACAAGTCGGGAACAACATACCCGATGCAGACATCGTGGCCATGATCGAGGAGTTTGATGCGTCGGGGAAAGGTGGAGTGGACGAAGACGAGTTTCTGAGGTTGATGTTGTCCAAAAAGTGAAGGCTTTTGCATCTCCGTGGCGGTGGCGGCGCGATACCCAGGCGGTTTATGTTTGTGTTGCCTGTTTGGATGAGCACGGGTTGTCAGACTCCCTTAAAGGACGGCTCGAATTCTGGGTTACGATATACTACAGCACATTGCAGCATGGGCATTTTGCATTCCGCAATATACTCACCTAATACCTCGGCTAAACCTCCAAGGCATCTTACATCGATCTCATCACGTCCCTTCTTCCCTACCTCTTGACGCAGATAATCCAGTTCACCTTCCCGACCGGCCACATGAACATCTCGCTCCCACTCTTCACCTCCCACTTCGCGATCTCCTTCTCGCCCCCTTCGGCGCCGCAGGTCCTGAGCAGCGCCTCGACCTCATCTGGAGTCCGCGTCCTCAAACATGACATCCACCCATCGAACACCAGCACAAACGGCAGGATGGGTACCGCATACGTGAAGAACAGCGCTAGCGGCGCCCTCCAAAGCCACGCATAGTACGGCGCCACGATGAGGATCCCGAGTCCGAAGAGACAGCACGCCGTGAATCCAGCGATGCCCCGGTCCTGCAGCTCAAAGATGCTGTTTCCCGTCATCTGATCAGCTCTATCATCTCCTCTCAACTCATACAGGCACTGGTAATAAAAAGTAACTCACCCGAACCCATCGCCGCCACCATCGACTGTATCTCTCAGTATCCGCCTTGCCAGCTCGTCATCAAAGTGGTGGAAGGCAAGGTTGAACAACCGGAAGACCTTCTTCCCTTCGCGTCTATACCCTCCTATCAGATCCCTCGGCACGCGCGCCGCGTCCACGGGGTCCGAGACATAGGAGATATTGGGACTCTTCGCGGCGGCTCGGGTCCAGAGGTCTGTGTGCGGGTGCAGGTCTGTCAGGACGAATTGAATGGGTTCCGCCGCTGCGTCCGACTTCTTGCCGGCGGAGAGGGATTGGTTGAGGTGATGCTCGATGGAGGGGGTGGGGCCGCCGCCTCCCGCACAGAAGTCGATGAAAATGTGGGAGCGGAGGGTGCTACCAAGTTGGGTGGAGAGGAGGTGGGCAACGACTTGCGCCGGCGAGGAGCTTTGCAGGAAGGGCACCTGGGTGGTGGTTAGTATAGCAAGGTGGTCAGCTTGGTAGCTGATCGGGGGCTGTTTGGAAGTTGTACGTGGATCGTCCATGCGGCGGTGAGGCCTGCTTGAAAGTAGCCGCGCAAGAAGCTTGGGACCCTGATTTTGGCTGTTAGGGGGGACTTGTGACTCGGGCGGGATTTGGCAGTCAAGCACTCACCAGGGATAGTCGGCGATCTCAAAGACATGCATACGTGGAATGAGAGGCCCCATTGCTGACTGTAGAACCCCAGCAGGGCGACTGTGAGATGAAAGAAGCCAACGAGTGTCTTTTGGTGCAGTATGAATTGTGGCAAGTCGCCGACTTCAACTGATGGGATCCCAGCTGCGTATCGGGTGTTTCACCTGAGAGGGCAAATGAGCGTTTCAGCTTTCAAAGCATCGCAGTTTCGGTGTCCATGAGTTTCAATAGGTACCTGTTGCAAGGTACTATCAAGCTTCAAGTTGTTCGTCTGCATGGAACTGGTACCCTACCACTGCCTACCTATGACGTTTTGTTCAATTGAGATGATCGGAGGCTCAACCGTCCCGCGGTTAGTGCGTCTTGGCGACCACAGTGGGAAGAACCCCTGTTGGGCGAACCTGATATGCCACAGTGTGTGATAAGACAGCAAATCTGTAATGGGGGAATGGACTGAGGTGCTTTTCGGAATGGAGGTTTGGTAGAGACGGTGCGTCCTTTCCAGGTTTGCTCCTGGCCGGTATCTGTTCCTTCCCAAGACCTTTTGTCCTCAAACCTGTCCAGCTCAGATCGGCAACAACATTGCATGAGACGCAACTAGCGGCTCGCCTAAGGTGCCTTGCATGATCGCCCTGATATGAGCCAGGGGGCTTCATATTCAACGTCAAAACCGCGGCACAACAAACCTTAAAATTCCTTCAGCCTGTTCATACGGAATATCGTGCGCGGCCTCCTCGGTGTATCGCGGTGAGTAGGCGACATGGGTCTCGTCGTCGACTATAGGAATTACATTCTGGGTGTTGTTGTCATCTCGATTCTCATTCGAGCCCTACTTCGACCGGGGAAGAGCATCAAGCGGAACGGAGAGCCGCTAAGGTGGGAGATCCCATGGGATTCTCAAGCCTGGTGTAGATCATTGCTTAACAGCGGCCAGGCACCCCCCGAACACGCTACCCGTGGTCGGCAATGGCCTCAAGTTTCTGCAACCCCGCTGGAAGCTGCTGGGCTGGTTCAACAGATGCCAGCGATTATTCGGCTACGAAACCGTCGTCCTGAGCGTGCCGACCCTCCCGCCAGGGGTGCTCATCCACAGCCCAAGGAACATCGAGTTCGTCTTCAGGAACGAAGGCCTGTTCACCAAGGGCGAGTTTGTGAAGAGGCGATCATGGGACCTGTTCGGTAAGGTCCACTCCTGGCAGGGCTCCTTCCTGCTGCTAACCTTGCATGTAGGGAATGGCATCATCAACGCCGACGGGGACTTTTGGAAGCTGCAGCGGAAGGCTGGCGCGGCCTTCCTCAATACAGCAAACCTTCGCGTTCTTACTGAAGTGGCGCTCCCTCAGTACCTGTCCGAGAGCATCGCGGACATCGAGTCGTCCATTAGTTCCGGCATCGTTGACCTTCAGCATGTTTTTCACGAAATCACCACGAAGCTCATGGGCCAGATGGCATATAACGTAAGTCAGCACGCTCACAACAGAATGGAGAATACGTATGCTCAACGCACACAGATGGAGATGCACGCCGACGATGAGTTCTCCCGGTCGTTCGACTTCGCCTCCGGAGCCACGGCCGAACGCTTCCAAAACCCTCTGTGGCTAGTCACCGAACTAGTCACTGGCTCCAGATTTCGCAGGTCCGTGAAGGTCGTCAAGGATTTCGGCAGACGCATTGTATCAAACGCTATCCATAACCGAACCGAGCAGAAGCATCAAGAAGACGGCAACGCGGCCGATGATGACAGCAAATTGGACCAGATTTCGGGCACCCTAATTCAATCTCTCCTCGACGCAATTGGCAACGAAGAAATGGTCGCCGATGCCGCGCTAACCTACCTCTCCGCGGGCCGTGACACAACGGGCCAAGCCCTAACATGGACTTTCTACCTCCTGCTACAGCACCCCTCCGTAGTCAGCAAAATCCTCCACGAAATCCGATCCCTCCTCGCCCAACAACAACAACAACAACAACAACAACAACAACAAAAAGAAGAAGAAGCCCCCCTAGGATCGGGACCCTCAAACCTCAAACCAGCGCTCTTCACCCCGGCCTCCGTCCCCTATGCAATGGCCGTCTTCTACGAAACCCTGCGCCTGTACCCACCCATCCCCTTTGAAATCCGCCAGTGCCAGGCCGACACCACCCTCCCTGACGGCACCTTCCTACCCAGGCACTCGGTCCTCGTCTGGTGTCTGTGGGCCATGCAGCGGTCACGTCTCACGTGGGGCGAAGACGCGGACGAGTTTCGACCGGAGCGCTTCCTGGACGACGAGGGCAAGCTCGTGAACCGGAGCTCGACCGAGTTCCCTGTGTTTTACGGCGGCGCCCGGGCGTGCCTGGGCAAGAAGATGGCCGAGGCGATCGCGGCGCAGGTCATTCCGAGCATAGCGTGGCTGTTTGAGTTTGAAGCGGCGTTTACTGGGGAGAGGGCCAGCAAGACGAGTTTGACGTTGCCGATGGAGGGAGGATTGCCAGTCCGGGTGAGGAGGAGGATGAACGGCGGGAGTATAGATGGCGATTGCATTTGATTACCTAGCAGTACGGCGTTGATGAGATTGAGGTGTATAGAATGGTAGGATCTAGTGGTGAGTTATTGATAGCACGTATTACACCTAGAAAAGACACATGGTCCGTAATTCTTCTTCGTGTGGACCTGTGCCGCAAGTTTGGGTACAGCAAGCTGCAATCTAGTCCCTGTGTCAACAACCTCACTGTTGGCCAATAGCCTACCAATCTATGCACAGTAGACACGCAGCTGCTTCTGCTAGGACATAATTCGATTCAAATGGAGGTTGTTCCCACACTTGCAACATGTTCCCTCGCCGTGCAAGCGCCAAGGGCCCTTCTGCACCCTGAAAAGTGCAGACATTGTCTCAATAGGTAGTGACGCTTGAAACGGATCAACTGAGAAAACCCGAATGATTTCAGCCTCACTTTTCAGTCAGACTAAAAGAATGGCCGAAATGGCCCGGATATGTGTGTAGGGTAGTTGTCGGTAGCTGTTCACGTTGGATAGCACGGCAAAGTTCTGATCAGTTCCAGTTTGAATTTAGTTTGTCGATGTGCTCAATTACTACCAAGTGCTGCGAGGAGCCATTCTACGGGACATCAAGCCGCTTCTTCTGCAGCTACGTGCAACATAGGCCGACCAGCTCACGAAGTGGTCAAGTCATGAAACGTAGGATCTAATTAGAGGCAGAAACAATTACCACCTCAGACTGAGCAGGTTTATGCAAGGTGTTGCGGCAAGAGCCGGGCCGTATGTAGGACGGAATTAAAACCAAGCTTTTGGCAGAATCAGTTCGTGTCTCACGAGGTCGACTTCCTTCTCGGCAGAGGCCGCATTGGGTGGCACTTAACGGTCATCAGGAAGAATTCGCGATCGACAGGAATCAGACAACGTACAAAATCGGCAGCTCTCGGGCGAAAGAGGTCTCTTGCACAACATACTCGAGCCACGCCTTGCCAAGATATCGTGTACCTGGAACACCTTTCATCCCGATCTGTGTTACCGGTATGGCCGATGAGCCGTGCTGCGGATGTCGTGGTCCGTGTGAAGAAGTGTTTCATTTGAATTGTCGCACAAGCTGTTTGTGACCCGCGCGGTAACAACTCGACGGATCCGGACAAGACACGGGTATGCCAAACGGGAAGGAAAAGAGGAAAGCCGGGAAGGCAGACAAGATAACGGAGGAGCACCGCAATTGAACGCCTTGCATTGGGCATGAGCGTGAGTGAGTCCGTCTACTACTTACTGCATGATCAACGAGCAACTTTCGAAGGCTCGAGTCAAGTAAAGACAGCCAAAACTAACTAGGTAATCAAACAATTTTCTCCTATCGTATATAACCGTAGTGATCGCATTGGATGGAGACATGAGAGTGCTCGGTAGTCTCGCTGGAGTCTGGACTCGGAAGGGATTCTTGGCTACCCACCCCAAGTGCGGCCCGCTCCCGTTCGCTGTGTGTACGTACCTCCATCGAAACAACCGGAGGGAAAGTACTGGTTTACGTGGAATGAATGCCAGTCAGTATCCCCGGAAGACTATCGACCACATGAGCTCAAGCGTATCCGGCGAAGTTCCGGTGATCAAGTGGGGTTGTCTCGGATGTAGGACAACTTCTGCAGTAAATGGTGACTGTTGGTGTCTTCTATGGGCATTGCTCAATCCATTTTATCATGTACACACGCGTTACAGTTGTGATATGGTTCGCCTTGCCCGGCGCCGTCACTGTGCTCTCCCCGTCTCGGGTGAGTTTTCTCCCGAAGCCGAGTGACCACCGAAACTGGAGGCCTCCACGACGAGAAACGCCAACATTGCACCGCCGAAGGCTTCGCGAAGTTGCGGTCGGCCATGATCGGGTACGGCGTGAGGCCTTGAGGGTGCTTACACGTGTAGTCGGCTGCCAAGGCATTCCGAATCGGCGGATATCGGGGGATCGGCAGAATGCTGCAAAAGCACGGGAAAGGGCCCGGGATGGGGCTGCCGGCTCAACGGGGGAACGTGTTACAGACGCGGGCTGCTGCTGTCAGGGGCAGAAGGGAGAAACCGGAACTACGTCCGATAATTCGACCCGGGTGTGTGCGTGGTCCGAAACAAGAGGTGGCTGTGGATGTGTTTCTGGAACCAGACCCTTGGCAGCTTCCAAATTCTGCTTCTTGCACAAGAAGCACGCTGTGATTACGCTAGGATGCTGCAGACGTGCAGCTTGGCGAATACTCAGGTCCAATCCGCAGATAAGCCGTAGCTTCTGAGGCTGCCTGTATCTTCAACCTGGTCAGGAGATGCCATAGAGTTTTTTTTTGGCCTGTTGATCCTTCCAATATTCTATGCAAACAGACAGACGAATTCAGCTTCTATTACTACCAGCACTCCATGCTTCAAGTTGGCTTTACCGCCGTTTGCGTCCTCGTGACACTGCTGGACTCAAGGGTTAAGTGGACAGTGCTCGAATTGCCGTTTTCAACGTTGCCAGCCAATCATTCTACACGGATTCCCGGCAATCACATGCGGAGGAACAGCCCCAGTCCGACCAGCTCGTTGCTGCTGAGTTACGTAAGGGCCAGACCGAGCAGGCCCAGCACCCGCCGAGCTGATGTCACAAGCCCTGGCAACAGGCACGGCTTCTCCCGGAACATGTTTGCGTTGGAAGTAGGTAGCTTTTCGGTTCAACCGAAATCTCTTTCTAACCGCATCATACACGTACACTATCACACATTAATGCAACCTGGACCGAATGCACTTATTCTCAGGGGTCGGGCAATATCGGAGCCGCTCCTGATGCACGACGATTAGATCGTTTGTTGGCCCGCTGGCCTATGACGGAATACGTTCGGCAACAAAAGTGGCAGTCCCTGGCCCGGGTGGGGTCCCGGTGAAAGGGGCTCTTCCGTGAGATTCGTCGATTTCCAGCCGTAACCGTTGCCACTGCAACGCCTTCATCGGGAGTTCGAGCAGTAAATCGCCTGGTTTTAGTGTACACTACCTACCTGTCCGTTTCTCGCCGAGGTGTCTTTTATTAGGCCTCCGTTTCCATTGTAGCTCCTGGGTGCGCACTGGCCATCGCTTGGCTTTGGGCCTCAATTTTACTGGCGATTAGCGGCGATCACAGGCTTGTCATCCGTCACCCGCCCAGAGGAGTTTTCTGTGATGCGGGGTTAGGTAAACTTCACCCTTCGAGAACAGATCAGATCCGGGAGACGGGGGCTGCCAAGGGCTGGGCAACTCCAAGTTCCCGGGCTGCATACCGATGGCTGACAATTGGAGTCACCGGGCCGTGGCCAGTCACCTTGCCGCGCCCTTGGAACATTGCAGCAGCAAGTCGACAGGGCTAGAGTCCAATTGGAGCCCTAGCTTGAGCCCCTTCAACGTCGATTCAGCACACCTGACTGCAACAGATTTCAAGGCGGCGCATGCTCAAAAGTCGCCCGCAACTTTGGCAATTCCTGGCCCCGTGCCGTAATCCATAAGGTAATTCGCAGTCGTTCAAGGAAGTCATGTGCCATGCTAGTCCAATGGTGCTCAGCCGCTGCCGGTCTCGTTTTGGGAACGTCTTCGAGCTAGATCCACTTCCGATTTGGGAGGATGAAACCAACAATCTGAGCTCCTGTCCTCTTTTCCCGGGCGGCCCATGTGACCAAAGGAAAAGAGTGAAGATTGCTTTTAGGTCAATATGGCGGGGCGTCGGTTCAAGTTCACTCCAGTCAGGACTTGAACGTTTGCTTTGAAACGGAAAAGAGCACTAACGGTAACTACTAGTACAGGCGCACCTGACGAGGAATGTATTATTACCCTTGTGAGCTCCGCTTAGATTAACGTTGGTCAGAAGATGACGGCGATTAGGCCCCCGATGGTTGCATCGTCATAAAATACAAGAACAGTACATACTGTGATAGAGTAGCCGCGTTGCACCAGGACATCCAATTCAAACCCCTGATAATTGATATTGTTGTCCTGCTAGGCTCCCGTATGGATCAACACATCGTAGCTGCTTCCCGAGCCTTGACAGGGGTCCGATTGAGGCGCTCCGGAAACAATTCGTGGTCCAGCGGCGCCAATCACCGCGGACCCGATCCGTCATCTACCACTTTCCGGTTGGATCCCGGCTTGAGGCATGTCGGTCACCAACGAAGAATGCTGTCACCACTCCCCATTGGACATTTGTGCGCCCGGGACCCCACGTCTTTATATACTCCCACTCCTCTACCTCGGGTCCGGCAGGACTCTCCACCTTCATTATCAATATCTTCCGACTCTCAGCCACATCCCTTGGCTTCCCCAGGAGAAAGTGGACTGCTTCAAACCCACATTGCCGAACTGGAGTCAACTCCCGCAATCCCTGCCACCCGACCTTGAGCTGAGCAGAAAGCACTTAAGAACCATGAAGGACCCCGTCGCTAGAACTGCTTCTCCCTACACTGATCCCTCAGTTAAGGGCCCCCGCAGCAAGCTTCAAGCATCTGGACGCTCCCTAGCCGCCAACAGTAAGCTGTCCCGCAAGCCATCTGCCGACAACGTTGGCTCCTGGCATTCTTCTTGCTGACGCAGGCTCCGCCCATGCAGTGCTCGTCAACTCCGTCAACAAGACCGGCCTCCATCCCGGGGGTGTCGTGTTAGTGCCATCCTCGCTCTCCCATCATAAAACGCCGGGGGCCGGCCTAGCTAACAGAAGTTGATGCAGCCCGCACCATGAACACACCGAGCTAGGTACGCGCTGGCCGATCAGTCTCGACCTCTGAGGACCTCGCAGTTTGGGTAACCCGGCTGTTCTAACCCCATGATACAGAGGAGGAGCTCCACGAGAAGGCCCATATCGACTATGACAGAGTCGCTATTGTGAGTGCTCTTGGCTCGACTTTAGCACTGAATGAAGCTTACCCAACCCCCCTTGCCAGATTCCCAACCCTTCGGTCCCTGCCCTCTACGAAGATGCCTTGGTGTACGAGACTGGCACGGCCATCACATCTAGCGGTGCGCTGAGCGCATATTCCGGCAAGAAGACCGGTAGATCACCGTCAGACAAACGCATTGTCAAGGAACCGACATCAGAAAACGACATTTGGTATGTTCCAAGCGTGCCCTCCCCTATCTTCAATGGCTACCCACCGGTAGCAGTCGCCGGTGTTATGGACAGAATGTTAACCATATCGTTTCCAATAGGTGGGGACCCGTCAATAAGCCCATGGCCCCTGAAGTAAGGCGCATCTCTATTCTTGCAATCTTCTCCCCGTTGCACCTGCATCTATCAGCGCTATTCTGGCCGTTTGGCGATTCCGTGCTGCGTCGGCCATGAGCACTGTGAATTAGGTTCTCACGGCCAGCCCCTTCCGGGTGTGCAGCAGTATTCCGGGTCAAATCATGCACGAACGTCATTTTGCTTGGCGGCGTGCGAGTAATGGCAAGCGCGGTAGCCCGGTTGCCACGATGTGTCGCGTGGGCGATGTGCGGCGACATCATGCGTCTGTCGTGCGGCCCTCTGCCGCGGCTTGCCGCCCCCTGTCACTGTCGTCATAGGCTGCATCCCGTCGTCCGGGTCCAGGCCGCCGCCCCACATCCCAGTAGCCGATCTCCCCCGCTCCCCCGCAAAATCCTACATCACGTGAACCCCTGACCGTGACCAACTCTGAGGGCTGAGGACTAACCACACGTGCTTCATACAGGTCTGGAAGATCAACCGGGAGCGTGCAGTCGACTACCTCAACACGAGAAACCGTATCTACGTGGTTGACGGGTATGCGGGCTGGGATGAGAAGTACCGGATCAAAGTGCGCGTCGTCTGCGCGCGCGCCTACCATGCCCTCTTCATGCGCAACATGCTCATTCGGCCGCCGCGCGAGGAGCTGGAACACTTCCACCCCGATTACACAATCTACAATGCCGGCTCTTTCCCCGCTAACCGCTACACCGAAGGCATGACTTCCGGCACCTCGGTCGCCATTAACTTCGCCGAGAAGGAGATGGTCATCCTTGGCACCGAGTATGCTGGCGAGATGAAGAAGGGCATCTTCACAGTTATGTTCTACGAGGGCCCTATCAAGCACAATATCCTGACCCTGCACTCGTCGGCCAATGAGGGCAAGAACGGCGATGTCACTCTCTTCTTCGGCCTCTCGGGCACCGGCAAGACGACACTCTCCGCGGACCCCAACCGCGCGCTGATTGGCGATGACGAGCATTGCTGGAGTGACCGCGGCGTCTTCAACATCGAGGGCGGCTGCTATGCGAAGACGATCGGCCTGTCAGCCGAGAAGGAGCCAGATATCTTCAACGCCATCCGCTTCGGCTCCGTGCTTGAGAACGTCATCTTCGACCAGGACACGCGTGAAGTCGACTACGACGATGCGACTCTGACCGAGAACACGCGGTGCGCGTATCCGATCGAGTACATCAGCAACGCCAAGATCCCGTGTATGTCCAACAACCACCCGTCCAACATCATCCTCCTCACCTGCGACGCTAGGGGCGTCCTCCCGCCCATCTCCAAGCTCAACGGGGCGCAGACCATGTTCCACTTCATCAGCGGCTACACCTCCAAGATGGCCGGCACGGAGGATGGCGTGCTCGAGCCGCAGGCGACCTTCTCGTCATGCTTCGCCCAGCCCTTCCTGGCGCTGCACCCGATGCGCTACGCCAAGATGCTGGCCGACAAGATCCAGGAGCACAATGCCAACGCCTGGCTGCTCAACACGGGCTGGGTCGGCGCCGGCTTCTCCCAGGGCGGCAAGCGCTGCCCGCTCAAGTACACGCGCGCCATCCTCGACGCCATCCACTCGGGCGAGCTTGCAAAGGTCGAGTACGAAAACTACGAGGTCTTCAATCTCCAGGTGCCCAAGTCGTGCCCTGGCGTGCCATCTGAGCTGCTCAACCCCAAGACGGCCTGGACCGCGGGGTCCGACAGCTTCGACCGCGAGGTCAAGAAGCTGGGCGCTCTGTTCTTGGAGAACTTCAAGAAGTACGAGAGCGAGGCGACCGAAGATGTGATTAAGGCTGGTCCGGTTGTTTGAACGGGCCTGCCTTCTCTACCGGTCTCCGTTTCCCCTTTCTTGGATTTCTTGGTATAGACCCTTTTTCGCCAACAGCATTGGGTATGGGCGCTCTGCTTTGTGGTTACATCGATTTTTTTTCCTTATTCGCTTTATCGTTGGATGAAAACACTGGATACGGTTCTTGCGCCCAAGGGTTTTACATGAGTTATCACGTCGCGGCGAGACATCGCACGGTACTGCCGAAGGGTGCGTCGTCGGTCGTTCTGAAACGGATGGAATATATGTTGCTCGTCCCTGCATTACGCAGTCGGCGATGGGCACTGGTTTTACGAGGTTCGGACTGGATTTACCAGTGTCGGACGAATACTGCTAGGAGCAGCGACCTGCTTGATAACGCCAATGAAGAGTGAAAGTTTGGTTCGAGCGTATGTGCAAATTAAATGTGTGCTTTGATGCTGCCGGTGGCCAAGCGCGTTGCATCGGAAGAGGACTTCGGCACGGTCTCAGCGAGTCGTTTGAGCGAGGGCGATAAAGCTGAAAATGCCATCTCGGAGTCTCGGACCGCGTTTCAGCTCTGTCAATAGCGCCATGCATGTGCCGCGGCGCGATGCCACCCACGCCCACACCACCGACAACTTTGCGATTATGGAAGCTATGGAAACTAAATAAATAGAAAGTCCGGACGTGCGGTCTTTTGAGTTTGGCTGTATACTACTACACTAGGCAGCGTCCGACAGCTCTCATCCAGACGCACCCTGCCCCGACTCACTGTTCGGCAACCATGGCGTTGAACTCGGATTCAGACTTTCAAGGCGCTCATGACTTGGACTATCACTATGCACCGCTCACGCAACCCGGCTCCATCCGCCTGCTGCGCCTGTATCCCGCAACTTCCGGCTCGGAAGAGGTCCATTTCACCCTACACCCTGCCCAGCTCAACGACAAACCCGCCTACGAAGCCATATCGTACTGTTGGGGCGACGAGAACGACACGCGGGTCGTGTTTTGCGATCAGAGAGTTCTCCGCGTCACGGTCAGTCTCTACACAGCGCTCAAGCGCCTCCGCCATGCCGACCGAGAGCGCATCCTCTGGGCCGACGCTGTCTGCATCAACCAGAAGGACGATGACGAAAAGGGTCGGCAGGTGCAGCTCATGAGCCACATCTACTCGCAGCCCACCCGCGTCCTGATCTGGCTCGGGGAAGACATGGAAGGGCTGGAGGGCCTGACCGAGTGCCTGAGGGGCGCAAAGGAGGTGTTGCCGCCGGAGTCGCACGATCACGACGTGCTCTTTGAGAACTCGAAGAAGATCCTCTTGGAAGCACGCGTGGGTACATTTTTCCTCTCATAACGCCCCGTGATTGCAGTGAGTGGAGTGAGCTTACCTTACACGACCCGCTCTCCGAGGCTTTGCAGAGACTCCGAGAGGAAAAGAAGCCGAATCTCCTCGACCACAACTGGGAGCCGATGAACAACTTGCTCTGCCGCCCGTGGTTCGGCAGGAGATGGATCATCCAGGAGGTCGTCGTGGCCGATGACACCGTGCCCAGAGTCGCCATCTGCGGCGACCTCGAATTCCCATGGCAAGACCTGGCGAGCGTCGCCTACATCATTGGTTCGTACTGCCTCTATCCGATTATTGCGGGTTTGTCGATGGCCAACTGGAAGTCGCCGCGCATGAGCTCATATCTGCAGCAGAACGGCAGGCCTGTCCTGATGCTCGGCGTTACATATATGGTCTATCTGCGGAAGCACTACCGCGGCCAGGGCAACCTGCTCGACTGTGTTGTCGCCACCTTCCAGTTCCGGTGTGGAAACCCGGCGGATCACCTGTATTCGCTTCTGAGCTTGCCGCGGAAGCCCAGTCGCATATTGCCGGACTGCAGTGCCGGCATCGTGCAGATTTATCTCGACTTCGCCGAAACAACTCTCGTCGGCGAACAGGATCTCAAGCTCCTGAGCCTGGCTCCGCACACCAATGTTGTAGAGGATGTGCGCGAGGATAGGCTCCATCTTCCCTCCTGGGTTCCCGACCTGTCCCGGCAGGGCGAAGTGCAGCCGCTCGTGTCTTATGCAATCCGGCGACAGCCCTTCCACTCCGGAGGCGACAAGAAGCCCCTTCCTATCTTTGTCTCAGAGGACGGTGGCGGAAAACCGCTCCTCCATCTGCGAAGACGCATTGTCGACAGAGTCGAAGAGACGGCTCCGTGCTCCTTCAACCTTCCATTGCCGCGGGCAATCGAGGTCCCCGGGTACGTGCGGGTGTTAGGCCTGTCCTCCCTGTTCAGACTACGCATGATGAGATGGCTCCAGGGATGTCTAGCAGTGGTCGCCAAGGGAATTCGCAACGTTCCGAAGCACGCCAGGGTGACAGACTTGCCCACCCAGTTCAGGCTGCGCACGATGTGGTGGCTGCAAGGAGGCCTGATGGTGGCTATTGGAGCGATCTGCCGGGTCATTGAGCACGCCAGGATAGGCTTGTCCAGCCAGTCCAGACTGCGCATGATAGATTGGCTCAACGAACGGCTGCTGGTGGTCACGAGGAGAGTTTTCTGCGCAACGACACATGCGCTCGGGGCGGAGATGTCGCGGGACATTGCGCAGACGCTCATGTGCGGCATGACGGGGATGCGGGACCCCCTGCCCGAGGAAGTCATTCCCGCAGCAGAGGAGTACATACACTATGTCTTTGACTTTTGGGACCCAAACCTCTTGTTGACAGACGAGAGGAAGGAGCGGCTGCTCACATACGGCGCACTGATTGAGCACTCATTGTTGGGAATTGCGGAATCGCGGTGCTTGTGCCGCACCCAGGGGGACGCCTTGCCCAGGTGAGGAGGGAGGCGAGGGCCGGGGACGTGCTTTGCGTGATCATGGGCGCCGAGGTGCCGTATGTTCTGCGTCCGAGCCCGGAGAAGGAGGGAAGATACACTCTCATCGGAGATGCTTATCTCCATGGGATGATGTAGGGAGACGCGATGGTGGATGAGCGATACGAGACGGTAGATATCGTGATAGAGTGAGAATCGGCTCGCTTGTTTCAGACACATCTGATCAGCCGGATAGATAGCGTATTAAATATCATGGCCCAGAATGAGAGCCCTTGACCCCATAGCTCTGCGGTCACTGTCCGCTATTGCTAACGTCTTCGAGGCAACGCTCCGTCATCGTCATTAATTCTTCGGCGTCAGAACGTCATCGAGTTCCTCTTCCTTCGCTTTCCATTCCCCACCCCCGCGACGGTGAGAGATTCCGCCATTGGAACCACCAATTGACCGATGCGTTCAATCGTCCACTGTCGCCAACGCTCCGAACACTGTGCCACCAATGCTTGTTGAGATACAGCACGTCACGCGGCCTCAGCTCGACCTCTAGCATACCCTCTGGTGGGGCTGCAGACCAGACGGCATCAAAAAACGCCTTCCGCTCAGGCCCTTGCATCATCTCTTCGCCCCTGATGAAAGGGCTGCCCGGGCCACCTAACCCGCGCTTGACCTTTTGGAATAGCATCAACCCTGCCTCGGGCGGCATGAGCCGGATCACCTTGGAGCCGGCGAGCTGACAGAACAGGTTGTGATTGGGGTCACAGTGCCATGGAGTGTATGTCGGTTCAAGGCCGAGCCAGAGGCTACTGCTATAAACGTCGGGCACCGCATTGTCCACCGGGGCGGGATCCGCTGCGGCGAGAAATTCTGGCATGGGGAAGTCGTCCTGGAGTTCTTTTGGCAAGTCTGACAGGGGAAATTGGGTGATGTAGAGATCGGCGAAGCACTCGCGGGCCAAGTGCGCCTTGTTGTACGCCAGGGCCGCGACGAACAGAGCGAACGGCGCGTCAAAGCGAATGAACCGCGTTGTTCCCAACTCGCCATCTCCGGCGAGTCTGGGCCTGTGCGGATCGACGCTGGTTTGCAACTCCAGCAGCACACGCAGGCTTTGGTAGAGCGGATCGCCGGAATCTGTGAGCCACTGCATGAACTTGGCGAGACTGCGCACTGAGGATTCTCGGTCTGTTGTATTTAGACTGTCCAGCACATCGTCACTTGAGCGTAACACCAACTCGAAGGGAACCATATGGTCATTCAACCGCTCTGACAGATAAGGAGACAGGTCCGCGGAGCTCCTCTTATGGTTGGGTATGAACCACTTTTTCGACCCGGGGAAGAAAACCGGTGGTTTGCCATTTGATCTCGGGATGCAATCCCCGTGTATCGAGGGTACATCATCTGGATCAGTCTGTTTGCGGAAGACAACGGCTTTTCCTTGCGAACTAACGCAGACTTTGCGGAACGTCACCACATCGACCGGGGATTCGAACTCCTGGATTTTACACTCGGATTTGGGAGCGTTGGCAGACAAATACCGCCTTGCCGCGAGACGGAGCTTCGCATAGAAACGTGGTGAAGTGTGAAGCATTGTTGAAAAACGATAGAGCTTCACCAACTGAGTCGATGTATGGGTAATACTTTGCGTAAGAGGCTCCCTTATCTTACACACGCGCGTAAGATGGTAACTAATAGTGCCGCGCGACATCACATGATAGCCTCCCTCTCCATTAAGCCAGGCAAGGGGCTGTGGGGCTGAGCACAGGCCACATACTACCAGCCAAGCCTCCCCACTCAGCAAAACTGAGGGACGTTGGCAGGGGGCTTGACCACAATCAAGATCAGCGAAACACACACGGCGACAGCATCTTGGTTCGACTTGTCGTTTACCGGTTCGCTGGCGCGCAACACCAGTACACATATCATTGCTGCACGCGCGATCATGTTAACATCATAGATCGATTGTTCTGCTGACGCGACGGGAGCAAGCGGACCGCCCATAAAATCCCGGAACCCAGCGCGCCAACACGCCCACCACCGTATCTCAGCTCTTCATTAGCCTTCTTCCCTTCCGCCCAACAGTCCACCCCTAGCCGCGCCTCGCGGCCTCGCCATCATGTCAACGTCGTCTGGGACCCCGGAATCATGGATTTCATCCTTTTGCTCCTTGCTCGGCCATGAATATTTCGCCGAGGTGTCGGAGGAGTTTATCGAGGATGACTTCAACCTTACTGGCCTGCAAAATCAGGTCGCCATGTACAAGGAAGCGCTAGAGGTATTGTTATCTTTAGCTTTGCATCTTGGCAGTCCCCGATGGTACTAACACCCAATCCTCCTGGTGCGCAGATGATCCTCGACGTTGAGCCCGAGGATGACGAAGATGACGAAGACGAGGAGGAGGAAGATGAAGAAGACGTATCGGGAGGGGATGGCCCAGGCGGGCGAGCGCATGGCGAGAGGAGACACCACAGCCGCGTCGCTAGCGACTTATCGGTGATTGAATCGTCCGCGGAGATGCTTTACGGGCTTATTCACCAGCGATTCATCTGCTCGAGGGCGGGCATCCAACAAATGTCGGAGAAGTACGAGTTGGGACACTTCGGCGTCTGCCCGCGGGCAAATTGCAACCAGACCAGAACGCTGCCCGTCGGTCTCTCCGATATACCTGGCGAAGACACGGTCAAGCTGTTCTGCCCCTCCTGCCTAGACGTCTACGTCCCGCCGAACAGCCGCTTCCAGACGGTCGATGGCGCCTTCTTTGGCCGCACGTTTGGCGCGCTCTTCCTCCTTACGTTTCCCGAGTACGACCTGTCCCGGACGGCTGCCGAGACCGCTGCCAACCTTCCCCGGTCGGCCACCGAGCAGGGCATGATTAACGGCATGTATCCTCACAACATCGCACCCGGCCTCGGCCGCTTGAAGATCTACGAGCCCAGGATCTACGGCTTCAAGGTATCCGAGTATGCGCGCTCGGGTCCGCGCATGCAATGGCTGCGCGACAAGCCTGACAACATGGACGTGCTAGATGAAGCCCGCAATTTTGCCGACGAGCATGGTGAGCATGGTGGTGACTCAGACGACGACGACGAGAGCATGAGCATGAACGGTGGGAGACCGACGGCGAGGAGACGTCCGGCTGGGAACGCGAGGCTGAGACAGAGGCAGCGACATAACGGGAGTCCTATGGTTGTCGATGTCAACGGGGCCGAATCGGAGCTTTAGATGGCATTAAGGGGACAATCATAATACCAGCAACTAAGCAATACTGTGACAGCCGTTCCGTCCTCGTGGTGCGAAACGGCAAAATAGGAAACCAGACTCCTTTTCCGCCTGCTTCATCCAGCTTGGCATTGTTGGCGTTCTTGCTTGTTAATCATAGGGTGTTGAAACCGACGAGCACGCAGAGTAGCTTTCTATCTATAACGTGAAACCCTACATAGGGTTATAGTGGTGCCGTGAAAGCCTAGAAAGAAAGTATCCCGCGTTCCCTCTAAATATTTCAAGGTTACGCGTTGCTCTTTTTACTGATTTCTACCGACAAATTCTGTGCTACCCTCCTGAACTCTATAATATATAATCCTTTTTTTTTCTTAATCCAAACTCGGTGCGTGTTTCTTCCTCTCAACACCAAAAAGCCACGCCGACTCAGTCTTCACAGCGCAGCCGTCCATACCATAGTTCACATCAGGTAGTCTCCAGCGCGAGACTATATCATTTCAAGTTACCCTTTCTCGAGCTCTCAGAGAGATAAGTTGCTAGTAGTAGCTATCCCGAACGTAGAATCAGAGGTTGCCTAACTACTTTCGCAGTTGGGTTTTTATATTATATCGGTTAACCGTTATAATTAACTCTGACAAAGCCGACGGGTTCGGTGTGACGAAACCTCGGCAGTCCTGCCTCTGAAAGGGTTCGCCGGTCGAAGGTAGTCTGGTCGGGCTATAGGTCTCGGTGGAGCCAAAAGGTTCATAACGCTGCAATCCGCAATGTCTGCACAGTAGAGTAAAGGCTACTGCTTGAATTGCTCACTGAGGAAGCTAGCTATCTAAATGAGTAATAGAATAGTGGGTTTATATATAACTTCCTCCCTAAGGTACCTTCGTACCTGGATCCCTAGAACATTTGGAACAATTGTCGTTCCCATTGTTCCATCTAGAACAATGCTCCTTGGCGTTGTTCCTTGGGAACAATTGCTCTTGGCATTATTCCCAATCTTCCCACTTATCATTGGTCCTTCCCGGTCCATAATGATTGGATACGGGCGCTGCCCGCTGACTATGCAGGTCGGCCCCCACTGGCCTCTGCAGGTTAATTCATGACAAATCCCTAGGGGTTTAACATAATATAGCTATAGTCTCTTACAACTAGCCGTGGCCGTTTCTAGTTAGCAAACCCCCGGGGGGCGGACTCTCTAGCGACCTTCGGCCGTTACTAACTTAGGACTGGGACCGGGACTATAGGATGGTTTGGAGCTCCTATATGCTGACACCTAGCATAGTACGTCCCTATATGCCCGTGGCAATACGGCGGGGCCGCTTCGTGGCTCTCGACCCCTAGACGTTAATGGATACTAAATAACGGCGTCACCATCCTGGCGCCGCAGATGCCCGCCGGCTACTGCACCTGCCTGTACGAGCTCAACCTCTTCACGCGCCTGATTAGCGGCATAGTAGTGGGTCCCTGTCAGATTCACGGTTCCTTGGGCTGTTCAAGGTACAGGTACCCGAACCCTTGCCGGTGGCACATATTTCTCGGGAATTTCCAATAGTTAAGACCAAGGAGACTGCATCTCGATCAGTATCCAAGAATCTCGGTTTCTGATCAATCGGAGAGTTTCACAGACGGGTTGCAGGATCTGAAAAAGCCAAGAAGTGCTGTATAACTCTAATTTTAATGATTGAAGCGTATCAGTAGAGGTTGAGGTCGGAATTTGTGTAGCTCTCTTCGGACCCGACCGAGCTTGGATTTATCGCCGAGTTCAATTGTTTGCCAAGTTGCTCCTTCCGTTTCAGGAGTCGTGCATCCATCACTCACCTCCATCCACCACCGAGCTTCGATGTTATTGTTGCAGTAGATCACCAACAGCAGTTTACAGTCAAAGACCACAAACAGTTGGCGACCGTGGCTAGAAGACGAGATGATATCTCATTGACTATTATTCCTTAAGTATATTTTCTGGCTCCCATCTTCGCTGCGTTCGCTGCTTTTTGTAACTTAACAGGTTGTGGTGTAAGCTTGCATCTTCTTCAGAAGTCGTGGTGGAGTCTTGTTCGTAGTTCTCCACTCTCACTTCGGATCTGAGCGGCCGAGATTTTTCTCTTAACCTCCTCGACAAACGCGGCTCTTACCCGCGATGTCTCAAGGTATCTGCAAGACATGTCTGACATTCGTATTGTTACACTGCCTTTGGTAGCGGGAAACTTTCGTATGATGTGCACGATTGCGGGACGATAGAAAGCGCTTTCTCGACCATGCCGCGCCCCGCCGCCCCCATGCAGCTTCCGCCCCCGGATGCCGTTGCATCGACCGGATGGCCGAAATATCATCCGCGAAAGCGCCCAATCAGCCACCCCGGGCCGCCCCTCCCCACAATTGCCGGATGAGTCGACACCGCGCCATGTTTTTTCCTGGGTCTCGCTCCCGCCCATCTCCACGAGTCCACCCGCACCTTTCTTCTCGCCTTACGCCCTTTCACATCTGCCGCAGACGGCAGCTCCCAACTCCATGAAGAGGCTGCCCAAGAGCTGCTCATCCGACCATGGCCATTCTGTCCCGACCCAAGATGTCCTGGGTAGCAATTGCCTAATCGGGATGATGTTAACTACTAGTATCAGTTCACGCTTTCAAAATAACTCCACCATCCGAAACAAACGGAATTCCGACGGACACGGAGCCGGAGATTTGGAGTTTGGACAAGGTTGCCAACGTTGGATTGGTAATGATTGGAGATGCCAAGACTTTCGTATAGTCTTTTATCAGGACCCCATTTTCCTCCTTTTTTCTTTCTGTATAAGAAAGTTTCCTGTGGAGGTGCGACCGTCTCTAGGAGTTTGCTCTTCTGTGACGACTCGCGGACTCTGGAGGAGTGTCCTTCCTTGTTGTGCATGCTCCAACAGCGCCTTCTCCAGAGTGCCCTAGTCTAATAACAAAGTGCCGTTGCCACTGTTGTCTTTCTGTCCTTGACCCCCCCCTTACGAGTTGTCGTCTTAGACCTGGACTCCATATTGACTGGCACAAGAGTGCTCCTCTCACCGCCAAAGGGGCCGGTCCGCGCTGCCCATCCCAAGCCACTCACAACAATCCGGGGACACGCGCGATAATGGAGAAGGAGAAGGCGACCGTCAAGGAGGCTGCCGTCAGCCAGGTCACCAGCACCTCCTCCCAGACTCGACCGTCCACCTCTCCCGCCGCTCGGAACGCTGAAGATCTCATCGAAGAGGTTCGGCGCAACAACCCCAATGGAGCCACTCGGACGACTGGTGTCTCGGTTCGCCAGGCAGAGGCCGACTTCGCCGAGCTACAGCGCGAGTTGTCGCACATGTCTCGTGCCAGCCAGGGGCGCAGCCATGGAGACGACGAGAAGGGCTTTCCCAAGGGCGGCTTCCCCTCGTCTGAGGAGACGTTCGAGCAGTTCGATCTGGAAGCCGTTCTGCGAGGCGACCTGGACGCTGAGAGGGAAGCGGGGATCCGGCCGAAGCATATCGGCGTCTACTGGGACGGTTTGACTGTCAAGGGCATGGGTGGACAGACGAACTATGTCAAGACCTTCCCGGACGCGTTTGTCGACTTTTTCGACATCGTCACCCCGGTCAGACGCATGCTCGGCTTGGGCAAGAAGGGAGCCGAGTCCACGCTCTTGGACCACTTCAAGGGCGTCTGCAAGCCTGGCGAGATGATCCTCGTGCTGGGCAAGCCTGGGTCTGGCTGCACGACCTTTCTCAAGACCATTGCAAACCAGCGGTTCGGCTACACCGGAGTTACTGGCGAGGTCCTCTATGGTCCCTTTACCGACAAGGAGTTCATTCAGTACCGCGGCGAGGCCGTCTACAACGAGGAGGACGACGTTCATCATCCGACTCTCACAGTCGAGCAGACGCTTGGCTTTGCGCTGGATGTCAAGATCCCCGGCAAGCTGCCCGCCGGGATCACCAAACAACAGTTCAAGGAGAAGGTCATTACGACCCTTTTGAAGATGTTCAACATCGAGCACACTCGCAAGACGATAGTTGGAAATGCTTACGTGCGTGGTGTGTCCGGCGGCGAGCGAAAGCGTGTATCGATCGCCGAAATGCTAATCAGCAACGCCTGCGTCCTGTCTTGGGATAACAGCACCCGGGGTCTCGACGCCTCGACCGCCCTGGACTTCGTCAAATCGCTCCGTATCCAGACCGATCTTTACAAGACCAGCACATTCGTCTCACTGTACCAGGCTTCCGAGAATATCTACGACTTGTTTGACAAGGTCTTGGTCATTGACGAAGGAAGACAAGTCTATTTCGGCCCGGCTCGCGAAGCCAGGGCTTACTTCGAGGGCCTCGGCTTCGTCCCTCGTCCCAGGCAGACCACGCCCGATTACGTTACCGGCTGCACGGATGCCTACGAGCGCGAGTACCAGGAAGGCCGGTCCCCGGAAAACGCTCCGCACAGTCCGGCCACCCTGGAAGCGGCCTTCAGGGAGTCGAGGTTCGCCAAGGACCTGGACGAAGAGATGGCTGAGTACAAGAAGAAGCTCGCCGAGGAGGCCGACCGTTACGAGGACTTCCGCATTGCGGTTCGCGAGCAGAAGCGCGGCGGGGCGTCCAAGAAGTCCCCCTACTCCGTGGGGTTCCATCAGCAGGTGTGGGCTCTGATGAAGCGGCAGCTGCTGCTCAAGATGCAGGACGTACTCGCTCTGGTTCTCTCGTGGCTCCGCAACGTCATTATCGCTATTGTCCTCGGCACCTTGTATCTCAATCTGGGACACACGTCGGCCAGTGCGTTCAGCAAGGGCGGTCTGCTGTTTATCTCGTTGTTGCATAACGTCTTTAGTTCGTTCTCAGAGCTGGCCGGCACGATGACCGGCCGCGCGGTCGTGAACAAGCACCGGGCGTACGCGTTCCACCGGCCATCGGCGCTGTGGATTGCGCAGATACTCATCGATCAAATCTTTTCTGCCTCGCAAGTCCTCGTCTTCTCGCTGATCGTCTACTTCATGACCAACCTGGCTAGGGACGCCGGCGCCTTCTTCACCTTCTATCTGCTGCTGCTTTCGGCCAACATGTCCATGACCCTGTTCTTCCGGATTCTCGGCTGCATCTCGCCCGACTTCGACTATGCTGTCAAGTTTGCCACGGTCGGCATCACGCTCATGATCACCACTGCCGGTTACCTCATCCAGTGGCAATCCCAACAGGTGTGGTTGCGATGGATCTACTACATCAACATTGTCGGCCTGTCCTTCAGCGCCTTGATGGAGAATGAATTCAGCAGGAGCACCATGACATGCACGGCCGAGTCCCTCATCCCCGCAGGTCCCGAGTATACCGACATCAACCACCAGGTCTGCACCCTCGCCGGATCGCACCCCGGGACGCTTGAGATATCAGGCAACGAATACATCGAGAAGGGCTTCTCATACGCACCCGGTCAACTCTGGCGTGACTGGGGCATTGTTGCGGCAATCATTGTCTTCTTTCTCGTATCAGTAAGTAACATGCGTCTTTAGTGAGTCGTATTGTGCTTACGAGCCGTCGTCGATTAGAACCTTGTCGCCGGCGAGTTCGTGCGTCACGGCATGGGCGGCAACCAGGCCAAGGTGTTCCAGAAGCCGAACGCGGAACGCAAGAAGCTCAACGAGGAGCTGCTTCGGAAGCGGGAGGAGAAGCGCAAGGCCCGCGGGGAGGAGTCGGACTCGTCGGAGCTGAAAATCAAGTCGGAGAGCATCCTCACCTGGGAGAACCTCTGCTACGATGTCCCTGTGCCCGGCGGAACTCGGCGCCTGCTCGACAATGTTTTCGGCTACGTCAAGCCCGGTCAGCTTACGGCCTTGATGGGTGCGTCCGGAGCGGGCAAGACCACACTCCTAGATGTGCTTGCGGCGCGGAAGAACATCGGCGTGATTTCCGGCGACATCTTGGTGGACGGCATCAAGCCGGGCAAGGAGTTCCAACGCGGCACGTCGTACGCCGAGCAACTCGACGTGCACGACCCGACGCAGACGATCCGCGAGGCGCTGCGGTTTTCGGCCGACCTGCGCCAGCCGTTCGAGACGCCGCGCGAGGAGAAGTACCGCTATGTCGAGGAGATCATTGCGCTCTTGGAAATGGAGACATTTGCCGATGCCATCATCGGCTCGCCCGAGGCTGGCCTGACCGTCGAGCAGCGGAAGCGGGTCACGATCGGCGTTGAACTGGCTGCCAAGCCGGAGCTTCTGCTGTTCCTCGATGAGCCGACCTCGGGTCTCGATAGCCAGAGCGCCTTCAACATTGTCCGCTTCCTGAAGAAGCTCGCCGCCGCGGGCCAGGCCATCCTCTGCACCATCCACCAGCCCAACGCTGCCTTGTTTGAGAGTTTTGATCGGCTTTTATTGCTCAAGTCAGGTGGACGGTGCGTCTACTTTGGCGATATCGGCAAGGATGCGTGTGTTCTGAGGGACTACTTGAAGAAACATGGGGCCGAGGCTAAAAGCACCGAGTAAGTGTAGTACTATATGGGATCGAGCCTTTTCTTTTTTTTTTTTTTTTCTTTTTTTTTCTTTTCTTTTTTTCTCTCCTGGCTCCCCGCAACACATCGCGCAAAGGGGATGAATAACCTGGCTAACGCTCTTGGCACAGCAACGTTGCCGAGTTTATGCTCGAAGCCATCGGCGCTGGAAGCTCTCCGCGCATCGGCAACCGCGATTGGGCCGACATCTGGGCCGACAGCCCGGAGTTTGCCAACGTCAAGGACACCATCTCGCAGCTGAAGGAGGCGCGCAAGGCCGCGGGCGCGCAGCGGAACACGTCGCTCGACAAGGAGTACGCCTCGCCGTTCTGGCACCAGGTCAAGGTGGTGGTGCACCGGGCCAACCTGGCGCACTGGCGCACGCCCAACTACCTCTTCACGCGGCTGTTCAACCACTTCGTCATCGCGCTGCTCACGGGCCTGACCTTCCTCAACCTGGACCACTCGCGGCAGTCGCTGCAGTACAAGGTCTTTGTCATGTTCCAGGTCACCGTGCTGCCGGCCCTCATCATCTCGCAGATCGAGGTCATGTACCACGTCAAGCGCGCGCTGTTCTTCCGCGAGCAGTCGTCCAAGATGTACAGCTCCTTCGTCTTCGCCATCTCGCTGCTCGTGGCCGAGATGCCCTACAGCATCCTCTGCGCCGTCTCCTTCTTCCTGCCGCTCTACTACATCCCCGGCATGCAGACCGAGTCGTCGCGCGCCGGCTACCAGTTCTTCATCGTGCTCATCACCGAGATCTTCTCGGTCACGCTGGGGCAGGCCCTGTCGGCGCTGACCCCGTCGCTCTTCATCTCGTCCCAGTTCGACCCCTTCATCTTCGTCACCTTCTCGCTCTTCTGCGGTGTCACCATCCCGGCGCCGCAGATGCCCGCCGGCTACCGCACCTGGCTGTACGAGCTCAACCCCTTCACGCGCCTGATCAGCGGCATGGTGGTCACCGCCCTACACGACCTGCCCGTGCAGTGCAACCCGGAGGAGCTCAACGTGTTCCAGGCGCCGAGCAACACCACCTGCGGTGAGTACATGCGGCCTTTCTTCGAGCGCGGCGGGCCGGGCTACCTCGTCAGCAACGCCACGCAGGACTGCCAGTACTGCGCCTTCAAGGTCGGCGACGAGTTCTACGGCCCGTTGGGCTTGAGCTTCGACCACCGCTGGAGGGATCTGGGCATCTACACTGCGTTCATCGGTAGCAACTTGATTATCTTGTTCATTGCGGTATGTCTTGCTCCTTTTTTCCTCTCATGAGAATCTTGCTCGCCCTCCCGAAATGTACGCTGATGGATTTGACTGACTCCCTCATGCAGAGCCGATTTCTCAACTACAACAAGCGGTGATCGACCGATAGAACTGCTTGGCAAAAGCCTCGGGGGTGATAGAATACCCTCCCGCTTCATTTTCATGCAATAGACGTGGAATTTCTTAGACGTTGGCCTGCTACGGACATTGATTGGATGGATCCGATGATAAGGTCAGGCTTGGTTGGGTGTCTTTGGCCAGAGCAAAAAAAAGACCGTTGCTCTTCTTTTGGGTATTGCTGGCCCCGTTCGCGGCGCCAACGACCAGGCGTTCAAAAATCACTGCATAGCACTGGAGGTGAAGGTGTGTAATTCTGTTGTCTCATGGGTTCCTCAGCGGAGGTGTCTGTTGCCGCCGTACTCGAGCTAGACTTTTGACGATCATATACATAGCACGTAGCAAAGTACTAGTAGGTTAATGAATCCACAAGTCCCATGTACCGCGACAGAGACACAGAAGGGGTGGCGGCAAGATCTGATGCAGCGACTGTTAAGATGAAAAGGTGTACCTAGGTACCGGTAGTAATGACAGTTCAGACTCGACTTGACTACGAGGCCCCTAAGCAAAGAGCTCCAGACCAAACAACCCCAACTAGCACCGTGCAATGATAACAGCCTATCAAGACAGAAACTCGACACAAGGAAAACAATCATCCGATAAGAATAACGTGGGATAAGCCCACGGGTAAGTCATTTCCTCGAAGCCGTGGCCAGGGTGAATACAGCTGCGGAAATCCTTCCTCGCCACTCAAAGACACGGCTACCGTTCCTTACTAGTCTCCACCCATCACGCAGACGGGAGCTCAGATTTCTTCAAACTCAAAACGTTTAGTGGATGATCGAAGGATTTCCCGTCCCGGATTCCGCCGTCGGCTTCGTGGCCGACTCAGTCGCGGGCGCATTGGCGGGCGCAGCGCCAGGGACCGGGCCCTGAGTCTTCTCCCCGCCCGAACCCGACTGCTGCTGCTGGTCGGCGCTGCTGCCCTGCTTCTCGGTCGTGCCCAAGACCTTGTGCAGCCCGAGGCCCTTGTACAGCGACCCGCCGCCCTCTTGCTCCTTCTTGAGATCGGCGAGCCGCTTGGCCTCGTTGTGGATGTCCTGCACCTGCTTGGAGCTGGTCGTGTAGAACTCGACGAGCCTCTTGCCCGTCGGCGTGTCCTTCTTCTGGTAGAAGTACGAGCCCAGCCCCGTGAGCAGCGAGTTGGCGCGCTGCGTGATGCCGTAGCTCTGGTCCGCGGCCCGCGCGCGCTCCGTCGCGTGCCAGTTCTCGTCGAGCGCCTTCAGCTTGTTCATGAAGCGCGTCGAGATGCCGTGCTGCTCGTCCAGCGCAATCGCCTTCTGCAGCGACTGGTCCGCTACCACGTACCCGTGCGCCAGCACCTCGGCCACGATGCGCGAGTACGGCTTCTCCTCCTGCCGGAGCTCGCCCGTGTTGTTGCCGCCCTCCTGGGTGGAGGGCTCCTGGGCCGGCGGTGCGACGTTCTCCCCCGTGATGGTGATCTCGTTGCCGCCGAGGTTGGTGTGGTTGAGCAAGAGCGCTGTGCTGGCTGCCGAGGGCATCTCAAAGGTGACGGTGGCACTCTTGGTTGAGCCCTCAGTTGTGACCTTGATGGAAGCAACCTTGCCGCTGGGGACGGAGAAGGGTTAGCTTAGGGGAGCCAGAAAAGCACATGAGCGCGTTGACTGAGGGCGTCAAGCGACTGTATAGGAGGGTGCGCCAGGGGGGTCGGAGGGCGTCCAGGTGCCTGAACTCACCAGAACTTGAAGAAATCTTCGATTTCGGCATCTGTGGCTTGGGCGCCAATGTTCGTGGCATGAATTGTGGTACTCATCTTGGCGAGGCGATGCTGGATTGCTTTGATAGTTTACGAATCTGCAGTGCTGATGAGCCGAGCTTAGTTTAACGGTTTCGCTGCGTTGTGGAAGAAACTGTCAGATTCAAGTCTTACCTAAGGTTGTGATCTCGCTGGGAAAAGGGAGGAGAGGAAACTGGGCAGCAGTTGCCTTACCTTTTTCTTCAGCAGGACGCGTACTACTCAGGCCAGGAGCAAAGTGGGTGCCAGTGAGCTCTCTAGAGAGGAGGGGCGAACCATGTCGTCACTGCGGGGCAGCTCAGTTGTGGGGCTCTTGCGAGCAACTGCATGCATGTGACAAGCAAACTGACAAACGGTACCTATAACCAAGACACTTTATTTACGAACCATACATGTAGTATCAACTGGAGATGGATGCCTCATCCCTGGTCAGGGTTCGAAACCGTCCGTTTAAACTCCGGGATGAAGGCTACAGGTATAAGGTTGAGTGAACATTCGAAACTTGTAGCATGTATGTACGGATTACTAGTAGTCGCCAAGCCATATCAACGTTACAACTTGGAGTATTACACATCACACAGCCATGGTCAGGCGTTGGGCGAAGCAGCGAGACGTGTTTTCCATGACAGACACTTCCTGACTGACGACTGTACTATAGGACTTCACAGATCACATCAGGTCATCGACTCTCTTGGAGACATGAGTCCTCAATTGGGTGATTCTCTCTAAGATACATTATTCATTGACTACTTAATCATAAAGCCCACTTCCTCTTCCCGACGGGCAAAGCAAGAGGTTTAGGTGTTGACCCGCTTCTCAAACTTCTTATCAACCTCGTCCTCCAACGGACCCCGAGGGTTCGATGAGAGCTTCTGTCTGCCGTCAGCGGGCCGGCTTGGTTACAGCCTTGGAGGAGTACCAACCTCTAGAGCATCCTTGTTGGCATCCTTCTTGTGCGAGGCGTCATCGGTGCCGGTTCCTGATGCGGGAACGTCGTGCATCTGCTTGCCCGAGGACCGCGAAGGGGGAGGCGACTGGCCGCGCTCAGCTGAATCGGAAGGCATGATGATGGCAGAGTTTATTCGCCTCGGAATGTCTAGAACATCCCCAGGTGAGTTAGCTGCCGTATGCGAACAGCTGACGACACATGTCTTAGGAGTTGACATACACTGTTGTTGTTGTTGAGTTTTGGGGACGTTGGTAGTTTGTCAAATTGACTGTTGTAGCTTGCAAGTTGGGAAATAGAGCTGAAAACCGGTGCGATTTAAATATCTATACGAGGCATACAGCCTTCCCACGGTATGCAACTTGATCTCATCCGGCTCGTCCTATCCGGATCCCTCAACCCATTACATCATTGACCCGTCTCGCATACCCCTCCCACCATGCTCGGGATCCACTTATCGCAGCTTCCGACGACCCACTCATGAACCGGCAGTTGCGGGCCTGCTCGGCAACGGCGGGGCTGAAGCCGATCCACCGCTTGTTGGACCCTCCTTCTGTTCAACCCAGTGGAAACGCCACCTTGGGTTGTGTTAGAACGCCATTCGCTGGCCGTGTTTATCGCTCTGACCACGAGTGTCAAACGCATTTCCGCCTTCTCCATTCTCGGCCTCAACTACGCGGCCAGAGCCTCAAGCAGTTCGGGAGTTGACGCTCTGCTACGACGTCGCCATGCCCGATCTCAACTCAGTTCCGCCGTCTCCCCACTTCCTCGCCGCGTCGTCGCGTAGTTCCTCTGCGCAGCAAAACCCCCAACCGCCTGCGCCGGGTTCGCCTTCGTTACACATCCTTCCTTCGAATCAGAGCACCGTCAACCCGCCTGTCGCATCCCTTTTACCGTCGCCGCGTCTTCCGTTAGCCGGCTCGTTTATAGGGCCGTCCATGGGCGACAATACCGGCGTAGGCGCGGGGCCGGGGCCCTCGCGGCATCCACGTCCTCTGACCGCTGCCGACCTTCATCTGCAGCTGGAGAAGGAGCAGGAGGCTGTGGTATGTTGTATGTGCGATGACCGACTCGCATTATCTGACTTTGCCTCGTCCAGGTCAACCGCCTAAGCCGCGAACTCTCGATCCTTCGCGCCGCCCAGAACGCGTCTGTCGCTTCAAACGCTTCCTCCACCTCGGCGACGACATCGGGAATTGAGCCCGGACCGACTAGCCACTACCCGCCCGTCCGCCACCACCGCACGTCCTCGAGCGCCAGCACGCGCAGCGTCGCCGCCAACGTCGGCTCGGTCACGGGTACCTCCCTGGGCGGCATCTCCTCTCCCGCCCCGATCCGCCCCACCGCACAGCCGCCTATCGCAATCGGAGGTATCTCGCTCAGCAGACAGAATAGCAGCGCCTCCCGCCGCAGCAGGACCGGATCCCCCTCCCCGGCCACATCTTACTCCCTCTCCGGCAGCTACACACAGCACCACCACATCAGCGAGCCCGGCTCATTACCAGGGTATTTCAGCGCGAGGGTACCTGCGCCGGTTCGCTCGCTGTCAGGCAACACTCCGGCCACCAGCAGCACGCCAGCGATACCGACCCCGGGGTCAACATCAACAACGACTACCCCGTCTGTGATGACAACCACAAGCGAGTTGTCACCCGGGATACTACCCGCCACGTCGCGGTTCGAGGAGGCTGCGCTGCGGCGCGCCGAGCTGGAAGAAGTCAAGCGGGAGAACGAGGCGTTGCGGCGCAGGGTGCGTGAGTTGGAACGGCTGGTGCGAGAGGCCGCTGAGCAGCAGCGGCGGAGTCAAGGTCTGGGTCAAGGTCAAGAGGGGCAGGGGGAAGCCCCCGGGTCGAGAACGGCTGAGACCGCGCTGCGCTCTGCGGTGAGTGTGACTGGGGTCGGCGTGCCAGAGGAGGAGGTTAAGGTTGGTGAGAGCGCGGCGAGTGATGGATTAGGGAGGGGGAGGGAGCGGGAGAGGGAGTGATGCGCTCGCTTGACGGGGTTCTTCTCATTCTCTTCGGTTCCCTTCTCTAGTCTGCTTGCTCTTGTCGTATGCTTTTAACTTGCCTTTATCTTGCTTTGGTTTCGGCTGGAACATGGCGTTCTGCTTGTCGCTCCTTGACTGTGGACTGGGCTGGTATTCATTATCCTGGTTTGTTGAGGTTGATGGGCTTTCGATTCTAGGGTATATGCGTTGGGAAAAGTCAGGGGGTTCTTGGGCGTTTCTGTCTGTCTGGTTACGGGACTGTGTTGTTCTTTTCGAACAGGGGCCTTACAGAAAGGACGACTCTGGAGAAAAGGAGTGTGCATTACTGGAATAATGGGCACCTATTGTTGTTGGTTACCACTCGACTACCGTGTGAGCATTCAGTTCCTTGCTCTGCGGAGCATCGAAGCAAGGTCCTTATGTGGGAGTAGCAACAAGAGATCGATTCTCAAGCTGCGCTGCAAGCACTACGCCGAGGCTCCTGCGGCTCATACGAAGCTTTGACTTTGATCGATCGGATCAAAGAAAGATGGTAGCAGAAAGTTGACAAGGCCTTTTAGTCCTCGCCAACTCTTTTGTCAGCCAGAACGGATGTCGGTTGTCTGGCACTGGTCCCAGGTCGCTAATTCTCCAGCACGTCAATAATCCCAAACAGAGCTTTCAAGTGACTTCGAACAATAGCTTACATCGCTTCGGCCAAGATCTATTGGGAAAACCAATTCACAAGCGGTTCGGTGCTTCTCGAACGATGAACAATGCAGAACCATCCATCATGAAACTAGGCCTCAGATTCCCCATGTATCCCATGCACAAGGGCTTTCCAGAAGTCCCATGTCACCACGGCGTCTATTCTTCTTGATCTTATTCAGTTCAATGCGTCTAAAAGCGGCATTCATGTGACACATTTAAAGATGCCACCAAAGCTCGTGTAGTCGGTCGAACACTGCTTTCTTCATCGCCATCCTTTCTTTCACCACCCCTAACACCCTATCGGTCAAACAGTCACGATGTCGGACCACTACGAGACTATGGCCAAATATCTCTACGATTGCGGTTGGGAAACCATCGCCAAACGCCCCCTGCGACACCGAGACACTAACCCGGAAGACACTAACATGGAGACCCGCACATTCCTGAACTATCTCACTGTCCAGGATGCAGGTTTACCACCTCCTTCACGCCCGACACAGGCGAAGTCGGCAGTTGCTGAAAAGGCCAGGGATCCGCGAAAGGTGAGCTTTGCACCCGACACACAAGAGCCAGTTGCCAGGTCAAGAAGATATTATTCGGCATCGCCTCCTCCTCGAAGCTCAACAGGTAGCTCGGAGCGAGTTGCCGGGCCCAAGCGCTATTCGGCGTCGCCTCTTCGACGGTTACCTGGCCCGAGTAGGCCCAGCAGCCGGTCAATCAGCCCCATCACCAGCCCGAGAACATTTTCGTCGCGCGCCTTCAAGTTGTCCGTGCCGTGGCCGAGTCAAGCCTCGCCCGTGGAATGGTACGGCGTGGTCCCCGTCCTGCGCGACCAGGCCACGCACGCAGTCCTCTCGCACTGCGCGCCATGGTCGTGGGTTTCCGACCCCGTCCCCTCGGCCGCAGAGGAGCAAGCCCTGTGGCAGCAGATCGTCTACCGCCCCATCGACCTCGCGGCCAAGCTCTGGGCGCTCAACCGGCACAACGCCGGCCTCCGGCGATCGCTCGAGTCCTTTGCCACATCCTTGCACATCGCCGCCAACCACGCATCAGCAGCCATCACCTCGACACTGATGATACCTCCCAGCAGGTGGTGGTGGTGGTACCAGGATCACTTCGAGGACTGGGTCTGGACCATGTGGTCCGTCAGAGCCCGGCTCGAGAAGCTGCTCAAAGCTCTCAAGAAAGCCCTCGCCCGCCGCGAGGAGATGGTGCGTCTCATGGACAAGATCAAGGCTCTCGCGACAGAACTACTACTACTAGCGGCAACAGCCGAGCCCGAGCCCGAGCCCAAGCCTAAACATACACTTGCCGTCTACGTCTACTACCTGCTCCGCCTGTTTAAATAGCCCGCCGCTGCAACTCCAAAATCGCCTACCTGTCTAGCATCCGGCATGGTTGGTTTCTGTGCTGCGCTGCTCCCCGCGTTGGAGGCGGTGGAGAAGGGGATGGACAGGCTAGTGACGACGGCGATGGTGGGTGATACAATAAGGTGTTTGGAGGCGATGCGGGAGGCGGCGGATCGTCTTATTGGCCTCGCCAATGCCAACGGGGTGTCGTTGGCGGCGACAATGACGACGCAGAATACAGACAGCGAGGGGTTATTATTACCGGACGAGACTGAAAGAAACGAGGAGGGGAGGATGTATGAATTGGAGAAAAGGGGCGATCACGGAGAGGAGGATAAGAAAAGCGAGGATGACAAGAGAAACGAGGAGGATATGGCAGAGGACGACGATAAGGCAGAAGACGTTGATAAGATGAAGAAAGAGAAACAAGGAAATGATGAGGTTGTTGGAACGCTAGAGAAGGTTGCGGCGTGGTATCGACGGGTATTGGACAAGGAGGGCGCTTTGAGTTCCATGCGCGGGAAAGGCTCCAGCGCGAGAGCAGGAGATAGAAGAGAAAAGAGATGGTTGGGAAGAGGTTTGCAGAATTCACAAGAATTCTGGGAAGGACAGAGCGGGTATATCGGGGGTTGGATGATGTGATGGGCGGGCTGGAGGCGGGAGCCAAGGTCATGAGACAGGGTGTATAAGTAGCGGCCCACCGTGGTTCATTGTTTGGATAGCTGAAGGCGGGAATTTTTCTGTTTCTTTCCCCCTTCTCTCTCGGTCTTCTTCATTTTCTCCATTTTCTCCATCTCTTCTACTTCGGCTCGTTTGTTTGGTCATGCGTCGGACGACAGGACGCAGAGGCGCATATCCCTTGTAGGATACGGCAAATCGTGAATAATCGGCGATACTAGGTTACTGCAAACCTATTTCATAGTCGGAATAGAGATGGTTGGTTCTAGTAGGATGGTTTGATGGGATCTTGCAACGATGAGACAAAGTGAGTATCGTCCGCACATATACGGAGTATGCCAGCGGCTGCCTCGATTCCCGGTGGCTGGGCTTGAAACTGGGCAGTTTCATCGCTGCTGAGTGGCTGCAGGAGACCGGGATGTCCGTGACTCATTTCTAGGATACAATGATGCTCTCCGTAATGAATGTACCTACCCTCGCTACCATATGTAAACTACTAGTAGAAGAGCCTCAAGCTTCCCATCACCAACTGGCCAGGGTGCTGCGTGTCCCGCTATATAGACCAATCGGAAATGCCCCGTGGACTGCGGTGACAAGCTCATTGGCTCAACGAGGGCTATAAACACCTACATCGGTGTTTCCGCTAGGAGATCGAGTATATAATTACAGGTTGTGTGTTAGAATTGCGTGGAGGCTGCCAGGGGGACCGGGGTGGCCGGGCGGTAATGATGCAGTTTGGACGGTGTTATCAGGCATTCATGCACTGGTTCTATCATCTCGGGTACCAGCCCCCGGACAGGGCTACAACCTATACCGTCATCGTTCCTTCAAAAACAATGAGCCATAATGAGCTCTTGTCGCTCTACAGACGAGAAGCTACATCTCCCCGTACTAGCAGACGAGGCACTGTACAGACAATGCTGTAGTTGTACAGAATACCGACTCCACGTACAGTGCGGTTGCTGCCTTGGATCGCGTATTGCGTCCTGCATGCGAGTGCTTTTGTATCCACTAGTTTCCCTCGTACTACGTGAGAGCGGCCGCCGGAATCAACAGAGTGCCTCACTTGCGGCTGTTGAAGAAGCGAATCCGGCAGACCGGCGGATCGGTCGATGTCGCTTGACTATCATAATACCCATGCGGGCGCTGTCACTAGTATTCCCAGTAGTCCTGCAGCATGTTATAGTGACCTACAGGCTACAGCAACCTTAAGGTCCAGGAATCCCAGACTCCAGGGCAGTCCATGCCCTGCCGCTGCTCTGGGAGGGTAACCTTGGACATGCTATCGTGTTCCTAATAGTTGCCGATTCCCTTCTTTTCCTTGACCAGTCCTCCCGTTCTCTTATTAACTTTATCCTGAAGGAGGAGACAGACTCTCTCTCTCTCTCTGCTTCATCTGCCACCGCCGCCCTCAAGCCTATAGTATCGCCCACCTTCCAACGATGGACGAGTCGGACGATTGGAAGAGTACAATCGATCACAAACGTGAACAGCTGCGCAACGAGCTGCAGAACCTCGTGCGCGCGGTGTGGGGGCCGGTCCTCGCCGATCTTGACAAGATTCTCACAGACGGGCTTCAGCGAGCAAGAGACGTGGCCCGAGACGCTATAAACACTTGGTCCGGGCGAAGTGATGAGGTAAAGGGTCATATGAGCGCATCCCTCAGGAGCCTTTTCCCCGACGGCGACGAGGCGAACGCACTTTACTACGAGATACTAGCTAGCGGAATCACCAGCGAGCAGCAGCTGGCAAGACTCACCGCCCTGGTCACGGAGTTAGACCGGAGCACTAAGACCCGTATCGGCTCTGTTGCACTGGACGCTGCCGATGTGTCCCCTGCTGCAGTAGCCTCCGACACGGATGGCGCTAAGAAAGTTGGCAATGGCAATGGCGGTGGCCGTGGTGAAACCGAAGATCGGTGCGCTAGTCAAGGCACCGGCAATAGCACCTCCTCTCGGGCAAGTGCCATCGAACGATCGACTGACATTGTGCTGGTCTCGGTGGTGGCTAACTTGTGGGTGTTTTACAGAAGACCCGGAACTACGATACGAGCGAAGCTATTCCCGGGGCGAAGAGAGCACGGCGCAATTACAGACTCGGCAACATCAACGTCAAGGAGAAAGGCAAACAGAAGCAGAACGGGACGTCGAACCTAGCGCCTATACACTACCGTTGTGCTCAAGAAAGGAGAAACTCTACTGTGCCTTCCTGTGGCCCCGCGGTCGATAACCCTAGGATGCCGATGCCCGACATGGGCACAGAACTCCACGAGCCCTCGCCGGGCACACACGGAACCGGCCAGGAGCTAGAGGGAGAGAATAACGAATCGCTTCTGGTACGCCCGACTTAGTTTCGTGCAGTTGCCCACCCGCCCTTCAGCCTTCCAGTTTCTCTGTTATTTTTGTACCCCTTGTGTCACCTTTCTTCACCCATTCCATCATCCATCATCCATTCCTCCCGCCTAAACGGACCCACCCAGGTTGAGCCCTCGGCTGCAGCGAACGGCGCCCAACCCTCGGCGACTACCACGGCCGGTGCTCAAGGAGCCTTAGCTGCGATGCAGCAACCCATCGCGCGCACGTTGCCGCTCGAGGCACAGTGTGAGCTGGCCCCGGCTTTCAATCCGGCCTATTATGCCATCACCTATCTAGGGCCAACGCCCGCCCCGCTGCCCGGCCAGGACTACCTGGCCCGGGGGGACATACTGCCGGTGATGCTCGCTGGCCAGCCAGTTGGAGCGCCACCGCTGATGTACGCCGCCGTCTATCCCACCGGTCTCCCGCTTCAACCTCTTCTCGGCGAACAGCCCTGAGTGGGGACCCCCGTATCTCTCGCATGGCACTTTCCACTTAGAGGTCGGCTGTCCAGGGGCTAACTTGCATATTGCTGCCTCGAGAGAAGATGATGAGCCCCGCGATTAGCCAGATCGTGGATGCCGCCGCCGCAGAATGGTCCGGGTTTGGCACAGTCACTGTCTCCGCGCCGTCACCAGAATGGGGATAATGTTTTCCGGCGGGCAACATGGACAATCACACGTCGGTATACATTTCGGGGGGGCGAACATGGGCGTCGGTGGCCAACATAATACTAAACACGTGCACATACCATACCTACGGTACCTATGTGTCGGGATATCAGACCATAATGGTGGAGTGTATACTAAGCCATTTATCATTCTTAACCTTACCTTCGGAGGCTCCCATTGCAATATTTAGAGTCCAGCTTCTTTATGCCTCGACCTTCGCGCCAACGTGCAAGGGGCAGAGAGATCGACGTATAGCGCCGCTTCCAAAGAGGTTCAAGACGCTAGGAATTGCAAGAGCTATGTCCGAGGTGCTTTTACATCTTTGCAGTTAGCGACAGACCATCTACGCTCCAAAAGACCACATAATATACAAGAAACAATCTTTGCCATCGCCTCCTCACACAGAGCGCCGTCTTTCACAATCTGGGGGAGGCATTCTCGAAAAGCAGAAACGTAGTTGAGGTCGAGAAGGCGGTCCTAAGCCCCCAATAGTACTACCTTCAGCTATGTCTTGCTTGCCTCTAGAAAGAGGGTTTGCCCAATAGTTATTACATCTTACCTACAGGACAACCATATGAATGTTAGTTCTTAGTGCCGACCTTACATCAATTCTCTTACTTCGTTACGTAGCTGAAACAATAGACTATACCTCGGATGCGTTATAGCACATTAACTTAACGCAAGGCATTAGAGCCAGCTGGGTGTATTACTGCCTTCTTCCCTCAGGGAGAACGGTCGCGCCACTATAATAAAGGCAGAAATATTTGGGCTGGCGCCGCGAGCCCAGACCAGCGCCGTCGTCAACGTACCCGCTATGCTATTACACGCCCGACAGTTATACCTGACTCGCAGCTATGACCCACCGTGGACTCCCTCGAGGGAGTCCACGGTGGGTCACAAATCAGCCAAGTCACGCCAGTCACGCCAGTCACACCAGTCACGCCAGTCAGCCAAGTCACCCCAGTCAGCCAAGCTGTCGCGCATAAGGTAGGTTGGTAGGTACATCGACCGTATTATGTACGCTCCTTTGAGTATTCGAATTCAACCCGCATTCAATCAAGTGGACTGAGAGGACATCGCCGGAGACGGATAGAATAATACTTACCACGGCAGTTACCACCTTCCGACCGGATTGTGACAAGCAGATTATCACCACTTGGGATCGTTAAAGGGCTGACGGGTACCTTTTTGTTAAAGGAGCAGGGGGCTGGGCGTTACCTCGGCGAAGCGGCTGGAAGAGTAGCCTTGTATTGTACACTACCTTAGCCAATGGAGCTCGCTCAAGAGGCCCGAAGTCCGCCTTCTGCTGCTCCCAGAACTTCCTGAAGCAGTGGCATATCCGACGGAGTCACACGTGTAGATCATGCCGTACCGGTGCATGAGACGTCTTGCGGGACGCAAAGAGGGTATCCTATCCTCATAAGTGCAATACCAAAAGTTGCGCTATACCGGCACAATCGAGGCCAGCGTTCGGCGCGACCTCGAACACGGAGACCACCTGTCCATCCATCCAAGAACGCCATTCGCAGCCAAAGTTCCCGTACTGGGATAGCCCGTATATCAGGTTGATACATAACCCCAGATACCAAACAGGGCATCGGTTCCCGAGATAGTATCTTCCTCCCCCTTGGTGACCGCCGCTTTGCGTAGACGGGAACCAGACTCACATCCTCACGCCCCTGACACTGACCCCTGACCCTCCGGCCCCTTTCCCGTCCCCTTCCCTCACCTCAAACACGGCAATCCCACCATCCACATCACCAACGAACAAAAACCCGCCGTCCGCCGAGAAGCACATCTCGGTCACCTTGCTCAGGTCCGACAGGTGATTCTGCACCCCGCTCTCCATGTACCCGGCCTCTGGATCAGGCCAGCACCACAGCTGCCGTCCCGTCATGGCATCCAGAAGCGCCAGACACCCCCTCGCGCCGCTTTCCACGCCGCGCGCGTCGCAGTAGGCGACAAACCTGCAGTCGGGCGAGACACACGACATAGCGTTGGGGATACGGAAGGTCTTCGTCGAGGAGGCAGAGAAGTCCCAGACCAGCACATGGCGGTACGGTACCGGGACGGGCACGAGGTTGTACCCGTTCCCGCCGCGGTCGGCCGGGATCGGGACGGCGCGGTAGGAGGCCGGGATCCAGATGGAGACTGCTACGGACCCGTAGGTGGCAAGCCCGGACGGCAGCGCGGTGTCGATTTCGCTGTGCTGCCAGGGAGCGACGACTTTGTAAGGGGTGTCTGACGGCGCGCCGTCGTGGATTTCCCACGCTGTGAGCAGGGTCTCGCGCTCGGGCGGCGGGTGGCCGAGGCGGGGTGGCCGGGGCCCGGACGCGGTCACGAGGAGCGGGCCTGTGGCGGAAAAGGCCAGCTCGGGGTATTTGGGCATGATGGGGAGGTTGGCCTTTCGGAATTCGATGGTGCGGGACTTCTTAAATGGCTTCTTGGAGTGGGTCGACGCATAGAGATCCAGCGTGTCGTTGTCGCCGTTGTAGATTGCCAAAGGGCACCAGCCAGCTTCCATGACGTTAGATCGGACTGCGGCCCAGCGGTTAGCGTTGTCGATGGTCTGGAGCTTCTTCTTCTTGCCCCAGTCCCAGATTTCCAGTGTATCGCCGAACCCGGTGGCAATTGCGATCAAGTTGGAGGGCTCGGACAGGATCGCGTGACTGCGGACAAAATACTCGCGCGAGCGCGGTTGGGCGGTGGTGTAGCAGGATATCTTGAGGTTATTTTGCACTTCGCCACTGCCGACGGACCATATCCTGATGATGTTGTTCCCATGCTTGCTGGCCAGGGTTGCGGAGGTCGTGGAGATGTCAAAGAAGAAAACCGAAGGCTCTTTAAGCGGCTTCTCGTTCGAGACCAGCTGTTTCCAGGGCACCAGGTTCACAGGCGAGGAGCTGTGTTGCGGCTGCGTCGCTTGTAGCGCTGTGCGGAACTCGGCAAGCGGCGCTGGCGGTGTTACCAGTGCCGCGGGGGTGGACGGCGTTACGCTGGCGCTACCAGATGTGGACACCCGCTCCAGCGTGCTGCCCCTTGAGGACTGAGAGTAACGGGATGTATCCCCTGATCCCGGCTCTGAACTGTCAATCGACGGCTGCGACGAGACGCGGCACGAGCTCTGGCGCACCGGGAGTGGCGGGAGCGGCTTGGTAAGGGGCGGCTGCTTTTGGGCGGGGTACAGGCTGTAGCCAGCCGATGAACCCCTGGACGGCCGTCTTTCGGATGCGTACGAATCTTTGCGGTGAAACCTTGGGGTGCTGGGAGGCTGCATCGACCCTGACGTCGACATGCGCTCTGTAAACCCGTAGGGGGAAAAGCGGAGTTGGTCATCCTCGCCAGGATACCTCGGTGACTCGGGACTGCGCGGTACCGGCATCGAACCCGACGAGGGAATTCTGCGTCGTCCATCGAACCGCTCGTCCACGGACGATGACACCGAGGGTGCACGGCGCGAGAAGTTGGATCCTGCTGTGTTCAACCTGCCAAGTGTCTCTCTGGCATCTACAGTCAGCCGCCGCACGCACCGCACACTAGCTCCTGGCATTCAAGCTTACACCATATCGTCCAATTCGTCTGTGGTGTGCGCATATGGCTCCATCTCCGCTGCCCTGGTGCTGATGGCGCTCACGATATGCCGCGTGCAGCCAATGCAGTGCTAGACTGCTTTCGAATTTGGAGTTGGAAGCGGGATCAAGATCAGCGTGTTAAGGCCCTGGCCGTTTGGCGATCCTTTCCCTTTGCCCGAGATAGTGTTGTAGTAGTGGTGTGGCAGCTACATACAGTGCTGGAACTGAGACAAAAAGACTCGGGTAGCCACGAGGGATGGCGCAGGCACGCGAGGATAAAGACGGGAATCTCGCGTGGCAAATGGGGGAGCTGCTCAATGCGGAGGGCATTTTCTGGTCACTCCGGCTGGAAGGCTCAACTTTGTCGTGTTGCTGCTTGGTCTCCTCATTTGGGACCTTTCAGGCTAGAGTCGGCTCGCAGCCAATGACCTGATGGCGGGTGTGATGGCGCTCGCTCCCTCCGCTTTTCTCCGCGCTGGCGCCAGGCACCCCTGGCCCATTGATCCGCAGTCTGTCGCTTGGCAGCACCAAAGGCGGTACCCCAGCCCGATGGTTGTGGAGCTCAGCTTGGAGATGCCCTTGTGGGACGCAGGCTCGATGAGCCGCTCTGCTTTTGCCCTTTGCACTTGATTTGGGACTTCCATTTTCCAAATGACATGCGGCGCATTGACCGGCCGCTGTGCTTCGCTTCGCTGTTGGTCAGTTCTTTGAATGCGTTTGGTTTTCTTTCAGGCGCATTTACATATCAACCGTACATGCCTTGACGGCCCATGGGGCAGGGCTGATGGCTCGCTGACACTTTCCCCGCAGCCGCCCTTGATTGCAATGGGACTACGGATACTAGTACCTGGTACTAGTAGTTCTGGCTTACTTCCAACCCCGTTACCGACATTGGTCCTGCAAAAGAAGAAGCGAAAAGTCCTTCTTGCCTTGGTCCATCTCGGTTCGGGCAACACTGAGCGGTACCTAACGGGACTAACAGCTCAAAGTCGTTGGGAAACGGCCCGAAGCATGCAACCCATTCGTCGCTGCTGCTCGAATTTTTTCGGAGCTGCTGAACTCCAAATGGCCCTGTCCCTGCAGATGCCAACTGTGTCACTAAATAACCACGTTTTCTGCAAGCCAATGCAGCCGTTGACCGGTCTTCTTTTTTACACACCTTTCACTAGAACCCCGCCGATCCTTCTGCAACGCACCGCTGGGCGAAACGGCAGAACCATGTCGGCAGCTCTACCCCGCGGCGCTGTCGCAGCCCTAGGGTAAGGTAGTTTCGGGGGGATCGTCGCCTTGATCGATAAGGCGGAAGATCGCCTGGGGTAAACGGACAACGTTACCTTCCGGACGCAGCATCCCCTCGCTTGTGCTTTCTCATCCTAGAATCAGCAATATTCGTAATTCCGGGGCAATGTTGTGCTACTGTAGCTTGGCGCTAATTTACCCCATGGGCCGATAAACCCACTTCAGTCCCAACTTGGTGGGAATGCCACGCTACCCCGCTCCTCGGAGGACTAACCCATCGCGGCAGGTATCGAGACACTAGTATAAAGTCTCGACCTTCTATCGACTCGGCTTCTCGTTTGCTTGGTGTAATACTAATAAGCGAGGGTTGCCGATTCCGATGAATTCAAGGCTAATATCTGTTGGTGCGGCCTTTGCGTGTCCATCGAAGTTTCACCCCTATATGGTGAGAATTAGAGGTGACAAGTGTTACCCATAGCAAGGATCGCCGCCAATCATCGGGTTGCGCAGCCGTTACACGACCGCCGTCACATGCAAGTCCGAACTGATCGACGTTGATGCATCGTTAGGTTGCAGAATGACACAAGCTCGGCAGGGTCCTGGGAAACATGTGATACGAGGGCGGTGCTGAGGTTGGCGTATCGACAACCTTAATACCATGTAGGTCGTCCCGAGGAGTCGCAAAGTGCCAGAGCCGTGCGGGAGAAGATGACGGGCGTGGGAGATCATGGGTCGGTGATAGAGTTTATCTGGCTTGTCTTGCCTGTCAAGACATTGGGGTTAGGAATAAAAAGCATGTCTGACCGTACTGGTGTAGATTTAGGAATATTGTTGTCCCTTCTAATAAAGGGGGGGAAGGGGGGAGGGAGGACAATCCCGTATAGGGGGCAGGAATAAGCAAGATGGCTTTGGTAGCGGCACCGGTGCTGCTATTCTATTTCGACCAGACATCCCAACGGTAGACAGCCAGGTCACCTACTAGTAGGTACCAAATGAGCAAAATATCGTATCTCCAGCCCAGCTGGAAACTGCCAACACAAGACTCGTCGTCTCAAAGAACAACCCCCCTCCGGCATCCCATACCCGTCTCCTTCAGCCCAGCAAGTGAAACAAACCATACAGAACGCCTCCCGAGTCCCCCAGGCACTTGGCCCAATGGGTCCTCCATGTCCGCCAAGTCTCTGGCCCCTAACTTATTTCATACCGGTACCGCCGCAGTACCGGCAGACCTCGGAGCCGGTTCCAGTGCCCTGGCACGGGTTGCACTTCTTCGGCTGAGTGTACGTCTTTTTGCCCGTGCCGTTGCACCCGCCGCACTTTGCGCCGCGGCGGTCCTTGCCACGACCAGCGCACCCGGCGTCGCACATGGCCTGGAAAGTTGTCGTGCCGTCCCGGCCGGTGCCGTGGCAGCGCCCGCACTGCACGGTGTCGTAGCCCTTGCCACGGCAGCCGCCACACGCTGTGATAAGGGTGAGAAGTTGAGCTTAGGGAGGAAGGATGGAGAGGGTGTTAGAGGATTGCTGCTTACGAGTAGGCCTGGGCATGGTGAGATGACCGTTTGAGAGATAGTCGGTGTTGCTTCTGCGAAGGGTGAGGAAGGTTCTCCGCCGGGGAGTGAATTAGGCTGATCGAAGTTGAAGAAGAGATATACGAGAGGAGAAGGTGCTTCTGGTGTTGCTTTGCTGTCGGGCTGCGGATGATGATGGTGAACTGTTGCACATCAAGCAAGACCCTAGGCCCTCTTATATATCCTACGGACGATGCCCGACCCTGCACCTGTCCTGCTTCTCACCGCAGCGGATTCTATTTTCAGGTTCAACTTGCTAATGGCGACAATGAACAGTTGCTGGCTAGCTTCGAACCAGCTCGTATGCTCAAACATGCTGTGACTATCGGAGGCTGATGGCCATCGCGAGTAGTCGTTTGCGCACCCACCACTGTTCGCTAGGTATCTCGTATACTCAAACACGCTCTAGTAACCCTGAGACGTCAAATGACATGAGTCATCTCCACGTCTCCTCTCTCTACTCGCTACACTGGGGTTGAGCTTTGCTGATTATGCCGGCGGCCCGTCGCGTTCTATCTTTAACCAGTGCCAAAGCTCACAATCCACGTTAGATAGCCATCATCGGCAAACACTCTGCATTCGCAGTGGCTGGAGCCGCTCAAGGCCTCTCGCATGTATGTTCGTACGAGAACCCCCCGTGGTAAAAGCACTGGCCTAACATGGAAGTAATGCCAGGAACAAGTGCTCCGCCGCCGCTCGATGCCCCACTTGAGGAGCACCGAGAGCAGAATACCTACTGGCGGGATGTTGGGGTTGCGGCCAGGTCTCACCCGCTTCGCTTCGCCGGTGTGCGGCGAGGCTCACGCGACAGAAACTTGACCGGCCGCTGCGCCCTTAACGACCGCGAAGGGGCGGAGTGAGGTTGTTACGGCGGAGCCTGAGATCAAGTCGCAAATTCAACCTGCAACCAAGCGACCAGAGGATACTTATCTTACATAAGATGCGAAATTCTATTCTGTGATGATGCTGTCTACATGGCGATTACCACCATGGCTCCCCTTGGGTAGGGGGAGGCGTGCAGAGGAAGCCCGCGGGCCGAGGTCCTGGTGGTGTAAGCGACAGTACGTCTTTCCCTTGAGCAGGTAAAAATATCTCAAGATAATACAGATTTGGTGTTGGACTTGTGTGGCACAAGTGGTTGCTTACTGAGCAACAACATCCTCTGGTCAGATTGTGGCCCGGATGAGTAAGGTACGAGTATTCTAAGTGCTGAGTGGAATGTTACGCGATACCTTACTACTACTAGTAGTATTACTACTACTTGCAACGCGGTGTTAGTACTACGTTGGTTCCATAGTCCAGCTTCGTGCGGCTGTAGTCTGCCCTCCGACACTCTGCGTCCAGGAATAGGCGTGCGAAAATGGGTCGCTTCCCGTTCTAAGGAGTCCAAGAAGATCCAGCGTAAACAGAAACATGTCCTCGCAGCTGCGTGAAAAGGCAGGCTAAACGTCTATAAATGACGATGATACCTTAGGACCGACGATGTGCAAGGAAAATCCCAAGCACGGTCTACGGAACGCGACGAAATATATAGATTCGGCTTGATTTCGGTCCCTGATACCCTATGTTTACAGCGACCCTCAGGTTGACTACCAGTGGATCTCCGGTAGGTGAGTTGGCTACTTGCTGGAATACGTACCTTATTTGCTCCCAGACGCATCGGATTAGTAGACATAATCAAGCGAAGCGTTCCTTCCTCGCTTTCTCTGTGTACACAGTGTACTGTATAACCCAGACACAGCTCAGAACGACGACGTTTCGCTTGAAGCATTGGTATATCTTCCGCCATTGACTTCGAGGCACTATTCCTGTCATATAAGATGTTCAGTCGCAACCATTCCAACCTGGAGGTCATCCTCTCGGAAACGGAGGGTGTGTCGAGACCCGCCAAGCCTAGTTTCCCGCTCCGAAGGCGACTCTGGCACTTCCACAATATTCGACGGCCAATATCCAATCCAGAACGGGTAAAATGGCTATGCTGGCCAAAGCCACCTAGATCGTGATGCTACCAACAACTCGAAGTCTGGGGTAAGTTGAAATACGCTCGGCGAAACCAATGTTCAATTCGTTCCGATGCGGGGCGTGATAATCATATCGCATTAATCTCTCCGTCGAACCTCATAATTGATCGGAAATTGGGGATTGCTCACACAATCCGCGAACGTGGTCTTGCCACTTTCTGCTTCAAGTTTTACACGTGTACATATTACCGTGAGTAAGGGGCTCTCCAGTTGCGCCCAACCTCCTCTGGGTCCTTATCACACGATCCTCTCCTCATCAACCTATGGCGGTGTGCTTACTACCTCTAGTCTCTCCGCTCTCGGGCTTCACCGCAGTTACAGTTGTGCGCTGTGCATGCAGGCAGGGGCACTAACCCATCTAACCCACCAGCCCCCCAAAGATCCGCGCGAATTGTGCAAAATTTGTCTTGCCTCTTCAATCCCTCAGCGATATACACACCATAGATGATCGAGTTACTCCTAGGGATGACCATGTCCAAGATTCAAAACTCAAATCGATCGAGGTGATAATCTCAGTGGGACCTTATAACCGAATACGGTGGCGCACCAAACAAGTCAAAGTGGGTGCGCGCTTCACCGCCATACCCTAATGTCGCCGCTAATAATGGGATAATAAAAAGAGATTTCGCTCCCCCCCCCCAAAATCAGAGTTCCAAAACGCAGACGATGAACCTCGCCACCCTCCAGCACCTCCTCGCTCAGGACGACCTGGACGAAGACCAGTTCCTGAACCGCATATGGATCGGACTCCTGGGCGTCGAAGCGCTCATCGTTTTGGGCGTCGCATTGCACGGGCTTGTCGGGGCCGCATCGTCGTCTAGGTTACTTGCTCGTCGGAGGAGAAGCTCTGCAGGTATCGAATGGGGGAGTATGAGCCCGGCAAAGGTTGAAAGGGGGCTTTGGCCGGCGACATGAACCGAAGCGGTCGGGTCCTGTCAAAGTTGGATAGGTGATGTTTACTCCATATGATCGCGCGGGTTGCATGGACGGCGTTGCATTGTATTGCGCTTGGGCGTTCGGGATGTCATTACTTAAAGAGCGATGAGGGAGTTGGGGTGGTCATGAGAGATGCAACTGATGAGATACGACGTTATAAACACAAATCAAGCCACCAGAGACAGAGAGAGTTCGGGTCAAGAACACAGACCCCGTATCAGGCAGCTCGCGTATAGAGATGGCCTTTTGAGAGTATCTCCTACACTCTTCCTTTTCCTCATCTTCATTCTTTTCTTTTGTACCTTCATATCTTCTTTCGTTTCTTTCTTGTGTTCGAGTTTGGTTTTTTTTTCTTTCTCTTTCCCTTATAATTCTGCATTTTCCTTCCCTTCCCTTTTCCTTTTCTGCTCAAGTTTTCCTCTTCTTTCACTCTTACCTTTCTCTTCCTCTCTTTCTTCTTCCACTTCTCATTACCTTCGTGTTCCTTCCTTTTTTCTATACTCATACTTTTGTTGATTCACTGTATCAACTTTACTTTCAAGTGGGGAGTTGGATGTACGGCCGTGGCCACTGTGCATATGGGATGTATGTATCGAAGTGGGAGAGGAGCCAACACCTCACAGGTATGTCAAGTGTCAGGGCTCAACAGCCACAGGGCACGTAATAGATGATGTCTTCTACTTCTGATCAGACGTAGGGTAAGGTTCTGAGCTCAACAGCGTGCATGACGAAGGCGGACCGTGGACTAAAGGTGCCAAGGTAGGGTAGAAAATAAAATGAATTGGTTGCACGATGAGCCGTCCTAAAGGAGGGCTCTTGCTCTGATTAAATACATCCGTCGAGAAACAAGGAAAATCATCAAAAAGAAACAAGCTCCAACCGCCGGTCATCTGCCGTAGTCATTCCTCCCGCCTCAGTACACTTTCATCCTATGTGGCCAGGTGTCATAGTCCCAAAACGTCGTATGTCTGGCGCCGGAAGCGGTCTTCCAGGTCGTTCGGGCCGTGGTTGTACTCGGCCATCTTTGGGCGCTGGACAAGGCGACTAAATAAGGGGACACATACCTTAGGTTGTAGATTCTGTAGCCAAGATGATGCAGGATTGGTACATCGCTTTTGGGATGTTTTAGTACGCTGCTTCGCACGGTGTGGCCTCCGGTGTGGCGACTCCACGAACCCATTGTAAACACACAAGCAAACATACGAGGCGTTATCGTATTAGGAGAAAGCTGACACCTTGGGTAGGCTAGGTAGGGACTGGATCGACGAGCCATGGGCATACCTGGCCGAGTTTGAGTTTACTGTACGGAATACCAGTAGTCGAATGGAACACTAGTACTACTAAGTCTGAGGCATGAATCGAAACGTTTGATTGTCAGAAATGCGGAAGCTCCGGAAGAGGACGCATGCTTCCCCGCTCTTGCGCTCCCATGGGTTGAACACGCACTGTAACACGCTCGCCCAACCCAGAGCTCTGCCATTGTGTCGCTGGAGCAGACTCGGACCGAAAACAATGGTCTTGTTTCACTTCGCTATGACACAGTTATCTTCGATTTTAGCAATTTGGGAAATTGGGCTTACTATGTAAGACAGGCATGACTTTCTTCTGCCAAACCATACCTTAAAAGTTGACAGGAGTCGTGACGATCGCAAAGGTTGCTGGTCGGAGGAACGGTACGAGACCCCACCAGGGCCCCACCAAGACTTCTGGCAGTGCAGGTTGCTCTCTCGTTCACTCGAAGTTCCTGCTTGAGGTTACGAGGGCTGCATGTCCACACAAAAGCATAGTGAGGAGCAAGAACAGCTCTTGAGCAAAGCTTTAGACTTCATTACAGCATTTGCACCAATTGATCCATTTCTTTTAACTCGACAATGATCCGCAAGTGCTAGCTTACACAGGTGGGTCTACCCCAGATTTACCCCGGATTCTCTGGGCTGCAGCTGTTAGCGCCAATGCGAGACGCTCGGGCCAGATACCTTTGCCCGTTTGAGCCGGGCTGGGGTTGTCTGGCATATCGTCCCATATGATGTATCTCGTCACGCGATCCCGTGAGCCCATTCACAGTGTGCCTCATCATGTGTTACCCCACCCCTTTTAACAGCACAACGAATGCAGCTGGTTGATCCCAGCTGCTGGCTGATCTGCTCGTCGCATGATCCGGTATATAAGACCCCTCCTGACCCCCTCCTGAACCCCTCCACCCTTCTCCTCACCACCATCTTTCTCCAAACTCGCAACTGTCAAAGCATTCCACGTTTCGTTCCAAAAAGGTGTTGTACCAATTGCTCCCTTTCCCCCTCTTGTCACCGTTTGGCGCGCTGCTCAATCAATCCTCTGATGTCAACTACTCACCAATCAGCAGATCCAGCAGCTTAACACATCACTGTAAACATGTCTGAGCCACTCACGAAAGTCGATTCCGCCGTCCAAGGCGTCATGGACGTCCCTCCGCCGAAGGAGGCCAAGACACGCCGAGCAAGCTCAAGCGCCACCGGCGTTATGAACATTAAGGACTTGGGTAAGTAGTGATGCCTGCCTGCCCGTATGATCCCGGCGTTCAAACGCGCTTTGCTGACCCAATGCACAGAGGCCCAGGGTATTGAGCTCCAAATTGCCAAGGAGACACAATCGACCGGATGGTAGGTTCAGGAGCCCTGTGACGTCATGCACTCATCTCACCCCCCTCTAGGAAAGTCAATACGTCGCCGTCCACGATAGAAGAGAAGGACATTTTGAAAAAGATGCTCACGACTCCGCCCGTCAAGAAGATTGACCTCCACTTCCCACTGGGGTTGCAAGTAACTGCACGGAACCTCAAGGGCGTCACCATCAAGGACGCCTTAGACGCCATACACAAGGCGTTCAAGAAGCGAGTAAGTGTTCTGCGTGGCATTTATTGATCTGAAGTCCGAACATTGTTCTTACCATGTCATACACAGGCCGACGACGAGCTCGATTTGCCCTACTTGGCCGGGTTCGAGTGGGACAAGGAGGAATCGTGGACTCAGCTGATTGTCCACTTGCGCAAGGATGCAGGCCAACCCATGTCCAGCAAGAAAAAGGGCAAGAAGGACAAATCCACCGATGAGTAGTGATTTGCCGTCCAGAGGGGGGTGTTTTGTCTTTCGTCTTTGGGGGGGAGTTGGGGGCCAGGGGAGGTGATTCTGGGATAAGGTCTGGGGATCTGTACTTTACAATGCATTAAGTTGTTGCTCTTACATGATCTACATTCGTGGTCGGGACCCATCTCAAGTACCATATCGTCTAATTAAGTGTCAACCATGTCTCCATTCCCTTCTATCAATTCCCCTTCTCCTTTCGGTCCCCTACCCACTCTTCCGAGTTCCGATGGCATACCTAGGTACCTAGTATGCGTTCGCTTGACTGCCTGTAGACGCGGGCTTTCTGTCGCCGTGAGAACAAGCGTACGGAACTGAACTCGGCCTCGGACGTTAGAACTATCTCACCTGGAATAAGTTCGGGGTGCTCACGGCGGGGCTCTCCGGTGTTCTTAAAGGACTCCGAACCGGCCCAACTCCACTGTTGATGCCGGGGTCGCATTGCTCGGGGCGGGGTGTTTCGTGCCGGGCGCATATCGTCGGCTATCTTCGGGCCCGCCCGCCTTGACCGTCAGCGGAATTGGCACAAGCTCAAGGGAGCTGCAGGTTGGGACAAGCTACCAGACGACGTGAACGGCATCCGGAGTACTCGTTCGGATTCGATGTGCGACCAAGTGGAGGAACTGGCTCTCCGCACCCGCAGAATGGGTTTAAGACCGTTCCTCTCCGCGTCTCCAATACCCCGATCACTTCCCGCCTAGGCATTCCCTAACTTCAGTCGCAACTCGCAACTTCCAAAGAGCAAAGCCATACTGATCCTCATCTTGGCCAGCCACAGCAAACCGCAGAGATGCCCGTCACAGAGTTCGACTTCAAAGAGAAGTACCAATACCAAAATGGCTTCGATTGCTATTTTGAGTACGTCTTTCGCACCCTCCAGCCGCTTTCAACCCTTCCCTCGTCCCCTCGTGCAACCACCATCAAACTGACTCTCGCCTGCCCCCAGAACCGAGGCTGTCCCGGGCGCCCTCCCCGTAGCGCAGAACTCGCCGCAGAAGCCGCCCCTAGGGCTGTACGCCGAGAAGCTCTCTGGCACCGCCTTCACCGCGCCGCGCCACGAGAACAAGCAGTCCTGGCTGTACCGTATCCTGCCGGCCTGCTCGCACCCGCCGTTCGCCGCCGCGCCCGCGCCGAACGAGTCGCTCGGCCTGGGCGGCGAGCCCTTCCGGAAGATGCACCACATCCCCAACCAGCTGCGCTGGGACCCCTTCGACCACGAGCCGGACAGAGACTTTGTGAGCGGCCTCCACCTCGTCGCCGGCGCGGGGGATCCGACGCTCAAGCAGGGGTGCGCCATCTACGTGTTTGCGGCGGGACGGTCGATGGGCGAGCGCGAGGCGTTCTACTCGGCCGATGGCGAGCTGCTGATCGTGCCGCAGGAGGGCGTGCTGGATGTCCGGACCGAAATGGGCTGGTTGCTGGTGCGGCCGATGGAGATCTGTGTCATCCCGCGCGGGGTGAGGTATCAGGTGCGCTTGCCCGCGGGCCCGGCGAGGGGCTATGCGCTCGAGCTGTTCCAGGGGCGGTTCATCCTGCCGGAGCTGGGGCCTATCGGGTCGAATGGGCTGGCGAACGCGCGGGATTTCCAGGCGCCGGTGGCGAGCTTTGATGAGGATTGTGGGACGACGGCGTTCGATGGGCCGAATGAGTACACGGTTACGGGCAAGTTCAACAATGCGCTGTACAAGACGGTGCAGCGGCATACGCCGTTTGACGTGGTCGCCTGGCACGGGAATTATTACCCGTACAAGTACGACCTGGGCCGCTTCAACACCATCGGCACCATCTCGTTTGACCACCCGGACCCCAGCATCTTCACCGTGCTGTCGGCGCCATCGGACCACCCTGGCACGTCTATCGCGGATTTCGTCATCTTCCCGCCGAGGTGGCTGGTCGGAGAGGATACCTTCCGCCCGCCGTGGTACCACCGGAACACGATGAGCGAATTCATGGGACTGATCCGCGGTGGGTATGACGCCAAGAAGGGCGGCAAGGGCGGGTTTGTTCCGGGCGGTGCTAGTCTGCACAACGTCATGAGCGGGCACGGGCCGGACGTCGATAGCTACGAGGGCGCCCGAAATGCGGAACTCAAGCCGGCCAAGGTGGGCGAGGGCAGCTGCGCGTTTATGTTCGAGAGCTGTCTGATGGTTGGCGTGACGGATTGGGGCTTGAAGACATGCCAGAAGGTGCAGGAGACGTATAACGAGCACAGCTGGGGCGGGGTGAAGGTGCACTGGAAAAAGGAGGCGAGTGCTTAGGGGGGAGGGGTCCTGTCTGCCGGTATCTGCGTTACCTGTAGCGAGCCAAAAGACGATGCCGGCTAGCCATTTAGACCATCCGGAAAGCGGAACTCTTGCATCTCAGATGCATGGCCGGTTGATGCGATCCTTTGACGCCGAATCGTCCGATACCACAAGATATACTGGGGCCGAGGTCATGCTTCTTCACTCAGCATCATTATATTAAGTTTATAAGAGCCTACAGCTGAGAGCTGACGCTCAGATGTCGTTCCCAATCGCGACTCCGCCTCAAGAGAGTCTATCACGAAAGGTTCACTGGTGATCCGAAATATGCAATGCCGTCTGTGTGGTTGTTGCTCTGGTGTGTCACGGCGTTGATGCCTCGTCCAGCGTGCCGCGGGCGCTCCTGAGGGCTCCTGTCCTCTCCACATCCAACACCTCCAATTTCGAAGCTGCTCCGGGGATGCCTCACAATGCCAGCGTTATGAACCTGTCCCACTCGCCCACACCCGTGTCTTTATCCCTTCATATGCAGTCAACCAGCCAATGCGTGTCCGGGTATCGTATGCCCAAGTGGTGAATCCTCCTTTTCGTCCCGAAATGAGTACCCGAGAAGTCGTAAACATCGTGTCTTCGTGACGCTTTCATGCATCAAACCGCGTCCGATACAGTGTACCGGTGTCGGTATAATGTATGAGCTTTGCTCAAACCAAGGTATGGCAGGGTCGAAGGGGCTGGGCAATGCGTCTGCGCTGTAGCATCTGAACAATGATCAAGGGACTTGGAGCTCTCCGACTGTGACCGGACACTGCTGAGTGGTCCTGTGATTCTCAACTGAGTGCCGGAGCGAGAAAGATAATGTCAGATAACCGCCATCGCAGATCCGTCGACACCAGCGGCCATGTCCTGAGCGAATAGGTCGTGACCACATGCAGTAGCGTCAAGGATGTGTGTGGGCCACAAACCCGCAGCGAGCCTTGAGTGCTGCAATCGAGTTGCGTATTTCCCTCCTTCCTTCCATCACTCAGCTCACCGGCTTCCGACCGTGCACGACATGCAGTGCAAGATACGAATGCACGCCAGCATCCATGAGCGCCTTGCGCACGTCGACGAGAAACATCTCGATCTGCAGCTGCGTCCAGCCAAGCGCCAGCAGCGGCCGCCGGCTGGTGCCGCGCAGGCCGTCCATCAGAGCCGTGCGGAGGAACAGTCCGCAAAAGCGAAGACGCTTGTCGCGCGGCCAGACGCCCACAGGGCACTTGTGCGTCGTCCGCTGCACGTCGGCGAACCCCGCCGCTTTCATCTGCTCAGGCAATGGCAGGATGGCGTGCGGGTCGGACCCTAGCACGCGCATACCTGCCCCAACGTAGTTCATCCAGTCGCGCAGGGCGTAGGGAGTTGAGGGGGTCAGTGTGTCGTCGTCGCATTGTGGGGAGTAGAGCAGTTCTGCGCATTCGAAGTAGCCGCCTGGTTTGAGGTGGCTGGGGGGCGGTAGGGTTAGTAATGACGGGCTATGGGAAGCAAGAACGCTGGCGTGAAGGGCGTAGTACATACCGTAAAGCTCGCTCGAGGAGCAGTTTCGGGTCCCGGACCGAGTGGAGGGTGTGGCGGATGTGGATGTAGTCATACTTGTTTTCGGGATCAACCCACTCCTCCTCGAAGTCGTCGACGAAGAAGTGGACGTTTTCGGGAACGAAGTTGGGTTGTATGGGTGAGAGGTCGATGCCGGTTATTGTTGTGTTCGGGTACCTGTCACCGACTGCGGTCTGGTTAGCTTGCGTTTCCGCCATCTCACACCTTCCTTTATCACGGCTAACCACGGCCGCGGCGGCTATCCGAGACTGCACTCAGCTCTGGTGCATCAAGACCGAGTACCACCCAGCCGCCTCCGAGCTAGTGAAGGTTACACAAGGACAATGGTGCCCAATAGCGTTGAGCTAGGGACTAAAAGCCAGCGGGCAAGCACAGCGGTGAGCCTAGTGTAACGGCTACACACCGCTCAACCTTGCTGTGCGGCGTCTTGTGGCCCCCCATGCACTTGCAAGCCACCCTCAACGTCCCGACGGAAAGGAAAGCACCAAGCCACTTACGTTCCATGGCCCAAATCCCCGTTCCCGTGCCTGTCGTGCGCAGTCATAGTCAGCCTCCGATCAGTTGTGGAACGAGCCAACCCCTGAATCTCATGTAACCTGCCATCCCACGCCCGTCACTCATCCCTCCACATCCGGCCTCTGCCCCACCATCAAACAGCTAAAGTCGCGTCTTCTCCTCTCCCTCATTGACAATCCTCCCCATGCAGATACCTCCATCCTACCAACAAGAGCCTAATATCAGTGATAGTGATAAAAGTACTAGCGACTCACCCAAGTCCAAAACCTCGGCGCCCTCCTCCAGCACGTCCTCGACCGGGGCGTAGAAATAGGCGCCGTGGCACAGCATCAGGGTCATGGTGTGCTTCATGTCGTCGCGGTTCTGCTCCACCTCGTCGTTGGGGAAGGCATACTTGCCGGCGCGGTAGGCGTGGTAGCGCAGCCCGCCCTCGTAGACGTGGTCCCGCACCGAGCTGGTCATGGAGGCCGGGTACTTGCTCGTGTCCGAGTCGAAGGAGCACGGGGTTGCTTGCTGTTCGGACGGTGATGTTGTGGACTGGTGGTCAGTGTCAGGAGGATCGCTGCCGTTGATGTGAGTAGCGGACGTTTGGGGCTTGTCCGCCGCCGCCGCCGCCGTGGTGGTAGTGCTGCTGCTAGGATGTAAAACGCCATTGCGAGCTGCCCGGCGGGAAGGGGAAGTGGATGGTGAGGTTGGGTTGGAGGTGGCGGTGGGCGTCGCCTTGCGCTTGGGCTGATGAAGGGCTTCCCGCATTGTGGCCTGCATGGCTTCGGCCTCTGCGTAGAGGTCCTCTTCTGGTGTTGAGTGCATCCCTACTGTGATGTGGGTTGAGCTAGAAGACGGCCGAGTGTTCCAGTCTGTGTCCGGATGTGCGGTGCGATTCTCCGAGCCCATGGTGGGCGCTCCGGGCATTTTGTTCTGGGGTAGGGGGCTGTTAAGGGGCTGACACAGCTGTCCAAAAAAAAAAAAAAAAAAAAAAAAAAAAAAAAAAAAAAACTTCTCATAGGCCGGTTCCTTTGGGGCGCGATCGCTACGTGGCCTGCAGTGGGGGCAGCAACTGGAGCGTGACGGCGAGATGCCTTGACTGCGAGAGGGCTGAACACCCTATGGTCCCGGGGATCTGGTAACGTCTGGTCCGGAAGTCAGGAAATAATCTTGGAACCGCGGGAGGGGAGCGGGCACTGGTTATTGGCGGGGGAGGTGTTTCCTGCCGCCCACCAGGCCGGGTTCGCCAGGAGTGGACCGATGGGGCCGGGTTGCAGCACGGGAGGGGCGAGCGGGTGCTGGGACCGAGGGTGGGGCGCTGTCGTTCCCGTTGAACAAGGTGCAAGTTCGCTCCCTACTACACTAGTGGTCCATTCCCGTGTTAATCGAGCCTCGAGGACTTCGGTGATCATTGCATTCTTCAGATTGAAAATTCCACTCTTAACGAGGCCTGGACATGTGTTACGGACTTCGGCCGCAGCAACCTTTCTTCAGCCGTTGTTGCAATGTCGCCACCACTGCTCCCGCGGCACGCTCGCTGGTTGGTCGCAGATGGCGGTGAGGACCTTCCGGTCCCAACAGTCTGGTTGCATTCGGCTTGGCAAGACGCTCGCTTGAACCACTCGTATGGGCGGGTCGACAGCCGCTGGACAACTCACCTGACAGTCCCGTTCACCGGAAGTTGATGTAAGGGAGGTAAGAAATGGAGGACCTAAGTGGCCTTTGGGAAAGGGACAGACATCAGGTACAATACCTCGCACCAATGGGCGGAGCATGGATTTGTAAGTACCTAAATAAGTCAGGTATGTACTTGTACAATACAACACCTGGAACGGTCAATATCCCCTGGATCACCGAGATACAGCAAAAGGTAGGTTCCCTACAGTACTTAGGGTGAAAAACTTCCGCACGATAGCAGACCATCTTGTTCGGAGCAGTCATGTCCGACTCGAGTATCACCGTGCGTCCGTTGATCGAGGCTTGCAGCCAAAATGACGCGGAAAAGCACGTCCTGTCCCAGTTGGCTGGACCCAGGTGGGGCATCACCTTTCCACCCCACTGGGCCAAGCAAGCGTCCTGCTAGTTTCGTTTTCGCTCGCCCCGCATCGGCCGATTGCGCCGGATTCAGAACAGAGAAGAGACCTCTTATTAATAACTCGCGACTCTCCAGTCTGGACAGTGGAGATCCCGAAAGCCGGGGACAGTGAGTGGGGATCGAAAGCGAGATCAAAAGGTGCCGAATCAACTGAAAATCTACGGATTAGGTAATAAGATGACAGTGTCAAAGACACTCTCTTGATCAAGGAGCCTACTCGCACATCCATCCGTGCCTAGTCGCACATCTAATCATATTCGGAAGAACGCCGAGGAGTCAAGCCACACAATCTTGCAGGCAACTTCCTCCAACCTCCCCGTCGCCAGACAGCACTACTATCACTACCGTGACACCGTCATTGTTACTACGGCACATCTGACTCGATTTTTGAAGCCACCGTCAACCGCGTTTTCATTCAAATGCAGTCCCAATACGGCAATGCTCAAATGCAGGCGCCGGCGCAGGCACACGCACGGGCACGGGTGCAGGGCGAGGTTCGGTTCGAACGCCGCGCGGCTCAGTAAGGTAGGCGGTTTGGGCTGGCAGTTAGATTATGCACACTCTGTATTTTTATTGCATTCTTGAACGATTCAGCTAGTTCCGGGCTCTCTGGAAATTCAATCAGACCTTCGGGATGTAGTTGTTCACATGCGTGACGGTGATGAGCAAGTTCGAGGAAGTTGCCTGCAAAATCTGGCGTGGCTTGACTCTCCAGCACTCTTCCAATCCGGTTAGATAAATGTACGACTAGGCAAGGATGGATGTGCGAGTAGCTTGATGTGGTATTTTTGTTTACAAGATTTCCCGTTTTGGTACTCAGGTACCTAAGGTAGACGATTCCGATAATTGAACTGTCACTCCCAATACTTGGACGGCTATCTACACTGTGACCTCCTAACATGCATCACAACATGCACTTACAGGCAGTAGGCGGTATGGCTGGCGATTGGAAGCAGTTGCACTCTAGGCTTTATTGCATTTCTGGGAGATTCGGCCAGTTCTGGGCTCTTCGGAACTTCAGTCAGATGTTTACTACAGTGTTGTTTGCATGCGATGGCATGGTTCCTCTTCGCGTTGAAGCGATTGGGGCTGAGTGCCTGCAAAATTTGCTGTAGCCCCATATGCCTTTGCCGAAAGGGCTTAAATCTTTTTCCAAATATCGGAAATTACAGTCTAATTATTGAGGCGACAAGTCGTGGTCCCAGACCCACGATCTTCTCTAGACTCCCTTCTCATTGGCAGAGACCGATCTGCTGAACCCGAGAATTCGGGGCGCCGACTTGCCTTGCGCTTTAGCGTAATCAGACTGGACTTTATAGCAGACCCCAGAATTCCGACCGCGGTTCGGAGGAGCACTCGGGCAGCGAACACGGCACGTGCCTGTCGGTTTGTTTTCAGAGAATCCGGTTGAGGCTCGTCCCTACTAGACTTGTATCTCTCCAGTTGAGGAGAATCACCACAAAGACTTGAACCGTATCTGGGGGCCGGGCTCGCCAGGGTGCCTGCTGCAAATCGGCACACTTTCTCTGGGGATTTGTCAACCTATCTTACGGAGTGAGGTACATACTGAGAAGACTCTGCGCAAATGGAGGCGGCTGGAATCGTACTGCGGAAGGGTGGGCGGGCATTTAGGATGTGATCGCTTTAAATCAAGCCCTTGAGCCGCTTGCAACCCCCCCCCCCCCCCCTCCCCCCCCAAAATACCATCCTCCGACGCCTGTCGGATTTCCATGGACAATGAACTATCTCGACTATCTACGTAAGGTACCTTAGCCTTCTGCGGCTGTGTTATGGCTGGGCTATGCCACGGTTCATGCATGTTGTCCCGCCTCATGTAACATTGCAGTGCGCCCAATAACTTGAGGCAGCAATACCTGAGGTTTATAAACACGACGGGGAGACCCGCAGAAAGCGGTCCATCATCAGAGAATACAAGGCCGATACAGTGCACCTTCACGTTCATCAACCCAAGTTACCTTCAGAAGTTGAGGTACCAAGATGGTAACGTGCATTATAAGCGAGCCGAACATATAAGCGAGTCGAACACTCTCCACTACACTACCAACAATATCCTCAATTACAAAACAACAACACTAGGAACTAACAATAATTACACCAGAAACAGCTGAATCTGAGACTTCCGCAACCTCCTGGCAAGTGCGGGCATTATGACCAGGCTTGCCGCACACACCACAGCACCGAACCGTCGTACGACCCCCCCCCCCCCCAGCACCACTACCATCCAGCTGTGTTTCTTGCATTGCCTCCCCACCTATAGCCCCCTGGCTTACCACCTCCTGTGCCTCCTGCACAGTAAGTGATCCTCCAAGCCGCACACGTGTTTTTTTGGCTCTCCGGCGCTTGCTTAGCGCCTCGTTAGCCTTGCGGAGCGAAGACGCCTCTGCCTGAAGGAGGGCTACCTGGTGCATTATAGCCATTGTACCCTTGGTAAGCTGGTCTACAGCAGCCAACATTGACGTCGGGGAGCTATTTTGATGGTTGGCAATGCGAGTCTTGATAAGCGTTGACTGTGACTCGGCTTCTCGAGGGTTGTATGGTGTCTGGAAGACCCAAGATTGTATAGTGCCTGGCCGTGAGGTTGGGGGTGTTGGTATACGAAGCTTGATATCTAGCTTTGAAAGCACCCTCTCTGGATCGTACGGTATAAGGCCAGCCCCTGTAAAACTGCCCTGGATATTCCTCTTGGTGATAGAGGCAAAGAAGGCCGCGTAAAAGGCACAAAGGAACTCGAGCTTGCTTATGTAGTTAATATACGCGCGTATTAAGTCCTTGATCTGGCGACCGTACGCCTGCTTCAACGGCCCAAAGCAGCCAATATCAAGTGGCTGGAGGAGGTGGGAGGAATGTGGAGGCATGCAGAGCGTGATAATGTTGTTCTGCTGGCAGTAGAGCTCGAACTCGGTCGAGTGGTGGCTTTCGTGGCCATCGAGGATCAACAACCGGTATTTACCCTTTGTCCGAGGTGCTGTATGGTAGTCGAAGTGCTTGATCCAATCTAGGCCTACCGCATTGGTAGTCCAGCCATTCTCGGTGGTTGCGATACGCCAGTCGGCCGGGAGGTTGCACTCTTGATACCAGTTGGCGAGGTGGTACTGCGCCGCTAAGATGATGAACGGAGGGATAGCCTAGCCAAGGGCATTGACGCCTTGGATCACCGTCGCCCATTTGCGGTTGCCAGGCTGGGCTAGCTTCGCCTTGCTACGGCCATCCGAGGTTGTAACCACTATACCCGGGAAGATAATGCCCATTATAAACCCAGTCTCATCGAAGTTGTAGATATCATTATCTATAATGCCGTACTTGGCCTTAACATTCCGCACAAGGGCAAACCATTCGCCAATAACCTTCGGATCCTCGCACTTGGCCCTCTGGTAGTCGTATCTATACGTATAACGCGTCCGGAGCTCTGGCTGGCGTTTGACAAAGTTATACGCCTAGAGCTTGCCGACAGGGGGCGTATTACGTACGCGTAGCAGTTGGTTGGCTATATCTTCTATACCACGCAGTCTCGGCGGAAGAGCTCGCTCAGATAGCTCAATTATATACTGAACAAGAGCCTTCTCTTCGGAATCGGTGAGCCGGCGCGAGTTGGGCGTAGTGTCGCGTCGTGCAGGTCGGCCAGCGCGCCGGTCGTAGAGGGTCGTAACTGGCACGTTATAGAGCTTGGCTACGGCTCGGATGCTTAGTTCCTTGTCGTTTTGAAGAGCTTTGAGGGCTAAAATTACCCTGGCTTCCTTTGAAGTAGAAGACATGTTGGGTTGTAGAAAAACTGATGTTTAGGTGGAGGGAAGACGCGTTGTGCCAAGAAGTGTTCGACTCGCTTATATGTTCGGCTCGCTTATAATGCACGTTATGCGAATCCAATCAAGCGACTCGTCCAAGCTCCTCCGCGGGAAGCAGTAGTGATGGGGGTGAGCAAGGAGAGAATTCCTTTCAAATTATGAATGCCGAAATACGGTGGCCGTATGCGAACACTCTCGATATCGCGCAACGCCATCGGTCCCAGTTCTTTTCGAATCGATGATTCCCATCGTTTTTTCGTCACCAATATCCATGGTCCCGTCACCATGATGCCAACTTATATACAACGGGGTCCCACCATCTCCAATCGGGACATGGGAGAGCTCATGGCCAGGGACGATGCCTTCAGCAGAGCGGTTTGGCACAATGGTGCGAATTTCTCCTCTCCTGGTGAGGGCGATGAAGCGGTCAGATCTCTCATTACAGGTACCGCCCCGCAGGACCACTCTGCGACACCGCGATTGCTCTATACACGACTCCCTTCGAAAGACCATTTTCGTCTCCTCGAGATCCTCGGATGGAGCGAGACTTCAGTGCCGTATGCAAGTCTGCTCCATGAGCGACAACCGCGGCGCCTACGAGGCCATCTCGTACACGTGGATGACGGGGCGGGAGGAATGTGGGCAGCTAAACGCCGGACCCAACAACAACCACCCAGTCATCGAATGCAACGGGAAAGAGGTGATGGTGGGCGCCAATCTCTACCTGGCGCTGCGCCGAGTCCGGCGCGATCGTTCGAAACGAACCGTGTGGGCCGACGCGCTCTGCATCGACCAGAGCAACGCTCTCGAGCGAAGCCAGCAGGTGGCCGCGATGGGCAAGATTTTCCGGAATGCGTATAGCGTCCTTGTGTGGCTGGGATAGGACGAAGATGCAGTCCGAGTCCCCGACCCGGTTGCGAGGGCATCTTCGAAGGCCTTTGACGGAGTGTGCTCGGTGGTCTCTACATGGGCGGGGGCGTCGACGTCGGCAGCGGCACACAGGATGCTGGAGGAAGGGCCTCAGTACCGGATTCAGGAAGCAGGAACATGCTCGGGCTCCATGGGCGACCTGTCGGCCGAGAGCAAGGTGTGGTTGGAGGTGCTGCACTTATACAAGAGAAGATGGTTCTCCCGTCTCTGGGTCGTCCAGGAAATCGCACTGGCGCGGCGGGCCACAGCAATTTGGGGCGCATGCGAGATGTCATGGGAGTGGATTGGGCTGGCTGCATCCATCATCCGGACGAACTGGGACCGCTTCGTGCCCGGTTGTCACAAGTCCCATTCGGATGAGTCGAGCCGCCTCGTCCCCGTCGGTGTGATGAATGCGTACTTTATGTACAGAATCTCCCGCCTGCAGAGCTACGTCGACCCCCTCTGCTTCTCCTTTGGCGAGCTCCTTACCCTCACGAGGCAGTTCAAGTGCGAGGACGACCGCGACAAGATCTTTGGGCTCCTTGGCTTGCCAACAACGGACCAGGTCAATTCCTACATTACGCCCGACTACGGCCAGTCCCTTGCGGACGGCTACCGCAGCTTGGCGTCCGCCATGCTCTGTTCTACCAAGTCTTTGGCCTTCCTGTCTCATGTCCATCGCTGGGACATCACTGACGACACAGTCTGCTTCCGTAGTATCATCCTCCGTGCGAGCTCCAACACTGAAAAGGAATCTGGCTCAGCCCTCCCATCCTGGATCCCGAAATGGCATCTCGTCGGCCCGCAAACCTTGACGCCGCTGGACGCACATCCGGATTTCGCCGCTGGTCTGTCGAAAGCCGCCAAGTTCAGGGTCGCACACGACCAAGCGGGCCATCCGGATCGGCTCGCCGTCTGCGGCGTCATGCTCGAAGACGTCAAAGAGCCAAGCAAGCCACAACGGCCCGTCACCCGCAGCGCCCGGTCTCCCTTTGTCCGGTGGACAGGAGGCATCGAAGACCTTGAAATGGTTCTGGCCCGGCACCCGCACACAAAACGCAGCCTGGAGAAGCTAGCCATAACCTTGACGGCAGGCAAGAGCTGGTACGGCCTGCCCAAGGATCGAGACGGCATGCTGGCTGACTTTGATCACTGCCTTATCGCTGGCTACCTCTGGTGGGCGCTGGAGCCGGATGCCTTTGGGCTCAGTAATTTCGAACAAATGCAGAATGTGATCGCAGGGTGAGAGAATTCTCAAAGCCAACGGCACCCGGGCCACAACAGCGGTCTCTGGTCCGTCAAGGGCATCGTAACGTTGCAGAAATTGAGAGACATCATCCGCGGGTGGAGATGGGAACCTGTTCTTGGACGCGGTTGCCACAGCCTGTGTCGGGAGACAGCTATTCAGAACCGCGTCGAACATGCGAGGGGTTGGCCCCTTTGATACGAGGCTGGGTGACAAGGTCCGCGTCATCTATGGATGTCCTGTGCCGTTTGTCATTTGGCGATGCCAAGAGAAAGGGGGCTACACGCTTGTGGGCGAGTGTTATATCGATGATATAATGCACTGGGAGGCTGTTGATGATGAAAAATACGAGGAGGTCTGGATTGACCTCGTCTAGGCTTTCCAAGTGACCTCGTTTCTCGGAATGGAAGCAGAGCCCTGTTTCCAAGGACAACCCCAGCCGAATGACGGACAACAACGGGGGAGATGTCACAAGGAATCGGGGAAGGGAGTCTGAGACCACGTACCGGGAGCGGCGTTCCTATCTGGGACTCGATGGGGTGTGAGCCAAATAGAATGGGCGACGCCTTCCGGCCTTTGTCGCCGGCTCCGTTTGCGGCCGTTATAGAGCCGGCCCCGGTCCGGGAACGCAAACGGGTTCTCGGGCGGCAAAACTTCGGGGCAGGCGTTGGTCTGCGCTTGCTGAGTTATCAGTTGCTTGCTTGTTTGTTTGTTTATCATTAGCGTCCGGAGCTCGGTCCGCGAGGCGGCCCGGCTATATGCTGTCTGGGTAGGAAGGGACGTACTGAGCAATCTACACTGGCAAACGCGCCATTAAGGGGCCCTGGCAATGCCTCCAACCATATACATGTCCGTCGCCTCCCCAGTGGCCAGGCACGCCGTGTAGCCGAGGCAACTCGCGCGCAGAGCGCACTTTCGGGGGCATGGCAAGTATTCCTCGCCGTTTAGTCAGACCCGGGTATGCCCGGCAAGGTCCGTGGCTAAGGAGACCGAGAGTTATCAATTGCATTTGTGCGAAAGTCAAGACTTTGCTTTTGAGTCCAAGCGAGCAGCAAGTGGTCAGTCTGCATCACACCGGTGTTCTAGGAAGAAGCAATGAGCAAGAGACACAGTCCTTGCAGGGTAACACTTACGAGGCACCGTGGCAATTGGGGGTTCATAGTGAGCAATACAGTATTTACAGCAGTATAGGTACATATCATATACCCACCTCCATATCGTACGCGCACCCTTGCAAAACTCGGGCTGTTATGCAAGCTAAAACTGAGTCGTTCGATATAGAAACACCGTCCCGTCTGCTCGCTTACAAGTTGCTGCACGTAGCGTGATAATCAACGTGCCGTGATTCTGCTGGCTGATCGAGTTGACCGCAGAGCCCCTGTCTTTAGTCCCCAATAGCTAGGACATAGATCTGGAAATTGAGGAAGAGGAATACCAATAGAAATACTGGTCAGTTGGATAGGTCTATGTCTTCTAACGTTCATACGCCCTTTTCACTCACGTCTCCCGCCTTTGGGATTGCGTCTAGCCGCCCCTGGAAACTTTGGGACAACCTCTCCTCCGTTATTCTGAATACGTCAGGAAACCAGTCTCTGAGCTGCTCACTATCCCCGTCCTCCATCATCTCAACTAAGGCCTTTGCACACATCCAGCACAGAACCATGCCGTGCCCTTGGAAGCTGCAGCTCGCCCACAGCCCATCCTCTCCCGGCACATTCCCGACGAGCGGGAACCCATCCGGGCTGAATCCCATGACGCCAGTCCACTCACTCCGCACCCTTCCTTCAGGGTCATCGTCCCCCCAATCTGGCCCGAAATACCGCGGGGTCGTCTCCCGCAGATACTGACTGATACCCTCATTCACCGCTCCATCATCCGTCGTCCCAAACTCCAACAGCCCGTCATCGGGCGCCCGCACCAGCCCGCCCCCTATAACGATATCCCCCGCAAACCTCGACCCTTCGGGTCGCGGAACCATGTACTCATAGCCCTTCTTGTAGATGAAACTATACGTCGTCGGCAGACACCCCCGGCGCGGCATCTTGCTCCCCGGCCGCTGCGCCGTCACCTGCCCTCGCAGTGGAACAACAACCCCCTGAAACCGCGGCCAGACCGCGGCCGTGTACCCGTTCGCGGCCAGAACCACCCTCTTGGCGTTGATAGGCCCTCTAGGCGTCTTGACCTCCCACCAACACATCCCCTCTCTCTCCCCCGCCTTCTTTTTCTTCTTCTTCTTCTCCAACCCCGTAACCGGCGTCCCCGTCTGCAAATTCAGTCCCCGCTCCAAACAAAGCTTCAGCACGCCCAGCCCAAACTTATACGCGGACAAGCTCCCCGCGAAGTAGCCCACCCCGCCCTGCACCCGCTCCTCCCTGCCCTGATACGCCCCGTCATGGACGTGAAACCGTTCCTTGACGTCTTCCGGAGAGAACAGCTCATACTGGCCCTCCGGCTCGCCGTGGGGGAAGGCGTCGCGCATGGCGCGCACGCTCGCCACCGCCTCGTCCCACTGCGCGCGGTCGTAGATCACGTCGACGGTCTGGCAGGGCGTCAGGTCGCAGTCTATGCTGTGCTCGCGCGCGAAGGCGTGGACGGCCTGGATGTTGGCTAGCTCGAGGCGCGCGATCTGCTTGGCGGCGGCCAGGCCGAGGGTGGACGCGTGGTGCGCGAAGGTGCGGTAGGATGCGGATTTTGTGTGGCCTCCTATCATTTCATGGTCATTATTTATTTTCTTTCTTTTTTGTTTTCCTTTCGAGGGAAAAGTTTGTAAGAGAAAGGGGATGAAATGAGAAATGGGTATAGAATGAAGATGGATTGAAAAACACAATACCGTTCCGGCCTGTGGCACCTGAGCAGGCTTGTCTCGCTTCCAGCATCACGATGCCGCCAGGGTTGGTGCTCTGAGTCTGTGATAGGAGATTCCATGCCACGGCGGCGCCAGTGATGCCGCTGCCGATGATGACCGTGTCGACGGAGGCGGGGAGGTCAGGGGTGCTCCGGTGGTCGGCGATGGTATCGGGCGGCTCCTGCCAGTAACTTACTGTCGGGTTGGCGCTGGGAAGGGAGACGGGGATTTTGGCCCGTTCGTCCATTGCTCAGGTGAGCTCTGCTCTACTACTGAAGGCGATCGTTTCACTTGAACCTTGTGAAAGTTGCAACGAGAATTCGGCAGGCTAAGGTGGAGGTCTGATTCTCATCCCTTCAATTGCTTTCAGCACTCAAAGATGATTTAGAACCTGTGTGGATGCTAATGAGTTGTAAAATAAGGTGAGGTGGTCACCAAGCGGGGAAACTCGTGAGATGAGTTGGGGCGCTGAGCGGTTGTGGGATGCGTGGGGGTGCTTGTACAATACTCTGCATAGCGGCGGGGCGCCCTTGTGGACAGCAACCAGGCCGAGGCCGATCATCTCAAACGTATCACTCCGTCCCTGTAGCAACTACGGCATGGAAGACACCAGGGTCACCATCAAAGACTCCGAAAGGGCCACATGCGTGTGGACATATCAAGAAGGCATTCTATCCAATCGGCGTCTGGCTTTCACGGACAAGTAAGCCTACCGGGAGTGCTTGCGGTATGGCAGTGCACGAGTATCTTGAGCTTCCCATGTCAACTCCTCTACCGTCCCGGCAACAAACATATGCTGGATTGGGGTCTCGCTGGCCTTTTCGACGGCGACGTCCATCGCGTGACTGAGCTGCAGTATGGGTTCACACAGGCGCTAGTTGTTTTGTGTGTGTTTTTATTGTGCCTATTCGCCATCCAGGTACCTACGGTAGCTTTCATCCCGTACCGTATCCGACTCTTCATCCAAGCATGGGTAAGGTATCCATCAATACTACTACTCCTCTCCTCCCTCGCCGCTGCCATACTTGGTCACCCCCTCTCCCCGCCCGCCTAGCGATTTGCTCTACCGGCGCGACGAGCCCAGTCGCGGGTGGCCGAGTTGAGGAGGAATGGCTGAAGGCTAGCCGAGATGGAGCAAGAACGAAGTCGGTTCATGCGATCCTCCGCTAACTTTCGCGGCGAGGAGGGCTTGCTATTGCCCAAGGACTGTGATTTCTCGGCACCCTGTCGCTCCACCATCGCCGCAGCCCTGGCGAGCAAGAGCAACTGGTTGTTGATGTTGTGCTCGGGCGCTTGAACGGGAAGGTAGGGTTGCTCGCTGGCCACTTTTGCGAGAATATCCAGCCGGCTGGAAGAATGTTGGTAGCAGTAGTTCTCGCTGACTTGGTGGCCATACGTACTTCGCAGGCTGCTCTCCATTGTCGTTAACAGGATTCTGGTGAAGTGGTATGACAAGATGGTGTCTTAATGCGAGTTGGCTCGGATGTTTTGTCTAGCGAAGGATGGAAATTAGCTGGACTGAAGTGGTAGAGGGAATCTGATTTAATTACTTTCGACTCTCTTTTGGTCGGCCTCAATTGCAACCACACTGTTCGACGAACAGCTCTTTGAACCAGGCGTATAGCGCGGTTGTTCAACGCCGACTTTGACTAACTACTGGTACCAAAGAATCTAGGGGTTCTGTTTGGCGCTGCTGGCAACGGATCCTCGGCGGAAGTTTGGGAATATTGCTTCCTGCGAGAGCCGGGTGGCGGCACACCGCGACATCAAGGAAAAGGAAGAGAAGGTTACCTCGGACTTGCGAGGGCAACACGAAGCTGATAGATCCGATGGACCACAAGCGAAGTACGCCATTACAAGGCATATAAGGAGGTCAACGAACTTGAGGTACGAGTTCCTGCGACGCACAGTCAAGCCAGCAAGCCTATGCTTTCTCTAGGAGCTGTAGGCAACTCACACTGTCTGCGCATCGGCGCGGCTTGTCCAAAGCCCAACTGCCTCATCGCCAAAAGGTAGGCACCGCTTTCGCATCCAACCATCCCTCTCCAGCGAAATATACCGCCTCTCGTGCTAGAGACGGCGCTTGAAGATGGCGGTGCCCCGAAGCTAACTTCCGTATACCTCTACATCCTCTAGCTGGCCCTCTACAGCCCGTTACCAAGCGGCCTCCATTCTTCCCTCTGGCGGCTTTACAATTTTACAGCGTACCTTCAGTAATCTTCTAACCCCTCTCAGTCATCGTGCCGGAACGAGGGTAACATAGCGACAATTCTCCGCAGTCTGATGTGTTGAAGAACGCGAGTTAAACTAGTACAGACCTGATCATCTCTCCGTGTCACCCCCTATTCGGCGGTATTGGTGCTGATGGCTTGTTTCGGGCTTGGGCTCATCAGTCCTCCTCCACCTTTTATGCTCCAAAACGAATTGCCCAATCTTCCGCCACTTTCACTTGGAGAGTGATGTGTTGTCTTCTCAAGGCACCCCTCTCTCTATCTTGATTCGAGGTTTCATCTCTTTCTTCGCTCCATAATGCCGACGGTTCCGCAGGCCATTCGGTGAACATGGGAAACGGCTTTGGATCCCTTTACTATGAATGATTGGGTTGTATTGTATATGGTATATGCCAAGCGTGTTGAGGTCGTCTCACAATCCGACCCTATTCACAAAATGCTTGTCAGACCAAGGCTCTGTACCGTGCATCCCTGCAGTATGACAATGGTACTTGACAACACTTACCCGTAGGCAAAGAATACGGGAAGAGCTGTCGGGACGACTCAAGCGAGCTCGGCATACTAGTAGTCCGCACTAGACTCTTGCGGATCCATTCCAGACCAGCATCTATGCAGGACTGCGACACTCCCTGACCTCCAGGGAGCCGTGATCTGCGCGCTCTTGCAGTATAGTAACCAGACATGTCCCGTCCCGCCTTCGACCCCAACCATTCGAGCTTTCCTTTGCAATGTACTTATGTACAGTACGCCGCCCATCTCCCGAACAGCATCGCTATTGTCGTCGCAGCGCAGGCTTTGAGGTTGTCCACTTCGATGTCGCTTCCGCTCGGCTCGCCGCCTTTGTTGTATTGTAGTATTGTACATGCTTAGACTGGTAGATGATCCCTGTCCAACAAGTAGTCCGTCAGCTGTAGTCTTGTTCGTGTCACTTACTAGCTGTCCAGGCCCCAGCAGCGGCCCGAGTTCCTCAGTTACCAAGCAACATCAATCAGACATAGAGACCCCTGTAAGCCCGTCCCACCTCTTGGTAGCGTTGGATCTGCCGCCTGTTCAAAGCGACAGGGTGGCTCTCCCGTACTTCGTCACTCTTGGGGCTCGGCACACACGTCTGTTGTTGATATTACGTGGCCGCAGGTATACACAGATGTACGCTTGACGGTTTTCCTTCTCGCCCCTTCAGTTTGTTTCTCTTCAAGTTGATATCCATTCGAAAGCATCGCACGCTTCAAGAGCACGACTTTGCTGACATGGCGACGCTTCCTGAGGGTTGACTTGGCGGAAAGAGCATCGTAGTCGTGCGATTCCTGAGCTACTGGTACCAACTGTAGTTGCTGTCGTCAGTTACAATGGCTACCAAGTTTCCAGCCTTGAGTAAGGTAAGAAGTCGCACTCACAGCCTGGTATCTATTGATAATCCTTCGATGGCCGAGAAACGGTCCATACTTGCTAGAGGCTTTCCGCTTAGGCGGTCCAGACCTTCCACTTCTTAAAGCTATACATTTGACGGTAGTATTGTTTGATTTCTGCTCCTCAAGGTTAGCTGACGTCTCTCAATGGCCCCAGAACCGTAGATACAGTGAGAGATGGTGCTGGAAGCGGCTTACTGCGCGTCCGCGACCTTAGCCGCACACCGGGACAGCCGCTATGACTGCAGTCACCGGAAGGTCCCTCGGAATGTTGGGTACTTACCAGGCAGCTAGTAGATCGCCACAATCAACGTATTCACAAGATCAGCAAATGCGAATCCGAACAAGCCATTTGAATAACACAGAGTGCCTGTTCAGGGAGATGGCAGTACAAACCCGAGAAAGTGGCTCGGGCCAATGTAGGGCGGCCCCTCAATTCCCGGCGGAGAGCATCTTGCGTTTCCCGGCGCAGCATTCCGGGTCCACGTTCTTCAAATTCAACCAAGTCGTCGCGGCGGGATGGCCGTGGTTCTCTTGGTCCCGACTTGGCTCCGTGAGTTTCTATCATTCCCTACTACAAGGGCGGGAAATGCACGAGAGGAGGACAGGCAATACAGGCTCTCATCTGTGTGGGCTTCTCTGGTCGGTTCCGCCAGGCTGTTCCATCATCCAGAGCAGGCCCTTTCCATCAACTCAACCGGTTGCCGGCTGTCACATTGAATTTCCTTCCAACACCGACCTTCTGATCCCTCGTCTCTACGCTTCTTCTTCTTCCTAACACCTAATCTACCCTCCGTCACTGATCAAGTCATTGCTTCTCCGGGTTCACTACGCCGCTCCGAGTACTCTCCCAGCTCACCTCTCATCAACTAGCCGCAGTGGGCTTCTTCCTACAGCAGTAAGTACGATGGTAAGTACATTGATCGGCTTGATTTTCTTTGGCCAGCTTGGAGTTGCTGCTTTGCCAGGCAGCTGCCGGATCTCCCACCAAAGAGGGACTGGCACTACCGGGCAACGGTGCTCGGCAACCGCCTCCTTCCCTCCGCTTCTGTTTGCCCTGCCCTCGCCTCTTCCACATTCCGCAGGCCTTTCCTCTCCGGGGCTTTTGCCCTAATTCCTCACGTTTTGACTGCCCAGAGTTACGAGTTGAAAAAGGCATCTTCTTCCTCTCGCATCTCCCCAGCCATCCTCTTCTGATTCTTCTTCCCCGTTCTTCTTCCCATATCTGCATTCAGAGTACCTTTCCGCACTCCATCTCCCTCACCTATTCCACTCCTTCTTCTGCAAGCCATACTTCAGGCACTTCGAGCTTCTCTTCATTTCCATCTGGAGCCTGGCCTCTTCTTCCTCTTCATACAAATACCCAGCCCCCAACTTCTTCATCAGTAAGCACCTTACTCTTCTTCCTGCATTTTTCTGCCCCGTCATATTGCCCTTCGCTCCTTCGCTTTCTTCTTTCTTGGTACAATCCGCTCTCCCGGTCAGAATCAGCCACAGTCTCTATGTATAAATTGCCCACTTTCTCGCCTGCTCTCTCCTTTCACTTCTTCCTCCATCTTCTTCCAACTTCATCTTCTGGCTCTGCCTCTGCGTCTCCCTCTCTTTACCTTTCATGCACATCCACCATCGCCTTCCTTGTCCGACCATTCTCTTCTACTCCTAACCAATTGAAGAGTCACGCCCAAGCGCCATCTCAGCAACAATGGTTCTCGTGACCAACCGCGACGCGTCTGCGATCGACCAGATCAGTCAGTAAGTACCATTCTCTTTTCCCTTTCTTCCCCAAAGCACCCGGCGTATGATGAGTACCATTCAGAAAGACGCATGCGCTCTGAGTCGGTCGTCCGACGCTGACGATGATGAGTACTGCAACCACTCTGACAAGCCTCTGCAATTGCCTCTCCCAGCCAACCTTCCATTTGCCTAACCTTTGCTGATGTTCCATTGTTCACAGTATTGCGATCGTCGCTCCCTCTCGATCATCACTTCGTAAGTCACCGTCTGCCATTGCCCCAGTACCTATCCAAGCTCACACCACACGATGACAACAGTGACTCAGTTTGAGCTTGCTCTCAAAGACCTTCGATGAAAACAATCAAAGTGCTTTCTAACATTGCTCTATCAATGCCCTTCTCTCGCAACCTCCTCTCCGCCTGCTCTTTGCTAATGGACCTCTTCTCAGACTTTCACCGACTCTACCAGCTAGCGACTTGGTAAGTCACCTTTCTGTTATTCGTGTATCAGTATTGAGCCTAGTCCAAAGACCGGCCATGAGAGAACGAGCTTCATGATCTGACACTTTCCTCTGGCAATTCCTTTTCCCACAGAGCATCATCCATGCGTTTTCACTACTAACAATTCCAGTAAGTCCCCAACTTGCAGCGCACATTCACGTCTAGGCGCGTCACGTCGCGTTCGCGCGTGGGAGGCATCAGCTAACCAGCACTTGAGACCAGCGTCTGAACGAACATTCCCGACTTCTCTTCTTTTCCTTTTCACAGTTCAAGCTATCTGGACCTTGGTTGGAGTCTGTGTGCTGACTGGAAAATGCAGGATCAACAGGACGATGACCATGCCGGAATTCTGGTCTTACCTTTTGCCTTCCTTTCTTCCTCTTCTTCTCGATCCCGCTCGGCCCCATCCCTTTCCACCTCTGCTATCATCTGTTTGCTGCTCTCTGTCTTGTCCTTTTCTTGGGCCTCTTCTCTTACCATGTTTCCTATATTCTGTACTCTCTACTTGCTTGTTCTTTTCTTGCCGCGCTTCTGTTTTCCACTGCTTAGTTCTATCTTGTCTTCTTTTCGACACTTCGTCGGTCATGTCTCCCTCGTTTACGCGCTTTTACTGTTGCCTGCTGGCTGAGCTGTGTCTTCCGTCCTCGTTGCGTTACGAACTACCTACTTGTATTTTGGCTTCTCATGTTTTTCTTTTCCACTCATCTTACCTGCTTTGAGATGTCTGTTTTCTCTTTTCTATCAGCTGTGTCGGTTCTTACCATTCAGTGTTTCTCCTGCATTCTTCATGTTTTGCTCCTCTTCTTTCTTTCCGTTTCTTACATATTGTCTGTCTTTCCTCTCTCTCGCACCATGTTCTCTTTCATTCTCTCCTGTTTTCTGCACTCGCGGTGTCATTTGTTGTTCCTTTCGCATTTTCTAGCTATTAATTCCTGTCTCCTGCAATTTCTGTCTTAGCCTTTCCTCTCTTTGCTCCTATTTTCTTCCCTTTTTACGACTGTTTGTTGGTCCTTTTCTTCATTTCTCGGCTTTCTAACCTGTTCTGTTCCCCATCATGTCATCCCCCTTCGTCCGTCCGTGGGTCGGCTCCTGTGATGAGAAGCCTCGTGATGCTGGTGAAGGACTGGTCCTCCTTTCCACCACTTCACACAATCATCTGACGTGAACCACGACGTGGTTCACCGTGATGATACTCAAGGGCTGTGGGCTGGTCACCCATCAAGCACTGGTTGAGTTGGGGGTCTAGTCAACCCCCGCGAACTCAGCCGGTATACATCTGAGGAGCTTTTATATCTGTGGGGTCTTTTCACACGCGGGCCCAACCATGTCACCTTCTTTGGGTACTTGGTGTATTCTTGGCGACTATTCATTTTCCTACAGCATCAATGCGGTGCACCATTGACAGGCATACGGCTCCAATGATGACAGCGGTTGGGATGCTCCGTGGTCCGCTCCCCCAATGGCCGAGACAACTTCTGAGGAGCTTCCTATGACGAAGTCACAAAGATGTGCAGCTGGTGAAGGTCTGCCTGTTGTACCCTTCATCCCATTGCTCACAATTCTGAAGAGCCAGCCAGTCCACGGAGGTTGATTATTCACTGTCTATTTCTTTTCCCTTTCCCACTTCTCTCGAGACATTTCCTCTTGTTTCCCATTTCTGTTGTCTCAACTTCTGCTTTCCCTGTTTGCGTTTGACACATGAACCCACAGCTGACGATGAGATACCCTGTTGTGAGGCAATTTACAGGAGACATGTGGTCATCTCCTTCGCAAAGGGTCTACTCTTGGTCCGAGGTGCGGTCTTGGTCTACGACCAGAGAAGTAGGTTTCGTTCAATCAAAGAGTTGGATACCTTATATGCTAACAGCAAAGCAGGAACACAGGAACAATGGGCCGGGAGAAAGCTTCCAGGCTGGCGAGAGGCCGATTACCTACCTGCTCCTCAGACCACATTCAAGCGCAGCTCCAGTGATGACACCAGGCAGCCGTGCAAGTCAAGATACACAGTCCCGGGGGAAGAGCTGGTCGCTCACACAGCAAATCTATGTCGACACCGTCAATCCTTGCCGGCTGCTATCTGAGGAGCAATTGCTGCTTGCTGTTCTTGTCCACGTTTCTTACTCCGCAGATAAGGTACCCTTTTCCACAGGCAAGTCTCATTTCTTCCCAGCACCGCTCCCTTTTGACAGCTATATTTCTGCTTTCCCTCGCCCCATTCTATTCTCATTTCTTCCTATAGCCAGTTCACACCCGTCACCTTCCCCGTGTTATTTCACCACACTCTCAGCCTTCTTGGCAGCTCCGATGATGAGAACGCCTTACTAATTTGGTGAACGGGCTCGGGCAGCCCAGGGACCATTGGTCCCTACGAGAAGCTGCCTACCTGCCACAAGTCCCTGAGTCCACCTGGCCTATGGTCAACCATGGTGCGGCGGTTGGCGATGATCTGAGGAGCAACGGCCGCTTTTACTCTGATTATATTCTATTTCTTTCTCATGATTCTATTCACCCGGTCCACTCCTTTAAGTTATTAGAGGATGGTGCTAACTGAGCGGTCGCAAGAGAGAAACTACAGGAGCCAACTCAGCCAAGAGAAACACGCCTCCTTCCTGTTGCTCAAGATGGACTGGTCATCCATCGAGAAAGCACGCAGCTGTTCTCAGGGCAGTAAGCCACAAACATACACCCTTGTCCCTCTCGCCGTTATACCTTTTTGTTTTCTGTTACCTCTCAGCACTTCTACATCAGCCACGTCATGTTTGTCCTTGACTCAATTCTTCTCTTTCTGCCAATCTCAGCCGGACATGGCGTCTCCGATGATGTCGACACTGCTTCTCAATGCCTCTCAGAGTGCCGAGCCTGGTCAGCCGGCTTTCTCGAGCCGGTTATTGACAGCTTACCTGAGGAGTCGAGCCCGGTCACCGCTTTTGTTGAAGATGCGTGTTCCTTTAGTTCTTTTCTTTTCTTTTCTGGTACTCCCTATTCTTTTTGTTACGCCACGCTGTCTGTTTCTGTTTTCTGCATCATTTCTTATTTGCCATGCGCTTTTTACTTTCCGTTCATTTTCGAATCCGCCATACCTGTTATGTCTTACCATCACTGCCACCTCTCCGATGATGATGATTAAGGTCCAGGGTCAGATCAGATCAGGAGCGCGTCTGTGCCCCTGAGATGATGAGTCTTCTTTGCGGGTCTCAGGAGGTGGTCGCTCCTTGAAAAACCTGCTGGACTGAAGGAGAGATCAACTTTGCAACATCGTTTGCTTATTGGCATGCCTTTTCGGGGTTTATCTGGTGCAGGCTTGTCTTAAGCGCTGGAGATTGTCAACACTGTTTTCTTCACTTTGCCTTTTACTGTCCACCGCTGGTTTTCCCCACCCATACGATCTCTCTCCAATGATGGACGTCGTCAGTGTTCAGAGCAGAGGCACATCTGTGCCCCTATGAAGAGTCTTCTTTGTGGGTCGCAGGGGGGTTGTGGTCGCCCTTCTGCAGAATCCACTACTCTGAGAGAGACGGATTGACATACATTGTGGGTCACATCACTTACGGTTCTGCCTGTTCTGGCCGTATCTGGCAATTATCCTCACCTTCAAGCCCAAGTATGGGGGCTTGCAGCCAATGACGAATTCTGAGGCGCCAAAACACAATCTCAACAAGGGAGCGTGTGTGTTCTTTACTGAGTATCTCCCTTACTGAAGAGCACTCGCCGGGGCTCTATCGAGTACATGCATTTGTGGGAGGGAGGAAGGGTCACAGCCCGAAGCTCGGGTTGAATTCAACTCTTTACGGCGCCCCCAAGGGGTTCCTCAAAGAGAAAAGCAAAAGGGACAGGGGGATGCTTTGATCATTTGGTCAATGATGACACGCATACCCCCTATTTGAACGCGCAACCTGCCTGGTAGGTTGTTCGCGTCATGCAAACAATATTCAGGTCTGAGGCCAAAGGAGGGTTCATCGGGGGGATAGAGCAAGAACTACTACACATACATGGTGCTGGTCAGATTCCAGTGAGAACAAGCACTGGCTGTTATGACCATGTGGGTGGGCAAAACAAAGTGCTTTCAGTGTTCGCCGGCCGCTAAATGCACACCAGTGAGGACGACACTGGTTACAGAGGGAGGGATGTCCCCAACTAAGACATCTGAGACAAACCTTGAAAGTTGGGTTGGCTGAACGCCAAAGTGTTTCCAGTGAGGCAGGACACTGGTCACACTCCAGTGAGCAAGCACTGGTCACACTCCAGTGAGCAAACACTGGTCACGCTCAGTGAGTCAAGGGACTGCTGGGGCGATATGGGACTCGGGAGTTGGCTGTTGGAGAAGGAGGCACCAGCAATTCTTGGACCGGGAGGGATGAGTGGCTACACACTCACAAAAGCTACCAGTCGATCGGATGCTGAGGGACCTGTGATGAGAAGCCTTCATTAGTTGAGAGCTGCGCGCCTTGTGCAAACAATGGCTGGCCTCCATGATGTCCGAACTCGGGAGAAAGTCCGAGATCCCAAGTATCATCGTCAAGGGTTTTCTTTTGGGCATGGAAGTCGGATTTAGGAATGAATAAGGAAGGACGTATCTTGCTCCTTACACGAGGTCCAGCATGTTCTCGATAGCTTCAAAGATATTTCAATACATGTTTCTGGATGGGACGGTTTCACTCTATGTTGCCCTCGGAGTAAGACAGTGCACCGCCAATCCTATACAAACCATAGATTCTTTGAGTAGGATGCCACCGCAGCTCTCTGCGATGTGAGTGACAGCCCAGGACACATCAGGCGGTTGGAGATGAACTCGACATCCGCGAACAACCTGCTTCATGGTGTTCAATGACGCCTAGACAGTGTGATACATCAGCCTTGTTAACGTGATCCCTGTGTTTCCCATCCAACCCACCGAATTTATGACGGCGACTCATTAGGCAGCCAACGTAACATAGAACACTGACTCGAGGAAGACGCCGCCGGCGGTCGAATCACCGATGACTAAGTAGGCAAGTACTACGCAACACAGCATTCGTGTGACACAAGCCCAATGTCCAATCTGAAACGGCCGGTTGAGAAGGGCCGGATACTGCGCCCAACCTTTCACGATTGGCTTCAAACTGGACTTTGCCTTGCTCAAGGACAGCCTCGAGATTCCCGAGAACAGCTGGTGATACTCATATGACCGTCACTATGAGTTGCGAGGATATGAGAAATGAGGCAACAAAGCTTCTCACGGGTGAGTCACTAAAGGTGAAAGTCCAAAAGGCAAAAAAGGGGGAAAGGTTCGGTCAGCTGGTGAAAGCAACTACAGAACGCACGCAGGCCTGTCATATCATGAAGCCCTTTCCCGGCAATGCTGAACGTAAATTGCCACTGGGAGGCAAAAGCCTCTGACGCATACTCATTTCGTTCAAGGCAACAGCAACAGGTGTAGATTACCCTAGATTACCATCCGTACGGGACGGACAAGGGGGTACTAGCGTCCTATCAACAAGCTTAATTCAACCTCTGGAAGATGATATGAATCTTGATGGAATCCGTGACAGGTTCCCTCAGTGGTTGGTGAAACAGACCCATCCTATCAGCATAGGGAACGGGCTGGTCGTCGCACAGCCTTCGGGATAGCTTGAAGAAGCACACAGTATACCAGCACGGTGTCGAAATTGGTAACCACTCATATTCAGCGTTGAATTAAGATGTCCAATGTGATTAGGGTTCTTTCGAGAGGTGTGCAGATATCAGGACTCAGGGCGCCAAGTCAGTCAGAGCCATGCTGTGCAGACTCTGCAGTGCAGCAAGACAGCACCCCTATTCAACGACCTGACTGGTGTCGAAAAGTGAGGCGTCTTATCAGTGGAGCAGAATAACGTTGGGAATGACGTCCAGCAGTCCAGAACGGTCCATAAGGGAAGTGAAATGGCCGCAGACTACCACGGTATGATGCCGGTCAAGAGACAGTGGTGACCTTGGTCCCCAAGAGGGACAGCCTTCGAAGATGCCCAAGCGGCACCCGCCCACACAAAGGCGACACTTGATCGACCGGGACGAGGCAATGCGAGATCGGCAGAGAGCAAAAAAGAAAATATACAACGTCAAGGTTCTGCAGGAACCAGCCCGCTCCATCATTGTTGGGTCGCAAGGCATGGAACGGCCGGGACGGCTACTGCTGTTTGCGCGGTGCAGAGCAGAGACAGATACGCCCCCAGACATCGCCTTCCACAACTCCCAGTCACTCCGGTAGAACACCGGCTCAATGACGTGCTGGTGCATCCCCTTCGCTTTGAGAGAACCATTGTCGGCGCGGGATGGGCCACCAAAACCAGAAACCAGAACGTAACGGGGAAGCAGCGCTGCCGCCCTGGGAGACCAAGCCAGCCCAAAGTGGCGAAGGAGAGCCGTATTTAGCGCAACCAGGTCGAATGGCAGGCGCCGGTGAGGTGAACAACGCACACCGCCCCGCCCAGATCGAGGGACAAGCCCATGGGGCTCAACGCGGGATATCGGCCCTACCGCGCGCACAACACACGGGAGGTGTGTGAGTCACGATAGGGTAGCCCGAGAGCTTTGTGGGTTCCCTCGGCTGGCGGAAATCGTATTTGTGCGTTCTGAAATGCGGTGTTGATCCCATAGTCATCGTCGTCGTCATCGTCATCATCATCATCATCATCATCATCATGATCATGTCCACAGGAAACAGCTCGAACCAGGCTGCCTCCATAAGAGGCGGACACGCTCAGCTCCGATCGCCACCAACCAAGGCAGATCTGGGAACTACCCAGACCCCGTGACTTCCCAAGCCGCGACCACTTGTCGAGCGGTGAGTCAACACTGCTCGTGGCGACGGACGGAGCGGAAGGGGGCAAAACAGTCTTGGCCTCAGCCACGAAGTGAACGGTTGACAAACGTCTTACGGGCCTTGAGCCGAAGCTCGGGGGTGTGTTTAGAGCCGTAGGGCAGTTTCTGACTGAAAACTGGAACGCGTGACGTATGTAGGTTCCCTCAAAGGTGGCAAGGTAAGTCCCTCGAGCAGTTGCGAACTACCTTACTCGTCCAAGAGCAGCTGGGGGAGTTCGAGGACGTTGGGCAACAACTGTGCCTGACTTGGGTCGAAGTCAGAAAAATATGGTGGGGCGTGCGTTTTACCAAGCCGGAACGAGGATGGTCCTTGCGTTTGTCATACGGCAAGATCGGGACCTGAAAAGCCCCGATGGAACCCTTACGAATCAGGGACGCTGCCGTTTCGGCAAGTGGAGTACCCCCGATCCGGGGTGGCGTGGAAGAAGACTGTAACACAGCCACCATGTGGCTTTCAGCCACTTCCAGACCCAGATCCTCGGATCGTGCTTTGTCCCCAGTTGCCCTGAGCTTTGAGGCTTGCAGCGTCGTCTCCAGCTGTACGCTAAATTCCCCGAACCCTTGGGCCCACTCTGCTCGACCCCTGTTCTTCTCAAAGGTGAAGGACATTTGGACTTCAATGCACTTGGCTGCGAGAAACACAGGTTGTGCCGAGTGCTGAAATCGCGTTGTCCGGCTCAACATTCCGCACGATTATCTGCTCAGAAGGAGCTGCACTTCTTTCCCAGGTATACCCTAACGTACTGTGTATGGTATGCCTTCAGAAGGGAGACAACGGCCCCATCGCTCCCACTGACGAATCCTTCTCGAGGCCCATTTTGCGTCTAACTTCTCATTGGGTCTGGCCTTCATTGACGGCTCCAAGAGCGGCTTTCCCAAAACGCACATTGGGCGGTGATGCCGGACCATCCGGCAGAGTGTATTACTGGGCTACGGGTGACGGATATGGAGGGCGGCTGAGGGCAATCGCACACGGGCTTTGTATGGAGACATGGAAGTTGGCTACGCAGAGAACGCTAGTCAGAGTGCGCCGAAGTCCACAACACCTCGAGGGGAGGACACGTTAGTTTGATCGACAGTCAGCAGGTCCCGTGATCGCTGGCCTGAATGCTGCTTCCACGAGGTGAGTGCTGCAACGTGCTTTTGTGTTGATTGTCGCTCCTCTTGGTTTGAGGGCCCCGGACAGGTGACCGCTGTGCCGTATCATTCGGGCCAGACTCACAACAGATACTCTTGGTTCATCCCCCTGGGGACAGGACTCGAGTCAAAACATTAACGTTATCGGCTGAGATACCAGAGCCCTTGCCTCCGGTTTCCGGTGACTATCTTATTCGTTCTTCCTTCGTCTTCCGTACTCGCCCTCGCCCAGGGGCGGTATTGGGCAGATACCTATATCGTCAATTTCGCAATTTGTTGAAATTTTGTGCGCAATGCGCTACGTCAGAGAGGCCTGGTCCGGGTTCGGAAGTTCCCTCGGCCTTGACATATGAAAGGTTGCCGCGAACCCTTTTTCGTCGCCCTTCTGACATGGCCAATCTGCGCCGGTCCATGCACCTCCTGCAGTTCCGTCCCTCGTAAGGCTCGGGAGTGTCGGTGAAGGCCAAAACGGCAGCAAGGTCGGTTGATTTCCTTCCATATCCTCTTGGAAAGCTGCCTGGTTTTGACAAGCTACTGTAAGAGGGAGGGGCCTCTGCTGCATTCACCTTAGCCAGTGGATCCGGTGCCGCCATTTTCCAGTGGCTGCACTGCGTCCGCATCTGGGCCATTTTGGTTGGCGGCGGCCAGTCCTTCACCAATGGGGGCGGCGAGACCTGCATCCAGAACCTGCCGGCCTCTGGCCATTGGCCATACAGCGGTCGCAACAAAAACCGCCCACTTATATTGGACATCAACGCAGCAAACGACTGCTCTCGGCGAGCCATTAGGGCACCAAAACATACACCAAACATGACACTGCCCCTTGTGTGAGTCACGGTGACCGGAGGCAAGCGAGCTTCCTCTCTTCTCTTCTCGTACCAAATGAAAATCGTATTGGCATGGGAAGCAAATTTTTCGACACGGTGAGCTGAAAGGGGGTCAAAAGCGGAAAGGCGACCGGGATGATCGGGCCAAGAACGCTACTGTGGGAAAAAGCCACGGAACGGGCAGCAGGGTAGGGGTGGGCGTTCTGGAAAAGCAAACCACGCCCAAGTCCAGCCAAGGGATGGCCAACTGTGAACCGAGCCAAGGTCAAACTTGAGAGGTGAGGAAGATATGTGCCCCACCGAACGTGCTAGGGTGCAGGTCCGTGAATGAATCGTGCCCTGTTCCGGACCTTACCCTTGGATAATTCTGGCCTGCCACTCACCGCGGCCCGACTCCGCTGACCGTGTCTTGATACTGTATGGGGACGAACGTTCTCACCGGTTCACCGGTTATCCAACAAGGCCACACACGGTGAGCGGGCCCATACGCAAGGACCATATGTGTGAAGTTGTCGGGCATTATGCGATGGGATGATTGCAGAACCTTTCGGCTGTTGTTGGCGATGTCCACCGTGATGAGAGAGGGAAGCCGCGTGAGAACGTAACTGTATGGCAAGGTGGCTGTTCAGCCACCTTTGAGTCGAGTATTGCGTGTTCTTAGATTGGGAGGTCGACAGGGCTACCTAGCACGATAACGTTCATTGCGGTACGGGGTGTAGTGCCTTAAACACGGAGTTATATATGAATTGGAGTCGAGGAATGGAGGCCGAAGAGGAAAGGGAGTTCATTTTGACGGTGCAATCCGAGGACCGTTGGCTAGTGTAGATGCAACGAGATAGCATATGTACAGCTCGAAACCTTGAAACAATCCAATGGAGATGCGATGTGGTTTCCTGGGTAGGAGTTGAAGTTGTTGGAGGAGCATGACGGAGAGTCGAGACGGGACGGCAGATTTCCTGGTGTCTCCCCGCTGTCAATTGATGATTGGGTCCAGAGTTTGAACGCGCGAGACCCCACCTGGCCCCGCCGAACGGCCTGGCAGCTGCATGCATCCGGGACACGCGAGCGCAAACCGCCTCGCAGAGCAGCACGAACAGGAGGATCTGCATAGGAAGAAAACCACTGCAGCTGATGCGATCAGTTCCCAGCTTTGGACACGACAGTGGATGCACATGCTCCTTGGCACCCCGGATTTTACCCTACCTTATGTACACCCAGAGATGTCTAAGGTCTAGATTTTGAGAACCATTGGATTTGTTTATGATGACTTGAAGTCAAGCACTCCACAGACTGACCGGCTTCAGAGGTCGATAGGAAGGTCTCACCTTACTCATCCTAGAGACTCTCCAAGAAAAACCTACAGATGAGCGTGGAAAACCATCCTGTGGTCAAGGCGGCAGCAAGAACGTCAGCTTGCTGGCATCTTTACGGAAACCTCAGAATCTTTGCTGTGTTCCGAGAGTTTCGGTCACGACTTCCACAAGAGAGGCAGCGATGCTACTGTTCATCTACGCCGTTTTCTAGCCTGCTTGCGTGGCTGCCCCATCGATATCGCCGGCCTCCATTCCAATTGTTACTTTTGCGATACCTGCTGGCCCTGCAATTGAAAGGACCCCAAGTTCGACACCGTTGTCATTTCAGAAACTCCAAGGTTGTGCTCGAAACCTGCCTTCCGGGACTTCCGTTAGCTGTCAATGGCATCTACCGAGCATCCAGTCTGTGCCAGGCTTCTACGCGCTGTTTGGATATCACAACCTTTCGGAGGCGAATCTTAACTGATCATGTGCTCTATTGTATGCCAGGGGCTCGTGGCTTTTCTGTCCATTGACATGCCGTCGTCGCAAGCCGGGCCTTTGCGACGCCATTTCTGGAAGATGACTCGACAGTCGCCGGTCACCACCATCAAGCGCACCCTTCTGTTAACAGCATTATCGCATTGATCGTCGCCAAGTCGCCAGCCCTGGTTGCTTGCTCGTGAATGAGACGAAAATTTTCTCACAGCCCATTTCCTCAGAAGTGATCCCCTGCTCAAATGGTGAAAGTTGGTGCCGACCAATTTCGCTTAGCCGACCAGAGGCCTGTCGGCCGAAAATCCGGAAGCTTTTCCCGGCGTCGCAAATCTGACCAGACCAGGCACCTAGGGAGTGTGAACGAGGATACAGTAAGGACTGTAGTGTACCTAGTGCGATGAATCAATCTCCCAAAACTTTCAAGAGCCGGATTCGCTTCATAGTGATTATGGACCCGTCGCTGTCGATAGGTAGTGTCAGCAGCAGAAGGTCACAAGTGCCCGTGGATGTGCGACCACCTATCCATAGTGTAAAGCCGCTCCGGAATCTGTTGACCGAAGAGCGGGCCGCACTACACAGTGTCAGCAGAGCGTCCTGGAACTGGGCTGGGGGGTGTGCTATCTTCTCGTTCTCGCTGACAAGGCAGAAGCGATGATTACGGTACACTAATAACACCCCCACCGCAAGGTGCGGCGTTAGAGGCACGCCCCTCCATGTTCTCCGTTGAGAATTTCAGTTGACAGGGATGGAAGTCAATTTTTCACGTCCCGCCCCCTGTCATTCCTGGTGGGAGGGGCAGGTTGGCTCCCACTTGATTCTGCCCGTCCTTGCGCACACCTTGGCTTTAAAAGCGGCGCCAACCTCCCAAATTCCCCTTTTCTACCAACTTTGGCTTCTGCCAATGCGCTTAACCACACCATACTGCTCAGTTTTCAAGACCATTTCTCAGCGATTCTGAAGTCTGGACCATTGTCGACTCCAGACCATTCGAGAAGCTGCCGTCAAAGTCGCTGCCGACTTTGGCCCCGACTCTCCGACTGGAGATAATATCACCGGATCCCTGACATGTTTGCGATCAGAAGACGGTTTTCCTCTCCTCTTCCAACCGACCACAGACCAAGGTGACGGGTGTCACTTTCTCCAGCGTCACGACATAGGCGCCACTCAACCACGGATTTTGAGCTGAGCAAGAACGCAACAAACGACCCCTCTCGGCGGCCGGGGGGTACTCTAGCGAGTTTTCATTTTTTTTTTCGGGTGTGGGAAGGAAGAGTATTTGGGTGTCCAAGAGGACATCGCAAGAGCAAGAAAGCATGGCTGCCAGTTACTCCCCGTACGGGTCCACGCCTGGCCAGGAGTATCTCTACGATGAGAAGAAGTTTCCCAGCCCGTCCCCGACGCCATCGCCTCGAGGACCGAGCTATTACTACGGCGCGACGCCGCAACGGCCTGCAACGCGGGCTCACTTTCGGAACGGGAGCACTACCGGCATCAGCAACGGCTATGCGAGCCCTCGTGCTCCCTCGTTCTCCCCGCGGTACACGAGCGACGGCCAGTACGCCACTGTGAATGTGAGTGCCTCGCGTTCCACGCGCAAGCCAAGTTTTTCGGGTCCGCCGCGCCCCATGCGCGAGCGCCGCACTTCGTTTTCCTACCATCCGACCACGGTCTCTCATGGGGAATCCGACGAGGACGAGTTTATCGATCTCGGCGGCCGTACCTTCGTGCTGCCTGGATGGTCCGGATCGAGACGATACAGGGACCACTTTACCGTCAATGCTGGTGGGCATGGAACTGATTACGGGTACTATGCACAGGGCGGTCCCTACTTCGACAGGGAGGCTGTGTTCGCGTCGCCGCGGTACGAACCGGAGCGCCGTCCCGCGCCACCTGCCGCTGGTCACTCTCGACGCAACTCGACCTCGGTGCCTCAACGGCCCCAGACCGCCCGGCCCTCCGCCATGCACAGGAAGCCGCCACCGCCCCCTCCCGTCCGCCAGGCCACGGAGGCCGATGCTAAGCGGCACAAGATCCCAGCGGGATACTCGCTCAAGAACTGGGACCCTACGGAAGAACCCATTATGCTGCTCGGCAGCGTCTTTGATGCCAATTCCCTGGGCAAATGGATCTACGACTGGACCGTCTACCACCACGGTGCTGGCTCGCCCATTGCCGAAATGGCCGGCGAGCTGTGGCTTTTGCTCATCCAGCTGGCCGGGAAGATCAAGCGCGCCGAGGAAATCCTCCCTAAGATCAGATCCAAGGACAACCGCGAGATGGTTGATGAGTTCATTGAGGCTGGTTACCGGATCACCGACAAGCTCCGGAAGCTCCTCAAGGCATGCGAAGCTCCCATGCTCCGCTCCAGCAAGCAGCGGAAGGAAGGGCAGCTTGGCAAGAGCGCCGGAGTCGAGTTCGTCGAGACTCTCTTTGGCCGTGATCGGGAGTACGAGAAGACGGACCGCTTCATGGCGTCAGTCCGCCTCTGGAACCTCCGGTTCGACACGAACTGTGAGGAGATCCTCAAGAATCCCACGGTGTAACACCACCATCTCTCCAGCCACACGCCAAAACACCACACCACACACCACAAAATACTACAAACACAACACAAGATACCCACAGAGCCAGGCTGTACGATTAAGTCTCTCGGAGTCATTTTGTCATTTGCGCTGTTATACAGAGGGGTTCTCATTTCCTCGTCTCTGGCGCCGGGGCGTTTTTTTTCCGCCTCAATCTCGATACACATTCCACGGGATCAGTCCCGCATCATGGTGGCCGTCTTTCCGTTTCGGTCTTTTGCAATGATACCCACAAGTACGAACGGCCTCTTCTGGCCCCAAAAACATAAACAAGCGATGCTGTTGGGGCATGGAGCAGATCACACGATCACGAAGCAGTTGTTGCAGTCGCAGACGGACTGTAGCTCTCTACCTATCAGAGGTGTACGGGAACTCAAAAGTACCGGTGTCGGATCTTTGCTTTTTTGGAGCGTGTTTCTTTTTCTTATTGGGATGGACTGGTTCATGGACTGGACTCTTTGACTCTGAGCGGATGATTTCAGCGATGGGGAGTGGTCGACGATGGTTATTGTCACCACACAACAACTTTTAATGGTGATTTTGGGCTCGGGACTCGGACTTGGAAAGAAAGGCCTGTTCTTTTCCAAATCTTCTGGTTGTTTTGATCAGATGGGGTGTCATCTTGGATACGCAAGAGACCTCGTTCACGTTACTCGGCGTCAGTGACGCGCTCCGACAATTACGGCGAGCCGTCTAAAGTTCCTTTCTCTGTTTCTCCTGGGTTTCACAGGATGGATATACCCCCTTGTCAATTTCTGGTTATTGAATGCATAGTATCATAGACTAGTAGTAGGAATTAGAAGGATACCTGGGTTCATTATCAAATGCACTCATTCGGAGTCAATAATTCACGCAAACGGCATTTTACAAACCCAACCAAGGTAATTACAGTCATGTCTTGTCCCGGTGTTTCTGCTGCATTCTCGTAATCGGGAATACGGGTTGCACTAATGAAAGCAGTGACAGCGCAGGAACCTACCCAAAATGACTTGTCAGCCATCATCAGTTTGTGCCTTGCTCTGCAGCGTAACCCTAGATTCCAACCCTAAAAAGGGGCCGCCCTGTTCTCTGGAGCAGGCACTGCCTCAAAAGTCATTCGAGGGATGCTTTTCTGTGACCTGGCACCCAGAAAATTTTCTTGCTCCCGTCTGTGCCTCACAAAACGGAACGGCGGGAAGTTCAGGTGAAACAATCGCACACACCCCCCTCCTCCATCCTAAATCGCCTGCCTGCCTAGGTGGTGATGCAAGGGATATGCCATACACCGATAACCTGGACGTTCAGATAGGCATCTAGTGTTTGTCGAGGTCTCCAGGACGACCCTGCCACGAATGGCTGGCTGCAGGGGCTTCGCCAAAACGCATCCTCCTGATAGCCAAGATCTTCTGGTTCCGACTCGCTCAACACCATCCAACTACCGTATAGACAACACTGACGACAGCCCCTGAGCTGCTTCCCTTCCAAGCATGGATAACTGGCCCCAGCCTTCCGAAACATGAAAGCTGCCAAACATGAAACTTCCCTTTCTTTCTTTCTCCTTTCTGTGCGCTGTCTCAAACTTTCCATTTCACAAATTCACTCTCACCTACATGTAAGCCAAGAACTCCAGTCTTTCCTTTACACAGCATGAAATGAGCCGAACCTGCCTTCTACAAGTCATGCAATTGCCCGCGGCCTTGCCGTCACGCTGCCCCGGATGTCAGTGGAAAAGGGATGACCCAAGATGGGATGGCTGGTCAAAGATGAGGGAGGGCCCCTCACCTTCCATCGCCAAAGTAGGTGTATCCGCACCTATGCAGCCAGCCGGCAAGGCCCCCCTCGAACATCGATTTGACAGGCCAGAAAAAGATGCGGACAACCACGGCTGGACATTAAGTGCTCATACAGTGCATCACTGGTGTGCGACAATACTAGTATGTCCTGTGCACTTATGAGGGCCCAGGGCTACACGAACTGCCAGGCCTGTGATCCTCGCCTGAGGTCTCTCTCACACGGCGGCCCCACAAGCGGCTGCGTATTGCGGGTTCATCCCATGAAGGAAGGTTAGAAGTTGCGGCGCAATATGAGCTCGCCTACCCGTCATGTCTGCAGGTGACATTCTCTCTCGACGCCGCAAGCCGACGGTCCGATTCCAGCGGCCGACGACCCATTCCGGTTGTTGTTTGGTCGGGCCAACAAGTCGTACAGTACAGCCTTTTCCAGGATTCCCCTCACCACAACTAAACCACCTAGAGCAGAGAGCAGCAGCCTTCGCATGTTGCACGCGAGCCAGACTCGCACCACTCATCCACAGACGGAGCACAACGCAACTGCGGCAGCATTTGTTGAGATCACAGCACACACTGGGATGAAGAATATGGAGCCTCATTCAAAGGCGTATCTGAGTAGTGTATTCGTGATACCCGATCAAGTGGTGGTGCAGTGTCATTGTTTCCCCGCCCAGCCTCCGCTTCCATCGCCAAGACCGGCCCCTGCCCCCCTTCAACGGTTTGAGTGAACTTGCCCAGCGTTCTTATGAGACACAACTCATGCCGTTTGCTGCTTCGCCATGCCACCGACAAACAATCCGCGGGGCTGAAATCTGCGGACCCCGGCCCCGATCGACAACAGGGCTTGCTGGAGATGCTGGCGGCTGGCAGCGCTAATCAGCCCTACCAGTGGAGCGCATCCACTGTGTCGACCCCAATCACAGCCACTGCTCGTCTCGTTTCGGCAGGCTTGATGGGATTCAGCAGAGCGCTTAACGCGGCCAATTCCGCTCATCCGATCGTCAATCAGTCCCGTCCTCGGACTGAAATGCCGGCAATACTTTTGCCATCAGCATCCTCCCGGCAAGGCTGGGCAATCACCCTTAACCCCCTAGCCGCCACGGGTCTCCGAACACAGTAGGATTAGGTGATGTGTCTCCGTCTCCCGAAGCTCCCCGACGAGCCCGGTATGCGGTCGACATGCCACCTACATCGGCTTAGTATTATTGTACATGTGCCTGTATAGTCCGTCTGTTGACTATCCCGTCTGCCTTGGGATTACAATCTGAGGTGCTCCCTTGCTGCCTGCGGCGTAGGCGTAGGCGTAGGACTGTGCGGCACTGCTAAGCGCCGTGCATGGTGTCCGGCACGGCAGTTGGGCGGGCCTGTTTTCGCGGCCTGCCTTGGGGGAATTCAGTTGGGATGGAGGCTGAATAAGACCCCTGCAGGGTGTGTGTGTTTTTCGCCAACTTTAGCTAGTACCCACTGTCCGGTGTATATTCGGCCCCGGAATCTTCATTTTTGGCCAGCTCGTGGCTCGGAGCCGGGCCCGAAGGATCTGACCCGGGCTCACCCCGGCCTTTCGCCTGCTATCTCGGTGGTAGACTCGACAAGAAAGGACATCCATAGGGCAGGTGGGTAGGCACCTAGGCTTTGGGCTACCTACCTACCTACCTATGCAGTTCCTCATCAGTTTGCTGCGCCGATGTCAGTGTGTTACCGGACACACCATTCTACCGCCTGAAAGCTCGCTCCCGTCCCCTTCATTTCCAGAATACATGGTGGCTGGATGTTTGCTGGAATGTGTATCCTGATTCCATATCTTTTACCTCGATCCCGTCCTCCCACGAACACCCCCTCTCACGCAAGCGTTCGTTTGACCCAGGCTGCAATGCTGATGTACCGTTGCCTTTGCTCAGTTGCTCGGTTGGATCAAACGGTTAAACAGATGTATTCCGTCTGCAGTCCCAGGATGCAGGTTGTCTGTACGTTCGTGTGCGGGGGTTCGTCTCCCAACGGATCCCCGGCAAGACTAGAGGCTGCGTCAAGGTAGTTACACAGAGGTCCACATGAGGCTGTTGTTCTTTTTGACTTCAGTAGCTCACTTACTATTGCGGGGGTACAATGCGGTTTGTTATTCTTAATACCAAGCTACGTTGTAACCCCTTCGTAGCTGAGGCTCCTTGCCATGTAAGAACCTACCTTAGGTAAAGTACTCTGGTTCAACGTTTAGGTAGAGTGGGATTGACGATCCTACTACACATTACTTTACTGTTAGAAGTCGCTTAATCTGGATGAGAATGTCCATCGCATTTGTAAGCCAAACACAACCTGGATGCTAAACTCATGGACGTCGCCTTGTCGTCAGCACTGCACTTGGAGTGACTAGGGCTTCTTCTGCGACTGATAACATGTTTCGGCCTGTGAGGCAATGCCTACCTTATTTGTGAGGCATGCCAGTTCTACCCATATATAATAAAAGCTTCATCCTTTCACGATCCCCTGCTGTGTATCATTCACATGGGTGGTCAGCTGCATACTACTTCGTTATTCTCGAATCAGCTACCATTCCAATCAGTTGCACAACAGATCGATATTCCCAGATTCGGTCTCGTGCTCGGTCGTGCGGGCGGCTATCTGCAATTGCATGCAGCAGTGTACTTCCTGGGTGTCCAATGAGGGCGCAGTGTGGGATCTGCGTCACAGTGACAGACCTTCAGCGCACGCGTGTTGGTGTGCACTCCTCTATACCGTTTTGAGGCTGTTCACTGCTCTGCCCAATGCCCGTGAAGAGCGAAAGAGCGTGATCACATATCGGAGCGATCCAAACCCCGTCAAGACACTTGCAATACACAACTACGTATCGTTCTCGGGTGTCTCTATCACCAGGTCTCAGACATCCTGTCTGCCGTAGAATGCTCCTGTTTGTCGTCTCCCGCTGAGTAGAGAGAGACTTACATTCCCGAACTGGCCAGCATTCCGGACAGTGAACGATCAACTTCTGCACGACCTTTGACCCTGCCGCTCGTCTCACCTTGACTTCTAGAAGAAAGCATAGATGTACCTACATATTAGGCTCAGTAGGCTGCAGAGATCTGCAGCATCCGTGTATTTTTAGGGGGTGACAGTGTGGCGTCTCCCGGCCCATCGTCACTCAAATCAGGACCTAGCACATTCTGCGTTTACCGGGCGTCAGGCGCAGCAGCGCATCGCAGTGGCGTGCAGCCAGTCACGCCAGTTGGGGACCAGCAAGGACGCCAGGGTAACATTGGTCACTGGTTCCGAGCATTCCTCGGCACACCCCCCTCAATAAAGCTGGCTCAGCCCACCAGTTAGACGCAGAGGAGCAGACTGCTACGCAACACCAACTCGAAGTTCTCCGAAGCTTCCTTCTTCGGCTATTGTGTCTCTCGTCAGCGCCGTACCGTCCTACGCACGGTACGATACACCCCACCCCATGGGCCAACGGACCATTGCGGATGTTGGTGTATATATCGCCCGCACCAACGGATGTCTCGGGCAGACCACCCGGAACGGCGATGCCGCGTGTTAGTGTATAAGATACCCCAGCATGTGAATCAGGGTTCGGACCGAGAAGCAGGGGATGGATAGAGATCAACATCACTACAACATGTAAAGACCGTTCATTCCATCTACCTTGTAGACTCCCGGTGTGGAAGTCTCGGCCGTAGGGCAAAAAGCAGCCTTCAGGCGGAGATTACAATGCCCAATTCACACCCGTAGGGGCCAACTTCTAGTGTAGCCCGGAGCGGGGTAGTACTTGTGCGAATGATGTTAGAAAGGCTGCGGGGCTGGGCGGGGACGTGGCGAGCTCCGGCCCGATGCGTAGCTGCCCCTCATTCTACCATCACGGCTCGGCTTAACACTCAAAGATGGTCTTGATAAGCTAGAATCAGGGAACTCGTTGAAACAAGATATCAAATAACTGCTTCCCTGACGTAATGAAGCGCCTCAAGTTGTTCTGGACAACGTTGTAAAGCTGTATGTTGCTACCTCATCCAGGGGAAGCTCCGGCGGCCCCTTGGAGACGATGATCAAAACCCCGCAACCCCGCGCTTAGCGCGGGGTTGCGGGTGACCGACGTCATACGTTAGGAACGGAGCAAATGGGCTCCATGTGAAAGGACAGGAACGGGTGAGAGCAGACTCGGACAGCGCACAGAGTCCTGGAAGGTAATTTCAGACTTCATTCAATGAGGGAAAGATGAGTGATTGCAAGCAATGAGGTGGTCGGTCAGAATGTCCTGCATCTAACAGCGGGGCTAGGAGCTGGTGATTTACACGATTCCTAACCACATTCCACCGCACCGATAGGGAGCAATCTTCTACATTCAGTCTTCCACCGATTTGTTCCTGGTTTCACTTAACTCTCTAGAGGGATTCCTCCGGTTAGTAACGCTCGGACCCCCAAGTGACTAGTACCGCAGAAACGTTCGTGCAACCCGTCTCTCTCCTTCGGCAAGGATACCACAACTGATTTACATGATGCTTGTACGAGTTCGCCCGTTATGGCCTGACTCCCCTCAGTCGAAGAAACCCCGTCATTACCACACCCCCCAGCTCAAACAGGGGACATCTGTGGAGAGTTGTGTGTACGGACAATACAAGTACCAGAACCCAGACCTCATCACCATGACGACCGGCAGCGCCAACACCGCGATCACGCTGACAACCGGCAGGAGCAGAACAATGACCGCCAACAGCTCCGTCACCCCGACCATGAAAACCCGCTGGGAGCATCAAGAAGATTACCGATACTACAATTAAGGTAACCTCCGCCGGTATTATCGACCCTACATGGGAGTAATAGGCCGCCTGGAGTGAGCTCCAATCTCCAAGTTCAGATGTCCATGTGACAGAACAACTAGCTTGTTCCCAGTCGTTTGCCGGTCAAGTGGGGTTTGAGATGGTTATTGAACGTCCGGTGTCTGTTAAATGGGCGCGGATTTCTCATTCTGCGCCGCTGGATGACTGGAAACCTTCGCCGGATGGTTGGGCTGCTGTGCGGTGGGAGCCTGCAGCAGCGAGGGACTCGGTTGGTGGATGGGCGTTGGGGCTGCATCGTCGTGCCTCTGTCTCATTCTGTCTGCGTCAGTATGTTTCGCAATCTGGCCTTCGCAAGTTGCAGTAGAGGAAGGTGCAGACATCGCGCGAAAGGTGCAGCCTTTGTCCGGTGTCCTGGCCCTCGGATGAAGAAGGCACAACATTGTTGGCACGTCGTGGGCCGTAGCCTGGCACGAGCTGGGCATGTCAGATCTTCAGAGTTCAAGACTCACTAGCCAGAGACCCTGGGCCATCAGTTCCGTCCTCCGCCGCATTTAGACATGCGTACATGACCATTGATTACGTACCTTACCCTTTTGAGCTGTCTGTGAAACTGCGTATTAGGACTTCAACTGAAGTGATGGAGCGACACGACTGAGGGCTCACAGAACCCCAACCCTGGTTCTCGACGTAACATACCCATCGTTTCAGGGATTTTCGTATCTGCATTCTACAACCGGTTGATCAAGAAACAACTTAGCTCCCGCCAACCGAGCTTCAATCGTCCCGCCGGCGTCATGCATTATATAAGATTCTGCCGGCCTCCGGAGGTGCAGACCGTCAAATCCCAGGCATTCGTCAAGCTCGTGCTGACCATCACAACGGACTTGAGCGACTCGTTCCTCGCACCGCGCAACCCGGTCCAACTTGCTGTCATTGGCGCCTACACCGTGAATAAGGATGGGAAGGACCAGCTCATCCCCGTCAGCTTGGTCCAGGGCAACAGCCCCCCGACATGGCGGGCTGGAATGAGGGTGCTCAAGCTTGACCTCCCATTGCCCTCGCTGCCCATCGAGACAATACAGGTCCGGCCGCTGAGTCGTCAGCTGACGGCAATGAGCACGAGCGATGTCCTCCCAGGTACTCAAGGCTTGATCATGTCAGTCTTTGCGGACATGCCCCAGCCACGGAGCGCGCTCTCGCCCTCTGTCTGTTTCCGGAGTCTGAGACTGCCTGCGGGTGAGATGGCCGCCGCCCAACCACTGCAGATAGAGGAAGATCTTGGTGAGAGCATCGCTCGCCACATCTGGGATTCTGGTATTGTCATGGTTACTCTCCTTGCAGATCTTTGCTTGGATAGCACAGCCGGGGTTGGCAAAAAGCCGGTTCCCCTATTGCGCGGTATCCTTGATCGCCCAGACCGGCGACTGAATATCTTGGAGCTCGGCTGTGGTGTTGGCGTCGTGGGCATTGGCATGGCGCGCATCATGTCGTTGAGGCCGACAGGAGAAGCACCACAAATTCTCATGACAGACCTTCCCGAGGCGGAGGGCAAGGCGCGAGCGAACATTGCCCGCCAAGCGGCAAGTCTCGGGCAAGCATCGATCAATCTCGACTTTGAGCCTCTGGACTGGCAAGATGGGAAGAACGGGATCTTTGGTGAGAAGGCCGCGTCCCGCGCTTGGGATCTGGTGGTTCTCTGTGACTGCACATACAACACCGACACGCTGCTGCCTCTGGTCAAGACGCTCTCTGCCCTCCACAGCCACGCCGCGCGACACGCATCTGCTGTGAAGACCGAGGTTCTCGTGGCGACGAAGCCAAGACACTCTTCCGAAAGGATCTTCTTTGACCTGATGTCCGCTGATGGATGGGTCGTTAGAGAGCAGACCGAGATGCCGCTTCCTCTCCTCGATGGAGAAGGTCAACGCGTGGAGGTTTATCTGTTTGGGAAGCCGTGAAGACGGACACTTCATATGCCAACCCATATAAGCCTCGCCATCTACCCTGGCAATGTATTGCACAGCGATTTGATGATGCCGACCACATGAGCAGGCGGCCGTGTTGCAGGAGAGAGAGAGAGAGCGCGATAAGTAGATATCCATATCCAATCCTCACTCAGCACAGCTCACGCCGCTGCCGTCGGTGCATGTGCATGATTCAGAAGTTTCTCAATGTTTGGCAGCAGGTTGGCTGATGAGCAACAATTGTGATCTCACCCTCCATGTTGGTACGTTCACTTCATGTCAGGGCGGCGCGCGGAAGGCGAGACATGAGGAAGTATCAAGAAACAATTAAGTTGTTAAAAACGTTACCGTGGCACATGCGACTGCAGTGCCCCGGGCAGCTGATTTCAGCAAGCAATGCAGCGGCGCACCGAACAGAGATCACCCCGCCTACCTAGGAAAGGCACAGCCGGAGCTTTGGCAGGGATGCAGTGCAATGCTGCGAACTCAGGTTTCTGACCTATGTACGAATTACCTCATACACAAACAAAATGAATTCTTTGTTGACGACCCGAAAACTTTCAACTCGCCGAGTTGCAGATTTGTTCATCCCTCCTCGGACCCACACGATGATCTGAAATGCACCACGCCTTATTGGCTGGCCTCTTCCAAGGTCAGCCAATGAAACAGCCCACGATGACCCGATTTGGTTGTGCCTGACGGAGTCTCTGCGCCTGGGACCCACAGTTTCAGCTCAGCAGCCTCGCCGCCAACAAGCTGTGACATCAACTCAGGTGGGCATATAAAAGTCCGCCTCCATCACTCCTTCTTCACACTCAACATTTGGCCCTTGACAGCTCATTCCTCAGTCAAAAACTTCTTCATCGCAACCCGGCTCGATAACTGTTACCTTCTTACATCCTCTCACTTGCAACGTGCACTTCCCCGAAGATAAATCAACCCCACCGCACAAGCAACAATGGCGTCCAAGGCTTCCACCTGCTGTGGAAAGAGCGCTGAGTGCGTGTGCGGTAAGTTATTACATGCTCAATCAGACTCCCGTCATTTCTCCCTCCTCTTCCTCTTCCTCTTCCTCTTCCACCACCATCATCCTAAGCGAAGCGTCAACATCACTACCAGAGAGGTCTCCTCTCCCGGCTTTCTGAGCACTCCTCTTCCCAGCCTTGCAGTCCGGCTAATCATCCCCTTCCTGCTTGTCTTTCAATACAGCTCAACAGGCCAAGTGCTCTTGCGGTCAACAGCCCGCGCTCCACTGCAACTGCGAAAAGGCCTCCACTGAAAACTCGGTCGACGGCGCCCGCTGCTCGTGCCGTGCCCGTCCCGCTGGCCAGTGCAACTGTGCCCGCTCCGACGCAGAAAACAAAAAGCCGTGCGGCGACACATGTGACTGTGGTTGCCGTACTTCTGGTGAGTCTATCTTAGTCCTTTACCGTTGGTTGACTGCGCTAACGATGGCATGGCCAGGCTCTTGCACGTGCTCCAAGGCGGCGGACGGTGGATTCAACCCATCCGAACACGAGACCGACTTCACAGGCAAGAAATAAGCCTGTTGCTGTTACGGATCAGGCTTAGTTGAGGCGTGTGGTCCAAATCGCCTCGAAGGGGATACGGCGTCGGCGTTTCGTGGCGTTTATAATGGATTGGGCAATCGGTATCAGGACCTTTGTCAGCTCCTCCAGCGATGGGTTCGACATGGGAGTCTTGGAGCTCCCCGGCGACAACTGGGAGGATGTGCAGTATCGGCTCAAAAAATGGCCGAAGGACCCGCGAATTCCCCACGAGCTTCCCAGGCTGCCTCGGACCGCTGTCACGAGCCAGGATAGACATCAACAAAACAAACGGAGAAGGGTGATTGCCCGGCGATTGGCGTACTGGCCGGAGTCCTGGGGATTCAAGGTCGTGGTTTGACCTTAGCGGTAGCGAAGCAATGCTAGTGAAGCATCTACTCATCGATTCGGTTTTCTAATTCATTCACTCTTCTTTTCGCGCTGAGGTACTTGGAAGCTGCGAGATATCCTGGTTCTGATTCTACACGTGTATGGCTCCTCACCGTGCAGGATAGGCTGATGGTCGGTTGAGGACTGGTTTTGACTCGAGTGGCGCGACGTGTTGGCACTGCTGGCGTCAAAGTGGGGGTCTTGGTTCGCTACGGAGCTCAGGCCAGTTTGCGACAGGAACGAACAAGGAGAGCTTCTCGCTCACCGCTTGGCAGAATCCTCCCAGTATTTCGGTTCGACAAGGGTAGCCGGGTAGCTGCTGCGCACGGTGCATAGGAGCTTATTGAGCTTAGACAACAGGTGAAAGTAGACGTGCCCGACGGTTGAACAATAGTAGAACGCCAATATCAATGTGATTGAACAGGTCAACGTTTGTGGTTTACAGTCCATCTGTTCTTATTGCGAATACATTGCCAGTACCCTTGGCATTGTTGGCCTGAACAATTGTAGAGGATCGCCGGATGCGGTACAGTTATTGTGGGCCCCCTGTTCCTATTGCGGCGACCAAAACAAAACTCGAGTTCGGTCCAAAAAGATCGCGCGCAAGTTTAAATTCCCGAGCTCTTCACACAACTCACCACTCTACTTTCTGTCAACAACACCATCTTTGCAACAGAAACTGACTTGATTCTGTCTGACATTGCCCTCCTGCATTGAACTCTACAGCTCGAGTCAACTCATTCCCACTTGCACATTCTGCATCGTGCGATTCTGAATTCGTTGCATCGAGCAAAACCAACGATGGCCCCAAAGAGAGCTGTCGCTGCGGCGAGCGAGACCGCTCCGCCCGCTAAAAGAACCAGAACCACCACTGTGACCCAGAGAGCTGCTGCTGTATCCAAGACGGTCGTCGAAACTAAGGCTGCTGCGCCGAAAAAGGCTGTCGCGGCGAAGAAGAACACAGCGACCAAGGTGACCAAGAAGACGGCGGCCACCAAAAAAGCCGGCGCCTCCAAGAAAATCGCTGCGCCCGCGACTAAGAAGGCTGCCGAGCCCTCCGAGGCATCTGACAAGGAGAACGAGGTGGAAGCCGCGAAGGTCAATGGCACCAAGGTCAATGGAGCGAAGCGCAAGCGCGACCAGGAGCAAAACGAGTCGGTCGGTGACGACGTCGCGAGCGATGCCGAGGTCAACGATGAGCGCGGCGGCAAGCGCGCAAAGAAGGACGAGGCCGCAAGCGCACCAGCCAAAAAGAGAAAGGCGGCCGCTCCCAAGCCGGCACCGAAACGCGCCGCGCGCGAGCTCAAGGCAATCAACGAGCCACCCAGCCAGGTCATGGACATCTTCGTATTCGGCGAGGGCACTGCTGGCGAGCTTGGTCTGGGCAGTGTGAAGGTCGACGGCAAGAAGCCCATCGATGTAAAGCGCCCCCGCCTCAACACGAACGTCAAGGGTGTGGTGCAGGTCGCTTGCGGCGGCATGCACGTTGCCGTGCTGACAAACGAAAACAAAATTTTCACCTGGGGCGTCAACGACCAGGGCGCGCTGGGTCGCGACACCACTTGGGACGGCGGTCTGAGAGACGTCGACGATGAAGACGACGAAGACTCGGATGATGAGGATACCGGCATGAACCCCAAGGAAAGCACGCCCGCTGAAATCGACACATCGGACATCCCCGAGAACACCAAGTGGGTGCAGGTTGTCGCCAGCGACAGTGCGACATTTGCTTTGACCACGACCGGCCAGGTCTACGGATGGGGCACTTTCAGGAGCAACGAGGGCATCCTCGGCTTCAACAAGAGCGTCATGGTCCAGCGCACTCCGGCTCTCGTCCCCGAGATTTCCAAGATCAAGCAGCTTGCCGCCGGCCTGAACCATGTCCTCGCGCTCGACGAGAAGAACAAGATCTACGCATGGGGCGCTGGCCAGCAGGCGCAGCTCGCGCGCCGGCTCCTCGAGCGCGACGACCTCGCTGCCCTCTATCCATCGGGCATTGGCTCACTTCCCGGCCGCGCCAAAGCCGAGAAGCTCGCCTGCGGGTCTTACCACTCGTTCGTGATCGACACCAAGGGCCGCGTCATTGGCTGGGGACTCAACAACTATGCTGAGCTCGGCGTGGAGGATGAGGCCGGCCAGGACGGCGGTTACGTCATGCGCCCACAGCTTATTAAGTCGCTGGAGCAGTACGAGATTGCCGACATCGCTGGCGGCGAGCACCACTCCCTCGCCTGCACCAAGCAGGGCGAATTGCTCACCTGGGGCCGCATCGACGGGCACCAGGTCGGCCAGCCGTCCGAGTCCTTCTCCGAGGACAACACCATCTGGGACGAGCGCAACAAGCCGCGCATCCTGCTGGTCCCGACCGTGGTGCCGGACATCAAGGACGTCGTGCGCGTGGCCGCGGGTACCGACCACAGCTTTGCTATCACCAAGGAAGGGAAGGTGTATTCCTGGGGCTTCTCTGCCAATTACCAGACGGGACAGGGCACAACGGATGATATTGAGTCCCCATCACTGATCGACAACACCGCGATCCGGGACAGGAAGATCATCTTCGCTGGTGCCGGAGGGCAGTATGGCATTGTGGGAGCGCTGCCGGAGGGGAACTAAGATTGTGTTGAGGGGCGATGTCTCTGGAGCAGGTTGATTTGGAAGACAGGCGCTTGGATGGAGAGGATTGGACGATGATGAGCGCTGTTTTTGTCTCTTCTTCCACCCTGGTTCGGATCATGGTTGGTTTTGCCAGTTCGTTGGTTGGCTGGCTGGATGGGATAGCAGGGGCTGCCGTATCGGCAATGCTCCCTCACTTCTCACAACCTGGGACTGGACTATGAACTATTTGGGTGTGGATGTCTTGAGGTTTTGCTTTTTTCTTTTCTTCTCTGCAGGCATTTCTGGGCTGGGACCGGCGTTGGTATGGTTAGCATGCTTTGCCTGTACACTAATCTCGTCCGCGCATTTGCATCTAGGTCTTCGCGAGGCTGTTCTCGTGAGCGCGGCGTAGGGAATGGGCATGAATCGACTTTGACTTGAGCTGAACGGATCACGTCTAGTGCTAGTGACTCTGATGGTTGACTTGATAATATCATGTGCGTGATGAGGTGCAGCACTAGCAAGGGGACTGAGGACAGTTGCGTGCTGGTTACGTAAGTAAGGTAGGTAAGGTACCCTAGGTTACCATCGAGGGAGTAGCAAGATGATGGCTGTGTCGATGAGGATCAAAAGAAAATGCGTACCCTACATTCAGTGTGCCAATTACTCTTGTTTACACGGAGTTCTTTTTCCCTTGCCTGGCCCTCTAGTTCCCGTCTTCTACTTCGAATGGGAGGCAAATTGGTGTGGTGTGTCTTTTTATCATTACGATATCTCTTCAGCTCGATACTGTCAGGATATGATACTGTACACCAACAGCCAAACAACACATCTATCCTTCTCAGCTCCTAACCGCCCAATTTAGAGTACCGCTCCAGCGCCCCGAGATCCAATCAGCATATCATAACTCCGCGAGCTTAGCGAGGGACCCGCTCCCGCGACTGCTGAACACGCCCATGATCCCAAATCCGACATAGAAAAGCATCAACGGGTATGCCACCAGGCCTCTCATCCCCTTCATGCCGCCCACGGCGCAGAAGATGCCGCTCGCGCTCCACGTGCACCACATGATGGCCGCCGTCGTCAGCACGATCCCCACGGGTGTGTCCATCGGCATGAAAATCCCCACCATGCTGGTCGTCACCAGCGGCAGAAGGCAGTACCCTAGCACAGACGCCGAGCGCGTAAAGGTCAAACTGCTGGACGAGACGTCGACGCCGCTGCTGCCCATCGCGGTCACGTCGGGGTAGGTCGCTGCAGCGGGACCGGGACCTCCTCCCGCTCCGGCGACGGGATCTGGAGTAAGAGAGGGCGCCATGAGCGAGAGGATTGTGTGGAGCAGGATGGACCCGAAGACGGCCAGTCCGTAGATATACCCGAAGTGCACGCGCCCGGACAGGAGGAGGAAGGTGCCGTAGAGGAGGAAGAAGAGGAGCGGGCCGGCGAGGTCGCTGTCGTCCATTAGGTGTTGATCGACGCGGCTGAAGGGGTTGAGCACTGCGAGAGTCTGGGTCGTGTTGTGGTTAGAATTCGCAGGATAGAAGGTGAAGTAGGAACTGGGGGGGGGGGGGGGCGCAGAGGGCAGAGAAGAAGTGTACCTTCGCTTGGATGTGCCCGACGTTTACCCCCAACTCTTCGAGCAGCGGTGGCTCGCCCGGGTAGCCTTCTGTTGAGAAGGCCGCTAGCCAGCCCGTTCGTAGACCGCCCTGCTCGCCCATGCGCCCCGACACGTCTGGTCCGGCACTAAAGCCGGCATTGAAACTGCTTGAGTCGCCGTAGGCGCCTGATGAAGGGCCGGGGGCGTAGCCGTAGGAGGCTTGTGATGGCGTCGCATGGCCGGATACCGGCTGCGCGTAGTTGGACGGGTAGAACTGGAGGTTCTGCGCACCTGTCGGGGTGTAGCCTTGGTTCGGTGGTGCGCCGCCGTAGTATTGTGACATTGTGCTGGCAGCAAGGGAACAGGGAAAATGGAAAAGTGAGCTTCGAGTGGCGTCTTAGTCGCTGGCAACGATCCGTGGTTTGTCGGCTGTGGATATGCTGTAAGGTAGAACGCAAATCAAGGAGTGTGTGGTTGTGTGTTTGTGTGGTTGACCGAGCTGGCGCAGCTGCCTCAGCTTTCACCGAAGTTGCGATCTTGCTTCATCAAGCCGTGCGTCAGCAGCGTCAAGCTCCGGTCAACTTACCATGCGAAAACGCTGGCAGCTGGCGGCCACCTGGTGGTCACTTAGCCACCAGCTGGCTGAAGACGCCGCTGGCAATCGGCGGCGTTGGGGGGGTTGTTTGCTCCGACAATTTTTTGAGCGGCCAGACCCTGGCGTCATGCCATCTGCCGCTTCCGGAGGCTTCTCGAACACCACAACGGCCGCATTCTCCGACACCTTCCGAGCAATTTCTGATCTTGACGAAAAGGCAAGCAAGGCGGCCGACGCTTGCACGTAATCCACAAATGGTAAGTACCTCAACTACATCATTATCCTACGCACCAATCCATTCCGAGTCGCAACCCTCCGTGCCGTTCTCGTCCGTTGGAAACTGACAGTGCTTGTTCGCTAGGCCTATCGCTACATAACCCAAGTCGTCCTCGTGGGCACGCGCGTCTTAGGGCGCGCCTTCGCGGAAGCTTACAAGCAAGCGTCCGCTTCAAGCCAGTATGCGCGCGCACAAGCCAAGTCGGGCAATGGCAGCGTGTCCGGGCGCGCCAGCTTCAACACCGGCATGACGCTCGACGAAGCCTGCAAGATCCTCAACGTGAAGCCGCCACAGAACGGCCAGGCCAACATGGAGGAGGTGATGGAGCGGTTCAAGCGGCTGTTCGACAACAACGACCCGAAGAAGGGTGGCTCCTTCTACCTGCAAAGCAAAATTCTGCGCGCACGGGAACGTATAGAAGCGGAGGTGAAGCCGACGATAGAGAAGGCCGCACAGGAGGCCGAAGTGAAGGAGGGTTGGAATCCCAAGCTATATAAGGACAGGTAACCGGGCTGGCTTGCTTGGTGCTGTGTCAGGCCGGAGACGCACCCTTACGCCTCGGCTTTGACTCTGCTGGGGTCTGGATAGGGAAGGCGGCTGCAGCAGGACCGAACAGCCACCGTCAGACCGGTTGCCATCTGAGTTACTGTTCTACCGGTGAACAAAGCGACAGAGACGGTCCCCGGCGGCGCGTCGACCTAAGGGGTTAGGGTGGTTCAAACCGCTGCAGATCCCCGTGTGTACACATCTTCACTCGACTTTGGCGAAAGCCTGGCGTTTTACGGTTGGGACTTTATGCGGGCTTACGCGTTGGATGCATTGGGGCTAGACCGCGACACACGACTCTCCACGCTCACTGTATTTGTTTTAATGCCTGTAAAAATACCTGTTGGAGGTCGGAGGGAACGGCGGTAACATTTCGCCCGGCGATATGTGTGCATCTTAGACAGGGAGGAAAGCGGCGTCAAGGGCTCATCTAGTGTAGATGAGACACAAGTGAGCAATCTTGGAATCTCGAGCCGAGGGTCTCCAGTCTTTGGATTGAAGGGCCTTCCAAAAGTATCCCCCGGTGTGGAGGCTGGCTCATGCTGTGAGAGGTGAAGTGAGGTTTGTATGGTAACTTTTACTTATTAGATTTGAACTGATCATCTGCAGAAGGCTGGGTCAATCGCATGGCACCAGGACGTCTAGGTTCTCGAACCTGATGCGGGCGGTGGTAATAACAAGGGGCACAAATGTAAGGTATGCTGGACCACCTAGTCAAGTATCCTGTCTGCCTCGTTTTCCCATCCCAGCTTACCATACATGCTGCAACTCACCTGTCACATCGATGTAACACGTGCCTTGGTGGACAGTACATGCCGACTCACAAGGCTCTATAACCTTCGCTCCTGCATAAATCCCCTTTGTTACGTTGCTAATCCTTACAGCACGAGTCGCACCTCGACGCTTCATACTTTAGGTCAAGTACAGCGCAGCAAGTCTCAGACTTTCCTCTTGACAAGCCCCTTCCAAAAGTCAAAGCTGTTCTCGTCGCTCTGCAGCGCCCACACCTTCCCAGTCGCCCTCAGTGCGCCATTGATTCCGTCGTCGAGCACCTCTTGCGCCATCAGCATGCCCCAGTCCCTGGTAATGCCCACGACTCGCGCCTTGACGCCGCCCTCAGCCTCCAGCGTCACGATCTGGTTGGTGTGCAGCCAGTGCTGGTAGTACTTGCCCTCGAGCTCTCGCGAGAACCCGTTGCGGCAGAACTCGGCGTATAGGACTTCGAGACGGGTCAGGATGCGGGCGAGCAGCCGTTCGATGCGGAACGGTTCCAGCCTTCTACTGCGGCCGATCAGCGGCAGCACGGCGTCCAGGCTGGTAGTTGGCCGGCCGTTGTTCGTGTTGATGCCAATGCCGAGGACCACCTGATAGTTCCCCGACGAGTAGGCGCAGTTTGCCAGGATGCCGGCGACTTTCACGTACGAGACCTCGTTCGGCTTCTTGGGATCCCTCACGTAGACATCGTTGGGCCACTTGATCTTGATGGGCATATCCGAGTAGCCTTCGTCGTACGACTTCACTGCCTCGACAATGGCCAGAGCGGCGAGGTACTGGATGAAGACGATGGGCCGCGATGCCGCGAAATGTGCAGGATGGTTGATGACAGTCGACATGATGAGCTGACCTGGGGGCGCTACCCAGGTGTTTGCGCCTCGACCACGGCCAGCGACCTGCGTTGTTGCGGCGAGGGTGAAGCCTGTGGGCAGCTTGGAGAGGAAATTGTAGTTTCTGGCGGGGGTTCGTGTTAGTCAACGAGCGCATCTAGGTGAAGGACCACTCACTTCTCGAGCAGAGTGTTGGTGCTGGTGACGACCTCGCCATACATCAACACGTTGCCCCATGATTCCGCTTCCGGCTCCCTCGCTCTGAACTCCCGAAGACTCGAGTAGAGCACGGCGTGGTTAAAGTACGGAGTCTCCTTAGGATCCGGCCACGCATCCTCATGGGAAACAATGCGCTTGACAATTCTGCTGTAGTCGGCGGTGGGATCGGGAGATTCGCGGCCAGTGCCTTTCTTCGATGCCTCGAATTCGCTGGACAGAGCTTCACTCAGGGCCGCCATCGACCACCTTGAATCCGGCTTCTCAAGGTGGAAGAGGTCGTTGTAGCCCTTGATGTAGTCCTCGCCGTTTTCTTTGGTGATGATCTCGTCAAGCGAGCATAGAATCTCCCCGACTTCGGTGGGATGAAGCGCAGAGAGATGTAACTTGGACAAACCCGGCACGGGGCATACTTCTAGGCTGACCTCCAGACCGAGCTTTGTGAGGCAGGCCTTCAAGAAGGACGTTCTGGATTCTTCATCCGCCTTCAAGGCATCAATGAGACCGTCATATCCAGGGACGTCAGATTGATGGCTGAGGTTGACAGCGTCAAATCTGCCCACGTTAGCGATATCTTGGGGACAGGCTGAGTGAGTGAGCTACTTACTCGGGATGGGGCCCCGTGAGGATCGCGGTGCCGTTGCCAACTTTACAGTACACTATCGCGGCTTTGGCGGTACCGGATTCGACTGCAATATCTTCGACATATTCAGCAAGCACTTGGATATCGCCAGAGGCGGCCGCGAGCTTGTCGGCATCCACGAATACTCCGCCGCCGTTATAGTAACACCTGAACGTATCAGGAAGCGCAGGTGACTTGGGGAAGGCTGCCTGGGCCACGGAGATGCTGGCAGCCTTTGCGCCGTTCTCACTGTGGTAGCGGAATCCCTTAAACGCGCCACCGCGGCAGGTCCCCGGAAAGAAAGCCAACTCTCGGCTGCCAACGACTTCCATCTCAGGATTTCCGACCTCGAACTCGCAGCGGCGACTGCCATAGTATCCACCGGCACAGAATCCCAGGTAGGCTCCTCCTCCGCGGATAAACTGAGTGATGCGGCGGTTGCCGGTACCATTAAGAGCGCGGCAATAGCCAAGATCAGCACCACCAGGGAAGACTAGGAGCGAACATGTGGGAGCCCAAGGCTCCTTGAGCAAGGACGACTCCGTGATGGGGTTCACGGCATAATTAGGACCCAATACTCGCCGCAGCGAGTAAATGCAGTGCCGGACAGATTCTAGCGTCGATCCGGTGCCTGGGCCAAAATCAGTCTAGATTTACTAGTAGGGACGTTATTAATAAAACGGCACACATACCTGTGTACACTAGGACGTTGAGCTTTTGTGAGGCCATTCCGGTTTCGCAGATCGCCAGGGGTTGGATTGGTTGTTGTGTTGACTGGGAATCCCAAATGCGCAAATAAATATGACCGAAATGTGTCTCCTCTGATTCATCAACTTGACATGCCCAAAGTAATTTTTCCAATAGCAAATCCTAGCCAAGCGTCTCGTGTCTCCCGCCGCAATGGGATCAACGACGTCGAAGGAGGGCACACAGCCAAAGGCAGAGCAGCCGACCCCTGCTGTTCAGCAGGACGACGACGAGCCGGATGAGTGGTGAGTGAAGTCCAAGTCGAGAGGCGGCCCTGACGTGAGACGGGAACAAGTCACTCCTTCCGCTACGGAGCCTCTCTATATCAACCTCCTTTTCACCCAAAAAGCAAGATGCCGTGCTCATCCGGCGATGTATTTCTACAGGGATAAGCGCATATTCAGCACCGGCTGTGCAGGTACGTCTATGGGATCCGCTCCCCCAAAAGGGTCACCGATTGTTGAGACATTTGGGGAGGCAAGAGCCTCGGAGGTTGCCGGAAATCTCGCACCGCCGAGCTCAGGAGAATTTCGTAGCTAACCGAGACCATTACAGACGAAAATGCGAAGTTGACAGACTGCTACTATGAGAAGAAGGACTGGAGAGCTTGTAAAGACGAGGTATACTGAATCCTCTACGTGCAGTCAGGAATCGTGTGACTGGCTAACACACGACGGCGCGGGGCAGATGGAGAGGTTCAAACAGTGCTGGAAGATTCAGGGGAACGACAAGCGCACCGACACGAAGGATGCATAACTCACTCAACCGCGATGTGCGCATGAAGCCATCCACATAACATCCTGAGATGAACTCGGGCGATACACTGGCAGTTTACTCAAATCGCATCGCTCTGCTGTAACTCTTTCCGGCCATCGATCATTTGAACGATCTGTGTATTACTACTGACTGAGGATTGTGTAAATACTACCTACCGACCACCATTTGAAATTACCGAGGATGGGTTGTGTAAACATGCACTGACCTGCGTAATAACACATATGGGCCGTGTAAATATCCGCCGAGGGCTCACTGCAATGAACATTCTACCCCAGGCCGTGGCTTCGGCATGACGGGCACTTTCCGGAAATAACGAGTAATATTTGAAACACTCCAAGAAAGTCCAGGCCGCAGTTTGTATCTTCGCGATATTGACCCGCTACAACTGACAACTCGGGCTGCTTGTCAGACGTACTTCGTAATCGACAGATTCCAGGCCCGTACTGAAATCAACAATGCCAGACCCTTGTACGGAATACGTACGGAGTATTGCCAAGACTCCCCAAGGTCCAAGCTCCCATCTCGATAACGTTAACGATAACGACAGGGGACAATTTCCGCAGCGACAACCTCCAACACTCTCCCGCAGCATTACAGAACGATGCGATCCCGAGCTCTTCAGGCGTGCCGCCCATTGCAGGCGGCATCAAAAAGCCTACAATGCCCTGGTATTCTTAACCAACGATCACCTCGCCTCATACGACATGTCCGTGCCGCGTCTTCTTCGTCCTATGTCGCCAAACACAGAACCTCCACGGCATCCTCCTCACCAGCCCCAGCTGCCGCCCGGCGAGCAGCCCCAGCAGTGCCACAGGGGCCGAAGAACCCAGCCGCACCCAGCAGCGAAGTGAACGGCGTCATCGACCCGCAAGCCGCCATCCTCCCCGCCGCGACCGTCGCGGATGTCGACCCGCTGCTCGCGGCGCAGATCCCGACCACCGAAAACAGCAGCAGCAGCCCTGTGGGCTCCTCAGCATTTACCGCGGCGATAAGCGGAAGCGGCGGGAATGGCGGCAACGGCAACGGCGCAGCAACCATCGACTGGTCCTCGTCGTTCCACGGGCTCTCCACAACGCCCTTCAGCCCGGAGACGGCCTCCGTGCTGATGCAGTCGATCGATCCGCTCGACATTGAGATCAAGCCGGATGGGATCATCTATCTGCCTGAAATCAAGTACCGGCGGATTCTAAACAAGGCCTTTGGGCCCGGCGGCTGGGGACTGGCGCCGAGGGGGGAGCTGGTGGTCGGGGAGAAGGTGGTGACGCGGGAGTTTGCGCTCGTTGTGCATGGCCGGTAAATTGACGACACCCCCCCCCCCCCCCCCCCCCCCCCACCTCTACTACCCCGTCGAGGTACGAAGTGCTGATGGAATAAACGCAGATTTATCGCCCAAGCGCGCGGCGAGTGCCAGTATTTCTCCGAGGAGACGATCCCGACGGCGGGCGAAGGGTGCAAATCGAACGCGCTGCTGCGCTGCTGCAAGGACCTGGGCATCGCGTCCGAGCTGTGGGATCCGCGCTTCATCCGCGATTTTAAGAAGGCCCATTGCCAGGAGATCTGGGTCGAGCATGTCGCGACCAAGAAGCGCCGCCAGATCTGGACGCGCAAGGACACCGAGCCGGCGTATCCTTATCAAGCGGTGAAGCGGTAATGGCGAGCCGAAGGCTTGACTTTCTTCGTAGAAAGGTATAAAGCGACAGCCGGAACACATTACCGGGCTTTATTCAGCTCAGTGTAGAAGGAACCTGTATCACACATCTCATGGTCTCGATTGACGGCCGGTTGTACAGTACAAACAGTGTAACATGCTAGACAAAACTCAAGCGCATATAAGGACCATTCACGGTGTCAACCCGGTACCAAGCACAATTTTGACTCGGAGTCATTCATTCTAAGAGCTGCTTCTAATCATCCTCCTGAATCGTCGCTCTAGCCGCCTGGGATTGCCAGCCATGAAACGAAAGCCATGGGGGCCGTGTCTAGATACCACTTGTGCCCAGACGTAACGATGGAGATAACCACAAAAACGCCAGGCCCATCCATATCCCATGACCATTGTGCACGTACCTCTTTTACCACATACAAATATCGTCCCATATCTCCGCGACTACCCAAAACCAAACAACGACGTTACCGACCGGAAAGAACCCTTACTTCTCCATCCCCGAACTCCTCCCCCCTTCACCCCCGCCACCGCCACCACTACCTCCTCCCCAACCCCAGGCAATCCAACTCTGGCCCCCACCCCTCTTCCTGACTCCTTCAACAGGCGTCGCATCAACATCCACATCTTCCCTGAATTCCAAGTCCTCCTCCTCCGCCCCGCTCGAAAAGGCCTCCAGCTTCTCAAAATCGCCCTCGCTCCGGCTCTTGCTCAGGCTCAAGCCGCTCGTGGAGCCAACACTCTGCTCGCTGAGACTCTTCCGCTGCCCCCCAACACCCAGGCCGGAACCCTGCTGCTGTTGCTGCTGTTCCTGACGTCGCGCCGTCTCAACGGCATCCGCCTCCTCCTTGTCGAGCGCCGACATGACGATGCGCAGGCGCTCGCGCTGGGCGCGGATGAAGGACATGCGGGCCGCGGCAGAGGCGGTGCGGACTGATTCCGGGATGATGCCCCTGCTGCTGCTGCTGCTGCTCTCTGCCTCGGGGGCGGATGCGGAGGGTTTGGTTGCGGCGGAGGAGGTTGGGAAGGTGGTGGCAGCGGCAGAGACGGCAGAGGCGAGCAGGTTGTAGAAGTCGTTTGTCAGGCCGGCAGCACCAGGGGCTGTGCCTGAAGCCGGGGTGGTGGTGGCCCATTTCGGGGTGGGCAGGGTGAAGCGTGCGAGAAGAGACTGCGTGTAGGATTGTGCGCTCTGGGGCTCGGGCGCGGCGGCGGGTTCGGCCGAGGGCGGCAGGCCGAGGACGTTGGTCTTGAGCAGCTCGATTGCGCGCTTGAGGTAGGCGATGCCCGCGCTGCGGAGGCGGTCGTGCGCGGAGGCGATGAACTCTTCAATGGCGGTCTCGTTCTCTTCGAGGCGGGGGTGGATATATTCTTCGTAGATCAGGCGGGCGCCTTGGGTTTGTGGGAGCACGAGGTAGAGAAGGAATAGGAGGCGGATGTAGGCGTAGAAGGGGATCCTGGTCGTAACTGTTAGGCGGTGAAAGGTAGAAACCCGCGTAGCGAGTGGGAAACGGACCAGAATAGGATCCACTCCGTCCACGACTCAACGAGAAGCACGCAGGCAAGAACAACCCAGTACATCAGCCATGGTGTAAGCTGAGAGGGATCTGAAGTCTTGAGAGCCTTATAGCTGGCGAAGAGCGGGAAGAGGAAGGACGCGATGGAGCTGTTATGGGTTTGAGACACAGTCAGTTCCAAGGTCAACCGATTGAGACGTCATCACGAAGTGGAAGTAACAAGACGCACGAGAGCAGTTTCGCGAAGATGTCGAACATCGTATCAGCCCCGTCGCGGACGGCGAAGGTCCAGAGTGCTATCCGGAGGGGTGTTGTGTAATAGGGAGCATGCAGACAAATGAGGCCCGATGCCGTCGTACGTTATGCGGCTCGATGGTTGTTAAAGGGCCTCCGACGTCAATGAAATGGGCGGCGGACAAAAGCAGGGAGGGGTGCAGCACAGGAGCAAGGCCAGCTGATGGGAGCTCCGGACAGGGGCCGAATGCGGAGAGCTCCACCCAGTTGGGCATGGAGAAAGACGGCACGTTGGGCTGTTTGCGGTCGCAGAACTCTCGGCCTAAAACGTCTACGTATTCAGGACAATATTAGGCCTCCAGAATTCTAATCAAGGGTCCGATTCTGCGACATCTGTTCTGTAGAGGGTAAGACGTCGGGATACAAGATCCATTGCTTGGGGAGCTGCGAGTACCTGACGACCCACTGCCCCACGGTGAGCATTGACGTAATGTGGGGTAACGAAGTACGTACCTTGTAGTGTACTATACAGATGCGTGCTGCAGTGTATAAAAGACATCTCTATTCCACATCACAAACTGCCCAGGTTCTCATGGCTGGACGCCATCGAGACTTTCGGATGAAAGATGGCTGCTTCGTGGTTTGCCGGAGGGCTCCACTCACGTGGAGAGTCTGCTGCTGCTGACGCGTCCTTGAAGTGCTCTCATCTTTTGAGAACTCATTACACCTGTGTGAGTCTTAAGGCTACTGAGGTAATACTGTGGTGCCTACTAGTACCCTCGATTTCCAACAGCCATGATTGGTCTCCCTACCCCAGCCCTTTATTCCTCGTGACAATCGGGGTGCTGGTTTCTGATGTGAATCAGCTGGGGTTCATCTTAAAGGATCTGCTTCGGGTTATGTGCTTACCCCCGATACCATTTCCAACATCCTCGCTCTTTGGCATATGGGTACGCTTAACAGCCAAGACTCAAGCCCAACCTGAAATCCTAAAAGACGCAGGGAGTGGTGGGTATATGGGTCTGGCGTGTCTCCGGTTCAGAGCAGACTGTGGGAATGGTGGGAATAATAAGCATGTACCTCTCTGTAAGCCCCAGGTCTGAGCCAAACAATTCATGGTTTTTGGTGCTGGCCTTTGCTATGGGAGCAGAGTTAACCTCGTGCCCAGACGGACAGACCACACACACTCAGGGCATGATCCGGTTCAGAGATTAACATTGCTCGCCACCAGTCCAAGAACGACGGTGCAAAGGGAACGTTTTGCTGACTGCTTCGAGATGCGTTCAACTTAGAAGAGGCCCTGGATATCGTACACAGGAATCAGTTGCTGTGTGGATCTTGCCGCTTCTGACATCCTGCTAATGAAAGCTATGCGTGTTCTGAGCAGTTGTATGTTTAACCTCCATTGCCGGCAACTGGTTCCGGCCAGTATTCGGAAATGCCCTCCAAGGTGAACTAGCATCTTGGCGCGAAGTAGTGGCGGTTTACCGGAAGCGCTAGGTCCAGACGAGGTGAGGCTCGTAACCTAAGGTACCTAAGCTACACTACTTGGTTAGCTTGAACCCGGCTGGCAGCCTCAGTCGCACCGGGCTCATGGAGCCTTCTCGAGGCACCAGGCACCTGGGACGCGAGGTTCTGAACGGAGTCCTTGGTGAAGCGCCTCCATCCAGGTCGCCGTGAACGTGAAAGGGTGGGCCCGGTGGAGGTCACAATTGTGGTGTGGAGAGAGCTGATACCATGTGCAGAGCGAAGCTGAAGGTGGGTCCTGTAACGAGCAGTAGAGGCGGAAGGGCTCCCCGATTTCTCCTCGACATACTAGTATGTAAAACAACCAACATCAATCGCCCGGCCTCTTACCTTGTTCAGCATCTAGTGGCATATGCAGCCATCACAATGTATTGAAATCAACCATCATCGTTTGCCGGCTACCCTACAACAAATCCGTGCAAGTCCGGCAGGCAAAGATCTGTGGGACCCGGTCCAACAGCGGGCTTGGCAAGTTTAAGCGTAGATTTCTGTGCAGCTCCTTGGCAGTCTTTGCCTCTTGAGTCCTGAGGGGAGCGCATCCCATGTCTTGTGCTCGATCGGTAGCGAACCGCAGGGTTGCACACTTTTGGCTGCAGAACGTGCTAAACGCAAAGCAGCAATACCGCCGTGAGAAGTTGTCAGCCCAAGCCAAGGCTGTGGATTTCTTCCTCGGTGCTCCTCATACTGACCTTGCACCCCCTGCTTTGGGCCACAGCTAGCGGACAGGAGTGCTTTGCCGATCTTGACTGCCGCGAACGCCAATAACGGTCCGTATCCCCACACACCGAAAGCCGGAAGCTTGGGCTGGATGGGGTTGCATGTGCTTCCCCATGGGGTTTGAACCTGGTTTCCACTGGGTCTGGGGGTTTGAGTGCGGAATGTGGAGGAGGAGGACAGGGCCGGGTCAAGCGCACGGTAAAGCATCGTGGAGCATGGGGCCCCTGTAGATAAAGCTTTTGGTCGCCAGCACAAGTCAGCACCGCTCCTTCATGGATAAGGTATCTCTCTTCCTCGGGCGCCCTATTTCTCTACCATCATCGGAGCCGACAGAACCCACGTGAGCTGCGCTGCGCCCTCACCAGACCAACGGCCGCCCAGGACTCCGATTCGTCTTCGTCGCGATGGACGTCGCCATGGCCGACGAGAAGAGGACGCCTTCGTCTGATTCGGACAAGGCAAAGATCCAGCACACCGAGGCGCACGGCGGGGCGCAACTTGAAGCGGTCGCCGGGAGAGGCCACGCCGCCACGGACGAGTGAGAACGTCAAGACCCGGAGATAAACAATACGCAGTCGATGCTGACCAACTGCTCAGGTACGGGCAAGCCCTGGTCCAGTTCGATCCCAAGGCCGAGGCCAGGCTCCGCAGGAAGCTTGACTTGTACCTCGTCCCGACCGTCTCGCTGCTTTATCTCTTCTGCTTTATTGACAGGGCAAATATCGGTATGTATTGTACAATACATTTACATGTACAAAGTCGCACGCTCGCTGACACTGAATCCGCAGGAAACGCCAGGATTGCCGGGTTCGAGAAGGACTTGGGCATGAAAGGCTACGACTACAACGCACTGCTGTCCATCTTCTACATCTCGTACATCGTGTTCGAGATCCCGTCCAACATCATGTGCAAGTGGATCGGACCCGGTTGGTTCATTCCGGCCATCTCTCTCGGCTTCGGCATCGTCTCGGTCTGCACGGCCTTTGTGCACAACTTCGCGCAGGCCGCCGGGGTTCGCTTCCTGCTCGGCGTGTTTGAGGCCGGCATGCTACCGGGCATTGCCTACTACATGTCTCGCTGGTATCGCCGGTCCGAGCTCACCTTCCGCCTGTCGCTGTACATCGTCATGGCGCCCATGGCCGGCGCGTTCGGCGGCCTCCTGGCCTCGGGCATCCTCAGCCTGAGCCACTTCGGCGGCTTGCACTCCTGGCGCATGATCTTCGGCATCGAGGGCATTATCACCATCGGCATCGCGGTCATCAGCTTCTTCACGCTCACCGACCGGCCCGAGACAGCGCGCTGGCTGAGCCAAGAGGAGAAGGACCTCGCCATTGCCCGCGTCAAGTCGGAGCGCGTCGCCACGACCGAGGTGCTCGACAAGATGGACAAGAAGAAGCTCCTCCAGGGCATCCTCAGCCCCGTGACCATGTCGACTTCGGTGATGTTCCTGCTCAACAACATCACGGTGCAAGGCCTGGCCTTCTTCGCTCCCACCATCGTCCGCACCATCTACCCGGACAAGTCGACGGTCACGCAGCAGCTGTACACCGTGCCGCCCTACGTCGTCGGCGGCTTCTTCACGCTGGCGCTGCCCCTGATCAGCTGGCGCCTGGACCGGCGGCAGATCATCATCATCCTCACGACGCCGCTGGTCATCGTCGGCTACAGCATGTTCCTGGGCACGGAGAACTCCAACGCGCGCTACGCCGCCACCTTCCTCCTGTCGAGCTCGCTCTTCGCCATCGGCCCGCTGTCGAACGCGCAGGTCAGCGCCAACGTCGTGTCCGACACGGCCCGCAGCAGCTCGATCGGGCTGAACGTCATGATGGGCAACGTCGGCGGCCTCATCTCCACCTGGAGCTACCTGCCGTGGGACGGCCCCAACTACCATATCGGCAACGGCCTCAACCTGGCCGCCTGCTGCACCGTGCTCATCGTCTCGACCCTGACCCTGTTCTGGATGAAGTGGGACAACAAGCGCCGCGACGGCCGCAGCGTTGAGGAGGAGCTCGCGGGTATGTCGCAGCAGGAGATCCAGGATCTGGATTGGAGGCATCCCGCCTTCCGCTGGAAGCCGTAGGAGGCGCGAAGTAACGGAATATGTGTTCATTTGTATGAAGCGTGCTGTTGTAGCATTTATGAGATGTGGAAGCTCTCCCCCATTGCTTTGGTACTATAGTACAATGCCCACCCATATTGGAAACCCCGAAGTGTGACTACAAGCGTTGGTGTCGTCCGGATAAAACCTCCAGCGACATATGGAAGCTCTAGTTACCGGCTCTGCAACGGCAATGCCTTGCTTGGCAATGCTTGAGACTAAGACCGGTAACCAAGTGGATGGATCGAAGGTCTTATGAGGCATGGTACCTGGGGGTGGCTGACACTCAACTCCTCTTGATCCTCGGCCCCATTACTAATGCATAATCTTCATAGTGACCCGTGACTCCTTCTTCAGCCTCTTTAGCCAAGCGAGGGAGTGTCTGATGGTGAGCTGGACCAAGGGGGGAAGGAAGCGGGAAGGTGAAACGGCCGACCAGGCCTTCCGAGGCAAGTCCTGCTAAATGTTCTTCCTGGTACCATGAAGGATGAATGTTTAGCGGTTATACTGAGCCACAGGCGCCGCAGTGCGTCCATCTACCCTGCATTTACTTCTTCCATCCAGAAATGAAACCTGGAATGCGTGTCTTTTTGGGCCTCTAGACCCCCAGTGCTATTCAATACTCTCTAGTGGACCTTTCCGCTGCAACCTCCCAGATACGTCTACCCCTGCTGACTTACATCTCCGCTATTCAGCGAGGCAAAGCTGCTGAACAAAACAGCTTCCGCTTGGGCCTGTTTATGTGCCAAGCAAGGGCAACCTGGCAACCCGTCGCGCCGAGCACCCAAAGCCAAAAAGGATCGACCATGGTGGTAATCCTCGGTCGGAGGCCCGTGAATGTCTGGTGGCGGGATACAACCTGGTCTGCATCCCTCCTCCGCGTGTCGGCCAAGGTGTGGTAATAGTACTGGTCGAGGGTGCGGCGGAGATGCTGCGGGTGCTGGTTAGTCAGGACAGGCTTTATTTGTCTCTGCTGAATATTCAAGAGATGGGCTCCTGGGCCTATGATGCTCGGTCTCACAGGACGCAGACTATATCACAAGATTCTGTCCATACATAACGATAACCCCAGTACACTAATAGACTAGCTCTTCTGCTCTCTTCTCCCCTTACTTATCTCCTTCTTTTCTTCCCTTTCTTTTTCTACTTTTTCTTTTCCTCTTTTGCTTTCCACTATCTTCCTTATTAATGTTTTGTTTGTGCTCTTTTATCCTCCTCCTCTTCCTTCTCATTCTTATATTCCTCCTTCTTTCTACATCAATTCCTTTGTCTGAGTCATTATATGAGCTCAGTTTGCGACATGAAGCTCGGTAATACTCGGCTCGCACACCTGTTCATTGTTAGGCGAGCTCGTTTCTTTCATCTCACTCCCAGAAGCATGAACCCCAGCATTCTTTTCCATCGCCGGAAGCATGGGATGCTTGCTCCGGCAGATTCTCATGAGAATAGGTACCCTCTTCAGTCTAGGAAGAGCGACATGAAATCTCCGGCCCAGCGCCTTCCTCGGTCATAGGTTCTATCTCACGGGCGTCAGCCATACCGGCGTGACGATGACGGACAGCCTGAGTAAAATTGCGGGGCCATGGCAGAAGAAGTGGCGATCCTTGGGTGTGCATTGCCTGGCAGGTTGGAGCCCATTAACAGTAGCATCCATGTAATGTGGTACGAAGCACGGCGTGTCACGTTGGCTGCAATGCGGCCACCGCTGCTCGCCTGGTTGCCGTGGTTCAGCTTTCAAGTTGCCCGGATTGAAGTGAATACAATTATGTTTGCTGGCATGTACCGTCTCTATTACTGATGTTTGATTTACGGATGGGCTCATCATCATCCTGTGGCGTTGCCAAATTGATTGGGCTTTTCCACTCACGCCTGTAAGTTATGCATAGTACTGCGCAATTGACAGCTCCTTCATCTCGATACCCGGCGAGGCCTTGCCGTCTCGGATAACTAGGTTCACCACCGTATTAATCAAACAAGCCGCTGCTGGCCAAGCCCCTGATGGTACCCTCAAAGCCGACCACCTCACTCGGATCGATGCCGAGTTCCTCGGGAGAGATGGAATCGTCCCTGACGGCCCACGGATCACACCTCTCGCCAAACTTAAACTGCCACGCCAGCTCGGTGCCGGCAAGACCCCAGAACTTGGTCCACACCTCCTCCGAGACCGGGATCAGGGCTCCGCGCTTGCCCGTGATCTCGCACCATTTGTCCATCATCTGCTGGAACGACCACCGCTCAAGCGCCACGTTTGCGTACTTGCCGAACGCGGCCGGGCCAGTGGCAAGGACCTGCCGCACCCAGATGCCCGGGTTGACCGCCATGTCGCCGGCCAGGAGGATCTTGGCCTGTGGGTTGGTGGCTAGTATCTGGACGTACTGGCCGGTTCCGGGCTGGAGGGAGGTCAGACACACAATTGGGAGTACAAAAGGCAAAAGAAAAAGAAAGAAAAAAAAAGAAAGAAAGAGAAAAACTGACGTATTCAAACGGCTTGATCAGCGGAAAGTACGCCATGTTCTGCGGATAATAGCCAACGTAGAGGTAGGTCGTCTTGCGGGCCAGCTCGGGCAGCTCGGCCTTGATGCGCGCGTCGACGTTGGCCTTGTAGTCCATGTGGGGGGTCTCGAGGCTGCCGTCGGGGAACATGCGCTTGGCGCTGGGCTGGGTCGACCACAGGTAGTGCTCGAGCGTCGGCGTCCTCGCGGCCGCGCGCGCGAGGTTCATGCCGTGGCGCTCCTCGATCTCGCCCGCCTCCCACTGCGACTTGCCCGAGAAGAGCGACTCCCACCAGTTGGTCACGGCGAAGACGGCGGCGACACCGTCGAATGCCTGGGCGAGCGACGCCTCGTCGTCCCAGTCGGCGCGGACCACCTCGACCGAACCACCATCGGATTCGGCAGCAGCCACGAGCTTCTTTGCCGCCTCGCTCTCTGGGTTGCGCGTCACCGCCCGCACTCTCCAGCCAGGCGTCTTCCTCATGACATTGACGACGCCCCCGCCCTGTGCGCCGGTGGCGCCAGTAACAGCGATGATCTTGACATTGGACATGGTGATGTCATGAACTCGACCCTCAATTGAGTCTCACTCTTTGATGGCCTCCTCGCGTTGACTGGCTGGATTGCTTTGCCGAAATGGAAGCAAATGCAACGTGCCCGTCACTATGACAGCAGTAAATAGGGAAAAAGAAAGGGCGGATTGATGAGATGAAAGGCGGGGGAAATATGATGGCCAGCAAGAGCCAGACAGTGGTGTACTGGTAAGTTGGAACAAGGTCGAGATAAGGTTACCGTTACACCCTCCGCTAACTCAGTTCTGGCCAGTTACCCCCCTGTCAATCAGGGTCGACCTGTCGAGCCTACTGTGTCGTATACATTACGTGTACAAGTATGTACAGTACATGAACACGTGGGGGTACTAGAGACAGAAAAAGCAAGCACGGGCGTGGGCGCCAGATGATAGTGGTACGTGTATTACATCATACACCACCTGCACGCTTCTCGCTCCCAGCCCCTGAATCTAGCCCTTGTTGGACTTGTTTCGTTGGCTTTCACATGCCCACTTCAAAGTCCTGCACGCGGCCCGCATCCTCAGCGTTGCCCTCGGGCGGCCCCTGCAGCGCATCCTCGAGGCCGCTCTTCTCGCCGTGGATCATGGCGAACCACGGCTCGTAGACCAGCCGATTGCGTACATTCTGGGCCCCGGCCTTGTGCTCGGGCGCCTCGTACCAGAACAGCCCGTCATGAGCCGTCTCCACCGTCTCGCCCGTCCGCTTGTTGTCGGCGTCGTCGATGAACAGGTCATAGGCCTGGAGGATGGTGGCCGGGCGCACGAGGTGCTCCGGTAGGAAGGCCTTGCCCAGACCGGGCATGACGGGCGTGATGGCAGGGCCCATCATGATGGTGTTGATGGTGATGTTCTCCTTGCGCAGGAGCAGCGGCGCGTTGACACGCACCCAGTGGACGATGCCGGCCTCGACCGCGCCGTACTCAGGGAAGGTCGGGCACGGGTGCACGCCGAGCATGCTGCTGGTGGCGACGATCTTGCCGCCGGGCGCGGGCGTGTTGTGGCGCATGAAGTGCGTCGCCAGCACGGTGCCGTACATGAGGCCCTTGAGGTGCGTGTCGGTGCACGTGGTGTCGGGCTCGGGTGGCAGGTCGTCGACGCCCGCGCCGCGCCGCCGGAAGTTGTACCACGACCCGCTGTCGACGCTCCCCGCGTTGGCGATCAGCAGGTCTAGCCGCCCCCACCGCGCCCACACGTTTGTGAACATGGCCGCCTGCGCCGAATACGACGCGACATCGCACGCCTCAAACACGGCCGTCTCGCCCGACACATCGAGGGACGCGGCCTGCACGGCGCCGACATCCGCCCGTCGCCCGGCTAGCGCCACCCGCCAGCCCTTTGCGTGGAGATGGCGGGCGAGGGCGAGCCCAATGCCGCTCTAACGTGGCCAGGTGGCCTGGTCAGCTCTGGATTCTGGAACGCACAAAGGGGGAAAGAAAAGGGGGGAAAGTACTCACCGTCCCACCCGTGATGATGGCGACTTTTGCTTTGTTTTGATTTGGAACAGACCCCATCCTGGCGTGTTGCTCACAGTCAAAACTGCCGTTGGATCCGAGATCCCGGCAGTCAACGGCGCGAAATCAGCAGTTATATCAAGGTTGTTAGTTGGTACCTGTATGCATACATCTGTTGTGGTGCCCATCCTCCCCCTTGCCAGATAGCAGGTAGCAAATCATATCTCGAGTCCAGTTACAGTATCCCAGACTGCCAGTGGCGCATGCAGTCGCTCGCATTGCAGAATGGATTCAACGGAACCTATTGGAACGTTAGTTATCACAAATCCCCCCAAGCTCTTCCAAAAAGAACCCTAATCATTGGATCGGTGCCGTTAGTTCATCAGCTCGCGTAGCTAGGTCCTGCAGCCTGCTGCAGGAGAAACCCCCCATGCGACTGAAAATATGAAAAAAGAAATAGGGACGGCAAGAAGTGGGATGATTTTGGGAACGGTGTGATGTAGGCATTGATTCGCTCACCACCACGCGGCTAACCACGCCAGCAACAGGCATGCCGCGGGGTCGGTACTCTTCTCCGAGTCCCTGGGTTCCCACGGGCTATGGCCAAAGACTTCTGCACGTGTATAATATGTTACGAAACGGCCTCTTTGGAGCGCAGCGCCAAGCATGATGCTCTAGACCTAGAGACCCTATTGCCGGGAACAGAGCGAGGGCCTTTCTCGCTGAGATCAGCCACAACCACACAATGGCCAGTCGATTATGGCCGCGAAAGACGGCGGTGGCATCACGAATCAGGCTCCATCCCAACGCTGAAACATAACCATTCGTTCTTGCTGTATATTTGCAACATTCGACTGCCTACTTCTGCACAGGTTACACAGTATACATATTATGCGAGCGGTACAGTATGTTTATCCCATGCGATTGGTCCGGAAGCTGCTCAGTTCCCGGCTTCCTGGGTTGTTCTGCAGTCTGAACCTGCAGTGCAACGTCGAGCAGTCTGGTCGTTGGCCGCATACCACACAGCCCAAACATGAGATGATGAGCATCCAGCATACCTACCAACTTCGGGGCGCACGTGGTGCGGTGCAATGCCCCCGTGGCTAGGTCATTCACTTTCATTTTTCATTCAGTGGCTGAAAGCCTGAAACTGGGATTGAGGTCTCCAAATGGAAAGCGAGTTGAGATCCAATGTGTGCTGCTGTGGGTGCAACCCAAAGCGAGGCATCCCGCGCCTGGGGCACTGCAGTATCAACTTCCAGTCTCGGATCCCGGTGGGGGCCATGCTGGGCAGCAGTTCAGGGTCCAAGAAAAGCACCTATATACAGAAACACGAAACAGCAGAGAGATTTGCTTTATTGTGGCAACGGCATGATGTTGCCCCATCTTTTGCGACCGAGCTGAAGATGTTCTCATCCCAGGAGAGAGAGCGGGAGAATATTACAAAAGAGCATGGGATGCGACAAGCAAATGAATCAGAAGCTGTTGATTCGGCAGTGTCCCCCCTATCCTTCTCCTGACCTGTGCGCCAGTCATCCCACGGAACGGCTGAAATGAAGATAGCCTCGACAGAAGCCGCTCCTCGGTCACTCGAGACGACGATTCCGATCGAGAACGGGCGCCAGGTCGCCATGATCGTGACGTCGACCTTGGCCATTGTCGTCCCGACCATCCTCGTGGGCCTGCGCTTCTGGGCCGGACGCATGATCCGCCGGCGGCTCGACGCGAGCGACGTGTGCATCGTCGCCGCGCTCGTCTTCACCATCGGCCTGCACATCGACATGTACGTCATGGTGCTGCTCGGCGGCTTCGGCTTCCACGGGGGCGAGATCGTGCAGCGCTTCGGCCCGGACACGCTGATGCTCTTCCTGAAGGGAATCCTGGCCTTCCCCATCATTTGGAACTTCACCATCTGCTTCAGCAAGCTGTCGGTGCTGCTGATGTACACGAGTGTCATCCCTGTGCGCGAGATGGTTACCGCCTGCCGCGTCGTCGGCCTGCTCATCGTCCTGTGGAACTCGGGCGGCGTGTTGGGCGCCCTGCTCCTGTGCCGGCCCATCGCGCTCAACTGGGACAAGTACCTCCCGGGCACCTGCGGCGACAACTGGCTCTTCTATATATGGCTCGGCGGCATCAACGTCGTGGTCGAAGCTGTTATCCTGTTGCTTCCCGTGCCGTTTATCTACCGGCTTCAGATGAAGACGTTCAAGAAGCTGGTGGTCATTGGCTTGTTTAGTGTCGGGTGGATGTAGGTCCTTATATATCCTCCTCCTCAATCCCCCGGTCTTTCTCTTTCTCTCTCTCTCTCCCTAACTCTCTTGGCCTTCTCAACCTTCAGGACCTGTGCCGTGACCATCTACCGCCAAGCCTCGCTCCCGCACCTCTACTTCGAGGACATGACCTACACGGGCGTGCTGGCCACCATCTTTACGGGCATCGAGCCCGCCGTGGCGCTCTCGCTCGCCTGCGTGCCGTTCCTCCGACCGCTGATTTACCGGAACGGCGGCAACAACAGCAACAACAATTTCTCGACGGGCTCAGACAACAGCCAGTACGCCAGCGCTGGCGGCGGCAGCACCACTCTCCGGAGCAAACGAGGTGGCGGCGCCGGCCGGTCGGGGGCAAGAAGCGGGAAGGGCGGTGGGCCGTCCAAGGAGGAGCACGACGACAACGACGACTCGTCTGAGATCCAGCTCCGGCCCTTGGAGGGCAGCGGCGAGTTGCGGTACGAGGCGGACGTGAGTCCCGGGGGAAGGAGGGGGCCGACGCCGACGGGATCCACGGAGGGGGCTATCATGGTCCGAAAGGGCTGGGATGTCGTCTCCGGGGTTCGACCGGGGTCGTGATCGTGAGGGAGTGTGAGAGGTTATGGCGTGTCTTTCTTTTGCTTTTTTGTTTTTCTTTTCCGGGCCGTGTGAGAGGGGACATGCAGGCATGTCATTTTGGTATCTTGGCGCTGAAACAAGATAACTTACTGTCAATCTCACATCTGCTCTTCTCAAACGTTACTTCCTCTGTTACCGTGGGTTAGACTAATTGGAGTACGTCGACTCGAGAGTCGAGAGGGTGGCACGGAGCGTACAACGAACTGATATGCTAGGAACGGTACTTTTCCCACGGCAGTGAATGCCTGCTACAACAATTTGATTATTGTATGGATTCCATTCGAGTAACGGGAACCCACGACGGACCCAAGTACTACTGTGGTAGGGCTCATCACACAACTGCCAAGAATGCCCCGGTCCTTCATTAACTATCTTAGTATTGCTACCCAGGGGCGGGAAGTCTCTCTGTGTCTGCGTCGCAGCAACCCCTTTTGCTCGTCAACCTGTTGCTGCTGTCCCCCCTGCTGCTGCTGCTGCTGCTGTTGTTGATACGCCGGCACAGGCTGCTGCGGGCTCGACCAGAGACGCCCGCTCTTGCGGATGGCGAGCGAGAGGAGGAGGACGAGGATGACGAACATGAAGACGAACCGGAAGAAAGGGAAGATCACGTAGAGGACCGCCGGGTCGACGTCGGTTTCGGACAGGACGTAACGGGCCGGGTTGCCGAGTGAGGCCGCCGCGGTGACGGCCATGGTGATGAGGTGGCGGATGAAGTCGAGGGCCGTGGCGACTAGCAGGAGAACGGCCGACTGTGGAAGAGAGAAAGAGTTGAGAGAGAGGGTTAGCGGTGAGGGTTCGTGAGGAGAAGGGGGGGAAGGGGGTTTGTTCAGGGCTTACCCTGCGCAGCATGTAGTTGTTCTTGGTCTTGTGGAAGACATAGGAAGCGAAGGCTAACACGGGAATGGTCGTGAGCCACAAGAGAATACCGACAGCGCCCTCCAAGCGGACGAGATGGATGATACGGTTGATAATGCTGTCTGAGTCTGATCCGCTGGAGCTGGAGACGGTATAGGAGCGACCGATCATGGAATGGTTAACGCCCATCAGAGCAATGGACAGGATGAAGAGGATGGCACCCCAGACCCGGATGGCGATGCGGTTGGCCTTCCGGATGGCCGTGGGCTGGCCGCCGTTCTGGCAGAGCAGGACGCCGCTGCCGAATTCGACGAAGGTGACGAAGAGAATGATTTCGGCCACCTCTTCGAAGAATGAACCCATGTTACTAAGGTGCGAGATGACCCGGCTAAACGCCCGCGCTGAGTAGCCATAGTAAAAGTCGTCCCCGTAATACAACCAGATCCGCAGCGCGCTCCAGACCAAGTGCAGTCCCAGCGCTCTACACACGCAGAAACCATGTTAGTGTCCGTCAGACCGTCATGTGCCTTGACTACTATCCAAAGCGACGGGGTGCTTCTTACACAATCCATATCGGATACGTCGCCTTCATCCAGGCAATGCCCACCCGCGCAGGATCATGTTTCGTGCGTGCCAGGCACAAGCTGATGAACCACAAGGCGGACAGCGGCGTGACTCACAGTCCGGCGAGGATGCAGTAGCCGATATAGTAGCCACCGATGATGGCCATGTCCACTTTTGGTTAATGGGGATATACAAGCCGAAGGCAAGCGCGCCGTCTAGCAGAGCGGGGGAAAAAAAGTTAAGATCAGAACAAGCGCGGGCAGACGATGCTGCAAGACGCGATATCATACATAACTGGAGTTGCCAAGACCCAGCCAAGACGGGTTGCGCCGCAGATCGACAGCATGGAAACTGTGGTAAGGCTTTGCGCATGTAGTGAGTTCGGCATCCCACGCTCTACTATTCGCGACCGCCTTCGTGGTACCCAGACCCATTCAACTGCGGCCGAACCGCAACAGACACTTAGCCGAGTATAAGAAAATCATCTTACGCGATGGGTCTTAGCCTAGGTCGCTCTAGGTGTCCTACTAGCCCATGCGCAGATCCGGGAGTTCGCCAGCCGGGTTCTACAGGCCTAAGGAGCACCTAAAAAGACTATTGGGAAGAGCTGGTTCAACCGGTTTATCCGAAGGAACCCGGTCCTCTATACCTAGCGAGGCCGTAAGATCGACTTAGCCTGTATTAATGACGCTACTGACTTGGTTATCCGCAGCTGGTTCCTACTCCTGAAGATCCTAGCCATCAAGGACATCTTACCGGCTAACCGCTGGAACTTTGACGAATTCGGCTTTATAGAAGGTTAGGGTATTAACGGCTTGGTACAATAGTTGGAAGTGCCTATATACATACAGTGTAACGGAATGTCCCTGGTTCGCGTGCGTGGACCTCCTTCTTAGAGTGCGTCTCTGCGATAGGGGTATTACTCCTACTAGCTGTTATTTTCAAGGGCAAGAGTGTTCAACAGCAGTGGTTTCCTATCACCAAGGACGAACTAAAGGACTGGCTATTTACTGCAACTGAAAAAGGCTAGGTAAATAGGGTGGTTGCGTTGGAATAGCTACAACGGGTCTTTATCCCCTGGACCCAGCCGCAAGATCCTACCTAGAAGCGTCTGTTGATACTGGACGGCCACGATAGCCATACAAGCACTGAGTTTATATAGGAGTGCTTTAGCAACAATATCCAACTACTCTTTTTACCAGCCTATACCTCCCACGTCCTCCAGCCGTTGGATTTATTAGTGTTCTCCCCCCTGAAGCATACCTACTGCAAGCTCCTCAACCAGTTAACCAGCTGGTTAGAAACTACGGTATCATGCAAGCAGTTGATATTGCAGTGCCTCGTCAAGGCTCGCAAGGAGGCAATTACAGTTTATAATATTAAAGCTGGGTAGAAAGCATCCGGGTTGTGGCCTCTTAGTATGGCGAAACCACTGATAAGCCCTCTTTTATTGGAAAGTTCGAACTAGGCGCTTAGCAAAGACGATCCACTATTACTACTATAGACCCCGGCATCTAGGCTACCTAGCCAGACTATAACTGTAGCTCAGGAGGTCGAATTCCAGATACCACGCAAGAAAGTAAACCTTTACGGTCACCTAACTAGCCTGGCTATCCGGCGGCAAGATCTTTCTATACGACGGCTTTTATTTAGGAAGGTTGAGAAAGCATTTGACGAGAAGGACTTTAAATTGGCTCAATTGCAATAGGAAAACGAGGCTCTAAAGGTTCAGTTAGAGGCAGCCCGGCCGTCGAGAAGAAAGAGGGTGGTCCCGGATCCGAACAAGCAGTTCGCTTCCATTGAACAGGTCCACCGGGCTCAAATTGAGGCTGGCCGTATTGAAGAGTCTGGCATTGAAGAGAGCAGGTTAGAAAGCCCCGAATCAGATGCTTCCTGTATTGTGCTGGGTTGAACAGACTGTAATAGATGGTGTTGAAGAAGATGAGTGGTTTAGACGCCAAGACTTACAAAGTGGGCGGAATTGGGGTTGGGCGGAATTGGGGTTGGGCGGAATTGGGGTTGGGCGGAATTGGGGTTGGGCGGAATTGGGGTTGGGCGGAATGGGGGGTGGTCGACTTATGTCTGCATTGTTTTAGTGACCAGAACTCTCAGCCGTCACCATATCAAATACGCGGGAGTGTTAACTTCAACTCGTTAGTCCATGCATCTGAGTCCCCAATATTCAGATGAATCATATCTTTGACTCAGGATAGAACTTAGAACTGTGTTAGTTGATACTACTACATCCCGCTTGCTAAGGATCGTGCCTGGCCCGAAGAAGTAAAGAAGTCCGCGCAAACGCGTCACCCAAACCGGCAATGCCCTGCCATGTGGGGCACCCGCTCGATGTCGGGATCTCGGAGACTGCCCCACTCGATCCCGAGACTCGGCCACCCCACTTCGGGACCTGCCGGCGTCGGAAGCGACCTCGGGAGTCCCGCCCAGCGCCGGTCGTACTGTACCTGCTGCTGCAGACTGATGGTTTGATGCCAAACTCGGTTAACTAGCGGGGCCCTCGGACCCCGCATTCGATTGTTGGGGGTGAGTTGACTATCGCCTACACGTGAGAAGAACAGAGGCATGAGCTCGCACCTCAACGGGTGGTGGTGTCACCGTGGTGCGGGGCAGCTGTTTGTCAACCTCCTGACTGGAAGGTGTTGATAAGGCCCCTTATCATGTCGGTGCTTGTGATATCGTTCCGTTTTGGAAAGGTTCAGTGCTGTTGGATTGAGACACACAGAGCCCGTTGACGGTCCTTGACTCCTTATCGCAGAACGGGACTCGGGGCGACAAATGAGGGGGCCGAGCTCTTATCGACGTGTTAGTCGACGCGGCCAGGACCGGAGCACAGCATATCACCAACCGGCGGGATAACGGGGTGTTGAGATGGCAACTCTTGAGGTATATGAGGCAAGCCCGTTGACAAAAGATCCAGGGTGAAGACATGCGGTCCAGTTCTCTGCACTTTTGAATAACTACTACCTGTCTAGCTTGACCAACCCATTCAGTAATCCAGGATTCTACCCTTCATCATGGGCTCCACCGCCGTCGACCTTCCCCATCCCTTCGACCCCTTGACCTTGTCTGAGATTGAGACGGCCATAGCAACAGTCAAGAAGGCGCACGGCGATGTCTTCTTCCACGTGGTTTCGCTGCAGGAGCCGCGCAAGGCCGAGATGACGGCATGGCTTGCGGAGCCAGACACCTCGCCTCGGCCGAAGCGTGTCGCCGACTTGGTGGTAATTGCGCCGGGCGGCAAGGTATACGATGGGCTGGTGGACTTGGCTGAGACCAAGATCACCAAGTGGGAGCTCCTGGACGGAGAGCAGCCCATTGTAAGCATCTCTGAGCGCACAGCAGCAGCAGCAGCAGAAGAAGAAGAAGAAGAAGAAGAAGAAGAAGAAGAAGAAGAAGAAAGAAGACTCGCTGACAGCCGCTTAGATCACCATGGAGGAGCTCCAGCTAGTCGAGCACATTGTGAGGAAAGACGCCAGAGTCATCGAGCAGTGCAAGATCAGCGGCATTTGCCCCCAGGACATGGACAAGGTGTACTGCGACCCCTGGACGATTGGGTACGACGAGCGGTTTGGCAGTTCGGTGCGCCTGCAGCAGGCGCTGATGTACTACCGCCCGGACGTCGACAACTGCCAGTACCAGTATCCGCTCGACTTTTGCCCCATCTACGACGCCGACAAGGGGGAGATCATTGCCATTGACATCCCCAAGGTGCGCCGCCCGCTGAGCAAGGCGCCGGCCCTGGATTACCACCCGGCTGCGGTGGAGGCGAGGGGCGGGTACCGTGGCGACCTCAAACCCATCAACATCACGCAGCCCGAGGGCGTATCATTCAGGATGGCCGGGCGCGAGATCGAATGGCAGAACTGGAAGTTCCACATCGGCTTCAACTACCGGGAGGGCATTGTGCTCAACAACATCACGTACAACGATAAGGGGACCGTCCGGCCCATCTTCTACAGGCTGTCCCTGGCCGAGATGGTGGTGCCCTAGTAGGTTGCAACTCACGGTCTTACCACTGAGGCGAGGATGGAGGAAAGGGGCCGAGAGCTGGGCTAACAACCGGATGATTTCCCGCAGCGGCAACCCCGAGCACCCACACCAGCGCAAGCACGCGCTCGACCAGGGCGAGTACGGCGCGGGCTACATGACCAACAGCCTGTCGCTTGGTTGCGACTGCAAGGGCTCGATCCACTACCTGGACGCGCACTTCCCGACGCGCGCGGGCGGCCTGCGCACCATCAAGAACGCCATCTGCATCCACGAGGAAGATGCCGGCATCTTGTTCAAGCACACGGATTTCCGCGACGAGTCGGTCATCGTGACGCGCGGGCGCAAGCTCATCATCCAGCAGATCTTCACGGCGGCCAACTACGAGTACGTCGTGGCCTGGGTCTTTCACCAGGACGGCACCATCCAGCCCGAGATCAAGCTGACGGGCATCCTCAACACCTACGCCATGCACCCGGAGGAGGACACGCTCGGCTGGGGCACGCAGGTGAGCCTAGGCGTCAACGCTCATAATCATCAACACCTGTTCTGCCTGCGCATCGACGCCAACGTCGACGGGCCGAACAACACCGTCTTCGTGTCGGACGCCGTGCCGAGCGACGCGGCCGTGGGCAGCCCGGAGAACTACTACGGCAACGCCTTCTACAACCGGCGCACGAAGCTGGCGACGACGGCCGAGGCCATGACCGACTACCACGGCACCACCTCGCGCACCTGGGAGATCGCCAACACCAACAAGCTCAACCCCCTCAGCCGCAAGCCCGTCAGCTACAAGCTGGTCAGCCGCGAGGTGCCGGGCCTGCTGCCGAAGGAAGGGTCGCTGGTGTGGAAGCGGGCGCCCTTCGCCCGCCACGCGGTGCACGTCACGCCATGTAGGTCATGAATGACCTACCTCAGTGACCTCACACCTTAACTTTCCCCTTCATCCCTGAACAAATGCTAACAAAAGAACAAAATCAAAATAAAACAGACCACGACGACCAACTCTACCCGGCGGGCAAACACGTGCCGCAGACATCGGGCGACGGCAAACCGCTGGGCCTCGCCGCCTGGACGGGGCCGGGCCACGAGGAGGACAGCATCGACAACACCGACATCGTGCTCTGGCACACCTTCGGCGTCACCCACTTCCCGTCCCCGGAGGACTTCCCCGTCATGCCGGCCGAGCCCATGACGCTGCTGCTGCGGCCGCGCAACTTCTTCGCGGGGAACCCGGTCATGGACGTGCCGCCTTCCTACGTCAGCGTGCCGAGCCAGATGGGGAAGAATAGTAGCAATAAGAAGAAGAATGATGCGAATGGGTGGAGGGGCCTGGTGGATGCAACTAGCAGGCTCGCCTTTGGAGATGGGAATGGGAATGGCAATGGGAATGAGAACGGAGGTGCGTGTTGCAAGGGGAAATAATTGAATCGGATGGGGGTTTATAGCTTGGAAGTTATCCTGGGCAGTGTCAAAGAATGGCTTACCCCCTAATGCTGCCGTAGACGCGCGAGTTGAGCTCGGACGGGCGACTTCAAGGTTTGCTTCCATACTTCTCGTGGGGAGGCGCACTGCAAACCTGGAAGGGCTGCTTTTGTTTGTTCTCGTAGCCAGGCTCAAGATCAGAATAATAAACCAAAGAACCTGGAATTTGGTCCACGCATCATGTTCACTCCTCCACTCCCCAACTGCCAGGTCGAGTCGAAGTAAGACTGCCTAGCAGGTGTTTTCGCAGGTCGTTACCGACCTCCCTCGCAACAGATCCGACCGGGAGATTTGTGGTAAACCCTGTTGCCAATCTCCTTTCCTCCCTGGAACATTGAACCGTATGACACCTCCTCCAAACGCAACGCTGCTGCTTCCCAACTGAACTTGCAAGAACCTTCTGCCCGCTCACCCTTCCATTTTCTTACCTACCTGCAACATCGGACCGCCCATTTAGATCATCACCATGAAGCCCATCACCCTCATCAGCGCCGCCCTCGCCGGTTTCAGCACCGTCCTGGCCTCTGCGGCCCACCAGCAGCAGTTTCCGTCTGTTCGACGCTCACGCCTGCGTCCCAGGGCTGCCCTCTCGGCACCCAGCACTGACGACGAAACCAACCCGCCGGACGAGACCTACAACGGCAATTGGGCCGGCGCTGTCCTGACCGGAGCCGGCTACCGCACCGTCACGGGCACCATCACGCTCCCGCCGCTCCGCCTGCCGCCGGGAGCCGACAGCAACGTGCTGCACGCCGTCTCGGCTTGGGTCGGCATCGACGGCCAGCCCCCCTGTCCCAACGCCATCCTGCAGCTGGGCGTCGACATGTACCTGAATGCCAGCGAGCCGTCGTATTCTGCATGGTAGGTAAAAGAGCACCACAAACAAAAGGAGAGAAAAAAGACATCGCTTTGCTTATTATCGCCTCTACGGGATTGGAATGGTATTATGTTTGTTAACAAAAGAGAAATTGGAACGACAAAACAGGATAGAATGGTACCCGAACCACTCGACCTACCTAACCGACTTCGCCATGCTCCCCGGCGACCGGGTGACGCTCAACCTGACGGCGCCGTCGCTGTCGTCGGCCGCCTTCACGCTGGCCAACCACCGCACGGGCCAGACGGACCGCGCCTCGCTGACCGACCAGCAGCCGCTGCTGTGCGGCTTCAGCGCCGAGTGGATGGTCGAGGACTTCCTGGGCAGCAACGGCGTGCCGCTGGTCGACTTCGGGAGCGTCACCTTCACGGGCGCCAAGTTCGCCACCGACACGGGCGTCACCGGCGGCGTGGCCGATGCTGGCCTGCAGGGCATCCGGGAGAAGGCGGACGGGCCGGTCGTGGTGGAGTGCGGCAAGGTCGGCGGCGACAGCGTGACGTGTGTGTATCAGGGTCCGGGGTCGGCGGATGATGTTCACCTCACTTGAATACCTACTTACCTAAGGTACCGTGAAACCCAGGACGGCGGCGCGGGGCTTTTTATTATTTGGGGGGATGGTCGCTATGTAAGATAAGCACAGAGGGATATCATCTATGCCGCGGTCCCCGGCGACGTTTCAGAGGGCAGAAACCTCCACTGATTCGTGCCTATGCTCTGTTTCATTCACTGTTGATGAGCGTCGAGCAATGAATGAGGCAGTTTATGCATACATACCTTATCTTGGATGCCCTGGCTTGATCGAATCATAAAGAGATGGATTCCTCCGGTAGTGATCAGGGCTTGGCGGCAGGCTCTCCCTCGGTTACGAACTTATCTGTACCTTCCGGAACGGTGGAAGCTTCACCTCCGCCCGGCACGGTGGTAGGCTCTTCAGTGGCGGAAGGCTCTTCAGCGGAAGGCTCTTCGGTGGTAGCTGTCTCCTCGCCAACATCTTGCTGGCCTCCTTCGGAAAGGGCAGCACGCTCCTCAGCGATATATTTTTCGGCGCCTTCCGGAACAGTATATGGTTCGCTGCCGGCTACAGCTAGAGCAACGAATCTGCAACCATGTCAGCGCTGGCTGGCTCGCTCGCCCGTCTTGCATCTAGACCTGTCAGACTGACTTGGTATGGCTACCCCTCGCCACTAATTTCCGCTTGTCGTCCCAAAAGCTCACAGTGGTGTAGGCGAGCGTCTTGCCGACTGCAAACTCGCATCAGCTCTATACTGCGGCAAAAATCATCCAAGAGAACAGCACCGCTTACTCCTCTGGCAGATCGCAATCCCTCGAAGCTTTTCCCACTTTTTACCTCCACTCTTGAGGTAGGTGACTGTCCGGGAAGTGTCAGCGCAGTGAAGTAGTTGCCAACCTGGGGCGTCTTGAGATAAGTATCGTGAGACTCACCGTTCAGGTCAGTGGACACTCCGGTCGAGTAGTGACCCTTGGAGGCGACGGCGAGCGATCCGCCTAGGTCGACCAGCGCGGCAATGGTCCCCCCATGCAGGATCTTGAGCCGGTTCTAAGGGAGAAATCAGCGGCCGCCCCGTTGGATAAACACAAACAGCGATGTATACGCACCAAGTGGTGTTGGTTGATGTTCAGCTCAAACTTCACCACGCCCTCCTTGGCATCTGTGATGCGCAGCTTCGCGTAATGAGCACACGCTGGACGCTACTAGTAACTCGTGTCGGGCCGCCTCACTTACGCTCTTTGCTCCAAAGATTCTGGCGGCAAAAAGTATGTTAACTACGGTCCAATTTAGAGCCACACACAGTTCTAAGGCACCTACCGAGGCTCCAGGCCAGACTCGGCCATGAACGAGTTCAAGACCTGGCGAGTCCGTTAACGTTGATCATTTGTGTTGTCGGGCCCACGACGGAAACGCACCGTTCTAACGAACCGGAACGGGTTCAGCTTGGTAGCCATAGTCCTGTTGCTAGGTGGTCCTCCTTCCACTGCTGCGCCTATGTACCTTATTGTGTAACAGAAGACACAACGCGAGTCAATTGGGTAACGCGAGTTTATCTGCCCCTTGAAGCTCCCACCCGGCCTGAGCCGGCCTTCGGAAACTCCACCGTGACGTCGAAAAGCTTCGGTGGGGCGAGCTTGGTGCCATCGACCAATGAATCATTCCCCACTGGTCACTGACTCCACCAGGCAGCCCAGCCCAGGCCCTTGGTGTGATTCTGCAAGGCCATTGACAAGGCTGACACTTTGATCGTTCTCGCAACCTTCCACTCCTTCATTCACCGGCACAGTCCCCATCTCTTTGCAGCTTGCGGTAAACCGATACCGCGCTGCAACCCCGGGCGAGTCGGGCGATTGCGGCGACAATAATGCGATAGCACATCCTTGAATTTGCTGCGGAAGCGAGGAGGCGAAAATGTCGGTCGCGCCGCAGTCGTACCAGCTCTCCGACTACCTGGAGAAGCTGCCCGGCACCACCTTCCGGAAGCTCTACCAGCAGCCATCGACAGCCTTTGCCATCTTTCGCCGCATGCTCCCTCCCTTGGGTATGCGCTTGGCCGCTTCGATGCTCCACTGCATGCCTGTGCTGACCGCGTTCGTGCAGCCAAGGTCTTCGTCCAGGCCCTCCTCTACATGCCCTCGCCATTATTACTCTCCGAGCTAGATGTCTGGGTACGTCCGGAGGGGAAGATGCACCGTGACCGAGCCCTTTCGATCCTCAGGTCCCTCCACATCATCCAGATCACCCCGCCTGGCAGGGACAAGCCGCAGGAGATACAGCTTACGACAAACTTCAAAAACAGCCTCCGGTTGGCTCTGGAAGGGGGTGGCACGCACAATAGCTTCGGTGTGCCCAGCAAACTGCCCGTTGATCCCAAGATTGATATTGCCTATCTGGACAACTACGCTAGAAAGAAATGGGAGGATATCCTGCACTACGTCGTCAACAGTGTTCCCGTGCATGGCGATGCAGGAGGTGGTGCCTCAGGCGGAGGGCCCAAAGCCAGCGTCAAGGAGTTGCTACTGGCGGGACGTCTGGTCGAACGGAGGCCGAATACAAGAGGCGGAGTTGGCATTACACAAGCGGGGTTCACATTCCTCCTCCAAGAGGCCAACGCCCAGGTCTGGACACTGCTTCTCCTCTGGCTCGAAGCCGCCGATCACACCAAGGCAGCAGCAGGCGACGCAAAAGGCCCGACAAAACCGGACAGTATCGACATGCTCTCCTTTCTCTTCATGCTCGCCTCGCTCGAACTGGGTCGTGCCTACGACACCGACGCGCTGACCGAAACCCGGCGCAACATGCTCCCCGCCCTTGTCGACTTCGGTCTCATCTACATCCCGCGCGAAGATCCGCGCCAATACCTGCCCACGCGCCTCGCCACAACCCTGACCAGCTCCGCATCCGCCCTGCGCTCCGTCTCTTCCGGCTTCTCCGCCGCAACAGCAAACAACCCGGGGGACGCCTCTAGCCTCGGCATCGCACCCGAGGCCACGAGCAAGGGCTCCATCATCATCGAAACCAACTATCGTCTCTACGCCTACACTTCCTCTCCCTTACAGATCGCCGTCCTGGCGCTCTTCACCCAGCTCAACATGCGCTTCGCGGGGATGGTGACGGGCCGGCTGACGCGGGACTCGATCCGGCGCGCCATCGGCTTCGGCATCACGGCCGACCAGATCATCCGGTACCTGGCGTCGCACGCGCACGAGCAGATGGTGCGCGCGGCGGCCGCGACGGGGCGGCCCGTGCTGCCGCCGACGGTGGTGGACCAGATCCGGCTGTGGCAGCTCGAGAACGAGCGGATGCGGACGACAGCCGGCTTCCTGTTCAAGGACTTCGACTCGGTCGAGGAGTATCTCTCGCTAAGTGAGTACGCCGAGGAGATTGGCGTGCTGGTGTGGAAGAGCGATCGGAAGAGGATGTTTTTCGCGAGCAAATTTGAGCAGCTGAGGGATTATCTCAAGAGCCGGAAGAAGGCCGAGTGATGATCTAGGTGGTTGGCGCTTGGTTGCTGGAGACGGGATGAAGGTGAAAGTTCATACTAGACTGGATATGGGACCCAGGGTTACAGCATTATACGGATCGGAGTTGACGGGTAGGTGGCGTTCAAAAGGGTTGCAGTCTACAGCTTCCGAAGGCAATGTACAATACGATGGAATGTAGATGATGAACTCGCGAATAGCAACAGCACATGTCTCTGCCATGGGAGTGTACCACAGTATAAACCTATAAAAGGTTCCGTTTTCATACCTACCTGGTAGTTACGTATGTCAGACTCGTTCCTTCATAGGCCAACAAGCCCCTGATTTCCCCATGGCCAGGCAAAATAATGCCCATAAAATAAACCACACCCTTTTCCGGCTCGGCTCCCTGTAAGGCTCCAACGCCATATTCTTGCCAAAGACGCACCCTACAAGCTCCCGCCTTTCGCATGTAACCCATACAATAATACACCTACAAATCGCAACACAAAAAGTTCCTCCCCTCCTGAGCTCTCCTAACATCCGAGATCGTCCCTCAATAACAGCCGCTTCAAAAGAAGCTAAAGTGCCTGCCACGCCTCTTCAGCTTTTCAGCCTCCTCATCCAGCACGCGCTTCAAATCAGCGGAGTTCCCTTTCACAGACCCATCCTTCCCATAGCACTCAGACTTGGACTTGGACATGGACATGTCCGCCCAGAACTTCTCCTTCTCCCGTGCATGCACGAAGCCCATTCCATCCCTTCCCAGCAAGCCGCCTTCGTCGTGAGCCTTATTCCCTCGATCCTGGCTCCCGGAAAACAGTAAACTGCGCCGCAACCGCCTCACGAGCCGTTTCCCCTTCTCGCCAAACTCGTGTCCACCATGCTGCTGCTCATTTGTACGTTCTTTGTTGCTATCGACATCGTCGGATGCACTACTGGTAGTAGAAGTGGTCAGACTGACGCCAGAGGGGAGGAACTCCGCTCGCCCTGTCTTGCGCGCATATGCCGTCCGCCAGGAGTGGAGTGACGCCCGCGCCTCCGGGGTGGCACACATGTGCTCGAGGTGCAGGAGCACGCGGCGGGCGCGGGATTCTTCGCTATCTGCGAGGTACGTGCTGCTCTTTTTGCTCTTGACAACTTGGCTCGGAGCTGGGTTTCTGCTGCTGCTGGTGGTAGTGATGGTTGCGATACCCCGGTCGTGGTCGTGTTCATTCTCTGGGATGAAGGCAAGGGCATTTCCGTTGCCTCCGCTGTAGGCTGTCGTGGCGGACGTGGGCAAGTGTAAATTCCTGGTGTTGGTGGATACGATGCGGATGCTGCTGGTTGTAGGGGGGAGTATCTGCTTAGAGGAGGAGATATGGCGAGATGAGGAGGATAACGTCGCCTGGGAATACGGAGGAGGAGGGTATGGGTCGGTTGTCTGCAAGATTGCGCCGCTCGTAGCGGACTGGGGGATGCGGCTGTGGATGCGAGATCTGTTCAAGGACGAACTGGTCGGGGTGTGTTTCCTAGTCTGAGCAACTCGAGTGTTGGCATAGATCGATGTCGAGGGATTATTCTTCGCGGCAGCAGATGCCTGCGCTGCCTGGGAACGGCTGTAGTTGGGCGGTGAGATAAACTGGGCTACTTGAGCTTCGCAGATTTGAGTGAGATGCCGAGGCTCTAGTAGCTCGTTGTGGAAGCGGTCATGCAAGGCCATAAATCGGCCAGCCCAGTATTGCGGTGGCATGGCGGTTGTGACTTCTTTGGGATTGTCGAGGAGGCAGGGTACTGCTGGCGACCCGGGACTTGGTGAAAGAGGCGATGATTTATCATGTTGGCTACTGATTTTTCGATGTGCCTGCGCAACGGGGTGATGAGATGCTTCTTGGGCAGGGGTGACGGTGCTCGACTCAGAAGAAGACTGTCCGCTGACATTGCGGCTGTTGTTCCCTCGGCTGGTGATGGAGCCGCTGGAGAATGACTTGGTAAGGCCGGAGAGGATGCTAAATGTGCGAGACTTCGGGATTCCAAACTCCGGCTGTGATGCTTTAGTAGCGGCCAATTTGGTCTGAGGTAGTCGATTTTCGTCGATACTCATGCTGGTATCACTGGAGAAGGAAGAACCGGAATGGCGGTAGGTATACAACTGCCGCGGCTGACCGTTGACGGGCCGGTTGTTGGCCGTCACAACTCCTCTGACGGTGACTTGTCCTCCGGAGCCATCCCGGTACCGCGTCCAGCCGGGTAAGGGTACTGGGCCGTTCGCCATGTCGAGGGGAGGAATCCGGTAAGCCGAGCCAATGGGGACAAGGTTTTCGCCAGCAGGGCAACTGCAATAAGGTACAGCACGTTGTAGCTGCCCAAAACGAAAGCGCGCCAAATGTCACAGACCTCAACGAGGACGTAGAGATTGATGATTGCTGAGCGTCGTATCACGACCAACGTTGCGCAAACAGTGGCCCCAAGGATCCGAAGGCTTGACACCAGGAGCTTGCGGAAGACGCGAGCTAGGAGGAAGAGTGAGGTGACAAGATGCTGCGGCGTGACCGCACCGTTGTCGTACCCTTGCTGCCGGTGTCTTCTGTGGTCTTTTGGAGTACTAGCCGCCTTGAACGCGTTGGTGTGTTTACGAGGATGATCAGCTCGGTCAATCCCAGCCGATGTCGTTTGAGAAGCAGTGTCCCTTGCCACCGAGGGAGGTTCTGTCCAGTGGAATACGGAATTAGTAAACGCATATATGATCCAACGATAAGTGCCATTGATAAATATCTGACGTACCTTCCGGGCTGACAGAGGGAGCCAGACTCCGGATCGCGCGCGGTGTTGACGCAGCGGACGCCGTTCTTCCCGGAGAGTCGCAGTTAGCAGTCCCGGGAGACTCGAAAGATCCAGTTTTCAGAACCCTTCTCGTGACAGGCGATGGAGTATAGCACTCGTTGTTTCCGGACGAGGAGTTCGTCTCGGAAGACCGGTTTCTGTGCCTCCTTCTTCCAGGCATGGCAGGTTAGCGGGGGGTGAAGGACAAGTGATCAATCAAAACCGAAAGTGATAAGACAGGTGATGTGTGCCGGGAGTCGCAGCAATTGGTTGCTGAAATTGTTTCGTGCTGTTCGCAGATGTACAAACCCAAAAAAAGATGGATGAACAAACAGAATGTTCGGTCTTTGAGGATAAGGCTTTTCCAGTTGAGTACGTACCTGCCTTGTAAAGACTCGGAGAGTAAAGAGTTGCTAGACCTTAGTGGTCCTCGATGATATCAAGTAGACGTCGGGAAAGTGCTGGCAAGATGGAAGACATGGGGAAATCGCGAGTCGTCGACCCGAGTGAGTGAGTGCAGATGAAAGCCCGAGGAGCCTGAATCAAGATGACTGCTTGTCCCGGGGAAGGAGTGAGTGTGACTGAGATGGGACGACCCAAGCATTTTTTTCGAGAAGGTCTAAATAACATAGGTAACAGCCTAGAACGGGCGAAACTCGCAACACTGACGCCCTGCCAACACCACAAAGTCGTCGGCATACTCTATAGCCAGGCTGACAGGGCCATAAGCAGAACGCCTAGTATCTTGCTGTCCGTGCCCTCAAACCCAATCTGGTCCTCACTCTCACGCTGCTACCCTGCCTCGCCCTGACCATAGTCAACAGAACATTGACGTCAGCTGGAATCACCACTTTGGAGACGGAACGCAGTCCATTCGGCTACCGCCACAGCGGCCTATTTTATTCTCCTCGTCTTCTTTCTTGTCTTCTTCACAGTATCTTCTGTTTGATCTTCTCCTTCATTATTTCTGCCTTTACTGTGTTTCCCCCTTTTCCCTTGGGGCCTCTATTCAATCTTAGTCTTTTTTTAATCATTCCGAGTTCTTCCCTGTATTATGATTTTCTCCCCTTGCTCGATAGCCTCGATTAGCTCCTCGCCTGCGTAAAACTCTTAAGTTACAAATGTAACTATGGGAGCTGCGGGCTTGGCGTATGTATGTATCCGTACTGTACAACATTTTTGGACCCTGCAATTGGGGACCTCCTTCGGAAGAGCAATGGTTGGCTAGATGCTATGCTTCCGCAGCCGAGCAACTCTGGCATTGAACGTCGCGGACATTGCAGCCCAATGTCATTCCTATTTTACACTCGTAAGTCGGTGCGCTGTCAGGTGTCTGAACAGACGCTAGCGTGCTGCCAACATGCGTGGTCGGGTGGCGGTGGTCTGACCGCATAGCTAAGGTTAGGTATATATACCTGGGATGTCCGACCGCTTGATCATGATCCATCGTCCTACTTACCCACTACCTTAGTTATTCCACGCAACATCCACACCAAAAACATATACCAAACCTTCAACTCCTAAGATGTGCATCGTCCTTCTTACGACGGCGCATCCCCAATATGCACTGGTTGTGCTTGACAACCGGGACGAGTACATCCTCCGGCCAACAAGTCGGCCGCACTGGTGGACCGCCAAGCCCGAACACCACACAGCAAACGGTTCAGCACAGGGCTCAAACGCGGTGACATCCGCAAAAAGCGACGAGGTCGAAGTTCTCTCCAGTCGAGACTTGCAGCGTGCGGAGCGAGGGACATGGCTAGGTATCACCAAAGGCGGCAACTTTGCCGTCCTAACCAACTACCGCGAGACGGATACCCGTGACGCGGCACATCCCGTCGCCGGCCAGCGTAGTCGCGGCGGCATGGTTACGGCCTGGCTGGCTGCGGATCCAGCAGAGTCGACGGACCAGTTTGTCCACCGCATGCTGGACGATGGCGGGGTGAAGGGTGTCGGGGGATTCTCCCTGATCTGTGGCAAGCTGCGCAAGGCCCGGCGGGGGGGAAACATCGAGCCCCTGGCAATCATCTCCAACCGGTGTGACCACGCCGGACAAGTGCCCTGGATCTGCGGCGAGCGTGATTCCCTCTACGGCCTCAGCAACGCTACCTACCTCGAGCCAAGCGAAGCGAACAGGGAACTATTATGGCCCAAAATCCGCGACGGCCTCGACCTTCTGAACGACGCCGTGGCTTCGGTAGGCGGGGAGTCCACCGAGGATGAATTCGTTGCCTCGCTTTTCAAGATCTTGGACACGGAAAATTTCCCATCTGACCATACTATGGAGTTGGAAGATGGCATCCCCCTCCTGAAAGACTCAATCTTCATTCCAGCCTTCGGCGGAATAGAGCACCAACAGGAGATGAGCGACGCACAACAACGCGGCAACGTGAAGCAGAAAAGCCCAAACTCGGATGCCACCGAGACGCTGACGATTACCGCACGCCCCGACGAGACGCCCAACGGGTTTCAGACTGGCCTCTACGGCACCCAGCGGCAGACAGTTATCCTTGTGGACTGGGACGGGAACGTCAGGTATACGGAGCGCGCTCTCTGGGATTGCAACGGTAATGCCATTCCAAGAGGGGAAGGAGACCAGACTTTCGGATTCAAGATCGAGGGGTGGGAGCAGGATGCCGAGTTATGCAACTAAGATATTGCGTTGCCGGTGCAACATCCTATGACGTTCAACAGGATTGTGGTAGAAACGAAATACTACCACTGTTTTGTATGTACACAGGCCTTTTAATAATAATAATAATAATAATAAGTTCGTGGTAAGACAGGCACGGCGGATCCATTGCGCTGCCCCGGATTTTGAACAGCGAAGAACGGACCCACTCAGCCGCCCAGCGAGGCGGAGCCGTGAGCCGGAATGTGGGTCTCCGTCTCCGTGTTGATCCCACTTGCGGACGGGATGTTACGAGTCACTGGCAATCCTCACTTGATGGTTGATGACTCCTATTTTATGGTAGGTGCGGCAGTCTGCCCTCAGGCGATCCGAGCTTTCCGAGATTGAATAAAACAACCTAACCGGTGAAGCGGCATGAGATCTCTGCGCACCACTGCTATAAGAACAACGCACACAAGCAACTGCAGAACGGGACAGACCCACACGCCGCTGACATGGAGGTCAGCGATTCCGGGTTCTTCAATCCCCGTTCCGCTCGACAGTCAGACCGTTTTGATCTGAGGTACGAATATTGGTCGAACCGGCCTGAACTTTTTGTAAAGCATACCTAGCAGTATTCCACGCAAGGAATGATAGCTACCGTGGCTACCTACTCGGTAGGTTCCTATTCTCAACATGTGGACCTCATCTGAGGTTGCCACGAGCGTGGATCAAGAAAACCATGGTACAAGTACACTAGTAACCGGAACTTGGGTTCGGGTAAGCTGGTGTGACGTTAATGCACATGGCCGCTTCGAGCGAGTTGTCCAATCAGACCCCGCGCCCCGCGCTTCCATTCGCCTCTGGGGTCACGTTTGTGCCGCTGCGGGGTTGATGACTGCGGGTTACAGCTGCCGCGGAAAAAAAAAAAACTCTGCCTGAGTCACTCACACTGGGAGGGCCACAAAACGGCGACTATTTCAGCGACATCGGGAAGTTCCTGGCCGCGGTTTCTGGTTTCCAGATTCTCTTGTTTTCTCTCGCACCTTGAACATCTCCTTCGCTGAATTGCCATTGCAAGAAAATCATTAGATACAGACAGAACAATGTGCGGTACAGACGGAACAAACGGTGCCAATGGCACAAATGGCGGCTCCAATGGGGTATGTTGTGTCCTTATCGCCTTATCAACACTACTACCTTGCCGCCGTGATACTCACATATGTGTTGCCAGGGCGCCCATTTCCGTTCGAACCCATACCAGCCTGTAGGCGACTTCCTTTCCAATGTTGGCAGCTTCAAGATCATCGAGTCGACTCTTCGCGGTCCGTAATCGGCGTCGATTGTCCCGTTCGAACCCAATTGCTGACCCTGTGTTAGAGGGTGAACAATTTGCCAATGCCTACTTCGACACGGAGACCAAGATCAAGATGTTAGTACTCCTGGCCTTGAACCATGATCTTCGGAGCATTTTGTGCTGACTCTGATGTTCCTTCGTCAACAGTGCCAAGGGTACGATCTCCTGCCCCGCTTGACGGTTCCCTTTCCCGGTACCTGACCTTAAACACCCTGTGTAGCCCTGGACGCCTTCGGTGTTGACTATATCGAGTTGACCTCGCCCGCTGCGTCGGAGCAGTCGCGCAAGGACTGCGAGGCCATCTGCAAGCTTGGTCTGAAGGTGCGGACCCCTTAGACTTGCACTGGGACACTCGAGAACTGCCGACTAACAGCCCCCACAGGCCAAGATCCTCACACGTGAGTCACCGATCTCGGCGGTCTACGCAACCCTTGAGAATTCCAAACTGACGCCCCACAAGATGTTCGCTGCGACATGCGCGACGCCAAGCTCGCCGTCGAGACTGGTGTTGACGGCCTGGATGTTGTCATTGGCACATCCAGCTTCCTCCGGGAACACAGCCACGGCAAGGACATGGCGTACATCGAGAAGACGGCGATTGAGGTGATCGAGTACATCAAGTCTAAGGGTCTGGAAGTACGATGTGAGTCAACCGGACCCTAGTTCCTTCACCGCACCGTCACCCCCAAACCGCCGAGACCGGTTAGCCGGACCAAGCCCGATTTCCCGAAACGACCCTATAGAATGGCGGGCGCTGCCTGTGGGCACGGTACTGGACACAACAAGCTTCTCGCGGGGAGGGCAGTGGCTTGTTCTCCTTGCTGTTGAGACACTGGCAATCCGGGGCGGTCTGCGCACCTGTGTTCTCGATTTCGCATGGAGATGCGGGACCGTGACTTCACGTAACTGGATGCTGACCGTTAGCAGTCTCTAGCGAGGATTCTTTCCGCTCCGACCTGGTCGATCTCCTGTCTCTGTACAGGGCGGTCGACAAGGTCGGCGTCCACCGTGTTGGTATCGCTGATACCGTCGGCTGCGCTTCCCCTCGGCAGGTTTACGACGTATGTCTTCTTCGAAGTTCCTTCCAAACCATATGTTGACTCGGTCTGATAGCTCGTCCGCACTCTGAGGGGCGTTGTTTCCTGCGATATCGAGACACACTTTCACAACGACACTGGCTGCAGTATTGCCAATGCGTAAGCTAGACGATCGACTGTGTTTCACCACTCACCAATTGCTGACTCGGCTTAGCTACTGCGCTTTGGAGGCTGGAGCTACCCACATTGACACCAGTGTGCTTGGCAGTAAGTACACACAGAGACTGACCTCTCCGCTGATAAGAGCTGATTGGATCTCCCCAGTTGGTGAGCGCAATGGTATCACCCCTCTCGGCGGTCTCATGGCCCGCATGGTCGTGACCAGCCCCGAATATGTCAAGAGCAAGTACAAGCTGCACATGCTCAAGGAGGTACGTTGCACCCCAGCATCTGACTTCAAGAGCCACCGTTAACCCGTCCCAGATCGAGGACATGGTCGCCGAGGCTGTTGAGGTGAACACGCCGTTCAACAACCCCATTACCGGTTTCTGCGCCTTCACCCACAAGGCTGGCATCCACGCCAAGGCCATCCTCAACAACCCCAGCACATACGAGATTCTCAATCCGGCGGACTTTGGCCTTACCCGCTACGTCCACTTCGCTTCGCGTCTGACAGGCTGGAACGCCGTCAAGACAAGAGTTGGACAGCTAGGCCTGTCCATGACAGATGACCAGGTCAAGGAAGTGTACGTAGACCCTATCTTCCCGGAACTCGGTTCTAGACTAACGGCCTCTACAGTACCGCCAAGATCAAGGCTCTGGCTGACGTACGGCCGATTGCCATCGATGATGCGGACTCGATTATCCGAAGCTTCCACCTGACCCTTCATGAGCAGCCCGGCAAGGCCCCGCCGGTCGAGATTCGAAATGGCGAACCGGTCGAGATCGCGAACGGGCAGTAAGTTGCTTGGGAGATGCTCTCGGAGTTGTCTGAGGGAAGTTTCATTTTGTCGTTGGGCCACATCATTCGGAGTTGGTTGATTATTCGGGAAAAGGCAATGTTTGTTCAAAAGTCTGCGCATATATGTACCAGATGCGGAACAGAAAGGTTCTGCAAGGTGAAGATCAATGCAAACCGGGGACTTGAGTCCTGTATTTGTTCAGCACACCACTCCCGTTTACATACACTGCCTGTGAGTCCTAAGCCGGCGATAGCGAACGTCCTGCGCGAGTGCGTGGTTCGGCCGTTCTTAACGCTCCACAAATGGCAGGTAGCATTCTGCCGATACCGTAGCTCTGCCGGCAACATACGGACGTCATCTTGCATGCACGAAGACGCAGCTGAAGGACCCTTCGAGAGTGACAAGAAATGCCGGTACCCTATCCGCCTCAGGGTCCTGCTGGAAAAAGACAATCGCACATTTCCAAGCCATGGCTGGGTTACCAGGTGATGCTCGCCTGAAGCCCAGCAGAATGTTCGTAGATCCTGAGCTTCTCAGCTTGAGCCTTGGTCAGCTCTGTTTTCGGTCCACATAAGGCTATTGCTATGGCCCAGCACCAATAATAGCTCGCGGACGAGATTTGGCCGCTCCTCGGCTTCAACAAATCTTCGATTGCTCGAAGCCGAGCCGATCGACAAGAGCCTAATACGACTTGAAGCCTGATAAACTCGTCCGAGTCCGCTCAAAGCGAGCGGGTCTTTGCATTGCCGTGCAGAGGTGGCACTGGCACACGGACCACTCCGTATCTGCTAGAAGGCTTGGCGATCCCCCTTTGCTAGCTCGTTACGGTCATTCTGACTCCATCTGTGTCGTCATCGGACCAACACCTTGGACCAAACCCACCTGCTAATCCCTGCTTTGTGCCTGCGACCCCTCACTGCAACTTCGAACTCGTCCGAACACCCAACTACAAGACCGGGAACCTACGCGCCCGTGCCATTTTCATCGCAAAGACCTCCAGTAGCTCAAGCATATTAGTATCCCAGGCTCGAGCCATCAGCCTGCGGACCGTAGGCACCCCACTAGCAACCCAGTCATCCAACCAATCCAACGAACGGGACGTCTCCTTTTATCCATGGCCCACCGATCATCCGGCCCCGAGCGCGCCGAGCGCTGGGACCGCGGCCGCTACGAGTACGAGCGCGACCGCGACAGGTACGGCGACATCCGTGAGCGATTCGAGGAATCAGATGACCATGTGTACGTGCGACGCGGCGGTTCGTCCTCCCGTCCACCACCGCCACGCGACGACCGATCCGAGGCGGCACCGTCCGACGTGAGATCTGAGCGACGGTTCCGCACGTACAACGATGAAGACGACGATGTCGTGGTGCGCGAGCGCCGCCGGGTCGTGTACGACGACGAGGAGCGCGAGCCGCGGTTTATTCGGCGCCGCATGCCGTCGCCTCCGCCTGCCTCTGAGGTGGAGAGGTCGCGCGTTGAGATCGAGGAGCGGGTGCGCTACCGCACTCCGTCACCGTCGCCGGTTAGGAGGCCGACGCGGCTGATCAGGAGGCAGTCGAGTCTGGATACATTTGATCGGAAGCCTGCAAGGCGGTACTGGGAGAAAGAGAGAGAAGAGTATGGGCCTCCGGCCCGGCGCGATGACTACAGGGTGCCGCCATATGTCGACATTCCGCTGCCGAGGTCGAAGGCATTGCCTCCTCCCCGGGAGAGGGTGGTTTCTGAGAGGGAATACCGTGACGAGATCCAGGTCTCCGACCCGCATCGGTATGGCGACGATGACTTCCGGGAGGCCTACCCTGAGCGGGTGCGCGAGAAGGAGATTATCCGTACTAGGCGCAGGACACGGAGCCGGGAATCGAGGGTTCGATCGAGGTCATCCAGCACCAGTAGCTCTTCGAGCAGTGGCGGCACGACGCTGACGGCCAGGAGCGAGTATCCCAAGAAGGGCAAGACTCGCATTCCGGCCCGGCTCGTTTCCAAGCGGGCGCTCATTGACCTCGGCTACCCGTTCGTGGAGGAGGTAGGATGGCTTGAATCGAATCAAGACAAGGCAATTTCTTCATGCTGACTCGGTTGCAGGGCAACATCATCATCGTGCAGAAGGCACTCGGCCAGCAGAACATCGACGACCTGCTCAAGCTCAGCGATGAGTACAAAAACAGTTGGTCCCCTCCTGCCGTCGATCACTGGATGATGCCCCGACTGACTTGCCTCAGGTGAGCTCGAAGTCATTGCCGCCCGTTCCAGCGCGGGCGACATCATCGAGGAGCGGGTGGAGACGCGAAGGGAAGTCTGGGAAGGCCCGGCTGCACTGCCCGGACCTCCCCCAGCCCCAGCCGCTCCCGCCGGCACCGGCCCTGTTATTATCCAAGCCAACCCGCCGCCGCAGCAGCCAGTCGAAGTCGTCAAAACAACCGTCATCCGCGACGTGTCCCCCGCCCGTACGTACACGACCGCTTCGTACGACACCGCCTCCTCGTACGACACAACCACCTCCTACGACACCTACACGACCTCGACGACAGCCACGCCCGTCGTCTACCGACGCGACATCGAAGAATCGGCCGCGATGCCCGTCGGCCCGGTGGCCCTCGCCACGGCCCACCACCGCCGCGGTTCGCTCGAGACAGACGAACTCCGCTCGCAGATCAGCCACTTGGAGCGCCAGCTCGCGCGGCGAGACCGGAGCCGCCACCACCGCCACGGCAGCCGCAGCCGCCATCGGAGCGTGAGCCGCGGCGGCGAGTTGATCCGGGCGGAGAGGCTGAGCACGGGCGAGCTGGTGCTATACGAGGAGGAGGTCGAGAGGGTGCGTGAGCCGAGCAGGGGTGGGGTCCGGATTGAGAAGGACAAGAGAGGTAGGCTGTCTATTAGCGTGCCATCGCGGCACCGGTGATTTCCTCACATGTTTGGCTTGGTGGGATGTCGGTGCGTTTTTTTTCCTTCTTATTTTCTTATGCAGAATGTGTTGCGTTTTCTGGAACCTGTTCTGTGAGCTGGGGCGAAGGGGGCTAGTGTGGGTTGGAAAGAATTATTATGCCCGGGGTGGGATGAGAGAATATTTGCTGATGCTGTGTGATGCGCAGGTCCTCCGCCGAGGTTGATGAAGGCTATGTTGGCTACTCTCACTTGATGTTGGATCGGTGTGCCTTACAGTCAGGAGCTAAGGACCGAGGGCCGCCATTCGGAGGATATGATAGCAGCGTGCTACGGCTCAGGGTGTTGTGGTGTATATGGGTGTTGTTACGACTGTCTTTGGATGTGGAACGCAGATGATGACTTATGATGTGATGAAGTTATTCTTGGTTCATCTGGAAAGAGATATACGAGATCTATGTTGCTATGACGGATTCACAGGGCCATGACTTGTTTCGTTAGAGAATGAGGTACAATACCGAGTCGGCAATAGTCATTGTGACCGTTAAATAAGGAAGAAATCGAGCTGGTATACCATGCGCATATCATGAGGCCTCGGACAGGCATAATAAGCCTTGATGAGAGTATGCATGGGCACTGAAAGCATGAGAGATATGGTTAGCGTGATCTGGCTTCAAACATGTGAGAAAATAGGTGAGCCCTGGGTGCCACAAGGGGTAGCCAGAGACAACTGGCCGACTAACTACCTAAGGTATTAGGTACGAGATGAGATTGCGCTTGCGTTAGGGGCTGGCGCTATACATATAGCTTACACAATCCCCATTCCAGGATCAGCTCGATCTGTCACCTTACTTCTGGTGAACTTCCCGAACTGCGGATTCATAAGCAATGGTGGTGCCACTGGAATCAGGGGGCTGAGGAGAAAAGCTCGGAGTTAGCTAACCCCAACCCCGGATGGCGGACTTAAGATGCAACCCGAGCATGCCAACAACATCACTCCTCGCCTGTCGTTCCATCACAGTCTGAACCCCGAGGCCCGGCGACTTGCTATATCTAAGAAACATCCATCGTACACAGCGTTAACCTTACAATCATCGTCCCTTCAACGTCTAGATCTAACCTCAGAGCTCTACTCTCAGTACCGTAACAACGACTCACCAAACAAGCTTGAACTCATCAACTCAGTACCATGACAGCCGTGGCCAAAACGATCGTCGCCACCGGAGCTTCATCCGGCATTGTATGTACATGTACATACATACATACCTGCATACATACCTACACATATCTACCCCCTCCTCTGTATTGTATAGCTATCTGTCTCACCGAACTACGTCACTAACACACAACCAACAATGCCAGGGTTTCGAGCTGGTAAAACAGCTCCTCTTCCAGCCCTCCACTACCCCATACCGCTTCATCCTCGGCGCGCGCGACGTCGCCCGCACGCAGGCGGCCTACGACGCGCTGCGCTACGACAGCGCCCGGCACAGCCTGACCGTGCTGCCGCTGGAGCTGTCGGACCTGCGGGCGACGCGCTCGTTTGCGCAGCTCACGCTGCAGCGGCTGAGGGACGAGGGGCATAATGGTGGGCTGGATTATCTGTTGCTGAATGCTGCTGTGACCAACCCGGCGGGTGCAAACCTGAAGGGACAGGAGGAAGGGAAGGGAGAATTTGGGGAAAAGGGGTGGTGTGAGAGTTTTGTTGTCAACCACCTTTGTAAGTCCTTTCTTTTCTTTTCTTCTCTTTTACTTATTATTGTTGTTACGGGGTTGGGTGATGAAGAATGGGGTTCAGGAAGGTTGGGCTAACTGCTGAGTGTGTGCGGTTGAATAGCGCAGCATTACCTGGTGCATCTGCTCCGGGAGAAGCTGGTTGAGTCGAAGGCGAGGATTGTGGTGGTTTCGTCTGGCGCGATACGTCGCGTGCAGCAGACAGGTTTGTGTTCTCCAAGGGCCACACCGATTATCCACGTAGGGCCCAGCTGATTGACAGACGGCGCAGATTCCCTCGACAGCGATCTGAAAGCGGGCTCCGGTGCCGATGGCCAGACCACCTACAGCCAGACCAAGTTTGTCCAGCTGCTGGGTGCGCACTGGTGGCGCCGCCAGCTGAAGGGCCAGTGTACTGTGGTTGCCGTCTCGCCCGGTCTGATTCCCGACACAGGCATCGGCAGGGGCTCCGGTATGAAGCTGACCATGGACATGCCTGATGCCAAGACGGTTCCTGAGGGTGAGTTCCAGTCACGGGCATCACTTCTTCATTTCTTTTCCAGGGCAACATCAGAGAAACTTACAATGCGACAGGGGCACAAAGCATCTTCCGTGCCTTCACGCGCGACATCCCCGAGGACCCCGACCAGATCTTCCTCACCAGCTGGGGCGAGTGGTGGAGCAAGGATGTGTATGCCTTGAGCCTGGACAAGGCCCTCCAGGACAAGTGGTGCCCGAGCAAGGAAGAAATTGAACGCAAGAACGGGCTGTCCGAATGAATGTGGCCTTTGACCAGCAGTGTCAGGGCCGTATCACAGGACTCTGCATCCCTGGACAGCACTCAAAAACACATAACAATAAAATAAGCGGGCATTATGCGGAACAGTTCAGCAGTAACGCTTTGTTGTTCTACAACTTCCTGATTGAGCTCTAGATTACCTTAGGCAATGCCCGCCCTAACGAAACAACTAGACTTTGAATCGCTCCAACCACAATTCCTCCGGGTTATCTCATATTACGCCTTTTCATCCCCACGACTCTCGGTCTCAACAACATGTCGGATCGCCGGCGATTCCGCGGCTAGGGTCTGCTGGTCGTTCAATTTTGGATTCCGCAAGGCCGCCGCAAAGGCGATTAGCGGCACACACAAGCAGATACCGGTGATGGTCAGCAGTCGTTGGGCGTGCTTGTACGAATCGACAACGGCCTGGCGTTCCGGCGTGCCGACGGGATAATCTACGATGAAAGCGAAGGGATTTCCGTAGGCGTAGGTGGCCAGTGTGGCGTTGTTGAACTGGGAGAGGCGCTGGTTGAGGTCGCCCGGCAGGACCTGGGTCCAGATGGCGCCGGAGACGGCGCCGCCGAACGCAGAGCCGAGGTTGTAGGTGGCCAGGTAGACGCCCGTCATGACGGCGAGGTGCTCGTGCTTCAGGACGGTCTGGAGCGACGCCTGGGCCGGATAGGGGAACATGCCGCCGGCGATGCCCAGCAGGACCTGGGCGCCGATGACGCCGGCGCGGCTCGAGCTGTCGGTGTCTCCGCGGTAGCGGATCAGGAGGCCGAAAGCAACCATGAAGAGACAGGTGCCGGCAACGATGAACATCTTCAGGCGGCGGACCTTGTAGACGATGAAGCCGAGGATACAGCCCGTCACGACGCTGAAGAAGCTGTAGAACGAGGAGACACGGGTAGCGGTCATGATGTCGAAGTCGAAGGCGACGATGAGGACAGTGTACAGGTAGTCGCCCTGCATGTACCAAGCCCAGTTGAGCAGCATGGCGATGCCCAGGGCGCCCCAAACGGCGCGGTCCTTGATGAGGTAGAAGGGCACCAGAGGGTGAGGGGCGCGCAGCTGCCAGAAGACAAAGATCGGGATCGTGCAGACGCCGACGATGAGAGGGCCCAGAATTTGCGGGGCCGTCCAGGAGGCCTCGAAGCCGCCGGCCAGAGTCATGGGCGCCAGGATGAGGGCGAACACGGCTATCATCAGGATGATGCCGATCACGTCGATCCGCCAGAAGAGGTCGACGAGGAACGGGCCCCAGGGCTGGCGCTTGACTGCCTCGCTGTACTTCTCCATCAGGCCGTGTTTGCGGGCGCGGTGGCCGACGACGGCCAGACTCAGGATCAGCGGCATGGCGCAAACGGGGTAGATGATGCACCACATGCCAATGCCCCAGCGCCAGGTGGTGGCGCCCAGCACGGCTTGCGAGATGTTGCCGCTGACCCAGGTGGTGATGAGGAAGGGCGTGGCCGGGATGTAGCTGAAGAGGAGGCGGGCGCGCGTCGACGTGATGTCGGCGACGATGACCTCGACGAGCAGCATGATCATGGTGTAGCCGATCTGGTAGATGATGGCTCCCGCTGAGAAGGTCGAGACATTGTGCGACACGGTCTCGACGAGGGTGCCGACAACGTAGAAGAGCACGGACAGGCAGACGAGCTCGGCGCGACCGAAGATGTCGGCAATCTTGGCCGAGGTGGGCTGGGCAGCGGCAGCAATGACGGACCGCAGCACGTTCACGGAGGCCAGAAGCGAGTGCTGCGAGAAGGAGGCCGTCGCTTCCGCTTGGTACGCATAGCGCACTGTGCCGTCGAGCCCATACGCAAAGGCCACCAGAAAGACGCCAATGAAGATAAAAACGCGGTCCCCCGTGGTCAAGACGGCCGAGAGCGCCTCGATGCGGCGGACACCGGGCGACTTTTCGTCGATCGTGATGGTGGAGGATGGCCGGCCGGCGAGGTCATGTTGGGTGGTAGCGGCATCGGCGGCCTCCGCTGTGTTATTGTTGGCCCCGCCGCGCGAGGAAGGCGGGCTGTTGTCGCCGTTGCTGAGCATGGATGCGAAGGCTCCCCCCGGGCCGAAAGTTAACGTTGAAATGATCAACACGATAAATTAAAACAGAAGGCCTGCACCCACATGCAATGCAGCGGTATTTATCCTCTGGCACAAGAAGTCGAAATTTTCTTCCATGCGGGAGATTGCCTGCTTTGAGAAGGCTTGAGCGACTGTACGCTCCCCTTCCGGCTGTACCCCGGCTGGATTGCGCTAATACTGTTGTGCAGGATGCTGTGAGGTGACACGGCCGAGCCATCCAAGAGAAATCGATAAAAATTATCAGATGATCTGATAACGGAGCCTTCCCTAAAGGGGAAAATCAGGGGACGGTGAGTGGGGTGCCAAGACATGCGGATTCTTCACGACCCGTCATCGGAGCTTGTCAGCACTCCGGCGCCAACCAAATACTTCAGGCTGTCGAATGGTCTTAACTATAAGTGATGTCTAACCCTGACGCTGGTGATGCGATGCGGTGATGCGCAAGCAGACATTCATGGCGATTTTCGGCGCTCTCCTGCCAACTAAGGAAAGTCCCGTCCAGCCGTCCCTGGAGATTGCTGTGGGAGCTCAGCCTCCTCCGGAAGTCCTCTGAGCCCTCGAACTGTGCCACTGGCGTCAGGGCTCTTGAGCCCGGCCGGACCCCCCTCAGGGTTTAGAATCGCCCCGTCATGGTTATCCTCTTAAGTGCAGCGTCGAGCCTGAATAGCCCAAAAGAAAACCGTCACTGTGATCTTGGCGCTAAGTTACTGATGGTCAACGGGTGTGTCAAGCCGGAGAGCGGTCGGATAATCGATTTCCAGGATGATGGACTGTCCGACCATAAGCCTGACAAGGCGCAGGCCGAAGCGGCGGCTTTGGCGTGGTGGGAGGCGGTTGAGAAACTGCCGCGTCCCTTTGGCCTTCTGGGTCCTATTGACCGGTCCTTGGCAAAAAAGTCATTTTGAAGGGCAGAACTTCCGCTTCTGCTCGAAACTTGTCCGCAGTCATTTCATCTTCATCTTGGTCGCGAGTTTCGCTCGCAAGTCCTAAGGTCCCTCCTCTTGAGCTTCGTGGTGTAGATTCCCACTGACACCGCTCCCCACTCGCGATTTTGTCGTTCGAGCCTGCACATCACGTGCAAGTTCAACGGGCCGGAAGATCTTGCCGGGGTGGATTGTACGGAGCCGGGCGGCTAAGCAACTTTGCTGACTAATCCCGAATTTCTGGCGGTGGTTGGGCGCGAGTCCGAGCCCAATGGACCGCGCACCGCGACTTCTCTCAGTCCCCTCAACGGCGTCCCGCCCGCCGACAGACCAGCCGCACTCCAAGGTCATTAAGGAAACCCCTATTGGGAAAGGCCTTGATACCTTCCGCGCTTTGTTCGATGCCATCTGTGAAGACGCGAGCATATCACACCGCCACAAGCAAGCAAAAACCAAAGACGGCGATAACAGGGCCGACACCGACAACCACTCCGTCATCGACCACCACTCCGTCACCGACCGCCCCGTCACCCTTTCTACGCTTCCTCCCGAAGTGCATCGGCTCATCTTTACTTGCATCGAATGCATCGAAGACGTGTTTCGCCTCGGTCTCGCGAATCGGTACTTCTGGTCGATCGGTCGAGAACGTATACATGATTACTACACTTCGTTCCTCGGACGATGGGCCAAGGAGAATATAGTCTGCGTGGGAGAAGATGTCAAGCCAGGCGACTATCCTCCTGGCCTGTTTTCGGCCGAAGAACTAGACGTCTTGCATCAAAAGACGAGCGACATACCGTACGACTGGGACGATGACTGGGAGGATGTGGCATTTGCGAATGAGCCGTTCACGCTTCACCACTTCACTTTTCCCAGTATTTCCACCACGGAACAAGACGTTCGTCTGTTCGGCGAGTCTCTGGCATTGGCTGGCCACCTCTCCGACTTGGAGGACATCTCCAAGGATCCCGCTTTCCATTGTATACGTTCGAAGATACGGGTTAAAGAGGAGACCTACTTCCCCCAAGACCAGCAGTGGATTCTTCGAAACTTGACGACGAAGCAGTTCGTCCGCTCGGAAGCCATCATCCTGAAGCCAGAATTCGTCCACGGCCCCAACATCAGTGTCTTGGGCTTCGGTGAAGTCGTCATGTCGCGCATATACTGGTCGACATCCTCATTTACTAGCATGAGCGATACGGTCAATATCTCGAGGGGCGTATGGGCAGGGCACCGCCTCGACATCACAACGCTCGCGAGACACCGAGACGAGACCAACGAGGTGGGATGGAGCGATGTGAGCGACGAAGTGGCGCGAGAGATTGCGGTTATCTGGGAGAGCGAATATGGCGCCGACTGGCGTGAGACCCTCTGTAATCACTGGTATCAAAAGTACGGAGGATTCTCTCGCCCGGTGTATTAGTCTGGACACACGCCGTCGCGCTCGCGCTCGGGCGAGCTGCTCGGCAAGGCGGCTATGCTGCCGGGGTGTCGGCAATATCCGGTGCGCCCCTACCAGCGCGTCTTGTCAGGGATTCTGAGACCATTTCCTGCCTTCAACAGCACCCTCCCCCGACCAACACCACCACCACCATCCAGGCCCCATTCGGGTAGGATGAAGCGGGCTGGCAAGTGACTGGTAATACGCACGGCTTCGATTACAGTTTCGATATCCGACGTTTTGTTGTCCTGTTTTCGTGTGCGGGGGGGTCGTTCTCATCGGGCCTCCAGTTCGACGCTGACTCTGGAATCTTCCACAGCAGAGGCCGGTGGGGGCCGACCTGCATGGTCCGCGGGCAGCGCTCGCATCCAATCATTACAGGCCAGAAAGGACCAATCAGGACCGAGAGTTAGGAACGTCGTTCCCAAGGAACGGCGTTCAACACCGACGTTCCAAACGATCCAGGTACGAGGATACCTGAGGAGGAAGCTGTATATAGACCTACCATTCTGTCACTCATTCAGATAGCTTCCTCAGTGAGCAATTTCAATCAGTAGCCTTACCTACTGTGCAGACATTGCAGAGTGCATTATTATAAACCTTTTAGCTTCACCGAGACCTACAGCCCGACCAGTATTACCTTTGACCGGAGAACCCTTTCAGAGGCAGGACTGCCTGGGTTTCGTCACAGCTTTGTGAGTCTGTCCAGACAAGGGCATAGTCATCGTACCAACGTTAGTACCTACAGTGTAGTGTAGGGTCCTTTCGCGATGTGCCGAACCTACTACCCTGATATCTAGGTCTGTGGTGGTAACCCAAAGCAGGGTCCTGCTATCCAGCAATCATGGCAAAACACGCATGTTGCACCGAATCAAAGAACTAGCCAAGGAATCAATATAAAAGCGGTATGGTGCTTTAGTTAAGGTATGCGACTGGAGTCTCGATACTTTGCCACGGAGATCTTCCTCCTACCCTCTGGTAGGGAGTCGGCGAAATGTGGTCCTATATTAACTAGACGAGACTGGGAATTGATATGTGAACACTTAACCAAATTCCTTGCTTTTGAACTATTGTCGGAGAACCAGCGCCTTGTGCCAGCCCGCCCAGCGCATCTAGAGCTGCTCAAGCCTCCAAGGCCAATCTAAGCATATATTAATTAAGTACTTAGAAGTTAGAAGTTAGATGCCACCCAATGCCGCCGCCTTCCCCGCAGGTGCCAATCTTCAAGGAATCATTTGTCCTGGGTAAATCTTACATACGCCTGCCAACCGGAACGCCGGCTACTACAGTCTGCAGTTGTCTGGGAAACCGCGGGGCTCATGGAACATCCCCAAGATCCGTCCCATGGGATGCCCAGAGGACAGAGCCGGGGATGCCCCACACGCTCCGTCCACCCGACTCCAGTCCGCGCCGATCGTCCTGACGATTATCTACGTTAAGGTACTCCGTAACAAGCTGTGATTCATGGTCCCCAAAACCTAAAAGGCCTAGGATGTTTGCTCCACTAGTTTTGAACATCCACCTGCACGCCTGTTGATCGTGTCCAGGGGCAGGCCTCGTGGCCCCAGTCTTGGGAGCGATTTGCATCGGTCACCTATTCCTTCTTGTTACCCCTGGGCCGGGGAACCATCATGGCCGGCTGATGAGCCCACGTGAAACATTGGGGAAATAACGGGGAACCCGTTGAAAACTTTGGAGGTCACAGATCACAGAATCTCGTAGAGAAAGCGATGTCCATCGGCGAGCGGCTGCAGCCCCGTGTATTGACATCATCGTGTTGTATCCGACCGGCGGCTATAATTGCAACCTTGACTATAGCGTAGAGTCCTGCACGCTCTGTACTAGGAGTCGCAGGGACAGCGGAGCATTACCGATGCAGAGACAAAGGAGTGACCAATGGGATGTGGGACAGCCCGTCTTTTCTCACCTAGTTCTTATTCCCCGCTGCACTGGACACTTCGGTAGGGTAGCAAGCTATCTCAATATCGTACCACAGTATTGAGTATGTGCCTAAGTACCTCTCAGCTGGGGGCCGGCATAGTTCTAGGCCGATTATCCTGGAAGGCACGGAAGCTGACTGCTGTGTATGAGAATGCCACGAAACCGGTTTATCTTGGCTACACGCGAACCTGAGCGCCGGTGAAGTCTGGTCAACATGTCGTCAAGCTCATATTTTTAGAGTGTTTCCGACGAGTGAGGTTGTCTGCAAGCATCACGGCTCTGTCCCCTGCCGATCCGCGATCGACATTGGATCTAGCCCTTTCCTTTGCTACTCATCTCATGAAGGGCTGAGATCTGTGTCCTTCCAAATACACTCAAACCAAGTTTCGGCACGCCTCGACGGCATTATGGCAAGGCGAACACGGAGGAAGAGATGCAGCAAGGACCGGCCCATCAACCCTCGAGATTGCCCAAAATCTGTCGCAAAACCGGGAAGGGGCCTTGACGGGCGCGACTCAGCGGTCGTTGATCTGCCTCCGGACAATGAAGAGGTTCCAAAGCAAGTAGACAGGAGAAATAGTCACCAGAAAAGCATAAATACAAGCCTCCACCTCCCAGTATCGACCCTCTTGTGTTTCAGCAGCAGCAGAGCAACCGTCTTCTCTTCTTCCCTTCAGTTCTAACTTCGATCCTTCTACTACAATCTGTCAACGCTCGCTCCGCCAAGGCCCCTTTGATTCCTACACAACCCAACGCACACAGCCAGAGATATATATAAAAAAAATGAAGGCCATCTTCTTCACCCTCTTCTCACTGGCCGCCTCGGCCCTGGCCACGCCCCTTCTCGCGCAGCGCCAGCTCGAGACGCAGGCCGATGAGATCGACAGGCTGACCGAGCTGGTCATGTCCCACACCGCCAACATCAGTAAGCCGTCTCTCGCCCCCTTTTATTTTTTTTATTCTTTATTTTTTTTCCATTTTGCCATGCCCTTAGCTAACCAAATGCAAAAAACTTTTTAAAAACAAACAGACGAGACGGTCGCCAGCGTGGTGGACAACCCGAACCTCGAGCAGCAAAACGCCGCGGCGGCCGCGCTGGGCCCGGACTTCCAGGCCATCACAGACGCGCTCACGCAGGCCACCGCCGCGATCGGATCCTCGGCCGCCCAGCTCGTCGTCGTCGCTGCCGTCAAGGGCCGTGACGCGGCCGGCGGCGCTTGCGGGCACGACTGCCTGCTGACCAAGGTGCAGCTGCTTGTGTGGGAGATTGCCAGCACGCTGAAGTTTGTCATTGTCAAGCTGGGTCTTGGTAAGTACCTACCTACCCTACCTTAGTGTACAACTCTTTACGGCCTGATATATATCTTGGGGGCCAATTTTGCGGGGGAGTGTCTACCTATGAAAGAGAAAAAGCTGACTGTTTTGGTTTTCTCTTTTTATAAGCTTGTGTTCTCGATTACCTCCAGCCGCTGCTGTTCGCCTTGGTTGGACTCATCAAGGCGCTGGACAAGGTCGTCGCCGGTCTGCTGATCGTGGTCAAGAGCCTGCTGACGTTTGTGCTCGGTACTGTTGCGGGCGCGGTGCTCGAGCTGCTCTGGTGATGTTGGCTGGCTGATGTTATTTTTGCTCCTTCTTGCCGCACCTGTCATGCAGCTGCCTTTCTCACGGGGGGTAAGGGCAGGAAGCGGACCGCGGCTGGTCTTTCCCTTTTTTATTTTTCTTTTCTTTTCTTTTCGCTTGCTTAGGGGGTTTTGACGGCAGATTAATGGTCGATTGCCTCGCTATACTTTATCATGTCTGTCGTTCTCGCTTCCTTTTGTGTATAGTTGACCGTGGCTATGGATGGCGAGGTATATCAAAACTCCAAGGAATGGATCATGAGTAGTAGCGCTTCGTATCCTTTTCTAACGGAGAGGATATTTTTAACCTACCAATACCCCGTTCCAGAGATTGTCAGCGCTTTGTGGATAGCTAAACACAGGTATTGTACGAGGAAGGCGTAGAAGCCAGTTACGTGAGTCCAGGGGCGGCGACGGTGTAGACTGCTGTGCTTATGTACGACCGGAATGGCAGCCTTGCAGACGGTGTCGAGTACCAGGTTGGCCATTGTCCCGGCGTCACGGTTCCCTGTGGCTCTGGCGAAGGATTTAGCCGCTGGGAATGTCAACATCGGATGACTGGTATTACCCTACAGCCAAGCAGGCCATGTCACATGTGTCATGCTGCCACTGTATGTAGTGCCACAGTTAGTCTGTTTCTTCATGGGTTACTGGTACCCGAGATGTTCAAGGGTCTCGGCCGCGTCAGAAACGGAAACACGATCATGATGTGCAGTGGGGGAACAACGATGTCCGTTATCTTACGCCTGGCTTGAGCTGTGTCCCGGGTTATTTTGGTATTCGAGGTGATGACGAGGCAGATGACGGCTTGGGCGCCTCCTGCCGCAGCACACGTGGTTCTTTTGGCTTGAAGTGTCTATGATGTGTGAAGGACTCTCAACGGTTAAAAAAAACAGGCATCGTAGGCCACGCAGGATAGTACTTTCGCAGCTCATGAGCCAGAGTCTGTGTGCTACAGGCTACGTGGGCCACATAGACTATGGCAGTTGGCGTTCAGAGCAGGTATAAAGCATCACCAAGGTCCCCAGCACCCGAGCCATTCTAGTCTTGCCCAGAGCCACCTAAACAGCCCCGCGAGCCACGAAGGCAACCGCACAAGCACACCGTGCAAGCCTTCTACGACCCAAACTCATGTAAGAAAATGCCGAGACGCTCATTATCAAGCCATCATCGCCACGGTAGGGCAAAAACTCCGGAAAACGACTGGATCCTGCCTACGCAAGCCGACGAGAAGAACATGGACCTGCAAGTCTTCTTCAACAAGACCCTGAGCATTGCCCTTGGGCTCCTTCAGAACCGCCTACTACACGAGCACGAAGCGCTGGTTGCCGAGACCGTCTCCACCCTCGAGAGACTGATCCGCCACAGCGTGTGGCTGGAGACCGGGCACGCTTCCTTCGACCAGGCCTGGGAAATCCTGAAACTGTCGCAGGGCGCACTGTCGAACGTGTGCCAGCAGCTGCAGTTGTTGCCAAGTGGCCGCAGGAATAGAATGGAATAAAATGGGATCAAATGGAAGTGAAGGGAGGGGATGGGAAGGGATGGGAGGAAAGGTCGGCAGTAGAATGGGCCAGGGTTGGCATGGACCGAGCTATGCTCATGGGAAGCTTTTGCTTGAGTACGTTGATTTTTGGCACGTTGGCTTTGAGTTTGAGCATATTGACCAAGTCCGCTTCAAGCGCTTGAGGGGACTTCGATCAAACACTGACTTTACCATTATCAAAATCCCATTCAAGTCTTGAACTAGTTTGTCCGTGTGAGCGACATTACCTGACACTTCAAATCGTGACCCGTGACAAACTTGACCGTGGAGTTCCTATGATCATCTTTCCATAACGCTGTTGGCACTGGTAAGCTGCTATCTTCCGTCAGACATTGGCATCCTCAGACGCAAATGTGGATCCGTTATATAACACTCTCAACATCACGCCGGACGCCTAACTGGCAGCATGGGATGCTTGGATTTGAGCTAAATGCGGATGATGTTTGTTGCTTGTCAGACCTACATGGTGTCTCATCTTTCATAGAAAGGGCTGAAGCTGTCATTGGTAGATGCATGGCACACCAGATGTAGTGATTGTTGTGATATTGGATACTGAGATACCCCGAGAATTTCCCAGCATCTGCCTTTGCTGTTCCGTCCCGCCCAAGCCAAAACCAAGTCCCAGCGCCCCGGACCCAAAAGCAAGACCGTACAACGCTTCCCAGACATGCAATGCCCACGCCACCTATGTTTGATGTCCCATCCCATCCTACCACCCATAACCAAGCAGCTCATCCGGCCAAACCAAGCCCAAATGGTGTAGTAACCTGGTTGTAGACATAGACACGATAATCTTACACTTAGGCCCCTCACCAATCCGCTTCCGGGCGGCGACCGCTACTCCAAGCCCATGCGGACGTCATCGCCCACCCCCCAGCTCCCCGCCTCGGCCCCGGTCTCCTCCAGCGCCATCCTTGTCTGTGTCCCCAGCATGGCAGCGTCGTCCTCGCTGCTAGCCGCGATGCTCAGGCTCGTCCTCCTGCTGCGGGAGCTGCGGTGCGAGCTATCCGTGATGCGACGCCGCAGGCTCGGTGGTCTGAACCGCGCCGAGCGGCTTGATGTCGAGAGGATCGAGGCGGTGTCGTACTCCTCCTCTCGTTCCAGCTCATAGTCTTTGCTCTCTTGCTCTCGGCCGCTTGAACCGGGCTGCTGGGTCTGCCGCGGTTGGGTTGCGGCTGGTGGAAAGAAGGCTACGTCTGGCGAGGACGGGGTCAAGTCGACTGTGGGGATGGCCGGGGTAGGTGTTAATCCGGGCGGTCTGGGCGGCTGTGCTGGGGTTTGGATAGGGGTCTTGGAGTGGGCGGGCGTACCGGCGGCGCTGTTGGCGGGTTCCCCTTCGGGGATGTCGTCTGCTTCGACGAGTTCGGCGTCGCGGTACCACTTTCTCCGCCGCGTCCAGCGACCCCAGCTGTCTTGGCCTCGCCGGCCGTTCTGCCACTGTCCACGGGGTCAGTCTCGGCTCTCCAACGCATGGCTTAGCAGAAGTCGAACCTTGTTGTCGTAATAAATCCACCCCATTCTCCCCCCGGGACCGTCGTAATCCCATCCAACCTGCTTGTCATCAGTCGGCATGACGGCCTCGTCCAGCACGCCATCCACCCGCCACCTCGATCCTTCCGTCCACTGCCAGCGCATGTTGCTCCCGTCCTCGACCTCCGGTAACTCGAATTCATCCTTCGGCGGCACCGGATTGTTGTGCTCGTCGGTCCACGCCGCTCTCTCATAAGCGAAGAGGTTCGTCGTCCACCCAAGTCCAACCCATCGCCGTTGGTTCTCATAGATGATGAAGGTAAAACGCACGCCCGTTCCACGGCCGCCGCGCTCGCGACGGAGGGCCTTTGTCAACTCTGACTCGCCCTGCGTCTTGAGCGCCGTGGGGTTGGAGGAGGGAGTTTTGGACTTGGCTGTGGATGCGACGCCGGCCGGCTCGGTTGCTGTGGTTGGCGGAGTGGATTGCGTCTTGGCCAGACCCGCGAATTGCAGGCCTGTGACGAGGGCTAGGAACCGCCGAATGGTCGCACTCCGCCAGAGGATGACGCGTGTTACCCGGATGACGCGGGCATGCCAAGTTAAGAGGATAGTGCCCAGGATGAGGATAACGCGGCGGGTGGTGATGATGCGGAGAGGGGGGATGGTGAGAAGGAACCAGAAGGGCGTGCAGATGAGAATGCGGACGAAAAGCGTTGTGAGCGCCGGCCGCGTGGTCGCCGACGTCGGCGTACGCTGAGTGCTGAGGAAGTCGGTCAGCTCGAGGAGCGGTTCCAGCAGTATGTTACATCTTGCGGTGAACTCGCGTAGTGTCTCGACAATCTCGTCCAGTGTCTTCTGATGGCGTGTGTTTGTGACCTCGGATATCGAGCCCTGATTCCTCGTGTGACCAACCTGGCGCCCCGTTCCCCCATTGCTGTTCCCGCCCTTGTTGTTCTTGTCTGGCACCCCATCAACCGACGGATTCTTATTCCGTCGCCCTGCCTTGGCAGCCTTTCCCTCGGCCTGGAGAGCAGTCCCATCCCCGGCGCCGGGACCGGGTTCGCTCCATCCGCTGCTACTCAGCGGACTGAAGCGTCGGCCATACATGCCACCGATCAGGACCAGGACGAGTACAAGGGGTCCGGCCATGCGGATCACGATATCCCCGTATAGCACCGCGGCCCAGAACCCCGTCAGCAACAGGAAGCTCTCCCATGGGTCTCCCGTGGTCCATGTCAGCAGCCCCACAAGCTTGTTCAGCGGCAGCAGAAACGGGTGGCTATATGCCAATGCGCGCGTGATCTGCGGCGGCGTGGCAAGCAGTAACGGGGATTTCTGGTGCACCAGAATGGTGCTCCTCCTCTTAGCCGCCGATGTGGCGCTGGGCTCGGCGGAGCTCAGCGTCGCCGGAGAGAAGGAGGCATGGGTCGGGTTCGGCGCGAGGCCATCGTTACGCGACGGGGTGGACGGGTGTTGGAGGGAGGACGAATCCTGCGTGTCGCCGCGCTGCATGCGAGGGGTCGACATGTGCGAGAGCCACGGTTCCTGTTGGCGGAGAGAGTGATGTTTGTCAGCTTATGTCAAGGCCGATTCTCTAATCGCTTGCCTGACGGCCAGCCCAGCATGATGCTATTTGTGCATTTATGTCTAGCCTCTTGTCTGTCTTGCGCGCCGGGTCCGGGATGCTGACCGCCGCATGTGCGTGCTGTGTCCCTATCAATCGGATTGCAGGCAATGCAGGGGATCTCCAGCTAGGTACAAATACAATTCAAGGCGAGTCCCGGGTTTCTCGAAGGCCGAGCGAGTCCCAGGGGAGAAATGATGATTGGTGATGAAGAGCGACGACTGCGGTTGGGAAGGAGCGAGGTTACAGAGAATGAACCGGACTCACAAAAGCAGCCATCAAGTTGCTGGCCGACTTGCGTCGGCTCTCTCCGTAGACGCCCTGGGCTGCAGTCTACTCACGTCATAGGCCGCACATTCGGGCGTCAGTGCGGCTTGATCCGAGCAAGGGTTGCCTATGTATTGGACCTAGGTGTCAAAACAAATGCACCCGGAACGAAGAAGAATAACTAGGTAGGAATGGATACCTCGTGCATCGGTGTCAACAGCAAATGAGTCTTAAATGACACTATCATCTGAGACGGAAGAATGGCGCAGCGAGAAGCGAGGTCAAAGGAATCCCGATCTGACGTGGGGCGCCATTCCAATTCCAGCAGGCCGCGGCCTGGACGACCCCGCGATAGCATATTAGCAGCAGCGCACATCACCCTTGCGGCCTTGCCGAGCGACAAGCATGGAAGTCGAGAATCACATGCAAATCGGTATGCAGAAGATTGCGCTCCCGAGTCCCCCTCCCCCACGCAGGTTCGCTGTAGCCTGTAACTTGCATGCTAACGTTGTTGTCCATAGCTAGCAGATCCGTACATATATGGTTCCAAAAACGAGGGCCTGTAAAATACCAGTTAGTGGGTTGGGTTTAGGGTGAGCCAAAAAAATGCCGTCGGGAAACGAAAGTGATACAAATCTTTCGTTGGCTGGGGACAACAATTCGCCTGCCGTTGAGCCGTAGTACAGCCAATGAACTACTAGTAGTCCCAACTTCCAAGTGACATACGGTACTTTCCTTGAGCAACCTCATAGTAAACAAACCTCTTTTTTTCCAGTGCAGCCATTGTTTTACCGCATCAAGACATCTAGAAGATCCCGAAATCGTCCAATGGATAGGTTGCATGTTCGTTCCTCTTATCCAGAAGCTGATAATAGCCTGGCGAGCCTGGATACCATAAAATATTATAGTCATACTATGATAGAAAGGATGTAAAATCCTGGAGGACCAGCTGCGGCTATGCGAGATTGCATCAGTGCCATGACAGCTTAGGTATAAGGAAAATGCATCTAAAGAGGAAGTTGCCCGCATGCCCAGCCTTACAGGACTGAAGGCGTCGTTCAAGGAGTCTTGCTTGCACCAAGGTCGCACCCATCCAAGCGGGCGGCCCTGATCATTCTTCTTTTCTTTCCCTGCTTTCCCGGCCCGGGCTACAAGCGCCGAGGAACAATCAAACAGAAACAGGATTCACGGATTGGTGACGGGGGGATTCGATATATCCGGGTTCCACTCCAACAGCCGCCTGCAGAACCGCCGGGCATGCACCACACCATTCTGCATCCCACTTGCGGTTGACCTGGCCTTTTCCATCACGAGCATTTGCGTGTGTTCGCGCTCATCACCACTCTGATGACCTTCGGGCCTTTCAGCGTGATAAATGAGCTTGACCACGCACACTGCCCCGCCCTGTGACGCTACCCTCTCAACAGACTTGATCTTTCTCGGTTCGACTTTTAGGGACACAGGAGCGTCCGAGGACGTCGTAAAGACACCGCTTTGGTGGTCGTCGATCAGGCGAAGAAATTGGCCCGGGGCGCCTGAGCGGAATACTTCGCTGTCGTCTTCCACGAAGGCCGCCACATCAAAGACGTCCATGGTGGGGACGAATCCGCCGGTAGGGGTCATCGTTGGGGTATCGGGCTTCGTGAAGCCAGGAGCGGCTGCGCCTGCTTTAGGCAAGGGCAAGACCGGAGAGTTCGACCGCGTGTTGGCCGCGCTGGCAGTGGGCGTCGCAAGCGGAGTTGTATTGAGGTGCGAGATCTGTGACCAGGTCGCCGGCGGCGGAGGCAGTTGAATTCCATACGGACGACGTTCCCCGTTCTTTGTGGCTTCTACTTCCGATTCCGATTCCCGTTCCCGTGCCACGGTCAGCGGCACTGGTGGCTGAGGCGTGGAATGCCTGCTCGAACCGGGAGTGGCTACCGTCGCGCTCTCAGCACGCCGAATCTCTTCCGCCACCGGGTCTGTCCACTGCTGCGGTGAGTGTGATGCTGGTGCTGAGCCAGCCCGGATCTCTCTCGCGAGCTGCGGTTGCTTCGGAACTGTGAGCGAGCTGGATGCTGCCACGGAGGGTGATGCGGCTCGCATTGGCGCCGAAGGGAGAGGCCGTCGAGCCACAGGTGGTTTGGGAGACTGAGAGGCAACTGGAGATGGGCCGACGACACCTGGGTTTGGAAACTCCTGCAGGATGTTCTGGAGAGAAGCCGGGCTCCCCTTCCTTTCGTTGCCCTGAGGTTGGATCGGAGTGCCGCTATGCGACAGCGCGCCGCTCATTGGCCTCTCGGGCAGGTTTACAGGATGTTGACCGGAATGGCTCTGGTTCGGTGTCTGGGGATTGCGGCTGCGGGCATGAATCTTTAGCACGCGCCTGTGTCCTCCGCTCGTGCTCGACACTGAACCGGGCCTTGACGGAGGGTCGACACTGGCAGAGGCGCTCCGAGACGCGTTTCGCTCGCCACCACTGGCGGCATTGATGGGCGTGAACGCGGTCCGCGGTGGTGTTTGCAAGTTCAGAGCTTGAGCCGCGATCAATCGAGCGTTGGTCGCAGGGGATATGGGGGTTGCCGAGGACCCCGGCACCGTAGGCCTTTTACTTTTAGAGTTGACGACGCCTTCCAACGACTTCGCTTCGCCGACGGGCTGCTCATCTTGGTTCGACAGGCTAGTGCGTCGGCTGTCGGCATCTGTTATGCCCTTGCTGATGGAATCCTGGTCAGAATAGCCTTCCGAGCCGTTGTTGTTCATAGCTCCGATGTCCCTCATCTCGACATCCTCAGCAGTAGCATGCGTAACATCCGGGACGCCACGCCGACGCAGAATCTTGGTAACAAAGTAGTCCAAGGCTACTCTGAAGAAAGGGATATTCCGGGACCCGGGATGGTCAAAGTCGAGAGGCAACAGGTGCACAGCCTTGACCCATCCAAGAGACCAGAGACGACTGGTCTCAGTCAGCACGTAGCCAGCACCCGGAGCCGAGTTTGCAATCATATAACTTACTAATCAGCATTCTCAGCGCACAAGACGGGGAATTCACGTTTCTTCTCCAACGGGCCGCCAAGCTCGTACCCCCTCGCCCAGCCCATGATACCCTTGACGCGACCATTTTCCTCGTCGTAGGTGTAGCACTTGGGCAGCATAGGCACCCCAAGCTGCCTTCCATCGGCGGCGACGTCGTGGAAAATACCGGTGCCGGCCAGTGTGCCATGAAGACCGGCTGGGGACACGTCACCCCAAGGAAGGATTAAGACGGGGCATTTCTGCTCTCCGACAGAGCACAGGTAAAATCTGCAGGGTTCGGGGTTGGTGACCGCTGTGGAGGGTTTCCGGGCCATTCCGGCCTTGGCCGTGCCGGTTTCGAGAGGTGGGAAGCCCAGCTCGGCGCGCTTCGCCTGGCTCAAGTTGTTTGCGTTAAATATCTTGTAGGTGCCGTCCTTGAAGCCGCTCAGAACGTCTCGGTTGTTCTGCTCTGCTAGCTCCTGTGTGCAACCAAGAACGCGGTGGCCCAGCGTCTCAATCGCCGTGGCGTGCGCCTTCGACATGTTACCATGCTGTGCGCTGGCAAGGTGCTTAGCTGCCCCTCGCAGTGGATGTTCGCCAAAGTGCACCCCATGTTCGTCGCATCTGAGAATGTAGAACTTGCCCGACCCGCTGGGATATTGGACGATGATGTGCCTATGCTGGGGCCGGTGTTCCGGCGTGCCGTACACATCCTCAAACGAGATTGTCCTCTCCGGTGTCTCTGGTGTCTCCGGTGCCTCCGGAGCGGCCCCTGGCGAGAGCTCGTCAGGAGCTCTGCTCTCGCTGTCGTCGAGTTTCTCGAGCCTGGCACGCTTGACACGATTCAACGGAGATGCAGAAGGTTCGCTGTTGCAGGCCTCATTCGCTTTCCGCTTGTGCTCATGACCGCCACCCGACAAGACGGGGTCTATTCGAAGCGGCTTCTGACCCGGCGTACTAGATTCGGGCCCATCCGGTAGGCCCTCTACCGTTTCGGTCCCAGGATCACGCTCAACAAAACCCCTTTCGTCTGTTCGCTGTGGGGGAACGGACTCGGTGGACGTGTCTTGTCTGTGCGGTGACGGCGGGTGCGGCCACCGCGACTGCCCATGACCGAGGGCGTCATTTTGTGCTGGTGCAATCTGCGCGTCAGGTTGATTGGAGATCTCCCTTGGCAACGGAAACCCAGCCTCCGGTGGTCGCGACGCAGCCTCGGTCAAGTTGTTGTTGCCGTTGATCTCAGCGTTGCTTTCGTCGACACCCGCACTCAACATCCGACGCCGGGCGGGGTAGTGGTCACCCGATCTTCGCCTTGGCTAGCGCAGGATTCATTATCGGCTTGGTGCCCGAGACACGAGTAACGGGTAGGGTGAACTTACCAACGCACCCATCAGCGATGTGATGATGGAGAAATACTCTTCTTTGAATCTCGTTTTCTGTTCGTGATAGCGTGCCCTTCTCGCGGCCGTCTCTTCTGCATGTTTTCGGCGGAGCGCATCAATCTCCATTTCTTTCTTCTCGCTTAGAATCCTCACGACCTTCTCGACAGCTGCCGGCAGCGAGCCTAGTTCGGCAACCATTTCCGCTCTCTGCCGCTCGAAATCTTCCTCGATGGCGTTCGATTCTGCGGAAAGCACCGTCATTGCCTGACGCTCCTGGAAGTCATATTGGTGCTGAAGCTCAGCGAGCTTTGCGTTCAGTTCTGCGTAATTGGCCTCTACCCGGACTGTCTCGGGCAGCAGACTTTGCAACCCCGTCATATCGGGGCAGTCTGACATCATCCGAACTCCCCACTTGTTGCCCTATATTCCCAAGGATTTGCTGAGCGCTCCAAACAGAAAGAGAGAGGGGCAAGTGAAGGCAACAGACTTGAAGAGGCGAGGACGAAGTAACAAAATGGTTGATTCAATGCAGTCGGTCGCGATCGTCTGCCAGCAGGTTAGAGATCTGGGGAGGCGAGCAAAACCGGCTAAGATGGTAGCGGTGACCTCGCCGGGCCACAACTTGACAGTCGTGCCCGTTTGCGAGATGGGGTCGGAAACTTGAACGTTGTATGTGTGTATGTCTAGGTCTGTAAGGTATGTTTGTGTGCGGCGCTGTGTTTCCTTGCCACGCCACTACTTTGGGCGTCATGGTGATGATCCAACTTGGGAAACAACAGGCCCAAAGTTCAGGCCTACCCTTGGCTTCTGCTGTGCCCCGTTTCCAGGTAGCGTGCTCATGCAGAACACTACCTAGCTAGAACGGCGCGTTGGGAAAGGGTCTGAGAAGGTGTTTCTCGGATCATGCGGCTACTAGCCAGGATCCGAGAGCGAGAAAACCGAGGAATGTGGTATAGTAAATGACGTGGGAAACAGAATGGAGATGTTGTTGGATCTGCAATGTTGCCACTTGCTAGTGCTGCTGGCGAGTCGCGCGGCGACAGTTACATGAAATACATTTGAACGTGAACTCGTGAGAGAAAAGTCACAAGCTTACCTTGCCTTAGGTATTATGCCTTACTCGCAATCGAAGAGACCTATGTGGGCGAGTCACTTGGGATTTTGCCGAAAATAATCGCAAGCGGGCGATGTTGTAGGTGCGTGGCCTGATAGCAATGGAGACTGAGAACCGGGAAGCAGTGGGGATGAAAGGGCATAGGGAGTTTGGATGCAGGAGGTAATAAGAGATGCGAAAATTATTACAATGCTTATTATTATTATTACCTTAGGTGGCCGGGCTAAAGTCGCGCCAGTACGGATACAAACTCACATTAGGGTGCGAATTGCGGTTACGAGTTCCCTCTACAACCCCCGGAAGACCATAGAAAGTGATCGGATAGCGAGCCGGTAGTGCAGGGCAGAACACGCTGTATGTATGCATGTACTGTATGTAGGAAGGTACCTTCTATGTACATAGCCTGAGGTATGCATGACACGGCTAAACCCGATTTGAAAAGTGTTGGCGTAGACTAGCGATAAAAACATTGGGGCTTAGGCACAGCGAACGAGACACCAGACAGGGATTATTGGGCGGTCTAAGATTAGCACTCGGATTGTGGTGAAAGCATCCTTTTGAGGCGCCCAGACACGGGGTGTAACAGAAAGCAATCAGAGAGCTGGCCAAGCCACCAACGAGAGTCGCACGGCGATTGAGACAGAATATGCAGAACGGTGCACCCAGCTCCCGTGTGACTGTCGCGATCCATCCACCAAGTTCGTAGAATGTTTAATCATGTCCGAAACCTCCAGTGTGAGTTCGAGGCTTTCGTACGTCATTCGCCCCGGCCGCATCCCCATCAGGCATGAGCACTTTTTGTGTCGCCGAAGGATCATTCCAAAAGTCCGATCTACGAGTCACTACGACTGCCGAGGCTGCGTGGTTCCACTATCGGCGTTATTATGTGGTCAGTGGGAACTTTTGTACTCTCTATACGGATTTATCTTCTCTACATGCGACGTTATATAGATTTCGCTAATACATAAGCAATGCACCGTGCTGCCCTTAATCTGTACATTTGTCACCTGCAGCTGATTCTACACACGTGTAGGATCCGCGAGCGGCTGGAGGCATTCTCTTCGCTCCCAACGGGAGGTGAGGTCGTACACAGTACTAATTAGTAAAGGCAAGTTGGCTTTTCAGTCATGCTGTTTCGCTTCCATCGTCAGACGACGCATATTACCAAAGCCTCCAAAGCTATCGCGCACTTCCCAGATTGTCCCGCATTGATTAGATTTTAGCGCTTTAGTCATCACGTATGTACAGTAGGTACCTCTACCTTGCGCCTCTTATTAGCGTTTTATCAGATTCTAGACTGGAGTGCGAGGTACTTAGTGAGCACCATCGCGGCGGTGTAGGTATTGTACAGCCGCCGCCCGCCGTGTCTTCCGAAACAAAGCGGTTGATCGCAATCAGCCCCTGTCCAACCCTTTTGCTTGTCACCACTATCTCGTCCCCTACTATGTGTAACAACAACCCCCACAGTACGATTTGTATATGATCTACATGCACATTAGTTTACTCAAAGCTCATAGTGTGTCGAGGCGTCCGCACTGCAGCATATTATTAGTCTAAGTCTGTAAGCCCTATGTCGGGTGGGTAAGTTATACTATGACAGCATGGTGCCTTGTGGGTATACTGTATCTTCCCCTGTCTAGGCAGCTTGCATTCTGCTCGCATCTCTGCTAACGTTATGAGTCAAGACGATGTCACGCTTGGTACCGTTCATAACGGCTCGGCCCATTAACAGATACATATGGCCCCCTCACCAGGTTCTTTCGCTAGCATCGCGTTTCTCAGAAAGCCATACGCACCCGCCCAAATTGCATTCAACCCGCCGCAGCTGGCTGACGGGCGCAGGCTACGGAAATCTGCATCTGCCAACACACCACCAGCAGAGACGCTGCAGTGTCTAGTGTCTAACTTATCACGTGGCGGTCAAGAAAGCTCATCTAATTCGACCTAGTAGGTAGCGTGTGGGCGGGCCCAATGAGGTCTTCGGTATGCTAGAGCTGCCTAGAACCTAGAGGCTAGAGGTAATAATGATTTGTCAATGTTGGTGCCACTTGGCGCTATCGATGTTACGAAGCGAACGCCCCGTTACTCGCCCCAAAGCGATTAGAATCCTTGATGTGTTGTCGCTCAGGCGCTCTATCAGTCACGGAATGCTACTGCTGGTGCCGAGGTATCTATACTGTGCATGATCGGGAGTGTCGATAAAAGCTAGGTAACCTTGAGCCCAAGACCACACTACTACGAGGCGAATCAGCACCATAGAGGCTTGGATAGCCGATGAGGTGAGGCTTCTCAGGCCGAGCTTGTAGATTCTCAGTCGAATAGATAGTCCGGTTATCACTATCTGCTGCATGATCCTTGGCCGGCCTACGAGGGCATCGGGGTAATCGCGTGCCAGGAAACACGATAACACCATCAATGGTAATAACAGGCACTCTGCCACTGCCGGAACTGCAGTTCTTCCACTTACCCGAGCAAACACTGCCGAATGCCAGATTTCAAATCGGAAACAGTCGATCCAAGGGTCATGGGCACCACAGTGCAACATCTTCAATGACATACGTTGCAGCCTCGCGCTCGATTGCCAGTTCGTGCTGGGTAGGCGGGTTGCTCTTGGTCTACGTAGAGTACGGAATACCTAAAGTCGTGGACCGGTCAGCCTATCAGGCTTGTTTAGATCACGCAACCAGCCTTGGCTATGGCCTGCTGGTCGACTCCGACCGTAAGACCGATGCTCGCAATGTGATTGCCTGACCCTTTGTCAGACTACACCGCCAATGTTTCACGGCAACCTGCAATCATTGAGATGGCTGAGGTAGTCGGGCGCCAGCGGATGAGGTTCGGGGCTCCGAGCTCCAGAGGTCGCAGGAATACGGTACGCCGACGGCCGACATGCATGATATTCGTGCCCAAACAGATATGCCAGACAATGCGAATGCGATGGTGCAGTACATAGTATTGTACATACATACAACGTGGACAGCAGTTTAGGCATCAATGCGACAGCTGCGACCAAGCGCTATGCTACTGTGCTACAGTGATACTCCATTGGCAGTTTCGACATCCAATGTGCAGGTCAGGGGTTCAAAATGAAACGACACTTCTCATCGGAGCTGCAGCCGGATCTCCGGTTCTGTTTCACATTGCAGCTGGACTGTCGGGTCCAGGGGTTCGTGCACGAGAAAGGGACCCCCCGAGATCTTCCGCTTATTATTGTCAATGTTGTACGGCTTTCGTCTGTAACTCGAATTCACGAACGCTGATATTTTGCCTTGCGACCATATTAATCTCTACTATAGCTGTGCAAGCGTCTAGCGCTTAGTATCGAAGCCTCCTGTAACCTCTTTGTCTGTAGAAATAAAGGCCGTACAAGCTCGCAAATTCACATTTGACGCCGATTTTGGCAAACAAAGGACACTCGACAATATATCGGAGACAAAGAGCTGGCTTTGAACCTCGAAGGGTCAATCAGTTAATTAGAATGTCGACCATGAGTGTCAGGACCAACCTTGAGATGTCTTGTTCCTTGAGATCCTCTGGAGGCGAGCCAAGACCTAAGACACATACGTCAGGTACAATATCTATAGTTACCAGTACTTCTAAATGGCCTCGGAATCAGCATCCCTAGAGCAGAACAAGCCCTCTAGGTCATCATGCAAGTTGGTGCCTCCGTGCCGGAGCGTCCAGCACGGCATTTCCATCGATTCGGCCGGGCAGACGAAGACGAAGCCAATAGGCAAGTACTACTTCACCGAGGATGCACTCAAGTATGACCTGGCAGCACTGAAGAAAGGGGAGGTCTACAGCCGAGAGGAGTTCTACAGGCGAGCGAAGACCTGGTATAAGGCTGAAATTGACCGACTGCTCCACTTGAAGAGGATCGAGAAGGTGGGCAAGGAAACCTACATACCTGGTAGTTAGATACTACTGCAGGCTGGGCCGAGTCTGATGAGGGGTGCATGCATGCTAACTAATAACCCGACTATAGGAGGACAAGCCCGAAGTGACGCTGACAACCCAATACCCTACCGAGCAGCGTGAGGAGGACTCCAGGTTGATACCGGCGCAGGCGAAAGGCGACCGGATAAGCAGCCCAGCAGCAGCCCCCTCTCCGACTCCGAGTCCTGCCAAAGCACCGACCCGTGTGCAGCCCGCCCGCGCCGCGAAACGAAAGGCTGCCGAGCGGCTTTTCACCAGGTCCAGCCGGGCCCCAAGTCGAAGGACGAAAGGGAAACTGGCAAAGCCACACGTTTCAGACCCTCCTCCGAGCAAGGAGACCAGGCATCCCGAGCCCGAGGCGGAGCCAGAAACAAAAGGCAACTACGCACTCGCGGCCTATGACTGGGCCCAGTTCCTCAGCGGCAACGAGGAAGAGCACGGCCGTTCTCCTTGGTCGTATATACAGTTCCAGGGACTGGATGTGGCATATTTTGTTATGCGGCTGGAGCGAGCCGTACGGCGAAAGACGTGCGAGATCCGACTCGGCAGAACCGGGGAGCCAGGCCTCTGGTCATGTTGTGCAGCTCGAGGCGCGACGAGCAAGGCAGACGACGAGGAAGAGAGAAGAAAGGAAAGGCCAAAGCAGCAGCAGAAAGCCGATTGCCAGCGCCGGATCCGAAATCCACCACCCGGTACCAAGTCCCGCTGCGTGCTAGACGGCCCGCGCTACACAGCCCCAGTGGCCCCCTTCACGCCCAAGGCTGCGCTCGCGCCGGGCGAGGACTGGCGGTCGCCTACTGTCACCACTACCACTATCACTAGCCCAGCCAAAGCGGGCGACGACCGCAAGACGAAGACGGCCAACGGGGGCCCCGCTAGTACTACCGAGACAACACCGGCGGCGTCTGGCAGCAAACCCGGCATTATTAGCTGGGCCGCAGACGAAGTCCGCAGGCGCGACGAGCTGAACAAAAGAGCTGCTGCTGCGGCGGCGGCGGTGGCGGCAGGACTAGCGCCGGAGGCGGAGATGGAGGTCAGTCCCACATTGGGGCGGTGGCAGGTGCGGGCTCGGAAGCTGGAGGGGGAGGAGCTGCATCCCGTGGAGGACTTGGAGGCCAACAACGTAGTAGAGGTGTCCAGCCTGAAGTTTGCTGTTGACCTCTGTGCTTGCCCGTCTGAAGGGGGGGCCATGGAGGCCGGGGAGGAGGGGTTGAGGGTTCTGATGATGTAATCAGACAATACCTAGCTAGCTAGGAAGTGGTGTTTGCTTTGAATACTGAGGTAGGTGTAGGTACGGTAGGTGGTGGGCATCTTATCATCCTGTGGCGGTTCCATCTCGCAAAGCTGTCATCGTTGTGTACCACCTGTTCTGTGGGCATGCTGTTTTGTGTGTGTGTGAGAGAGAGTGTGTGAGAGAGAGAGAGAGAGAGAGAGAGAGAGAGAGAGAGAGAGAGAGAGAGAGCCCCTGCACGAGGATTGATGAATATTAGCTGGCAACCGCACGGCGTGTAGGGAACGACTGAGCCCCCAGGGGGTTGAACTGAATCAACGCTGTTTCCAACACCGGAAGCGTCACCCCCCCCGGGCATCACCAGCAGAGCGAGCCCGCCAAGGAGCCCAGCCACATCCAGCCCAAGGGAGTCGGCCCAGGAAGGACACGAGGAGCCCCGGCGCACGAGAAGCCACCGAGAGGTGCCGAGCGCAAGCTCCGACAGCCCGCGGGTCACGGAATGGGTACGTGTTGAACCAAGGGGGTCATATAGGTTGTATTGCTTGCTTGAGAAGGAGTGGTGCCTCATTGCGAGGCGGCCATTGGGCAGTATCGCTTTCTTCTGCCACTATGCTAACGCTAAGGACGCGTGTGTTGGCTATGATGATTGCTCGCCTTGTTATGGTTGGCTTGGTTTGTGTGGGATTTGGGAGATGGGGAAAGGATGGTTGGTTGATTATAGCTGCCCCTGGTTGTGGCAAGAGTAAGAGAAGTGATTAACAATTCGGATGATAAGTCACGTTAGCTTGGTGGCGTGGGATGGAGTTTGGGAAGTTTAGGTTGTGGCAAGAGACAAGTGAAGCGTTTAAGGTAAACCGTTAGTTTCCAGGTAAGAGGTTTTTTTCTGACGCCGTTCTCCGAAAGACCGATACCCGACATCGAACCGGCACCATACAGGATGCAATTCATTGCACTTCTTGGAGTTGTGCCAGTCATTCGTGCACAGGTGTTTCATCGTTGTAACTTTCTGGGCTAGCCCCCAGGTCTTTACAGCAACGAGAGCGCACCTCTCCGGAGTCAGAGTCTGGCCCGGGGTGGAAGACGTATTGAATATGTCCTGTCCTGTACATCATCGAGCAACAGCTGGGCCACATCGTCCTCCGGACCCCCATCGGGAGAAAATCGTTTGGCTTTGCAGCGGCCAAGCCATCGAATCCATGGACCATGATCACAGGTCGATCTCTTTGCGCGACTACAGTGCGGGGACCCGTACGGGGCAGTTGGGACCAACTGAGAGCTTGCAACAAGTAGTAGTAGTGAGTACCAGGTAACTGTGGTGGAGGAGGAGGAGGCAGGAGGCTCTGGGGGATATGGCGATAGGCTGTGAGGAACATGTCATGGTCGTCACGCATCATCGGGAATCGGAAGTGGAATTGACGGCGGTCTGGTCTGGGGGCGCGAGGCGGTTGTACTTGGGGGTCCGAGCCGTTTTCATCCAACGGACCCCCAAGTACCACTGCAGGGAATGGCCCGTCCTCGGTTAGGGCGGCCCCACACCGGCTCAATGTTCGGTCCTTCGCTCATCAAAAACGTTATTGAGGAACCGGATTTGATTTGGTTTCACTCACAGCGCGCACCAGGCTGAAAACCTGGATCGTTTGGCGGAAACATCTCCGACATTACCTACAATGTGTTGATACAATAACCTATGATCTCGACTCTTTCCCGCATTTTTCGCCCTCCATCACCCGGGGCCCGCTGCCAACCGCCAAGTTCGAGCCCTACCAGAATGCCCGGGCAGGCTACCGCCATTTTCATACGTGCCCTGTGATTCTTCGGCTTAGAGCGTCATACCATGCAGGGGCAGGTCGACGATAGTGCCTCGGAATGTGCGACTTCCAAAGACAACGCCGCGCCGGATATTCTCAGCCCAGTGCAACTGCATGCACTCTTCGACATCCTTACCCACCATGAGACGTATGCAGAGGTGGAGAGCTTCAAGTATCCATCCACGATATCTGAGTACGGTCACCCTTTTGCCCAGAACAAGCCAGGATCTCGAAGCGCCCCGTCATACGCCGCTGATTCGGTGGCGCCCTTACTAGCTGGCTTGTTGAGAAGCATCGTGCTTCCGTTCCCTGGCGTTCGGGACCTGCCCCCCGAGTTCTGGCACATAAAATTCCAAGGGGTCTTGGAGAAGCTTGCTGAGGCTGAGCTCTCCGAGTCATATGACAAGGGGACCCTGGGGACCAGGAAGACTCTGGCCACTGCTGCGTCGGTGATCCACGAGGCCGTGTCGAGAGCGATCCTCGGCGGGGTTGAGAGGGTCACAAACGGAGACCTTCACGGTGAGTATGTCACGTCCAGGGCGGAACACTTGATCAGGGCATGGGAAGACGTCGTCCAGCAGCTCGTGTACGGAGACTTGGTAGAGGAGCTCTTCGCTTGCGTTGTAGAGAATCAGAGCCTCGAAGAGCACTCTCCTGGAGTGCAAGCTGCCGCAGACTACATTATTATCCAGTGAGTGTCCAAGTCGGCGCGCAAGGAAACAAACGGTTAATCTGGGTCCAGTCTAGCAACCCTAATGCACCGTGTCTTTGTCCTGTCGCCCGAGGGGCCCTATCTGCTGAAGCTCCTGGAGAATGTGCATAGACTGTTGCCGTACTCCATGGTCAAGCAGACCCTCCGTATCGGGAATGCAGCGACGATGCTTAATGGCATGATGAGACTCCTCCTGGCAAAGATAGGTGTCGGTGCGCTTTCCAACTGGGTTGGCCTGACACAGAATGCCGACGACGGCATGAACCTCCTCCAAAGGTACGAGCATGCATGCGTTTAGCCTCTGGATCTGACCTAACCTCGTCAGGATCATCTGGCTTGTGCTATCGTGGGATGCCTCCGAGTTTCGTAAGACCGCTGGAGCGATTGAAAAGTCAAAAGGAGGCCCGAGTCCTTCAAAAGAGCAGCTTGCAGCAATCAGAGACTACATCAACAAGTCGAGGGAAGAACATGAGAGCACCCGCAAGGCCAGTACGCAACATACTCGGTCTATCGTGGTCACAATACTGGAGCGCTCCAACCCAACGCTGTTGTCCGTTCTATCGGACTCACAACATGCCCAATTGTCGGAGTACCTCACAGCCCTGCTTGGGGCCAGAGACCGCGATGAAATCGCCAGTGCGCTCTGCCGCCAGAACCCCGATCTCTTTACACAGGGCATCAAAGACGCCGTGGCCAGCTTCGCGCCCATGATCCGCACTGTCCACCAACGGGTGGACCTTCGGGAGCAGGTTTCGGCGGCAGAGGGCTTCGTCACCGACTTCATCAACGTCATCAAATCCCGGAAAGGCGCACGCGGGCCACCTGGATCGGCGGCCGAAGTGCCCGCCCCATCTGTTGAAGATTTTGTCATTCTCCTCAGGAGAAACCGCCACCTCGTCTACAATTGGTTTCACCAGCTGGCCAGCCAATGCCCTGACCTAAGGGATGAATTATGTGCCTGGGCGAAGGAAACAATCAAGGTCTTCAGACAAAGCGGGCGGACGCCATCCAAACCCGAAGCCAACGGAGAGCCCAGCTCTGTCGGCGACGAGAAGCGATGCACAGGGGCTGGCGGGCTCCTAAGCAGCAGTCTCCAAGAGCTCTTCGCGTCCATTCCACCTCAAACGCGGTCCCGCATCCTGCCCGCCATCGACGCCCACGCGGCCTACCTCTCTGCTCTCAAGAATCTCTCTCTCGCCCGTATGCAACGCATCTTGGACAACATGGAGAACGTCTCCTTTACAGCGCCTACTACCTCTTCCGGCCCGGCCACGCCATCAACAACAGCAGCCCCAAGCTCTTACTTCTCTCCGTCTCACTTGTGGTCAGGTCGGTCCACCCCACGTACCTGCTCACCCTCGCCCCGTCCTAAAGTTCAGGTTGCAACGCTAAAAAGATCCTTCTCCGGACCGGGCATATATCTCTCTCGCTGGCAGCAACTGTTAGACGACACGGTGATTGGACCCGCAACACCCGATGGGCCGTTACGGAGAGGGAAAGACGTGAAGGCGCAGCTGACGAGGGGTAAGACTAGTGCTACTGCGGGGACGGTGACTGGTAAAGACGGATGGGATCCGGCTTTGGTGGCCAAGATGGTGGAAGAGGAGGAGAAAGAGGCTGGTGTCAGTCCGCCTGATGTGCACTGCGTCGTTGAGGCTTTGGGAAAGGGCTTCAGGGGCTTGGTAGGAGGGTTAGTAGGAGGGTTGGAGAGGAAAGAGGGAATTTGAGAGTTTCTGGGGATCGGCAGAATTTCAAACTCATAATAACTATGTGTAGACAGTATTGTGCAGGGAGCATCCTGAGAGCCAGGTTCATTGCAAGCATCATTATCCTTTCCCTAAGCCGCTTGTGCCTGAGCATCTTTGTTGTGTAAGCGGTAGTGCCGATGTTGTTTCGCAGCCAATCGGAATGGTCGCAGCTAAGTCGATATATAGTTATACGGGGACCTAGCCTGTGAGACCAATGTGATGTGTCTATGACTTCTACAGACCGGAGCCCGTGACGATGAGCTGCAGTTTATGGGACACGGGGAAAGCAACTGAAATCAAAACTGATCATAATCGTTGGGCGACCATTTGATCTTGGTATTGCTTATCATCCGTGGAATACAGCAATCTCGTCAACGGCAGCCATAATGCGTCAACAAATCACGACAGTCCCAGGCGATCAGTCCGACCGGAAACCCCGTTCCAACAGCTTAAATGATTGATGAATGAAGCCTAGCCACTTCGTACCACCCGACAAACTCCAATACGTCATACCTCCATGTCTCGGGTGCAAAATTCCCCGCCAGCACACGCCTGTCTTCCGATAGCCCGAGATTTACTTGCTACCGCAGCCGGAGCACGAGCCTGACGACGCTTCCGTTAGCTTTTTCTTGGAAGTGAAAAGAAAGGTCGGAGCCAGAGCGTTGGGATGCCAGGGAGAAGACTAACAGTTCGAGCCGCAGGTGCAGGCAGATGCCGAGCCGCCACAGTTGCAGGGAGCCATTTTTTGATTTGTTTAGTGAGATGGGGAAGTTTGGGCAATGTGTTGGCCTCGATGACTGTCAAAGACGTGTGTGCGTTGGTTGTTCTTGGTTGGTGTTGAAGACTGGGCTGCGGTTGGTTGCTGACGGAGGGTCCCAGCCAGGGGAAGGGAGAATTCTCAGTCTGCTTATCACTGCGCGGCAGGTGTCACCTCGGCTGAGCTGTTGCCTGTTGCGCGGTTTGTGCGCCTTGGCGGCATCCACTCACCAACCATGCAGAGTTAAGGCTAGCGCCTGGAAGGTTCCATTGCGTCCTCCCGCAGGTAACCCTCAGCCGAAACCTTCTTCACGCTGCCACGACGAACATTGTGGTGTTCCCTGACAATAGTGTACGGATGCAGTCCTCCGTACTTGCTGGGCCTCCTACAGTGTACTGTGTACATACAACGGCCGATCCAGCCCCCGCCAAGGGCGGGGGCTGGGTTCAGATCGGCGGCATTGGCTCTTTCGTCTGGCAGTGGCTGCCGAGTTACCCCCGGTAGGTTCTTCAGCCGCACCACTCCTCCCGTCTTGTGGCATGGAGGGAAAGCGGCTTGGTCGGCAGTGTTGGAAAGTGTGATACGGTGTGTGCAGGTTTGATCTGGCTCTCTGGGGCTTTTAGGCTGCCGCCTGCAGGTATTCGTTCTGTACCTCACTTTCAAATCATCCTGAGCTGTTTGATCCTAAGTGACCTGGAACCAGTGATTCAATTTGTCTTGGTGGTCACTTATCAACTACCTTACTCCAGTCGTCCTATCTGTCTGGTACGTACAACGGGAAATCCTCATGGCCGAGGTTTCTGTCACTCGCGCCTGTGATCTTGAAAACCACTCGGAGGGCCAGAGCCGCCGCGGAGTGCCCTGTTTCAGTTTTTGCCTTTCTAGAGAGGCACGACCAGGCCATTCACGGGTGCGGCCTTCCAGGTTCTTTGCCGTCCGACTCTTCAGTCTCGCTCTGGGGGAAGGAGGATGGGGGCTTCGTTTCTGAGCAGGCGGAATCGGTGACAGTCTATGCGTCCGTTGTCGGATCAACTCTTCAGACACCGCACAGTCGCCTAGTCCGCAGTGCACATACGTGACGGGGTGAGATCAGATATACAAGTACTACACATAACCACATGTTCCGCTTTGTAGTTGCCCAGCCATCTGTGACCCTGTGAGGAGCAGTGCTCTCTCGTCCCAGGCTACCCACCATTCACTTGGGGGTAGGGCGTTGGAGGGGTCCGACGATCGAAACGCGCCTGGACCCCCAAGGAAGGCCAGGGGATTAGGATGGAAGCTGCTTTGGCCCGGATCCTGCTTTACCGCAGATGATAAACTCATGGTCCCCACTCCTCTCCGTCACATGTTTGCCACTCGTAGCTGCCTCGGGAGCAATAAAGGGAAAGAGTCGAGGAGTCATCTAAAGCTCGTAGTCTCTGGTCCTCCTTCTTCAACTGATATCTTCTGGTGCAGACCGTCCAGTTCATTCCTCAACTTGTGGCCACCAAGAATTGTACCTGCCCTTCGCCCTCTACACGAGATGACGTTTGTGAATTCCATTAACGCTAATAAAGAGGCCGAGGATCCTCTTCCTCCCCTTCAATCTCCGCCACCATACTCATCGTTATCGACCGATTCGACCCCCACCATTTTCGATAACAATAGCTTTATTACGATGGCGGAAAACACCAACAACAGCAACGTGCAGTCTACGACACCCGCGCAAAGTCAAGATTTCGTTTCACCAAGCGCTCTCGAGAGGCGAATTTCGCAACCTCAGATAGACAGCGGCTTCTTGCTGGTTGAGCTAACGACTGCCCGTGAGGCTGCCCGTGAGACTTCGAATAGACTGAATACGAAGGAGGCGGAGGTATCGAGGTATGAGAAGGAAGATTGAAGTCTACGAAGCAGACATTGACAACTGAGAATGACAGATTGAAAACAGAGATTGTGTCGCTGAAGGAATCAACTGTGTCGCTGAAGGAATCAATTGTGTCGCTGAGGGAATCACGGTTCACCTTTCAACCCCTGTTTTTCTCAATCATTATAGCGCTCCTCACCGGCGTTTTGGTCGGCGGGCTTGGTTTCCGTCTCCCTGGAGCCCAGGCACAAACAATTCTCCATCCGCGTTCGGCTGAGAGGCGGCTCTCTAACCTGACTGACGCACAAACGGTTGTCCACGATGGCAACTTCACGCCAGATCACGTTCTCAGGGTAAACATTGCCCGATTGCCGTCGGCGTGCGAGAGCCGAGAAGACATTGTCGTCAATGGCACCTCTCCGGGGCCCGCAATCCACGTGCTTCCTGGATCCAGGACCTGGATTCGGGTCTACAATGATATGGTGGACCGGAATCTCACCATGGTGAGGTCACCTTTCCTTTCACGGTTCTTCGGTGGTGACATAGGCTGATCCACTTCCCAGCACTGGCATGGAATCTCTCAGCGGATGGCACCTTTCGCAGATGGATCGCCGGCGGTATCACAATGGCCAATCCCACCGGGACATTTCTTCGACTACGAACTCTCCACGGAGCTTGAAGACGCCGGCACGTACTTCTACCACTCCCATGTCGGCATGCAGGCTCTGAGCTGTACTGGCCCGCTGATTGTGGATGACTGTGGATCGTCACCGATTGAATACGATGACGAGCGCATCCTCTTGTTCCAGGATTACTTCCGGCAGAGTGACGATGAGATGATCCAAGGCCTGCTCTCACCAACGTTCGCGTGGACTGGAGAGACGCGCGCCGTCTTGCTCAATGGCTGGGGCGTTGGTATCGACCACACGGCCATCGAGGGACCCCCTGGTGGTACCACCGGCCATTTCGGAAGCCTTCGGTGGGACTCCTTGAGCAAATCCGATGACAGAGTGAAAGGCGATAACCAGGTTGAGCCTGCAGTTCGCTGCAATCTTCCAGTTATCGACGTCAAGCCGGACAAGACATATCGGTTCCGTTTCATCGGCGCCACCGGCTTGTCGTACCTGGCAATGGGCTTCGAGGACCACGACGACCTGACAATTGTTCAAGTCGATGGCAGCGAGTACAACGTCCCGGTCTCTGTTGATTATCTTCAGCTGGGCGGAGGCCAGCGGTTTGACGTTTTGGTCAAGACGAAGACCGCGGACGAGCTCGTCAAAAACGGCAACAAGACCACGTACTACCTTCAGTACGAGACCCGAGACCGGCCGGAAGTGTACCGCGGCTACGCCGTATTGCGCTACGACATAAACAGCACCATTCCACCCGCCCCGCCTAACCCGGTTGTGAACCTCCCTGCCGACGCGACGGACTGGATGGAGTACACCTTTGAGCCCCTCTATCCGGAGCAGAACCAAGCTCCCTCGGCAGACGAGGTCACCCGTCGGATCATTCTCGAGGTTGAGCAAAAGGTGGACAACAAGACGGGGCGCCTCATCTAGGAGATGGCCCACATGTCCTCGGTCGAATCCGAGAGCGCGAAGCCTGTCCTTGTCGACATTTACCAGCGCGGTCAGGCGGCAATCCCCAACTACGAGGCTGCTCTCGCCAACTATGGCTGGGACCCAGCAACACGGCTCTTCCCCGCCAAGATGAATGAAGTGCTGGAGATCGTAATTCAGAACACAGGTTCATATTACCCACCGGTCGCTGGTATCGTGGAATCACACCCCTTCCATGCCCACGGACAGCACTATTACGACATCGGGGCCGGCCCGGGCAGGTATGACCCCGATGTGCACAACGCGAAACTCGCGGGACTGGGGTACAAGCCTGTTAAGCGGGACACCACAATGCTTTTCCGATACCAAGGTCAGGTGGCTGCCGGCGAGCCGGCCGGGTGGCGCGTCTGGCGAATTCGGATGGCACATCCTGGCGTGTGGTTGATACATTGCCATATTCTCCAGCACATGATCATGGGTGAGTCGAGTGGCAAGCATTCCAATACAGCTGGATTAAGCTCGTGTGACTGACAAGGATTCGTGCGCAGGTATGCAAACTACTTGGGTCGTTGGTGACGCGGACCAGATTGCCACGATCCCATTGCCTCTGACGCAGGGGTACTTCACTTACGGCGGCAGCGTATACGGCAATGAAACGTTTGCCCCGAGCGTGTACCATTATTTCGATGGTACGAGCCAGTGCGGCGCAGCTGAGGATGTTGCGACTTAAACATCAGATGTCAAAGTCAGCGAAAGTTCATTGGGGGTCCGGAGTTTGTTTCTCTGTTCAGGGATGGTTACGGTAGTTTATCAGCGTCTTGATATTTTTGTTACGGCGGTATTTGTAGTGTACTGAGTATGATTCGCATAAGCATATTGCAGTTTCATGAAGCAGTGCCTCCACATAATAAGTAAGACTGTGATGATGCTGGTATGTAATGTCGTGTTCCACCTTTCGAGGCGACCCCATGGCTCCTAACCCCTTGCAGCTCGCTTGTGAACTCAAGTCTCGTATAACTATTTCTTCTGCTCTTCCCATCTCCGCTGTGCAATCTCCCCATTGCTTGGTTTAACTTCCCAGTCTCCGTCACTCCTTCTACTCTGTCAGTCGCTCTTTTATTACCTAACAGGACGCCAAGCACAGAAGTTAGCTTCGGTCTACTCCGTACACCATCTTCAAGGTCCCCCTGCTTCTTACCCCAAGATCTGTCGCCACTCACCACACTACGAGCAAAGGCAGCTTTACCCTTCAAACCACTATGGCCCGGGCAGTCCCATCTCTCCTGACAGCCGTGGGAGGTCTCCTCCTTCTAGCCGCCACTGCTACTGCCAAAACAGACCTCGGAGGCTGCACCTCAACCAAACTCTCCCTGCCAACTCCCGGTGTCATCTGGTACGACCCCGAGACCGGCGAGATCTGCGAGATCCTCGACTGCGGCGGCGGCCGCGCCCCGCCCAAGACAACCGTCCCTGGTTGTCCCTTGTACAAGGGAACCGAGACGGTCACGCCTTCATTCTGGGCGGGATTCACGGCTTCTGTCGGGGCTACGGCTTCGGCATCGGCAACGACGGAAACGGACAAGGGCAAGGAGACGGGCACGGGCACGGGCACGGGTACGGTCAAGGCTACTACCAGCACGAAGGCTGCGGCTGAGAGTGGTACGACAACGAGCGCGAGCGAGGCGGTAGAGACGGCGAAGTCACAGGGCACGGGGAAGGGCACTGAGACTTCGTCGGCTTCCGGGCCGGTTAACACGACCGCCGGCGCGCCGGAGAGCAGTGGCTCTTCGTCGGCTTCACCGGCCAAGGGAGGGGACAACGGCGCGGTTACGCTGACGATGGAGGTTACGTCCGTTGCTACCGCGGCGGGCGGAGCTACGACAGTGGCGAGTTCGGGATCCGGAGGGGCTGCTTCACCTGCGCTTCAGACGGGAGCTGCGACAGCGCCCACGGCGGTTGGGAAAGGCGTGCTTGGTCTTGTGGCGGGTGTTGCGGCTGCTGGCTTGGTTCTAGCTTAGGGGAATTGCGGACAGGGTGGAAATTGTACCTGTAGATAGGTTAGCAGCAGTGCATAACGCCTGATAGCGGCCTGTTGGTGGAAGCGGTGGCAGGGAAGTGTTGATCTGATAGATTCAAGAGCAACCAAGCTCGAGGTGATAGGCAAAAAGCAGTTTAAACCGGAATGGAATTGGATGTCAGTCTTCGAAAAAGCCTTCAGGGTTCAACAGGCCGCACCCGTTCCAGGTTGGAAGGCGGTGGCAGCCAACAATATTCCTGTACGGATTAGCTTGGCTGAGCCCCCCTTCCTTCACTGGGGCAACGGCCAGCACCGCATTCAGCAGGTCGGGGATTCTCCACCCAGGCACAGCAACCTGGAACTTCCAAATTCCCGCCGACGTGAACCACCAACATTATAAGCATTTCAACTTATCATACTGTTGGCAGCCTGCTCTCCAAGCTTCAGGCACCATCCTCATTTCTTTGCTCTGTTCCCCACCGCTTCTCCCGCTCGGGCCCGATCTGTCCTAAGCTACGTATTCCGCGCCGACATAAAGTCGGACTGACGTGTTCCAGTGGAATTGCGCAGCTGCGACTGGGCCCACGGAGTATTGCGGACAGCATCGGCACCTTCGTCGAAGAGTTCTGCTTGGCACATATTTGGCAATTCGCTTTCCCCGCGATTCAACCGGCGTGTTCCTAAGCTTCGCTCCACGATTATTGCAAGATGTCTCCAGACTCGGAGCCAGCCGCGCAGGTAGTCAACGACGTCCCCGACACCGGGCGGGTCGCCCTCATGGACCAACCGGCCACGCCACAAGACGTCGACTCGGTCGTTGCTTCGTCGCAGCAGAGCATGCCACCGACCGAAGCACCGAACTCGCCAATAGAGCCTACATTGTCGTTCAAGGTCGAGGTCAATGATGAGCGCGCAGCACCATCCGTCATAGAGTCGTCCCTCACCCCGCCGCCCTCATCGCAGGTGCCCAACGCTGCAGGGACTGGTGGTGCCAATCTGCTAGGTTACCTCGGATCACAACACTCCGGTATTTTTTCGCCGCCTGCTACCGGCATCAACGGTGTCAAGCGCGAGGGCGTGGCTTCCGAGTTTACCACCCCGAGTCCGTCCCAGATCGCTGATGCTTCTGTCGACGAGCTCCGTGGAATGCTTCAGGCCTGCATGGCCGAGCAAGCGAGACTCAAGATGGAGGCCGCACACCATAAACTGCAGTTCAACATGCTCAGCATCCGTGCGGAAGAGGATACGAAGCGTGCGGTGGTCGAACATGAGATGACGAAGAGGGAAGTGCAGGTGCTGCAGCAAGCCGAATGTGCACGACAGGCCCGCCGCGATATTATCGTAGCATCGGAATCGACACAAGCAAAGTACCTGCAACTCAAGGCTTTGCACGAACAGGTGCTCGAGGAGAACGATGCGTTACACAAGAAGCTCAAGGCGGCGAGGAAGGTCATACAGCAGAAGGAGGATGAGATCGCCAGCTTGACAGACGAGCGAGAAATGCTACTGAACCGCATCCGGGAGAACCGGGAGCATTTCCATCTCCTTTGCAGCCCAGGAGGTATGTTTCACGGGGCCGTGACCCCCAAGGCCCAAGCTACAAGCCCTCAGCAGCACCGATCCACTCCTCGACAGACCCCCAGGTCGGCGCATAGGGAGAGTCACCGGGACCACAACGGTGAGGGATTTGCCGTCCTCCTCCAGGCGCTCAGCCAAGACAACAATAGCGCTCCCTCGACGCCCATGATCGGCCAACGTCCGGCATCGCGCATGCCTTCCAAGCATACGCGCAACATCCAATCCATGTCTTCTCTGCCATCCACCCCTCTATCCCGTAACCGGGTAGATGACAGGGGGCTCCTCCCGTCCATCGACCTAGTGCCTCAAACGGAACCGCCGCAGCGGCACACCCGATTCCTACCCGAGACGCCAACCACCCCGCGGACCCGACAGCGCCGCAAGAGCAGGGAAAGCACGATATCCGCCGAGGACAACCAGGAACTCGCACGTCAAGCGCTGCAGTCCATTGCCTCTCGGGGTTCCCAGCATTCCCACCCGTCCGGCGAGGTTGGGGAGGAAGAAGAGGTCTTTGAGAGCCAAGCTAGTCAAGCGGCTTCGGAGATGCTCCGCCGGGATCCCCGAGAGAGCTTCGAGGTGGCGGCGGCGGTGGGGCATTCTAGGGACGCTACCCCCGCGGCGGCCGATAGGAGTGCTAAGCTGCAAGCCAAGCTGTTCGGGGGACTCAACAAGAGCGGCCTGTCATCAGTGCAGGGCAAACGCAAGTTTAGCGGGCAGCATGGCGAGGCTGGGGATGGGTTCTCGATGCACGACCGGCTCACGAGTCCGACGAAGAAGTTGCGCGAGGTGGGAGGTTTGAGGGACCCCGGCCGTGTCGGTCTTGGTATACAGTATGGCAGACCGGCATAGGTAAGGTAGATATGGCTACAGGCTGTCGGATGGGGAAAGGGAAACATTTGCATCTGGCTTCTCGGTGCTGCTTTCTGGGGTTCTATGGGGCTTGGGGCTTCACAACAGGAGGTTGCCTTGTCTCGGCAAGATTTCCCATCGTTTCTATTTGGTGTGTTTGCCAATCTGAGCGGCGTGCTGAGCTTTTTGGTTGATCAAATCCGGTTTGATCCAAGGGCGCAAAAATGATGGCAGGGCGATGTCGTGTGCTTGTGGAGAAAGTGTTGCCGGCGTTTCATCATATCGTTTGCGGTTTGCAAGGTGATTTACGGAGAGTCTTCAGGGAGCCTCCCAGGATCTTGGTTGTCGACTGGGCAAACAGCGCTGGATTCAAATATTTGGAAGTTCAACCCCGAGTCCCTTGTCAGCAACGGAGCTCGGTTATCCAGCCCGAGGCCAAGAACTGCTGTCAACGACTCAATGTTAGTGTAACTGCCAGTGGGCTTCCCGGCTCGGTACCCCAAGGTGGGGTCCCCGCGCTGCCGAGATTATTGCCGCCAATTCGCCTTCCGGGTCTGCATTTTCCCTCCACCCGCCGTGAAGGCGAGACGGCATATTTCCACCGACACCGCGGCCGCGAGTTATCCCGACCAGTTGTCATCGAGGAACGGCGCCTTCGAGGCTTCCTGATTCTCTGTAGATTGCTCCTCTTGTTTTTCGTTTCCCCTTCTTGCTGTACAATACCTATTCTCGCAGTCTCTAGATACCCCGTGTGCTTGCCTACCATCGACGTTCTGTATCCCTGTTTCACGGTTTCACGTTCACACCTGCGGAAGTGCTGTAAAGCGGCAGTTCGTTTATTACAACGGCAGAGGCTTCTGCTACCTCCTCCGAACACCAGACCTCACGCAGGAACCTGTCCTCACGATCCCACGACACCATGGCCGTGCTTCCGAAAGGCATCAAGGCTGTGTTGACCAGGGCGCCGACTGATGTTGTGATCCTCTCGGCGCTCCGTACGCCGATCTGCCGATCCTACCGCGGCCAGCTCAAGGATGCCTACCCGGAGGAGCTCTTATCAGTTGTCCTTCGCGCCACACTCGACAGGAACCCGCAACTCGACCCGGCGGCTATCGAGGATGTCGCCGTTGGCGTCGTTCTCAACGAGCTGGGCGGTTCCAAGGCGGCGCGCATGGCCATGAACCACGTAGGCTTCCCATCGACAACGTCGCTGTACACAGCCAACCGCGCGTGCTCCTCCTCGCTGCAGAGCATCGCCATGATCGCGGCCCAGATCCGCACCGAGATGATCGACGTCGGCATCGGGGCCGGCATGGAGAGCATGACGCGCAACTACGGCAGCAAGGCCATCCCCGTCGACCTGTGGCCGGCCCTGCGCGAGTCGCCCGTCAAGGAGGCGCTCGACTGTATCATGCCCATGGGCCTGACAAGCGAGAATGTCGCGAGCCGGTACGGCGTCAGCCGCGCCGACCAGGACGCCTTCGCCGTCGAATCGCACCGGCGGGCCGCCCGCGCGCGCGACTCGGGCGCCTTCGACGCCGAGATCGTCCCCGTGACGACGCACTTCCAGGAGGTCGACAAGCAAGGGGACGCGGTCGGCAAGGCGCAGACCATCACGGTCAGGCGGGACGACGGCATCCGCGCCAACGCCACGCTCGAGGCCCTCGCCAAGCTCAAGCCCGCCTTCAGGCCCGACGGCGCCAGCACGGCGGGCAACTCGAGCCAGGTCAGCGACGGCGCGGCGGCCACGCTGCTCATGCGCCGCAGCACCGCCGCCCAGCTCGGGCTGGCCGACAGCATCATGGGCAAGTTTGTCGCCGCGTCAGTCGTCGGGTGCGCCCCGGACGAGATGGGCATCGGTCCGGCCCTGGCGATCCCCAAGGTGCTGAAGCAGCTCGGCCTGACCAACGCCGACGTGCACCGCTGGGAGATCAACGAGGCCTTTGCGAGCCAGGCCATCCACTGCGTGCGCGAGCTCGGCCTGGAGAAGGACTGGGCCGAGGGCAAGGTCAACCCGGACGGCGGCGCCATTGCGCTGGGGCATCCGCTCGGCGCGACGGGCGCACGCATGGTCAGCACGCTCATGCACGGCCTGGGGAGGACGGGCGGGGAGGTGGGTGTTGTGAGCATGTGCATTGGCACGGGCATGGGGATGGCGGGCGTGTTTGTGAGGGAGTGAGGATGTGCTGCGCCTTGGGTGGGGGAGGGGGCCCAGTTCGCTAATAGTAAGCGCGCATGTTACTTCAAACTGTGGTAACAGGTAAATCAACAGAACATACCCATCTCAGTCAGTGCTCCCGTTCTATAGGACATGATGTTTGTTTCTGTTCTTGTTTGTTTGCTTGTCTACCTTCGGGTCCTAATGCTCGCCACCCAGACAGTGCAGCGGGTAGAAAAGGAGTGGTGGGTTCGAAGTTCGAACTTCGAACACGGATCCATGTGACTACCAGCGAAGATTGGCTACTATTAATAGGTGAGCAGTGACGTAGAGACGCAGATGGTAACGAGACAAATGTGTTTCTATTCTCAACATTCAAACTCATCAATATTCGTTTTGTGTGTACGTAGTCTTGATCGAGGCAGTCACCAAGTGGGTCCAGCTTTTGCTTTCGCTATTTTCTAAGATCCTGAGCTCCATTGTATTGTACAAGTACTTGTACATTAACTGTCGCGGACTGTGTTATGTATGTACGGATGTCCCTACCAAAAGAACCCGCTCACCGCCTTCAGCGCCAAGACCACCACACTTGTAAAGAAGTGTAAGGTAATTACCTCCTGCCATCTCTCCAGAATCTACTACTCTATTAGGAAACAGTGAAGTTATTCAGTGCTAGGCCCGGGGGACAGAACAACATCTTGACGGCGTTTGTTTGACGTCCCTTCTGCGTATTCGTTCCCGCCCTTCAAGCGAATGACCTCCTGGATATGGTGCGGGATCCTCTCAATCCAACGTTGTATCCTCCACTGTTCTAGATCATCCCACGCCTGTTTCCAGACTATCTCTGCCTGGCTCTTGTTCTTTGGAGCTCCCTTCTTTGTTGTTACCCGCTTTAGATGCGGCCAACACGGCTCGATCATATTAAGATCAGGGGAGTTGGGGCACCAGACGAGTCTTGATACTCTAGCCGCTGAGAAGATTGTAGCTTGTGCGTGGTGGGCGTGAGAAGGTGCCAGGTCTTCCTGAACAAGAGCATCTGGGCCATACTGCTTGGCGTATGGAATGAGCTTCTTCATCAGGATCTCCTTCTGGTAGCGATACCAATCAACGCCAGAGCCTTCTCGTCGTATAAGCTTGCCGTGCTTCGTATCCTACCTCCATTAAGGAGCTTGTCCGCCTTGATTCCGCAGCTTCAAGCGCCTCATTCCAGTTTCTAGCTCCCACTGCTCGCAGAGGATAGGTTCTAGCTTTGTATTCAGCTCCTCGAGGTCCTTCTCGGCTGCCTTCCTCTCTTGCACGGTCTCTGGATGCCAAATATGACATAGCCCCTTTGAATCGTATAAGAAACAGCCCCAGAACTGGAACTCAGTGTATCCCTTCCAGCGCTCGCGAATACAAGACTTGACGAACTTCTCCTCAGGGGTCCTCCAAACGCGGTAACTACCCCGGCGATGGTTTAAGACGACAGATGTCTCGTCAGACCAGATAACTCGCTTCCAATCTTCGAGAGTCCAATGCTCAAAGCGAAGACAGAACTCGAACCGATCTCTCTTTATCTTTTCTATTAGACCAGGCTTGCGTGTTGGCTTCGTCTTCTTCATCCCAGCAGTACGGAGGATACGCCAGATAGTCATTGGCGAGATGGTATTGCCTAACTCCGCCGAGATATAAGCGCATGTCATCTCACGGCCGAACCGGCTCTGGCGGACCTTCTCAAGAACAGCATCTTTATTATCGCCTTTCTTCGAGGGACGGCCGGTCTTTGGAGCATCACAGACATGTTCGTCGAGGATGATAGGGGGGGAGACATTTGGGTCGAAGCCACGTGCGAGAGCTCTATCGGCAAGGTCGTTAAGAGTCCGCGGCTTAATGCCAGTAAGCTCTTCCACCTGCTTATTATCGAGCTGAACAATCAACTTGAGAGTTAGCGCTTGAGCGCGTGTAGCTATATCATGGTAAACCATAGTAAAAGAGGTTCGTTGAAGAGGATGATAATGGAAAGAGATGTACGATGCGGGGGAGTTTATCCCTTCCTAATTGGGACCGAATACAGCTGTTGTAAATACCGGCTAATTCTGCCGGCTATATATCAGAGCGGTGAGCGGATTCTTTTGGTAGGGACATCCGTACATACGTGATTAATCCGTAATGGGGACGAAATCCGGATCACGAACTCCCCGGCGAGGGACATCAACAGGGGTTTACATGGGCGGTGTACGGACACGTTTGTTGAGTAAACCATTGACAACATCGCCATTGAAACAGGTCTCGCGCAAAGCGTTTTTCTATTAACAGAGGCCTAATCCTAGCCAGCGAAGCCCTAATAACCACAACTGTAACCGAAACACTACCCAACGCTAGCCTACCCTAACCGGGGCGCGTCTGTTCCAGGTGCCGCCGCGCCGGAACGGACCCTAACCGCCGACCCTATCCGGGCTTTTGTAAGTATGTACCTGGGTGGAAGACCCATTGGATTTGGATCTCGCGGCCGATAGCTGGGGCATGGGGTGTGCTAGGCCCGTGGCAACTCGGAAACTTTTCAATCGTAGACAGGTCTATTCCAGTAGTCAACTTCATCTTCAGTCGTCTGGGTTGCAACTGACCCGGAGCCTGGGGTTAAATTGTGGTTTGTGAGGGATGGATTGCTCGGAGCGTTGCGTGTGAGCAGGTCGAAGTCGAACCGGGTCGGACGCCGTGATGCAGTCCATCCTTATGAGGGCGCACTTGCTGCATTGTCGATGCTTGCAACCGATGCAGTTGGCTGATGACCACCATGCCGTTGCACTGGCAGCAACGATGCGCGTAAGAGGGCATCTTTTTTTTTTTTTTTTTATTTTTGATTTGGGGGGAAAGGTTGGTGGTCGTTGGTCGTTGGTATGGAGATGGATGCTCGAGCAGGATGCAGACGGTAGAGAGAGGTCTGAGTGGAAGTGGAACGAGTGAAGGAGAAGATAGCCGTTGGTTTGGAGATGGAGGCTCGCGAAGGCTGTAGAGACTAGAGACTGTAGAGAGAGGTCTGAGTTGGAGTGGCAGGAGTGAAGGAGACCTTGGAGGATCCAAGACGGGAAGCATAGAATATGTAGTCTGTGCAGAGTCTGGGTGAGGGTCTGGGTGATTGTGTAAGCCAAATCGTCTGTGCCCTGAACACGGGTGCCTCATTGCCTTTGTTTTGATTTCTGGCGAATAGGAAACAGTAAAGCTCAAAACATGACTTCTCTTCTTGACTACGGCAGCACTCAAAACCTTCTGGGGGGTACTGCAGTCTCAACAGCCGCGTCAGAAACTTCAGCGTGTACTACGATGTGTGACGGACTTCACGGGCACGTGACGGGATATGGCGAAGAGATGACCTGCAAGAGGAATGGCGTGCGTTAGCTGGTCATCATCATGAAGCCCACGCGGCGGCACATCGCGAGCTTACGATTGGCTGGCCACAACACAATGTAAGTAAACACTTCATGATGCTTCTTTTGTCGGATGCAGCAGAGCGCTTGACATGGACCAGACTGATCTTTTTACCCCCGTGGTGTCACATCTTTCCCTTCACAACATCGTATTCCTACTCATTTTCTGCGGCAGTTTGATCTCAAAATGGGCTTTCAGCATCACAGAACCCCCAAGAACCGCATTGTCGGTACCATCAATTATTTCCGTCAGAATGGCTTACTTGGCCAAGGCCGGCTCTTCACCAAAGAGAGTGTCTTTCAACACCATGGTGTAAGCCATACAACGAGCCACCGAATCCTCCAACGTATAGCCGAACACCCAGAAAGCCGAACCTTCCACAATACCCACGCAGAAACCCCGGGCCGAAAAAAGCTACTCGATAACGAAGCCCTCAAACAAACCGAACGGTACATTAAACAAGGGGGGTTCGAAGGTCGTACACTACCTTGGAAAGCAATTCCAGCCGCGGCTGGGCTCGACATTGATGTCTCGGCTTGCACTGTTCATCGGGCGCTCCGGGAGCTGAACTTTCACAAATGCATTGCTTGCGAACGGGAGTACCGGTCAATACGTCGCAAGGAAAACCGGCTAGAATATTCCAGTATGATGCTTGAGAGGTACCTCGAGCCGAAGGATTGGTACCACGTTCGGTTCTCTAATGAGAGCCATTTTGGCTGGGTTCCCAGGAGTAAGATTTGGGTCCTCCGGAGGCCATAGGAGCGGTACTGCCCGGACTGCATTGTCGAGAAGAACGATAACACACTTAAGGAATGGGCGCAAGAGGGCTGGGGTGCACTAAAACAGGAGACTATTAACCGTTGGGTGGATGAAATCCCTACTAAGCTAAAGAAATGTATAGAGGCCGAGGGAGCATTGACAGGCTACCTTATTAGAATAAATCAATTGTGTTCAATTTGCATGTGTTTTGACCTAGTTGTGATAACTTATGTGGTGGTGGATTGATTTTCCTGTAACTATCAATTACCTGCCGTATTCTGCTCAGGAGGTGGGGTCCCAAGGCTAATAAGGGCTCGGCCGAATTCAAGGAAACAGTGGAAGACTCAGAAGAGGGAAACAGCCGACAAAGTACCTAGTAGAAAAGGATTGCCAGTAGAGGCAACTCATACTGAGACTCATCGCCACGGCTAGGGCTCACAACCTACAAGGGCGCTGATTTTGCAAAAGAAAGTGAGACCCGGGAGGTTAATAAACCGTTAAAATGTGAGGGTTGTCTACCTACATACCTGCGTGGCTTCTTAGCGAAGCGAGGGGCTGGGCCAGGGGGAGGTGCGGGACGGCGTAAAACGGTATACGAAGTAATAGAACCAAAAAGCAGCCGGTGATCTTGTGGCTTGGTTGCACGATCGGCAGTCGCTCGCTCAACAGAGTCAAGACCATCTACGACGGGTCAGGCGCTTGATGCCTGGACGCACCCACGCAGCAACGCTTCCAGTTCGCGGCCGGGAAGTACCCTAGCGAGTCCGACCTAGCGTGGTCCGCAGCGCTGTATCCGTACTCTCAACTTTGTGGGGATGGTTTGTACCGCCACTGCTAATACCGAGGCACATTTGGCCACTTGGCGGTCGCCGAAGCGGTCTTGTATCATCCGCATGAAAATGCCATGAATGCCTCCCAGTCTGCCTGGCCACTAGGATGGCCTTCCTGGTACGTCCGCCACCAAGACATTGCTATGATTACAGGTTGGCTCGGGCGCTCTACATAAGAGCGAAGGTAAGGTATGGAGGCGTAATAAATAGGTCGAGCCCTCCCTCCTGCCCATCTTGGGTCAAGACGGGTGGTCATTAATGAGGGGACCGTTCGCCCCGACCGCCGACCAATTGTTGCTGTTTTGGGCTTGGGTTCGTTTCAACGGGCTTCAGTCTTTTCGTGGTTTGTCCTGTCGTTTGGAGTAGTGTTTCCCAGCACTCACGTTGGCAGTGCCTGAAGGAGGCTAAGCGCCGACCACGAGACATAAAGCCGTCGGAAAGAAGGAAATCTCAGCGCCGGAGCAATGACGCTAACCAAGATATTCACCGTTTGCAGCGACGGCACGGGCAGTACTAGTGATTCGTCGGCAAAGGACCCGAACGCGCGACGAGGGACGGAGAAACAGAACCAAGACCAAGGGCCTTCGGTACACATTTACCCGTTCTCATCAGAAGATGGACCGGACGGCGTTATCGTCAAAATTCAGCCGCCCAGCAGGCCGGCAGACGGAAAGCTTGAGCATGTCCCTTGTGACCTTGTGCTCTCGATCGACGTCTCCGGCAGCATGGCAAACGCGGCCCCTGTGCCATCGAGGCCGGGCAGACCGGCCGATGACTCCGGAGAGGAAGAGGAGTACGGCCTGTCCGTGCTGGATCTGGTGAAGCACGGGGCCCGCACCATAATCGAAACCTTGGATGCAAGGGATCGCTTGGGCATCGTAACTTTTTCCACCCACACCGAGGTAGGCGGTTTAACCCGTTTACTGTTCTACATGCTATCCCGTTTCCCCAGTCTGGAGGAAAAAGGACTAACCCAGGGGAAATCAAACAATTACTAATTACTACTGCTTAGGTGCTCCAATCCCTGACACCCATGACAGCAGAAAGCAAGGCAGCGGCCGTTGAGAAAATCGAACGCATGAAGCCTCTCGACATGACCAACCTCTGGCACGGCATCCGCGACGGCCTCGATCTGTTCAGAGAGAGCAAGAGCAAAGACAACCCACCGGGCTCAGGCGGGAGGGTACCAGCGCTGCTTGTGCTGACTGACGGGATCCCCAATCACATGTGCCCACCTCAGGGATATGTGCCCAAGCTGCAGAAGATGGGGCCGCTCCCGGCCACCATCCACACCTTCGGCTTCGGCTACCGCCTGGAATCCGGCCTGCTTAAGTCGGTTGCCGAAGCGGGCGGGGGCAATTACTCGTTCATTCCTGATGCTGGCATGCTTGTGGGTTTTCGCTTTTTCTTTTTTTTCTTTTTTTCCCGCTCTACTTCAGGTTTTTGTCGTGCTCTGAAATTGACGCACGCCCAGGGCACCGTTTTCATCCACGCCGTAGCCAATCTCCAGTCGACGTTCGCCAACAATGCCAGGTTGCGGCTGACATACCCGAGCTATCTGGGCCTTCAAGAGACGACAGGCGAAGCAGTTGATAAGCAAGAGCCTCTCCAGTTGGGGGGCGACGTCCCCGACTCTCTCGCGTCGCTCACCATCCTGCTCAGCAATGTCCAATACGGCCAGTCGAGGGACGTCTACCTCCGCTTCGGCACCGGCGTGAAAGTGATCCAAGCCGAAGTCGAGGCCGGCGGGTCATCGCCCCCAATCATCACCGCGGCGCTCGACTACCAGCGCTTCGCGCCCGAGACGCATCAAGCCGTCGCCTACCGACACGCGCTCGACATTTTTTCGGGCCCGCAACTCGACCGCGCCGAAATAGCCTACCACGTCTCCCGCTCCGCGCTCGTCTCCTTCCTCTCGACCATCTACCCGCTGAAGCGCCCGCAGCTCGAGCACTGCCCTCTCCGCGACCCCCCCTCCGACCTGCCCACCCGCCTGCAGGCCCTCCTGGCCTCGCTACCAGCCGCCAACCCCGAATTCGCCTCCTCCCACCCAGGCTGTCGTTCCCTGCTCACCGACCTGTGCGGCGCCGACTTCCTCAACTTCGACCACCGCCGCCTCGAGGATCTCAACAGCAATCCCGCCACCGCCGCTGCCGCATCATCATCATCATCATCATCATCATCATCATCATGGACGGCGGCGGGCCAGATCGCCCTCGCCCTGCTCGACGGCTCGTACTACCGCCGCTGGGGCATGCATTACCTGCCCAGCATCGCCGGCGCGCACGCGAGGCAGGTCTGTAACTCGTTCAAGGACGCCGGCCCGCTGCGATACGGCGTCGACAGCCCGCTGTTTGCCGCCTGCCGGGAGCGTCTGGATGACGCCTTTGAGCAGCTACCTGCGCCCGCGCCGAGTCGGACGTTGCCAGTCCGGTGTAGCAGCAGGGGTGGTGGTGGTGGTAGGGGGCCTCCGCTGCCAGTGTTGGCGTCGATGAAGCGGTATCATGACGTGGAAAACGGGTGTTTTGCCGGGTGTGCAAAGGTCCTGCTGGCTACGGGGAGAACCGTGCGGATTGCGCGGCTGAGGAAGGGGATGGAGGTCATCACGCCTCGGGGGCCGAGGAAGGTGATGGCTATTCTAAGGATGGAGGCGCGGAGGGCTGCCATGTGTCGGGTCACGTCGGCAGATGCGAAGCGGAGGTTGCTGGTCACGCCGTGGCATCCTATTTTGCTGGCTCTCCCGGGCTGCGTGTGGGCATTTCCGAAGGACGTCCCGATGAAGCCGGTTAGGTATTCGGGCCCCGTGTACTCGGTTCTCCTGGAGCGGGACGAGGACGCCAATGCGCATGCCATCATGGTTGGGGGCACATGGGGCGTGACGATGGGTCACGGCCTGACCGAGTTCGAAGAGGGGAAGCCGCATGATGTGAGAGCGCACCAGTTCTATGGGGATTACAGTAGGGTCAGCAGGGCGCTGGCGATGCTGCCCAGGACGGCCGGCGGAGTGGTGCTTGGACGGGGGTTGACGAGAGATCCTGAGACGGGTCGTGTCAATGGACTTAGCAGCAGTAGGGCGAGGAAAAGTGCTTTCCGTGCTCAGGTTTGAGATAAGGGTGCAATAGTTGGTTGGGTGTAGGCTACCCACGATCGGGAAAAGCAGCTCGCGTCACAGAGTCGGAGGTCGCAAAAGACTGAACACATTTGAAGCAATGCAGGCGACGACATTACGTTCTCGTCGTTTATTCCCGGACCATACCGTAAACTGTAGTACAGTATGCCGGTTGATCGACATTCATTGGCGGCGCAAAATGGAGCCAACGGTAAGAACAAGCAAAGTTCCCGCCACTCAGCGTTACCAGCTGGCCCTTTGTGGTCTGCCACGGGTGACCGAACTGCGTCCTTCATGTCACATGTGGTACAGATGGCCGACCTATCTACCTAGCTACCTACATCACATAGTATTGACACGTTAACACACGCCTAGTCAGTTCTTAGACGCCGAATACACCTCTTGCTTTTCTCATATAGCCTTACTGATCTCGACGCTCCCTATTCATCATTTCTCGGGCGCCGAACCCCAGGTAAGAGAATTGGTCAACAACGCGCTCGCGAGACTGTTCCTGGTTAAAGAGCGGCTGGACGTGGCGGCCAAAATCTACACATAGACAGGAAGGGGTAACCCCGAGGGAAGACCACGATATAGCCTCAGTCCACGTTCTCCGAGTTTTATATTGTACCATCTCGGTATGTCTACGCCGAATCAGGTTCCCTTGGACCACAATGTGCTCAGCTAACAGCATACCCCCATTGCTATTAAAAGAGCATGAGGACTACTAGTACTACCTTATTACAGTTCGCTTCCAGACACCACCTCCTGCCTCATGACTTACCATCAACGGCCTGATCGTGAGAAGGATGTCAACTCACTTTTGCCTGGGTTTTGCTACCTTCCTACGACACGATAGTGACGACACGACTTGACGCCCTGGGGGTCCGAGCCCGACTACTAGGTCCGTAGAGAACAACGAGCAAAGCCCGCCGGGACCCCGAGTGCCCTCATTATCTATTAACCTGGAACATCGCACCTGAAGAAATGCGCGATAGCTATGCTGTTAGCTGGCTTCGAAGAGATGTAGGTGACTGGACAACCGACGACCTAGGTACTTTGGCTGATGGATCGCCTCAAACGAGCGACCCATGGAGGTTAACTAAAGTAGAAGTCCTGATGACCTTAAGATAGGGGACTACGTCAGTGACATAAGGAAGCTGTATCCGTATTTGTTATAGAATGTCTGGGTTACTTAGATGCAGTGACCCTGGCAGTGCCTGGGAGGTTGAGCGATTGAATCCAACGACCCTAACCCGGGCCTCCTAAACCCTGGACCATTGGAAGGCAACCGCTCCCGGTCTGTAATTGCAGGTTGAAGTTTCTCTCTGTTTGCAGATTGTAGGCCAAAGTGCACAACTGCCCAGCGGCCTTCCGAGTCCCGTTTAGTTTCACCCAATTCCCTTTGTACGCAAGCAAAGGATCGCCTGTGAGCAATTAGTATGCAGAATAGCAAACAACTGCAGTGCTGCATTTTGCCTGCCCACCTAGTGACCCAGTCCTCCTGAGGCCATCTGCGCCCCACTTGGATTGTCGGCCTGAGACGGCGAGCCCAGAACTTGAAGCTGGGAGCCCCACCGCAGCGGATTTAAGCGAATCAAAACCGCACACCGCTCTCATAGGGTTTCCAAGCCCTGCCAAAAATTTGGGAGGGACCTCCAAGCGAGCGACCTCGAAATTGCATCCGCTTCTCGACCGGTGATACTTTCGACAATCAGAGGGACCAGAGGGGCTTGATCCAAAACCGGCACAATGGTAAGGACTATGCTGCTGGAGCGGTTGCAAATGCGGTTGCTCTCTCAATCAATTGCTTGAGCCTTTTCACTGATGCAAATTCCGACATCTAGGCGATCAAGCACAATCAGCAGATTCCGAACAACCGTGAGCACCCGCCCATCCGTTGACGACGAGGAAAGCGCTGCGAGGAGGACGACGACACTGACACGAAATTTTCCAGACTTCCGCAAGCAGTGGCAGCGGCGTGTGCGGTGCCACTTCGACCAGGTTCGTGATACCGCGGAGGAAACAGCGATGGAATTGAGATGGACCGCATTTCTGACGCAAGGATGGAACAATAGCCCGGCAAGAAGGTCACCCGCCGCCTGGCCCGCCGTGCGAAGGCTGCTGCGGTCGCTCCCCGCCCGGTCGACAAGCTCCGCCCGGTTGTCCGATGCCCGTTCGTTGCTCCCGAAGGACCGGGTTCGAGGAGGAAGAGGAGGCTAATCGTGGCATTATAGTACCATCAAGTACAACCGCCGGACACGCCTCGGCCGCGGCTTCACGCTGGCTGAGCTGAAGGTATGAAGAATCGAGCTTGGGGGGACGAGACGGACTGAAGGAAATGAGGACGATGGGATTTTTCTGACGCGCAAGACAAAATAGGCGGCCGGCATTCCTAAGCTCTACGCGCCCACCGTCGGCATTGCCGTCGACCACCGGCGCCAGAACCTGTCCGAGGAGAGCCTGGCTATCAACGTCCAGCGGCTGAAGGAGTACAAGGCCCGCCTTATCGTTTTCCCCCGCAAGTCCAACAAGCCTAAGAAGACCGATACCCCCAAGGACCAGCAGACCGCCGAGACGACACAGCGCATCGCCGCTTCGTTCGGCGTCGAGAACCCCATTGCTTCGGCCTTCAGCGAGATCTCGAAGAGCGATATGCCCAAGGGCGTCGAGGGCGGTGCCTACAAGGCGCTCCGCAAGGCGAGGTCGGATGCCCGCCTTGTGGGTGTCCGGGAGAAGCGGGCGAAGGAGAAGGCCGACGAGGAGAAGGCCAAGAAATAGAGGGCGTTTGGTCGGGTTGGTGGCGGCAGCGGATAGCAAGGTTCCCGGTGTTCGTTTGGCTGGTTTGGTCTGGTCTCGCTTTCTGCTTTTCCTGATAACCCGGGCGGGGACCATGGTTTCCCTCTCCTATGGCCGTGTAATTTCGGGGACTGCGTTCAGGACAGGGTTCAGAAAGTTTACACGCATCATAGGGATTTGCTAGAGCATCGCAAATGAATGGACAGGAAAAGCATGACTGATGGCCAAGCCGCATTCCGAGTGATCGTGGGAAGGGGCCGGAATTGACGGGTTCCGACGGACGAATGCCACTCGGCGAGGACATCTTCAGCATGACTGACTACCTGAGGTACCTACTAGGCCAGCAATTGTTTCAGTTTATTCTGTTCCTCCTCCCGATCCCGCACGAGCAGCTCGCCGCCCTTGTTCAGCACCGCCTCCAACGGCTTCCTCAGCTCCGAAAGCGCATCCGGACAAGACCGCAGCAGCTCAGCAACCAAAACCATCCCATTTTCGCGGTCCATCCTGGCCATCCTGGCGGCCGGCTGCTTCGTCTGTGCCTGTTGATCAACGAGCTGCGGCTCTAGGCTGAGCTTCTGTACGCTCACTCCAACATCCTCCTCCTCCTCCTCCTCCTCCTCCTCCTGCTGCTGCTGCTGCTGCTGCTCCACCTTGTTGTTCAACTCCTTGGTATCCCTTCTTCCCTCCTCACCATCGGCGCCCGGCGTGAAAAGCGCGGAAGCCAACGGTCCATCGCCATCACTACTACTACTACCACCACCACCACCACCACCACCACCGCCACCGAACTGCTCAGACCCAGTTATCGCCTCGGCCACAGCCTGCCATGCGCTGCTGCCAGGCTGGCGGCGACACTGGAGCACCTGCAGCGCCACGTGTGCGCCCTCGCGCGACGAGCGGCTCATGAGTGCCAGGCAGAAGATGGCGTCGGACCGGAGGGTGGGGAAGCGTTTCTGGGTGAGTAACTGGTGGAGCGAGGTTGTGATGGCGTGGGCGTGGGCTTTGTAGAAGCGGGCGAGGGTCTCATCTTGTTCTGTTCCTTTCTCATTCGAGCTGTCGATCCCTGTGGGCGTGGACGTGGACGTGGGAGACTCGGCGGTGTCGGTCGTGGTTGTGGCTGTGGTTGTTGTGGCTGTTGCTGACGCTGATGGTGATGGTGGTGGTGATGGCCAGGCCCAAGACTTGTCGAGGATGTCTGAGGTTGCGGCCGGAGAGGGGTGCAAGGCGCGGCAGACCTGGACCACGGCGCGGGCGGCTTCTGTTCTGATGGGTTCCTCGTCGGCGGAGGAGGCGACTGAGGTGAGAAGGGCGAGGTTGCTGGGCTCCTCGCTGTCGGAGGGGAGGGGGGTACACGCGTGACGGACGTTCGGGGAGCAGTTGGCGAGGAGCAGGCGGGTGAGGGAGACGGCGGTGAATTGGAGCTGGGGTTGCGTGCGGGTTGAAGCCCAGAGGCGTGGGAGGAGCGGACGGGATGGATCCAGGAGGGCGTCACCCAGAAGTGGTTTGTTGGCCTGCGGGATGGCCAGATTCTTGAGGAAACTGAGAGTGGCGTGAACGAGCTGCAGAGGCGGAGCGGGCGCTTTTGTAATCGGAGGTGGAGAGGAAGTCGGAGGGATCGCCTGAGTAAGAATGCGGACCAGGTGCTCTTGAACGTGTGGGAGGAGTGCGGTGCTTGACTCGTCGGAGCGGCTGAGGTTGCCCAGGGCCAGGCATGCGGCTGTTTGGAGGTGGGATACGGCTGGCGCTGATCCCAGCCAGTCTACCAGCGTCTGGACAGGTCCGCTGCCGAGAGCGCAGGCCTCTGCAAAGCCAGGGAGCGCGGATACATCGGCGAAAACAGCCAGGAAGGCGTCTCCGACCTGCTTGAGCTGGCTAGCGGTGTCGGAATCGAGGTCTCCAAGGTCAAAGCGGGTGTACAGCTGGTGAAAGGCCGCTTGCAACAGTTCGATGTTGCGGTTGGCCACAGCCGCTGACTGGAACTCCTCCAAGGTGAGGTAGGCTAGCGCTGGTGTGCATATCTCCATGAACGTGTCCAGGTCGACGTCGTATCTTCCGCTGGTGGCCAGATCGAGGAGCAGGGCCGGCGTCTGAGGGTTGGCCATCCTGGCCTCAGAGTCTTGGTTGCAGATCAGCTGCAAAATACCCATGATGTGGCTAAGAGACGACTGGCATGACAAGAGCCGTTCTCCAGACACAATGCCAACCAAAACCTCGCTCAATCCTGCCGCGGAGGCTTTTTCCTGCCCGAGTTCTAGGACGCCGTCAGGATCCGCCGCAAAACAGAGAGCCTGTCTGGGATCGGGTCTTACTGTAGTCAACACAGAGGTTGAGTGCTGCAGCGATTGCAAAGGGCAGAAGCGCGTCCTCCTTCATGCACTCCATGATAAAGCTCCGCAAAACTCCAGACTCGAGTACCCTGGCCCGGTTCTCGTCTAGTGTTTCGTTAGTGACAGAGCCCCGATGACAGAGAATACCCCGGTTTTGAGTTTTAGTGGCGTACCGCAGTCGGCGCAGGCGTTGCCCACCAAGCGAAGAGCCTGCTTGTTCAGGGGGTGTTGGCGGTCCGCGGTAGGCACACGAGAGAGAAGGAACTCTAAGGCTCCAGAGTCGCCGAGGGGCAACCTCCAAGATGCTAGGCCCAACGATACGGCCGTTAGCTTCACGGACCTATCCCATGAACAAACGTACTTCGACTCACGGTCCCTCGCCCCGTCTGCGAGTCTCTCAACAACAACAGCCAAGCCATCGACACTTTCCTCCTCTCGAACTGTCTTAAGAACTTCCTGCAGCTGAGCCGTACGGTCGCTCCGATTTGTAGCCGGGCTACGCAGGAGCTCGGTAATCTTCTCTGGTGCCCGATCCATCGGATCAGTGGTTGATCACTTCACTCCGCGTTTTGATGATATATTGGGCTGTGCGTCTCGACTTGTCCCCGTTCCAACACCAAATTGTTCCGGTCGGAGATCAAGAGGATCTGGGCTGTAATGTCATGGGTTTTAAGACACACACAGTTGGATCTCGCCTGGACTCAGACCTGGATCTCCAATGTGCTTCGTCTGGACTCTGCAGTCGGTCAACACGAGGCACCTCATCGTGCTTGGCTGTTCGGCACCCCACCACCTTAGCATTAGTTAGCGCCCGTGGTCTCCCAACCCTCGAGGCAAGCAACCTACAATCCACCACTAACCCTAGGGAGCAAAATGGCACCAACACCAACATGCCTCCCTGAGTTAAATCAAACAGCAAAAATTGGTACGCGGGCACAGATATTGTCTACATTATACATGTTACACGGCCGAGATGCAGCCCTAGGCATAGTGCACGCAAGCCTTTCAGCAGCCCGCTCGCTACGTCCTCCCTTCGACCCACTTCTTCTCGATTGGCTCGCCGTAGTCGCCCGTGCCAATCACGGGTAGCTCGCGCTTCTCGAGCTCCTTGACAATGATCTTCCAGCGGCCGACCATCTTCTCCTTGTCAATCGGCGTGACTCTCCGGGGGAAGACGCGGACGTTGGGCAAGTCCTTGAACACGCCCTTGGACTCGACCAGCTCAACAAGCTTCTTGGGCTTGGGCGGCTCCACGAGCTGCTTCAACAGGCTATCGACGGTGTGGAGGGCACACAGCTTGCCGTCATGGAGGCGATGTCCCGTAAGCTGCTGGATCCTCTTGGCGGCCTACGGTCCTGGTGTGTCAGTAGGCTGAGGCAAACAGATATCAGCCAGAAAGGGAGGCACTCACAAAGAACTTAACCACCGGATCTCTTAACTCAGCTTTCCTCCACCCTTTGTTCCTGTTCCAGGACTCGATGTACTGCTGCGCTACCTCCGGCGTGAGCGGCGCTGAGGGGAACGCCTCCTTCGCCTCCGTGGCCTCCCCCTCCTGCGCCCCAGATTCTCGAGCATCCGCCGTCAAAGCCTCTGCCTCCTCTTTCGTCCCGCTTATCCCATCCCCCGCTGGCTGCTGCTGCTGCTCCTTCCGCCGATGCGTGGCATTCTTCACCGCCGTCTTGAGCATAACCCAGAGCCTGACGGCGTCCGCATTCTTCAGCGTCGCGGCCCCGGTTTTGTCAACGACAATCTGCGCCTTCAACAACTGGTCCAGCCTTTCATTCCCATCCACATGCGCAAACAAGCGATCCACCGCCTTGCGCTTGCCGGCCCCAGCAAACCGCGCGACAACGATCGCCTCGATGATCGCCCGCCGCGCGAGCACCTCCAGCATGGCCGGGTCCGTCACCTTCTCGGCGGGGCCGAAGGGCGTGGCGACGGACGCCACGAACTGCCGCACGCCGCCCTCGCTGCCCCAGTGCAGCGGGTCGTCCCACCAGTCGGCCAGCCCGCCCACTTCCTCCAGGCCGTCGGCTGTCTCGGCGGGCTTGTAGGCCGGGTCGGAGATGTCCGAGGGCGGCGGCACGGTGGTCACGCCCCGCGGGTAGACTAGCTGCGTGGGGATTTCCGCAGGCGCGGGTGGGTAGTGCTCGTCGTCTAGGAACTCGAGTTCCTCGCGGGAAGCGGCGGTTGACGCGTCGGCCGGCGGGCTGGTGGTCTGGGGTTGTGAGGGGCGGGAAGGGGTGTCGGAGAGGAAGCGGCGCTGCGACGGCCGGACCGGTGCATTGCAGCTGTTGAGGTTGTGTCTCGCGGCCAGGGAGAGAGGGGAGGTTGTGGCGATGGCTGCTGCGGTGGGCACACGGAGAGAACCGGTGGGTGTCGAGGATGTGACGAAGCCCGCCGGGGCGGCGTTTCGCAACCTAGGTAAGCGACGCATCTTGGTATGCTAGAATGGGCGGTCAATTACGGCGGCCGATGCGGTTCTCGTGCTTTCGTGCCGCAGTCGCCAGCAGCCTGTGAGCTCCAGCCAAAATTTCCATCCCGCGACGGGTTCTGCTGAGAGCAAGTGGGGCCTCCACGGGTCCGATGATCTACCACCTATCGGGTGGGATCAGCCACATTTCGGCAGCAATCTGTGGCTTGTACTGCACTGTACATAGTTACAAGGCAAGCTCGGGTCAAAAAACTTTGGCTTGGCAATGGGATCATCTGAGGTCGACGACCGAGCTTCGAGCTTCGTCGCCGGAGACTAATTGATTGCGCCCACCATCCTACCCTACCGCCTGTTTTCCCGCCTCGAAGCATCAGACTCACCTCCGCACCGCCCTACCAGCTCCCCGAGCAGCCCGTGGACGAACCACGCCCAGAAACATAACAATGCCGATATCCACTGCCCCGCGCAGCGTCACTGACGCAACGCGGTTTACAGCGACGACGCCCCATGCCAGCTCCAAAGCAGCTGCGCCAACATCCCGCTTCACCCCGCCCAAGTCTGGCTCCCTACCTCCCGGCGCTGGCTCCGGAGCGCCCCCACCCCTAGAAACCCCGGAGCAGAAGGTGGCCCGGTTACGGGCGGCGCACCAGAGGGCGAAGGCGACGCAGGTGTCGAGGTTCGACAGGTTGGTCGCCTCTAGCCGGCGGTTATTCGACTCGGCGCACAGGGTCACCGTGTTTGGGCTGGTTGGCTTTACGGGTGAGTGCCTCGGCGCCTGACCTGGTCCTGTCTCATACACCAATGATCCTGATCCGCAAACCTCCCTCAGTTATCGCCGGCCTTGTAACCGCCTACACAGCGGTCGACATGATCATGTACAACAAGAAGCGCACCGCCGAGTGGATCGAGGCACAGAAGAAGATCGAGGCCGACAGTCTCGAGGCAGCCCGCATAGCCTACATGACGGGTAAGGCGACCGAGGAGCAGATCGCCCTGGTGGAGGACTACCTCGAGCGCGAGCGCGACGCGAGCCGCAAGACGTCCTTCTTCTCCAAGCTGCCCGGCGCTCTAGAGCCGGCGTCGTCGGCACCAGCGTCGGCATCGGCGTCTGGTCAGCAACAACGGCCCCAAAGCATAACCGAAACCGTCTCGTGGCCCTCAAATGAATCCGCCTCTGAACCCGAGTCTCAGCCGTCGCAAGATAAAGAGAACAAAGGAGGCCTTTGGGCCTGGTTAACATCCAACCTCAAGCGCGAAGAGGAAGGCGACACCGTCATGTCGCCACAGCCCCGCCTCGGCTGGGAGTCGCTGAGCGAGGAGGATGACGGCAAAGGGGTGCGCGACAGCGACCTTGTGCGGGCCGTCGGCGCAAAAGCTCAAGCCGCGTTCGAGAAGGAGAAGGAGAACCAGCGCAAGGGAGGACCACTGGACCGGGTCGGCGTTGCAGATGATGCGAAGGGCGAGGCGCAGACTGAGGCTGGGGCGGGAGAGCAGCAGGGGAAGAAGAAGGGGTGGCTGTGGTGATCGGTTGGTTGTTGGCGAAGATGGGCGACGGTAGGCTGTTGCGTCTGCTCAGGGGGCCAGGGCTGGTTGAGACTTACCTGCTGCTACATCAGGTTCGTCCCTGTCCAGCCGAAGCAAGGATGGGTTCGGAAAAGAGAGGGAAGAACCGGCTCCGCATCGTAGAACTGGAGGGTATGGCCCAACGGAAAGGGGGAGGAGAGGGCGACTGTATTATAATGTAGAGTCGACATGGGCATGCATCATTCGGCCTGGAATCTGTCTGTACATACCTTACCAGGCAACAGCTGCATGGCCATCTATTGGATCTCATCCCCAGTGCCGCGGTATATTCAAGGTCACCAACTGCGTATAACATTGGGGTTCTGTCATTCAGTTGTGATGGAAAATCCCTATTCGCTTTCCTCCCAGTGACCCCCGTTGCATTCGGCTGGCGATGCTTGCGGACCATGATGGCAGAAGACGTGTCCCATAGACTGCCGCTACGCGAAATGCCTGCGCAAACCGAACAAAGACCCAGGAGACAAAATACGCTATCGTGACGCCCTTATGGCTAAACGAGTGGCTCAGGGCAAAACCGACCGCTGCCCAATTGTGATAAACCTGCTGCACTGAACCATTCCGATACCTCATTATCAACCGACCCATTTACTCAGACTCATCCTGCCGTTCCTATGCCATATTAGTCATCGTCGCCCAAGGATGGCGCCGTCCCGGTTTCTGGATCCTCCATACTGCCGGCTCGACGATGCTGATGCGCTTCCCCTCATAGTCCTCCTATGAAATGATGATATGGTTAAAATGACCAGGCACCTTCATCCGGCACTTCTCGCAGTCCGCTCTGTACCCTATGCTGAACGACCGCTTCATGCCAGGCTGGAGCGCGGTCCACGAATTCACCGTGTGCTTCGACCTGGTGTGGCCTTTCTTCGGTGGCGACGTTGCAGCCGGGGCCTCGACATCCATGGCACTGCCACTCAGATTCTCCGATGCGGGAGTGGCTTGCCGCACTGACCGTCCCTCCATCGCTGAACTAGCGCGTGGTGGTAGGCCTGCCAACAATGGATGCTCGTGGGTAAGGTGGCTCAACGGGCCCTCCGACAGAGTCGATGAGTCAAGTGCCATCCTGGTGCTCTCCAGGCTGTCGTCTCCACCGCATTCGCTAATGGGCGAGGGAAGTCGCCGATTCTGCACCATGCTCCAGTCCGTCATGACCTGCGAAGCCGCCGCACCGCCCAGGGGCTGGGGCGAGATGTCCACCAATTCATTCCTGCCGAATGACGCCGCGTTCGGTTCCTCGGGGGTGGTGGCAAGGGCATCGCCATGTGTAGCGTTCCCGCCGTTCCAGCTCTTGCCCCGTATTTGGGCTGCGAAGGTCGGCTGAATCGGAGTAGGCATGCGGCCCGATACGCTGGGCCCGGATTGATCCCTCTGGAACGACGCTGGCTCGGTAACAGGCTGGCCTTGGAAACTCGGCTGATACGGACCGGAAGCTGGCTCTGATGTGTCCATCATGTCCATATCACCATCGAGAGATCCTGCAGCGGTCATAGAAAGCCGAGTGCCAGTAACTAATTCAGGTTCATCTGCCCACATCTCCTGTTCGCGATGCGGCTCCTGTGGCGAACTGGTCTGGATCGTGTCGGACACGGCAAATGTCGCGTGCGGCAGAGGGAAGCCCAGAGGATCGCCCCATCTCTTAGACTGTGGAGATCTCCTAAGGGGTAGTGACTGCAGGCGTTTCTGTAGCGCATGTCAGATCGCCATGGTCTCGCCGAACAGGTTTCAACTGGGACTGAGGATGGACAGGCGGCTCTCAGTTCAATAGCCAGCAAGATGCTCGCAGATGTTCGGAAGTTGCGGAAGAGGTGATGATATCCAGCCAGCCAAGTCAAGCACTTACACTTCTGTGCTCGGTGAATCCTACTGGGTCTCCCAACGATCCTTCCTCCTCTTCTCTTTGCCTCTTTCGATGTCGCTCAAGCTGATGGTTCACGAACATCCTGCTCTTCTAGGCTGTGTCTCGTAGACCTCGAGAGCCCGGCGTAGGAAGGCGGAGTTTGCGCTCTCGCACTCTGCAAGGCGAGGATGAAACGCTATAGCCGTGCTTGACCATACCTAACCGGCGAAGTCGGAGTAATTGATGGGAACCGGGTATGTGTAAAGCGGTAGATCACACCATAATAATCAGCAATTGGTAGAACAAATAAATTGAACTGATGAACTGCCTCTCAAGATGTTTTCAATGGGTTTTGGTTGTCCTTTGCAGCCGCGGCTGCTGCAAGAGTACAACCTGGGACTCTGCACTCCAAAGAATGCAAGTGAATCCAGACTGAGGGGCGATGGAGATAGCAGGCAGTCACAGTGGAGTGGAGCTCAAGGCAAAATGGAGTCCAGGGTCCGGTGGGGTGCTCTTGCTCTCTTTATCAGCCCACTCCTCCTGACCTGGGTCAACAAGTCCTGCTGCGACTCATACAGCCCAGCACCTCACGGACAAAACTCTGAAGTACTGTTGCGGACTACAAGATCGGGCGTTCAAAAAAGACCAAAAGGGATTCCTTTCCCAATCATCTCATCCCTCACGCTCGAGCGAGCGAACTTAGGCCGGGTGCTTTCCGTGCGCCGTCGTGTTCGGGGTGGAAGTCGGAACAATCAACGACTGGTGTTAACTACGTGCAGCAAGGTGTAACTGTGAGGAAGAAAGAATGCAAGCTACAATCTAGCCCGAAAGTGCATAACAAATACTAGTAATGATAATATGTAGGTACCTAGGTAATAAAGGCGTGGGAGAAATCATTACACGAAGTTATCGGATACTTCTGGTGCGGTGGGACAACCGGTAATAAAACCTGGAAGACCTACAACGAAGCAAACCTGAAACTATTCGAACAGGAACTAACGTTATCCTCCGATCCAGGGCAGATGTTTGCTGGCGCAGTGTCCTGCAAGGTGCGCAGCCATGGCAGGCGTCCTCGAAAGGTAAGGGGCACCTTCTCAGCTAGCCGAAAAAGGTAGCAGGGGAGATCCAGTTTCAGAATTGCTTCAAGATAGGTACATACATCCTCGGCGTAGGTCCCAGGAACACTTCGACCTGACTTCTGCATATCTGCTAGTGCTACTAGTATGAGTTCCTGAAGCCTTACAAAGCGGTCCATTGGTTCACTGGACACTGAGATGCTCAAGACTGGTAATGACCGCAGCAGGAACAGCCAGGCCGTAGGCCAAGCAGGAAAGAGCGTGTGCATGGCTCTCAGTGTCTACTGTGGGAGTAAGGTGGACAGCCTGAAGTTGCAGCCCGCAAGCTAAAGGGCAAGGGCGTATTGCTGTATAACCACTACTGGGTTAACCCGCTCCGAGAAGGAAGCCATTGGTTTTGGAGCCAACCTCGCCGATTCCGGCAATTACTAGCCCGTCTGCTGGACCCTGATCGGTGCTACCTTACTACCGCCGGCCCGGGCGATCGCGGTCGGGTTGCCGGCCTGATCCTCGGCCCTTGCAAGGTAAGGACAAAAGATGGTCGACCGGCTCAGTCAAACATAATTCGACTCCAGACTGAATAAATCGTTGACATAACTGGTTTAGTGTACATAACATAACAACCACCTAAGTGGTAAATTCTGCACAACGGACATCGCCAACTGACCACATCATAAAAGGCCGCAGTTGAGCAAACCAGCGAGACAGATACACTAATAAGCCAAGGAGCTGGAAGCGAGCTACAGTTGAGAATAAAACCGCCCGCGCAAGCAACCGGCATGTCAATACCTCGTCGCCCTGAACGGCCACAAATGTCGAGTCTCCACAGGAACCCGGGGCCAATCATGCGAACACGTTTTATGGTTACAGCTTGTGACAAGAAGGGCGGTGAAGATGCAGCGGCAGAAACAGATTTTGACCCCTCCCCCACCATGTTATTGATGATTTTGGTCCCAGTCCTCAGGTGGCTGCATTGAGCATGGAATTATTGGGCGGAACCCGAATGCCCGTCGAGCCCTCCGTATTCAGGCATGCAGAGGGTATAAAGTAGTACCAGTGACTGATCGGTTCCAATCAACCAGAGACGTAATGCTAATAAGGACCTCGAAGTACTGCTGCTTTGTTAAGTGTTTTGTTCCGCCGCAGGTGAATTCCCTGTTTGGCACCGCGCACCCGGACCGACCTCCCCCGTGAACTGACTGGGGCAGTCTGAGTCACTTGTATTTGTCTTTGCTTCCCTTGCTCTCAATTGGCATTCTGCTTTTTCGAACAGCTCGATCAGCCCTAACAGCCCTCTACCTAACTACCTGCCCGCCAACACACCCGTCTCTCAAGCTTTACTTCAGTCGGCCTCCTCGCTGGATTGGGTTCCCACAAGCGGGCTGCACCTTCCTCGCTCTCACGGGCTCTTCCGCAAAGGCCTCTTACATTTTAGCGAACCTCGCCCTCGTCCTCTGAACACATCCTGAGAATCACATCTACTTTCCTACCAAAACCCTATCCCATACGATATCCTCAAGAATTCCTTCAAGATGCCGGGAGTTGAAATGGCGCCCCTCCAGGCCGATGACATGAGAGGTACGATTCCCTACATCCTCCTCATGGCTCCCAGATTGTGCCGAGCAGAACTGGCTTGCTATGACCAACCCAAATGCTCCCTTTCGTCCAGAGACAATGGCCAGACGCTGACGCTCTCTGTGCACAAAAGTGCTGGGCCAGGACCCCCTCATTCCACCTGCCCTGCTCATTTCCGAGATCCCTATGACAGATGAGGCTCTTCAGACAGTTATCAAGGGGAGACGGGACGCTGTGGGCGTCATCATGGGTCGGAACGATCGCCTTTTGGTCATAGTCGGACCCTGCTCCATCCATGATCCGGCCACAGCCATTGAATACGCACACAGGTTGAAGGCGGTTGCCGAAAAGTTCTCGGACGATCTGGTTATCGTGATGCGCGCCTACCTCGAGAAACCGCGGACAACAGTGGGCTGGAAGGGCCTGATCAACGATCCCGATATCGACCAAACTTTCAAGATCAACAAGGGGCTTCGGGTGTCCAGGCAGCTCTTCCGAGACCTTACCTCGACGGGCATGCCCATTGCCTCCGAAATGCTTGACACGATATCCCCGCAGTTCCTGGCCGACTTCATCTCAGTCGGTGCCATCGGTGCGCGGACCACAGAGAGTCAACTTCACCGTGAGCTAGCCTCTGGTCTGTCTTTCCCGGTCGGCTTCAAGAACGGAACAGACGGAAATCTCGGCGTCGCCATTGATGCCATTGGCGCTGCCGCCGCCAAGCATCACTTCATGGGTGTCACCAAACAAGGTCTTGCAGCCATTACCCGCACCAAGGGGAACGAGCACGGTTTTGTCATCTTGCGGGGCGGCTCGAAGGGCCCCAATTACGACAAGGCCAATATCCAAGCTGCCAAGGAGACCTTGATCAAGAAGGGCCAGAAGCTGGCAATCATGGTGGACTGCTCCCATGGTGAGTGCATATTCTCGTCACGCCTCAGTATGGTTTGCATCTCGCTAACCAGATCAGGTAACTCGAACAAGGACCACAGGAATCAGCCCAAGGTCGCCAAGGTCATTGCAGAGCAGCTGCGTGAAGGCGAGAAGGCCATTATCGGCGTCATGATCGAGTCCAACATCAACGAGGGCAACCAGAAGGTGCCACCTGAGGGCCCTTCGGCCCTGAAGAAGGGCGTGAGCATTACAGACGCCTGCATTGACTGGGAGACGACCGTTGAAGTCCTCGAAGATCTCGCAGCGGCTGTTCGTGAGCGCCGGAAATTGACCGGCGGAGCAGAGAACGGCGAGCCGAAGACGACTCTGCTGGAGGAGGAGTAAGTCGCTTCAGAAGTTCAAGGACGACGCAGAATGAGGAAGCAGCGTATCCTCGGTTGGTCCGGGAGTGGAAGGGCAGTACCAAAAGTTTTCCGGAAAGTCGTTCGGAATGAGCATTGCAGGTCCTTGTGGTTGGGTTGGGGAAAACAAAACAAGGCGACCTACGGCTTTAGAAAAGGTTGTTCTATATCCTATGCCAATAGTTTTTGGTCGTTATGGGGTGATACACGCATTCCTAGAGAGGGGATCATACACACGCCCTACCTAGTCAGAAACAAACACCCGTTCGAGTGCAATCACCGGGTTCTACGTGTGCCACTTGAATGCTGAAACGCGACTCGGAGTCCATGCAATGTTCAAACAGGAGCTAACCCCATACGATAGCCCTTCCGATAACGCCATGCAAAAGCACACAGCGCCAACTCTACCCAGGCCTCTGGGGACCACGCCCATCGTGCCCATCGTCCAAAGGATCATACAACCTTCTCTCCACTCCTCCTCCTCCAGATCCAGCTCTTCTTGACAATCGTGAACCCCGCCGATTATTGCTTCCAGCAGTACCACCTAACAGAAGCCCCCCAATCCCAGCTCCAAGCCTCCCTCCACTAGCAGCGCCTTGTCCAAGGCTCATCGCCCTCTGCCGCTCCTTAGCAGAATCCGCGACCCTCCTCACCCCAGCCCAGCCCAGCAGGCCTGCGGTCCCCAAGATAAAACTCCACACAATGATCTGGTCCTTACGGCTGTCCCGCTGGAAGCACATGGTCTTGATGTCCTTGTCCTCGGCGCCCTTGCAGATGGGCAGATTGTATTTCTGGCAGAAGGCGCGGTTGCATTGTGCGCAGGAGGTCGAGGATTCGCGGGACAACAGGAAATGGAGGGGGCCGGAGCGCGGTTGGGAAGCGATAGTTGCTGATTCGGAGGAGGGCGAGCTGCTGCTTGAGGACGAGGACGGTGACGTGGACGAGGAGGAGGATGGAGGTTTAGGAGGTGGGGCAGCCGGATTATTGTTACCGTCGTGCTGCGGGCCGAGGGGGATGATGGTGCTGTTTTGGAAGCAGGTGCACTTGCAGAAGGAAGGGACCGCTGGGAGGTTCGGTGAGCCCTTTATTCTTTGGTTGAGAGATACGGTCGAGGTGGACTTGGAAGGGATGATGATCTGCGAGCAGAGATTGGGGAGTATGGACTCACATGCGTTAGCTACGGTGACTAGAATGGCCAACAGGAAAATGGCAAGTGGTATTCGCGCCATATTGGCGTACAACACTGCTAGAGCAGCTTCGGTGGTCCTGTGTCGACACAAGTGAGGTTGAGCTGTGTCGGCTGCATTGAGATGCAGCACAGCCGCATTATTGGCGCAATACCTACCCCGTACAGCCACATTGCTTGGGCCTGTCTCGAGCTGGTCTGTGTGGCTGTGGAGTAGGTTCAAATTTGTCGGCGTGCACAAACCACCTATTCCTCCATATAAATATTTGGTCACCCGCCCACCATCTTCCAATTCTTCTTCCTTTCTTTCCTCGCCCTTCGGGGCATTTGGTCAATTTGAAACGATACAGAGAAGATTAGCATGGCCCCTGCACTAAGGATGACACGCTACTCAAAGAGATGCTTCCAATTTTTTTTTTCGCTGTGATCGCGGCTTTTGCTGCGACATAGAGAAGAGATTCCATGCCATCATAATCACCTTGGGGAATCCGCATCCTCGTGTCTCCCATCCTGCTCTGAAGCAAGGGTAGGGTAGCCTTCGTTCCATCGTCCTCGAAAACCGTCACCTACCCCGTCGTGCTCCATGTGCTAGGGTGACTCAATTTATGGAAACCGAGAAGGATTCGAACTATTATACCCTGAGCCGTGTGGTACAGGTATGCGCCTACGAAGCACTGTGACACATAACGCCCCTCCTGTCGGTGCTCGAGATAACAGCTGCCCGAGTTATGTACAGTACTACTAAGCGGTCATTAAGCAGTTCCTAGTTCCTGGCGTTCTTATCCAATGTATCAGGAATCAGGAGGTCAGAGTACTATCCAGTCCGTAGCGCTGGAGAAGATGCGATGTGTCTAGAAAGGGAAAGACAATCTATTAAGCCACGCTGTCTACGCTGAGATATCAGATGTCCTCTATAAGCCCCGGTGCAAGTAATCCTCTCCTCTCTCCTCCGATACTGTTTTTTAGTAAGCTACCTCTTGTCGTGTCAGGCAGTGTTCACGAACTGGACCTATGCCCGTCAATAGTTCTGTCGTACTTGGGTTCTGTGCCAGCAGTTTCTGATAGAGTCTCGAGCTGCACCCAGGCGGCTCTCCCCACCGTCCATATTCTGCAGCTCGAATCCCCTTCCACTGCAGTTCCTCTCGTTTCCCCCGCCAACTTGGTCATTTTTGCTGTTACCTACCTCCTTTCTCACGTTCACCCAGCCGAGGAACAGAGATGTGAGCACCGCCAGGCCGCCAACGCCAGCAACGAGGTAGAAGACGCGATCGATCGCGATGGAATACGCCATCAGCACACCTTGCAGATCCCGGTCGTTGACGATGTTTCGGAAGTTGGTTGCCCCTGCGGCGATGATGGCTGCGGCATCAGCAAGCGGGGCCTGCTTGGACAGCTCGGATACCAAGCCTCCTTGGAATATGACATCCGACACGGCAAGTGTGATGGCGGTTCCAAGGCTCTGGACGAAGACAACAATCGACATGCCGATAGAGACATCTTCGGGTTTGAGGGCGGCCTGAACGGCGATAAGGGGCTGCAATGAGAAGTGATCAGCACTCTGGGCACGAAAAGAACTAAGACTCGTCATACACACCATTTGCATGCCCAACCCGCGGCCAGCCCCGTTGAGAATCTGATATCCAATCCATTTGGAGGTAGAGGTGGTAGGGGAGAAAGTTGAGATGAGACCGCTGGAGATCGAGCTGCAAGTGCCGGAAAGTACGATATACGGAATAACATAGCCCGTCCATTGTACTGCGACCCACGTTAGAGGAAACCTCCCTGCACCCGTAAAGCCAGGCGTTGATTCTTACCTAGCCTACCCCCGGTTGCTGTCATCAAAAGCTGGCTGATAATGCCGGGTAAAATGTAGACACCGCTCATCATGGGGCTCGCACCACGGACTGCCTGGAAATAGATGGGCAAGAAGAACGACACGCAGTAGACGATCGTCAAAAGGAAGCATTGAGTGAGTGCACCAGACCATGCCGCCCTCACTCTGAGAATGGAGAAGGGAATCAAGGCATCGTCACCCCGGTACAAATTCCAGGCCAGCCAGGCCAAGGCAGTTGCACCAGAGCCGCAAAACAGCCCGATGATGTTCTCCGATTTCCATGCATATTTGGTTCCGCCCCATGAAAGGGCGAGCAAAAGCTGGACCGCGGCCGGGGCGAGAAGAACAAAGCCCGGGAGGTCTAATTCGAGATGGAGTCGTCGAAGGACTGTCCACGGTCTTGGCTTTGAGGCTTGGTCAGGAATCCGAACAAGTAGCAGCCCGGCAACGACAACCAAGCCAATGGGCAGGTTGACGTAAAAGCACCAGCGCCATGTTGCGTAATGCGTGAAAGCGCCGCCCAGAAGCGGCCCGAGAACAATGCCGGTTTGCGATAACGCCATCATCATCCCCGTCAGAAGAGGTCGCTTCGGCAAAGGTACGGCACAAGCGATGATCGTAAGGGCGCCGTTGTTGAGGCCAGCGCTTCCAATCCCAGCCACAGCGCGTCCGGCAATGAGCATTGCCGACGATGTTGCACCTCCGCAGATGGTTGACCCGAGCTCGAAGATGCCGAAGAAAACGAGAAACGAGATCTTGTTGCTGAACTTGTGGTAAACCTTACCACTGAGCGGCTGCAGAGCTGCGCTAGCCAGCTGGAAAGCGGTCACATACCACCCGACATCTCGAAGGGAATGAAATTCATCTGTAATGCGTGGAATCTAGGGCCATGGAGGGTCGGTCTTAGCACGGTCAGAGATGTGGGCAGCTTCACTTACTGCAGTCGCAATAATCGAAGCATCAAGCATCATGAGGAAGACGACAGTGGTAACCAAAAGCATTAAAATCACGAGCCCGGTACCGCTCATCCACTTGGGTTCATGCTTGGCGGTGACGACACCATCTTCAACATCGGCATCGTCAGGTTGAGATTTCTCGACGACCGAAGGCTTCTGCGAGGGCCGAGTTCGTTCCCGCGAAGGAGCAGCGTCAGCATCAAGTGTCCAGGGCGCTGCTGAATGCTCAGCCAAGCTTCTGGTCGACGAGCTCGATGCCCTTGGCCTTCGGCCCATTGCGAAGCTCGCTTTGCCGACTTATGGTTAGGAAAGTTGCGAAACGAGGCCCTAGGGCAGTGTGAGGGGCACTGGAGAGCAGAAAGAGGAATTCTGAAAACCTCGGAGTAGGAATTGCAAATGAAACTCGACAATGCAGGTAAGATACCTAAGCAGTGTTCCGCAAAGTCGGTGGTCATCAGTTTGAGCTGTAGGCGACTCACTTGAAGGCGAGGCAGGTCGCACCTTCCTGGCACCGACTGATACGGGAGCAGAAGGGCAGACGGCCTAGGCCTGGACTAGTCGACTAACCGAGCTTTCATCCAGTGGCCTCACCAGTACAACAAATCATGGATGTAGTATAACACATCTCTGCCTCGTTATCTCACCTCTGCCCGACCTGAAATTGGCCCGAGGACAGCATCGGCAGCATTTATCATCACCGGCGCGAGGGATGTGGAGGGCGGACCCCAGAATCCATTGATTCCATTCCTTGTTGACCACAATTTAGAGTTTAGTCCGGTTGCCCGCTTTCTAAGAATATTTCACGTTAATAACTGCGACTCTGAGGTAAATGGAATACGACAAGCTCCTCACTCTCTGGGAATTCGTCGCCTCCCCCGCCGCCGCCAAACCTAGCACAGCCGCCACGATAGGCGCCAGGCTAGGAGCGGGAGCCGGTAGCCGGGGAAGGGTGCCTGTCGATGGGGGATTTCCCGGCGCTGTGCTCCCGATAGCAGTGCCCGAGATGTCTGACTTGGGTTGCCGGTGCTCGACAGCGATGCTACCTTGAGGGCGGCTCTTGGCCAACTTTGTCAATTATTATTATAAGGTGCTGTTTAAGGTGTCTCGGGTTGTCTCGCAACTAGGCTGCTTGCAATTCATAGTTACCCCTAACCCTACTCTCGGGCGCGCGACCATGCATGATGTAGGTAGTGCCCTGCCACGTGCCTGCCGGCTGCCCCTCGGCGGATTTGATGAAGCGGGGTTCGGAAGCTGCGGATTTGTCCGATTCCCGACTCCAATCATCAATGGTTTGAACTGTTGATGCAGAATCCTCGTTTCAAGCTTGCGTTCTACATTAGACTCGAGACGCACGGAAATTCGGTAATAACCATATCTTCCTGCTGCTTATACTTGCTTGAGCGGGATCGGTCTGTTTCAGTAACATCTGGCCGGTTGAACAGCTCGGCCTTCATCATTCATGTGCTCGGCTCGGCTTCCAATCCGCCCTAGAAGATCTACTTCTACCGTCTCTCAACCAACCCGGACCCCCATTGGGGTCCATTAGAAGCACAATGGAGTCGGGAGGCGGTGGAGTAGCAGGTGGCACGCCAGCGCCTTACGGAAGAGCATGCACGAACTGTGCGCGTGCGAAGTGCAGATGCATCTACCGGTCCGGTGGGCCTGACTGCGAAAGGCAAGTACAATACAACATTTTTGCCGAATCTGGCTTTGACCAATGCGCCGGGCCGGGTACCTGCACCGACATCGCGGCGCCTACCTACACTACCCCGTCGAGGGCTGGCGGAATGACGCGCCGAGTCCTCGGCACCGGGTCCGGCATGTTCTTGAACCCCGCTCTGGGCTGTCCACGGCGCGACCCACCCGTTCATGCACACCCTTCTAACGAGAGCTTTGCCCTTGCCTGTTTTCATTTTGCGAGGCTGACATTGGAATCAGATGCCATAGGCTGAAGAAAGAATGCGTGCCGTCCGTCTCTGTCCGGAAGCGCAATGGCAAGAAAGCCCACGTGTCCCGAGCCGCCCAGCTGGAGGCCAAGTTGGAAGACCTCGTCACGCTGCTCCGACATCAGGCCGCCGCGACAGACAAGGTGTCATCTCCCGTTGATACGGCGGGCAGCACCTCTGCCAGCACGCCGGCCATGAGCAATCACTCGAACACGAGCCGTACCGAAGACAGCTCGCCGTTCTCCTGCGCCCCTGCAATCCTACCTTTCCAAAAGCCCGACTCAGAACCCGGTAGAGCCCGGGCATGGCCCCCCCGTGACAACCTCCTTCCGGGCCCTTTTGGTTCTGTGTCTCGAGACACGGTCTCGTCAGTGCCCTCAGTGGACCTGCCATCCATCCAGCCGGACCCCGCCGAGGCTGAAGAGAGCCTCGCGACTTTCCGCAAGTACATGCTCATATTCATACCTTTCGTGCATTTGCCTGCTACTATGACTGCGGAGGGGCTCAAAGTGCAATATCCGTTTTTGTGGTTTAACATTATGGCCATCACCTGCAAAAACGCGGACCGGCGTGTCGCTATGTGTGAAGCGGGAAAGAGGTATTTGGCCCAGAAAATGCTATTCGAAAATGAGAAAAACATCGATCTTCTTCTCGGCCTGGTTGTGGTCCTGGGCTGGTAAGCAAGGGTCCCTTTCTCTAGCCCGAGAGCCAGCAAACATTGACACGTATAATTTCACCAGGACTCATTATTATCTTAGGAGAGATAAGCCGATTCTTTCACTCCTGGCTTCTCTTGCAAAGTCTCTGGTGTTTGACCTGGGCCTCAACAAAATCCCCGGCGAGGGGTACATTGCGGTCTGCCTGAAGATGTCCTATCTCCCTGCCCCCAAGGAGAAGACTATTGTAGAGATGCGAGCTGTGCTAGCATGCTTTTTGCTTACTTCACAGTTCGTGGGATTTAGCTCCTGCAACGATCTGCTCACTTGCTGACACGGTTGTAGAATATCGCACTCGTTGAAAAGACTGGATGCGTTGAACTGGACGCCCCACATGGACGAGCACCTCCAGACACTCTCTCGGCAGCCAGAATGGGAAGGCGACGATCTACTGGTGGCCCAGGTCAAAGTTCAGCTGATAATCGAGCAACTGACCCGCGCTACGTCCCAATCACCGGACGGTATCCCACCGGGTTACGTCCTGTCTTCTCTGCGGTCGCAGCTGCGCAGCACGAAAGCCCAGCTCCCCGGCCATCTTCAGCAAAACGGTATGTGGCCTTCCATTGGGAGTACACCGCTCCGCGCCCACTAACAAGAAACCAAGACACGATCCTCAGTCACATATCCTACGCCGAACTCGCAATCCTCGAGCTGGCCATGGCCAAGCCAAAATCAACTTTCAACGGCACCATATCCGATATGGAACGCTACGAGGCCATGGAAGCAAGCCTTTGCGCAGCCAAGGAATGGTTTGACAGACACTTTTCGATTCCGCCTTACGTCTATGTCGGCATGACCTTCCCTTACTGGTGGAATATGGCTCACTGTCTCGTGACGATCCACCGCCTGTCAATCCTCGATGATCCGGCCTGGGACCGCCAGGCCGTCCGGAGCAAGTGCGACCTGATCGCCTTTTGCGACCGGCTCAGGCTTGGGTATGAGGAGGTCGCTGCGCTGCGGCGGATGGAGGTCGGGCCAACGGAAGAGGAGGACACGTTTGCCAGGTTCGTCAAGCTGATGACGTTAATGAAGAACAGCTGGGCTCGCGACTTGTCTGCAGTGGAAGGGAACCCCAAGCTGGGGTCAGCAGCACCCGCGGAGCCTCTCATCAATGGGAATATCGATGGGCTGATTGAGCCGTTCCTTCAGCCGGAAGACTCGGATACGTGGCTCGCAGGCTTCTTCGACATGAACTGGGACGTATAGGATGTTCCCGGTAATCCATGCCATGGTTGAAGATGCACTCTGGCTACGCTGCGAGTTAAATGGCAAAGCTGCCAAGCCTCAGGGGTATCTTGAGAGAGAGTGCTCGACATGCCGCTATCTACAGCGAACCCCTGCCCTCGAACATACACATACTGCTCCCAAATACCACGCTAGTCCAGCACTTGGTTGCGTCTTGTGGACGGCTGACCCTCCACAACCGCGGTCGAGGGTATCGGTGGCGGCGGCGAACCGACCAACTCAGCCGTATGCGGCCCTCCGAAACTGATTCTCGACAGGCTCGAGAAGCTCATGGCCCGTGACCGGTCGCCGCCGGGTATCATGTACGTCGGGAGTTCAGGGCTTCCAAATCCGGGGTAACTGACTGAAGCTCGCGACTGGGTCTCCTGCCCTTGTAGCTGCCCCGCCGGGATACTGTCGGGCCGGTACGGGGTCATGGGCGACACGGGTAGGACGGGCTGTCCCGGCGACGGATATGTCGTGAACTCGCTGACGGGGCGCTGCTCCCCTAGATCGCCTCCTTCCAGCTGCTGCCGTTGTTGCGGCGATTGGAAGTAATCGGACTGTTCAAACCCCGGTTGACCAGGCATCGTCCCCGCCGGAGGAATCCTAAACAGCGCCTCCCCTGATCCGCCTCCACCTCCGCCACCAGCACTACTACTCCTCTCCGCATACGTGCCGCCGTTTCCGATCCCAAGGTAGAAAGGACCATCCCTCCCTACTCCGGTCGCTGCTCCCTCCATGTCTTGACCGGGTGGTGGCGGCATGTCGGCCATGCTCCGCGGGTACTCGGCCGTGACCACGGCGCCGCGGATGCCGCCCTGCGACCGCCGCCACAGTAGGAAGGCGATGGCTGCTATTATTGCTATGCCCGCTACCGCGCCAGCGGCAATGCCCGCTGCTGTGCCGGCCGACAGACCCCCTTTCTTCCCATTTCCTCCGTCAGGTCGTGGTAGTGATGTTTCGGAGGCGGAAGATGCAGAGGTGGAGGTTGGCACTGTCAGGCGTGTCTTATCGTCTGCTGTGCTGCTGGTGGACTGCGAATCGGCTACGGATTGGGTGGTCTTGACATCTTGCGTGCTTGTATCCTCGTCATCTTCCTCATCGTCGTCGGGCTTTCGTGATGATGACGAGGGCTGGGGTTTTGCGCTGGGACGACTGTTTTGGCCTGACGTCAGGGTTATAGTTCGGCGGACGGTCTCGACGTTTTCTTGCCGGGCGTCCAGCTTTGCGGGATCGCTTCGGCGGGCATCCACGGCGGCCTAAAAAAGGTGTCAACAGGGCGTCGGAGCAAAGCCGTGAAGAAATCCAAGTGCTGGGGTGAAGGCAGCGAGCGCACCTCTGTTGTCTTCGTGGTGATGAATTGTGCCGATGCAGCAACGCCAGCTCCCGCAGCGGCTACTGTCAGTAGGGAAAGCAAGGTTCTTGCTGGCTTCATGGATTGACTGCGTTATGCTGGCGCCAAACCTGAGATCTTTTTCTTGGGTGAGCTATCCTATCACGACAGCGACGCTGGGCTGTTCAACCGCATCCTCTGAGGTCAGGAAGTTGGGGTGGGGGGCCGCTAAAGGAGATTCTTGTTGTATATTCGATCGAAGAGCCAAAACCAAAGAAGCAAACGGATAGACGGTTGAGAGTTGGCTACACATGGCTTATAATGTTGACTGTGCCGGATCCTGCGTGTTTGTGCGGCTTTGGCCGCGCAGGAAGGCCGGCCTTGATCCTTCCATGTGTCAGTGCTCACCGTAGCTCTGGCCTGACCACTACCCTTTTCTTCTACAATTGGCCGGCGAGGTTAGCGGTTAACAGCCGCTCATCTATTGTCATTTCTATCGAACTTCGGCTACGTGCCAGGCAGGTACTAAAATAGTAAGCTATTGTGACGTAGCCGCAGTTGCGCAAACATCTCCAGGCGCATCCTTTAGAGTCTCGAGATTTAGGTATGGCCGGGATAAACTAGACCTTGACTGTAAAGCTCGGAGAAGATCTAATTGAGCTTGTTTGTTTGTTTGTCGAGGTGTCGAGGTTGAGCTTTCAGACATGGCCTGCAGTGCTCGGCCGGGTTTGTGTATCAGCTCCGGCCCGAGACCCAAGGTTTCGGATGCCGGTGTTGGGTCGTCAATTTTGTGGATTTTGCGGGTCATTTGGCCGGGCCAGGCGCGGCCCGTTCGGCCTGGTCTGCCCTAGCGCGGTACGTACCCGACCGTACTCTTTCTATTCGGGACGTAGCATTTGAACTCTGCAACCTGCTCCAATTCTTCCCTCTAAGTTGTTTCTATTATCCTCTCATGCTGTACAATGCAACACATACACACCTCTAGTGCCCAGCTGGTTGAAAGGTGGATATTTCACGGAGGACTCCTATGGTAATCTTATCATCGAAACACCCCTTTTGGACCGCCGACGTAGTATTAGTTTACGAGCACTCATTAATTATCGGCCCAACGTGGAATAGCGGGAACCCCACTGCAATTGCTTTTCTCTCGGCTTGGACGGAGATTGCAAAATGAGAGAGAACGTGTGAAAACAAGTCATCGGCGGAGGAAACGCAAAGACACGAAGTATTATACTAGTAGGTGGAAGGCTGAAACAGTAGTCCTCTAACGCGCCGTTGGTTTAACGGTATTGTACTGTACACTATGTACTGTACCCAGGAATCCGGTCCCGCAATCCGCAGTGACGCAGGGATCCTACCTGCTACCGCAGCAAGGGCCAGACGCATCGAGCGCCCCACTGTGACAAACGGCCGGGTGTCCCTGTCAAGCCGTTGTTGATCCGCAATTTGCTTGAGCTTCGTTGAATTGCACGGAAGTCCGCCAGACCTACCCTTTCGAATTTCGACCAACGCCAATGCTTTCTCTCTTCTGTGTCCTTCCGGTCAGTTCTAGCCTGTCGCTTCCGGTCGACCGCGTATGCAGCGTAGCACCTGCCCTATCGATTGACGCTGTATCTGATACCGGAGCTTCTTGTTGTTTAACCTCATGCTTCGCATTGGTCAACAACGTCATCGCGATCGAGTCTGATATCACTTGAGTTGAAGCAAGCAACATGGACGAGACGCGCCAGAACAGGCCGTCCGGGATACCTCGCCCATCCAAGATTCCAATTCGAACACAATCACTCCGGACATCTGCATCTCACGAGTTACTGAATACCGGCGCCGCGAACGGACCTCTGCGAAACCAGAAGCTACGGACATATCTTTCCCGCGACCAGCTGCTTTCTTCCCCGGTGGCCCAACCAACTGCAGCATCCTTGCGCGCGGTGTCGTCGCCGACTGGTCGAGTGTCGTCGGGCCAGACTCGGACGGCGAGACTTTGTCATGCTGCCGCAACTCCATCTTCAAGACCAGCAAGAGGAGGTCCGACGGCGAGTCAGGGGGCTCGTTCGAGCTCAGCAAATGCCGCTTCCATTCGGCGTAGAACTTCGCAGCAATGGATCTCTGCTGCAGAGCCACCAAAAGGGCAGGAGGAGGAGGAGGACGCTGGCATGGAGGGTTCTTGGACTATGGCCAACAAAGACCAGGCCGAAGACCCCCTTTCGGCATCTCCCGACAAACTGCGGCCGTCGCTTGCTGAGCGGACCATCGAGACGCTGTCTCGTTTGCCCTCGTCTCCTTCAGTCAAAGGCAGAGCCGCTGCGTCCTTTTACGACCCAACTGTGGCGGGCAGGAGATCACCAACGCGGCCGGGAAGTCGACTGTCTCGGCCCGACTCTAGTCATCAGTCGGACGAATCAGGCGGGCGGCCAAAACGCGGCAGCAGCCCAGGTTCCAACTCCGGCCTGGAGGAATCCGTCTCAAGCCTCCGATCCCAGATCTCGCCCGTTGAGAGCACGCCTCTGCGCAACAGGAGGAGCCTTCAGTCGTTCCACGCATCGTCACCGAGGACCACACCGGCGAGGCCGGTCCGGGCATCAGTATATGGGACTCAACCGCCCACCACGATCCCCACCCTACGCCCTAGAACTCCCAGCCCCGACAAGCACATGTCACAGACCCCCGTCCCCAGGTCTAGCTCCAAGGCCCTTGCGCCCCGTCCTCCAACCAAACGCCCATCGGTCAATGACTTGTCCAAGAAGCCCAGTGGGGCGCCAGGGAAGACGACTGCATCAGAGGCGCCGAGGAAAGCGTCGTTGGCCTCCCGTGGCTCATCTATAGCCTCCTACGAGGGGACCAACCCTTCCAGCGCGTCAGTTGCGTCCGCCAGCACTGCCATTACTGTGGACTCTGCAGAACCCGGCCAGACGTACAAGAAGACGTCGTCAGCCTTGCGTGAGCAGATTGCTAAGGCGAAGGCGGCCAGACGAGCTGCATCACAGAAAGCCTCGTCTTCCACAGCTGCTGCTTCCGAGGGCGGGGCCTTCGTATCAACCGACGCCAGTTTTGAGTTTGGGCTCTCCAGCGACCCCTTCAACCAGCATCGCGATGATAAGTCCCAAGCCAAGGTATTGAGGAGCCGGTTGGAGACGGCACGAACGAGCGGCCGGCTCAACATTGCTGCCATGGGTCTGAAGGAGATTCCGGCTGAAGTTCTAGACATGTACAACCTCGAATCCATTGGACAGCCCGGCAGCGCTTGGGCTGAAAGTGTCGATCTTACACGATTCGTTGCCGCCGACAACGAGCTGGAAATGATCAGTGACGCCGTGTTCCCGGATGTTGATCCGCAGGAACTGGCCGAGGACGAGGATAGCCAGGGAAATATCTTTGCCGGGCTGGAGACTCTCGACCTGCACGGAAACATCCTGGTCAACCTGCCGCTGGGGCTCAGGCGCCTCTCCTTGCTCACGTCTCTGAATCTGGTACGTAACCTTGCCTTTCGAAGAAAACGATGGCACCGCACATGCTTACATGCCTTGCTTTGGTAGTCTCTTAACCGGCTATCGAACAGTTGCCTCGAGGTGGTATGCCAAATCAGCTCGCTGAAGGACCTTAAACTCAGCGGCAACCTCTTGTACGGGCCGCTTGATCCATGCTTTTCGAAGTTGGAGAACCTCGAGATCTTGGACCTTCATGGCAACAATCTCTCATCGCTACCGAACAATTTTGGCAGCCTATCTCGTCTTCGGATTCTCAATATAAGCGAGAACGGCTTCGAAGAGCTGCCGTTTGATCTTCTGGCTGGCTTGCCGTTACGGGAGCTGGTCGCGCGCAAGAACCAGCTGAACGGCACCCTGTTCCCGGATGCTGTCGATGCTCTGCCGACACTTCAGACGCTGGACATCTCGTCGAACCAGCTTGTCCACATCTGCCCTCCCGGAAGAACAGTCGCGATGCCGGCCCTAAACCAGCTCTATATCTCCGTGAACCGTTTGCAGACGCTGCCCGACGTCAGCGGTTGGACGAGCCTGGTTACGCTCGCGGCTGACGAAAACAACATCAACGCCATCCCCAAGGGCTTCACAGGACTTCAGCAGCTGAGGTCCGTAGATCTCTCGAGCAACGACATTCGCATCGTCCCTGCCGAAATCGGACGGATGGAGAACCTCGCCAACCTCCGGCTGAGCGGGAACCCGCTACGGGAGAAGAAGTTCACCTCTATTAGCACCGAAGAGATGAAGTTGATTCTTGCTCAGCGACTGGAGCCGCCCGCGGTGGAGGAGGCCAAAAAAGAGACAGAACGGGACGCATCCATCGCCAACAGACAAGCAACAGCGGCGGATGCGGACGCTGCCAAGCACGCCGAGGACGATGACAGCCGTTCTGACTCGGATGACTTCGTAACTCCGCCGACATCTTCCCTGGACTCTCCAGACCCTTTGCGTTTAGAGACGGCCACATGGCCCGTGAAGTCGGGCGGTGTCCTGGACCGGTCCAACACGCAGTCTTCCTCCCTCCACCCGGTTGTCTGCTCCAAGCTCGCGGCAAGCCACAAGGTGTACGAAGTCCAGCTGCATCACAACCTCTTCACCGCGCTTCCCGAATCCCTCACCTTCTTCGCCCAGACCCTCACCGCGCTCTCCGTCGCCTACAACCAGCTCGTGGGCGAGTCCTACCTCGGCGGCGCCTCCGGCAACGAAGTCCTCGACCTGCCCTCCCTCAAGGAACTCAACCTCTCCCACAACCACATCACCGGCCTCGGACCGCTGGTCACCCATCTCCGCGCCCCGCAGCTCCAGAAGCTCGACGTCAGCTTCAACCGCCTCGCCGCTCTGCCGCCGGGCACGCAGCTGCGGGACGCCTTCCCCACTTTAACCGTACTTCTAGCATCCAACAACCACCTGGCCGACCTCGACCCGGAGTCCATCCGCGGACTCAAGGTCGTCGACGCGGCCAACAACGATATCGCACACCTGAACCCGCGCATCGGGCTGCTCGGCAGCAGCAGCAGCAGCGGCAGCGGCAATGGCGCTGGCGCTGGCGGTCTGGAGAGGCTGGAGGTGAGTGGGAATCGATTCAGGGTGCCGAGGTGGAACGTCCTTGAGCGCGGTACTGAGGCGACGCTTAGGTGGCTGAGAGGAAGGGTGCCCGTGGCGGAGATGGCCGGGTGGAAAGGGGAGGACGGCCTGGGAGAGGGGGACGAGGAGCTGGATTGAGCGCCGCCAGTGGTGGCATTGCCCAGGTTCCTGTTGCTGTTCCTGTTTCTTCGTCTTTGTCTTCGTCTTCGTCGTGGTGGTGGTGGTGGTGGGTGGTGATGGTGTTGGTGTCGGGAGGGGTTGCTATTGGGGGTGTCCTTCTCGTTTTGGTTGGGGACTCGGAATCGTTCGTTTCCTGGTGGCGGGATTTGGCGCGGCGGCTGCCACATGGTTTGGTTTCTTCTTCTTGGACATTCTAGCATCTTTGCCATTCAGCTGTATAATTCCCCCGTCTTTTATCATTCCTTGATACCAACCGATTCCTTCTTTCTTGTAATACTAGTTAGTTCACTGGCGGAGCTGACCTTGAGGCTTCAGGGGCTCCATGTGCCGGTTCTTTTTCTCTCGCTGAAGAAGCACTTCAGTTTCGGTTGTATGTATTACTAGTAGTTTGGGACAAGGATACGGCAGATTGGGCCCTCAAGGGCTTTGCTAATAAAAGTGATTGAATGCAATACGCGTTTCAGCAAGGTTCACTGGGTTGTAAGGTGGTCTCCAGGCTGCACTCCCATGTTCTGTCCGCGCATGATGCCTAACGAACACCAGAGTACTGAACACGATCTGTCATTACTTGTAAAGAGTCTTGGCTTTGGGATTTATATAAGAGTATCTATATACTTCTCCCCTGCCATTTAACTGGAGGTTGAAGACTGTTCTTGTTTCTGATGTGTCACCTAGGTAGGTAACTTCCCTTGTTGAGGTAAGTGGGAAGGCAACATTGGGGATGAGAAGAAGTCCAACCCTAACCCTGTGGCTTCCTCGACCCCTGAATCCTCAAGCACGGCGCGTTCAGTGGCATGTCGGGAAAAGTGACCTGTCCTCAAGCTTGCTAGTCACGACCAGATTAGCACCTCGACGTCAACCTGCACTACAGCTTTTGCTATCTCTGAAGACGCCCGGCTGCATCTTGGTCGCCCCGAACTTACGCCAACGATCCTAAGTTCTGCCAATTGACGGATCCCAAAAGCGGCAACAATCGCACGCCATTCTTCCTCCGAGAACCGACGAAAGGAAGCACCTCGCGCAACCGGCAGCATGACGCGCGCACAACAGACCATCTCCCTTGCGCTCCTCGTGAGCTCTGTACGTCGAGTGCCCCCTCTGCGACGCACAGTTTTAGCTTTTCACTAACGGTGGCCCCTCGCGCGTGACAAGCTCTACCTCTCCCTCTACCTCGAGCTGATCCCCCTCCCGGCCGCCATCCAACAAGACATCGTCCCCGTGGTATGTGCTGGCTGGGCGCCTTACTTACAGCTGCTCCATTTACCTTTTGAGTTGGCGGGAGTGAATACAGAGAGACAGATGACTGACTGACACACAAACGAAAAATAGCTCCCCTTCTGGTTCCTCGTCTCGTTCGGCGCCTGGCTGCTCTTCCGCCTCGGCTGGGGCATGCTCACCTTCCGCGACACTCCCGATGCCTACGCCGAGCTGATGGAGGAGATCAAGATGGCCAAAGCAGATTTGAGGACGAAGGGTGTGGATGTTGACTAGGTAAATTGGGTTGGTTGCAGAAGCTGCCGGGGGGTGGGGGCGGGTTGGGGGTTTGAGAAAACATTATGTGGTGACTTGATAAAAAGAATAATCGTCTGTATAACAAAGGGATACTGCACGGGCTGATGACTACGTGGTCGCGAGGTCGGTCGGACACCACTACCTAGGTGCTCATCGGGTTGCTTGGGGGGGGGGGGGGGGGGGGTTCCTGGAGTGAGCCGCTCAAAGTGACGGTGCCGGGTTGAGACGAGCTGGTGGGTGGATGGTGTGAATTGAAGAACTATGAACGCCGGGGTCAGAGGGCTGGAATTGATAGCCTCCTGGTACGAACTGCCTGCCTGTGGGAACATCTTTATCCTTCGTTGGGCCCTTGGAGCTAGTTCGCGCCGTGAGCGAATGCCGAACTCCTGTAACAATGGCTCCAAACCTCCCTCTTTGACCACGGGATATCGGCTTCGGGGGCCTCCGTCTCCTGTTGAAATGTTCGAGCATTCTTTCTATCCCTTAGGTTTGCAGAAGATAGAAGCTCCAAGGTTCTAATCCAGCCAGAAGACCTAGGTAGAGCTTGCGGCAAAGACTATACTGATTTCAACACTGCGGGTATTCCAACAAAACTCCTCGTCCCACAACATAACAATGCAACGCGAATGCTGATGGTGTCCCATCCTAAGATCATGACGACTCCGGTCACGACCTTTGCTCCCCAGCAAGTAAACATACTACAGTCCTGACAGCAGGGAGCGGGTCCTCACCACCCTGTATCAATTCATCAAACAGCTTCGGGAGGCCGGACAGCTGCCCTCTCTCATCATGTTTATGCCCTATCCACACCATGTCAGCATCAGCGCCCATCAATTGAGAAGCTCAACGTTCGACTCACATTTCCCAGGCACGCCCACAAGCAACCCGATCTCGTTTCTTGCCTCCCCCGTCCAGTCAAATGCGATCCGCCATTGCACCCTCAGGCTCGATGTATCCCCCCTTCCACCGTCCAACACGGGAATTTGCAAGTCCAGACACGTCCGCCCCAGGAACGGGAGAAGGTCAGCGGTTTCATACGTCTTTAGGTCATCAAGACTCGAACCCTCCCCGGCTTCCTCCTCCTCCCCATCGTCGCTACCGCCATCCTCACGTTGGTTAACCCGCCTCTTCCTCCTCCTCCGCGTTTTCTTCCTCGACCTTTGCCGCGCCACCATCTGCAGCAGGGCTTCCTTATCATTGACCTCTCGCTCCAACACAATCCACACCTTGGCTCGCTGTACTGCGACACGCAGCCATTCGCCCATGCCCCAGGATAACACACTGATGTTGTTGTACAAACCGCTACTGGCGACGCGCTCATCTCCTTTCTCGACTATTCTGTCCACGAACGGCCTCAGCTCCGCCTCGGCGGCGGGATCGAGCCTGGGGACCGCGAGCTCCGTGATGGCCATGGTTTTCGTGTTGACCGTCATCTCGATGCGCGCTGTAAATAAGCCGCGAGGGGAGGTAGAAGACGCGGCTATGGTGTGCTTCTGGAGGAGGGGGCCCTCATTATCCGGCCGAGGTAATGGCGAGACGTGCGAGGTGAAGGTCAGCGGGGTGAAAACTTGGAGGTAAGGGAGGGCTTCGTCCGCCGTCATGGGAAGGGGGTGGTGTGAGGCCGGAGGAGGCAGCTCTTCGGAATCCTCGCCCTTTTTGAGCGGTGGAAGAGTGGGCGGGCCGGACGGGGAGGGCTTGCTAAACGGGAGGAATGCGATCGGGTTGAGGGCCGAGGCGAGCCAGTCTTCTACGGGATCGCGCTTGGGGTTGCTGTCCTCTGGTGGAAGCGCGTGACGGTGGAGGAGGTCGAGGATTTCACGCTTGTTAGTGGGAGGAGGTGGCTCTCGTCTCGACAAACGTGCCTGCCGGATCCTTTCGCTCTCCTTGCTTGCGACATCCAAGTCCCATTCTAGCTGGCTGATCTCGGCAAGCAGTGAGTCACGTAGCCGTCTCTTCTCCGCATCTGGATCAGCTGGCCTTAGACCACGCACCTCGGCTGTGGTTGGCGCGGGGGCCGCGGGAGCACCAGTCTGAGTCTTCTTGCTCAGCAGGCCAAAGTCCGCCGGCGCCCCCTTCTGGGGCAGTTCTCTGGGCCGTGAAGGCGGACGCTTGAGTGGCGAGGAACTCTTGAGTCTCTCGGCCAATGCTCTGCTCCGCTTCGGTCGTCGCGACGGCGTGTTGTGTATGCCGGATGGCGGAGTGCTAACCACCGGGTCAGGGTGCTGTGGAGTGGGTGGAAGCTCCGGCTCGGGAGCTGTCACTTCCGGGAGCACCCCAGGCGTCACACCGGAGAGTCCACGCCCGGATATCACCCTCAACAATTCCTCGTCATGCTCGGGCGCAGGCGGCGGAAGCGGTCTGGGAGTCGGCCTCGCCGGAGACTTGGCAAGCCGTGCCGCCGGTGAATCCACAATACTGTCCGCTTCTGAAGCCACTTGGACTCCACCACCGCGCGCTCCAGACCGTAGGTCAAGCTGTGTTCTCAGCGCTCGCGTCAACCCCCCGGTACTATCAGGAGTAGCGGCACGCGAAGCCGAGGGGCCCGCATCGGGAGAGGATCGCAACCTCCTAGGCTGGCTCTCTCGCCGCCTGAGAATGTCTGGATTAAACCGCCCGAGGCTCGCTCGTGTCGGCGATGCAAATGAGGGCCGATTGGGCGGTTCAGATGCTCGAGGCGGGGCGTCTCGGGGTGTCGTCGACTCGGTCTCTGGATGGACGGGAACCGCGGTCCGCGGTGATGTTCTACGCCTTTTGGGCGCCGAGGTCTCCATCGCGCTTCAATTTGGATGGTGTTTATGCCGCCATGGTCGCAAGTACCGGCGGCGCGAAATATCAGTCGGCGACGCGTCTGATGTCGCTGTGATCGCGGAGTTTGAATGATAGTGGGGATTGATGTTTTGTTTGGAAAGGTCCCATCTCCGGGGCGCTCAAATGCCACAGTGTCTCGGTGGGAGGATACTGTATGTGTAACTGGTCCAAGCTGCTGGAATGGAACCTTCACTGTGTCCACGCGCACAGTACCTGTAGCCCTGCCGCCGATGACGTTACCCGCGGTAAAATGGATTCCCACTTTTCCCGCAGCCTGGACCCTGGAAAGTTGAAAACTTCAGATTCCGTCCGATAACAGCCGAATCCGTTCTTCGTTGTCGAGGATAGTTGCCACACTTCATGAAAAACCACGCATATTCTTGTCCGCAGTGGCCATTCCCATAGTACATAGTACATAATACAGCTCGGCTCAAAATGCGGCGAACATTTCTCAGCGCGCGGCCGTCGCGCGCCGTTTACCGCGCATTCGGTAGTCAGCAATCGCGGCGCACCTTCGCGACGGTGCCTACTAAGGATGACTCCCCGCCGTCACCGATTGAGCCGTCTAAAGAGCAAGCGCATCCTGTGGGGCCTTTCTACGAGGCTATTCTCCGGACTCCCTGGCCAAAAGCCAAACCAGACGAGCCTTCGGTAGCGTCTCAGCCAACCGCTTCCCAGCCCCCGAAGCAGGCCCCGGAGGAGCAATCCTCTAAGCCTGCGGATGAGGAGAAGGCCACGGAGGAGACCGAATCGGCAGCAGAAGAGAAAGCCGGCAGGGCCACTGCCCGACGTCCGCGCAAACCGAGACAGCCCTCCGCAGGCAAGGACGAGACCACCAACAACTCCAAGGCCAAGTCGGTTCCCTTATCATGCTCTTCTAGTTCTACCCCTCCTTCCCCCGGCCCCGCTCTATCTCCACAACCACCAGATCCCAGGTCAAACACGGAAGAGAGAGAAGAAGAAGAAGGGTCGTCTAACGACGTACAGGCCCGCGCCCGCATCATCTTCGGGTCCCGCCTAGTCGGACCCGCCGAGCGCGCCGAGCGGCTCGCCGCCATCCGCACCCAGAGCCGTCTCATTGCCGGTGTACTGGTACCGCCCAAGCCGGAGGAGCCCGACAACTGCTGCATGAGCGGGTGCGTCAATTGCGTGTGGGACCGGTACCGCGATGAGATGGAAGAGTGGGCGGAGAGGAACGCCGAGGCGGAGCGAAAGATGATGGCTATGGATGCCGGGGACGTTGTCGGCACTACGGAGCAGAGTATGGAGTGCAACGGAAACGAGGGAGAGTATGGGACGCATGATGAGGAGGTGGATAGGGGGGCGGTTACTATGGAGGATGATGGGGGCGGGTCGGTGGGGAATTGGGAGACGCGTCCAACGACGGCCAAGGGTGGGAGGTCGGTAAAGGATCTCTGGGACGAGGAGTTGTACAAAAACGTACCGGTGGGGATTAGAGAGTTCATGAAGCAAGAGAAGAGGCTGAAAGAGAAGCACCTCCGGGAGGGGACCGTGGGTGGGTAGAATGTGGGGTATAGATCCGGCTTTGAGTCTGCTGTCCATAGACCTCGAGCACATAATGAATCCTCGCCCCAGATGTCTCACTCCAGACGTCTGCAGTAAATGTGGTATTCTCAATCGTAATTGCCCCCCCCCCCCCCCCCCCCCCCAGCTGCCCCTGATTCCGAAACCGCCCCGTTCTATAACTGCAATTACAGTCATCAACATGATGCGCGCCTCCCAGAGAACTCCAAGGCCAATGCTCACGTTGCCGCCCCCGATCGATCGCCAGTGGCTCAACTGAACGCTCAGTGAGGATACAACGCCCACCCATATTGACGGGCTTCTCCCGTCGAGAATGTGGTTGTAGCTGGCGTCGCCAATCCCTCTTCTATACCTTCCGGATGCAGAAGATGCACGCCAGGTCGGCTGATTTGCTTTTTGCTCGCCTCGATTTTACGCATGCCGGCCATCACACGCCATTCTGGGCCTTGGCCTTGGCTTCGGCAGCCAGCCTGTCGTGCTCATCGATATCCATGGCCTCCCATGGGTAGCAAATCCACTCGTCGCCGACTGTCCGGGCAGCAAGATACCGGCCGTTGACGATGTCGTCAGGCAGGACGCCCTTCTTCTTCTTGTCCTTGTTCTGTTCGCCCGGCTCATATGTTAGCAAAACAGTTCCGTTTAGGAGAGTCAAGTAAGGTAACGGGACTGCGGAGTACGCACATGCAACACAAAGATGGCGAACTCGGTCTTCAGATCGCTTCCCATCCGCGCGCGCGCCTCCTCAACGTCCTTCTGCAGCTCTTTGACGGCATACTCGAGCGTTGTGCGAGTGTCGTCCACCTCGTCGACGATCAGCACGCGCTTGCCCACCAGGTTCTTCATCTCGCCCAGCGCCGTCATGTCCAGCCACTGCGTGCGCGTGACCTTGGTACCTGCCGCCTCGACCTGCGCATCGGACGAGTTGGGAAGCTGCTCGTACAGCGACAGGCCGATTGCTTGAATCGGAATGTTGGGGCTGCCGGGTTGCCGGAGGAAAGAACGGAGGATCCGGGCAGGGACGTAGCCGCCGCCGCCGATGGCGATCATCAGCGATGGCTGAAACTCGGCCAGAATCTTGGGAGCCGCCTCCTGGCACAACTTGTGCACCTTTGTTCCCCAGTATTAGCTGACCATTCTTCTCTGAGAAGCAATCCAGCTCGGGCTTGATCACTCACATCGTTGTACGTAACGTAGAGCTTCTCGACCATTTTGGCGATTGGCGCGCTGATCTAGGTTTCACAAACGGCAGAAGCTTTTTAGGATGGCGGGGTTGCCTTCGAGGGTCTACCAAGCGACGCGGAAGTGGCAAAGTCGATCGGTAAACGGGTAAAGAAACCGCACTCTATGGGGGGCAGAAATGGAGCATATATAAAACCAACACGGTCGAAGGGGTATCAATAAAAACATGTGCTGAGAAAGAGAAAAAGTTTCCCTCCTCCACACCCCACCATGGATGGTAAGGGCCGGGCAACCCCGCGGTCACCGTAGCGCTTTGCCTGGTGCCCACCACGCATGCGCCGGGCACAATGCGCCACTACCTGGTACCTAACCTAACCCTTGGCGGAAGGTGATCATGTTGAATATTGGAACTGCTCCACTGGACAGGACCCGATTTAAGCTTACTCCAACCGAGACTTCAGCTAATTTGACAGAGCTATCGCACTACTGTGTCACAGTACTCACGCCAGTCACGTAGCCGGCTTCTTGCAGCGTTTGGTCTCTTTCGTCGACGTATATATGGGCGTTCTTACACCCTTAGCACTCCCTGCCGTCTGCTCTTCCTCATTTCCCGGAAACATTTTCAAGCTCTGGTTGTAAGATGTGGCGGCGAACCTGCTTCGCCTAATATGTAAATATAGGTGTTTTACTCCGTATTGTGCTAGTACAGTACATACACATTGTACATACCGTTACCTTACCTACTAGTACAGTACTAAAGTACTCAGCTCATTGCAGCGCACTGTGTGTCTAGACATCCGTCTGCTGCCCGGGGACGTCCGATACCCCACGGCGAGAAGATCCAGTTTTGAGTTCCATGTGATGATGATGTGAATGACAGTTACTCAGTCTCTGATTCTCTCCGCCCTCATTCCGCCTCCACGATATAGAGTAGCGCCAGAGATGCTACGCACCCAGCTACCTTGGTGATGGGAATGGAAGCGGAAACTGGATTTGCTGTTTCATAATCAGTGCATCCAAACGCGAATGAAGACGAGGAAATATACGACAGACTCGTAAACACCCTAGGTATGCTTCGACAGATATGAGCCATAATAAGCAACCGGCAAATATGCGGACAACAGCGCAGTACAGTCACTCGTCCAGTCTTTCTTCTACGGGTACGGGACTGAATAGCGAAGCAGTGCTTCGTGACACAAAGCGTCCTAGGGTTGACTAATTACCTGAGGTAGGTAATTACCTCAAGCGAAAAAAGATATCATCTTCTCCATGTACCTCTCATCGGCGTCGTCGGGACCCTCACCTTCCTTCATGCCTTCCATCCTCGCTAACAGGTTCCGGCCACCGTCCTTCCCACGTCTGAGGTACCTCAGCTTCGTCTTCCCATCCGTAGCCGCTCCAAGGATTGTCTGTGCTGGATCCTCAACTGCCATGCTGCCAGCGGCGAGCGGCGCGAACCGTTCGAGAACCTTCGCTGTGTAGGCACCGTACCGTTCTTGAACGGCCACACTGTTGTTGTCGGCAGCGGAATTACCACCAGCATTGCTTCTGGCCCGGGCGGAGTTGCTACTAGCAAGAAAGTTTGTTGACCGGACACCACCGTGTACGACGACCAGTTTGACGGTTACAGGCGGGCTGATAGCTCCAAGTTCGTACGAGACGGACTCAGCGAACAGGTTTAGGGCTGCCTTGCTTGCCATGTATGCGCTTGACAGCGGCAACCCGAAATGAGCACCTCCCGAGCTCACGTAGATGACAACGGGAGGGGAGTCGCGGCTCCCCGTGGCCAGGAAATGAGGAAGAAAGGTCTTCGTCAGGCCAATAGGGCCTATGCAGTTTGCCATTAATTAGCGGCTGTCCCACCGGAGGCGCCGGTCCTTGCTCAAAGACGTACCGACAACATTGACCTCGAACTGCCGGCGATAGTCTTCCATGTGCAAAGCTTCCATGGGACCGAAATCCCCATACCCTGCATTGTTCACAAGGATATCGACCTTGCCGAACCTCGCTACGGCCGCATCAAGTGCCGGTTGAAAGGTCTCCGGGTTCAGAAGATCGAGAGCGACCACCAAGAGCGGAGTCTCGTTGTTCCTCAGGAGCTCCTGAAGGTCGGCCGCGGCAGACGGTGCTCTCGCCGTCGCAACGACATCGAAGCCCTTGGAAAGAAAGAGCTTGGTTGTTGCGAGGCCAATGCCTGAGTTGGCACCGGTGACGAAGATTGTGCCGGCTATGTTAACTTCAAGGGTGTTCAACGGCTCTAAAGTTTAAATCCGATGATGAGTGTTTTGGTAGGGTCTACTGATCTGCTACATTCCGGTGCGATGCTATCTCACGCCTCGAAGTGGTAGTCCGTTGTTGGTGGCGAGGAGTCGAGGACGGAGAGCTCACCAGGCAGTCGAGGTGGTGGAGGTCGCTTAGGGGAGAGCAGGACGAGTCGCTGGTGGTCTGCTAGGGGGGTGTGCAATGGCTCCGTTTTTTTGGATGGCTAAACCAGGAGCGTAAGGCATGTATGTACGATGTCGCTGCTGCCACCCAGCGGTCCAACAGCGGATGACCTGACCCGCAGTAATCTCAACCAGTTCACCATCCGTATATCGGATTGGACTTACGCTGCTGTCGCCCCCAAGGCTTCGAAAGGCTTGGTAACCATGGCAAAGGACAAGACGATGAGAAATACGAAAAATAAAGACAGTGATGATAACCAGCTTCACCCGGAGGTTATCAATTGCCTGGAGGACCCAGATGGGCGTGATAAGCATCGTCACGCCTATGGCTGTGATTATCGCCGACAGGAATCGGTTCATCCGTGCGTCAGAGTAGTAGGCCAGCTCTCCAGCGTCGTAGCTGGGGATGTCGCCTCCCTGTGCCTCCAGAGCGCCAGCGTTCGTAGTCGAAGAGAACTGTCGAGATATTGCCGCAGAGGAGTCTTTTCCTCCTTGGGAGCCACGCAGACAAGATCTCGATCGTGGTTCAGGTACTTTTGCTTGTTGGGTGCTATTGCCTGGTAGCCGTGGTTGAAGTGCCAGTTCCTGATGCTCTTGACGTCTCGGCGTGGCGCCACAGAAAGCCGCCTCAGGCTGGATAGTTGGAGAATGAAGTCATCTTCACAACGGTCAGCAAAAGAATCCCGTCAATCCTAATTAGCGTCCAACCGACTATAATTCCTTACCTTCTTCGCTATGGCTTTGACGAGCAGTGAACGGTCCTCCTGTACATCTCCTCTGAAGGTTCCGTTGTGCGAATCCTCTGCATTTCTACCGCTGTATTTCCTATCCATCACCTCGAGCTCCTCTTCGAGCTCGGAGATCTCGTCCTGCAGCATAAGAGCCACCCGGGCGTTCAAGGTATCAAACCGTCGAAGAGTGAAGAAGTCATTATCCGACGCGATGAAGTCTGCGTATCCCTTATAGCCAATGTATTTCCATGGCTTCCGATGGATCTCCTGCTCAGTTGGCTCTGTGTCAACTGCGCTGCCTCCGGGTCTGCTGCCACCCTCCACGGTTATGGACGATTGAGACCGATGGGAGGACTGCGTTGAGGGCATGGCGGGCACTGACCTGGTGCTGTGACACTGACGTGAAAGCAATGTGTCTTTAGGGGGAAATCAACTCAAGAGTTCTCAATCTGGGAGGCCTCCAAGCGGAAGACCGCGCCCGCGTCACACAGTGACACAGTAACACAGCAGATTTCCCCTCTCCGGGTGGTGTTGACTGCCCGCAACGTCTCAGGATGTGATTCGCGGCAGCTCAGCCCCCGACAGACTGCCTTGAGCACTGCCACGGCCAAAGACGCCCGATGAACTTGAAAATTCAGCCCAACCTAAACTTTCATCAACTCTCGATTGTCCGTCATTTGAGCCCAGAGGCGACTCCTCCTCGTCTCAATCCAGCTGATTAGAGCCAGAAGCGGCTCCTACAATTTGCCATCACCACTTGTCGAATCCCCTCTGAAGCAGCCAGTCCGAATTCATCATGCAGCCGGGTAATTCTCCGACTTCCGTTGCGAGCGAAACCGCCGCTGTCCAGGGGCAGCCGCTCAAGCAGTGCTACAAAGCCGTGGACCGGCCCGACAATAATGGAAAAGAGCGTGAAACGTCTCCGATCCGGATCAGTGAGACTCCGATCCAGTTGCCGGACCCTGAATACCGCCATGTCCCCGCGTCCGTCAGCCGCAAGAGAAGCAACACCGTGAGGGCAGAGCCTTCGCCGAGCCGTACGCAGCAGACGTCCTGGACGCCGCAGAACCGCCGGCCGAACAAGCGCAAGAAAGGCTCGAACCCGCTCGGGAACGACAGTGGCAGCGATTCCGACTCCGACGCCGGCTCAAACCGGAAGCTTAACCGCGATGAAGACGGCGTCAGCGGCGCCCGCCGCCGACCCGCCGAGCCCAGTGATACCTCCGAGCCACTTCTGCCGAGCCGCGTGGCCATCGAACGAGAGAAGAGCGAGCGCATGGAGCTTTTCCGGACGCTGAGAAAAGTGACCGACGAATGGGATCGCACCCGGCGTCATCGCGAAAGCAATGATCTGGAATCCAAGTTGAGATCGCACTACAGCACGTTCCGCCGTTGCTGTGCCTATGTGACGATCCCTGGAATAGATGAGCAGTAGGTTCTTCAAGAGTTCAAAAACGATCTGGAAGACTTGAAATGGATGGACCGCTGGACTTTGGTGATTGAAGAGCAGGAAACCAATCGCAAGTGCTTTTTCGATGAGGTCCTGGACGGCTACATTGAGAAAAAGCTCTCGGAAGAGGGTCAGAGCGGCAACGAGGCCGGTGAGAGGCTCCGGAGCACGATGCATGTCCAGCAGGAATTTTGTCAGGGCATTATTGTGCCATGGGTTGCCTCTTTGGTGCTGTTAAAAGGACCCACCGCTGTGACCGTCAGAGACTATATCTCTGAGGAGGAGTTGAGGGTGCTGAGATGGACATGGTTCAGCGACCCATCCATGCCCTGGGGATCGTACTGGCGGTACGTAGTGTACCCCAGACGCGAAGATTCAGAGGGTTTACAACGCACGCTTTTTAAGGTGAGCATGGACGAAGAGCTTCTGGGGATGTGCACGCCGAGTGGCAAGTTTCTTGATCTGGACAAGATGCGCGATCTCCAAAGTGCCATACCTCCGTGGTTTCCAAGGGGTCACACAAGTTGTATGGAGGCTTTCTTAAAGAACTAGAGACGCTAAGGGACTTTGGTTCCTTATGTATGTAGAGAGCCCGTTTCCTTATCGTAGCCTTCTGCCCCGGTTCCTGCTGTACCGGTAATTCTAGCACCTGCCTAGCTTGTGTTTCTGCCCCATGATTTGAGCACTTGCATCTATAAAGAAGTGAGAACATTTGACCTCGGCGGCCTCATGAAGGTCGACGTGATCAAGGTAGGCACGACGTTTGCTTGATTGTTTTAGCCCTACTTTCTTCTCATGGCCGGAAAATGTCACGTCCCAGATAAGTTCTCGCAGTTCCAGGTCATCATCTATCGAACGTAGGAGGTCACACAGGTTGTATTGCTTGCTTGAGGAGTCTGAGACTCTGGGGCACCTTGGTCCTTTATGTACATAGAGAGCCTGCTTCCCAGTCTTCTGCCCCTGTTCCTGCTGTACCGGTACTTCCAGTACCCTGCCTAGCTTATGGTCTCTGCCCCTGATTTCAGCATCATCCAGCATCACCACCATGACCCTAGCATCCTCGAGCCGCATGACACCCTCATTGTGCTTGATGAAACTGTCAGGTTCGCGGATGCCAACATAGACAACCCTTGTGGCACCGTTCAGGCCCGATAATGCCGATATGCGCTCGACCCACGTCCTGTTCCCGCCCAACCTCTCGTTGCACGGCTCCGTAGCCGTGTAAAGCACAGTGTTAGGCGGCAGCACCTTAGCAATATCAAAATCGTGAACGTCGTATCTGTCGGCAAGACTTGATGAAGCAACAGTGTTCGGCATGGCTCGAGCCAAGGTCACCGGGTCTGTTCCGCGGCAGCTATTCAGAATACCTACCCAGTTGCCAGGATCTCGTTTTCATCAGTATCGACGAGTACCGCTCCCACGCAGGCGGCAGAACTTAGATGGCGATGGCGGTGAGAGCCGTGCCTGTTCGACGGCAAATTCCATGCATGCCTTATGGTCGCCTGCGGGGATGGATGGCCAGGGTTCCATTTTCGCGTCGGGCTGAGATGACTAGAGGTCGAGGACGAAAGGTCTAGGCTGCTCGGAGCAACGCCTACAAACGCAAGAATGGAATACTACCTCACGGCAATGGAGCAATTGGACTGGGCTTGGTTGTCAGGGCACTTGGAATATTTCTAGGTAGGTAAGAACCGTAAGATTGTCTCAACTAGTACGGAAAATGGCACCGGAATTGGTTTAATCACGAACACATTCTTCGAAGGACTACCACAAGAGACGCTACTTGTAGGAAGCTTGGTACCCTTTGAACGAGCATGGGGAAGTCTTGGTACATAACAGTGCGTACCATAATATCAGTAGTACAAGGGCGATAGTTAAGGTGAGGAGAAAGACCTCAGCATAAAGGTTATCCACACAATGTAGGACGGAAAGTCCGTAAAAGCATCAGCAACACAGGGTTCATAGTCAGTGACATGAAGTAAATAGACATGCTTAGCTGTTATATAATGTTACCAAGCATGGGGACAGTTCTTAGCTCCGTTTAGCTGGTCTCTTCGTTCCATAGGATGAGCTATCTGATCAAACTCAAAATCCACTTGCCCGATTACGGTATGAGTACGATAGCAATCATTTGGAACTTTAAGTTCAGAACATATGGAGACCATTACTACCAGGGTATCTATCAATGATGTGTCCGGGAAAGACATCCCGTATAGCAGCGAAGAGGCTCTCTATGTTCACACTCCCCAAAGAAAATATCATGGGTGCTCTCGGTGGCAGATGCCTCCCCGATTAGGATGGCACCTCAGCTTGTCCCTTTCTCCTTCCAGATTGCCGCTACATAGGTACCCAGCGTATGGACGTTATAACCTTACTGGCTAGCACGGGGTAGGCTGATCGAATGCACTGGAACTCAGCCCAAAGCCTCGCTCGCCTCGCAAGTTCATTACCAGGTAGGGAGGCCACCCAAAGCGCCACATAGGCCGCCCAATGCCGCATGCTGCTATTGTACGGGGAGTCGGAGGCGCCCATTCGCCGTCCGAACTTGCTAAGGTACCCGTGACGTATGTAGGGTCTAAGGGCTTGCGACGACAGACGCACAAGACGCTGGCTTGTGCTTTTGCAGATTTGCTCAATCATCAGTACGTCAACACGCGGGATAATAAAGAGTCATAGGTGTCCACGTTAGAACTTCAGTCGCGATCATTCTTCCTCCGATCCACATCTCTCTATCTCTGCACAGAACCTCAACCAACATCAATAACCAACGAAAGCCTACAACATGGCCGTTATCGTACGCATATCGATGGCAATTTTGGATAGAATCATCCGCCACAACCATTTTTCGGTTAGAAAATGGTTCTCGCTGATTGCCTTAGCCTCCGCAGGGACCGCAGCATCCGCTCATGCCCAGCGGTACCCTGGCCACCACCCGGGGAACGTTGAAAATGGCGGGAACAGCTACAACGGCAATCCCAAGTACGGAAACTACGCAGCGTATGGCGAATTTGACCCCGAACGCGCGATGAAGGTGCGGAGAATCCACGGGATCTTGGCGGCCGTCGCCATGATCGTTCTCTTCCCGAGCGGATCCATCCTTATGCGCGTCATTCCCGGCCCGCTTGCTATCTGGGTGCATGGGATGACGCAGCTTGTGGCGTTCGTCCTGTTCACTGCGGCAGCTGCGATGGGATTGGGGCTCGTGCAAGAGGTCGACAGAGTTGGCATCAGTCTGGTGAGCACCCTGGTTTAACAGTTTAACTGTACACGGTCCCGCGAACAGCGAGACACGGGAAAATGCTAACCGGATGGCGAATATAGTGGGTTCGAGAGAACACAAACTACCACCTATATATCGGCCTGGTCGTTTTCATCTGTCTGATGATCCAACCCGCTCTTGGTGTCATCCATCACGAGAGATTCAAGCAGCTGCGGCGTCGGCAGGTATGGTCGTATTTGCACCTCTTCAACGGCCGGATCTTCATCACCCTGGGCATCATCAACGGCGCCCTAGGGCTATGGATTGCTCGCGAATCGATCATATGGAAGGTCGTCTACCTCTTAGTGGCCGCCGCGATTTGGTCTCTGTGGTTGGCTGTTGCGATGTGGGGCGAGTGGCGTCGCTGGAGGGAGCGGCGTTTTCCCGCAGGATTCCGTCCGGATCGTAGGAGGGCAACGGGAACTACCTGGTAAGTATTTGGACGTAGCATTTTTGATTTTTGCCAAGTTGGAGGCCTTGATGTGTCTGGTCAAAACGGCAGACCTAGTGTTCTTTCTTTTCGCGTGGTAGTCCCGAGTTGGGAATGTCATACAGACTGGGTGCTAATAAGTGGCAGGGGGCTTCAGCTGGATGATTTGTTTCAAGATCCAGATTGTGAGGAATAGGGACAATCAATATATAGTACTCCTTTATAATATTGCAATATCTCAGTCACTTACCTACGGTAGCTTGAGTGTACCATACTACTCGCTGGGCCTCCTATGCGGGGACTGGGCTTGGCCGTTTTAGGAGGCCCAGTGAGTAGTGCTTATTAGGTTCGTGGGATCGTGATCGATTTGTTGCCCGCAGACTCTGCACTGCAGTAACTCGAAGTTGTTAGTTGGAAGCGTAACGTAACAGTGAGAGTCTTACAGTGCCGGGTGGAGCCTCGGCAAAAACCCAATTTTCTTGCCGATCCTTGAAGTATTCAGCCACTCGGTTTCATTCCCCAAACCAAACCCCGGGATTGGTTGCTGCTGCTTGCAACCCAAGGGCTTCTCCGCGGCTCCGCCAGGCCGCAACCTTCCGGGCGTGCCTGCATGGGGTTTCCAACGAGGGAGCGGTGCGCATATCCCTCGCTGGCGGCAGCGCCATGACTGCCAATGAGAATGAATCCTCAGACGCCCCGCGCGGTCCGCCAACAACCGTGGCCGATGTCCTAACTCTCGTCATCACGACGTCGCCGACGCCCTCGGCACCGGCGACAGAGCTGCTCTCCCATATCATCGCCTCCTTCCGAGAGCATTGCCCCAAGTTGACCGAGTGCAGCGTCATCTTGGTCCTCGACACGTACGATCACATCAGCACCACCGCGCGACTCAAGAAGGGGCATGTGACAGCCGAGGGCGCCAGCACGTACGCCGAGTACAAGGAGAACGCGAAGCGTCTTATTCTCCAAGAATACGCCCCGTCTTGCAGCCACCACACCGGACGCGACCTGGTAGTGGACTACGGCGAGGCCGAATTCGGGTCCACCGCCTACGCGCAGCAGACGAACGCGGTGCCGCTCACCATTACCAGGACCCACGATGGCCGCATAGTCTTCATCGAGCCCTCGCAGCGGCTGGGCTTCGGCCTGGCCGTGCGCTCCGCACTGAGACTAACAAGAACGCCGTACGTCTGGATCCAGCAGCACGACTGGACGCTCGTCTCGGAGGTCCCTCTCTGTCCGCTCCTGGAGATCATGCAGAAACAGTCGAAGACCGCCGGCAGCGCCAATGCCGATGACTCGGACACTGTCCAAGTCCCCATCAAATACGTCTGCTTCCCTTCTGTTCGGATGGTCGAGTACGCCAGGTCCGACCACGTCATGCTGTTTCCCGCCCTGCGCGCTGTGACCTACCTGCACAAGCAGAACTTCACCATTAGGTCCGGGGACGGAAGTATCACCAAGATCCCACTCACGCCGCTCTTCTTCTGGCACGACAAGCCGCATCTGGCAGAGACGGAGCACTACCTCGCAAAAGTATTTCCAAACCGCGCGGCAGTGCCCCGCGGCGCCTTCATCGAGGACACCATCGGCCACCGCGCCAGGGCAGAGATGAAGGACGGCCAATGGAAGAAGTGGGCTTGCTGGCTGTACTACCCTGATGAAGGGAAGCGGCTGTGTATGAGGCACCTCAAGGGGCGGACCTGGCGGGGGGCGGAAGGGGAGCTGGCGCAGAAGCTGGAGTACATGCGACTCAACCAGGCAGTCCCAAATTAATCAACGGGCCGCGATGGGAATCCGCGCCTCCTGTATTAAGGTATTTGGTTGAACTCACCATCTCATAATATCCATAGAAGACACCTTAATAGGGGTTATGATATTTCTCGTCAACGCTGTCTAAAGCTCTCTGGTGGCAATCGGCTTCCATTCAGCGATGGACTTATCCGTTGGCACAAGCCAAACCACGCCGCCGTCCCAGCCGTCCCATCCGCTGCCCTCCGGCTTTTCCTCCGCTAACTGGATCCCGGCCTCTTGCACCGCCCTCGTCACCTTCTTCAGTGCCTCGTCCGTGATCGGCACATCACCACTGTAGCCAGTCAGCTTGCAGCTTCGCCGAAGACAGCATCGCAATGCCAAATGTGTACGCTGTGGGGACGACACTGGAAGGGGGAACCTACTACATCAGACTGAGATGCGGCCCATACTCTTCCCTCCACTTAGTCAACCTAAGCAATCAACGTCAGTTCATGATGCTTTCCCTCTTACCGCGGTCAATGCAGCCTATTTCCGGCCACTCCCTTCGCACATATATGTAGGACTTTTGAAACAGCCGGACACTCCTTTAAACTCACCACTTCTCAGTCTCCTTCCCAAACTTGCCGTCTTTTCCGTCCCCACCAACCTCCTCCCCGATAACGCCCACCGCCCTCGCAACCCCAGCCAGCTCCTTAACGCCTCCATACCCGACCCTGATAAAGCACCTCCTGAAGAAAACATCCTGAGTGACGACCTTCTCAAACCGCACTTTCACTCCTCCTCCTCCTCCTCCTCCTCCTCCTCCTCCTCGTCCGCCCTCCTTCCCCTCGGCGGACGGTGCTGCTGCTGCTGCAGGGAAGAAGAAGGGAATGCTGTCCAGCCAGCCCTGCGGATCATCCCCGTAGCGCGAGGCGGGGATCTCGGAGGTCAGTGTGACGTGGGCGGCGAAGAAATGGGGTGTTACGGCGGGCGAGGAGGCGGCTTCGCGCGGGAATTGGGTCGGGAGCGTTTCGCGAACGAGCGTGGTCAGGACTGGGTGGAGCGGGTGCGAGGGCGGGGGGAGGAGCCAGAGGGAGGAGCCTGGCATTTTTTTTCCTTTTTCTCTATTTCTCGTAAACGAGTAGATAACAAAGGTTGAGTTGATTGTTGCTCCTAATTGGAATATTCAAAGTTGTGGGGGATCAAGGTGAAAGAATACGCTTTGGGTGGTTTGGTTTAAAGAAAACTCTCAAGCCAAAGTGATGTCGGATGGAAACGTGCGGAGTCGGCGGTTGCGGATTGGGCCAAGCTTGCTCTGCTCCATAACCTCACAGGCTCAAGCCAAAAACGCGTGATAATTGCTACTAATAAGATCCGTCAAATCTTACCTGGCAGATGAAAACGAGGAACTAAGAAGAATCTCTGGTCCATTCTGGAATGTCTGCCGCATCATGCACAGTAAGCTTTGTGCTCGAATTCTGCTCGGGATGTACGGAATACTACCTTTCCGTAGTAGTACCACAACCTGCTCGGGAAACATAAGCGCCCTTGCATCGCTGGCTTCAATCATTCTATCTAACCATCACTTTCATATTTTCTCTTTCTCAGCTAATATTTCATTTCTCCTTGTTTTCTTCTTCTTCCTCAACTGAGTCTGACCCATCAAACGGGTTATGGGTGATGAGCCTAGCCGCCCAAGCTTCATCCCCGTTCCTCTCGCCGTGTCCAACCGGTATTATAGCTTCTATCATTTTATGCTCCTCTGCTAACTAGTAGGCTTGTATTCCTTTCTAGCCCATCGGCACGGTTGGCTCTGCTTACTACTCTTCGCTCCAGTTCCCTCCCATCCTCTTCCTGACCTTCCCTACGCCGTCGGATCCCGCCTCGACTGCGGCATCATAGGCCAGGCGGTACACATGCAGATTCTCCGAGAACAAGGGACGCCAATCTGCCCAGCCCGCCACGCGCCTGATCTTGTCGCTGGCGACCCACTGACTCCAACCAAATAGCAAGTCCACACTGCGACCCGTCACCGCCTCCGGAAGCTCATCCGGGGCAACGCCAAACTCAGCTCCGCCGGCAAATCCGTACTCCTCGGCTAGGGCTCTTCCAACCTCCTCCAAGGTCTCATATCGCCGACCCGAGATATTGAATGCCTGTCCCGCGACGGCAGCGCGGTCGTGGCCCTCGGAAGACCCAAAGAGCGCCGTAGTCGCCAGAGCCACGTAGCCCTCGGCGCAGTCGTCGACATGCACCCCGTGGATGACGGTTCCACCGTGGGCCGTGAACTTGAGAACTGGGTCCTTTGCATCACCCACCGCAGCCCGGAAGGCAGCGGCATAGTCCAGCCCGGCGCCGTAGTAACTCCCGCTGTACCCAAACACGGGCGTGGCCCGCACGACAGCAACATCGAAATCCGCCCCGCCGGGCTTCCCCGCTTCTTCCAGCGCGCGCAGGGCAGCCTCGGCCCGCCCCCGGATGAGGGGATGGACGTCTCCGATGGGCGAGTCCTCCGTATGTGGCGCCAATAAGTCCCCGGTCGTCGAACCATGCAGTCCGGTCATGCCGTAGTCCTTGCATCCCGAGGACCACAGGACCAGCGGGCGCACGCCCTCGGCCGCCGACGCGGACGCCAGGGTGCGGACCAGGTGCAGCACGTCGTCCCAATGCCGGGCTGTCGAGGCCGGGTCGTCGGCCGAGCGTGCGGGCTCGGTGCAGGTCACGATGGCGTCCCACGTGCGGCTGTGGCGGGAGAGGATGGCGGCCGGGAGGGTGTCGCGGTCGCCGGAGAGCGAGCCGACGATGGGGATGACCTCGGCCGCTGCGAGGGCCCGCGCGGCCGAGGTGCGCCGCACGAGCCCGTACACGCGGAAGGACTGGGGGTGGCACGGGGCCCGCAGGAAGGCGTTGCAGATGGCCGACCCCAAATAACCGTTGGCTCCGACTACGAGCACCGTTCTAGGCCGGGTGGGGACGCGCGAGGGAGAAGTGGTGGCCATGATCTCTCACCGAGTGGAAGAGTACGATAGGAACGATACTGGTATTGTGACTGTAAGATATGATATCTCAGAGCTGTCTATGAGTATGAATTATCTGACCCGCGCACCGCGTTGTTTCTCGAGTGAAGTTTCCCCCCTTTATACCTATTCTGCACTATTGGCCCACACTTGTCAACAATATAGCGTCCTCCAGAATGCCCAGTGGCATATGGAGGAGAGCGGTTTGATATTTGTCATCGCTACGACCATACGGACCATCCTCCGGGCCGACGTCGGATTAAACCCCGGCTCACCGGGCAAGGCCCCCCTACCTGCTCCACTAGGTCCCGCTGAGCGCCCGGAATATTCCCCCGGTTCTCCAGATCAAGCCGGGCTCGTCGTCGACGCAGCCCGGGGTTTTTCCGGCCTCTGCTACATTACCCTCGTCCCTAAACAACACGAGAGATGTGGAGTGCCGGCAGTGAAAATTAAATCAGTCTACAATGATCATGCCAATAGCGGATGCCGGTGTCCGTTTACACCGAGTAAACGCTCTGCTAGTAGAATTGGAAGAACAGTGAAGTCCTTGTTCCCGTTCCTCAATTACTGGATACGCCGCCTCAATTTCCAGAACAATAGAGCCTGCATCCGACCAAAAACTAGTGGACTGCTATTACATCAGAAAAGTGTGCCAATCGGTTCCCCCGTGCCTCTGGTCAGCTTGTCAAAGTGAACAGCTTAGCCCAAGAGCAGCGAGGTGATTAGAGCATGCGGTCGTCCTTGATATTCGTGATCTAGGCTAGATCGACAACTCAAAACAGTCAGACCCGGGTCGGATGAAGGGGCTTGCTGCGCCGCATCGCGGGTCTTGGCCGGAGGCCCAAGGGCGGACCATCACCCGTCTGAACCTAGGTAGGTAAGCAGGAAAGCGGCCGTTGCACACGGCCTGCGGATCAAGCACGATCAAAACTGTTGCCGGAGAAGTTGATAGTAATAGACAAAGTCATGAGAAGCAAGCATCCTTTAAACATACCGGGAGCAGCACAATGCGCCCTTTTTTCCAATGACCCATTCCATCCGCTCACCGAATTCAATTTTCACAGAGTCACTATCTATTCCTTTTTTTTAAACTCAGACTTTACACTAATTGCCCATAATTGCATTACACGGTAGCACTAATTTCGATAATCTGACAAAACACCCCATCTCACATTCAGACAAACGGTCCCATACTCCAAGGCAGCACCCGACTCACGCGCGCCACCAGACCCATCATCGTCATCGTCATCATCATCATCATCATCATCATGATGAGACCAGCACAGACGACGGCAGCAAGCCGGCCGACCAGCGGCGGCGCAGTGGTGGTGCATGTCGTCACCCACAGCGACGGCGTCGACCGTCCCGTCGCGGAAGACCACCCGGTTCGGCACAACCGGGGCAGGTTTGTCGAGCGCGGCGGGCGGATAGTGTGGCGGAAGGAGCCGCGCTTCCGGGGCAGCGGGACGCTGGACGTGCTGGACGATCCCGTGCGGGACGGGCGGGCGCTGGCGCGGACGGCCGACTGTTTGCCGGGTGATGATCAATGTCATCGTGGCAGTGGTCGTGGTCGTGGTCGTGACTTGCAAGAGGGGTCGTCGGTACTGATGATGAGGAGGATGGGGAAGGCGGTGGGGAGGTGGGGAGGGTTAGGAGGGGCCGAGGAAGAAGAAGAAGGAGGAGAAGAAGAAGAAGAGACTTTGCGTTACGAAGAGGGCGAGAGGGACGGGGGATTTACGCTTGGTGAGCTTGCGAGGCTGAGAGGGGAGAAGCCGGCTTACACGGTGAGAATTGTTAGTACTAAGGGGAAAAGGCGGAGAGATGGGGCGAAGGGGATGGAATCTGCGAGGGGGGGTCAAAATGTCAGAGTTGAGACGGAGGTGCCGAGGCCGGCGGAAGCTGTGGTTGCGGGCGAGTCCACCGTCTGCCCTCAACAAGAGATTGAGGCGCAATCTGAGGTGGGATCTGAGACTGGCTCGGAGAGCAGCCGAGAAGATGGCAACTCTCTGCCTGACTTCTCCTGCGAGGAGGCCGACGGCTGGGTTCCGGTCATGGTGGCTGAAGACGACGAGAGCGACGACTGGATGTCGCTGACCGGTTCTTGGGTTTGGATGGGCGAAGGAGGGGAGGTGAAAGATTGTCTGTGATAGTTATGGAACTCAACATAGAGCATCAATGTTGGTAGGCATGCGAGATGGTGGTAAGATGGTCGGATTTGTCTAGAGGCCGGATGGACGCTTCCCCTGATAAAAGCGTGAAGTCCTGGTTCAGACCGTCAGGGGAAAAAAATCATCGAGATACCAATACACTAGAGGTTCCGTATCTCCCAATTTTAACGGCTACCTCCAATTCCAAGTGGCCAAGCAGTCAAGGGACGTGCTTCTGGTGATCCGGTCCGGGGCAGGCTGTAACTGAAGCTGTGAAAACTTGGGAAGTCGCCCTCCAAAGGAAGTCAACTCTCCCGTGGGTTTCGTGGCCGGTTATCTCCCTTCGACCCACTAACCGTGTCACACGGCAAAACGACATCGTTGCCTGCAAACGCGTAGAGGTATCCTATATACTGTCCGATAAAAGGAGGCCAGCCGCCGAGCCAGTGAGATTTTGACTTTTTTATATGCGATCTTTGATATGCTACGATCTTAGTACTTCTAACGACCATCTTACTAATGTTATGCCCACGTTAGGAAAGCATACGAAGCTTGCACCATCTCGACTTCCCCGTCCTGCGACCTTCGCTGGGATACGGATAGAACCCGGGTAATATTGAAGGGTAAGGTCTCCTTCTCTGTTTACCTTACCATACCACTCGACATTCTAGTGACCTAGTCTTCATCTGAGCGGGGACGGTGAAAATGGAAGTAGGCTCGTAATCTGACGACTTAGCTATATGGATTGCATGATCGTTGGCATCTTCATTCCTGTCCTCTCTTCGAGAGGGGGGATTTCAAAAAGGCTGCGAGCGATCGCAAGTAAGACGGGACAATGCTTCAACATTTGGCGGTGCCGGGAAGTGGCGGCACTGTTCCGCAGCTCCAAATTGGTGGCTTGCATTCGAGTTTGTGATTGCATATCAGGGAACAGCCGATATCCTTTTGAGTTGATGGGGAAGATCTCATGCACGGTTCAGGGACAGAAATACTCGACAGCCTCCGCGCAGCGTAAGACTCGTCACGGGTCGGGAGGACTTTTCCCGACTGCAGGCCCTGCGCCCAGAGAGAGACACCCAGCAGACTGCAGGGCTGACGTGCAGGGGACCGGCCAGCCTAAAGCGATTCGGGTATGGTTCAGGGCGCTGTCGCTTCAGCCCTGTCAAAAAAGAACATGATGGCGCTGCCACTCTCATCTCGGCCCCTCCACAACCAATCATGGTGAACGACAAACATCACGCTTATGGATTCCAGAGGCCAGCGCACGCGTTGGCCGGCAGGCAGGAGACCGAGCTAATGTTGGCAACACGGGCCCCGAGACGTAAGGGAAATTGCTGATATAAAAGAGGTACGGCGTCCATCCGAGACTGCGAGACACACTTCGGCTGTTCCTCCTTCCCAGCCAGCAACCACCAGTTCTTTGTCACTCTTTTCGTCTCCTTTTTTTATCTTCAGCAGCCATATCCTCTTCCTTGATACCCGGCACCAGCCAACTCTCTTCGTCCAACCCTGACTTAAGACAAACAGCCGCAACCGTCCTCACCATGGCCGCCCCTCAGCAACAACCACCCGCCCCCCAGCAGGGCCCCATCAGCAACGACGACGTGGCCGAGTGGACGGCCCGCTTCAACGACGTGCTGGCCCGCCCCGGCGAGTACGTCAACTCCAAGTCTCCCGAGAGCGCCCAGCCGTGGTATAACTCGTTCTTTGGCTGCTTCGCCCCGATCGAGACCTGCCTGATGTCGTGGTGCTGCCCCTGCGTCGTCTTCGGCCGCACTCACCATCGTCTGCGCAAGAGCGCCAACCTAGCTGGCTACGAGCCGATCAACACTTCGGTGCGTCTCACTCTCATCCAGTCTTGCTCCCTCGCAAATTTAGATTACGATCCCTAACATGAGCCATTCCAGTGCCTCCTCTTCTGCGCCTCGGGCTGCGTAGCCCTGCACTGGATCCCCATGGCCATGCAGCGCGCCGACCTCCGCACCAAGCACAACCTGCAGGGCAGCTGCCTCGTCGACATCGCCACCTCGTGCTGCTGCGGCTGCTGCCACCTGGCCCAGAACGACAAGGAGGCCGAGTACCGCGAGCAGCTGCTCGCGAGCCAGGGGATCCAGCAGGGCTACCAGGCCGCCGGCGGGATGGCGTACCCCGGGGGTCATAAGCAGTGAAACAACAGGGGCGCTCCAGGCCTTTGAGACAAATCAGCCCGAGCCTATGTTATGTGGGTTATATCTCGGTTGTGTATAGTGTGGACCGCAGCGGGCGTCGAGACTCAAGCGCTTGTTGGCTAGGTGGTTTTAGATTTACTTGGTTAGCGGCCGGTTGTCTGTGATACCTTTTCACTAGTTCAATGTCAAAGTGTTTGAAGGGCGCTGGAGAAGGAGCGCTGTAAAAGTGCGGCGAGTGAGGAAGGGGAAATGGAACCACCTGTGATTTGTGTGAAGACTCAAGATGGCTCCCAAACAAACCCGTGAACAGCGTGCAACATGGATCGCATTGCGAACCACACTCCTTGGCCCTCCCTTGGCAACGCACTAAAGTCGAAAGGCTGAGCTGGGTCCCTGTTCGGTAATTTCGACCCTGCATATCTGCCTTGTCTCGAAGGGGCAATCACCGCGATACTGGCGCGCCCAGCTACTCATCATCTCGGCGTCGCTGAAAGGCGAGGAAGAAGAAGAAATAACGAAGGTCCATTTATAGCTATACTCACAGCAGGTGCCAAACTGTATTGGAGGAACTTGAGCATCACCCCTGAATAGTAACTGAGCTCGTAGGATTATAGGTGTGTTATAGGGACTAATGAGCGCAGCAGTTCAACAGTGGGAGGCACGCCGAGTATAAGGGGTCGAGGACCTTGATGGCCCGGCTTCATGGAGTGAGCTTTCCGCAGAGGGAGATGGGGTGTTCCCCGAGGACCAAGTCTACCAAGAGAAGTGTGATGTCAACATATTGTACCAGGTACATCTGTACAGTACCCGCAGCTCTGTATATTATTGTACGTAGCTCTTCCAACAAATCTGTCGGCCTCAATAAACTACCTACCTAAGCTAAGTTGCCTACTACTAGTAGGTAAAAGAGGGAAGAACTGGAGCTCAAGGTATCGTACATAGTACTTACGTCATGCTTCCTGACAGTCACCGACAGGTAACAAAGGCAGGCCACCAGATTCTGGCTCAATGCCAATGAAGTCACACAATTCTTTAGCCTGATAGTATGTACTTGCACCGGGCACTCCTGTGTCCCAGCTTCTCTTGAGCACCAGTGGCTCTGTGTTCACCCAGTGCGCCGGAGCTGACTGTAATTTCAAACGACTCTTCCAGTCAAGATGCACCTTGACATTGAACAGTTGATGGGCTACGGGGCGGCCAACTGAGCGAACATGATGGACAGTACTGTGTAGAGTAGCGCGAGCCAGACGCCTGGTTTAGGTTGTATGACACTGTGAGTCTGGTGACTCATTCGGCGGCTCGATTGCCATCGGTGTTGAAGACAGCTTATTAAAGTGACAGTTGGGAATTGGGATGCACCTCGAATCGCGAAGCTGCAGTGCGTCTATCCCAAATATGGCAGAGGATGGGCGCAGGTAGCGAATGAGGGTCGGGGCTTGGCCATCTCAGCTTGAGGTACTGTACGCACTAGGTAGGTTGGGTCAAGCCCACTTGAGGGTATCAATCAGGTTTCGCTATTTGTACTGGAGTGTATACGCAGGGCATGGGCGTGTCCAAGCATGAATCTGACCGCAGTAATGATGGGCATCAGGTGGATGGCGTTGGAGTGCTCAGGTACTACATGTATGTATGGACGTCTGTCTGGCTCGTTCAAAACATGTCCTTCACCTGTTGGTATACACCGCCATCGCCACGCCCAGGAAACTGAGCACCGCGCATTGACGGCTCTGCAAGAGTTAGCCCCGCGCCGCCGAAACCGACATGCACTGGACTGCTTATGTCTCCAACAGCACCATTCATGCCCATGTATCCCTCATAGATACGCGACATCTCCGTCTGCAACCGCACCCCGTTGCTTTCCTCGTCTGCCATGTGCATCGGCTGGCTCTGGCTGCCTGGGGTGGGCGCGGAAGGACTGGCTTCCATCGGCGCACTGCCGCCCGCGCGGCCTACAGCGGCGTTGAACGGTCCTGCCAGGCCAGGACTGCGGCCAGAATTCACACTGCCAGCATACAGGTAAGGCTTTCCGGTCGATCCTCGCTCCGAGGAGTCCTCCAAGCCTAGCCTCGGTGCGTACTCTCTCAATGATCGAATCGTGCGCCACAAGCGACGCGAGACCCAGGATCGGGCCGACATATCCTTGATAAGGTCGAGGGCCATGTAAAATTCATCGCGGCACAGGGCGCTGAACTGCAATGGCGCGTGAGTGGAAGCGAGAAACAGCACGGCGATGGACGACGTCAGGAACTGGTGGTAGAAGGCCTGCATGCGGCGGTACTGGTCGGTTTCGTTGTTGAGGTGGGCGAGGAATCGGATCGTCTGTTTGGCCAGATCGACCACCTTCCGCGCCGGCTGCGCGTTCTCGGCAATGCTCATGGCGCTGTGCAACGCAGGGGTGTAGAGCCAGATTCGCACCTGGGGCCGCGTCAGTCATGCAAGATCGAAAAGCAGGTGGCGCGGTGACGGCAAACCTGGTTCAGCCTCAGCCGGGTCCAGATGCGCTGACGCTGGAGATCGTAAGGACCAGAAGGAACCGGCATCTTGTCGACGTCTAGTGGGCCGGACTTGATCTGCTCTGGTACGGTCTCATACCACTCCATAATCTCACGGTCGAGCTCCTCGAAGTCGTGTGGTCTGAGCTCCCGGACGACAGCAGGCTCAAAGTGGTCAACTAGCCTCCAAATCTTGGCGCTTAGCCTCGAGTAGCCGATCATGGCCACGAGGAACGGACTACCCTCCTGGGAATACGTCAGCAGGGAACTGTTGCTCGGGGAGCCATTGGCGGCGCGTTCGCCCTACCGGGTACGGCAGCTTTGGGTCGATCTTGTCATCGTGGCATACAAACGGCAAGCCGGTGCCGAAGCTCCATCGACGGTCCAGGACATATGCCGACCAGAAGGTATGCAGCGCGTCCCTGCGAATCTGTGAGTCGGCAATCTTCTGCAGACACTCCCTACGATGGAGCCCGAGCTCAAAACAGAGCCGTGCAACCTGCCCTATCAAGCGCCAGGCGAGAACCTCGTCGTTAGATAGGAACCTGTAGCCGGCGCACAGGGCGAGGAAGGAGAGCTGGGTCACATCGGCGGGGCTGCTCATGAGCATCTTATCGACGAGGGGCTGGATGCTGTCGTAGAGCCGCGAAGCCCTGGGGCTGTTGCCGTGCTCGGCAACCGCCAAGGCGCAACACATGAGGATTTTCAGCAGCAAGGTCTTGGGGTGCAAGATGACAGACTCGAGGTCGGGAGGGGGGACAGCGCAGCCGCGCCTGGCCGTATCCATCCATGCCACAAGGTACTTGACATGCTCCATGATGGGGCCCATCGATGCTACTGGGTACATGACGTCGACCTCCTCGCGGTAGACCTTCAAGAGGCGCATTATTTCAACCTCGTCAAACTCCCAAATCGGGTCGGTAGGGCTCTGCGCAAGGGAGCCGGAGGGCACCGGTGCTAACGAGGGGGAAGCGTGCGGTGTCGTGTCCTGCTGCGCACAGCCGTCGTCCAGGCCATCTTTGGCGCCTGGATAGCCCATTTGGTGCAGGGTGTCCTTGGCGACGCCGACTGCGAAGTTGAGACTGGTTGGGCCATTAAAACAGGGCTGCACTCGAGGCGGGAGAGGGACTCTTTGCCGGTGCTCGGACGACGTCGAAGACAAGGGCGTGGCGCCCGGCGGCGGTAGCACACGGTCCTGCAACGGGGCCAGGCGCGCGGTCTCCTGACGGAGAGAATCCACGGAATTCACGAGCGAGTCGACCTGTTGCTGTAGCTGCCTAACCTGGTCCGCCATCTGCTTGAACTCGTCCGAGTCCTTGAAGTTGGAGCAGCAGTTCGGCGCGTATAGGCATTGTAGGTTGAGGTGGCCGCATCGCTGGCACGGCGTCTGTCCGTTGCATTTGATCTTGCGCCTCTTGCATTCGTTGCTGCGTCCAGGGAGAGCGCACGGTCAGATATTGCAATTGCCTGTAACTGCCGTTTGGTTGGGATGTCGCCACGCGACTACATGTCTTTGCACGAGGTATACATGCCACATTGGGGGCGAGCCGTCACGGCGACAGGGCACTTACCATGCAATCGAGATGTACTACAGCGGCGGGAATCGTGTCAGCACCGCAACCCATCCCTAAACGCGGACCCAACAAGGTCGCACAGCTGAGGCGGCACATACCCGATTCCTCTTGCTTCTTTGCTGCTTGGCAGCCCCTTCATCAGCGTCCTCGGCCCTCCTTTTTGTATTGCTGCTGGCCCGTGACTCGAGTGGTGACGGGGGTTGCTGCGGGTGTTGCTGCTGCTGTGCGGAATTGTCTCCGGGGGCGGAAAGCGACGAGTGGTGACTGCCCGCGCGAAGTGGACCGGGAGAATGGTAGGCGATCTGGTGCGGCGACACAATTGACACAACTGAATCAGGCCCCTGCGGAACCGGTGCCGCGCCTAGGAATGAGCGCAAATCGCTGACCTGCGTTTCGAGCTGATCCATTGACACCAGCAGATGTCGGGTGGTTCGATGCACCCTCAATCGTCCACTTCGACGAGTTTTCCATGGCCAGGCCGTGCCGCCAACTGGTCTTGGAGGAGCCGAACCCTCCAGCTCCTGAAGAGGGCGCTCGAGTGGAGATTCGGGGCACGTGATGTGTATTAAGGTTCCTCTGCCGGGACTATCCGCTCTTCATCTGGATGAAAGACCGCTAACTTTCGGGGATCCATTCACATCAGGGCAGCGCTAGCTCTTAGGAGCTACTGACGGCGACCGGAACCTGGAACCTCCGCTACAGGGGCACTCAGGATAAACCTTATGTTATGGCAGGACACAACTTGACAGGCCACAACTACGCAATGCGCAAGCATGAGAAGTTTAGTTTGTCAATTACAGTATTACATCAGCTCTGCAAGGAGCTGTAAATTCGCCCGCGACACTCGCCAAACCCCACCCTGCCGCCCTCAGGCCCGCAGAAGCCACGCAGTGTGACAGTGTCGCCGTCTTTGAGGAAGGTCCGCATGTCCATCCCGTACAGCAGCACCTCCCTCTTTCCGTTCTCAGTCATCTCTAGCAGGCTGCCGCGCTCCCCAGCGCCGCCGGGACCGCTGATGGTCCCCGATCCGAGCAGGTCGCCGGTGCGCATCGGACAACCGCCAAGCGTGTGGTGCGCAATCATCTGCGGGAACGACCAGATGAGATGCTTGGAGCTGGTGCGGCCAATGGTGGTTGTGTCGCCCTCGGCGGCTAATAGGTCCAAGCATCAGCCACCGGTTCAGCATCGAAGTCCAGGGAGAACGGATGGAAACTCACTCGTCAAATCCACCTCCAACTTGATATCAAACACGTTGTCCTCCCTCTTCTCCTCCAAATACGCCTGTAGCTCCGTCTTATTCTCAATCGCCCTCGCCCGGAACGGCTCTAGCGCATCGGCAAGCACCACCCACGGGCTGATGGTGGTAGCAAAGTTCTTGCCGTTAAACGGGCCAAGCGGCACGTACTCCCACATCTGAATATCTCTCGCACTCCAATCGTTCAACAGCACATAGCCGAAAATATACTCCTCCGCCTCACCCACCGAGATCCCGCGCCCGATCTCGTTTCCCCTCGCAATGAAGCAGCCCAGTTCAAGCTCAATATCCAGTTTCCGGCTCGGCGCGGTGACAGGCTGCTTCGGGCCGGCCTGGGACGGGTCCAGCAAGATCTGTCCCACGGGCCGGTGGATGGGGGTCCCGGAGACCACGACGCTGGAGGCGCGCCCGTGGTAGCCGACGGGCATGTGCAGGTAGTTGGGCTGAAGGGCGTTCTGCGGACCGCGGAACATGACGCCCACGGCATAGGCGTGGTGATAGCCAGCGTAAAAGTCTGTGTAGTCGCCGATCTCCATTGGCATGTGCATCTTGACGGCTCGCTGGGGCAGGAGAGCCTTTTGGCGGAGATCAGGGTTGTCCCGGAGGATAGAGGGCTGGGTAGTGTCTGCGGAGAGGAGGTCCTGGATTCCGGCCCGCACCTGGCGGTGGACAGCCCGGCCTAGCCGGGCGAAGGCGTTGAGGGTCGGCTGGGAGAAGGTTTCTGTTAGACCATTGATGCCCGGGAAGACTGCGGTCAGGTCGGTATTGGCGGCGAGGACTTTGAGATCCAGGACGTATGACCCGATGGCCACGCCCGCGTGTGGTGAGCGGTCATCTGCCGTGGAGATGATGCCGAACGGAATGTTGGCCAGCGAAAAGTCGCTGCACGGGTCGATATCCGGCACCCACGAGCTCGCCATCTCAAATTCCGTGATGGTTTCGTATACGATGCTGCCTCGAAAGGTCTTGCGCCGAGTCCACGATCTTCTTATTTCTATCTTGCTCCCCTGGACGCGGGGCTTGCTCTCCGATGGAAGCCGTTGCCCCACTTTAATTCCGTTGCCCCGCATTGGGTTCCGCGCCGGGCGGCTCCGAATACCGCACGAACTCCGGACATCGTGCTGGTCGTTCACCAGTCACTGAATTGAACGATGAGTGACAGGCATTCAACGACGATCAGCAAGTATGTGCAAAGTATACTATTACAAACTATTACAAAGTAAGTACATGAAGAATACTAAGCCATATGCGGGATAGGTTCGCGAAACGGGACTGCGCGTCTCGTTGCCGCTGGAAATCGCGCCTTCCCGTCAAGATCCAACCATCAGTCAAATGCCCGATCACGTCAGAATCCCCAACAGACTGGTGAACTTCTCAACTTGTTCGCCAGGATACTCCCTCGCCACCCTTCTCGCCGCCTCTTTTGCTTGCGCAATGACCCTCGACGAGTGCCCCTCGCCCTCGTCTGTGACCAGCCAGAACAACACCTCGCAGCCGAGCCTCCTCAGCTCCTCGATTCGATACTGCAGCTCTTCCTACAGATCCCTGTTCATAACCTTTCCCCGACTCCCGGGTTTGCGCCATCGCCGCGCCACCCACAGCGGCAGCCACCGCGTCGCGCCCCACACGATGTATTCGAGATCGGTCAGAATGACCACCCGTTGCCAGCCCTCTCCGCCCCACGCCCGGAACTGTAACGCTGCAATCACGGCGCGCAGCTTCGCCCGATTCGATGTGTGCTCGGCAGGCGAGCCGTGGGGCCCTTCGTGCTCCAAGCGGAAGGCGACGCTGCCAGACGGTGCCCCTTTGAAGACGAAGGCATAGCCCCCGACGGGATCTCGCAGCTTGCTAGCATGGCGGCCGTTGTTGATACAGGAGCCGTCGACGACCACCAGGATCTCGCGGCTGTCAAACCGGTTGATGAAGCGCGGGAAGGTGGCCTGCAGACTCGTCTGCAATGGAAAATGCGCTTCCGGGGAGAGGCTGGCGTCTTGCGGGATGAAGACGGTCGCTGGGCGCACGTTGGAGCGACGCGTCAGACGGCGGCTGGAGGATCCGCCCTTTCCGTAGGCGGGAAGGCCATGCGCCCCCTGTTCCATGACGTTTTGCTGGGCTGGGCAAGGGTGTCTCCGGCCGGGAACGGAAAAGGGATACCAGAACTCCGGCTGAGAAGGAAAGCTAAGTGGATCGTGAAGCTGCGGACTGAGAATTTCCCACTCAAATAAATACTGACTGTTGAATATTGTCGTCGAGGCCCTCGGTCAGGGCTTAGTTATCTCGGCGCTGCAGGTCCGCTGCAGGAACGGATCTGGTTGGATCCGGTGGTCTGGACCTGGTGAGGCCCACCATCACCAGTGCACCCTTAAAATGGTCAGCTTCCAGTCAGCTCCAGGACTCTTTTCATCAATCTTCAACAACCACGGCAAGTAAGCCGGATAATGTGGCCTCGACTGAACAAAACAGCACACGAGTTGCGAATAGCCAGCAGACACCGATTGGATTCAGAAGGAATCTCGAACCCTCTACTTCATAAAGTCATGCATTGCCCAGTATCAGCGTTATAACACATTATATTGACGTCACGCTTCCCTCTGCATGTGTCTTCTCTATGTACGGGTAGTGGAGACTAAACAGCCTCGGCCTTGGCCTTCTCCGATGCCAGATCCCTCCGATCAGGCTCCTCAGTCGCACCCTTCGATCCCCAGTTGCCGGTAAAGAAATTGCGCAACGACTGGCCGATGTTTCTCACGTTCTCAGCCACAATCTCGCCGGTGGGCCGCTCAAACAGCAGGTCGATCTCCTCAAGCGTCTTGTCTTTGGTTTCGGGCATGAAGAGCAGCTGGTAGAACCATCCAACAACAGCAATGCCGCCGTAGAACCCCAGCGTCAACCCCGTCCGCGTCATGGCCTCCTGCATGGCCGAGAAGTTGTATGTGACAATGAACGACGCCAGGAACAGCAGCGCGTCCGAGGTCGTCATGCCGTACGACCGCAGATATGTCGGGTACACCTCGGATGGGACGACCCATGTCAGGCATGCATAGCACCCGAAGAAACCCATGTACAGGATCAGGCCGATGAGATAGCATGCCTCGGCCCCTCGCAGATTCGTCTCGAGCGGGATCTGGTAGCTGACGCCGATGACGACCAGGCCGATGAAGAAACCTGGAAGCATGGTGTTGGCCCAGAAACGGCGGCCGTACTTCTCCATCAAGAAGATCGCCGGGATGGTGCCAATTAGGAGAGACCCGCCGCCGACAAGCGACATGTAGTTGGCCTTCTCATCATCGAAGCCGATCTGGTTCATAAGGACCGACATGTAGTACATGATGGCGTTGACGCCCGTCAGCTGGCCAAGGAGGATCATGATGTTGGCATAGACCAAGGCCCGCCGCGCCCGCGGCACGGTGAAGAAGTCCAGCCAGGGGAAGCGCTTGTTGACGGCGCTCTCGGAGACCACCTGTCGCTCGTGCAGCACAGACACCTTCATGACGAAGAACTCATCGCGCGCCTCGCGCTTCTCGATGCCGCGGATGCGCTTCCACACCTTGTACGCCTCCAGGGTGCGGCCCTTGTGCATTAGGAAGCGTGGCGACTCGGGCAGGAACAGCATCCCCACGAACATGATGGTCGAGAACACGAGCGACGAGCCCAGGATGTACCGCCAGTTCCCCGGAACGTGCAGGAACATAGCGGCCACCGCATAGCCGAGCACCTCGCCCAGGGCGATGTTGAACTGGTACAACGAGACGAGATTTCCCCGGATCCTGCGCTCAGCCGTCTCGGCCACGTAGACGGGCACGGTGCCGCCTTCTAACCCGACGCCCATGCCGAGGATGACACGTGCCGCGATCATCATGCCTAGTGTGAGTTGGCGATAAGCATGGGACTCCTCGGTGTCTTAACTGGGATGAGGAAAACATACCGTAGTTGATGGCGCCAGCTTCCAGCCCCGCACCAACAGTGTAAAGGATACAGGAGATAATGATGGACCAGCGTCGACCAAACCACTCGTTGCTGGGCGAGAGGATCAAGGCACCGCCGACAGCACCGAGCGGCATGGCCGCGTTGACGAGACTGTTCTGCCTCGTATCCAGGCCCAGGTCCTTGGGCAGATACAGGTTGGCACCCGAGATGAGGGACTGGTCGAGGCCCGAGAGCAGACCGCCCATGGACGCGAAGGCGACGATGACCCAGGTGAAGTGCCTAGGGTCTTTGAACTCGGGGTGGAAGATTCCCTTGCGCAACCCGCCTTGTGCCTCGAGCTCCGTCTCCAACTCGCTGATGAGCGCGTCGACCTCCCAGCCACCGGCCTGGACGGCAGCTACCGCGTCCTTCTCGTCCATGGGCGGTATGGTGGCATCCTTGACCGGGTGCTCGTGCCGCGCCTCGTCTATCTTAGCAGACGTGCCGGGTGCGCCCGCCATGATGTTTGGTGTGTGTGAGCGGATGGAGTTGACGAGCAGCCTTCTTCGGCTTGGGAAGAGGGGTATAATCAAAAGGAGGAGGGCGGCGCAGAGCCTGGTGGCTGCTCGGGGTAGGGTCGTGAGGCTACGGAGTAGAAAGATACTTCGAAATTAAAACAGGCGTGAGAGCGGGATAAGCCGGATTTATTAACCGTCCTCCTCGCAAAGAACTTCCCGCCCACCCGCAGACCGCTCAGGAAACGCGAAACGCAGCAGCACAGCGTAATCGGCCTGCATCACATCATGGTGGGTGTATAAACAGGCGATGCGATTGGGTGCCATCGTCTCGTGTTCTCCGGCCGGGGCCCCGGCCCCCGACTGTGTCTCTCCAGACTCTTCCACAATCCCCGCTTGCGACCCCGGCTTTCCCCATCTGGAGAAAGCTGGGAGTCGTCATCAGGCGGACAGCAGGGACCGGCGTCCGACCCGATCCACTACCGGGCCGACTGCAGGCGGTGGTGCCGGTACTGGTGCCGTAGCTAAGAGTGCTAAGCCGTCTCGCCGAGTCGGCAGTTGCCCTGAAAACCAAGCCAAATGCGCCATAGCGTCGCGCCTGCCCAGACGGGCCAAGGGAAGACAAGACCTATTAGTACACAGCTTAGCAGGCGGTTACTACTACCAAGGTAAGCTACCTGGTATGTGAAATACAGTACATACAAATGCACTGTATATGTCTACCTATGGACGCCAGCGGCAGTGGCTACTATTGCAGGAAATGAAGTGGAACGAGTGGGCTGTGATGTTTCCTTGCTGCGTTCCCGAACCCTTTGGGGAGCAGATTTTCGACGTAAAAGCTAAAACCGGTCACATTGTCCTGTTCCATGCTCAAAACAGGAGATTTTCGGCGATCTTCGGCATTTCTCAAAGCTTATAAAACTTAGCGCGCGTGCCTTGCGACGGCCACGGAGGTTTCCATGCGAACACGCCCACACACGCCCTGGCAGCAATAATCGATACAGGAAACCCGATTGTTCAGACCACCACGACACCTAGCCAGTCGCTATAATTCTACTACTTCATTTCAACAACATCGACCTCCTACTTGTTTTCTATCATAGTTTGATATAGACGTTAGAACAGGAGAGAAGTGCTCGATTTGCATGTGTTTTGACCTAGGTAGTTGCGATGAGATTGCTTTCGGGGTGCATCGATTACCTGTATCGATTATTGCAGCCAGGGCGTGGCCTACCCACTTGGCCCGCTTTATGATGGGACCAGTGTGTCGCCAGGTCCCCACTGTGTTCCATCGCCAGGACCGAGAAAGGGCCGGAGAAACCCCATTGCGGGGACGTCTTCCTAACTCCGCATCTCCAGTTCCTGGGGGCCCCAGACCAGGATTCCCAACTTCATGCGGGTCAAAGGCACAAAACGTGGGCAGACTCCCTGCAGTCGTTCCGGGGTCAAACCGAGAAAAAAAGTCATACTCGCGTGAGAACAGGGGCAAGATCTCGCCCTGTCCTGTCTCCTCCGCTCGCTCACATGATGTTCTGATCAAGAGACGGGCGATGGCCAAATATAGTATTCCGGTCCAAAACCTGGTGGTGTTCGTCCTAACGGAATATTCCCTTTTCCTTTGGTTTGAGGCACTTCAACGACCTCCGCAGCTGCTGTTATGTACGTACAAACATACAACATGAAGTAATGTACATCAACAGGGCTGTCGAAGGATTGCAATGCCAGACAAGATCTGAAGGATCGAAACGAAAACCCTGCAGCATACTGTTGCATCCGGATCGAAGCTATGAAATCCTGCGTACGGCCTCATCAGACTGCTCCGGTTTTTGCCGGAGTATGCAGAACACTAGAATCTGTCAACCAGAAAGAAGCGCAGAAAGTTTGTCTATTTTTGCTGGCTCTAATTACATAGTGCGGAGGTCTCAGAGTCGATCTGTTTCGTACTAGTAGTTCCCAGTCCCCACTTTACCGCGGACAAAAACGCATATCGGAATACCCCGTTTCAAGCTTTCCCATGCCTGTGCATGGTACTGGCTGTATCAGTATTCTTTGATGGTTCGATAGTGAGGGAAGTAATAAGCCTACTAGTATTTCTGGATCCGTGGAGTTTAAACACACTTTCACCCAAGTGTATAGGAAGATTGTCGCACATAGTTCCGCAAACCCACATTGGTTTAGGCATGGCATGGCAAGAAGCGGGAGTCCAGCGATGGATGATATAATTCCATCGACGCGAATCAAATCCTTGGGAGGTATCATCCCCCCAACGTTGGGAGTGTACCGTTGCGTGTGGGCGTGTCGTCCCACGGATCGACTACAGCGGTGGTGCCGGCGTGTCAGTGCAATGTTATCGTGTCCATCTAGCCCATATCACGGAAAGGTGCGCCCATTTTCCACTACTAGTATCGGATGGATGCTCTCTACGGTAGGTAGTGTGCAGCCTCGGAATCTAAGCCTTAGGGGCAGGAAGTTCCGCTGCGCGATATTACAAGTGAGGCCGGCAGGGGCTCATCATAGTCCTCAAGTCTGTCGAAGGACTACTGTAGAGCTTGACCCAAGCAATGTCACTCACGATGCGGGCGGCCCGCAAGGGACACGCAGGAGTTCGACGAAGCGGGACATTAGCTGATCGAAGAGTGGCCATGAGCAGTGAGAACAAGAAGTGACTAGCAAGGCTTTGCCGTGACGTATCCTCGGTGATCTTTCATGCCACTCTCAGCATGGTGCCGCAGCAGTAAACAATTACTAGTACTAGGTAGTATCCGATGGCGAGTTATACATATGTATGTACGTATTCTGCAGGGTAGGAGTGTTCGACATGGCCCCTCGAGCTCCGTACTTGAATCTGGACTTACGAACGAAGCTAAAGTGTTCAAAGTCACTACTATGCAGCTCGGTAGTAGAGATGCGACAAGTTCCATACAAGTTCCATGTTTTCACTAAGGTACTGTATACCTTGTGACCCAAATTGACACCGGTGGCTGCAGGACTATTTTGACGTGCGGCGTCATGTAGGGACGTGAGTGCAACTTTAGGTACTATGGCGGGCACGTAAGGTGAATCTGTTGAATGCCGTCTTCTTTCCTACCTAGTACCGGAGCCATCCACCCAATGGTAGGTATGTTTTGTGTTTCATATTCGTAGGCACGAGGTGAAAGTGCCAAAGCCGCTCCATGGTCTCTAACTTTGCTAAGGCAATGAAAACTCATATTAATGCCTTCTCTTGTGTTGACAGTTGGAAATTAGCACATGCCTAAGCCAGAGTCTTGTTTGTTTGCTGACACGGACACGGAGAAATGTGGAATGTCCAACACGCGATCCCAAGGACGCTTGGAATGGGATACCTTATGGGCCCACGCAAAGAGGGACGCGTATTTGTTTGACGAAGTACAAAGATATAATGATTAGTATCGGGCTGCTAAATGCTCGAAGCTGATGATGGTGTCTGTTACTCGTCGGGTCAGTTCGTGTTCGTCTTCCTTGCCTATCGACCTCCGCGGGATCCGAGACTATGCCCCGTCCAGCCAAAGCCCATTCCACCGTGTCGCACACCCTGGCGTCGGCCACCCCGCCACCACTCACGTACATCCCGCCGTTGCGCGATGGAGCATGTGGCACCACTCCGCGTTCGCAACAGCCATTGTGGGCTATGGTGCGCCGCGAGTTGGGCCAGACCATGGGCACGATACCGACGCTTTGCTGGGCTCTTTATGCTGATATGCTATCCCGGTCTAATTCCTCCTGGGTCGACAAGGGCGAGGCGATGCTCCGCCTCGCCCTTACTTGCGTCGAGATGGCCATGATGCTGGCGGCTCTCCCGCTTTGGCTCGTACTCCCCGGCGGCGTGTTCGCCATGTGGCTCGGTGCTTGCGCGGCTGTGGTCTTGGCCGTGTGCTGGATGCTCAACGGCAAGGAGCAGATGTACCAGTGCAGTGCCGGCTCGGGCTCGGAGGGCTGGATGATGGGCCAGGAGGCCGAAGACGAGAAGTGGATGTTTCTCGGTGGCATGAGGATGAGGTGCGCTCACACCCCACCGGGAGCTACTCCCTGATGAATTCCTCTAACCTTTGTCCCAGTTCCCGACACTGTCACAAGCACACTCTTCCAACACTGTCTCGTCTTTTCGGCCGGTCCATGACGTGCATATGCATGCCCACCTACGGGATGCCCTTCGACACAGTCGCCATGATGCTGCAGCGCTGTGTTGCCCTCCCGAGCCAGGCACGCAGAAACCTCTACTCTCAGCTGCGCTGCGCCGTGCTCGACGACGCCATGATGCGCTGCGTCGTCCTTTGCCACCACGACGGCGCCGTCATCGTGTCCCAGGCGGTCGCCCAGCTCTGCGCCGATGTGCCGCTGGAGAAGCTCAGCAAGCTGGAAATCTACACCTTCGGTGCGGCTGCCGCCGAGTTCGTGATGCCGCTCGGAGACTCCAACATGGAGTTGGAGCCGGGATATCACCAGCCCGAGGAGCAGTCAAATGAGGAAAGGGGAATGGGAATCCACATCGAGCATTTCGCCATGAAAGACGACCGCTTCGCCCAGATCGGCGTGCTGCACAGCGTGCGGCGGAACATGGAGGGCCGCTTCTGCGGCGGCGTCTTCATCATGAACAGGGACGGAAGCACCGGCCCGACTTCGCCGGAATCAAGCCGCATCGCTGTGCAAGCCCTCCACGGCTTGACAATGGAAGAGTACCTCATGGCTCTATTCCCAGCTCAAATGAATCATATGTCAGCCGGCGGTGCCACTGCCGCCCCGCCGCGCAGCGTCCTGGACGGCGTCATGACGGTTGACAAGGATTGCGCCGAGAAGCGCGAGATCGCCGCCATGAGCAACTACCACTCGGCCGCGCAGGCGAAGAAGGGAGGCAAGCGATTGAGCTGGACCGGCCTCGCGGCCATGGCTGGGCATAACAAGAACGGGATGGGCGCTGGCATGGTGGCGCTGGAGATGGCACGCAAGGGATGCAAGAATTGCGAAGGCCGCAGGGGTCGCGACATCAGCTGGCTGGCGCGCTATGTTAGCGCCGAGGAGAGGCTGGCCGCTGATGGTAGGCCGTCTCCGTAAAGAAGCTGGTGTTGTTGGCATGACATTCCACTGTGCACTACACGAGATGATGATGTCTTCATGGCTGCCGGGATCTGGTGTTGCTCGGCATTTTCTTCCAATTTGTTTCATCAATTTCTCTTTCTTCAAGGTTATTAATACTACTAGTAGTTATAGCCAGAACTTCACCACGAAATTCGTCAGCAGCGGGGGTTCCAAGTGATCGGATCCGCGAATCAGCTAGCATACCAGGTATCATATCATGGATTTGTCTTAAAACAGATCCATTCATACCTAGCTAAGGTACGAATATAGCGCTCGGTGCTCTCCCGGCTGGGAATGCGGCATACTTCAACAACAACCAGCCCAAACAATCACAGATCCCTCACCATCCACACATTGCCCCCTTCCTTCTCCCCGCCCGGATAGACCCTGAACCCAACCTTTTCATAGAACTTGACCACCTTGGTATTCTCCGCCGCCACACCCAACTGGATCCCGCGCCCATAATCCATCCCGGAACCCCTGACGCCCTCGACAAACCTCTCAATCATCTGCCTCCCCCACCCTTGCCCCTGCCACCCCTCCAACAGGTCAATATGCAGCATAGCCCGATACCGCTCCACCATCTCCCTCTTGCCCTCCACGCCGTCCAGGACCAGCCAATTGACGCTATACGCCTGCTGCGCCAAAAAGCCGCCATTCACCGCGCCGCTGCCGTCTTCTCCGTCCCTCGGACTCTCCAGCGTGTCCAGCTGCGCGGGCGGCGGCACATCCGCGCGCCCTTGGTCCGACTGCAGGACCTCGGCGACGTAGCGCGGGTAGGCGTCGGCGAGCGCAAACACGTCCGGAGCGCCGATGACGTAGCCGACAGCGTTGCCGTCGCCGTCGTCGAGGACGAGGCAGTTCTGCGGGAACAGGTGCGTGAACGGCAGCGTCCACAGGTAAGGGGCCATGCGCACCGCGGCGGGGGAGGCGAGCAGCGAGGGCGGGAGGGTGGCCCGGCAGATGTGTTTTGCGTTCTCTGTGTCCGAGGGCTTGAAGGGGCGGATGAAGGCCATCTTTCTTTCCTTTTTTTTTTTCTTTTCTTTTTCTTGGGTTTGTTTCTGTCAAGTTGGGGAGCGCACTGTGTGGCTGACACCGGTTCAGGTCTGAACCTCAATGGGGAGAAGAGGTTTGCTAACTTCAAGTTCGTTGCCAGTCTTCTGTTTCTGTAGAAAGCGGCCGGTAAATTTCTTGAGACTATGGCAACCGGCAGGTAAGGCGCGCTTTGGGTTAGCTAGGCAGGGACCTACTTTCTCAGCTTCGTAAACAGCAAGTGAGGGTCACTTCTGAAGTTCTGAGGGGTTCACGCAGCGGGGGGTTAAACCTCGGCGTACTCAGGCCAGGCGGGCCGCCAATCCGATGAATCTGTTCAGGGGTGCCCCTTTTCCGCTTCATGCCTGCAGTACCGTCCTTCATGGAGAGCGCCGCGTTCCGGCTAGTGAGAGAAATGTTGGACCACGGTCGCGTTGACACCCGCTGGATTGCATCCTGTTTAGATTGTTACGAGGCAACGTAGCCATCTACATCACAATCCTCTTTGCATCATATACTAGGGCAACTGCGGTATCCAGCTAAGCAAAAGCAAACCGCCGGGCGGCAGTGACTCCGCCACAACGCGACTCTTTCAATCCTTTCTCGCAAGAGCTACCTCTCCAATTATCCCAAGCTTAACCAAGTCGGCCCTCGGAATGGGACCTCCTGAGTATCACCCTTTTCCACTTTTGCCAAACATCCCAGAACCAGTTCAGAATCTCCCCAAAAAAGAGAAGGCGACATGAAGACAAGAAAACAAGGGAAAGCAACACCCGTAATCCACACCAAAGGGAAGTATAGTCAGCAAGAGGTATCTCAAATTCATAAGCCTCATATGGTGATCAATGGCCGTGCCTGCACTCCCGCGCCGCGCCGATAACCCTTCGAAGTGTAGAAAGCCGATTTTAGGGAACAAGCAGAACAAGTGGACAGGAAGGCCTCTCTGATTAAAAGGGAAATAAGTGTATAACTGGGGTGAAGATTAGCTCGTTTGAAGCCGCTTTCAGATCATACCGCCCGGCATGCCCATGCCATGATTGGCCCCCGTGTTGGACATCGCCACGCTCCGGGTAGCTGGTGGCCCCTTGGCAACAAATTGCGGACCGTTGTCCCTCATCCTCCCAGGCAAAGGCCTCGGGCCAGGCGCCTGTATCTCCGGATGGGGTTTCCGCAGCCGTTGGCGTTGGTCTGTATGACTGCCACCCTCGTGATCGGCGCCCGGGACACCGGTTCGGTTGCCTTCATAGTCGACATTGTGCGAGCCGTCATCGGTCTGGGAGGTTCGCGTGCGCGAATCTTCTCGTCTACGCCGAGGATTGATGGGCGGTACTGGAGGCGCACCCCCGCGGCTGTTCGACCGAGATCTGGGCCCGCCGTACGGATTGGGCCCATCACCCATACCTGGGACCATCGGAGGAGGCTGTTGCGGCGGGGGCGGATATTGTGGAGGCGGAGGATGGTGCGGCAAGGTCGTCGCCGGGACTCGGCTCGTCGACATCACAAACGTGGGCTCAGAGATCTCTCTCTTGTCAACAGGTCGCTTCAGGGGCCCTGACATGCCACCATTGGCAGGTCCCAAGGCCGGCGATTGGGCTGCTGATGATGCTTGTCGAGGACGCGGTCCCGCCGAGGTGGGAGTACCGACTGGCGATCCCGCGGGGCCCATGGCGTAGGGTGATGGAGATGGTAGTCCGATTGGGGAAATCGGGGATGGCTGCGCCGAGGGCGTGTCGAAACCCGGTCGCCCGCTGTGAAGAGCAAGATGAGGCGAAGGCGCAGGCGAAGGGACGCCCCGGCCGGGATACGGATAGGGCGGCATCATAGGTGAGCCTTTGATATCGGTCCCAGGCAGACCGGGAGAACGTATCATAGGTCGCCCGCTCCCCGGCGGCCCAAGCTGATCATGCGTGTTGGTGTTGGTCCTCAACCGGGGCGGGGGCGGACGACTGGCCGAACGGCCGGCGCTTGTTTCCGAACCACTCCTCGAACGCTCCCCTGACGGCCTCACCGCATCCGGTGAGCCGTACCCTTGCTCGTCACTTGGGTGCCGATGTCTATACGTGACGGGAGGGGGCCTTCTCTCTCCGCTCGGAGTACGTTGTCGCGGCCCTCGCTCTGCCCGCGCTGGGGGACGCATCTCCGTTGCCTGGTCGAGCGCCTGATCCGGAGACTGTGACGTCTGCGAAGCTTGGTGACGGGCTAGTGTCTCAAGCTCCTTTCGCCTTTGCAGCTCACGCCGTGCCTGTCTGAAGGCTCTCAAACCGGGGTGAGCGTTGCTGTCATCATCATGCTCATCCCTCGTTGAGTTTCCTTCACCTGAAATGTCCGCATCACGCATGTTGGGATTCGCCTGCGCTGCGTTGCCCCTGAAAACGTCCTCCTTCATCGTCTCCAGAGGAGGATGGTCCTTCTCATCGAAGGATTGTTTACCGAGCTGTGGCGAGGTGCTCATCGTTGCTGATCCAAGTCCTAATACCTTCAACCCTTTCGATTGTCCTGGTACGACGTTGCGTGATCGGTCAACGAGCGACCCACGGCTTGACTTCTGCTTCAGAATTCCCAACGGGTTCAGCGACTGTGCTGAAAGACTTGGAGAGTCTGCTGCCAATAGTTGCGGTGATCCAGCCCTACTACTGTCCGATTCGACATACGAAGTCAACTTCTCCCTGACGCGACGGCGAGCGTCCGCCAACTGGTTGGCGAACTCGACCGTTTCATCCTCTGTGGCGGTGCTAGACCGGTCCCCCACACCGGAGTAAGATGTATCACGCATAGATTGCATCTCCTCCTCTCTCCTTCCCGAAGACTCAAGAGGGTTGTCATAAGGGGGTCTATTCCAATCTCGCCCTGACGAGAACCATGGGTTCGACGTAGGACCCGACTCGGCGACCGTTGATGGCTCGCTCAAGTCGAGATTAAACCGGGATCCTGGCCCTGGAACATCGAACCCGGCGCCACTCACCGAGGACTCGATGCTTTCGGTACGGAGATGCTGACGAACCAGCCCGCTCAGCCCCGCAGCCGGACCTAGCGTCGGCGAGTCCTCGGGCGATGGTTGCTGAGAGTTCTCTATCGAAATTGCCGGCGTCGGACTAGGCGAGACGCCCATCGAAAGAGATGCCGGCACGGCAGATTGCCTGAACGCCGGGTGATCATTGTCAGAAGGCCGTTCGACATTGACCTCAGGCGGGGCTGGAAGTCCTTCCACATTGATAGCAGTTGGCTGTGGAGTTTCGATGTCGGTGACAGGGGTTGGAGGTAGCCTAGCATCTTCTGCTTCTGACCGGGCTCCAGCAGCCGTGACCTTAGTCCCGTCGTTCTGAGAATGCGAACTGCTCGTGCCATTAGAACCTGCCCTGTGCATCTGGGTCGGCGTTTCCCGGCCCTGTTGAAGCTGAAGCTGCCGTTGAACATATTGGGACTCGTCATAGGGACCTGGCGGCTTTTGGAACAAGCCCATTGCCGTTGCCTTCCCCACATCCTTGGGAAGAATGGGCAGGATTGGCTGTTCACCCGTTTCGCTGACTGGCGGGCTCAAAGGAGGCAGGCTACCCTGGTTGGGCTTGGTGTCTGTTTCGACTTTGACTCCCAAGCCCGATACGCCAATCGGCCCGCTGGGCACGGTCGGACTCGCCGACCTGAGATTTGGTGCACTGGCCTTTCCTAGAAGAGCGCGGTTGCTGCTGGCATAGCGGTCGGCGGGAGCGTCGGTCTGAAAGGTGGCATTCAAGCGTTGGCGAGTCAAGCTCTCGATCCGCGATAACACAGAGCCCTGATGCTCTTGCTTGTCCTGACCGAGACCTTGTTCGTACAGTCGTCGAGTCCGGGCAACGCTGCGCTCGGGGATGGTTGATGAAGTGCCCGATGCTGGCATGCTCGAGAGCGAATTTGTGTCTTTGGCGGCATTGGTTGCTTGTGAAGTGATGGATGTGGCCGCCGTAGAGTTGCGGGCCATGGTCGAAGCCGACGAGGTAGTAGATGATGTTTCACGCTTGCGGTTGTACCCAACAGGGGGGGGCGACTCCGACCGAGAGGGCTCAGTCCCTTCTCCTGGCCCCTCAGAACCTACGTTAATCTGACCGTCCACCGACCGCTCCTTTTCCGCCTGCCTCCAGCGCTGAAAGGCCGACAATGCAACATCATCGTCGTAAAGGGCTCGCCCGGTCAAGCCGCCGCCCGAGCCCGCTGGAATCTTGTATATTTTCTGCCTCCCGCCGAACAGGACATTGCCTTCTGTCGGCTTGGAACGGGCCATGACGCTTCCGCCATTTCCAGATTCTGGATCGTCAGATGCCACCGACGTCGTGCGAAGGAAATTCGGACCCCTGATAGACTCGACCTCGGCGATGTCGGATAAGCCACCACCACTCCCGGAAAAGCCGAAGTCGGCTAACCGAGACTGTCGTTTTGGATAGAGCACGCTGTCATCGCTCGCCTTGCCGATCTTGGTATTCGGGTCGTCCTGTTCCCTCAGCATGGAAAACCGTGCCGACAAGTTATTCATCAACAGACTGGTGCGGAAATCATCATTCGACGGAAGAGCATTGGAGAGGTCAAACTCCTTCTTAACCTCCTCCTGCTGCGCCTTCTTGCCCTTCCGGAAGAATGAGAGCGACGATTGCTCCGAGTCTTCGCTTGAACGACCGGCGGCGAGGTCGTCTTTCGCCTTCTTCTTTGTCCTGAAGCGATTCATCCTGACCACTACAACCTCTCGTCGAACTGCAGAAAAAGTCGAGTATCAAGGAAAGCCAGAGGAGCGACTGGAACAAAGCGCTCAACAGGTTCTTGATTTAAGACAGAGGTCGTGGTGATTTCATGTATGGCGAAGCTTGAGTGAGACGCCACACAGAGTTCGCCTAGATTATGCGGCCACGACGAATGCGATGCAGTAACGGTCAGGCTAGGTAATTTGCACCATCAGCACCAAATATCATGTTAGTAAGGTTCCGATGGCCCAAAGGGGCGAGCTTGGGAATGCCATTTAAACTTGTGCCACATGTCAGGGAGCTCATGGCTGCAACACGAACTTTCGGCCGGGCTAGAGTAACGCAGACCGGGTCTTGCATGATAGTCACTTGACCTTCATGTGCCAAAAGAAGAGTCAAGCGGAAATGTTGAATTAGGCTCTCTTACCAGCGGTGATACACCAAGGCTCGAGGCCTGCGTCACTGGGATCCACCACGTCCGTCGAAGCTGTGACCAAGAGTTCGTTCAAATACGGTCCAGATGAGGCGGTTTGGTGGAGAGGACCTGGACAGCTGAGGAAACTGGGCCGGAACGGACACGGTCGCGAGTCAGACCTGTCACGGTGATGCGGGACACCCCCCGCAGTGTGATTACCCAGAAGCAGCCGCAGTCGCGAAAAGGGGCGCTGAGTCGCTCGTATGTTTGTGGTAGGAAGAACCGTTCGATCGAGAGTCTAGGAGGACTTGGAATGGGAATGTCGGTGGAATGCAGTCGCCGATAAATGAGCGTGTTGCACGGTCTCGTGTTGATTCTCTTCCTCTCGTAGCACATCAACCCGAAAAGTCGCGGCGGGCGAAACCTGAGCCGCAAAAGGAACGAGCGAAGCAAAACGCGTATAGACGAACGACGAAAGGAAATACGAGGCTGTCCAGGACCTCTAGGACAAAACTGAGATTCTGGGGAGTTGGCCTTGAGTGTGTATGCCCATGAAGTTTCGGGTCTGGGAAAGGAATGGAGAGAAAACAATGCCTGGCAGCGGAGAAGCGCACACGCTCCCATGAAGATTGATGAGTGGAGGTCGAGCAGTTCCAGGTTCCAGGGGTCAAGCCGCGGAACGGGTGGATCTAGCTAAATCACGGTTCGCGGCCCCACACTTGAGCAATGTTCAGTCGAATGGACGAACGAAGCGGGCCGCGGATATCGAAATGGCAGGCCACTCGCGTGTGCTTGGACCTGCGTTTTGGAGCAGCATTTTGAGCGCACTCGGCCTGATTGGCCCGCTCTCAGCACCGGACAGGGCGGGGAAGGGGGACCGGTGTCGTCGGAGCTAATGAGCAGGGGGAAGAAGAAGAAATTTTGGAAACGGAGAGAACGAAAATGACTGGCTAGTGCTGTCTCTTTTCTGCCAATGGCCCGTCATGAGGAGACGATTTGCGAGCGGCGAGTTTTGCCTGGCCTTGGAGCCTGGTTGAAGGGTGTTGCTGTGTAGGTAGTTGCTACCTTGACCTCAACTTGCTCGGTAGTTCTCAAGCAGCCTGCGATCGCATGTGCATCTAGATGATGCATGGCCGAGTCTCAGATTTGGTAGCAACAACCCAATGTTCCAACCCTACATGTAACTACAGTACGTACTAGTACAGTACTACACGCGGATACCGACAGGTACTGCACAGGAGCGTGTGAGGCTCATTACATAAACTAGCCCATTTCTTTCTTGCCCTCAATCATGCATTACCTCTTGTCTTCAAGTTCATGTGACTGCATGGCCAGGCCTCTGGGCGACCTTCCTGATGGTATGTAGAAGAAGGTCCTCACAGCAAGTCGACCGGGATTCCCCCTGGTTTCCCCCTATCACCGTGCCGCATGCATGAATGCTTCTTCCCCATAGCCTCATGGCTGCGGGGCTTGGTTTGCTATCTGATCTGACACAGCAATCTGAAAACTGAATGGATTCAAACGGGCTCGGCCAAAGCGCTTTGCGCGACTCTTGTGTAGTACTATCAAGAGGTATAATCGAATGGCGACGGGACAACAGGCGCGACATGCATCGGCGATTGTGCAGCGGGACGGATATATCTTCTTGACAAACGAATGAGGGCTACCAACGCCAGCAAAACACCCTGAATGGTCAGAAACGAAGAGCTGCATTGGCGACGGCGATGGCGCCGGAGCCTCGAATGGGTCGGTTCTGTCTGTTCTCTCGAGCAGAATCGGGCTCCGAATCCCGGAACGTTCCAATCCCGATTGGGCTGCCCGACACCTACAAACATTACATTACCCACTCCCGTCACTGTTCACTTATTACTATAGCAATAACCGAAGCAGAGTTGAAGAAAGTTGAAGGCCACAAGTCCACCAGTTCAGTAAGGTATGAAGCAGCATATCTCGAGCATCCAGTTGCGCAGGACGCCCATGAAAGCATTGCAGGTTCACCACCCACAGTAATAGTTACAGGAAGGTTCCGCGTCGAAAAGACAAATGCTCCTCATTCTCCCGACTCCCGCAGCCCCCTGACTGCCCCCACCGTTGGATAATGACACCCTCCGAGTTCCCGTCCCACTCACACGGGTCGGCGAAGGCTTCCGCGAACCAATCAGGCACCTGTTCCTGACGCTTAACTGTTTATGGTTACGCTCCGTACACTTCGTACTTGTACTGTACAGGCGGAGTACCTACAAACAGTGTGAAACAGTGACATGTACACGAAACTTTTTAGATTGTTATTTTGTAGCAAAAACGCCGCGAGGAAATAGAGCTCGTCGTTCCAGTTATCGTTCGCCAACGAGTGTAGTGAAATGTACATGAAGACATCGAGAAAAACCAGAGAAAGGGTGTCTTGCTGCAGTCGGATGATAGATGCGTTTTGGAGTCCTGGCCCAGTTACCAGGTGGGTTCACATTTCATCTCCAAGAAATCGCATGCACTTGAGCACAGCGGCGAGACGGCAACGGATGAACAAAGGGAAACATGACCTGGAACCTTCTTCAACCTCCGTATTACCGAGCTTCTGGTTCTCTGTCATCGTCTGGGCAGTCCCCGGCTCAGCGTGGATGTGGATACACCGGATTGTTATGCTGGCACAGCTGGATAATAAAACTCCATCTCAGGGCTGAAACCTGGTACCTCCGTAATGGAGCCTGACCTCGTGGCAAATTCCCTGGTGAGCCCTGGCCAATTTCCATCGGGTTGGTAATACGGCGGGGATTATGGTGGGGCTGATGACCAAACAACGGATCACTAATGTTTTAATGGGAGGGATCATCGCCAACTCGATGTCTGGATTCCGGGCTGCGCGAATTGTTACATATGACGGACCTGGTGCTAAACACTATGTAAAGTACAACGACCTCGAGTTCTGACAACCGGCCCCTTATTAGCGAACAGGCGTCTAGAACCCGGCACTGTTGATATCCGAGAAGGCAAGTTGTGAGCATTGTACATAGTACATACTCCGTACATTACATCCAAAAGTCGTGCGATGGTGAATCCAAAACCGAACCATGTCTTGCGATCGTATTAATATCGGTGCGGTACTGATAAGGCCTCAAGCGGGGGGTACATTGAGGGACGGAGGGACGGGAGGAATGAGGATAAAAGCAAGGAGATTCCGTGATTCGGGCAGGTAGTGTAAATACAGATCAACGAAGACTTCGTTTCTCAATGAGCTTGCCGCCGTTTGCGGTCAAATCGTCTGGAGACTGACTTCGCACGCGGCACGCCTAACTTACACGTCCATGCGTAATTAAATACGGGCGGACGGGATTACAGTTTTGCACGAGCTAATATCGGCAGGAAAAGGGCTTTTTTTCCGCCTCTTAGAAATCGGGGTTTGGGGGAAGCGGCTCAACGCGAGAACCAAAAAGCAAAAGATCCTACCTTGCTCTGAGACCTCGCGCAATGCCACATCTGTGATACTCGAGAATGATGTACACTATGTACTGCATGTACAATTGTGCATCGCATACCCATGTTTCGTAGCGGCTCTACTGTGACTTCCCGGTTCCAGGTTTCTACCCTTTCCACCCATCATCGCACATACTTGTGGGCACTTTCTGGGAAGTATGTGATCTGTGAGCGACACGGGATTATGGCTGTCCGGGGGCGCAATAAGCTGCCGCGGTCCAAGGTAAGTATAGAAAGTATATACCTATGTACTACAAAGTTAGCTTATGTACCATAGTACACGAAGCATCCATCGAGTGCCGCTCATTGCCGGTGCGTTGGCCAGGGTGCCGGACACGAGTCAGCAGGTAACGTTATTACAACACCTACAAAGCCTATCACTCCACCTCCTGAAAGCGTGTTGCATCAAGACGAATAGCAAAGCGTCGATCTGAAATAAGCTCCCGACGAACACCTGGGCACGCTGCAAGCCTGGAATTGAGACGTTGGTTTAGCGAACACCGCACCCTAAAGGAAGGCACAGCCCAGAAATCCCGGGCCGGAACCCGGCACGTGCCCGGATCGCCCTTGCGCGGTGCCAAAGAGGCGGTCACCTAGCCCTGGGATCTCAGATCTCAACATAACGTTACCCGGACTGTCGGCTCCAAAGCATTACTCTCCCGTTCTTAACCAAGAGCAGACCCGGATTTGGTACACGAGTACGAAAAAATTAGCTCGGACCCTGCACCCCGACACTGCGAATTATGCACGCAGGTATTCCCATGCCTCCATGGAGTTCCTAAAAGGCGCTTACAGCATGCTTCCCCACAAATTCCGGGGCGGCCGGGACCCGGCGGAACAGGCCGTATTGAGCACGAAGACGGTCGTCTCGGTTCTCTGCGCCGCCTGCTCGTTGCAAGAGGGCGCTGGAGTGCCCGATTTGCCAAACCACGGACTTAGCCCACCGGTTTATCCCTCTCGTAAGATCCCCCTTTCCTCATTTCCTACTTCTTTTTCTTCGTCCCACCGCCGCCGCGATGTTATTCGAAGCACTTAACACGGATCCGAAGCTCCGGGAAGCGGTTCCACCAATGGCCGCTGGACCACGGCCTATGACCGGGCACGAGACCTGGTGTCGCAGATGACGGTTGAAGAGAGAGTCAACATCACGCAGGGCTGGCCCGGAATATGCGTGGGCAACACCGGCGAAGTGCCCCGTCTGGGCATCCCGGCGCTGTGCTTCGCCGACGGCCCCTCGGGCATCCGCGGACAGGAGTTTGTGTCGGCGTTCCCGGCGGGGATCCACGTGGCAGCCACCTTCGACCGGGATCTCATGTACCGCTACGGCCGAGCACTGGGTGATGAGTTTCACGGCAAAGGGATCAATGTCGCGCTGGGCCCCGTGGCAGGTCCGCTGGGGCGCGTGGCCAAGGGCGGGCGGAACTGGGAGGGCCTGAGCAACGACCCGTATCTGGCCGGCGCCGGCATGGGCGCCGTCACGCGCGGCATCCAGGACGCCGGGGTCATTGCCACACCCAAGCACTGGCTGTTGAACGAGCAGGAGTTCCGCCGCCGGTGGACCGAGCTGGGCGATGCCGTCAGCGCCAACGTCGATGATCGCACCCTGCACGAGCTGTACGCGTTCCCCTTCATGGATGCTCTGCGCGAAGGGGCTGGGGCCGTCATGTGCAGCTACCAGCGAACGAACCACTCGTACGCCTGCCAGAACTCCAAGTTGCTGAACGGCGTCCTCAAGACGGAGCTCGGCTTCGAGGGCTTCGTGGTCAGCGACTGGGACGGGCAGATGTCTGGCGTGGCATCCGCCAACGCCGGCCTGGATCTTGTCATGCCCCGTGCGGGCTTCTGGGGCGACAATCTCGCCGAGGCGGTGCGCAACGGCTCGGTGAGCGAGGAGCGACTCGGCGACATGGCCATCCGCATTCTCGCACCGTGGCACTACCTTCACCAACACACCGCGTATCCGCCGCCAGCTATCTACACCAACACGCAGAAGCATTTCCCCGTGGACGTGCAAGCGGACCATGCCAGGCTTATCGAGGAAATCGGCGCCGCGGGCACGGTGTTGGTCAAGAACGTCAACAACACGCTGCCCTTCAAGAAGCCCAAGTTCCTCTGCGTCTACGGCTACGGCGCCGCCCTCAAGGCCAGCCCCTGGCAGAACCGCGATCGGTATGGCGGCGGCTACGAAGACAACTTCGGATGGAACACGTTCAACGGCACGCTCATCACCGCCGGCGGATCGGGCGGCAGCTCGCCCCCATACGTCGTGTCTCCCTTCCAAGCTCTGCAGGAGCGCGTCGCCCAGGACCGGGGCATCCTTCGATGGGACTTCTACTCGGAGGACCCCACGCCCTACGTCAACGCCGACGCCTGTCTGGTGTTCATCAATGCCTACGCTTCGGAGAGCTTCGACCGCCCCAGCCTGAAGGACGACTTCAGTGACCGGTTGGTGCTAAACGTTGCCTCGTGGTGCGCCAACACCATCGTAGTAGTGCACTCCGCCGGTATGTTCTTCACTCACCCTCCTCCTCCTCCTCCTCCTCATCCTCTTGGGTCTCCATGCTCAATTAATCTGCCATTGACAAAAGGAATCCGCACTGTCGACGCATGGATCGCCCACCCCAACGTAACGGCCACCCTCTTCGCGGGGCTGCCGGGTCAAGAAGCGGGCCACAGCCTTGCGTCCGTCCTTTACGGCGACGTCAACCCTACCGGACGTCTCCCGTACACAGTAGCCCGGTCGGAGTCGGATTACGGCGACTTGCTCAACCCGACCACCTCATCCGACCCGTTCCCCGAGGCGAACTTCACCGAGGGCCTGTTCATCGACTACCGCTACTTCGACAAGCACAGCATCACCCCGCAATTCGAGTTCGGCTTCGGCCTGTCCTACACCAGCTTTGCCTACGCAGACCTGTCCGTGTCAAAGACCACAACAACAACAACAACCACAGACCTAGCCGAGTTCCCGGACAAGAATGTCCGCATCGTGCAGGGCGGCCACCCGGCCCTGTGGGAGGTGGTTGCGCTGGCCAAGTGCACCGTGACCAACACGGGCGCGGTGGATGGCGCCGAGATTGCGCAGCTCTATGTCAGCATCCCCGGGGGGGACTCGCCCGTGAGGCAGCTGCGTGGCTTTGCGAAGGTCGGGCCGCTCGTGCCCGGCCAGGAGAGGGAGGTTGTGTTTGAGCTGACGAGAAGAGATTTGAGCGTGTGGGATGTGGTGGTGCAGGACTGGAGGTTACGGAGGGGGGTGTATGAGATTTGGGTAGGGGCTAGCAGTCGGGATCTGAGGCTGAAGGGGGAACTGGAAGTCCGCTGAGCGGACCAGCATGGGAGGCATAGAGCATATGCATATGAACTATCGTTCTGCATTCTTCAGTGATGGTGTCTGCTCCACCGGTGATATGGTGCCAGTGTTTTCGAGGACTGGTTCTTGCAGTTCGTGCTCGTGCGGCTTTTTGACGTCTCACCTCCGGACACCCGATATGGCAAACGAAGGGGCAAACTCGGCTCATGGTCCAAGCAACTGCGTCGCATTAAGCCTAGGGCTGTACGGGGTCTTCAGCACGTTTCCCCGGACTTCAATATTCCTCGATTCCGCGAGCTCCGATTAGTAATTATCTACCTATTCATATATATCATCAGCTCATCAAAATAACGCCACAAGGTAACTACGAATACAATCGTAGAACAGTAACATTGACACGACTCGAGACCTCCCTCACCATAATCCGCACCGCCCGGATCCCTACCCGGTCACTCTTCATGCAGCCGTCCCTCCCCGTCCTCCTCCTCGTCATCCTCCTCCATGCCCCAATCCTTCCAGCCCTCCCCTCGCACCCAACTAATCCCCTTCCTCCACGGCCCCTCTTTGACGGCCTTCACATCCTTCTCGTACACAACACCAGTCAACATCAGCGCCGCTACGAAAACCCACACATCCCCTCCCTTCATCGCCCTCCACCACCGCCTCTTCACCCCGACCTTCCACAGGCTCTCCACGCTGACCTTGGCAGTGGACAGGAACAGGCTCCGGCTGCCCCGCCGGCCATGCTCAAGCAGGGCCCAAATACCTGCGAGGAACCCGCCCAGGAAGAAGCGCTGCGTCGGGAGGAAGGCCCGGGGGAACCAGGCCTGGAAGAAGCAGACCGACGACCAGGCGGTGGCGAGCGACCCCGTCAGGAAGCCGGCCATGCGCAGCGCGTTGGACACGAGCTGGTGCAGCGTCGACAGCGGGAAATGGTACAGCGCCGAGAGGCGCGGGATGAGCATGGCCGAGTAGACGACAAAGAAGAAGCGCGTCAGCGGCGGGAAGGAGCGCAGCCAGAAGGCGAGGAAGGCGCGGCTGCAGGACGGGTCGGAAGGGTGGAGCGTGGCGCAGGAGAGCGACGTGATGAGCGGGTGGGCGGGTGATGTGATCGAGGAAATGGCGGTCAGCGAGGGAGGGAGAATATCGTCCTTCAAGGGGAAGAGCGTCGGGGAGATGAAGGCTCTAAGACGAGTATCGGCAGGTTAGACACGGTATGGGAAAGAAACGTGGGAGGAGCGGAGCGCGTCAGAACAACTCACGGCCAGTGAAGCCGCGCCATCTGGGAGAGACTGTCGACGATCTCGCCGGCTTGTGGCCACCTGTGACCTGAGGGGTAGTTCTCCGGCTTGGGCTGCAAATAAGAGGTCGAGTTCTTGAGGATGAGGTTGCTCCAAAACTGAATCACAAAATCCGTTTGTTAGTTCCCCGATCCCGGTGTTGGGAGCGAAAGCCCAGAATCACTCACCGATGGAAAGCAGTCTCTGTCAAATACCAGCGCATGCAGCAACTGCCCAAACGCGAACGGCTGCAGCATCCAGCTGCCCCACCACGACGGCCGCGTGCGCTTCCGTTCAGGCTTCCCGTTGGCGTCCTTCTCCCAGCCCCATATCATGCCATTGTCCTCGGCGCAGTTCCACCCAAACTCGAGCGCGCGGAAGATCATGTACAGGGCAATGGTCACGCGCAGCTGCCGCGCCGGATAGACGCCCAAGGCCAGACCGGCTAGGGAGGCGCCTACGGCGGGCGCGTACGTAGATGTCAGCGCGCGGGCTGTCCTGGGGTTGCGCAGGCGGAACGGTGCTGCTGAGGGGTCGAGAAGGTGGGCGCGCAGACGGTTGAAGAAGCGGAAAAGAATGCGATACAGCAGCAGGATGGTGCTCAGAGACAGCGAGAGTCGGAGCGCTGCCGATTTGTGTAAAGGTTGTTTCTTTTGTGTTGCTGATGCGGGACTAAACAGAACCGTGTCAGCTTGTCTCAGGCCCCCAGCACGACGTGATGGGGGAACCACCGTACTCCTTTTTTCTCCCTGTCAACCTCGCCAACACCACGCCCCAGAGCTTCATCAATGCGCCGGTCGCGACGAACACGCGGATGGAATGCCGAATTGCCCGCGCATTGTAATCATCCGCGCCGTGCACCGCGACAGCCCTATCTCCCTCGCCCGCCCGGCTCTTCCCTTTGCCCTTGCCTCCCTTGCTGACCGACGAGGCGCGCCCTCGAGGGCCGTCTATGATCCTCTGCATTGTGTCCACCGTCGGTGCCCGTTTCTTGAGCGCTCGCGACCGCGATATGACGTATTTGTGAAGAGCCGCATATTCGCGCGCCGAGATCGTGTAGCGCAGCGCGTTGCGGAGGACGGGATCTGTCGTCGACTTCGCCGTCACGGACGGAGCGCTACTGGGACCCGCGCCCCGGGACGTTGGCGCTCCAGCCCGAGACGCCATCGCAAGATTGAGTTCTCTTCAAATGAGGGTTGTAGAACGTCGACGCGCTCGAATCACAAAACAGCCCCTGAGAAACCAGGGAGAAGTGACAAACCCAATGGAAAATCGACCCTCAGACCCTCTCGAAGTAATGTTGTGCTTGTTGATGCCCAAGCGCGCTTGTGTCGCCGGATACGCGCGTTACACCGGATATTCTCACCAATACAGGTGGACTGACAGGAGATGGGTCGGGAATTCTTTGTTGCAAGAGCATCGAGGAATGTCGCAGGAGTTGTTGTCAAGGCTGACTGGCATCATATGCATTGACGCCATTTAATTAGCGTCACGCAGGGAACCTCGGTTCTAAGCTGTGCCAAGCTTCCCCAGAAGTCCCTACCCCACATTCACCTTGTTTGCCGGCACTCCACTGTCGGCCTTTCAAGCCCCTGAAATCGCAGGAAATGGGGAAGGCATCTGATGCCCAATGCTTCCTTGCAATGCTGATGTGCGAACAAGCCACTCTGCAGAATTCTTAGAGTGCAGTTGTTAAAGAGAGCAGGCAACTCAGTATCAACCAATGCCAATAGCCTTACAGTGACGACATCAATACTTTCTCAGAGCCTCCCTTGCTTGTCACCTCGCTGAGAGTCCTGCCTTTTCACCCAAGAGATGCTTTTGTATCCGTGACCTATAGTCATAGCCCTATGCTTTTTCACCCCTCTCCCATGTTGTATACCGATGGAATATTTCTATCATCACCGAGACGACTAACTCCGGTTCTCCTAACCCAATCCCAACGCCTCAGGGGCAAAAGAACAGCCCCGGGTATGGAAGTGTTGTTGTCCCCAGAAGCCCTCCTCAAGGGGAGACGGCTCCAAATCGGTAGTCCCAAAGCAAAAACCCCGGAGCAAGACCAGTTAACAGGTCTGCAATACGATGACCCGCGCCCGCCCAGTAAACAATGGACGACCAACACGAAATTCGCCGCCCAGCCGTCATGACCCGCCCAACCATGTTCCTAGGACCTCGCCGCGACCGCAAGGACCGGGTGTAATCCCATGAACAAGCGGAAGGGGATACCCGGAAAAGAGCATGATCAAACCCCATTCAATCAACCGCTCCTGCCCTCCGGCCCGCCCAGCAAGGGCAGGCGATTTTGTGTAACCGTGTTACTCCAGACGCAATGCAAAAAAGATTAAGCAAGGGGTTGACGGTGATGGAAACTGCAAGAGAAACTAACGCACGAGGAAAAGAAAGGTAAGCCCAAGGACCATGCCAACCCAGGTTCCCAAAGTCATCCAGTGGTGAAAGCTGAGGGTGCTCGGCCTTGATGTCAGGCGTCAGGCGCTAACGCTGGAAGAGGTGGCGTGCGACCACGTATGGACAAGGTATGGGAGGTCTCCAGGGAATACCTCTTCCTTAAAGCCCATATTGTTGACCCAATAGTCGTCCATATTCCCTACAACCACCGGCGCTGCTGCATTCTCGACCCGTTCTTGGTAGGCACGAAGCTGAGGTTCCGCTTTCTCTAGGGCTCGCAGCCGCCTCGACTCCCGTTCGGCGACAATGTCGGTTATTATTGACAAGCGGAATGACGGGCTGAGGTCTCCGCCCAACTTGGCCAGATGGGGATGCTCCAAAATCTGCTTCAGGAGCTCGAAGGGCAGATTGAGCAAGATACGGGAAAGGATGGTGTCGTTTGCGGTCGGAGCGCGGCGGGCCGGGGGCTTGTCAGAGGCATCAGGGACCGCATGCCCGCTCTCGGCCGGGGAGATGTCTCCAAACTTGATCTGAGACAGGCGAAGGTTGGATGATACACGCGGGTTACCCGGCATCTGGGCCTGGGCCTTGGAAGGCTGGCGGCTATGAACGCCGCGTGAGGTGCCATAAGCAGCTGTGGGAGCATTCGACTTAGAAGGCGTAGGGTTCGAGGGCGGAAGACGTGGAAACCCGAAGTTGGCCGCACTGGTATCGAGCACGAAGTCCGCGGGGAAGTTGTGGACGAGAAAAGCAAGGACCTGATCCACAAGCTCCGGCACGCCAAAGCCATCATTGCGCGGCGACATAACCACGACTTTGGAAATGAACCTGACAGCCTCCTCGATCGTGTTCCAGAGGAGAAGGCGGCTGGCGCGGTGCACAGCAACGGAATGTACCCACGGGAGCTGTAAATACCGCGCAGTGGCAACATAGCTAAGGGCTGTCTTGAAGTCGTCCCTGACATCGCGGAGTCGGAGTTCGGTGGGAAGGATACCATCGGCAAGGCTCCAACCATAGAGAGTACGGATGGAATACCAAAAGACGTCGGACCGCATGTAGCCATCGTTGATCTCGAGTGAGATCACGCCACCCGGCGTGGTTCCCTGGGCTTTCATAATTCCGGCAAGCGTAGGGCTGCGAGAAAAGATGAAGCGGTGACCGGGAGTCCTGAGTACGCGGTGAAGCTGCCGGTATCCAGGATGATCGTGGAAGTCGGGAGTGTCGGGGAAACGAACCTCGAGGACACAGTCGTTGAAGGTACTGTCGGTGATGCCGTGTCTCAGGAATGACAAGGCTTCATCCTGGTCGAGCAGGCTCTGGTAGCCCGGAACTGGGCCCGCGGTGGGGTGCACGGTGCCATTCATCGGTGGATTCATTCCCGGGGCACGGATCGGGCCCTGTCCGGCCTGCTCCGCGATATACTCCGCATGTCCGTTGAGACCGGCGTGATGGTTGAAGGCAGCGTCCTCTGCCTGCGCCGACGACTGGGACCCGTGGAAGCTGTGAGGAGTAGGCGGCCCATGATGACCAATTACCTCGACAGCCGGAGATACCAACAAAGGGCGCCCATACCCGTCTACAGGGGCAGGCGGATACGGGAACAGGCCTGGGGGAGGGAAACCACCGCCACCTGAACGGGGAGCGGGCGACGACGCGTTGGAGTCATAAAAGCCACTGAACATCAGGCTGCCACTGCTGGGGTGAGGTTGATGGAAGGTAGGCCGGTTCATCACAGCGGGGTGCGGGGCAGGAATGGGACCATCGGGAACCAGACCGGATGTGGCCATGACTTGGGGTGCAACGTTGGGTATTCCCTGAGGTCGATGTTGAGCAGCAGGCACTGCATGGTGGTCACGAGACGAAGGAGAAACCGTAGAAGTGTCTATAATCAAGGCCTGTAAGCAAGAACTGCGCCGACATGATGCAACGAGAGACCAAAAGAAGCTCATGGGAAACCGACAAGACAGAGCGCCAAGTCGCATAGGAAATCATGCCAACATACCTCTTGCGCGTCCATTCGGAGCTGCGACGGAAGCAGATGGCTCCGCCTTGCCGACAGTTTGAACGGGAGCTGCGGGAGGGGTTGTGGCATCAGCATTGTCGGCAGAGTTTGGGCCAAGCTCGGTCGAGTCGCCGTTCAGCGGCTCTTTGCTGTGTCCCGAGCCATGCGAACCGGATTTGTTCTCGGCTTGTCGGGCGCCGTTCTGGCCCTTGGTCGGGGGCGACGTTGCTGGACCGGCAGAAGGTGGCTTATTCGCCGGACGTTGAGGGTAGTTGAGGGGTAAGACGGGGACAATGGGCCTGTTAGAGGGCCGAGTAGCGACCTTAGCGGGCTTGCCCGTGGCTCCATTGACTGCCGACATAATGGTCCGGCGAAGATATTGTAGCAATTATTCGATAACGAAGCGGAGACGGTCGGTTCCAAGGAAGGGCGGAGCGGCGAGGTGCCTAGAGTCAGGGTCGGTTGAGAGGATGGTGGGTTTGAAAAGCCCGCCGCGGTACACCACCTCTAGCTAGCGACTTTCCCAGAAATTGTTGCGACGCGCAACCTGGCCCGCTGTTTGACGTCAGCGTTAGCAAGAGGCACGGAAGTATCTAGCAGTCGCAGCGGAAGAGAGCATTACCATTCAACGCCGCAGTTGGGCTACGCAGCGAGCAGAAGGTCGGCGGGCGACGTGAAAGTCGAGGGGTTTGTCGCCAGCAACTGAACCGGGCACATTCAGCGCGGGCAAGCAGGAAAGCGCAGTTCAGTTTCACCGAAATCGACCCACACAACGATGATGCCAAAATTTTGACTCCTCCCCGCCTAAAAATATGGCATGGTGCTCTGATTGGCTAACCGGCCTCATGGTGCTCCGCCGCCTGACGGTTCGGACCCCGGTTTTGTGTGTGCGCTGAGCTGACCGCAACGCGGCAACGGAAGTCGAAGCGTCACTCTCACATCACGACTTGCACGCTGGTTTTACTGTCGGATGGGGAGTGTGGCTGTTATAATTAGGTATGAACCACACTTTCCCAAAGCTGCTTATTAGTACCTTCAACATTGTCAGATGGGAGCTGTAGGGGGCTCTGATACGCAGACCACGTGGTTCAAGCCTTCAGTAACTGTCCAACTAATAATAAGCATGGAAGCTCCTTCGGCCAGAATAACGTTAACAAGTCGTACACCAGCATCGTGGTCAGCCGGATAAATGAGGCTGCTAATACTGTCTCTTCTTGTCATTTACCTCTTCTTTTTCTTGATTGTTCTCCTTTTTCATCTCATCTTCTTAGTTTCAGGTTCTCTCCTCTTTTCTCTATTTATTCCCTTCTCGCCTTATCTTCTCGGTCAGATTTTACGTTGAAATTAACTTAGTGTCCGGCTCTTTTTGGATTTCGGGAAGGCGAGATCCAGTATATATAAGCGTGAGCATGACAAACTTTCCATAAGCAGCTGCTCAACGATGCAAACGCCATCCGAAAGAGACGTATCTCCGTTTGATCTCCATAGAAAGCGGTGAGACAATCAAGCTCTGGGTTCGTATGTACTTGTGTCTGCCGGTGTTTGCTCTGCCAAAGGTCGCAGCTCGTCGCCGGAAACATGCGGCTTGGTTGTTAGTCCAGAAGAACACGGCATGCCTTAAAGTACAGACTCCATACTCGCAGTTATTACAGAATATCACGCTGCCCGCAACCTGAAAGATTTCTGCTCCCTTGTCGAATGCCCCCGCCATTCAAGCCAATGCGGGGGAGGGGTCGAGGGCAGCCGGCGGCCATCCCCGCCAACAGACGATCCGGGCTGATCCGACCATGCGATCCACGGGCTGTGTCTCGCAGACTGGCACAGTCGCACTCACACCCAATGCCCGACGGTCTAGAACTCCAATGTTCCACGGCAGCTCCTCCGGACTCTCTGGGGACACCGACCAACAGTGCGGCCTAGCAGTAAGCTGCAATGACTTCCGGTATGACCGGTATGACATGAGTACCTGCCTAGGTACTTTGGGCGGGACTCATGGTTGCGGAAGACAAGAGCGGACGTTGCCTTTTGACGTAGACATCGGTGCTGGATTGGCGACTTAATTCTCTCATCTTCTCTCCTCTCTGGGCTGTTTCCCGGTGTCTGACCGTAAACAACAAGAGCCCATGGCAGGTGGTTGGAGGATTCGGGCGCTGCAGAAAGGTATGAGGAGAGAGAAATACTGGTCAAAAGTGACGAACGGCCTCTGTGACTGGGAAACGAGAGCACAAATCACACCGCCACTGATGGGAGTATCAGCATCAATACGCCACCGGCCTCATGTGCTACCAGTCCTACTTATACCGGGTGATCCCGCTCACATGGGTTGCAACTAAGTCAAACGCTCCGCCGGAATCCTCCTATAGGTAGCCGTGTCAAGGCGGATGTCAGGGACCAGTTATTACGCACTAGCTGGTCCCTCCCGTCCCTCGTACCGTCCGCCCGTGCTACATGTGCAAACGACTCCATCCCGGCAACGAGCCCAATGACCCGGAGCTAACGGCACCCGAACTGGCGGCCGCGGGGCTCGGAATCGCATAGAAAGGCGGATTGCGGCTTGGGCTTGTGTAGTGCTGCTCTGGACTCTTTCCCTTGTCCAGCGGCTCCGTCGGCATCCCGGCCAGGTACGAGCCCTCATATTCGTTGTTCTCGTCGGCATCGCTCCCATCCAGCGGCGGCGGCCTCCTATAAGGATAATGAGGCACGGGCTCCCCGTCCTTCCACAGCGCCCCTGAATCACACATGGCCGTCGCATGACTACCGTTGTTGACACGACTACCGAACTGCATGGCCCTCCCGTCGGCACCGCCGTCCCTCCTCATTGCCGCCCTCAGACCAGCCACGATCGCACACCGCGGATCGCCCAGGGCCCGCCGCTGCCAATCCCACGGCCCATCCGACACCGCAACCCTCTGGTCCGCCGTGCCCAGCCGCTGCCCATACCGATTCATCACCACGCTCTCCGCCGTCAGCAACCCGGCCCCTGTCGCAAGACTTCCTCCTCCTGTCTCGCCGCCGCTCACAAGCTGCCCATGACGAACAACAACAGCCCCAAGCTGCGCCTGCGCCGCCCGCCAACGGAACGGACAAGCCGCGTTCGCACACGCCGTGATCCCGAGCGTGCACCGCGAATCAAACCGGTTCGACGCCCAGTCGCCACACCCGGCGCACTCCCAGTACACCGGGTCGACGAACCGGGGCGACGCGTGCAGGCCGCCGACGGTGCGGATCAGCAGCTTCGCCTGGCCGTCGCGGCCCAGCGGCCCCGCGTAGAGCGCGCAGTTGACACACTTCCGGTGGCGGCAGCTGGTGCGCCAGCAGACGTCGAAGCTCCCGTCGTCGCCGCCGCTGCTGCTGCTGGCCTCTGCGCTCCCGTCGGCCGGGTAATCCTCGTTCGTGTTGTTATTATTCTGAGGCACGTCGCGGTCGTGATGGTGGTGGTGTTGTTGGTGGAGAGGAGCGGAAGAAGAAGAAGAAGAAGCTGGAGGAGGACTAGGATAGTGAACCATCCCCACGGGGTCGGGATACCCTTCCTCTGCGCAGCGGCAGCACAGCCAGCGGTTGATCTGGGTCTGGGCGGGCGCGGAGCCGGTTGGGTAGCGGACGGGGAAGGCGCGCAGACTGGTGTGGGGGACAATACACGGGGACGGGAGGCCCTCGGTGGGAAAGGTCAGCAGGGTGCGGGTTTCGGCTGCGTCAATAATAATGGGAAGCTGGACCGGGTGCGGGATTGGTGGCCGGTAGGTCATGGCTGTCTTTCCAGCCGAACAGATTCTGGGCGTGGTGATGATATAGTATGATATGACGCTGAGCGAAGTGGAGGGAGGTCGTAAAGAGAGGGGAACCTGGGGTAGCTGGGTGCGCTACCGTCTAGACACCTACCTACCCATCAGCCTATATATGAAACAAGTTCTGGTATCGGCAATCCCCGCGTAGGGAACGTGGTCAAATAAGGCCGAGGACACACAAAGAGGGGGAAAAGGCAGTTGGAGCCGAGGACGTCTCTCATGGAAGAGCGGGACGCGCCGCATCATGGCGCGACACTGACAGTGTTGTTCACCACCACCGACCGGGGCAGTTGGCTCTCCTCGAGTCCGTGGGCCAGGGAAGCGGCCTCACGGCTGGCGGCATAGCGACAGTGATTTGGCTCGTCGCACACTGCAACCTCCCGGTTCGAGCTTCTCAAAACGCTCGTTTGCTTGTGCTTGTCAAACGATGCCGGGGAATAAGATCTCTCCCAGCGTATCACGGCAGATCCTGCCTTGGAACGAAAGCATGAGCAGGTTCGCGGAATTGTACGTGACTGGGCAATGCATTTCGTCCGCGACGGGATTTCTGATAGACACACACACGATAGGGGTTGATCCTTGCAAGCCACCGAGAGGAGCACCCGGAAACAGCCGTCTGAAAAGAGCACAAGCAAGGAATCTCGGGCCAAATGGTGAATGATATTGCAAGCACCTAGCCTCTCTACAGTACAGCGACTTCCATCCCATTTGCCGCTCATCTACCAAGCATCAAACGCCCGTTTTTCGCGTAGGTGCCACAGCAGACCTGGGCCGCTTGTAGGTTCCCTGGCCTGGGCTGGATGTGCATCTTTGTATTCCGGGGAGTAGGAACCTTGGCACATACTTTCCGGCGTAAGTTACTTGTCGAGCTCGCTCTCCGGCGATCCGAGGTTCAGATCGGGTACGGAGTCATCGACGGCCATGACCTGTTTGGAGCGGCGGTCGTCCGGGGCCAGGCCCTCAATGGTCGAGTCCAGCATGGCAATAGCTTCCTCCATTCCCTTTATCTTCTTGAAAACCTCCTCATTGAATGCGCCAGATTTTTGTGCATGGGCAATAAGCTGCTGGCTGATCCAGGGGGTAAGAGGAACATCCTCCTCCACGGCACTCTTTATGGCCTCTTTGTGACGAATACCGCAGCTGATGTGGCTGTCGAGGTGCGGCGGTGTGTGCGGCACCCTAAAGCGTCCGACTTTGATGCCCTGAAGGTCATTGCCCGCCTCGACGACACTAATGAGACACTGGTCGACGGAGGGGAACGGCCACAAGCTAGCGGTCGCGAGGGCACTCATGAGGGAGCCAAGCTGCTGCTGCCAGCATGCCTGTCTCAACTCGGCCTCGGCGTCCTTGCTGCGACAGAACTTCAGCGCCTCCTCGCCACCGCGCAGGAGAGCGCTAAGCGGCTGGCCGACGGAATTCATAACCTTGGTCAGGCATTCGTAGCGAGTCTTTGCAATCAATTCTACCAGGCGTAGCGGGGTCAGCGAAGCCGGACTCCAAATGCACTGAACTGGGGAGATTGAATTCTTACCAACGACAGCGGGCGGGAGGCCGTGATCGTGCCAGGGCTGGCCGTGGGTGTCGAGCAAGACTCCGGTGTCACTGAGCGCGGCCTTGTGGGCGACCTTGGGCAACATGCCAGCAAAGTAGCGAGCCTCGCCAAAAACCCAGGCCAAGTACAGAGTCTTCTCATCGTCGTTTTGGTCGTCCTTCATAACAATGTGCCACTCGAGGCCAGCAACCCTAGAGAACCGTCAATCTGAGTGGGGGGTATATAGGTAGCGCAGGCGTACGGAAGGGGAACATACCATTTATCCATGTAAGGAACCAGGAGGTGAGCACAGTCGCACTTCTCGACCACGCGAGCAATGCTGCAAAGTTGGTCCACGTCAGGCCGAGTGGGGATCCCATGGAACTTGTAGTGGATGATGGAAAGAACGATGCCCAAACCGTACGAGTCGTTCCCGAAATCAGCGACATCAAGGACCAGCTCGCCATCAGCAGGGATGTCATGATTCTTGCTGGCAATAAGAGCCTTCAAGGAGGGGGATGCAGCAGCGACGAGGGCGGCGCAAGCCTTGTACAGAACCTTGACACCCTCCGACTCTGAAATCCGGATACACATGTCAGCATCCTCGTGGTAGGACACCACCGTGTCAGTCTGCAGTGCCGGCTGGTCAACTCGCAGATCAGTCTCAGGCTGTGCCTCCTCCGTCATGGCTTCATTGCCGTCAGCAGAGGCCGACTTCTCGTCAATGCCGGACGGGGACGTATCCGGAGAGACGGTGGAGTGAGAGTCAAGGACTCCATCGGCATCAGCAATCGACACTGTCTTGATGGGAGCGCAAGGGGTTGATTGTGCGATCTCAGTGTTTGCCTTCTCCGTAGTGAGTTCATCATCCTCAACAGGCTTTGATTTTCCGTTGTTGTCAGGCGGAGACGTGACACAGTGGTCGTCCGGGGAGCTCAAGGAAACTCCACCAACGTCAGTGTCCGCAACTGCCATGCCGGGGGAGCAAGGGACGGGCTCGTCGACTTTGACCGGGTCGGTGATCTGCGCCTCCATCTTGATGTCGGGGTCTGCGATGTTGAGGGAAGTAGCGTGAGGGCTGGAAGACACGGAAGCCGCGTCATCGGCCGGTCCTTCCGAGCGAGTGTCGGACATGGTTGCTGCTGCCGCTCTTGGACTTTATTTTGTCCGAATCTTCAAAAGTTGAAGCAGAACCGCTTAGAAGGTGCAATGAATACGCAATCTCCGGCGGAACGAACGCCGAAGCAATAGGACAGGACGGAGTTCGTCTGTCAGTCCAAGGCTTCCAGTGCGTGGAAGGTGGATGGAGCGCGAAGAATTTGAAGGGAGGGCAGAACTTGAAATTCAAAATCCCGTCAAGGTAGATATCAACTGCATCCGGAAAGTGCACACGAAGGTAGTAGTAGTACACAACAGCCAAAGGCGGTCTGTGCTGCGAGCCTCGACAGTTGATTTCGGAATTTAACCTTCAATTTTAGTTGTGCAGAAATGTGCCTCCAGGGGTAAGTGACGGGTGATATCGTTCAAAGGACTTCCAGGTTGCCGTTCTTGTTGATCACCTCTACCTGACTAGGATGCCTTGCCACTGCGCAGCCGGACGGCTCTAGGGGCCGGTATGCCAGCACTGGTAGGGAGGTCAGCCGGGCGGCAATGGACTCCGGTACCTTATGACTCTTGTCGGCCAACCACAAGATGCTGATTTCCTCATGCTGCGCAGTACAGTCCTCGGAAAGTATCCTACTCAGCCTTCCCGGAGTCGCCCTCGAATACTACCACCAATAGTCGGATGATATCTAGCTGTGGAGATCTGGCATCGCACTCGTAGGCACGATTAACTTATGTTACAATGATGTTCTTCTAGCCCCGAGTGAGGAATTACTGGTACTGTGTGACATCCCCTTTCTTTTTCCTAGTCCAGTTCAGCCGGCCTTCATCTCACAGCAAGTTTACGCGTGGTCTAGATCGGTGATTCTCGCAGAGTGAAGCAGTAGGCTCATCGCTGCCACCTCTGCCTGTTGCAGTTCTGTCCTACTAGTAGGGGTAATTTTATTGGACCTCTGGCCGGTCCAAAGTCCCGTATACAGGTCAAAGTGGTGCCCCTTGTCATGCACGATACCAGGTATTGTACCTGTGACGGCGGCTTTCAAACCTTCCGGTTTAGCCCCCCAATGTGCAACAGCAACATGGAGGTGGTTACCCAGAACATGCGTGCTACCTTCGCCCTCTTTGTCCTTCACGGCTGGTGTGCAGTGACTCGCTGGAGGTTGTAGCCTCGCCTACTCATATATTTGGATGCTTGGGCTGTCTATATAAGGCTATGACTCTCCCTTTTCCTGCTCCTGAAGCTGCTTCTAACCTGCTTAAGTAACGCTTTTGACATTACGCCCAGCTTCAAAGCTACACTGGCAACGCAAGAACGCTAAGCAGCCCACTTTCCACCCACAAGTCGCTTACACCCAGAGGTAAGCGCTCTGCCAGTCCGGCAGCAGCAGCGAGAGAAGTGATTCGCTGACCACGAGCAGGAACTCAAAACTCTACCGACATCCTCAACCAAGAGCAACATACGCAAGCACAGCATCAACAACGCACCTTTTCCTCAAATCAAAGGCTCACATAATCAGTCATGTCGAACTCTGGCGGTAATAAAATTGACGTGACCAACGTCGACATCGTCTCGAAGAATACGGACACACTGGAACGCCGTGACCAGGCCAAGAACACCTCCGACACCACCCATGAGCCTCGGAAGAAGGCCACCCATGAGGTCCCGAGAGTGGTTCCCGGTGATCCAGCCATGAATGGCAGCGACTATGGTTCCATCGAGGGGTTTGGCAAGTTGTATTACAAACACGAGATGGGGAGGCCAAAGAAGAGAAAGAAGTAGGCTGGTGCCCAGCCGACCAGATCCGCTGGGCCGTCGCTGTCGGGTAGGGAGTTAGGAACGATTTGGAGTGCTCTGGAAGGGCGATGGAGGGAATGGACCATCTGCGGCAGGCCGCAGTACACAATGGTTTTCGCAACTAGACTCTAAGGGTCCTTGTAATAAGGACACAAAACCCCAACGCCTTGCATTAACCATAGTATGTAGTACTCGGTAGCACTGAGTTTCCGGTCTGGGGTCTCTGGACTTTTGTGAAGAGGAGATGCAAGGTCAGATCTCATGCTGACCCTTGACTTACCACCTTCAAGTTGGTTGCTCCCTACCTATCTTACGTATTCCCCGCCATATAGATGTGTCCTTAAAGCTCAATACTCAGTACAGACCTTTTACATTGAGACATGCTTTTGGGACAGTACCTTAAGCTTCAGACCCCGGGGACAGTATTTCAACCAAATCTGGTTAGCGGCCCCCGAAATGATATCTGCTGCGCATCGCACCCACACATCGCACTTCGACATGACACTCAATTACCAGGTGCCATATATTCTTTTGCCATTCGGATACTTCAATTGAATGCTCGGGCGGAAATGGCTGAGAAATTCAAACTGGGAATAGTACTGTAAGGTATTGGGCTGTGGCGCAGGCGCTAGGCCGAATGTGTTTACAATGCTGTTCCCGGGGTCCGAAGCTTAATTACCTCCTGCTAAAGCAGTATGTCTCATTCATATTCCTCGGCCCGTTCACATTCACCGGATAGTAGGTATTTCGACACAGGACAGTTGGTTCAAATACTCATCGAAGAACTTGAATTACAACGCTGTAGATACGGTCTTTGCAGGCCCTCATTCGAACAGGCATGTCTTCAACCGCCATCATCTCCTCCTCGTCCGCTCCTGTGCAATAGTGTTTCCCCATTAAGCAACCGGTGCCGTCACCCTATTAAAAGAACCTAAGAGTGAAAATGTCCGCTTTTCAAGATTCCAGTCTGTTCTGTCAACGAGAAGCAATAAGCTGCAACGCAGGGGTATAGAACGCCTGTCCCAAATGGTATGCCGAAGATGCGTTTTAAGATGCCGCCGTGATGCTGCCAATGCTGCCGAAATAAAATCATTGCGCCGTCCGTGCAAGATGCGAGAAATTCCATATCCATCCAACCAAAGTATCTCCGAATCGCTGTCGTCCTTCTTCGAACCAGGACCTGCGGCTGGGTGACGGCCAAGGCGTAGCCCAGAATTTCAACGGCGGCGCATGCTGAACCACCAGCCCTTCCACTTCCTCGTCCGGACCGACTCGGCCTTCTCGACCCCGCTGTCATCCGACTCGAGATCCAGGCGGTACCGGACCACACTACCCCGGTCATCCTCAAACCCGATCCGCCGCTTGCTCTCGGGGACGAAACACTCCGGCACCACATGACGCAAGACCCAGCCACGGACCCCTTTGCTGGCGGCGTCGATGGCCGCGTACTCCAGCCTCCTCGTCCGGTCGCTCGTCCAATAGTGTGTGGTTGTTGGTGGCAGCGGGTAGGTGGGTGTCTCGGAGCGGCGCAGTGCATAGCTCGGCGTGACGGATGCGAGGTCTCGGGCGCTGTGCGGACGGTCCGCGGCGATGCCTGCCGGCTCGTTCAGCGCCGGGTCGGAGGAGGTGAAATGCGGGAACTGAAAGTATGTCACGGGCTGCTGCGAGCTACCGGGGCGAGACGCGGGAGCGGAGTGGCGCGCATTTCGGGGACGGTGTGAGACAGGGCCGGACCTTGGGGACCGCAGGGTTGACGGCCTTTTACGGTGCTGGTGCGGTGTTGAGGAAGACCCTGACGTCGACGAAGACGCCTTGCGGGCGGAATACAGCGAGTCTCGGGGGTTCAGTGACTCATAGCCCGAGTCTTGCCGGCGCATCGTTGTTGCGACCAGTCCTTCTTCCTCCGTCGGTGGTGAAGTTACTGGTGGTGGGCAGACAGTCGGCGCCAGCATGGCCTCGCTGGGCTGCGCTGGGACCTCGGGCTCATACAACTCGATGTCTTGAAAGCTATGGTACGTTGTGTCGGACCGCGCCAAACTCACCCGTGAGTCTGGGCGGGCGACGGCTGCGCGGGGGCTCAGGTGGGACATGGCGGCCAGCGTTCTGCGACAGGGCTTGGAGTGTGACGCATCACGGGCCGGGGCAGCTCGGCGGGAAGTTCGAAATGCAAACCGGGGAAACGGCCAGAGGAGAACAGTCCAGAAGGGCGGGAGAAGCAGGTCTCTTGTATTCTTTCAACCTTGCAGAAATGGACTACCGACACAGCGGGACGTCGAAGGAAGCCGGAAATCCACCGTGGCAGCAGTGTGAAGACCCTTGGGGTCCAGAATTCAAACTTGCGGTCAGCTAGCCTTCATCAGATGAGTGTACAGTGTACCTAAACAACCGACTACTGAGTGGATATCACATCGAGTGACGAGAGGGGAAACTGAAAAGTTTCATATGATCGCCAGGGAGGTCATGCCCCAGCCCAGCGCCAATTGGGAGTTCAGCCACCAAAAGCCAGTCTGTGATTGGCACGGAGCACAACTTGGGAGACTAGCACGAAGCAGACCATGCTGAATCTGCAGGTCCGTGTCTTCCAAGACATGCAGTGTGACCCAGGACTTGCAGAGCTTGGTCTCCGGTGATGAGCAGCGTAGAGCCGCAGGACAAGCGTCGGATAAAGATCTTACATCCCACAGTAGATCGAGTTTGGGCGAGCGAGAAGGATGTCAACTTTATGTTGCTGATGCAGAATGTCTCAGATAATTCTGTGTAACGTACCTTACTTGCACTGTACACAGTACTAATGTACTACCGTGCAGCGCCTGCCAAGCAAAGGGAATCAGATCCATCGATCAGGGGATCTCCACGAGATCGGACAGCCCCCCGGATTTGTTGGGACAGAATCGAACAGGCGGTCAGCCCAAGCCATGAGGTCATTTCGTTTATTACCGAGGGAACTGCAGTCTGCGGAGAGCCAAGCGGTGTGTTGACACAGTTTTTCTCAGTGACCCCACCTTGCACGTCAATGGGTTCGATGTGGGGGTTTGAGAAATCAGTTGTTCCAGACACAGACGGCACCTGCCCACGGTGTAGGAAGATGTAAGAACTCCCGCCCTGTGAAACTAAGGTACCTTGGCTATGCTAGTGGAAGAATTATTGTGGAAAGTCACGGCAGGCACTGAGATAGGTAGGGGACAAACGAAGCCGCCACATAGGAAGGTTAGCCTCTGTCTTGATCAATGAAAGAGAAAAGAAGCGGGAAAGGACGGTTTGTGCCGAAGCTGTCGATATTAAATTAGAATCTGTGGGTCGGTAAAAAGGTAAGGTAAATACGCTTTCTAAGTGTAATATACGCCGACCAAGATTTCGACGTTCCAACATGGTACGGTCAGTTACAGTGGGGTAAGCCCTGAGCAAACAATCTGACGGTAAGTTTCGCGCCTTTGCCCAGGTAAGGTAGGGCGCCACGACGGCTACGAGGAGGAGTAAGCACGGAGTTATATGCCATTGGGAGTCGAGCATGTCTGTACGGAAGGCTTACATACCTGAGGTACTAGTAGTCAATATGGCCCACGCATATTGGAAAACTGTGTTAATTGAGTGGTTCGGTCACCGCCACTGCATGGCGTATGTATGACTGTACTATACTATCAGTACGATGTATTGTACACATGCTGTGTATTTTCAAATATTCTGGAAGCCACCACTGTAATGCTTCTCGGCCCGGTTTGCCTATCCAGAACCGAGCATGTCACCCAGATGGCGAATTCTCCCGCTCCACGATGCCTCAGCGACATCGGACCGGGTCTGCTCTTTACGTGTAGGTTGATTGCGCAGACCCGCCCCGTATCACCTGATTCTGAATTTCTGATTCTCAGGCGGGTGGCCGCACATTCCAATGATGATCGATCCCATGTTTTCGGAATTTCCCTTATCGGTTTGCTCCGCGGCATGCCCAAAGGGCCTTCACTTCTGTGTTTAACAAGAAGCTCTTGAAGCGGCTGTGGTAGGTCATACTCCGTAGTGGGAGGACAAACATACCAGATCTCAACAAAGGCGTTATCAAGTGCTTTGAAGCATATATAAGACGGTTTTGGCCATATTGTTCATCGAACTCTTCGGGAAAAGATGAAAGCATCAATGACATTGTTCAAAAATGCTACCTCACAAAGGGTTTCGAGCTACCTATATAAGAACTAGCAGTTCAGGTTTACACACATCATGGTGGTCCGATAACCAGGCCGGGCCAAAGGTGGCACTCATAGACTTATACTCTTTGTTGCTCCAACGCCTTTGCCAGTAAATCGCTCTGAACCTGAGTTCTGTCAGCACATGCGAAGATCTCTTTTAGTTCGCATAAGCTTGAAGCTGCAAATGCGGACACCTACCATGGCTACGAAGGCTGCTCTCTGCCTCATAAGAGCTTTACGACGAGCGGTAAAGCAGCAACAGCAGGTAGTCGAGCAGCAGGAAGAGAGTGTCAAATTTCTGGTGGAAGCTAACGCCTTCCTAGATGTCGAACAGCTCACGGGCAGCACCATTCAGAAGGAAGCAGAGAAACTGCAGACATCTCAGGACATTCTCAACGACTTGGACGCCCAGCTCCGCTGGGCTATTGACTCGTGGAAGGACATGGTCTCCGCTGAAGACGGCGGAGAGCACCCGCTCTGGACACCGTCTCCATCCGCTCCCATGCCACAGCCTCCTCTCGAAGAGCAGCGACTGCCGGCTGTGTCAGAGAACAGCAGAGACCTTAGCCTCAGCGACCCTGCGGTCGGTGCCCTGGCCCTCTACACACAGAAATGGGACAACTGGTTGCAGGCACCGACGATACCAGGCCTGCGCACGCTCGAATCGTCCCTGACTGCACCGTGGTGGGTGCAGAAACAGGACCACTATGGCCTCTGCCATCCTCAAGAACAAGGCCAAATCGAGAGTGCTGCTAGAGTAGCCCAGATGAACAGGGGTTATTATGCAGAGCCACATGCTTCTCCGTATCAGTCGGGTGCTCAACAGCTAAGGGGCACCTGGTATCAACGATACAACCCCGCTGCTCTGCCACTAACCACTGTTTCTGAATGCGGTTTGACTCATTTCAGGCCGGCCAGGGCTAACTCCACCGAGTTTTGGCTTGACAAGGAATTTGACCCGTTCTTTTGGCAGAAGAATCTCCGGCCGGGGAACATCTGGACTCAGCTTTCTCGCTATCCGACTCCTGACGAGGAGGATAACGTGTCGCCTCGGGCGTTGCCGATCGACATGTAATACGGTAGGAAAAAGGGGTGGAAATCTAAGGTCATAGATCCAGTTTCAGTACTAGTACTCAGGGAAGCAGCTACATACAAGGTAGGTAACCAACCGTGGATTTATGTCTTATAACGTATCTTATAAGCGAGATGAACATATAAGCGAATTGAACACTTTGACCGCGACACGTCTTCTCTCTATACTACAACCAAAATCCTCTACACACAACGATGTCTTTGGCTTCAAGAGAATCTAGGGTAATCTTAGCCCTTGAAGCTATTCAAAAGAACCCAAAACTTAGTCTTCGCGCCGCAGCAAAGATCTATAACGTCACAGTCAATACTATCCGAAACCGACGCGACGGCAAGCCTGCACGACGCGACACTACGCCCAACTCGCGCCGGCTTACCGATTCCGAAGAGAAGGCTCTTGTTCAGTATATAATTGAGCTATCTGAGCGAGCCTTTCCCCCGAGACTACGTGGTGTAGAAGATATGGCTAACCAACTATTATATGTACGCGACGCGCCCCCTATCGGCAAGCTCTGGGCGTATAACTTCGTCAAACGCCAGCCAGAGCTCCGGACGCGTTATACGTATAGATACGACTACCAGAGGGCCAAATATAAGGATCCAAAGGTCATTGGCGAATGGTTTACCCTTATACGGAACGTTAAGGCCAAGTATAGTATCGTAGATGACGATATCTACAACTTCGACGAGACTGGGTTTATAATAGGCATTATCTTCCTAGAGATGGTGGCAATAACCTCAGATAGCCATGGCAAGGCAAAGCTAGCCTAGCCTGGCAACCGCGAATGGGCGACTATAATCCAAGGCGTCAATGCCCTTAGCTGGGCTATCCCTCCGTTCATCATCTTAGCGGCGCAATACTATCTCGCCAACTGGTATACCAAGTGCAACCTCCCGGCCGACTGGCGTATTATAACCACCGACAATGGTTGGACTACCAATGCAGTAGGCCTTGATTGGATCAAGCACTTCGACTACTATATAGCGCCTCGGATAAAGGGCAAATACTGGTTGTTGATCCTCGATAGCCACGAAAGCCACTACTCAACCGAGTTCGAGCTCTACTGCTAGCAGAACAATATTATCACGCTCTGCATACCTCTATATTCCTCCTACCTCCTCTAGCCACTTGATGTTGGCTGCTTTGGGCCGTTGAAGCAGGTATACGGTCGCCAGATCGAGGACTTAATACGCGCGTATATCAGCCACGTAAGCAAGCTCGAGTTCCTTTGTGCCTTTCGTACAGCCTTCTTTGCCTCTATTACCAAGAGGAATATATAGGGCGGTTTTATAGGGGCTGGCCTTGTACTATACGATCTAGAGAGGGTACTTTCGAAGCTAAATATCAAGCTTCGTATACCAACACCCCTAACCTTACAGCCAGGCACTGTATAATCTTGGGTCTTCCAGACACTATACAACCCCCAAGAAGCCAACTCACAGTCAACGCTCATCAAGACTCGCATTGCCAACCATCAAAATAGCTCCCCGACTTCGATGTTGGCTGCTATGGACCAGCTTACCAAGGCTACAATGGCTATAATGCACCAGGTGGCCCTCCTTTAGGCAGAGGTGTCTTCGCTCCGCAAGGCTAACGAGGCGCTAAGCAAGCGCCGAAGAGCCAAAAGAACGCGTGTACAGCTTGGAAGATCGCTTGCAGTACAAGATGCAAAGGATCTACTAGACCAAAAGGCTATGGTTGGGGAGGTGGCACAAGAAATGCAGCCGGATGGTGGTGGTGCAGGGGGGGCTCGTACGAAGGTTCGGTGCTGTGGTGTGTGCGGCAAGCCTGGTCATAATGCCCGCACTTGTCAGGAGGTTGCAGAAGCATCTGATTCAGCCGTTTCTGATGTAATTATAGTAGGTTCATAATGTTGTTGTGTTGTAATTGTAGTTGACTGTTATAGTATGGTGGCAAGTGTTCAATTCGCTTATATGTTCATCTCGCTTATAAGATACGTTATATAGAACAATCGACTAAATGTTGAACACGGATTGATGACTGTCTCGAGTCTATATATCGTTCGAGCTTGTCTCTCTTCTCGGATCTTCCCTGAAGGTTGTCCGGTGCTCTGACTTACTCGTAGCATAATGTGAACGCAGTGCTCCGTCACTCTCATGGGACGAGAGCAAGGAAGGACGGCGAAAAGAGGAAAAAGGGGAAGAATGAAACTGGCTTCTAAAATCGCCGAATTTGGCAAAAGTTTAGACTCGGATGCCGGGAGTCGAACCCGGGGCTGTTGAGAAAGCAGTCACTCCTGGGAAGTGAGAGTCAACGATGTTACCGCTACACCACACCCGATTGATGAAATCGCGTCTGGCTTCTGATTGGACAGCCGGCTGTGAGTGTGACCCTATAGCAGGGATGTTGAAGTTCAACTCAGAGATTCTGCCCGAAGATTCGCACACATAAGATCATCATCATACCATTGTCAGATAACATATTTCGGTAACGCCACATCGATGATAGCTCAAGGCCCACCGTACAGCCCTTTTGCTTGTTAGCAAGAAACCCGAGTCACCAGGCTAGTGACTACCCCGTGCGCCCCCCAACTTGCTGCGCAACGCCCCTGCACCCCTCCCACCACACCAATATGTAATCAAGGAGGGATTTATTTTAGCCAGAGCCCGCAAGGCGCTCTCGATGGCTTTCCTCTGCGTGGTTGGGGTCATTCTATTGGACGGCGACACACTTAGGTACATGTAAATAAAGTAACACCGCATGAACGGAAAGCCGCGGCAATGTTACCTATGTGTGACAGTGTGTCGTGTCCCAGTGGATGATGAGAGCAACGCGGCGATGCGACCCAAAACTTGAGCAGGCCGCCAAGATGCCCGATCAGCTTACGCAAGGGCCCAAAGCGATCATATATATCTTACGTACCTCTTGTGACGGCCTTCAGGTGTCACCTTCAGCAAACCGTTGTCCAACCCCGAATTCCTCAGTCGTCTTTTACTGCCAAAGAGAGCCTGTTCGACGCAAAGGAAAATTCGGATCGGAGTAGCAACATGCTTTCCGTCTCTTGTCCACCGTACCGACTGGATGCGGGAACTGACGGGGACACTATCCTCCCTAATCGTATACACATTCAGCAGTCCCAATCCCTGGAGAGCCGGATCTGCGAGAGGTTCGTCTCGAGCAAATACGGAAATGAAAGGGAACAAGTTTACGTTCCCGAAGGTCAGCTCGACGAGCTGATCACCGAGGCAACCATCGTGGAACAGTTGCCGGACGACTACCCGGAAAAGGGAGAACTCGTCACCTTCATTCTTCTGCGGGCGAAGAAGACTTTTGCAATCACGCTCTTAACCGGACTCAGGGGCTATGAGTTATGTCAGGCCATCACACGGTTCTGGCTCTACGGTATTACCGACCAAAACCTGCCAGTTCGTGATCTGGGTTCGAACCCTGCCTTTGCCAACCCTCCCTGGTCGATGTGGAAGTTACAGCAATTCGGTGAAACCCAGTGGGGGTTCCTAGTTCCCATCTTTACGGCGAACAAGCTGGTCTACAGCCTCGAGCGAGAACGAATTCTGCCGTTCGTGGGCGTGGATAGCAGCATCAGAGACGGCAGCTTTGGACGAGTCTATCAGGTCAAGGTGCATAAGGCTCATCAGAGGAATCCCGCTTTCATGGCACGAGGGGAGGGAACGCCCATCGCCGTCAAAGAAGTCTCTGCCCGGAGCTTAAGTCGTGCTGGCCACTTGACGCCGGGCGACGCCCCACAAGACTGGGAGGCGGAGGCGGCGGCGCTGGCCAAGCTTAGCAATATCAGACACGAGAATCTGATACAGTGTATCGCGATAATTTCCAGGGAGGATAAATACTTGTTCCTTTTTCCCTGGGCTGACGGAGGGAACCTTCGAGATTGGTGGGGGCGGCTGCCTGATCCTAAGCTGACCCCTGAGTTTGTCAAAGAAGTGCTGGTGCAGCTCCATGGACTAGCAGACGCCCTTCATACACTGCACAGTTACAAGAGCAACGCGGCAATCTTTATGCAAGGGGGAAGGCCCGGGAACGACGACGTTTTCACTATCGAGGGAGGGGGTATCCGGCATGGGGATCTAAAGCCCGAGAACATTTTGAGGTTCGCAACCGGAGACAATGATATTGGCGTTCTCAAGATCGGGGATATGGGGCTCGCTAAGCACCACGGCGTGAACACCAGACTCCGCAACAACGTTACAAGCACAAAGTACCGGACTGCCCGATACGAACCACCAGAGGTTGCAGTATCCCCGCTGTCAAGTCCGGCCACGTCGCGCCTTTACGACGTATGGTCTATGGGATGCATCATTCTTGAATGCTTGATCTGGCTTGTATGGGGGAACAAAGAGCTGGCTGCCTTCAACTACACAATCCAAGGAAGCGGGTCACTGGGCATGGAACACCCATATTATGTGATCAAGCGAGAGTCCGGGAAGGAAACCACGGCCGAAGTACACCCGATGGTCACCCGATACATTGAGGCGTTGGCAGCGGATTCGGCTTGTGGTGCGGATACGGCACTTGGAGACTTGCTTGACATTATCCGGACAAAATTACTTGTGGTTCCGCTTCCACCGAGTGGCGCCGCATTACCGGACAAATTAACCAGCTTCGCCCCGGCAAGCCAGGCAGAGACGAATCGAGGCTGCTACAGGGCCTCGGCGAGATCTTTGGCCGAATCACTTGCTTATATACTTGACAAAGGCAAAGCTAACGATGGCTACTGGCTAACAGCACCACGTCGAACTAGGACCCCGAACTTTTTTCGATCCCGCCCCATGTACCCAGGCTCGACATCTGCCGTGCCCGTAAATCCAGGCGACGGCGTGTTGTTGGCAGACTCGCCGCCAACTGCAGCGATTCCAATGAGAGAAACCGTGGGTCCCAGTACAACTCTCACTGCTACGCCATAGTATGCTAAACGGGACGTATACCAGTTACTGACAGGGACCCATTCTGAAATGAAACAGGTGGGTGGGAGTGCCACAAGCATTGACAGTCTCTGTAATCTGTGCTCACTGACCTAACTACCTACCTACCATGGTGTGCTGGGAGACAGGACGTTAGTACACGTACTTCAATACCCAGTAATCTCACAGGCTAACCTAGGTCACAGTATGTAAGTAGGCCGCTACGCAGCTTATTCCGCCCCCCTTGAACTAACAGTTCGACCTCAACAAGACTGTAAGTTACACTAGCCCGAACAACCTTGGAGCTTGCTGTCCCTCCACCCGCCCTTCTCCAAAATGAAGGCTTTGCTAACTTCTGCTAGCATGTGCGTTGTGGCCGATGTAGCTTGACTGATCGATTAGGAACATTGACCCTTTTTGGATTATTTTAGAGGGTAATAATAAAACCCCCACCACTATATCCTCCTGTTATTGACTTCGGCTTACCTCTTTTCTTCAACCTAGCCTGTAGGTTCTTGACCGCCTGTTCCGCGATTGGATCCTCCTATCTCACAGCAAACATAGCTTGACATCACGCTCTGGGAGCATCACATCGACAACCACTTTGCTATGAAATTGCTCCGCAGTCTTAAAGGTTCTGCAAGCCTCAAGCCGCCAATCTTCCCTGAAGCAGGGCAACCAGATCGACTCTGTGAACGTTGTATGAATCTGGACTTGGGAGCCCCGGCTTTTTACTGGCTCGACAAGTTGGCAGACTTGAGAGAATCCGCCAAGTTGTGTCGCTTCTGTAGGATGAGGTGGGACGCCAGTGGCCATCTCATTCCCGAGACAGACATTGTTCGGTTTGACAGAGTCGGGTCGGTGGTTAAGATGAACGAGAATGATCCTCCGGTATTTAGTTTATGTCGAAGCGAAAGTAAGTCACTTTCGCCACTAGTGCTGAGATTACAATTACATGGCCTTGCTAAAATGCCCAAGGTACCTTGGACTCAGACAGCTCCATGTCGGTCCCGATCGGCCTGCCTGTGCTTCCGGGAGCAGGCAGTGCTACTCACTTTGATCTCATCCGTCTCTGGCTCGAGGACTGTGATTCGGAGCATTTTGTGTATAGATGCACCGGCCAGCCGACGGGACATGCTGTCCCGCAGGCCGCCGGTGCAGGGGGCAGCGCATATGATAGTAGTAACCTCGAACTGGCAATACTCTCGGAGATGCGTTTCCGCAGACGACCCTCGCTCCCAACCAGACTCATTAACGTCGGACCCAGCGGCTCCCCTTCCGTGCGACTCTATGAGACGCAGTCGAGCGACAGACCCGAGGACTTCCGGTACATTGCCTTGTCGCATCGTTGGGGAACTCCGTCTCCTGAAAAGCCCTTTTTTGGCACTACGGTGCACAACAAGGAGGCTCACATGTCCGGGATGGAGATAAACAGGCTCCCAGACACGTTCAGGGATGCAGTCGTGGCTACCCGTGCCCTGGGGCTGCGGTATCTGTGGATAGACTCGATTTGCATCATCCAAGGCGAAAACGGCGACTTCCGGCGCGAATGCAAGCGAATGGAGGACGTCTTCAGCGACGCATACTGCGTTGTTGCGGCGACCTGCGCGGCTGGGCCGTGGGATGGCTTCCTTAAAACGGACCGACCCCAAAGGGAGTACTTGACCCTCCTGCGAGAGCCCGGCTCGTCACCGATTTACGTGTGCCGCTACCTGGATGACTTCTACCGGGAGGTCCTTCAGGCCGACATGAATAGGAGGGGCTGGGTTCTGCAGGAACGAGCTCTGGCTCGGCGGACCATCTACTTCACCCGGCTGCAGACCTTCTTTGAGTGCGGCGCTGGTGTCCGCTGTGAGACACTCACTAGGATGAGCAAGTATGCATACCTTACCTTTCGCATTCATCTTTCCCCTTTTAACCCTTTGTTCGCTTGTTTCTCCTTTTGGTCTGTCCGAACGGTATTCCGCCCCATGCTGACATGCTGCGGGAACCTAAACAGCAAACTCGCCGCCTTCCTCGGAGATCCCAACTTTCCGGAAATCGCAGTGTTTTCCCATGGCTCCAGGAGAGAGACTTCCCGCGCGGAGAGGATCCTCTACTTCCAGGATCTATACATGACGTACTCCCGCCTCCAGTTCACCCACTGGGAAGACCGGGCCGTTGCAATGGCGGGCCTGGAGCAGCGCCTTAGCCGGGGCTTTAACTGTCGTGGAAAGTTCGGCATCCTAGCTGACTCCCAAGGAAGTCTCCTACACCGAAGCCTGCTCTGGCATCGCGGTGTGGATGAGCGGTCTCTTGAAAGGATCCATTTCCCTCCCGACCGGCAGAAGGCGCCCAGCTGGTCCTGGATGGCGTACCGTGGGGGGATTGACTACTTCAAGATTCCTTTTGGCAGCATTGAGTGGGAGTCTGATAGCATACGCTCCCTTTGGCAATCGGTCAATGTGCGCACGGCGAGCAACTGGGAGGACGAAGTCGCCGAGCTCGACGCCACGGCACATGAGTTTATCCATGGGCAAGCAGTACTCGCCGAGGACTTCACAATTGTCTACGACGTGACAGGCTTGACGGGAGGCGCTATCCGAGACACTCTCTGCGTTGTCCTAGGCAAGGAGAAGCGAAATTGTGCTGTGCGAGTCAAGATTCACTATGTCCTTCTTGTCGCCCCTACCGTTGGAGTTTCAGCCAGGACAGCAAATGCATACACGAGGGTTGGAGCGGGCCGCGTGCCTGGCAGGCTCATCAACTTCGAGAAGCCCAGCTTGGACATTAGGGTTCAGTAGGGGGGAGGAGGGGCTTTGGTCTTTTCACCAACAGAGAATAATGGCATGGTTCTTGCTTAGCTGGAATGGATGCGTTGCAGTATGCAGAGGTTGGGGGCAGAGAAAAGAGGTCTGAATAGCGACGAAGAAAGTGAAGAAGGTGATGTGCCCATCTAAGCCAGTTCCCTGGCTTATATGTGGGAGGGCTTGAAAGTCATAGTAAGCACCAAGACCAGAAATGTCTTGGTAGTCCAACAGGATGCGGGCTTTGGATGGAACTTCAGTCACGGACTACGGGCCGCATTGAGTAAGGTACCTGTCTAGAAACACGCGGTGGGATTGAGTTGAGCTACCCCGTGATACCTTGCAAAAGGCCTACCCAGAGTACAGTCAAAACATACATTGTTGAAATGCACGCCTGCTACAACACCGAAATGTATAGAGAAAAGCAACCGGAAATAGCCAATAACCTCGGATAGAACCCAAAGCCCTTCAGAATAGTACCCCTCCTGGTGGCATGCCCGGATGCCCTCGATCTTCCTGTTCAGAACCTCAGCCAATGCAATTTCACGACCTTGGAGCCGGTGTGGACGCATATTTTGGATCGTCATCGCACTTTGCGCGCATCCCTTCAAGCCTATTCCGGAGCTCTCCACACGTGATTCGCTTGTCAGAGAGCACAGGATCCGACTCGATGAGCAGCATACGGGTTTGGATCAGATCCAAAAAGTCGTGGAGATACGCAGAACAGTTTCGGTGAGCGTGTAGAACCTTGATGAACTGCAAGGGCCAGACAGGTTAGTACTATATCCATTGTGTAACATCAATCAAGGTGCTATGAGTGGAAGGAAATATGACAGATAACATAAGGATAAGGTGAAAAGAGAGAAAAGAAGAGAAGAGAAGAGAAGAGAAGAGAAGAGAAGAGAAGAGAAAATGAAAGAAAAGAAAATGAAAAAGGGGGACCAATTAGTTCATCACGTACATTCGTGACGGAACCCTTAACCTTAGCTGATTCCCCGCCAAGGTAGAGCTCAAAAAAGGGGGCAGACTTTTGGCCGTTGACGACATTAGCCCCGGGGGTCCTTTCAGCCTTGAACTGCTGCACGAGCTTATAGCCCCCGAGAAGCCAGGCAATGAGTTCGAGGTAAACGCAACCCAATGACCAGATGTCGTATGACCGGCTGACGCTCCCTCCATCTACGTCCATCTCGGGAGGGCGATAGTCGGGCGACACACCAAGGCCGGTCCTAGGCAGACCCGACCGACTGAGTATTGTATGAAACTCGGCCAGGCCAAAATCGGTCAGAACAAGCATTCCCGTGGATTTGAACCACAGGATGTTGGACGGTTTTATATCTCCATGACGGCCGTACAAGGTTATTTGAGACGGGTTTTTGGGGATCTCGATTGAGTCGCTCGGTGTGATCTTGATGGTGGGGTTGGAGGCCGAGGAGTTGTCCGTTACCGCAACCATGCTCATTTCGCTTTTGGGTTGTTCACGTGGGAGACCATGCCCGTATTGGTGTACTCGCAGCAGGCCATCGGCCAGGCCCTTGCTCTGTTCTGCTACCCAAAGCACTTCGTCCTTGTTGAAGATCGGGTTCGGCTTCACCTCTTTCCAAAACTTGAGCAGATCGGCTTCCCCCCATTCGAAAATGAGATGGAAGAACCCGAGGTGCGTATAGGCCGCCAAGACCGATATCAGGTTCGGATGGCTGTTGTCAGAGAAACTGGAGAGCATTTTCAGCTCTGCCTCGCAAGCCTTTTTCTCCAGTTCGTCTTGGGAAGGGAGACGTTTTATGGCGAACTGGTTATTTGGCGTCCATTAGCAGTTGGCTTTCATGACAGATGCGTCACCATCCCCATTAAAAGAACAATGGAAAGCGCACACACCTCAGAAGTGTCGAAGTTGTGGTGCTCTGGATGTATCCTGACTTTCAAGATGCTCCCGTAGCCGCCCGTTGGACCTTCTTCTTCAACCTCGAACGGAAGAATAGCTTGCTCTTGGAGCTCGAGATGCTGGACCTCCCCGTTCTTGGGGCGCTGGAAGACGGGTGCCAGCACCTTCCACTGGGTCTGGTCAAAACATCGGTGGTAATAGTCACTGAAGCTGCCAAAGCACCTCAATCTCGTTCCGTTGCGGACGAAGTCAAATGTTCCCTTGCCGTCATGTTTCCGTTTCGTAAGAGGGAGGTCCTTATCGGTAACCTCCTCTTCGAGGAACCCGTTGAGTGCGTACAGCTTCTCTATGTAAGTCAAGATTGCAAATATCCGTTGATACGGCTCCTCAGCGTCGCAAATTCTTTTCGCAGTCTGCTTTGCGTTTCGCGCAAGGGGATTGTCTGGTGGAAGCCGGGAGAGCTCCCGTTCGACAGTTTCCTCGTCGATGAGACGGAGCAAGGTCTTAGTGGGGAAGAACTTCTTATGCTCCAGGTAGGATTCCCGGGGACGCTTTACATCATCCAGGCGAGTCCAGAGCGACTCTTGTGGCGGTACTTGGGAGACCGGCATGATCTCGCTCGAGGCGGATGGACGGGGACGGTTGGGCAGGATCATCTGCTCCCTGGACGCGGCTTGATGAACAGAGCCCAGACGAGCGTTCTCCTCCTATGCTTAACATCAGAATCGGCTGGCTACTTGTACATCCGGCCTAGATGGGAAGAAAAGGAAGACCTACAGTCCCCATAGACTCTTCTGACTCCGCTAACCTCGGCCCTCCGCCGGGAGGACGACAGCCCCTGGGTGGCGGGTTCGGCGGGATTTATCCCCCGATCTTCGCACGTCGGGGCGGGAGGGTACTGTGTCGCCTCGTGAGTTATATGTTGGAGGAGGCCTTGAAGGAGGAAGGAACGCGAACTCCACAACAGCCCTGGTCTTCAACAACACATTGAGGGTTCTAGAACGAACCAGTTTGGCATTCCCGAGGCAGAGTATGCCTGTGGATTCCGTTTAAAAAAATGTCTGGCTGAGTTTCGGTGGGCCGTGGATCTTGCGGAGAGTTTGACGATAATAGAAGCTTAAGACATAGCCTGTCACTTGTTGGTTGGGAGTCTCCAACAAACACATGATTGCCCGGGCTCAGGGCAGGACACGGCCTGGTTATTAGGGCAGCCTGCTGGGAATCGGATCTTCCCACCACCGACCGGTGAAGGAACTGCTAAAGCTCTCTCTGTTCTCTGTATCACTTTGCTGCCTGGGACGCAATGCCTACAGCCCGCCCAATATCATAGCAAGGTGTGGTGGTGCCAACACCGTTTATCCTGGACCGCTAGTTCTTTGTACGACGTTGACTACTAGTATTGTTGCTGGTAGTCCCCCGTGTTCGCCCAACCATTGGCTTCCCGTACCTGCATCATAACCTCGAAGTTACAATTTCCCCCTGCCAGTCAGCATTCCGCTTTGTCGGTGAGTTTGGTGCCCGGACGTAAGGCATCCGGCAGGGTGTCCCTCATCAATCAGCCGCAAGTGGTACAGCAGAGTTGGGCGTTTCTGCACAATCATGTCACACGGGAAAAGACATCGCCGCCTGCAAAGGCCAAGGTGTCATCCCATGGACCGAGCGACAAATCGCATTACCTTAGCCAGCTGAATAAGTGCTCCCTACATTCGCCCCAAAGCGAGGCATAAATCCAAGCTCTTGTTGTGCGCTTCAGTAGGTGAAGTGCGTTCGGATAGCTAAGTCCAGAATCCAGATCCCCTATTTTACCCAGGTACTGGGCTAAGGTAGTGTAACCCCCAAAGATCGAGGGTTACACAATGATTTCTGATACCAGGCTGATTCATTATCCGCTTATGCCTCAGGCTGTGCGTTCGGCGTCCTCAGGTGCATGACTGGCATTGACTGCCTCAGCGAAGTGGAATATCATGTACTACTGGAACAACTCCGATGACGACATGTCTTACGTTCCGCGGGAGTAGCTCGGTGTACAGCTTCGCAGGGCATGAACAAGGCAAAAAGGCAACCAGAAGCGGGCCCCATCAAAAACATGGACGCTCTCGTGTTACCTACATACCATCAGGTAACAGGTTCAGGGGAAGGTATGCCACGTGGGGGATAGGGCAGGCAACCACCACCTGGGAACCAACTTCAATCAGTATTGTGCCCATGTGTACGCAGGCGCAGGGACAGCGAATTCGTGTAAGTACCTAAGATAGTCAGAGGGTTTAAATCTGTTTGCAGGGTCACCAGCACACAAGTCTGGACTCTGGGCTGTCTGTGATAGGCACTCACACCACGCGTGACCAAGGGCAAGGGGTAAATCTGCCCCCCCTCCCCCCCACCCTTTCTCTATTCTTCTCTTTTTCTTCTTTTGCTAGGTCAATCGAACCTAACTGCGCTGTCCGGTAAGTATCAATCTCACTTGTCTCTGATACCCGAGCCTTCTGCTTGCTCGTACCTTTCCCTTGTCCCCAAGGTTACGAACCTGTTATATGGCCTTGCAGCATGCAGAGCAGTATCACGCCAGAGTCTAGCCAGGGCTGGGACCGCCGGGGTGGTATACGGCCCGACGCCTGCCCAGCTGCAAGCTGGCATCTTGGGCGCTGGTTGTCTGCCTGTTGCCGTAGAGTCTGCGGTCTTCGGTCGAGGAGGGATGTTTCGGGCTGAGACGGAGCCTGAGAATAGCAGCCGATAAACTGAAAGAGCAAAGAAACGTTATAGGAAGCCCCCACCGCCCCCTCCTTCCCCCCAGTCTCTTAGTAGGCTCGAAAGCGGATTCGATGGAACTACTAAAACCTGACCTCTTGACTTCCCTCCAGTTGTGCCCACGGGTCTTGGAGCTCAATGTTCTTCCAATACAGTCAGTTGCCCACCAGAGCCACTGAGCCTGGCCTGCAGCTACTATAACCAAACCGTGACAGTCGGTCTCACATCCAGATTACAAAACTCTAGCATCTAACTACCAGGTAGGTAGGTATATGTAAATTGAGCAAAATATTATCGACGCTAATGGGACTCGAACCCACAACCTTGGTCTAATTTTCTCATATGATAACTTAGGAGGACCACGCGCTACCATTGCGCTATAGCGCCATGAAGTGTTTGAAGTTTTCGTTGCTGTTAGATGATGAGCTATTTGACTATCCCATGGAGTTCCGCGTAGCTTCGCCAATCCTCCCCGCAACTGAACAGATAGCCCGGTCTGCGGTGAGAAAAGGAGGGGGATGACTCGCTACCATACCCGACGCCGACGGACGCATTCGTGAGTTGCATCGTAGGAATACTACGAGGAGAACCAGGTGTCATATGCCATCCCCGGGCGCCGGACGAGCCTGTGGTAGCGAGTCATCGAGGTCTGCCGATAGTCAGTAGTATCATTATAGAGTGTGAGACAAATACTTGCAGGAGGTCCGTCTGCTAACGGATCCGAAAGCGGTTGCCCATGTTGGGTCCACACAGGTGGACTGTAGGGGGGTCAGGGAAGGGTAGTGAATTGAGGAGCCAACTTGGCCTACATAATGAGGCGTATTCGCGATGGGAAACGCTGTCCTGCAGATGGAGGCAGCTTCGACATGAGAATATCGGGCTGCCCCATTGCTCTATACTACATCCCGGAGGTAAGCATAACCAAACAAAGAAGCAAGTAAGAAAAACCGGGGAAAAGCAGATCGGAGACACTGTGGTGTGTTTCCAACCCCGTCATCGCACTCCAAGCCGATTCGTAGTGCTGGACGAGAGGCGAATGGATAAAAAACCAGATGCGGCAAGGGGTATCGCGATGATTCACGCCTCAAACTCCGGGTAGCCGTTCGCATTGTCCTTTAACCGTCGCGCGGGTGCGCAATCCCTGGTATCTGCCCTTCAGAAGAATGCACGCCGAAACTCCGTCTACCGTTCATTATCATACTCCGAACTGTGGGGCTGATTTATCTCCTCTTCCGAGACCTGGAATTCTTCCCTCGAGGCGGTCTCTGCGGCGTGGGAACATGCTTCCCTCGAGGGCCAGTCGACTGGTTGGACGATTGGCGGCCTTCGCCTCCTGGCCGGTAACCCTCTCGCGCCAATAGCTCGAGGTAGTTTCGCTGGTTCTCGAAACTGGAGTAGTTTCCTCCCAGGATGACCTCAAGAATGCTCTGACCAGCGCGATTGGGATCCTGCGCAAGTTGCGTCATGCGCTGGGTGAGCTGCTCGTGAGCCCGAGAGAACTGCGACACAATCGTGCCAGTGTTGCTGGAACCCCCTGCAATGTCGTTCGCCGGGTTATTCGGGTCGATTATGGAAAACCGAGAGTGGTTCTTATACGGGAAACCCGATACTTGATGCTACGCGGCCAAACTGGTTAGATTCGTATGCGATGGGCCGAGGCAGAAAGGCGACAGTGCAACGAATACTAACCTTGGGGATCCATTGCGGTGGGTTTGTACTTATTGCGATAGTTTGGTAGTCAAACCTGTTGCCGTACAGGTCGAAAAAGTGCAGCAGAAGTTGGCCGAGATGGTGTCGGGTATCCAGATTGCCGCTTTGGACTTCGGGCATCATCTGCAACATACTCACCACCAGGCAGATGACTGAAAAGCCGCCGATGCCGCCATTAACGGGCTCATTGAGGCCCCGCATCAAGAGGAAGTGCTTGACCAAGGTGACGAGCGTGGGCATACCGGGATACCGCTCTCGCCATGCCTTGAACGTGTTGATGGCTGTCACACCCGTGTTGTTCTCAAAAGACACGTCGACCTTAAGGCCCGTCTTGTGCTCAATGAACTTGACGAGCGGCACTTTCGCACCGGGAATGATCTCGATCTCGTTTTCCCAAGCGATCTTGCGGTACGTCAACTGGCCCCTAAACCGATAGAGGAAACTTTTGGTATGGTATTTGGGCAAACCACCCCGCAGATATTGGTCCGACATGAATGCCAGGTCCATATCCGCTGTGGGCAGGTAGAGGCCAGAGGGGAAAGAACCAAAGGGGTAGACTTCGGCGTCTCTAAACGCCCCACGACAGAACTTCTTCAGATCCTGGACCAACTGGCGACGCAGATCTTCCTCAAAGTCCCGAGGCCGGACGTACTCGTAGAAGTCCACGATTTCCTTGTGCAGCCACACAGCCATGCTCGCGGACCGAGAGTGGTCTGCCACCATCCACGGAGTCGCGGTCAACTTGGGGTCTGCCACCCATTCCTTCGTGATTGAGCCTTTGGCATGGTCCTTTATAGCCTTCTTAAGTGCTGCATGTGGCAGCACAATCTCATCATCGTGGGTCCGCTTCCGAGTGCCCAAAGCGGCCGGCGTGGGATCCGGATAAAGCACGGGCACCCTCTCACACCTTGCGGACTGCCCATCGACTTCCTCAGGCAGCTCCTCATCGTCCTTCATCACGTCAAGTGCTAACAGCTCTGACCCGCTTGTCATCGCCCGCGTGCGCACGCGAAGGTCCGTATGCGGTATCCCAAAGGCTACCCGCGACGTGGTGTCTGTTGCCGGCTCCGGCTCTTCCTCCTTCTCCTTCTCCTTGTCGGAGACCTCGCTGTCGTCCAAGTCGAAAGAGATGAAATCAGCTGCCTCAGAAGGTAAAGAGGTCCTGGTTTCTCTCGTCTGAACACGGGCTTTGCGGATCATTTGCACCACATCCTTCTTCTTCCCTTGCGGCGCCGCCTCAGGTGGCAGAGCCGTGTACGGGTCGGGGTTGGACCATTTGGGCGTGTTGTTGTCGGAGGCCGATTGTCCAACGGTCAGCCGCGCCCGCTTGTGTGCTGGTTCCACGTCGCCACCCTCATCACCAGAAATGTCCATCTCAGCCTCGTCACTATCAGACAATTCGTCGATGGACCGGAAGGTTGCACCGCCTGTAGCGTCGAAGAAGGCAACCTCTGCGCCGGTATTCAGGTCCGTCTTCAGCAGCTCACGCTCGGCCGCGATGAACGGCCGCCACGGTCGCCCGCCATATCTTCGGTCAAGCCTATTATTGGGAAACGGTCGGGGACCATTTCCATGTCCGAATGACCCGTCATGCGGTCCGCGGTTTCTGTTGCCTGCTCGCGAATCGCGTCGTGGGGACGGCTTGCGACGATCGTTGCGCTGCCGGCCGCTCTGAGGACGATAGTTATCGGCATCCTGGACACCGGCCGGTTTATTCATTCGAAAAGTGAAGTCGCCGTGCGGCGGGCGGTAAGTATCCCCGCCAGGCGGACCAGGGTACGGAATGGGTGGAGGTGGTGGAGGGGGAAGGGACGGAGGAGGCGGTGGTAGGGTCTCTCGGGACCAGGTATTGGAATGGTGATCATTACGATGATTCCCGTTGCCATATGAGCGTGGCCGATAGGCGTCTCTCGCTGGCTGCTGGCCATGTCGGCCCCGCAAGTCGCGTTCACTGCGGTAATCTCGCGGCGGCGGTTGATAATCGCTCCGCGAAGCGCGCGGAGGATAGCGTGAATGGTAGGACATCTTCGTGCTTCAGCTGAGGGAATAAGACTCTCTGTCTCAAGCTGCGATGTCGGTGGTGATGTGATATTCCGGGTTGATTCCAGGAAAGATGACGATTATTTTCGGTGGTATGTGGTTGTGTTCCGGAAAGAATGAACCCACAAGTAAAACGTTAAATATGTGGTCAACGGTGGTGGGTGGCGCGCGGAACTGGCTTCGGCTGATTAAGCCGCGACCTTTAGGGACCACGTAACACACGTGACTATGCAGATAGCTCATCGGCGTCATCGCAGGCTACCTACTCACACCAGTCACACCACATCATTTGGTCACTTTGGGGGTCCGAGCGTTTTTCATCCGATGGCCCTTGCCAGCCTGGAGCCAACGCCACAAGCACGCACCACTTTCTGGCCCCGAAAATCAACCAAAGTAAAAGGAATGCTGGGAAAGATGACAGGTAAGGATCACCTGCTGACCTCCAGTATTCTGACTGGGGTGTCCAGCAGTTCCTAGTTGGGTGCACTGTACGGAGTAGTATTGTATGAACTTTATCGGTTGTGCCAAAATGGGTAAGTTAACACCGAAAAGCCCGCCAAACTCACCATGTTCAATGCATGGCAAAAGGGTATAGACTAAATCAAAAGAATATAGGGAAAGTCCTCTATGGAGGATTTCATATGCCTTCTAAATCTGCCTTCTTCTCCATTTTTATGTAGCAGGTGAAATGGGTGATGTGTGTTGCTACGGAGGTAGTAATAAGCGTATCAACCATCTCCATACAATTGCCATACAAATTCCCGTTTGGAGTGTGAACGTATTTTCGGCCCGTAATTTTGGGTAAGGAGGTGCATCGTTCGAGCACAGATATAATTGAAAGCGTGTCACTCCTCTGTCTCAGATATGTGTGCCATCTCCCGTCATTTAAGCACAGCACTGCTGAATTCATGGGATTGTAGGGAACCAGCCAACATCTACGCAGAACGTGACAAGGCAGCACCACGCGTAAAATATCGTTACATGAGGTACCCCAGAGCTAAGGCCTTCATGGGAGTGCCAGTCACGCTTGTATCGGCGGAACATCCTGCTGCAGCAGCGAGTTGAAATGGGCGGGAGACCGAACGGTAATGCCAGCGCAAAGGAGTATTCTCAGGCCGAGCTCGGGCTTGAGGGGAATGGATTTCTTTTAGCTGTCAACTCCAAGACCGGCAGAAAACTTGCGGGCTACCCAGCCGGCCCCATGTTCCTCGTAGTCCTGTTTAGTCACAGCTAACCGGTTGACGTGCTCATGTCGAGCGAAATTGGCCGCCCCTAGCCAAGTGCTGATGACGGGGTCTTCGGGGCGCGCTACCCGAACGACACACTCATCCGGCACGCGCTTCAACAGTTCCATCTGCAGCCGCGGGATGAAATTATCCAACTTAGCGCTCCCACCTACAATCAGAATATTTGCGAGCAGCCCGGGCCACAAGCCAATGGGTAGAACCGACAGTGACTGCATGACCAAGTCGGCAAGCCCAGGCTGGCGAAGGCCAATGTCGGAGGGATTGAACAGGAGCTCGGGAACGACGAACCGTTCGTTCCGCAGGGTCAGGACATCCTCTGTGGACACAGCCGCCCTGCGAGCGCGTGACGATGCGCCTGCGGGGTCGTAGTCCCGGACAACTCCGTGGAAGGTCGTGTGAGAATCTGGTAGCACATAGTCCTTCGCTATCCCACCCCCGGTCAGGTAGTCCGCCCTCCGCTCGCCGCGCGTGCCCTTCCATGTCCTATCAAGGTCACCGCTGAAGTCCATCGACACATAGCAGACAGCCTCCTTCATCTCGTTAGCTATGTATGTTTCGTTGCGCATGTCGAAATGGCGGACAGAGAGCAAGCGCGTAAGGTAGTTGGTCATGAGCTTTCCCCCGACATCTACCCTGCGGATGGCTTGGTGCAATGGCCGGCCTTGCACGATCGGTGTGACGGTGGTGTGCGAATATCCCGAGTCTATCAGGAGTATAACCTCGGCCGGTGTGTCTATGGAAGTATCTGGCGTCCTTGGGGTGTGAAAGATGGCTTGCATGTCTTGGTACGCATTGAAGGCAGGGCCTAGCAGCGGAGAACGCACGGTGAGCCTCAGAAGCCAGGAGCCGAGAGTGGGAAGGGGCAACGAACCAATACCACGGTAATAGCTGGCAAATCCAAACTCTTCAAACACCATCTGATCACAATGCGTCTGTAGAGCCGGTAGTGCATTCGGTTGCTCAGTGAGAATCAGGCGAGTCTCGGAAGGGTCACATCTCTGCGGCGCCTTGTCGTCGAAGAACTCGCGGTCCCAGATCTCCCTCTGGGCCTCCCAGTTCACAATAAATCCTTTTTCGACGGGCCGCCGAAAGGCCATCTCGCCGAAGTCTCTGCATTTTTCCAGCTCGGACCCGACATAGGTCTTCTTGTGGCGGTCTCGCGCGAGGCAGTTAGGGATGATCCGAGGTCGGTCGTCCGCCGTATCGCCAGTCACAACTCCAGCTTTGATAGTGTCAGCGCCATTGTCGAGCACAAGGGTTACGGATGGAGGCGGCGGGCCAGCCGCCCGCGACTTTCGACTCCCTGCCATGAAGCAGTGATGTTTCCTGGAAGTTGTGCCCAGGATGCGACCGAGGTGGGGCTTGTGCTCCCTGGTGCCGAATGAGCCCCTCACTTGACGCCGTGACTGCGCCAAGAGCCGACGGGAGCTTGGTACGTTGCGGGGAAGAACATTCTCCCCGACCTCCCCGTCCTCTCCATCTCCGTCCCATCTACGGATACGAAGTTAGTAGCAACACTGGACGCACATCGATTTGCTGTCTACCTACTCTGTACTTCATACAATCTCATCTGTTTTTGTCAGAGCTGCAGTCCTTGTTTGTATAAAGTGCATCCATTCAGTTCGGCTGGACACCCAGCTAAGCGACCGGAAATTCGCTCAATACTCATGTATCTGTGCTGACTTGTCCTACGAAACCGACCATGCCCTAAGAAGAGTCCAAGACGAATGCTGCGGATGATGCGTGCACCCGGACTTGGCTTCAAGTTAGCTTGTCCTCCTCCGAAAGCTTGTTGCGCGGGGGATCCCGGTGCCAAGCACGCCGACTTCAACGACGAACGGCAGGATTTGAGTTGTCCGTACTAGACTGCGTTTCTCAGACGCGTTGACTCTTGAAAGTTGAAGATGATATTTAGTCAAAGGTAATCAGACAAGCTGTCGGATCTTCGCGACTCCCAATCTCTTGGCTTCTGCATTAAGAGCGTCGACCTCGGCCTGGACTAAAGGAATGCCTTCCTTCAGCCTCCGCTGCTCATTCAGCTGCTCAATTTCCCCGGGAAAGTAGATCCTGTCTACACCCTCCATCTTGTCCGACGCAACGACACGCTGGTATAGAACGTCCATCCGACTCTTGAACTCCTCCAAGCTCATGAAGAGATCCGGCTTCAGGGCCACGATGAAGTGACCAACGTCACCTGGCCCGGACATGTCGTAGGGGCCTACGACGCGACCAGCAAAGGCTGAGCCAGACAGCACACCGGAGAACACATCCATCATGATGGCCAGCGCGGAACCCTTGGGGCCGCCCATGGGCAGCATGACGCCCTTGAGTGCCTTCTCCGGGTCGTCGGTCGGTTTTCCGTCCTCATCCAACGCCCAGCCTTCCGGGATCTTCTCGCCTCGCCTCAGGGCCTTGTATATCTTGCCCCGTGCCGCCACAGAAGGCGCCATATCCAGGATGAAGGGAACCGAGTTCTCGCCGCCGGGCGCGCCACACGCTATGGGCGAGACACCCATCAGCTGGGACTTGCCGCCCCAGACAGGCAGGGCGGGGGATGAGTTTGTGAAGACGAGGCTCATCATGCCGGCGTCTACGGCCTGGCGCACGATCCAGGCCGACATGCCGAAATGGTTGCTGTGTTTGACGCTGACCATGCCGATGCCGAAGCTCTGGGCCATGGAGATGGCTGTCTCCATGGCGAGGTGGGCGGCGGGGAAGCCGAAGCCATTGTTGCCGTCGACCTGCAAAAGGCGGCGCGGATGTAAGCTTTATTGCACAATTTCAAGCTACATATGTTGAAACAGGCAGAGCATCTGTTCTATCCGGGAGCGACTGACCTGTGCTACTACAGGTGTAACCTGTGTGAGGGTTGGCTCGGCCTTGGGGTCCAGAACCCCGTTTCGGACCCGCGCGAGGTAGGACGGGATGCGATTGATCCCGTGGCTTTCGACCCCGCGGAGGTCTGCCTGCACCAGTCCTCGGGCCACGATTTCGGCATTTTTGCTGCTCACTCCGGATGCCTCGAGAACGGCGACAGCAAACGCCTTGGCGTCGTGGTGTGTTACTAATACTTCAGATCTTTCGTCAGCCATCTTGGGTCTTCAGTTCCGCATCTTCTTGACCGACGCCGTGTTAGGTTGTGCTCCGCCGGGAGGGGAGCGCATCATGCATGAGGGGAATCTGCTCGTTGTTATGTATGGAGAAGCCGATCAGATCCCCCTATGGAGTCCGGGGTAAGGACAATGTGGGGGTATTTGACTGGAGTCATCGGACAGACTTGCCATTCTCGACTCTCGAGCCATTCTGCTTCAATAATGTTGATTTTTCTTGCATCCTACGTACAGTAGTGTATCGGCTTAACTGCGCCCGAGGAACACCGTTTGTCAGAGCACTCCATTGCCTCATTGGACGCAATCTTGTCTCCTACCAGCAGCGTCGGATTTTCTGTTGAAGCACCTTCCCGAAAGGGTAGTGATCACTGCACCGTTACCCAGCATCAATGATCCGACTACTAACAACTGCGCAGGTGACCTCCAGACAGTTAGAAATGCCGGTTTGGTTGTGTGAAGACTTGGAGAGGGTGGCGTCCCGGTACCTAGCCCGGCAATGTCCAGCCACCCTAATGCATGGGCGAGTTCAGTCCAGTGAGAGAAAGCTGACTTCTTATACCAGGTAAGGTGATCCCAAGCGTGTATCAGTAGCTCGCTCACCTGCCCTCATGAGACAAGCAAGCTCTCTGCCTGCACCTAAAATCAAGCCAGTTGCCTTCTGTTCATTCCATCTTACATTTATTTATCCTATTCCGTCCTCTGCAACCCGCCCACGGCTTCCCATTGTTTCCAGAGTATGTCGGTGCCACTGCTATTAGTAGTATCTTACTGCTAGTGGTAGAAAGACTATCATTGCCGTGCCGTGCCTCTGCTCCATCAGCGGCGACAGGTCAGCAAGATGGCGGGCGGGGTCAAGAAGCCAATCAACATCTTCAAGCTCGGGAACACGGGCGAGCCGAAGGAGATCTTCAACTGGAGACTCTGGTTTGCCGCTCTATCCTTCTCCCTGTTGGGCGCCGCCCGCGGTATCGACGAGGGCCTCATCAGCGGGGCGTTCAACAGCAAACACTTCCAGAATAGCATCCACTACAGCTCGTACTCGACGGTCGAGCAGGCCAACATCAAGGCAAATGTGTCGGCCATGGTGCAGATTGGCTCTGTGGGCGGGGCTCTGATGTAAGCCCTGCTCTTGCGTCCAATGTTCCGGTGTTCTGCTTGCGAATGACTCTAAAACTACTAGAATTTATCTAACCAACCTCGTGACAGTGCGTTCCTGCTTTGCGATAGAATCGGGCGCATATGGGCGACCCGCCAACTCTGCGTTCTGTGGATTGTTGGCATCGCCATCTTCCTGGTGTCCAACGGCAACCTCGGCGCCATCTACGCGGGCAGATTCATTGCCGGCCTCGGCGTGGGCCAGACACCCGTTGTGGGACCGGTCTACATTGCAGAGATCTCGCCGGCCAGCATCCGGGGCCTGTGCACGTGTATCTTCACCGGCTTCGTCTATCTCGGCATCGTACTGGCCTACTTCACGAATTATGGCTGCCAGGTCAACATGGGCGAGACCACGGCGACTCGGTGGCAGGTGCCGACCAGCCTGCACATCATCTTCGCCGGCCTGATCTTTATCCTCACCTTCTTCCAGTACGAGTCGCCGCGGTACCTGATCATGAAGGGCAAGCACGAACAGGCGCTCAAGACCATGTCCGGCCTGCGGCGGCTGCCGCCGGACCACGAGTACGTCGTGGGCGAGATCAACGCCATCACGGCCGCCCACCGCGAGGAAGTCGAGATGGAGAACACCGGCTGGCTCAGCATCATCCGGGAGATCTGCACCAGCCCTAGCAACGTGTACCGCGTCTCGCTGACCATCATGGCGCAGATCCTCTCGCAATGGTCGGGCGCCGGGTCCATCACGCTCTACGCGCCGGATCTGTTCCACCTGCTCGGCATCTCCGACACCAACACCAACCTGCTCGTGACCGCCATCTTCGGCATCGTCAAGCTCGTCGCGGCCATCGTCTGCGCCCTCTTCCTGGTCGACGTCATCGGCCGCAAGCGCGCGCTGCTGCTCGGCATCACCTTCCAGGCCGTGTCGATGATCTACGTCGCGGGCTTCCTGACGGCAGTGCCGGAGCTGGAAAACCACAAGACCGACCCGCACGTCATGACGGGCGCCCAGCTGGCGGCGTCCAAGGGCGCCGTAGCCATGATCTACATCTCCGGCTTCGGCTGGGCGCTCGGGTGGAACAGCATGCAGTACCTCCTCACGGCCGAGCTGTTCCCCCTGCGGATCCGGGCCTTTTGCACGTCCCTGGCCATGACGTTCCACTTTGCGAACCAGTACGGCAACTCGAGAGCCGTGCCGAACCTGCTGCTGCCTGTTGCCGACGGCGGCATCTCCCCGCTGGGCACCTTCTGGTTCTTCGCGGCCGTGACGATCTTGGGTGGCCTGTGGGTGTGGTTCGTCGTGCCGGAGACTGCGGGGAGGAGCTTGGAAAGCATGGATCGTCTGTTCAGTCTGCCTTGGTATAAGATCGGCAGGTATGCCAACCGCTTCGTTGAGGCCGAGGACGAGAGACGGGCGGCAAGCGACGAAAAGGCGCAGGGGCTGTCGGAGGAAGTTGAGGCGGCAGTACCGAACATTGGAATTGCTGATGGTTAGGGTGTGATGAGTTGAAGGGTTAATAAGTGAGCTTTATTACTAGTAGTTACTACTAGTAGTAGCTAACAGTTGGGTGATCAAAGCTGCCCCAAAATACGTCAGGATGACTTTTACCTTGCTTCACTGAGCTGTGTGTACGCCACTCAGTAGCCGTCGGCGTCAGGGCTACCTAGTACGAATTCACTTCTGATGATTCTGAATGCCTGCTAGTACGGATCCAACTAGACACCTCAACAGCCGTATTCCTCAGCCCGGAGAGGTACGGAGGCGTTTGATGACAGAACCACCAACGATTCAGATACAAGAGCACGTCTATCGGCCAATGAACGAGTGGGCCTCTAGTCTCTCTGTAGTGACTAGTATGGACGGGGAATAAGAACTAACCAAGGTTATCTACTGTAGGTATTGTACCCATGCTCTTTTTCAGACCAGTCAGTTGAGGAGTCCTTCGTAGTATTTCCATGTCTTTCGATATATACCATTTAAGTCAACCATCAGTCTATTCTACCACTCGTGGTCCGGCTGGGCTCCGCACAAGTTGACTGACCATGGCGCGGGCTGGGCCTAATATTGGGATCCGAATGCTACCTTAACCCGGGGATGCCACATTGGCTCGTGGCATTGACTGTCGCCTGTGTCCAGCTGACACTTCAGGCGTCCAGTCTACCTGGAATGGAAGCAGCTGGTTCCGGAGAGGGTTCCGCTGGGGGCAGGCGGGCGTCATGGCCCGCCATTGGCTGCCTGCGGCGTAGCTGAACCTGGGAGAGAGGTTGCATTCTGGGCCTTGCAGCTGAGGCGCAAACACCACCACACCTGATAATCCCTACACTACCTGTAGTCAACCCTCGAGGCGAGCCGGCATATGCAATGCACCCCGGAAGAATTATTGGCGAGGCAGATCTTCCAGGTTTCTATCCTGGCACCCGCGTGCTGAAGGACAGCAAGCTCAGGCACCGGGATCCACGCATCTTCTCCCCCCCCCCCCTTTTTCGGCCCTGCCTTTCGCGTAATTCATCGCATCACGCATCTTGCGTGCTTGTAAGTTGTAGGCGCGTACCTTTTATTCTCTCACTGGAACCCCAAAATGTCCGCCGACTTTGCGCCTAAAGGACGCCGCATTGCCCGTGGCATCGACAAAACAAGGTAGTCGCGACGCATGCTGCCAATAGTTCGCGAGAATGGTGGCATAGCAGCGGTCTAATGCAACCTCTCCGGCACTGCCGTCAACCCGTCACACCCCACGCTGCAGTGTGGTATCCGCGACGTCAACCCGCCATGCTACCAAGACTACCTAACTGACTACCACCCCAGAGCACCCGACCTACTACCGATTCAGGTGGGCAGGCCATTAATCACTCCGCCAGACCGGGTCCTAATGTAAGGTGGTCGGATATCCTCGCCCCAAGGCGACGCTGCGCTAATACGGGAATAGCAATGGCAAGACCAAGTGGGCTCACGCGCCGCACTCGTGCCTGGCACTTCGCCACGACTATTGCCCGGCCCGAGGCGTCATAGTGGTGTTCTTATGTACAGTACTTCATATCGGACTGTCCGGCTGACAGGGAACGATGCGGCGTAGTATGCCCACACCTCGACCTTGCCGTTGGTGCCTGCATCAAGCCAGCTTGCTACCTGTTACAAAGCACGAACAAGGGGATCAAAGCGTTCGGCGATCTCCTGAACATATCGACCTGGAGGGGTCAAGTTGATGTCGCCTGGGGTATGCCGTTCGACCTGGCCTTAGTGCTGCCTGACATGGGAAGCTGATGCGGAACCACAAGCAAGGCCGTAGAGACTGTCCGGGGGATGTACAGACCTGGAAGCTGAGATACGAAGAGACGCCATGGCAGTGCTAGTGGTACGCGCCCTCCCATTCCCGATTCCCACCCCTTACTTCTTGCTCACCAGATTGAGTCAGAGGCTAACCTGCGCCTCGAGCACACGTCCCGTATCCGACCCCGAGGCCCAGTCAGAGAGAAGGACGTCGACGATCTCGGTTCATGTGGGGGAACACAGAAAGCTTTCTGGGCAGTGGCTCAGGACAAGACATCTGGAATGGGCAAAGTCATCCCAAGATACCGCTCCTTCCCTGATGTTGCCCGCCGGTGACCATTTTCCGGTGTAGCCACCCCGCGGGCGCCTTGGCCGGTGAGCCTCGGGCGTCTCCTCTCCAAGCGGAATGGTTGTGCTTCACGAGGACAAGGACCCATCTTGAGTAACCCTACCACGGCTAGAGCGGGGATGAGCATGGTAAGGTAGGTTGGGGGCAAGGGACTTAAGAAGTATAGATATGTCCAGGCACTCCGGTCAAGAGGTTTGATTCGAAGCCTACATCTTGGTCTACACAGCAATAACCTTCCCGTCTCACTCCTCGCCAAATACACCTCAAGTGCTTGGACACACTCACGCACATACTACCTCGTAGATTCAACTCCCCTGCCCCCCTGATCCATCTCTGCCCTCTCGCCATGCGTTTCACCCTTGCGGCACTGCTCGGCTCGGCCCTTGTGGCCCGTCAGGCCCTGGCAGAACTCACCTTTACCGTAGCAGCCACCAAGGACGGCGTCCCAATTCCCCAGTCCGAGATCAAGCTCGAGCCCATGGAGTTCGGCACCGGCCGCGTGGGACACGCGACCCCGGCGCAAGGCCACCGCAGGTTCCGGAGAGCCAACGCTGCTGCCACGAGCGCCAACTGGTGCGGCGCTGTAAATACTGCATCCTCGAGTAACCAGATCAAGGTTGTCCATGCCAGCTTCCAGCATCCCAGTTGCTCCACGCGCACGGGGGCGACGTATCCCCAGGCGGCCGCCGCCTGGGCTGGCATCGACGGAGACAGCCACACGTCTGCCCTGTTGCAGGCGGGGACAGTCTGCAAGATCGACAACTCCACCGGCATCGTGAGGTGAGATTTTGAATCCGCGAGCCTTACCGTCATCGGGCAAGCAGAACACCAGAGACTAACCTCTCGGGCTGGCGTAGGCATGAGGCATGGTGGCAATGGGTCCCCGAGGCCGCCAACACAGTCACCTCCTTGCCAGGTCAGCCTCCTCCCTATCATGGTTACACTAGTAGCCCATACAGATCGAATCATTCATTACTTACTAACGATGTCTCCCCAAATGACAGTGGCACCACATGACTACATCGAAATCACAATCAACACAAACTCGACCACAGCAGCAGAGATGTTTGTTTTCTCCCGCCCCCAAATGTCCCGCTTTCAGACCTGCTTTTGTCTTTCCCCCAACGACCTTCACCGTATATTTATTAAATTTATAAAATAACGATGCTAACAATCAAACCAACCCCCTCTTCTGCATAATACAGCACCCTGACCAACGTCTCCAAGGGCTACACCTACACGGTCAGCATCCGCGACGGGCCCGCCCTGGCGCGGGTCGACGCCGACTGGGTGGTCGAGCGGCCCTACTACGGCGCCACGCTGGCCGGCTTCCCGACCTTCACCGACGTGTGGTTCGACGAGGCCTACGCGACACGCGTCAGCGGCGCCAACCTTGGCGTGCTCGGGTCGAAGCAGTACCAGATACCGAATCTCTGCGCGTCGATCGAGGATGGTGATGCGGCGCAGGTTTCTTGGTCGCTTTGAATTAACTAGAAGAACTAGGTGCCCAGAGTGGGGGGATGGTGGACAGAGGAGGAACTGTCTGGGCGACAAAACAGGGTCGTTGTATAATAAGGGTTTGTACGGTAGTCGTTTTCTCTGTTTTCTAGGCCGATCTCCGCGTTGTCATGGTAACTCTTAGGCCTGAATGGTTGAGCTAGAGGTTTCAGTTTGTATTATCCGCTCTGGAAGTGATGTATTCGGGAGCAATCAGTTATAGGTTTGCCAGGAGTTCTTTCATAGGTATGGTCATAAGGATTTGGCTGGTAATAACAACATAGTATCAACTTGTTTTCGTATTGAATAAGAATAAGGGTATCATTAATCATGTCGTTGCCAGTGTGCTATTCAACCGCAACGAAACAATGTCCTGCGCATGAAGCATATAACCACCGGTTTGAAATGCAAAAAGGGGATGAGGGGAGTTGCAGACTCGCGTTAACGCCGGCCGAAGGTCGGATGGGCCGAATCGAAAAGAGGAGAGGGGATTGTGTTGACAGGTGGAGAGGAGTGTCGCTACAAGCATCCATGGTGAGTGGAGAAGACTGTTGAAGTCGAGGAGTTGTCCGCCGAAGCGAGCAAGATCGAGGCAGGAGCTGATGGCCACGACTGCCCTGTGTCTGGAGAAGGCTCGAGTACTGTGGTTGGCTCAGTAAAGCGGCCGGTTGATAATCCGCCTGCTTCTTCCTGCACACCCTGTTGAGAGAAGGAAGGTCAGTATCTATGTACAGTCGTCTCCCGGCCGCTAGATGGCGCAGTGGCTTGGGAAGGGCCTTACAATCACACTACATGTCATGCTCCGTGTTAGTCCCAACCTCCGATACCGAGCTCAGATCATGGACGTACCGCAACCATGTTCGAGCCTTCATTGTGTATCAGGCAGTATCCACCCCCGCATCTTTGGCACATTCGCTGTGTGAAGTCGATGCACTCTTGGCACTGGTGATTAATGAGCGTCAGTCTTCTGATGCTGAGGATTCCTTGCCATAGTTGTGCCCAGGTTAAGCTTACATTCATACCACATTCCCAGCAGCTTTTAGACACGTGGGACTAGAAGTAGTGATCAGGTAAGTATCTCTGCTGGGAAAAAGCACTTGCCATCCACTCCTCAAGACCAACGCTGGGAATCGCACGGGCAGCAAGAACGCACGCCCAAGGGACATGGACCTTTTGAAGAGCTCCCGCCAGAAGGAGAGCTGCAAGCATCACAGCTCGCTCGACGGGATGCATCGGGATCTCAACGCTGCTGGACGGGAGCATGCCACACAGGCATTCACCCCATCGACCAGAGGCAGAACGCCGTCAATCCTGCTGAGCCGAGCAATTCACGTCTGTACATATCCCATCTCTGACCCTGCACGCTGAATATGCGTTTCCGTTCTCGCTCACCTCGCCGGCATCGGGAAGGGGGTTGCTTACAGAATTCGACCCCGGTGACCCTGCGTATCCTCCAGGCGACGATGCCCGGGCACCAATGTAACACGACTCACACCACCATCGGTGACATCCAGCACAGTAACGGTCGCGGATACAGTCGAAGCACCGTGGGATGAACCGCGCTTCCGGTTGCTTTTCTATCCGGATGAAGGGGAGTCGTGATCTCAAACTTTGGTCGGCTGGGCACATCGCAACGCGAAGGCTTGCTGAGTGCATTGGCGGAGGAGCAAGTAATGGGAACCGCGCAACATCAGTCATGCAGCTCTCACTCGTCCTCCTCCCGTCAGCACCCAGCTGAGGTGAACTCGCCTCTTCGCCCCAGACCGTCCATCCCTCTGGAGCCGCGCCACAAGAGGTGCAGCCGCCGAGGCTATGCGTCGCAACAGCGAAGTGAGGCACGGCCGGGCCTGGTGGAGAGGCGGCAGCGTCGAGGGCCTCTATGTTGACAGATCCCCAGGCGGGAGAATTGAAGTGCCGTGGTCCAGTACATAGGACGGAGTCAAATGCAATGATGCCAGCACAAGCGACCATTGTCGATGCCCACTCCGGGTTGATACGGTGGGGAAATTGGTTGCCGCGACGTGCGTACCATGCCTCCGGCTCCTGGGCAAGTTCAGCCGTTAACGCCTTTTGGCTCCGGTTGTTCCAGGCCACAGCGACCTTAGCCGGGCTAGTCGGAGACGGACTCCGACTAGCTCCCTGTGATGCCGCTATGGGTGTTGCATCCTTGGGCCCGAAAATATACAGACCCTTTAGACGCGGTGTTCCCTCTGGCCTGGACTCCCGGCAAACATATTGCAGGGCACCTCGAAGCTTCCGCTCATTTAGATGTTTTACGTCGCGGACGGATAAGATGCGAACCGAAAAGGAGGGGTCGATGAGGATGTCATGAACCAGGTCAGCCGTTACCGAAAGGCCGTCCAGTAAGAGAATCTGCACGTCCTTCAGGATATCAATGCGACGGAGGTCGTTGAAGACACCACGCAGAGGACCTGAGTAGAAACTGTCGCAGGGCACAGCATGTCAGCAATGCATTCGGCATATATGGGCCGGAAGATGACCTACTCGTCTTCCGTCAAGTTCTCATCCAGTTGGACGTTGCGCCATGTCTCTCCGCCGCGGTCGACCTCGTCAACATCGAACTGCGCCGTCTTGACGTTGCTGAGCTGCAGGCGGCGGAAAACATTGGGTGTATGGTAAACCAGGAAGCGGAAGGACCGCGAGGTGGCCGCAAGGTTCAAGATATCGTAACACGACAAATATGGCGCTGTTTGGGACAGCACCAGCGAGTTCGAAAGGAGTTGTAGGAGGGCGCAGTGCTGGATCTCGATGGGCAGACCGTGGGGTGACTCGCAAGTCTGGGTCATCGTATATCCTGAGCTCGTGCCGGAGGCAAACTGGAAATTGGATGTGACCTCCTTGCCGCACGCCTTGAGTTGCTAGAAAAGAATCGTGGGCTTTGCCGACCGAAGCCCGGAAGTACCGGGTGGCCAGCGCAATATAATGAATGCACTCGAAGTCGGACCGGGTGGGTCGAGACGGACGAGGGGCCGCAGGGTCGATCAACGAACCAGGGTCTGGTGCTCTAGCGTCAATCAAAGCACCTTACCCAATACCCGTCTCTTCGATATTGTCCTCAACTCCAGTACCTACGTACCTTTGTTATATGTAGGACGATCGACGCCCTAGCAAAGAGCGAAAGATTGATGAATCCTCGCTCTTGGCACGGCGGACGTGCTACCAGCCAGAGCCTGGCAACTAGCCTCTGGATCGCCGGAGCAGCAGGATCCGCGATCTCGGGCACTTTGTTGACACGCTAGCCCACCGTCAGGGACCAGCGCTAACAAGATGGTGTTTAGCCGGTCTTAGCAATGAGCAGCGAAAGCTCCTTTGATCCCCGCTTTTAACTTCATGCTTCATGTAGCAGAGGTTCCTGCTGCATTGCGACACAGTGTGTTACAAAGAGCCGCGAGTCCGATGTGCCAGAAAATTGCGGGGTTGGGCAAAACTGCTGCGCAGCCGCAGACAGAGCAGGCAAGAGCGCGTCGGACACGTGTGTAAACTGTAAAGGGCTTGCAGCTCGGTATCCTTATCTTCAAGCTTATCGCAGCTCGGTCTTCAGTGGATCAGCATTCGCCATTTGTGTACCCCGATTTAACACTGTACGCCAGCTCAGCTCCCGGATTCGCAAGGTCCACGGGTGATATGGATGAGTATGCACCTCCTTTCCCTACATAGGTAGCTACCTTAGGTACTATCTTGAGCCGCTGGAAGAACCGTCAGCAGCAATGGATCTAGCCAATGAGTACAACTATATGCGCACCGTCCGTCTTTCGTTCCCGCTTCCACTGTGCTGGCCCACTACCTTAGCGAGCTTAGGTAGGACAATCCAGCTGTTTCCAGCTTGGTGGGGAACCTTACTAGGCAAGCACTGCAGTTAAGGTGATAGGCCAAGTTGGCCAACGGCAAGGCGACCTCGCTGACGACGCCGCCATTGCTGACTGATCGATATTGCCACCAAAGGCTCGCTTACCTTTGTAATCAGCAAATGCCTCTCATACCTATTTCAGCGCTCCATCCCTTTCATGACAGGCCATCTCCAGGCGCATTACTACACACAACCTTTATCCAAAATCTGAGGATAAGGCAAAAAACAAATCGGTTACAATGGCTGATGAGCCGACACATCTCAACTGGTCAGCGTCGTTCAAGGTCGCCCATCCTTCGCGCACCGCAGGCAAAGGCTTGCGGGGAGACAAGATCCTCCTTCCCCAGTCAGCACTCGAGCAACTGCTTGCTGCATCCACGACAGCCAGCTACGTATCACCTCACACATTCACTTCATTTGAACCCCTCAACCCATACTCGGTTGGCGACACACGGCGATGGGAGAGCTCTCAGTATCGCGAAACTTACCAACAACTACCCCACCCACTGATGTTCCAGCTGGTCAACCAGAACAACGGAAATATCGTGTATGCTGGAATCCGCGAGTTCTCGGCAAGCGAGGGCGAGGTTGCTCTGAGCCCGCAACTTCTCGAGGCTCTGGGCGTGAAGGTGTCGGATATCGAGGATGGCCGGCCCGTTGAGATGGAAGGGGATAGTCTTAATGGCGAGAAAGATGCTGGCCTTGGAGAGGGAGGAATTCAAATCACGGTCAAGGCAAAGCAGCTTCCCAAGGGCACCTATGTGCGCCTACGACCCCTGGAGGCCGGTTACGACCCTGACGACTGGAGACCCCTACTTGAGAGGCAACTGCGAGGGGATTTCACGACACTTACAAAAGACGCCATGTTGTCAGTCCAGGGAGCGAGGGGAGAAGAATTCCGATTTCTGGCAGACAAGTTCCAGCCCGAAGGGGATGGCATTTGCGTGGTGGACACGGACTTGGAGGTCGACATCGAGCCGCTCAATGAGGAGCAGGCGAGGGAAACATTGCGTCAGATTGCGGCCAAGGCGCAACGGGCGCAAGGGAGGGCTTCGGGAAGCTCGGTCGGGCATGCGATAGACATCTGGAAGGATGTTGAGGGCCAAGTCTTGGAAAGTGACTACGTCGACTACGAACTGCCGTCCTGGGATAGGACTCGCGCGATTGCTATCGAGCTATCAATACACGATGACCACGAAATCGACCTGTTCGTGAGTCCGAAAACCAACAGACAACGAGCATTGCCGCGGGACAGCGAGCATGTTTTCGGGGACTTCTCCTCGCCCAAGGATCGTACGAAGCATATTGTAATTCAGCCCACAAACGCCGAGCTTGAGGGTGCCGAGAGTCTCCTGATATCCGTCTATGGTTTTACCATGCCCGGGTCTCGGCCTATACGAGAGAAGCCCTGTCCTTACACACTTCGTGTAAGAATAACTGACGGACAAGGCTCTGCTGCGGCACCTGTCGACCTGGCCGGCACTTCATCGCCCGCAGACGAAGAGCAGTGCAGCAACTGTCTGCAAATGATACCGAAGCGGACCATGGTACTCCATGAGAACTTCTGCCGGAGGAACAACGTTGTCTGTCCGCAATGCAAGTCAGTGTTCCAGAAGAATTCCGATGAATGGGCGAATCATTGGCATTGCACTACACACCCCGAGGCGTATGGCTCTAACCCGCAGAGCAAGGCCAAACATGATTATATTCAACACACCAACCACACCTGCCCCTCTTGCGGCCCATCATCATCTTTCACGTTCCCATCACTGCCCGAACTGGCTCGCCACCGCACCACTGTGTGCCCTGGCAAACTCATCCTCTGCCAGTTCTGCCATCTAGAGGTGCCCCAGGAAGGGAACCCTCTCGACCCATCCTCAGAAGCTGAGACCGTCCTCTCAGGCCTGACCGCTCACGAACGAGCAGACGGAGCACGCACCACGGACTGCCACCTCTGTGGTGCTATCGTACGGTTGAGAGAGATGGCTGCCCATGTGGCCCACCACGAGCTCGACAAGGCTACACGGTCAAAGCCGGCGGTATGTCGGGATGAGCTCTGTGGGCGCACCCTCCACGGCATCGGGCCCCGCGGCCGGATCAACGGCGGAACGAACATGGGTCAGGGACCGGGCAACGATCTGGGCCTTTGCAGCCTGTGCTTTGTGCCGCTGTATGTGAACACACATGATCCCGAGGGCAAGGCACTCCGCAGGCGGATCGAGAGGCGGTATCTCAGCCAGCTGATGACGGGATGCGGAAAGAAGTGGTGTCTTAACGAGTGGTGTAAGACGGGGCGGGCGAACCAAGGGTTGGATAAACTCGGTGCGAGCACTGCTACGGCATTGCCCCTGGTGAAGCCGATGTTGGAGGAGATCGGTGACCATGAGAAGCCGATGCACTTTTGCGTGGATGAGGCTTCGCAGAGGCGGAGGAAGATGGCCGAGATGCTGGCCGCTGAGGGCGTATGGGAGCTTGAGTGGTGCATTGCCGCGTTGGAGGCAGAGAGGGGAAACCTCGAGAAAGCGAGGGCTTGGTTGGGTGACTGGGCGCCTACGAAGGTTGCCATCAGGTAATAAGGTTTGCTATGGTGCTGTTCGTGGACAAGTCTCAGCGCATGCTTACGTCATTCAGCTCTCAATTCTGGTCAACTCGACACGGGAGTATATAGAAGGAAGAAAATAATAGAGTAGTTGAATGAATGATACCCAGCCATGGTAGCCATGGACCAAGCACAAAGCGCATCTTCCGTGAATATCAGCGTGTTCACCCCTTCCGGAGTCTACTTGGCCATATTTGACCCAGGCATTTCAATCATCGACGCCCTTCTACGATGTCCCAAGTCGATACTGGGACTTATGAATAGTCGGCGTTTGGAAGCTACACATCCGCAGGCAGTGTAGTAGGCTTTGCCTGATGTAAACGGCTCATGATGCTTTATGTCTTATAACCCAGCCCCCCCCCCCCCCCCCCCCCCCCCCCACCCCCCCCCCCCCCCCCCCCCCCCCCCCCCCCCCCCCCCCCAACACTCTAGCTCAAAGGCCAGACCTTGCTTAGTGAATGAGGCTTTATATCGAAGGTGTTTGTCAACTGCACGCCACAACAGTGAATAGATGAATTGCCCCGTTTCCCTTGCAGGTCCCAAGCAAGGGATATTGCGGGGGCGGCGGGAGCAGAGAGAGGACTAGAGACTCCGGATAGGTCGTACCATTATGTTCCCGAACTCTGGACAATCTTTAGTGCTGTGGAACTGCAAAGCCAATATTGGCATCTATGGGTCTTTGCCCAGCGTGTTTCACTGCATCTTCACCCGGCTTCGGCTGATCCACGAATTTCGCAGCCAACAGACTCAGCTGAGCGGCGAGTCTTGGGACTTTTCATACTAAAGTCCGGGCAAACCACCGTAGCTGGTAACACTACTCACAGTAAAGGTACTCGCACTGCAAGGATCTCTCACTGCTGAAACGGAATGCTGAAGATTCCGGAATGCGCACGGATCTTGTCAATAAACTCTTTGCTGGGGTCTGCCGTTCCATGTGATGCGCCAAAGCTGTGTCATGATGAAACTCGATCTGGCTTGGCACTCAGCAGCCGGCACCACAAGGGGTTGGCCCGACCAAGAATCTGCACCGTCCGCCCTCTCTTATCATCGTTACCCAATTCACTGTTTTATGCCTCTACTATTCGGACTGTTCCAAATAACGCGAGGTTCAAAGGGACATAGACACGTTGAGAACTCGTCCTGGGTACAGCGCTTCCTCGAACGCTCGAACCGCTGAAAGCAGAAAAGGGCAGCAGCAGGGCGCCCTCGTCTCCAAACAAGCCGCAATGTTCCAGCATTGGATTCTCTCCTTCCTGCTCCTACTTGTCTATGCCCAGCAAATCCATGCCCTCGAAGATCTGCCCGCGGGTGTCGACATCGAAGAAGACACACCGGGCCAAGTCACCATCAACGGCGACCCAACCGGCAACAGCACCCTGGGTTCCGACATCCCCATAACAGCAACCATTTTCTCGGGCGTGCCGGGGCCGTCTACCTGCCGGGGCAACGTCATATTTCAACTCACCCTCCCGCCACCCACGCCCGGTGCAGGCCCAAAACAGGAGCAGTGCTATAACCTGGCCCGGGTAGCCGGATGCGGCAACTTTGTGGCGAGCAAAGAAGCCGGTTGCGAGGCACGCCTGTTCTCGGAGCCCGGGTGCAGAATGTATCTGAACACGGCAGTGTTCATACCCGAACTGAGGGCAGTGGGCGGCATGTGGAGGAGTGTGGGTTTGAGGTGCGGAGTGCCAGCGCCGGACCCCGAGAGTCTGGGGCCGCCACCACTTGCGGGACTAATGAGGAGGCCTGGGAGAAGATAGCAAGGTGCGGTTGGGCGCTCGTTGGTTTTCGGCTAGGCTGTCTAGAGGCCATTCGACCGAAACCCTGCGTGGCTTGGCAGCTGATAAGGGATGCGTCCAAATGGTTTTTGACTCTTTGAGACCTTATGGAACGCCACTTCACTGGCTATAAGAACCTTTCTTATTCTTAGAAATGGATCAGGTATGAGGTGATTGCGGCCGAGCCGGGTTGCCCGAACAAGAAAGTTACCACGCTCCACATCTTTCAAGCCTGGTCAAAGACCTAATAACGGATCAACCCATCCCCGTGTTACTTGTGATTCCAAGTAGCACTGAGAGTTGGCACACAATCTACTAGGTGAATAGCTTGCAGACGCGAATATCGACGCTAGTAACGCCTGCCCTCAGCGGCAGAACGAGGCTATAAGCCCGAAACACACGTGTTGACCGCCCAGCCACCTCGGGGAGTTGGAGCTGCAGTAGAACATAAGTTGAGATGATCAATTGGCAATGGTGATGCCGGCAGAAGTGGCGGACTTGTTAAGCTATTCAACCCCGACCCGGCTGAGCATGCTATATAGCTGTGGCCTGCAGAGGGGCAGCCAGCGTTTCTACAAACATTGGAAAGAGCTGTAGGAAGCGTCTACCTTCCATGCTCCAAAGTACTACTATGTGCCTGAGATATCATTTTCCGTTAACACTCTCGTTCTAGTTATTGACTTGAGCCCGTCTAGGTAGGGATCTGAACTCCTGGACTCGAATGCACGACTCCGCAGCTCAGTGTAAGATTTCTCTCGTGAAGTACTTGTGCTCGACCTGCAAGCGGTATCCGTAATGACACTGCTCATGAAAATGCGCTGTCCCGGCCGACGCGCGGCAATTCAGAGCTCGACGATTTCCCCGTTGTCAGATAACCTGAATCAAATGGGAGTCATGCGCCGCCGCGCGTGTTGTGCAGCCTTGCTTTGGACTTTGGAGACGCCGGCCCAGGGAGCAGCGACTCTTGATACGAATTGGAACTGTGCATCTGGTCTGACGTCAAAGGTCGGGCTGACTAGTATTGTTTGCTCTTCACGTGCAATGCTGTTGGTCAGAATATTGTCCCATGAAGTTCCTATCGTGCCAGGCCTACACGTGTAGACTGTAGAGGTCAAGACGAAAATCCAAGAAATTCCCAAAATGGCATGAGAAGATGTCAGGTGCTCGATTATGTAATACATACTTTGCAGGGCTGCGTTGCCTTGGCCCTTGGCCCTTGGCGCCCCGCAATCGACTGAGCTTAGCATCCCGGCCCGCATCCAAGGCGGGGAAATACGGGCATGTCAAAATTCCAACAAGGACGATCGATCACTGGTTCATCGGCGGCATTCCGGCCACACTCGTCAACGCTTTGCATCTGCTGCCACTACGGAGTCCGCCATTTGCTGTCTGTGATGAGTCGCACCGGACGCCATTGCGAAGAACCACGGCTTGGCTTGTGTTACCTTGAGAAGCAGATTGAGACATGATGGGCTGGTGGCTGTCGCCGTCCTTTCTCGAAGACCGCGGGAAATAACGCTATTTTTGCACATACACGGGCCTTCTCCTCATCTCACTATTGAGAGAGGCAGATGAGGTTCTACAGCAGAGCCGGATCATCACGCAATAGGTCCCTTATGTCTCGGACGCCCCTAAGCCGCATTCAGCGATAGCATCTCTGGCGTATGGGAGCTTCGGCCGGAGTCTTGTTGTTCTATCCGTACAACATAACTTGAAGTTGCGGAATCGCCGAGTCGACAGCTGCAGCTGTATAAACGGCGATCTTGCAGAGTATCGGATGTTTGAGAATGGCGGTCACCGGGTGACCGTCACCCGCCTTCTGGCAACCTCAAGGCACGGCTCGAGCGGGGAACGTCCGCGACTGACCTGTATCTCACGCCTCCCCTCATACATGTGTACGTACAATACATACAATACACTACTCTGGTATGCTTTCAGGAGAAAAGCCGTTATGCAACCAATTCTCGCCGACGGGAACCAAGAACGCCCAGCTGACAGCCCGGGTGAATGTTCTACCGAGCAAAACCGCCAAGGCGATCAAGCACCTGCCCTGATGAGTGGACTTGGCGGGCATTGGGTGGCATTCAGGTTACCGTTGCCTGCCAAAGTGTGGTTCGTATGTATGTAGGTATCCTGGAAGCCAAGACATCAAACAACCGAACAAGGGCCGCCCAACACTTCTCTCGGAATACGGAGAAGTGTCCATCGGGTGATCCTGCAATTAAGAGCTTCGACAATGCACAGTAACCATGACCGAGCTAGCAGCCTTCAAGATCCGGCATCCGATGGTGCAACAGTACCGAGAGGGCTCGACGGACGGCACGGCATCTGCGGACTCCCGTTATTACTAGCTACCTTAGCTACCTTGAGCCCCGTGCGAATAGCTACCATCGGCCGACAACTGCCACTGAACAAAGTTGGGGACTTTTTGGGATTGATACCATGGGCATCCGCACGGGGCAGCATGTGCGTCGCACGTAACCCGGTCCTGGACCTGGCCTCATGCGAAAGAAAGTTCTGAGCAGCCAACTACCAAACGTCTTCGTTTGTTTGCTACGTTTCCTCCGCATGGAATCGGCCCGTGGTTGGCTCAACCGGTGGCCTGGAAACCTGTGTGTCGATCCCCGACGCGTTCGTTGCGGGGTCCCCAGTGCCCCCAGCTCGCCCCAGGTCGATGGTTACTCGCCATGCAACACTCGAGCTGGACAGTGTGACCTCCGGTCGTGCAACCCTACAATACTCCCAAGTTCCACGTCGGGAAGTGATGGCCGGATACCCTTGCCTGTGCAGAATCCTTCTTCCAATCCTCAGGTGAGCAAGGCGCATTGGACATCTCTTGAAGGCGGGATGGCTCGCATTGAGCCGGGACCGAGAGAGATGTCGGACTGTACTGGTGAGCGTGGTGTGGTTTATTATTATATGTATTTCATAAAGCGTTGCATCGCCCCCTTCTGCTTCACTCTCTCCTTGCCTCGTCCGCATATCTCACTCCCTATCTGCCCCGAGACACCAACAACGGTGTCACTTTGTTTTGCAAGCGCAATACTACTTACTGTGCCCTAGTGTTGCCTTGTGTTCTGGTATCACCTGGTTACCTCAAACAGATCGTACGCCGTCGCATCGGCGAACATCTTGCCCACCATGTACCAGGCCAGCAATGTGTATTTCATCTGCGGCTTTGCCGCCATTGGTAAGTCACCTCACAGCGCATCAAGACATTGCATCCAATCCACGACCCCCGCTTCTCCAGGGAGCACATTGATTAACGGCGATGTTACTTCTACTACAGGCGGCGGTCTCTTTGGCTTTGACATCAGTTCGATGTCTGGGGTCCTCGGCACGCAGGCTTACAAGCGTTACTTCGGCAATCCCGTCTCGTACTCCCAGGGCGGCATCACGGCGGCAATGCCCGCGGGCAGTTTGGTCGGCTCGTTGATGTCGTCCTTCCTCGCCGACAAGTATAGCCGAAAGGTGGCACTACAGATTTCGTGCGTTCTGTGGATCATCGGATCCATCTTGATGTGCGCGTCGCAGAATATTGGCATGCTCGTCGTGGGCCGGGTCATTTGCGGGCTGTGTGTCGGTATTGCGTCTTCCATAGTCCCCGTGTATCAATCGGAGCTCGCACCGAAGGAGATCAGAGGGCGCGTGGTTTCTCTGCAGCAGTGGGCCATTACTTGGGGTATTCTGATGTATGTGCCGTCAACAACCCTGTTCCCAGTTCGCTCACCAGAAGAAGCTGACCAACCTCTTCCTCACAGCCAGTACTTCATCCAGTTTGGCGCTGCCGAGGGCATTGACGGCGGATCTAAGGACCCAAACCAGGGGACGGCAGCCTTCCGCATCCCCTGGGGTGTCCAGATGGTCCCAGCCTTCATCCTCCTCATCGGCTTGTTCTTCTTCCCCTATAGCCCGAGATGGCTCGCTTCCAAGGACCGGTGGGAGGAGGCGCTCCAGGTGCTTGCCCACGTCCACGGCAAAGGGGATGTGAACCACCCTAAGGTGCTTGCCGAGTACCAAGAAATTGAGGAGGCGTTGCGGTTCGAGCGGGAGCAAGCTACCTCCTCGTTCAAGACGCTTATTGCGCCGAGGATGTTCAAGCGCGTGCTTCTTGGAATGAGTATTCAGATGTGAGTCCGAGCCGTGCTCAGCATGTCGGAGGAAGGGGACACTAAACTCACTCGGGCTCTCAACAGGTGGTCGCAACTGTGCGGGATGAACGTGATGATGTACTACATCGTCTACATCATGGAGGGTGCCCATGTCGCTTCACCCCTTGCCACCGCCTCGATTCAGTATGTGATCAATGTCGTCCTAACGCTTCCCGCCATCCTCTTCCTCGACAAATGGGGCCGCCGTCCGTCCTTGATTCTGGGTTCGTTCGGCATGATGAGTTGGCTCTTCACGTCTGGTAAGCCGCAATGCAATGCCCTAGTCCCGTCGCGCTCGCCCCCTTCCCTCTCTAACAGGGCTCCTTTTCCAGGTGCGCTCCAGCAGTACTACGGCCAGCCCAACACAGACCTTACTCGCACCCCCGAAAACAGCGACATCACCTGGATCGTGCTCAACAATCGCCCCGTCTCCAACGGCATCATTGCTTGCTCTTACCTCTTCGTCGCCACTTTCGCCACAACCTGGGGTCCAGTCTCCTGGACATATCCCGCAGAGATCTATCCTAGCAAACTCCGTGCCAAGGCAGTTTCGCTGTCGACGGCCGCCAACTGGTTCTGGAACATGGTGCTGGCCTTCGCCGTGCCCCCCCTGCTGTGGAATATCTCGTACAAGATGTACTACATCTTTGGCGCATTCAACGCGGCCGCCTTCATTCACATGACCCTGTTTGCGCCCGAGACCAAGGGGTACACGCTCGAGGAGATGGATGACGTGTTCGATTCGGGATTGCCCGCGTGGAAGAAGCATCAGAAGCGGAGTAGGCTGGAGGAGTTGCAGAGGGAGATTGAGGCCGGCAACCTGAAGGTGAGTTTGATGCCATTGGAGCCAGGGTTGGGGGTTGAAGTTTGTGGGTGTGACGGCTAGCTAACTGCGTCGACTACCTAGGTGTCTGTTCCCAGGAGTGGCCAACAAGTGACGACTACAAGTGGAACTACTGCCCCTGCAGCGGTGGAATCCGAGAAGAGCCAGGCGGTACACAGCGCCTAAGCCAACGGCTCCGACGTCAACAATCGCAACCTGAGGCTCGGTACCAACTTCAGGTGCGATGGTAGCGGAGGTGGGTCGTTTTGGGAACACGGTCACAGATTCTAGAATATCAACACCACTAGTACTTTTATTCACAATGAATCTCATACCCGTTTCTCAAGCGCCAGCCTAGTCGTCAATGTTGATGATTTCTGGTTGAAATATGGAATGTGTGACGGTAGGGTGCAGTTTACAGGGTCAAGCCGGCTGTATGTAGATTACTAGTGGTCACCTCGGCTCGGTGATCTATAGTAAGCTGTTCACTAGGATCACTAGTCGCCGACTAATCTTGATGATTCTGCCATCTCTAGGCGGCTATTGGTTCGGGGTCCCAGGGCTACGCCCTATCCGGCCGTATATGGTTAGTTCATGACATATATATGGTCTCGGTGAAAACTTAGTTAGGAGCCTACTTCCCCTTTATACTGTATAAAATGAGTGCTTAGAAGAGAAAGGCACTTTGATATTATCTAGTAAGGTATTTTCTAAGTATGTGATAGAGGTTCTGGGACTGCTCTTAGCGCCTAATGGTATGGTATAATGGCGAGCCGATTAGGCTCTTAGAGTCGCTATGAGTACTGTGGTATAGTGAATACTATCTCCGCAGTTAACACTATCTTTCCCTAAGAGCTAGGTCAACTTCCAACTTAGAATGCACACGTTTTTTAATTCTATATACGAACCGGCCGAAGTAAAGACCCCAAGGTGTTTTCCTAGCCTCCAATCTAACGTAACGTATCCTATGTTGAACCACGAAAGACCTTTGTGGTCTTATGTTTAGTATAGCTTTCAAGCTCTCCTATATATAAGCCAGTTCCCTAGCTTAGATGGGCACATCACCTTCTTTAATCACCTACTATTCAGACCACCTTTATACCTCTGAACTCTCTGTACACCATAACATTCTATAATGTATCCATGTTTGGTGGTGAGCTTTCTATCATGTAGTAGACATCTTTGTTTTCGGTCCCCATTCTTGCCGTCCCTGGACAACGTAATGGAGGTCTCGCGTAATGCCGTATATTATCAAGCACGAGATGAATTTAATATGCCTTGCCTAGTAGATAGAAGTGGACTGTATGTGCCCCAACGAAATAACGAAAAGCCTGCTTGCCAGGCGGACGAACCTAGAGCAAACTAACTTAGACTCGATCAAATGTCGATAACGACAGTAAAAGGTCTCAACCAGAGCACCATTCCCGGCTGCACGAAACATATAGCAAAATGAACTGAGGCCAAAAAACGCAGGTATCTCGCAGTGATGCACGGAAAATAGAAAACCAAGCAGACGACGGATCTAACATAGAGACGCAGGAACAAGCTTGCTCTTCGCACACACCCCCTTCGCCAGAGTCTGGATCGACCCACTCGACAACAACTCCAACACCTGCAAGTTCGCCTCGAACTCTCTGGTGATGAAGTTGCGGATCTCGATCGCCACCAGCGAGTCAAGCGGGTAGTGCGACAGCGACCTCGTGACATCCATCTCTTCGGCATCCATCATCAAGACAGACGAGATCTTGTCGGCGAGCCCGCGGCAGACGACATCTTCCGCCTCGGCCCGTGTCTTGGCTGCCTTAAGCGCAGCGCCGAACGACACGACGGTGTTGAGTGCCGCATCCTTCGCCGCCGCCTCCTCGGCCGCGATGCGCATGGCCTTGAACTTGGCATCCTCAGTCCAGAAAGGTCGCATGGTAGCCGTGATGCGCATGCCGGTGATGGTGTGGTTGTTGCAAGTCGAGCCCATGGTGCCGTCGATGGCAGCATTGAGCAGCGCAAGCACTTCGCTCTCGCAGATGCTGTCACTCCCGAGATTCCTCGCAACCTCAGCGGCCTTTTCGAGATCCTCGGCCAGGTAGCCCGAGTCAGAAACGGCCGTCAGGTCAAGCGATGAGGCGGGCAGACCCTGGGCGAGGCGGTGCTGCACTAGGGCGTTGAGGAAGCAGTTCGCTGCGCTGTAGGCCGCCTGGCCGCGGTTGCCGACAGCTCCCGCAGCGGACGAAATGGCCACGAAGAAGTCAAGCGGTTCGTTGGCCAGCGCGTGGTGCAAGTTCCATCCACCTTGAACCTTGCCCTCGATGACCTGAGTATACTCCTCCCACGTCATATTTTCGAAAAGAACGTCCTATAACCACTGTCAGCAATGTATCTTTATGCAGCCCTGCAGCGAAGGAGGACGTACCCTGAGCACCATGGTGCCGTGCACTACGCCACTGATGGGGGGGAGATCTTTGAGCCCACTGTTTACCAACTCGTCCACTTCGGCCCTGTTCACCACATTGCAGCGGCGAACGACGATGTTGGCACCCAGGGCACCGAGCTCGTCAACGAGCTCCTTCACCCTGCCCGTCACGGAGCCATTTCTAGACAACAAGACGATGTTCCTGGCCCCCTTGGTCACCATCCATCGAGTCATACTCCGGCCGAGTCCGCCAGTGCCGCCAACCAGGATATAGGTTGCGTCAGGGCGGAGGAGAGGCTTCACCTTCTTGGAACGTGCGGCCTACATCCCAGTAATCAGCAACTTGCCCAAGGTGAACCCGTAGATGTCACATCCACATACCTTGACAATGTCAGTCGCGCTAGGCACAACAACAAGCTTTCCTGGGGCCTTCCCGGCCTGCTGAGCTTTTAAAGCTGTCTCCACGTCCGAGATCGGGAAGGTTGTAATGGGACTCGCAGGCCTTATTTTCCCGTATTTTATGAGTTGCGCAACATTTGCAAGCAGGCGCTTGACGACCTTCGGTTTCTCGGCTATAAGGGTGAGAATGTCAACGGAGAGGAAGCTAGAGTTGCTGTCGATGTTGTCAACTTCGAGGCGCATTTTTGAGCCGGGCTTCCGCTTCCCAATCTCAATAAAGCGGCCGAATTTATTCAGGCATCTCCAAGACTCGCGCAAACCGTCCCCGGTGAGAGAATTTAGGATGACGTCCACCCCTCGTCCTTGTGTAGCTCGGCCCACGGCATCGCCAAACGAGCTGCTGCGGCTGTAGAAGACGTGATGCTCCGGGAGGCCGAACTCCTTCATCAGCAGCTCTTTTTTCTCGGCACTCCCGACAGTCGCATAGACCTCGGCGCCGACCATCTGCGCAAGACAGATACCAGCCTGGCCAACAGCACCAGCGGCCGAGTGAATGAGCACCGTCTCGCCCTCGCCAAGTCGCCCAAGCTCAACCAAGCTGTAGTACGCCGTTGCATACGCGAGCGGTAGGCTAGCGGCGTCTTCAAACCCGATGTCACCTGGGAGTTTGAAAGCAAAGGCTGCCTTTGTCCTAGTCCGTGTTGCAAATGCGCCGTGAGTCAGCGCCGCTACTCGATCGCCGATTCGGAAGCCCGCCACCTTGCTTCCCACGGCTATCACCACCCCGCTTGCCTCGATGCCGCAGCTGGCAAGAGGAATCAGACCTTTTGCAGCCATGCCATCTTTGAAGTTCAGCCCAACCGCCCTGGCCTCGATTTCGACTTCGTCGGCCTCTAGCGGTTGCTCCATAGCCGGGTCGTCGACGAAGTGAAGGGTATCCAAAGCACCGGGTGTCAGAATCTCCATCCTTAGAGCTCGCCCATCTTCTCCAAAAGGTGTAGGCTCAAGAACCGACGGGTTTGTCTGCTTGTGTACATACTCGTTCATATCAGGGTCATGAACAATTCGGGGCGTGAAGAAGGACCCGCGCCTCTCCATGAACTCCAACTCTCCAGCCGCCGGCGAACCGGAGCTGAACACAGACCGGAACACTCTCATGATGGCGTCTGCCGTATCAAGCTCAGAGAGCGATGACTCGGCGTCAAGGTCGAGCGTTGCAAACTTCATGGCGGTTTCTGATCGGATGGTTCTGCTCAGGCCGGTGACCATATTGGCCTCCGGGTTCGCGGACTTCTCGTACGCTCCGCGAACGACCCATAGTACCCCCTCGGCAGATGTCAGCAGCTTCCGCAAGCAATCAAACTGATGAGGCGTGATTGTGGCAAGGAATGACTGGTGCAACTCGGTCAAAAAGACGCAGATCTTTCCCGTGCCATCGACAGTTTCCAGAGAGCCGAAATCAGGCAGTCTTCCCGTGGCTTGCTCCAGCGAGTTTGCCAAGCCCATCGCCACCAGGCTCTGGAAGTTTGAGTCCTCGTGGATAATAACAATTTCCGTGTCCCCTGGCAAGTGCTGGCTCCGATCGTCGGTTTGCAGGATCGGATCCCATTCCAGTCTGTAACAGAGATCTCTTGGAGCATTGATATCCGTCTGGCTCTCCCCATCAAGTATCGGCGAGACCGTGAGGCCGTCAAGAGCTATGATCGTCTCGAGCCTGTCGTCACCTACAACAGCCGCCATGCTGAGCTTGGTTGGCTTGGGGACGCCTGCGCCGATCTCGCCTTCGCAAACAGCGCGGACTGTGCTGCCAGGCTCCTTCACAAACCGCTCGACGCTAAGTGAGACGGTAACCCGGTCAACAGAGGAAGGTAGATAGATGGTGTTGAGGGCACGACGGCCGGCTCCAACGATGGGCCAGTACATCGCGATGAGTGATTCCAGGAAGGCTGGTTGGAGCAACGCTTCCGCCAGGTAGCCATTTGGCATCTCCCTTGCGACATCTGGCACCGCAATATTCCCTACTGCTTGGGAGTCGGATGCCTTGCAGCTGGTCACTCCCTGAAACAGGGACCCATATGCGACACCCAGTTCCGAGAGATCGTCATACATGACTCCGGGGTCAACCGAGACAGCTTCAGGTTTGCCAGTGCCGGACAGGGCAGACCGGAGACGAGCCTCACTATCGCGGGTTTGCCTGTCGCTGTCTACATCGTTGTCATCCGCCTTCAGTGCAGCGACCAAACCAACACAGTGTTCCGTCCAGCCCTGCTCCAGCGACCATGAGCAGATTCGGAACTCATCCCAGATATCGGAAGACGTAAGGCTGCCGTCTTGATGTGGCCGAAGGGTGATGGTCATCTCTGTGTCCCTGTCCGCGAGGACAAGTGGCTTCGTGATAGAGACCTCCTTTAGCTCGAGCTTGTCGAACAAGCTGTCCTTCGAGACCGCTCTTCCCACGGCGGCCTCGAGGGCCATTGTAATGAATCCAGCCATGGGGAAGACCGTCAATGATTGGATCTTATGGTGTCTCAACCATGGAAGATCGTCCAGGCGGACAATGTTGCGCCATGTCGGTTCCAGACCGTTGGAGTAGTTGGCCAGGGTTCCGAGAATGTCGCTTCGCCCCCCAAGAGCATGCTTGTGCGTTTTCGTCAAGCGGGATTCTTGCCAGTACTTGGACGAGTAATTCCAGGGGTATCGCGGCAGGTCGGTCAGCAGCGTTGGTGGTTTGGTTGGCAATTTCGGGAAGTTGATGGCACCAAAATCGAGGTTCGCCCCCCTTGCGAAAAGGTTCGCAGCGAGCTCCAGTGCTGTCTCGACGGCATCCCGTTTTCGAACCAGAGCGGATGCGTACGGTATCTTGGGGGCATTGCCGCCAATGCTCTTCAAGACCTGCTTAATAGGCCCCTGGAGCCCAGAATGGGGTCCGAGTTCCACCAGCATGTTTACTCCGTGCTTGTGCTCCCCCGTCGGCTCGAGCATGCTCCGCAGCGCTTCCGAGAACCTCACGGCGCATGTCAGGTTGTCCACCCAGTAGCTGGGTTGCAGTTGGGTCCCATCGACGAGGTGTCCATACAGCGACGAATGGAACCTGATGTCCGTAGGAACCGGAGGCCGGAGGTTAGCAAGCGACGCTCGGTATTCTTTGGCCACCAGGTTCATGTGATGCGAGTGATACGCAACGTCAACCACAAGCCGCCTGTTGAAGACCCCTTTCTCCTCGCAGATCTTCTCGAGCTCAGCAATGGCAGGCTCGTCTCCGGAGATGGTCAGGCTCGAAGAGCTGTTGTAGCAAGCAATCCGGGCTTCCTTCTCTTGGAGACTGTCGAGGATGGGCAGGAATTCTTCCTTGCTTCCGCCGACAGCCACCATGCGGCCCCTGAGCTCGGGGTGCTTTTGTTTGAGAATCGGAATAAGCCGGCCGCGATGATACGCAATGGTCATTGCGGAATCAAAGTCAATGATCTCCGCGGCATAGGCAGCAGCAATCTCGCCACTTGAATGACCAGCAACAGCGGTGGGACGGATCCCCCAGGACCGCAAAAGGTCAATGAGCGCTAGCTGAACAGCCGTGCATGATGGCTGGCTGATATGGGCTTCGCTAATCCTGCTGGACTTTGCGTCTCTGCCCAGTTCCTCTGCCAAACCGTCAGTCAGTGTTTACAAGAAAAGTATCCCACGGTAAGGGGTCGACTGGGCGATGATCTTACCGACGAGAGACCAGTTAGCACCATTCTCGGCCAAGCATTGGTCGGCTCGCTCTATGCTGCTGGTAAAGGTCGAGTATTGCTCGTAGAGCTCTCTCCCCATGGCATACCACTGTGCGCCTTGTCCGGTAAGAATAAAGCCGATTCTCAAGGGTTCGGTCTCCTTCACGGGTGTATACTTCTCGCCGTTGATCGCCTCGATGAGCTCGAAGGAGTTCAAGGCTGGAATGGCAGCTCTCCATGGCAGAATGGATCGACGCTGGCCCAAGGTATATGCGAGGTTGGCGGTAAGATCCTTCTGGAAGATCTCTGGACGCTGCTCTAGGTAGATGACGATGTTCTTCATCACCTGCGCGAGCGTCGCCTTGTCATTGGCCGTGACAACATAGAGCTTCCGTCCTTGACCCGCCTTCTCCGGAGTGTCATCGCCAGCGGCGGGCGATTGCTTCTGGCCCCGGAAGGGCGCGGCCTCCAGGACCACGTGCCCATTCGTCCCACCGAAGCCAAAGTTGTTGACGCTAATGTACTTCTTACCCCTCGGCCATGGTCTTTGAGCGACGGGCACCTTGAGGTTCCATTCTTTCCAGGGAATCTTCTGGTTTGGCTGCTTGAAGTCATAGTTGGGAAGGATGAAACCCCGCTCCAGCATCATGGCCGCCTTGATGATAGCAGCGATCCCTTCCCGAATGTCAGCAGCCCGCGTCGGATGAACAAGGCTCCTATGATCATACCTGATGCGCCCTCGAGGTGGCCAATGTTGGACTTGACAGAGCCTATCCACAACGGATCGCGTGCTGTCCTGTGCTGGCCCAACACATTATGGAGGGCAGCAGCCTCGATGGGATCGCCCACTCTGGTGCCTGTTCCATGAGCTTCGACGAATCCGCAGGCATTCGGGTCGAGTCCCGCCTTCTCGTAGACCTGTCTCATAAGGGCCTCTAAGTCTTGAGTCAGCGGCAAACTAGAAATTGTCTGGATACATATCAAAGCTTACCCTGAGCTGCTCCGTTGGGCATGGTGATACCAGGCGTCTTTCCATCCTGATTTAGACCTGTCCCCACAATGACCGCCCTGATGGTGTCATTATCCCTGATGGCCTGGTCGAGCGGCTTCAGCACAAGCATGCCGCAACCCTCGCCCCGACCGAAGCCAGTGCCCCTTTCATCGAAGGCAAAAGAACGGCCCGAGTCTGAAAGTAATCTAAACAGCTCATTAGCATCGCGGTCAACCTAGCCATGCGGCCTCGAACATGTAGCGTACCTGCAAGTTGAAAAGGAGATCCAGAACTCTGGCAGCATGTTAAGGTGGCAGGCGCCAACCAAAGCACAACTGGTTTCCCCGGCTCTCAGGCTCTGGCACGCTAAATGCACAGCGACCATACTGGACGAACAGGCCGTATCAGACGTAAAGCTCGGTCCCCGCAAGTCGAAGAAATGGGAAATTCGATTTGACTGCATCGCATATGCGCAGCCTGTCCATAGTCCGTTAGAATCATGACTTGGCAACTCTCTTCCTGGCTTTGCTCGGAAGGGGTCAAGCTAGCCACTCACCGGTTGCCTGATGCATTGGGATCGTATCAGAATCTCGGAAGAGGTGTGATTCATACTCGGGGAAGGAGCCACCGATGAAGACGCCGACGTTCTTCCCGACGATGGTATGCTTCGGAATTCCTGCATTCTCGAGCGCTTCAAAGGTGCACTCTAGGAGAAGGCGTTGCTGAGGATCCATCGATATGGCCTCCTTTTCTGTGAGCCCGAAGAACGGGGCATCGAAGGCGGCGAGATCAACATTGAGAAAGTTCCCGCCAATGGGATTGAAGGTCCCGCCCTTCCCAGCGTTGGGATGGTAGAACCGAGAGCTATCAAATCTTTCCTTGGGGATGTCGGTCCACCCTGACCGAGCCCGTGTGCAGAGCTCCCAGAACTCGGCTGGGGTGGACACATTGCCCGGCATGCGGCAAGCCATTCCAACGATGGCAACAGGCATCGGCTTTTGGGAGCTCGAGAAGCCCCCCGACGCACCGTTGGCCCCGTTTGTGAAACCAGTGGTTGCCCCATTCGTGTGCCCGTTTGTGCGCCCGTTAGTGTACCCATGAGTGTTCCCGTTGGTGTTCCCGTTGGTGCTCCTGTCGGTGCGTCCGTTGGTATGGTGACTGCCGTTGCTAATGTGAAAGAAGCCGCTGGCACTCTCTCCGGAAGGGCTAGCGGTAGAACTGTTGTCCGGCGTGACAGCAATGGGCGCCATGACTGGGGAGCCTGCCGTGGCAAAGACTAGAGGTGTCTTGCACCGTTGTCGCAGTCGTGGCGTACAGTCTAGTCACTGGTGTGCGGACACAGAAGTTCCCGAAGGACCGAGGAAGAGAAGCCCAGGTATCTGCTTATATGCAAGATAAACCCGGCCAACCCCAAGCGTGGACGAGCGAGTTGCCAAGGATGCTGAGGGCATTGCTTGCTCGACCGTCAATCACTTCGATAGACGTACTGATGACCAGTGATCCAGCCTCCGAGTGTATTGGTTTGATAGTAACGGACCCACGGCCGGCATACGAGCGTCACAGCACAGCTATATTAGGTGGCAACGCTGATCCGGCAACCACTTGGCTATGCTTAGCAATATGGCTTGTGTTAGGCAATATCGTTGCTGGGTGGTCTCGATTCTCGTCTATACGCAGCCGGGAGTTTGGAACTCGGAACATCTCCCGATCAACCCTTCCGCCCGCGCGAACAAGGCTTCCCGGTTCGGGAAGATGGAAAGAAACTCGTGGCGGATTGGAGGCAGGTTTGTTTGCCCCGCGAGACGTAAAGCACCTTTCGGCACTCCAGGGCGGGAATATCGAGACTCCAGCCGTCACCCATCTGAGACAGCAGCCATGGGTGTCATGCAGATCGCACTGTCGGAGTCGCATAGCGCATGTCAATGCTGCCAAGCCCCCAGCACCTTGGGACATTGGAGGGATGGGGATGATCGTTGGAGGGGACAATCTGCCCAGGGGAGAACAAGCCAGCAACACAATGGCAGCTTGTCAGAACGTACTGTAAGTGCGTACGCCTTCCATTGAACTCCTGTCAAAAACCGCCCAGATGCAGGCGGATCTATCGCGGCTAATGTCCTCAATAATGGCCCTTCACTAGAGGAGGTGAGTCGATGTTAATCGATAACGGGTGTCGATGTTGCAGCCGACCGGCACCTGCCTAAGAAGTGTCCCATAGCCCCGAGTGCACAGTACTACGGGTAGTTTGCAGTGTCCATGTGCCTTCCATCATGGATGTGTCGACCGAACAAGTGTTTGTCGTCCGTTGAGCCCCTTATCGATATCGGTTAAACAACGCGGATGTCGCGTACCCCTGCTTATCGGTTCGAGATCGGTACTTGCCCCGTGGTTCGGATGCTGCCGATCGACTATGTACGCTAGCGCTAGTGCTCGGGATATGCGACGGGTTGTGTTGGGGGGGTAGCGTTCAGTACTGATGCGCAACAACAACGGCAAAAGTCGACTCCAATCTATCCCAAATTCTCCATCCTATGCTTGAAGTGAAGCTCTGCGACGAGTGACGCGCAAATCACCGCTCCTATCATCACCGATCGTCAATTTCCAAGCAGGCTAATTACCGATGAACCAAGCGGAATAATCTACCAACGTGCGGTTCAGGAGCATGATGAGGACCCTCGCAAGGCGGAAAAAGAACACTGAGGCGACCTCAAGTCGAGTAATCAAGCTTTTTCCCGTTATGTCCCACATCCTAACAGAATCACGGGTTCTATGTCCATGAAAAATGATACATGGTCAGATCTCATCCAGTATTCAGTTCTCGTTCCGGCGCCTAGTGTGCATTTCATTTACCGCCTATACGCCAGCAAGCAATATGCCAAAGTCTAGATGATCCAGTGCACATGACAGCCACGGGCCGCATGTTGCACACTTGCCGACATTCGTTACCGCCCATGACAGGTAGTATCCCCGAAGTGGCACGACTGATCGACTTCTATCACCGCACACCCATGGATTGGGTCCAGTGAATCATACCCGGTTCGTCATTTATCTCAGACGGGATGCTCGTCACCTAATTCCAGGAACGACGCAGCTTCCCCTTTGAGCACGCCCATCTTGGCTCGGCCCCGAAGGGCCTGAGCAGGCGCCATGATCTGTTTCGGAGCCTCATCCCGCATCCGAACCTGGGGTTCCTGCCCCGAGCTTCCGTGTCCATTATACTGGCAGATTATGTTATCTTCCAATATTGCGCGAGTTAATAAGGTGGGAAGTGTTCCATCCATAAGGACGGGCTTCCAGGCGTCCGGGCCGTCTCTTCGGTAACTCACCCTCGAGCCAACCCTGATTGCCGGATAGAGGCTTACAGCAGACCGAGTCCTCAGTGTCGTGAACTTATCTTACCTAAGCCGTTGATCAGCTTCCTCCCCTTACACATCACTTCAAGTTGTTACCACTGGTGATCGCGGCTGCAAGAAAAACGATCTTCCTACGCCAGTATCGCGCAACTTCAAGGAGGGGTGTAAGTTGTCAGAGTCAACTTGCAGCGTTGACTGGGGAAGTGCCCCCCCCAAAGAGCCTCACTCCCTGCTGTCAGCTCGTCTCCACGTTAGTTTCTCCCGACCGACCCGTCTTGAGGAGCCGAAGCAGACCACAAACCACCCATTCCCAGTCTGACGAGTCTGAGTGGACAAGTCAAGATGAGATTCCTCTGCCTCCCTGGAGCTTATGGCAGCTCTGATGTGAGTCTGATAGGACCCGACTCGACTCCTCAGGAATATCGGCTGACCTCCGCAAAAAGAAATTCCAGGTGCAGTTGGGTGAGCTGGTCCCAGTCCGCCCGTCCAGGGATACTTGCCCTGCTACCTTTACTTACACTCTCAAGCACCGTTTGTGAAGGAACTTACCGAAGACGGATCGGCCACATTTCATTTCATCCACGGGCCTTGCAAGGCGGTGCCTCCAGAGGGCTTCGAGGAGTACTTTGGGAAGCCACCGTATTTCCGCTTCATCGAACCGGACAGGGATGTGGAAAAGACGCATCAAGACGATGTCTTGGCCAGAATCCGGGACTTTCCGGATTGCGAGACGCCCGAAGACACCATGCGGGAACTGATGCGAGAAGGCATCGCGACTACGCACCGGAGCACCGACAATGCGCTCAAGTATCTGCTCAGAATCATGCAGGAGCGCGGCCCATTCGACGCCATCATCGGGTACTCGGAAGGCGCCACAGTAGCCGCCACGCTTCTCCTCCATGAACAGCGAAGGTTCAAGAAAAAGGGAATCAAACCCATGTTCAAGTACGCAATCTTCTTTGCCGGATGGCCTCCGGTCGACCCGGACACACATGCAATGATTCTGAGTGACGAGTCGGACGCCACGATTGAGATCCCGACATGCCATATCAGTGAGCCCTCGTCGCCCCTGCAGGATGACCACTGTTGGTATAGCGTGCTGATCCGATGGCCTAGTTGGCTCGCTCGATCCCTATGTGCACGGGTCTTTGGCGCTTTACAACGTCTGCGATCCGGACACCGCTTATTTGTTCGATCATGCGAAGGGCCATACCCTGCCGCGTGACAGGGAGACGGTCAAGGAGCTTGGAGATGTTGTTCGAGGCGCCATCAAAACCTATGGCATTCACTGATATGCCTGGCGTTCTGAATTTCTTCGTTCTATTAGGAACAACATCGCATTCCAATATTGAGCCTTAGAGTAAATAGGTTTCTAGGCCTCGTGTTCCGGGTTCTCCATACGAATGTACTTCATTATTATTGAGTAGTCGGTCAAGATTCACCGAGTACCGACTCTGAGGTAGCACTAAGACTGTCTCGGTCACCGACCTGGTGTCTCTTTCTCTCAGCTGAGCCACATGCCCGAGACAAATACTCCCTGCTTACTGCTTCTCCGTTCGCCTAATATGAAACCCGGTCGTCATGGTCAACTTGGGCAACCTAATGTTGTACACCGGCACGGGCGGCTAAACAATCTCGATCTTCCGTGTGGCCCGGGCAATACCATCTGTTCAACATGCATACCTGCTGTTCGACCGAGGCCGGGTTACTGATCAAAACCAGGGTTCAAGAGGCTCCCAACGAGACAAGGTTGCTCAGTTCCAAGGTTGCGTCCTTGGTTGCACAGCTTACGTCGACAGATCCACGATAAGTGCCGCTGTGGCCCCCGTGGGTGCCTGCAGGTCGCAGATAAGGAAGCGGCAGAGGCTCCATGGCGAGAATCATCTCAAGACGGGCGGGAGCGCTTGGCGGGTCTCAATCAAAACACACACGCATTGAGGCCTGAGATCGAAAACGATCGTGCACACCATAATTGCGTCACCCAGCCTGCGCTTGTCCAGACCCGTCCATGCTTGCGAGCATCCCGCCTCACTTTCCCGGCCCAGTATCCTCGCTAGCAATACTTGGTTGACGGCTAATGCCTCTATTGTAGCCCTTTCGTGTGTAATCTACTTCTCTCCTGGAGCCGCGCAAGACTTGGGCACGGCTCGGGACTGAGTCTCGGTCTATGATCCGAGCAGTACAATGCGGGTGTGTTGTGCTTGTACAATACAATACATCCCGATGGCCTACGCGTTCAATCTCACAATTCAACCTATGATCGACATGGCGCATATCTCGTCGAAGGAGTGGCGAGCAAGGTCTCGGTTATCCCCGTCGGAAGTCCAGGAGGACGATGAAAAAAAGGAAGGGCGCACGGATATGCCAGATCGGTACCTGGGCGGATTGCCGTCTTGGGCAACCTGGAACAGGGTTGGAAGCTGGAGTTTCTCTTCCACTGACGCCTCAGTCAATGCTACTCTACCCTGAAAGGCCGGGATGTGGGCGTTAGCTGTCTAAAGTCTCCGGGATCGATCCATTCTAAAATCTAAACTAGCAATCATAACGGGAATATGGTAAGTCAATGTGTTGAAGGAACTAGGGGTCTGTCAATTACGAAGGTAGTAAATACTTTACAGGAAGACAGCAGGCCCTTTGACAAGACGACAAGCCAGTAGCGTTAGTACCATAGCAGTTGCCAACTTGTTACCTTACCCAGGGTTTCCATTCCCCCAGCCGAGCTTTTCGAGCCGGCCTCACATCCCACTCAGATCCACGACCTTTTGAGAGTGCTATCACAGCAATATCGCGGCTGATATGCTTGGCGAATCGGTTTGCTTCCCTTGGCGCCCTGTGACGAAGCTCTAGCCTAGATTGCACGCGAATTACCCGCATATTGACCTGGCGGTCGAGCCGGAGCGAGAGCAGGTTCCATTCTGTAGTCATATCACGTACCAGCTAAGATCGGCGTAGTCTGGTCCAGCAGTGTTCTGGCTCGGCCTCTTAAAATTCAACTCTGAAGAACCGATTGCCGTGGACTGGTCGGCCGTAGAGGTCGGCTTGTGGAGCATGCATGACCTAGACAACCTACGTACCTTACACACCTTACCCAAGATGCCAAATCACCTCATCTTGTTGATGTGAGTACTTCTAATGTATGTACCATACATTGTCGTTCTCGTCTCAGCCCCTATTCAGCTACCTACCTACAATGCAGTAACCTAGGTGCTCATGCCCTATCTGCCCAGTCACTCATGCTCGGTTTAGCGAACGTACATGGAAATAACAGCAACACCTTTGGACATCTACTGGCCTCCCTTCTGTGAGAGACCTCTGGATTGCGCTCAGCGGAGTGTTCAGTCATTGAACCGTCTCCTCCACGGTCGTGGGGAAGGATCGGGCGTCCGTATCTGCTGCCAACCGGAGTACTGATCAAGGTAATATCCATATTCACCAGCACCGCGGTGTGGAGCGGGTAGAAGAAGAAGCCAAGTCAATTTACGGCAGCCTGTGCCAGCACCCATGGCGCAGTCACTCCACACCGCCGCACCACCGTCGCCCCCAGCGAAGCAGAAGTCTTCATTCCTTCTCAAACCTCAATACAAAACAGCATTGAAAGACTTCATCGTGAGTGATCCGCCTCTTGCAACCCTTCATTCTCACGACAACTAACATGGCGGACAGCGGATCTTCTCCTTCTCCACATGGCTTGACAAAGTACTCCTCTTGGCGGCTGTCCTCACGTCAGTTGGGGCCGGCGTCACCATGCCCATCATGAACATTGTATTTGGTACAACTTCATATTTTTTGGTCTTTGATATCATGTCAGTTGCCAGAGGCCGGGTACCTAACCAACACACAGGCCGGATGGTCAACTCGTTCACTGGATACTTTGGAGCAAATGCCACAACTACGTACCAGATGTTTGAAAATGCCATCAGAACCTGCGCGTAAGGGCATCTTATCTGGGATTTGATCCGGGGCTAACACATCTCAGGTTATATCTCGTCGGCCTGTTCTTCATCAAGCTTGCCCTAGACTACGTCGCATATGTGAGAGCTCCCAACTTGCACAAACTGGATGGGAGTGCTGACTACTACGTAATCTACAATGGTTAATAAGATCGGGTTCCGGATGTGCAGCATGAGAATCTCAGCGGCTATAAGACTCGAGTACATGAAATCCCTCTTTGCTCAGCCCATCTCCACGCTTGACGTGCTCCCACCCGGGCAAACGGCCGCTATCATCACCATCACAGCCAGCACGCTACAGATGGGCATATCCGAGAAGCTCTCGGCCTTGCTCCAATCGACTTCAACCGTGGTTTCGGCATTCATCATTTCCATGTACTACAGCTGGTCCCTGACCCTGATCGCTAGCAGCGGCCTGCTCCTCATCATCGTCACGTATGCTGCGACTACCCCTTTTCTCGTCAAGCGCCTGAATGAGGTGCAGCATGCAGACATCCAAGCGTCAATCACAGCAAATGAGATTTTCAGCTCCATTAGGATGATCACTGCTTGCGGAGCGAGAGAGAAGATGGCCCGAAGGTATGCGACGTGGGTCGACGAATCTCGCCGCCGCGGCTTGAAGATGTCTCCGTTGATAGCGATACAACAAGCGCCAGGTGAGACCTTAATACTTCCACTTCTCCATGCGAATGTGATAATACTAAGACAGGTCCTGTCACAGTTCAGTTTGCCGTGTATAGGTCCGCCATATCCTCTGCTCTGCATATGCAGTCAAAGAAGAAGGGAAGCCACTAATACAGATCAGCACGCTTGCCCTCTCATTCTGGTACTCCTTGAAGATGCACATTGCATTGCAACTCAACACTGCCGAGACGTTGATTGTGTGAGTTAACCAAAAGATCAATTCCGGGCTTATTGAACGTCTTGTTGGCCAGGCTGACGCATCTTACCCGCCGTGCCAGGGTCCTGATGTCGGTCATGCTGATGACAAGGTCAATCAGCGGCATCACAGGCCCTTTGTCCGCAGCAGCTCGGGCCGCTGGCGCAGCCACCATTTTCTACACTATACTCGACGCCCCGAAGCCGGATAAGTCCGGCGTCAAACATCCTGAGGTGTCGGCAACGGAGGATATTGTTCTCGAGCATGTCAACTTCGCTTATCCCACCAGGCCAGATCTCAAGATTCTTGATGACCTCAGCCTCCGATTTCCTTCGGGAAAGGTCACGGCCATTGTTGGGCCGTCCGGCTCAGGGAAAAGCACGATCGTGGGGCTTCTTGAGCGGTGGTATGAGATCGAGTCGTCGGATAGCGGCCACCCGGTCAGGCGATTCGCACCCGCAACAAATTATGATGATCGACTGGGCTGACTCTCGTCCCTCTTCAACAGAGCCTTCTTTGGCGTAACGGCTCCATCTCCATCGGTGGCCGGCCGTTGAGAGAGATCGATCTGAAGTGGTGGAGGAGGCAGATCGGCCTTGTGCAGCAAGAACCGTGCCTCTTCAACAACACCATCTACGCGAACGTGGAGTTTGGCCTGATCGGCACCGATTGGGAGACTGCCGACCGGGAAACCAAGAAGCAGCTAGTAGAGCAAGCGTGCACTGAAGCTTTTGCAGAAGAGTTTGTCAGCCGCTTACCGGAGGTGAGATGCTCGGCTCCCCGTATCTATCCACTCCAGTAATAACATGTGCCCTAACTCACAAAACCAGGGATACTCAACCGTAGTAGGAGACGCCGGAATCAAACTGAGCGGTGGTCAACGCCAGCGCTTGGCCATCGCGAGAAGCATCGTCAAGCGTCCAAAGATCCTGATTCTTGACGAGGCCACCAGCAGCATCGACGTCCGCGGCGAGAAAATGGTTCAGGCCGCGTTGGACAAGGTGGCAAAGAATAGAACGACAGTCGTCATAGCACACCGCCTTGCGACGGTCAGGAAAGCGGACAATATCCTCGTCCTGCGAAAGGGCCGGGTCGTCCAGCAGGGTACCCACGACAGTCTCATGCAGGAAGAAGGAGGTGCCTACTGGGCCCTGGCCACGGCTCAGCAGCTCGCCATGGGCGCCGAAGAAGATCTCAAAAGCGCTGACCCCGGGCAACCCGGAAAGACGGAGCTCAGTGAGAAGAACAGTATGGTGACAATTTCCACGGATACCACGCTCGTGGAGAGCGTAGCTGCACCAGGAAATGACTCGGCAGCCCCGAAGAGGAGTCGAGGGCTTTGGGAAAGCTTTGTCTTGCTCATTCACGAGCAAAAGCAGCGTGGAAAATGGTATTCCATACTGGTTCTCAGCACCTTGGGCGGTGGAGGTAAGACCACCTGGTCTATCCGGTCAACGGCCCCGGCTTTGGGTCCAAGCTGACTCTTTTGTGTTACCAATAGCCAGCCAGCCAATCCAAGCATACTTGTTTGCCACGGAACTCACTCTTTTCCAGTTTTGGGGAGATTGGCTCCAGAGTCTGGCGAACTTCTGGAGCCTGATGTTCGTCATGCTAGCCATCTTCGTCGCAATAAGCTACTTTGCACTGGGATGGTCTTCGTCCACACTTGCGTTTGTAAGTGCTCGTGACCCTCCACCTCCACCGCCTGTTCACGAGAGAGATGCTAATCCTTGGTAGCACCTCACCCACTATTACCGTGGCGAGTATTTCCGCGACATCCTCTCCCAGTCGGTAGCCTTCTTTGATGCCGACGACCACTCGGTCGGTGCTCTCACCGCTCAACTGGCCACGGATCCCAGCCAGCTACAGGAGCTACTTGGCACAAACATGGCCTTCGCCATCATATCCGTCCTGAACGTCATCGGCTGCGTAGTGGTTGCCTTCTACTTTGGGTGGAAGCTGTCCCTCGTCACCCTCTGCTCGTCCATGCCCCTGATCATCGCCGCGGCCTTCTTCCGGATACGGTTCGAAACGCAGTCCGAGAAGGCGAACAATGAGGTCTTTGCCGAGAGCGCCAAGTTTGCGACGGAGTCGATTGGCGCTTTCAGGACCGTCTCATCGCTGACGCTCGAGGACACCATCATCCGCCGATACGAAACTCTGCTTCAGCGCCATGTCACCAAGGCGTTCTGGAAGTCGACCTGGACGACTCTGATCTTTGCAGTAGCGGACAGTGTCCCGCTGCTCTGTGTGGCTTTCGTGCTTTGGTGAGAACATCCTAGGGGTTGAAGCAGACTAAGAGTAAGGACTCCAAAGCTAATTTTGAGCAGGTATGGAGGCAACCTCATGCTTCGGCACGAGTATAACTCGTTCCAATACATGGTTGTCTACATCGCCATCTTACAGGTGGGTGTCCCGAACTTGGACTTCCAAGCCATCTCCATCCCCTGACATACATTTAGGGCGGTCTCGGCGCGGGACAATGGTTGAGCCACGGGCCCAGTAGGTTCCTCATCAGCCAGCGACCCTTGACATGATACGAATCTGACATCGGGGGCAGATCTTGCTAGAGCATCGGTCGCTGCAAGCCGCATCATAAACATGCGAAGCCAGGACCGAACCGATGGCAAGCTTGTCTCGCTGGATGTTGGGGATATTGGGGATGGCGACAAGGGAGCCAAGATCCAGTTCCAGAACGTGTCGTTCAGATATCCCACTCGAGATGTGCCCATACTGAACGGCCTCAGTCTGACGGTGAGTGAGCAACCGCTCGCACGGTGCCATCAACCCACTGAAATACCATCAAGGTCGAAAAGGGGCAGTTTGCGGCAATCGTGGGTCCATCAGGTAGGTGGCTTCCAAAGCCTCCGGAGAAGTTCAGCAAATAACAAGACACCAGGATCGGGAAAGACCACAGTCATTTCGTTACTGGAGAGGTTCTACTCGCCTAACGGGGGCCGCATCCTGTATAACGGGTTAGATATTTCCGACCTTTGCGTAGCAAGCTACCGCAAAGACATCTCTCTCGTGTCCCAGGAGCCCAACTTGTTTGACGGAACGCTTCGGGAAAACATCCTCCTCGGAGTGGACGAGGCGACCGCCACCGAAGAGCAATTGCACCAAGCATGTCGCGACGCGGAGATCCACGACTTCATCGTTTCCCTTCCGGACGGCTATGACACCAGTGTGGGCACGAGAGGCGTCACCCTGTCCGGCGGGCAGAAGCAGCGGCTCGCAATTGCCCGCGCGCTGATCCGGAACCCTCGGCTGCTGCTCCTGGACGAAGCAACCTCCAACCTGGATGCCGAGACGGAGAAGTCGGTGCAGGCGGTATTTGAGAAACACAAGCGGAACCGCACCATGGTTGTCGTGGCGCACCGTCTTGCAACGGTGCAGAATGCTGACGTGATCTTCGTCCTCGCAGACGGGCGGGTCGTAGAGAAAGGCGATCATGCCTCGCTTCTGAGTCAGCGAGGCATCTACTACCAGATGGTGAGATGGCCCCTCGTGATTCCCGCTTTGACCCTCTGTAACTCTGTTGACTCTTGTTGCTGGGATTTTTTACTGACAGCCGCCAGTGTCAATCACAAGCATTGGACAGGTAATAGATAGGTACCATACCTTAGTCGCCATGTATTTGCTTGAAAGAGGGAATGGCTGCAGGGTTTTGTTTTCAAAAGTTGTTCCGAGTAGGTCATTCGTAAGTTGATGTTTCACAGCCTCGGAGTTAGCTGAGAGTATTCCATTTTCCGAATGCCGCTTCAATGCCGCCCCATTCTCCTGCCACATGCTCCCGTCGCTCTTTCCTCCACCTACCTAGAGTGCAGTTGGAATTTGGAATGCTGGAGCACCATCTCTTATGATGCGGTCCTCGGAGCTGTGCGTTAACCCCTTTATCCCCGCTGCGGGGTAGCCCTCGTGGTGACGACCTTCTGCCTAAGGTATCGGGACAATGGAATGAAGGAGGGGAAGATTTGTCAGGAGACTAGGCAAATGGCTTGCCAAGGTATAAATACGCTGAGGCGACAGTGTTCATCCGTCATCGTCTCCACGTCATCCAGTTGAAACAGACACCTTCCGCGCCAACCTGACAAGCTCTCAAGCTCATCTTGAACCGTCATCATGGCTGCCAATCCTTACCTCACGGCGGGGCTTAAGAAGTCGATCGAGGACTCCAAATGTGAGTATCGGCGACTGGGGAACAGCGGCCTGAAGATCTCAGTGCCCATCTTCGGGTGCATGAGCTTCGGCGACCCGCGGACGCTGGACTGGGCCATTGGCGAGGAAGAGGCGCTTCCTCTGCTCAAAGCGGCCTACGACAGGGGCCTCAACACGTGGGACACGGCCAACATGTACTCGAACGGGGCGTCCGAGATCATCGTCGGGAAGGCGCTCAAGAAGTACAACATCCCGCGGGAGAAGGTGGTCATCATGACCAAGTGCTTCTTCGCCGTGGGCGAGGAGCCCGAGCTGCGGGCCTACTTCGCCCGCGACCAGCTTGCCGTGTCCAAGGACTACGTCAACAACTTCGGCCTCTCGCGGGCGGCTATCTTCAACCAGGTCGAGGCGTCGCTCAAGCGGCTCGACACGCCGTACATCGACCTGCTCCAGATCCACCGCTTCGACCCGGACACGCCGATCGAGGAGACCATGAAGGCGCTGCACGACCTCGTCCAGGCCGGCAAGGTGCGCTACATCGGCGCCAGCAGCATGTGGGCGACGCAGTTTGCGCGCATGCAGTTCTGCGCCGAGCGCAACGGCTGGACCAAGTTCGTCAGCATGCAGAACCAGTACAACCTCCTCTACCGCGAGGAGGAGCGCGAGATGAACCGCTTCTGCAACGACACGGGCGTGGCGCTGGTCCCCTGGGCGCCGCTCTGCAGAGGGCACCTGGCTCGCCGCCCGGAGCAGTACGGCACGACTACTCGCAGCAAGGGCGAGAAGCAGAACGCGCCCGGGGCGCACGGGACGGTGGAGCCCGACTTGACCATCATCAAGCGGGCGGTCGAGATTGCTGACAAACATGAGTGGCCGGTCAGTCCTAAATCTACCGAATCCGAGATCAATTTCCTGCCTTTGCTGTTGGGGACATCGTTGCTGACCCCTTATTACGAACCAGATCTCTCATGTTGCGTTGGCGTGGATCAACAAACGGGTCACAAGCCCCATCATTGGCTTCAGCAAGCTTGAGCGACTGGAAGAGGCCATCTCAGCGAGAGGGAAGGTGCTGACGGATGAAGAGGAGAAGTACCTCGAGGAGCTCTACCAGCCAAAGCCGATCAATGGTCACTCGTAGGTTCGCCCAAGCTCAAGTTCAGGCTTCCACTGCCTAGCTGGGCGATACAGGCTGTATGATATTATGTAACTGGCCAATGCCAAAACCAGGGTTCAACGGCCAACAAAGGTCCATGCGAGGTCCGCGATTGCGCCCTCAACCTGCACCCGCTTCGGTTCGTCCCCAGGGACAAGGTCGAAGCCGTTGTCGCTAAGCTTGGTGCCCTGTCTTTCCGAGAAGACGAATCCCTTAACAGGCTTTTCCGCCGAAATTTCGACGAGGTCTGGGCTGAGATGCTTCACCTCGACGCCCCTGTCCGAGAAGTCGAGGTACTTGAGAGGGTCAGGCCAGGAGGTATCGGTGCTGACCTGAGCCCCGTCCACGCAGAGAGACGCATGGATGACAAAGTGCTCAGGCGTCTCAACCGTTGCCTTGGCCCAGTCAAACTTACATCTCACCAAGACCTCGGTGCAGCCGTTCGGTTGCACATCCACCTCTGTCTTCATCCTCTCCTTTACCTCCTCTCCTGTCCTGATGGAGATGAACCTCACCATCACGGTGCCCTTCACCGGCTCCAACCTCGAGCTGGACACCCACACATCGAACGCAATGTCCGTCAACGCCCTTCTCGGATCGACATGTCCCGTATTCCTCTTCCAGAGCGCGTCAGCCGACCTCATGGTCCAGTCATGGAACTTGCGCGTCACGCCCACAGCGAGCGGCGCCAGGGCCCGCTTGATGGCGTAGTACGCCGGCTTCTTGACCAGGTAGTAGTCCACAATGGCCCACGAGACCACCGGCCAGCAGTCGTTAAGCTGCCAGACCAGCACGCCGCCACACCTCCGTCCTGCTCCTGCTCCACCCCCTTCTTTGCGGGCCCAATGCCTCCGCCAGGCCTTGTACCCCATCCCCAGCGCATCCGCCTGCAACACCTGCGTCAGATGCGCGAACCCTCCCAGGGTGGGATCCAAGCGGAAGTTCTCCCCGACATAGGCGAGCAGCCGCCGCTCGTGCGTCACGGCCTTGTTGTGGAAGTCCATCGTCCGGCTGCCGGGATAGCGCTCGCGCGGGTCGGCGACAAAGCGCTGGATGGTGTCGGCGTGCGGATAGGCCACCATGCCGAACTCGCTCACGAAGCGGCCGCCCATCTGCGGCAGCCGCTGCCACGGCCTCGCCTCGCCGTTCCACAGGTCCCATTGGTGGATGTCGCCCACCGTGGAGTCGACTTGGAGGGTGGTGCTGCGGCCGTCGCCCCAGGGGCTGCCCGGGTGATAGACTACTACCGTGTTGTTGGCGGCGGAGGGGCACTCGGCTCGGACGATCTCGGGCAGGAGGTGTTCGTAGATGTAGCGGGCCGGGAAGGTGGAGTTGAGCCAGGACGCCGGGACCTTGTCCGAGTCGAAGTTGTACTCCAGGCCGTACCGCTCGATGAGCTGGTAGTCCTCGTTGTTGCCGCACCAGAGAACGACGGAAGGGTGGTGGCGGATGCGGCGGATGTTCTGCCGGGCCTCGGCCGCGACTGAGGAGAGGAAGTCCGGGTATGCCGGGTACGAGGCGCAGGCGAACATGAAGTCTTGCCACACCAGGATGCCCAGCTCGTCGCAGGCCGTGTAGAAGGCATCCGGCTCGTAGATGCCGCCGCCCCAGACCCGCACCATGTTCTGGTTGCCATCGGCGAGGAGTTGGATCCAGTCGCGGTAGCGCTGGGCAGAGATCCGAGGAAGGAAACTGTCGGCTGGAATCCAGCAGGAGCCGCCGCAGAAGACATCAACCCCGTTGATGCGGAAGTAGAACGACTGGCCGAACTGGTCCTTCTCCTGGATCAGCTCGACCTTGCGGAACCCGAGGGTCTGGTGCTCTTCCGCGAGGACTGTCGATCCATCGCTGGCCATGCTCCGCACCCGTAGTTTGCATAGCTGCTGCGGTCCGTAACCTCGCGGCCACCAAAGCGGCGGCTTCTCCATGCTGAGCCTCGTGGAGGTGTAGAGCCATGAAGGCTCACCACCAGCAGGGTTCTCTTTGCGATCTCTCAGTGCCGCGGTTTGCTCTCCGGGCAGGACAAGCTCAACCTCCACGGCCGCTGCAGGACCAACAACACGGGCTTGGACGGTGATCTCGAGCACGACCGGCAGCCCGTGGCTCATGCGGATGTCGTAATCTACCCGAACATCCTCGATCCTGCTGACGTACGACTCCAGCCGCACGGGCTTCCACGGCCCGCAGGTCAGCAGGATCGGGCCCCAGTCCCAGCCCCAATGGTACTGCGCTTTCCGGACAGGGCCTCTGCTGACTTCTGTCTGGTGCACAATGAAGTCGTGTTCCGGGTGCGCCTGGACAAGCTCAAGGCCACGCCGGCGCGCAGGCTCAAACACGATCTCGAGCGTGTTGTTGGCTGCCCCGTCGACCAGGAGCTGTCCGATGCTCACGCGATGCTCCACAAACATGTTGTCCGATTCCAGTATGACTTCCCCATTCAGCCTTACCGCTGCAAAGGTATCGAGCCCTTCAAACACCAGGTCGACCCTCGCTCCTGGGTCTCGTCCGCCGGCTGGCGTCACGAAGGTCGTTCGGTAGTGCCACGTCTGTTCGGCGACCCATGACACTTCGAGCTCGTTTGTGTCGACGAAGGGGTCCGGTATCAAGCCGTGTTTCATGAGCTCAGTGTGGACGTTGCTGGGGACCTGTGAGACGGGCAGCCAGTCTTCGTCCTTCTCGCCCCTAAACTCCCAACCGGAGGAGAGGATCTGAACCGTATGTTCTGTCATAGTGGCTTGGGCATACGGAGAGAAGAGTACTGACGGCAGCGAGGCAATATTCGTGTCCCTGAAGGGGAAAGGGGTTGTGAGTCTGTTTGTTGGATCCTGCATGTCTTTCAACTTCCCCAGAGTGGTTGTCTTGGCCATGGCCCTAATGACCTCCGCGATGTAACCAGAGCTACCAATCATCCCCTCCCGGCCTCAAAGGGATCCCCTAAGCTCCGCCCTAACGGGAACTCGGGGGTGTTCTGCCCGCCTATCAGATGTAGCCTCTTCCAGCAGCTTACTTCTTCAGGTTGAACTCCTCAGCTACCCTTATCCAATGCTCACCATCATGAAGAACCCACCCATTGAAGGAAGAGTACGCCATACACCTTTCATTACTTAGCCAACACGAGACAATACTATAAATCATACGTACACAAGCAGCGACGTCTCTCATTCGGCAACAGGTATCGGGGGCGTACGGATCGTACAACGTAGGACCAGCTCATTGCGTCGTATACATCCCGACACGATCTCCTGAGCCTCATGACCTCAGAGACTTCTCGCTCGCACTGTCATCGAGCTCCTTCTCGGCAGAATCACCTACGATCTTCTTCTGCACCCTGCCTGCCGTCCACTGCCGAAGCTTCCGGCCAAAGAAATACAAAAGCGGAACACCCAGCGAGGCCACAATCATGACTTCGGCATAGACGACGAACGTATTCAAGAAGCCGCGCTGAGCAATCCACGACGTCGACTTGCTCGAGACAAAGAAGCCGATGATGATGCGGAGACTGGAAACATTGACGAGCACGGGGCCGGCCCACATGGGGTAGCTCTCGACGACGAAGACGTTGATGACCGACAGGACGACCAAGGAGCCGAAGATGATCAGGAAAGACCCCAGCATCAGGAAGGCCCAATGCGCGTTCGTCTGCCCGGCCCAGCCAAAGACGAAGATCCCTGCGAGGCCGGACACCAGTGGCAGTGCGATGTTGGGCAGGTGATGCTCGGGCTCCCGAGCGCCGCCGTTGCGCCGGGCCACGGCGTTCGAGATGCGGTCGGCGACTGGGCCGCCAAAGAAGTAGACCAGGCCTGTGGCGGCGATGAACGGGAGGACGAAAAGACCGGTGTACTGGAATTGCCAACTGCCAGGGGGTTGGTTTAGTCTCTCAGCTTCAGGGGTTAAGGGATTCATCATACAGCCGTTGGAAAATGCAATGCAATGCAATGACTTACCCCTGAGCCAGAAGTGCAAAGGCCCCAATCTGCTGCGCGGCGGAGTTGACAATCACAAAGATGCTGTTGGCCACGGTGGCCCACACAATGGCCGGGAAAGGAGTAGCCCTCAGCGTGTTAAGCATGGACATTCCGGCCTGCTTCCACGCGAAACCGTTCTGGAAGAGGCCCAGGTACGACCATTGTGTCGGGGCCGGATATCGTTCGTAGTCCAACTTTGGTCGGGTTTCCCCTGGTTCAAGGGGATAAAATTGTTGACCACCTGGATGCAAGATAGCAGATCTCAGCACCAGAACTGGTCACTTGAGCGGGATACAGGGGGGACCGGGGGTTTGACCTACTGAGCTCTTCCTTGGATCTCGTCCAGCGCGTCTCAGGGAGGAACGCAATGAGCAGAAGCCAAGCGACGATGCCGAAGCTGGAGGTGATGTAGTAGACCCATCTCCAGTCGTGTACCGAGGCGATGTACGGAGTCACGATGCCCAGGGCGGTGATGACAATCCCCTGGCTCGACACGACGGCGGCCATGGCCTTGTTCCGCTGATGGATGAACACCATGTCTTGCAGAACCAGAGGGATCAAGGCTTCTACAGTCCCTGCTCCCAGGCCCTTGATGAACAACAAGCCAAAGTTAGCCACTGGGAAAAGACAGTGTTTGTTCGGAGTCCACTGGCACTACTAACCTGCATTGCTCTTGCGACCAAGTGAACATCCAACGATGAGCTTGCGGCAGCGAGAAAACCGCCAACCCAGGCGCAGGCACCAGCCAGGAGCAAAACAGGCCGCCGACCGATAGCAATTGACAGCGGCACCAAGAAGCTTTGTTTAAAAGAATGGGCAAACCCAACGGATCAGCTGAGATGTCCCACCCCCCCCCCCCCCCCTCCCGATCGGATGAGGAAGCGACACACGACACATACTAGCTAGCAATGCCATTGCTCAACAAGGGAATTGTCGCCAGCATCGACACCTTCTCAATGTTGGCAGGGACAACCCCCTGCGGGATGACGGCAAAGGGGTTCACGCCCGTGGCCGAACCGCCGCTGATGGCTCGAAAGTCGACCGTGTTGAGGATGCGCACGTCCACGCCCGAGTAGAAGAGGAGGAACAGCGGGACGAGGCTGCCAACGATGATTTCGGCCGAGAGCGCCAGCGAGCCAACTTTGGGTAATTTGGAGAGAAATAAGTCAATTCATCTGACGGGCTTCGGGGCGGGAGCAAAGGAGCGGGAAGGTTGCAGGACACCCTTACAAAAGCACAGGCTGCCAATCGCCGCCCACTTCCGCCATTGCGGTAAGTTCAGGGGATCTGAAGTCTTGTAAGCCCAGTTTAACTCTCCACTGGCCGGCTAGTTCTTGGGAAGCTAACGTTAGCTACTGACCTCTGGGATCCGGAGTCGGAGCCTGTCGTCGGTATCAGTCAGCATGGTGGCAAGATAGTGGAGAGTGGTACTGCTGAATACATCTTACCGGAATCAGGCGGACTTGGCCGTTCTCGTACAGTGAGGTCGTCCCGACCACCTGTGCGCGAGATGCGTTATTGTCCTCGTGGGCGGTCTCCGAGATGTCCTTGTCGGCCAGCGACACAGTACTCTTCCGCGCAGCCATCTTGTGACCCGACCCGCGGACGCAAATTTGGTGCTTACCAGAGCACCACACAAGAGGGCATTGTCATCCCATCTTTCGCGAGTAGGTGATAGAAGTTGGGATGGAACCAGAACTTTAAGATAGTCCACTCTACCCTCGGTGCTCGCACCCGGGAACTGCTTCACAACATACTGACAAGTGCATTCTATATGCTAGGATTCTGTCACGCAGATGATCTAAAGCTGAGAAGCATCATCCGACCAGGCAGAGATCCGATTGGGTTTTCAAGAATGGGTTCAAGCACGTTGATGCCAAGGGAATCAGGATTGTCGTAGAGGTAGCTCAACTCGTGGCTTGCATAATGTTTCTCCATGCATAATGGTATCGGGTGAGCCGTTTGATAACCGCAAAACGCCAGATGGTTTGGGACGAACGCCGCGGCATATAGCATCAAGTAAAAGTTTGGCGCTAAGAAAGTGTCGTCAGGGGGAGGGGGGTCTTCGGCGATCAGGGAAGTCATCCGTTTCGAGCTTGTCGGGGCCCACGCATAGAGATCGGGACATCTGTCGGCCATTGAGACAAGGCACGCAGCATTGGTTTGACATCCTGGTGAACATGCGGAGTGCTACTCCCAGATGGAAGGTCGGCAAATAAGCCACCAGCAGATTGTATATGAGGAGAGATCTGGACTGCGCGGACAGCCACACGCGGAAGGGCGAAGGGGAGATGCTGAAGTAGGTTAGTGTACAATTTCAACGCTCGCTGCTCCCTAGCCATTATGAACAATGCTATCCAGTGACCCCAAATGTTCCCGCTGACCTGAGTGTGCCGGTCTAACCATCTTGAACAGATCTCTCTGCCTCCTGAGCGTCATGCCGCTCTTCGTCCTAGTCGTTTTCTCAACCCTCAACAGTGTTTCCCCCACGGCATCGTGGAGGCCTGTGCCGCGGTGAGCAGAACCCATTACTACCCCACGACCAGCCGACAATGGCATGAAGGCAGCCCATCGCCAGCGCCGCACCGCTCCTCGCGCCCGGATCCGTTGCAACACTGGCGTGGCCGAACCCGGGTCATTGATGTGCCTGTGCCCTTCTTCGTCGATGCAAGGACAGCAGATGCGAGCCCTCCTCCTCGACCGGTGCTCACGAGCTGCCCTCCGCAAGAAGCCGGGCGATCAACACGTAGACAAATATAATAGCACCGGCTAGTAGCAGCTTGTTTTGGAACAGCCAGCCCTGCCCGGCGTCCCTCTGCTGAATAACTGCGTCCACCACTGCGTGAGCCTGGTGCCCACTGCCAGCGGCGATGTTAAGCTGTGGGCCGCATGAAGGCCCGCCGTTCTCAACAATCTTGTTCCCCGTCGCCGGATCGATCTTGTTCTCCCGCATCCACTTCCAGTTCTCTTGGTCCACCTCGGGCCACTCGGACTTGAACTTGGCCCCGCCGTCGCCTGCCTTGATATTATTCTTGCCGGAGCCATTATCGGTCTTGAGGTGGGATCCGCCGCCCGTCGAGTTCCACCACCGGGAGCGCGCCGCATGATACCTCCGTTCCGCCTCGCTGGCCGACACGGAGCCCGTTGTCATCTCCTCCGAGGTCATGAACGAGAGCAGCCCGATCAGAATCGTCGACACTTCCCACGCCGGGTTGAATGATCGGGGATGAAAGTCTGAGATGGATAGACAGAGGCGACTCGACGGCTGGAATCGGCCGGAAGGGGTGTGCATTCGGATGGCCGGGGGGGCAAAGGGGTAATTAGGAGGGAACATGAGCGTCCCCCAATACTGGCCCCCGTGGTAAGGCGTGTTCTCCGGACCGGTGATGATGTAGTGCCATCTGTGCATTTCCCCGGTTAGTGCGATGGTACGTATGCGGGTACATTCCGCCATACTCTAATATATTGGATTCTGACGGGTGTGCCGTGATATATGGTGGAGGATTCTCCGTGATGCTCTTGAACTCGCGCGTCAACTTGAACCGTGCGAGTGTCAGTGTGAGATCTATTCTTTCTCTGGTTTTCCCCGGGCATCCAGACATACGCGCTTTTGTGCTGCTCGACTGGCCATAATCTGAGACCCGACTCTGTATGAGTGGGAGGTCGGCTGGCTGACAAACTACAAATGAGGGACGAAGCGTGAGATAACAAGGTCGACCGCTTAGCGCCACAAACAAAGAAGTGTGAAAAGGGAATTGAGTGAGTGATTAGAAGCGGGAATTGTTCGAGGTGTTTAGATGCCAGTCGTCTATGCTTTGATGCGCGCGTCGGCGCTGTCCGGAGATTAGGGGGATGTTTCGTAGGTAGGACAGGGAAATGCAAAGGAGGTGGATGACGATGGCTGATGACGGGCAGACAAGGGAGGGCGGTGTCCCCCTGTTAACTCGCCCACTGCCCAGCGGATCATCAAAGATTGTGGTAGTGCACGGAGGTACTTTGCATTGCTGGCTTGTTTGTCAGCGCAGAACGGCTGGCCAGGGGCTGGATCCCGCTCTTATAGCAAAGCAACCATACAAGTTAGTTAACGCAAGGAAATAGAGCATCTAGCAAATTACTCAGAGCGCCGAATTCCGCTTCAGCAGGATTAATTGTCTACATCGAGCTGGAACCACTTTCGCTGACCCTGGTCTTCAAAGTCTAACACTAACAGACTCAGTAGAGCAAGGTTGTAACGCCGGACGATGTGGGTCTCTAACCCTCCATCGCCCGGAACAGCCCGGTGAAGCCAAGCTTTGTTCGGGAAGAACTTCACCACGAGGTCACGAGTGTACACTTTCACTGCCGTCGCGACCATTGCCGACGTTGAGGGAAGCACAAATGGCCAGCCCTTTTGGCTTTGGCGGTAACAACGTAAGTACCTTGGTCTTCACTTTTAACTTGACCAATCCCATTCCTGGATCACAATCCATGCGCAGGCTTTCGCGTCTCAAGCTCTAGCGCCAGCTCCAGCTAACCTCTCTCTCTCTCCCGCTTTCACAGGCCGCTCGCCAGATCGAGACCAACCAGACTGCTAGCTCAACCACGGCAGCACAAGGCTATACGGGCCCGGCTAAAATGGTAGACTTCAACTCCGAGCGACCACGATCGTAACCACAATGCCGGTTGCTAACACTCAATCCTCCCTATAGCTCGACGAGCACCTCCTCACCCCAGCTTCTATCAGCTCCCTCGAAGTCCACGGCGCCACCAACACCCGGAGAAGCTTGTTGAACCATGTTCTCCAGCCGCTTGTGGAGGAGAGTGCCCAGGCCGGGACCACCTTGGGTCAGGTCCTCGAGCGCATTGGGACAGCCACCAAGAAGCTCGCCCGTTTCGGTGCGCCACACCCCTGCTCCGCACCTACACCACTCTGTGTAGGGGCCGTTTGTTGACCCATCAGTTGTCGAGAAGACATCTTCAGGGAGGAAGGGTTTGGCGTGTTTCTGTCCGAGGCCGCGCGCCCCGAGGCTGCCCCGCCAACCGATAGGACGGACCTCGATATCTCGATCCGCGTGAAGGAGAAGTCGCGCCTGGTTTTCAGCGCCGGTACCGACTTTGGCAACACCGAGGGTTCGGCTTATACCAACGCCGTTGCGCGCAACATCTTCGGCGGCGCCGAGACTCTTTCGGTCAACGCGAGTACCGGTACACGAACGAGGTCAGCCTACAACGCGACCTTCTCGACTCCCATCAACGGCAACCCAGACCTTCGGTTCTCAGCCGAAGCACTGCACTCCGCAACGCAAAAGGCATGGGCGTCGCACGAAGAGCATCTGGCAGGCGCAAACCTGCGGCTTGCCTGGCTAAGCGAGAACAGCGATACCCACGCGCTAGCATACTCTACCGTCTGGAGGCAGCTCACAGGCCTGGCCGCAACGGCATCGCCCACGGTCCGAGCCGACGCGGGCGATTCCCTCAAGAGCTCACTAACACACACATTTACGCGAGATCGCCGTGACAACCCGATGCTGCCGCAAAGGGGCTATCTCCTTCGCACTGTCTCCGAGCTGGCCGGCTGGGGCCCTCTGCGCGGCGATGTTTCTTTTGCGAAGACAGAAGTTGAGGCATCAGGAGCGCTTCCCGTGGCCATCCCCGGCTTAGGGTCCAAGTCCGGCGTCTCGGTCGGAGCTGGTCTCCGCCTCGGCCTTCTCTACCCACTCCCCTCCGGCTATTCTCTTACAGGGTCCGCCCAGCCAAGCCGCATCAACGACCGCTTTCAGCTCGGCGGACCTACCGATGTCCGTGGCTTTAAACTTGGCGGGCTCGGACCCCACGACGGGGCCGACTCCGTCGGAGGGGACGTCTTCGCCGCCGGGAGCATCAACGCGCTGATCCCACTACCTCGTACGGGTCCCGAGTCGCCCCTGAGGCTACAGCTGTTTGCGAATGCTGGGCGGCTGGTGGCGCTCAACAGCAGAGGCAAGGCGAAAGAAGGGGGCAAGGGATTGGCGATGGACTCGGCCACTGTCTTCAAAGGCGTCAAGTCTGCTGTCGCTGAGCTGACGAATGGCCTACCAAGCCTGGCCGCGGGTTTCGGTTTGGTGTATGCCCACCCTGTTGCGCGGTTTGAGCTCAACTTTAGCTTGCCGCTCGTGCTACGGAGGGGAGAGGAGGGCCGCAAGGGCTTGCAGGTCGGCGTGGGCATCAGCTTCTTGTAGACTAACTATGGAATCGGACATCTGATTCACTTGTATAGATGTACTACTATGAAGAATCGCTGGTAGTAGCGGCCCTCGTCTAGATCGACTTCTAGGGACAAAACCCTACTTCCTGGGTAGATCCTTTGTCGTGGAACAGACGCTGAAACCGCTCTTTGACGATCTCTTAATACAGACGAGTGAAGGGCCGTGGACATGGCAAGAGGCCAGTCTCATCACCATCTAGGACTGCACACTCCCTACCTGTGTCCAGGCAGTCCCGCACGAAAGAGCGACAGATGTTACGGTTCCCGCCGCATATGTCGACCTATTACATGGTGGCGAGTTATGATATCATACAGAGAAAGACAGCGGCTAGTATACACATGAGAAGAGTATAAAACACCTAGATGAAGCAACCTTCCAACCCCCAGAGACATAACGCCATTCACAAATGCCAAGTAGTCCCTAAGTGCCTGCTGTGCCCCCCTGATCTTTGCTTCATCAATTCTGTCGGTTCTGGTTGTTGGCCTCACGAACCTGCGCACCCGATGCCCTCCACCAAACATCGCCACCCCAGCGCATTAAACGCTCCACAGCCCCAGTAGGCGTCATGGCCGGCCGAACGTCCAGGTAGAAGACGGGTTCGCCCGTCGGCTCTGGCGGCGCCGAGTAGAAATCAATCACATACCGGACCTCTTCCTTCTGGCCGTTCACGTCGCGCGAGACGTACCAATCGTGCCGGTCGAAGGGAGGGTCGGTGCTGGTTCCAAGGCTGTCAGCTGCTATGCGCATATCAAACCTTCTTTTCCAGTCTCAACGTACCCAAACTTGGCCGGGTACACACGCCCGAGCATCTGCAATAACGCCGCCTTGGGCGTCATGTCCTTGGGCCGCCCCTGAAACCTGATCAATGTCGGCTGCGCCTGCCCGCCCTCCTGAGCCTCCAACCGCCTCAGCTCAAGGGGCGCATTCTCCTCCCCGCGCTTGCTGACCTCCCAGCCGCGACTCAGGCCCTTGCCGAATCGGCGCTCCCACTCCACCACTTCGGACCAGGCGCCCTCGTTCAGAAAGTTATGCACCGCGACCATGCTCTCGACCGCCGTGATGTCTGTGTCCGTGTAGCCCTTCCGAAGCAGCGCATTGTACATTTGCTGGGGCGAAGGGTACTCCCAGTTGCCGTCACCGGTGCCCTTGGGGATGGACGACTCGTCTCGACTTGTCGGAAGCGCGAACGTCTGATTTGGAGCCTGTTCTTGTGAAATGGACTGGAACATGTAGTTGAGCGGGTTAAGTTTCGAGAGCATCGACCGCTCCTGTCGCTGTTCTGGCGCCGCCCCATGATTGTCATGTGGGACAGGGCAGGAAGAGAGTGCTGCTTTCGCGGTGGGGCTGTCGTGAGGAACGGGACAAGAAGAAGGTGCTGGGCTAGACGGAAGGAAGGCATCAACGGTGGTCTTGTGCATGGGACATCCGGGCTAGAAGAGCGGGGTAAGCGAATGAACTATAACGGTTCGTTAAGCGGCGACTCACAGGAGGCGTGCCAGCGCCAGTAAGGTGTCTGTGCCTCGAGTCCGTCGGAGGAACAACCGGCGCAGCGGGAGTGGCGTCGGCCCAGAACCAACCCATGATAATGGCTCGTGTGCAATAAATGATTCAGAACAGATCAGTGTTGATGTCAAAGTATGCCTCCTCGTCGGCCTGGTACGGATCGCAAAATTCTGAGAAGACAACGGCACTTAAAGTGTAACAATATGCATACGGGAGATACACAGCAGCGTAAAAGACGACGATACCTAGCGATTGAGAAGGATGTGAAACCAAAGAATGACGCGCATCTGATAAGTTTTTTGCACATGCATGCCAAGCCGTAACGTGGCGGCCCACAGAGGGGCGAGGAAGCTTTCTTGGCATGCCCAGCTCGGGAGTGGCCGGCCCCAGTACCCCCCGGTCAAGCCCGGATGCAGGGTGTGTTACCAACCGTGACAATGAGCATCCAGAGGTCATTCCCAAAGAGAGGTAGGTGTTTGACATCTACCGTGTTTGATGGATTGTTTGAGAAGAGGTATATGTCAGGCGAGTAGCGTTCATAATACATGTATAGCATGTAAAAAGAACACATCTAAGAGCCCCTGTCCCCTACACTGTACAGTCGCCCTAGCGAACCTGGGGAATTAAACATTAGGAGAGAGGAGATCGTATTGGACGCATCTCTCGACCTGGTTTGCACCGTCAATATCAGTTCCATAATGTCGGGTTAGTAAGGGATATGTGGCTTACATCTTCAACGCTGGCCCTCATGAATCTCCTTGTCTCGAGGCCCAGCCAGACCACCAGCATGGAAAAGTCACCCTCTTTGACCATATCCTTTCCGCTCTGGGTACCAAGCTGCCTCAAAATCGGGAGCGAGCTGCTGAGGAGATCCATGTCCGGATCCAGACTACGACCGATACCCTCGAGTAGCAGGATGCTGATGACCACATTGACAAAGTCACCTTCCAGGCGGACATGGTGCTGCCTCACCATGCCTAGTACTTGTTGCAGGATGTCTCCAATCTTAATATTGCCAAGCGCGAGCGTTCTACTCTTGACACCCAACACCAGGTGCTGCATCTTCAGGGCAAACACCTCTTTGTCGAGCACGAGGTCAGGTTGACGGCACCTCTCGCACATCAAATGGCCAGCCTTATAACCATCGAACTCGGCCACGGCGCGGAACAAGTCGAGGAAATTACGCCGATTGGTGTCATTGAGCTCCGTGACAAGTCCCGTGTCAATGAAGACGAGTTGGGGGCGGAAGCCCTCGTGGTCGATCTTTGCCAGTTCAGCATCCCAGAGGTCTTTGTTATGGCGATAAGGACGCAGGCGCGACAGAATTTGCTCGGTCACATCCGCCTGTTGACCAGTGCCGACCTCGTCAGAGGTGTGCCGAAATGGCAATGTAGGTCGGTCTGGCTCATAAAACCGCACCATGATGTTTCCTGGGTGGAGGTCGGCATGGACAAAGTTGTCGATGAGCAGCATGCGCAGGAATGCGTCAAGACCCTCAGAAGAGATATCTTGTTGGAACACACCTCCCCCGTTCGCCAGGAAGTCGGCCAGAGGGATACCGTGTGCAAACTCCTCAATGAGGACATTCCGCGTGCAAAAGTCCGTGTAGGGGAAGGGGAACCATGCCGTAGTCCTGTCCTTGAAATTCTTCCGAAACCTTGATAGGTTCGCCGCCTCGATGCGCAGGTCTAGTTGCAGTTTCATCATAACCCCAAATTGGTCGACCTCGTCCGGGAGCGACAGCCACTCCATTGTGGGTATTGCGTTGAGCACAGACGCGAAGAACCGCATGATGCGAAGGTCGCGCCGCACTGTCCTCTCGACGCGGGGATGTTGAACCTTGACAGCAACATACGACGACGGGACCCGCCTCGGGGTACTCTTGAGTACGGTCTCGACATTCTTTCGAACGTTGTAACGGATATCAGCGTGGTCCTTGGGAACATCGATATCCGCGGGCAGGGCGAGACCGGGCTTGAGCTTTGCTTTGTAGACTTGGGCGATGGCCCCGACACCCAGTGGCTGTTCGTCAAACTCGTCAAATATTTCCTCAAAGCTGCGCCCACCGAATGCCTCCTCGATTATGCGCTTTGTGGCATGCAGGGAGTGGGCGGGAGCGTTGGCATGAAGCTTCGACATGATCTCACAGAGCTCGTTGGGGAAAATGTCCGTCCTTGAGGCGGCCCACTGACCAAGCTGCGAAGCGCCATTGTCAGCTCATGCAGGATGTTTCTAAATCTGTCCCGATAACGCATTACCTTGATGAAGGCCGGACCGGCCCATTCCATGGCCTGGACTAAGAAGCCATACCACCACAATGTCCCGGTCCGCTCATTGTCACGCTCCGGAAGGTGCTTGCCAATCCATATCGCGGGGATGGTTATAATAACCGGCACAAATATGGACACGAGCTGCAGAAAGCGGAAGCCGGTACATATGGGCTCCCAAAAGTAGAGGTCAAAGATCACCAAGACTCGGCGCCGTAACCAGCGCAGGGTCCCGTCGTTTTCGCCCGCCGTCTTCCGTATCTCCTCCCGCGAGATCTCGAGCATGCGTGACTCGCCTGTCTCGCCGGGGTTGGCGTCCCCATTCTCCGAAAGCTCGATGAAGGCAGCGGCAGCCAGCCCACCGCCAGAGGCGGCCATCAAGGTCCGCGGAGTCACACGATAACCCCATGGTCGTGCCGGGGATCGCGAACCGGTACTGAATGGGGATGTACGAAGGGTCGTCCGAGGATGCCGAAAACGATTCCTCGAGATCCTAGGGGCCGGACCAAAACAAAGTGACGCTTCGGTGCGAGAGAAGAGCCGGCCTAACGGGAGAGCCGGCCTCATGTCGTTGCGGCTCCTGGGACGGGGACTGAAATGCTGGTTTCAAATTGTCGGGTAGAGGCATTCTCATCGTCCTCTCAGCCGCAGGATGTCGAGATGTATTTGACGGCCGACATGTGACATGACGGTACCTCGTCCGTGGAAGGTCGATTGGTGGGCCCAGTTTGCATTGCGGAAGCCCGTGACGTCGTTCAGTCCGATCCGAGCAACGGAGCTGCGGCAATCGATCGGCGAGATTGGCCGATCCCAAACGTGCTAGACCCACACGAACAAGAGCCAAGGGATTCTCGCTCAGCTCAGCACACCACCAAAACGACCACCTGAACGACGCACGCAGCAGAAGCACGAAGTCCCGAGTTCTCTCAAACCTACATACAGTAAGGTAGGTATGTAGGTGAGATGATATGTCTTGTGAGCACCTTGTATTTCCGCACCGTTTTCCATGAACCTTACCTCTTCCGCTAGGCTGCTTTACCGTTCGTTCTCCCTGCCCTCTCCAGAAATGACGGAACTCTAGACCTCAAAGAAACAAGGGTTTGAACGCAAGGTTCGGGAAGGATACCGTTCAGGGAGGTATGTATATAACCCCAGTGTGCAAGCGCTAGCACTCATCTTTCCATGATCGTGTTTGGGTGGGATCCTCGCGCTTTATTCCTTCCGAAGTGCGATACGGGCCGCGTGGTACTGTATTGTATTGTACATTCAACTCCGGACAATGCTCAGAACACACAAGATATGGTGTCTTGCTCTCGGCTAGGACTTAGAAGTTCCAAGCATGATGATTAGGTACGTATAGTTCACCAATGCAACGAAACCTGGCGAATGTAGTATGATGTGCTGGCCTTGGTGAGTCTTCGCTATACGACGCCGGAAGTGACTCGGGCAGTAGATAGGAAACAGGTACCTGTAGCTACTGCCAGGCGTTGTAAGACTTTGGCTTGCAATCAATCTACATATTATCTCACAATCCGTGACCTTATCCAAGAATCCAACTGCTGCTCTTTAAGTCCCTGCCAAGCATGCCAAGCAGAGGTTCTCAGTTCTTCCTTTTTGGGCTTTTCGCCCCGCACCGCCCGCCCCCACACAAAGTTGCCGGTTCGGAAATAGAAAATTCCTACAGCCCTGCGATTTTGGCTCCGCACAATTGAATCTAGGTGAAATTTCGCAACTCCGAAGACCTTCTACATCACGACCCTCGGCCGAATCTGCTTCCACCACGCAAGTCGATCAGTTGCGAAAATGGATTCCTCGAAGGCTCCCGTCAAGCTCGTCAAGGTCACCCGAGTCCTCGGCAGAACCGGTACGGGCCATTCCAGGGTTTGGCTCCTCAATCTAGCCCGAATACTAACGTGTTCCAAATCCAGGTTCTCGTGGTGGTGTCACCCAGGTGCGCGTCGAATTCATGGACGACACCACTCGCTCGATTATCAGAAACGTCAAGGGCCCTGGTATGCGCCGCAGTTATCCAGTTGGACGATCTACCGACTAATACACCCGTGTCCAGTTCGTGAGGACGACATCCTGGTTCTTCTAGAATCCGAGCGTGAGGCCCGCCGCCTTAGATAAAGTACGGAAGCTTTGGGGGTTTGGTGATTCTGGGGAAGTGGCAACAGCATTACGCTACCTTGTCGGCCCAACAGGCCGGACCGTCGCCATGAGCTTCGGTGAAGGTTGGGTGGGAATGTCTAGGTTGGGCGTTCGGTAGAACGGTATCACGATTTATTGCTCTCCAGAAATTCTACGCGGCGCTGAGGCTACTCGATATCCTGCGGATACCGTCGTGCTGCGACTGGGGCTTGGGCGTCGAAGGACAAAAACTTGCTGCGATTTTCTTCATGAAGATTCCCATCAGAACTGCCGGACTCCGTGGTGTCGTTCCTTCAACTTGGACTATACTCGGTATTTACGTATCCGCTTCAAACCGGATATATGCAGCATAGGTACTTGAAAACCGGAGACGATACCAAAACCAGCTGGCGCATGACCTTGGGGATCTTGAGTGAGTGCATTGTGTCCCCATATCACACAACTGGTTCACACGAAACCGCTCTGGTACCAATTCAGAGATTAGGTCCAACCACAGGCGATCTTCCGTGACCGTTCTCTAGTGGCCCCCTTTCAGTTGCATCGACTTACGCGCGCGAAGATCCACCGGTGAGGCTTGACACTTCGACGTCTTCAAGGTCTAGGGTCACTTATTGGAGGCCTTCTTCCGCATTGCACCTGTCCCTTCACGACGGAACCCTCTGGATTCAGCGTTGGAACTTGGCAGGCTTAATCTGTCAATCAGTAGAGAGCCCGGTCCTGTCTGTTATTTATTTATTCTTCTCTTTTCTTTTCTTTTTTCTATTTCTAGATCTTTGATTCGCGCATGCTAAGGACACTCCATTCGAGGTTCGAAGCCTTGAAGCAACTGCTCATGTTCCCCGTCTCACCATTAGTCAGGGAGATCTTTTCGCGAAGGCGTGACCAGGCAGCGGAAGCTCCCGTATTTGGGACCCAACTTCCCTGTTGCCCGTGCCGAATGCCGACGCGTCATGGGGTTCAGGCTTTCGGTGCTGGCGGAGAGCAGTCTTTATTCAATATTCTGAGCCGCCCGCATATTGAGATTTGAGGACCCGGCGGTGGTGCTTCCGTCGTCTTGGCATGGATCAAAAACACATCAGGGCGCCCCTATGATAAGACGCACCCCGCTGAATGCAACATCGGGAAAGCTGTTGCGACTTGAGATCCCGGGATTCGGTCCCAGTTCCGCCAATCAGCGGCTCTGTACGATATTGGCGCGGCATAAGGCTCTCCTGAATACTTCGTATGACCCCAACATCTCGCGACGTCTCGCGGCAACTCTCTGCATAGGCGCTTGCTTACCGTGTACTTATATAGTCTCTTCAGGTGGCCATAGCCAAGCTTGAAAAGATGGCTTCTTCGGTCGATCACATCCCGACCTTAGCACGTTCCTGGAGAGCCACGGCGAGCTGAGCCTGGCCTGAGTACGTTGCCAACATGGAGCTCCGGTCCTTCTTTCGTTTCTTCGCCCTCTCTGCTTCCGTCTTCGCTCCAGGTGCCCTTGCAGCGTTTGGCTATACGTCGTCTGGTAACAACTTCGTCATCGATGCCGGCTCTGCCAACCCCTTGGTCTTCTCCGTGAGCAAGTCTAGCTGTGATATCAACTCGATCAAGTACCGCGGCACCGAACTTCAGTATGGCGGCAAGGGCAGCCACATCAGCTCCGGCCTCGGGTCGGCAACTGTCTCGGTCAGCCAGATCAGCGGGTCGTCCAAGTACATCAAGGTCACATGCGTGACATCGACGCTGACCCAGTACATGGTCGTCCGGGAAGGCGAGAGTATCATCTACATGGCCACGTACATCACGGCCGAGCCTTCGATTGGCGAGCTGCGCTTCATCGCGCGTCTCCTGCCCGACAGGCTACCGTACGAGTACCCCTACGGCGAGGTTTCGACCACGGCCGGCTCCAGTTCGACGGTGGAGGGCTCGGACGTCTTCGTGGTCAACGGGCAGACGAGATCCAAGTTCTACTCGTCCACGAGGTTCATTGACGAGGATTCGCACTGTGTCTACGGGGGCAGTGACCTGATCCACGTCTGCATCATGACGCCGCAGCAGGAGTCTTCCTCGGGCGGGCCCTTCTTCCGCGACATCGATTCTAACAACGCCGGCGATTCCACCAACCTCTACAACTACATGAACAGCGGCCATGTGCAGACCGAGGCGTTCCGCACGGGCCTGCACGGTCCGTACGCGATGCAGTTCTCGCGGTCCGGGATCCCCAGTGTGAAGAGCCTTGATGTCTCCTGGTTTGGAGAGGTCTCCGTCACGGGCTATGTGCCTGCATCTGGCCGCGGGACCGTCAAGGGAACGGCCACCGGTGTGCAGAGCGGCATGCAGGGTGTTGTGCACTGGTACAACAGCGCGGCGCAATACTGGGCCAAGACGTCCTCGAACGGTGCCTTCACCTCGCCGCTGATGAAGCCGGGCACTTACACCATGGTGCTGTACCAGACGGAATTCAAGATCGCCACCAGCACCGTCACAGTCTCGGCCGGGAAGACCACGACGCAGAACATTGCCGGCACTTTCAACACATCGCGCAACACGCTCTTCCAGATCGGCGACTACGACGGCCAGCCGACGGGCTTCCGCAATGCCGACAAGTTCCTCCGGATGCACCCATCCGACAGCCGCATGGACAGCTGGGGCCCCCTGACGTACACGGTCGGCAGCTCGAAGCTCTCCGACTTCCCCATGGCCGTCTTCCAGGCCGTCAACAACCCCGTCACCATCAAATTCAACCTTGCCAGCGCCCCCGGCGCCGCCACGCTGCGCATTGCCACGACCCTCAGCTTCGCAGGGAGCCGGCCCCAGGCGACCGTCAACGGCTGGACGGGGCCCGCGCCAGCGGCACCCACCAAGATCGACAGCCGCGGCGTCACCAGAGGCGCCTACCGCGGCCATGGAGAGGTGTACACCGTGAGCATCCCCGCCGGCACGCTAGTGGCTGGTAGCAACACCCTCACCATCCGCTCCCTGTCTGGCAGCAGTGGAACCACGTTCCTGAGCCCCAACTTTGTGAGTCCTTTTCCGCTGATCTCCCCCAATCTTCTTCTGCCCGCCATGTGATTGCTAACCGGTTCCTGCGCGGTCTCCAGATCTTTGATGCTGTTGAGCTCTACACAGCCTAGTTCTGCTGCTTCAAGGATGTGGGAGGTGGCTCTGTAACCGAATCTGGGGCCCTAACACTTCCAGGAATGCTTCTTGTATATAGATTTGAGTTTGACATTACCATGTCAGTATCTAGTAATCCACGTCAACGTGTCGAAGAGGGTTTCACTTTGTCCTGGGCTGGTATTGCCACCGTTGTGCAAGCGTCTCCGTACCAGTTTTTCCCTCTTCCCCCCCTTTCTCTCTTCTTTTTTGTTTCACCGTTCTACCCAAGACAATGCGCTCTGACTTACTGGTATTAGACGGTGTATATCAAGCATTCTGGAGATGACTAACACATTCCCCTCAGCGAAACACTGAACTTAGGTAACTATCTTACTAGTGGTGTGGAGTTTTGTTACGCCGTGATTGATTATCCCTTGCCTGTGCCACGAAATTACTAGTATCCATCGAGCTTCAAGGCTTCGTACGAAAAGCAGATCCAGGCCCTTCAACCGGCCATCACCTGTGGCACGGGATACAGTAGAGTGCCAGCGGGAAAACGTTGACAACAAGAGTACGCAGCGATTTGGGCATGATCTAATTAGTATTCTAAAGCGGAAGCTGAGTTTGATGCCGTTATGATAACGGATGTACCGCGCTGTCTGGATGCAGCTCCTTAATATGACCGTTTGGGTCCATGTATGTACCGTTCGTCAGCAGCTCTTCCCATGTCAACAGTCGGTAGTCGAGGAGTTGGCTATAGCTTAGCGTTCCTCTCGACTCCCTACCTGCCTTCTGCCTGTCGCACCAGTTAGTTCTTTCCTGCTTTGATTATTATTGCCCCTTCCCTTTCCCGCTTTTCCTTCTACCTTATCTCTCTTTGCCTTCCCTTTCTCCCCTTTTGAAACTGGCATGACGAAGGGCAAATTGGGTTCTCGGTCACAGCAAATGGAGGTAAATGCCCCGCGATAATGAGACAGCCATTGATATGTCCACGTCTATTCTGTGGATACTCTACACTCCTTTGCCCATCTTTCTTTTCTTTCCAAGGCGTTTCAGTGCATAGTTGGTCCAACCCTAGCCCTTAAGTAGGTACCCCCAGGATTAGAGGTTTGCCACCTTAGCGGCAAAGTCAGCATTCTTGGCGGCGGCCAGGTCATAGATCGGGTGTCCCAGGCTGTCGTGGATGCTGAAAGTCGAAGTCTCGTCACCGGGGGTGTCGACGGGCGTGTTGGAGTAGGCATAGGCCATGGTGGTATCATACGCCGGATCGAGCTCGGTGTAGCCCATATCGTCGTCACCCCACCTCGAGCAGCCCGTGCATTTGGCCGTAACTTGGAAGTGGGTGGCATTGATGTGCGTTCCTGTCTTGAGGACGGTGTAGTGGGCGTCGGGGTTCTCGGGCGGGCTGAAGTAGCCACTGTTGGAGTAGTATCAGTAGCTGCACGGGCAGTTGCTAGGTCTCGCACCCTAGAAGAACATACTAGGCAATCCGCGATGATAGCACGACGTTGTTGGTTCCATTGGCCCAGGCAACGGCGAGCGGGTTGTATGTCATGTGGCCTCCCCAGGCCCACCCGGCCCACCCAACGTCAGTGGGTGCCACGATCTGCAGGACCGTGTCGTAGACCTTGGGCTCCGGTATGTAATCGGGGATGGCGATGCGGTAGATGATGCCCCGGTCGCTAGTGTACGACGAGAAGGTCAATCCGGTTTCCGGGTCCTCGTACACCGACGAGTCGGCGTCGAACTGCCTGCGAGCTAAAACAACGTCACCAATATCAGCCTCCCGAGTCCGAAACGCGGGTTAAAGAAAGCTCAGTATAGAAGCATCAGTCACTCACCGAGGCCGAGAATGGCAGCTACGCGCGCTACACTTTGGAGAAGCTGCATTTTAGACCCGGGATTCAACGGACAACTCTTAACAATGGCGACAAGCGACCGGGCCCGAGAACAGCCGATGGGATTTGAGAAGATTCATCTTATATACTCGCACGTGTGACGGCAGGAGCTGCAGCAATATAGAGTGCCGTGGCCTGCCAACCCTGCCATTGATCCCTTGCGCGCGAGACACATTATTCCGCAAACACGGAATGGAACATGGCGGCTATCTAATATCGGATGAGCCTTGGTTCGACAAGCGAGGACGGAGCGAGGCTCCTGGCTACCAGGGACGCCGGCACCAGCAAGGCCGGAAGAGATGCCTTGGGCAAGCCAGGTCGTGGAAGTTGCCCGGGAATGTAGCATTGTGACGTCTATAGCAGTGAAGCTCAATGCCGCTCTTAAGCACCATGCTACGCCGAACAGGGCGAAGAACGTGGTCATCTTCTTTTGCTTAATCCTGGTTGGCTCATTAGGATACAGATTACAATCATGCCGGAGGCTGTCGTAGAACAGTCCCTTTTCGGCTTTCTGATGGCATACTATTCATTCCAGAATGGATCACCAATACCTCAATGTAAGGCTCACGTGCACGGAAGGGCCTGGAGAAATTCGGTGTGATTATTGCGGGGGAATGTTGAAAGCTATGATTGGAATGGATAAAGCAGGTGTTTGGAAATATATTGTTTGGGTATATTAAACGGGAACGGAAGGGAAAGAGAGGGCTTCTGTGCTGGGAGATCGGCATAGTTTGGGGGAAACAGGATGATGGAGGAGTCGTGTTGTGCCTGTGCCTGTGGATTTTAAAGGCAGGTCTATCACCGTCTTTAGCCTAAACCTGCAGTGATAGCTTCTGCACAAACCACTCCGAAAGATGGCATGTTGACAATACGAACAGGCCGACTCAATCACAGTCATACAACGATAGGCAGCTTTTCGCATGGAAGAACTCGGCATATTTATGATAGTGATCTTGAAAGGGGCTATCCATGGGATCGAGTAAAACCTGCCCCACTATCTATCTCTGTAAGTTAGTCATGATATCGACGACAAAAGGACTTGCCGCTGACAAAGGTTAATGAGGGAGAGGGCGGCTCAGCGATCACCATTGCGTCGCAGAATATTGCGTCTTACTCTGCCAGACCGCCGCCGCCGCCACGTGGCTCGGATTCCTAGGTACTTGACATATACTAGGACGACATAGTTAGTGGCCCATGAGCTGAAGCGATGGGAGACGCTGACGGTCGATTTGAGTGTTGGGGAAAAAATACCTACTCGCTGGGCCTCCCAAAGCAGCCAAACCCAGCTCGCCGCCTTGACATGCCACGGAGCGCCCCGACTGATCGTGACAGGGTTGCAGTGGAGCCGTGGACGTTGAAACTGTTATGAGCACTGACCACTGGCAGTGACCACTGCCTGCAGCACTGTCTAACTACTACTAGTAATAGTTAGTGCTACCAGCAGTTAGTACTATTAGTAGTTAGTATGAGTACATACAATATGAAGTTTCAACCTTGAAATCACGTATTTTAAGCGATCAGTTTCTGGCGTTGAATTTGACGGTTCATAGCTTGTAGGTTGGCAATTCCCAGGCACAAACCCTAGTCATTAGCTAATGGCTACGGTAAAACATCACTGACATGGCTGCTGACGGTCGGCGGCCATGCATATGCCAACATCGATCAGACTTTGTTTGCGTCAAGACTTTACTTGCATTGTGCACTACTGGTACCTACGTAAGGTAAACAGAGGTTGTCTGGTCTTGGGCAATCCGATGCTTCCATGATACCCAAGTACGGATACCCCGCTTCTACTGCGCTTTGCCACCCCACCAAAAACATAAGAAACTCTCAGGAACAAGCATTCCACAAACACAGCGAACACTTGAGCGTGTAACTAGTAGTAGGTATCACCATGGCTGAACCAAGTGAGCCTGCCGCATCATCAGCGGCAGCCAAGGCCGAACCGATGTCTTCCCGACCGCCACTGCACACCGTCCTGCCGCCCTTGGTCCTCGGCACAGCAACATTCAACCAGCAGTATGTCCCGGACCCGCACTCGATGCCGTACCACGACATCGTCGCCCGCGCCCTCTCCCTCGGCGTCAACGGCTTCGACACGAGCCCGTACTACGGGCCCTCGGAAACCCTCCTGGGCAACGCCCTCGAGGGGCTCATGCACCCGGATGCCTCGGAATCCAACCCCAACCCGGTGGTGCCGCTCCAGCGCTCCAGCTTCTTCCTCGTCACCAAGGCAGGGCGCATCGCCTCCTCCGAGTTCGACTACTCCCCCTCCTGGGTGCGATACTCGATCCTCCGCAGCCTGCAGCGCCTCCACACGCGCTACCTTGACCTGGTCTACATGCACGACGTGGAGTTTGTCTCAGGAGCCGAGGTGTTGGCGGCCGTGCGCGAGCTGCGCAGGCTGCGCGACGAGGAGGGCGTCGTCCGGTACGTGGGCATCAGCGGGTTCCCTGTTGAGGTGCTGTGCGAGCTGGCGGAGATGATTTTCGCCGAGACGGGGGAGCCGCTGGATGCGGTGTTGAGTTACGGGCATTTCACCGTGCAGAACCGGAGACTGGGGCTGCCGTGGGTCGAGGAGGAGGAGGAAGGCGGGCGTGGGGCGAGCGGGAGGGAAGGATCGCCGCTGGCGAGGCTGAAAAGCGCCGGCGTGGATGTCGTGCTGAATGCTAGCATGCTCGGCATGGGCTTGCTCACGAGCAAGGGCATACCTGCCGACCCACAGAGCAATGTGGAGACGGGCGAGACGGCCTCTCCGGTGGCGCAGTGGCATCCCTCGCCGCCCGAGCTGCGTCGGGCTTGTAAAAAGCTCGCCGAAGCCGCGGCAGAAGCAGGGGAGCGTTTGGAGTCGGTTGCAATACGCTGGTCGCTGGCCGAGTGGGCTCGCATTGGGGCGGTTGCGGGTTTCGGCGTCGACGTTCTTGTGCCTGGCGGCGGGTCCTGCAAGGTCGGCACAACCGTATGCGGCGTCTCATCCGTTGCCGAACTTGAAGAGACGGTGGCGGAATGGCGTGGAGCTCTTGAGAGCCTCGGGCAACCGGGAAAGAACAGTGATGAGGCGTATGGCTTGGCACGCCAGGAGAAGGTGTTGCATCTTGTCCGAAAGGTCTTGTGGCCCGCGCTGGGCTCTTGGTTAGATTATGTCTGGGAAAGCCCAAAACCTGGCTACGTGAATGCCAGGCGAGAATCGGAGCGCGGAGTTGTTCCGGATGATGGAGTTGTTGCTGCGTATGAGCAGGCAAGGCAGAAGACAAGGTAGCCAACAGTGCGAAGACCGTGAAATCCATGCTTCTCTTGAATATCCGTGATAATGCTACTCGATTTCTAATACCTGTAGACCGAACCCTCAATCGCCAGGCTCCGGACTCCGTTCCGTCTCTTACTTTCGTTATTGATTGAACTTCCCATTCTTGCCATGTCACACCAGACCCATCCCGTGTAGGTACCACCAGATTGTTGAAGACAAAGTGCAGAAATGGGCTCGGAAAAGGAGGGAGGAGCTCAATGAAGGCAAACAAATAGAGTGCTGACATAGGTTGGTCGAGTCGGAACCGAGTGAAGGGAAGAAGAAAGGACAGGGGCCAAGGGGGTTTACACAGACCCAAGTTTGCGAAACCAATGCAATCCCACAATCAGTTCCACGCCATCCGTGTTCCCATACTGAAAGTGCCCGTCATCACGCGGCTCCCCTTAGACAACTTGAAGTACACTGACCCGCGCCGTCCCGTCGCTACCGCGTGGCCTGCTGTGCATGCTCCACGGTCGTCGCATGCGTGAGTGCCTTAGAATCATCGTCAATGCCGATAGAAGTAGTTGTGTCTGGCGTGATCGTAAGTTCTGGAAGTCGCGGCGCGCCCGAGGTGGCGGGTGCGGCATTTTGTTCGTCAACTCGCCTACCCTCCGTAGGATGATCGCCGGCGTTGATGTCGGTCGCGGTGTCGTGTAAGAGACCATTTGCTGATACCTCTTTTGCGGGCTCCGTCCTAAAAGCCTTGCCGGGTTGGGACGCGCCAATCCCTTCGGAACCGACGGTCTCGGGGGATTGAGAATTGGTGGCCTCATGGGTCTCAGCCTCGGGCTGAAGCTGGCTGATGCGTCTACCAGCGTTTTCACCTTCAAGGCTAACGCCTACCACCTCTGCAAGACTCCTGAAGTTGAACATCGGCTCCGTGGTGGCGCTTGGGTCCCGATCGCGGTCTTGATCCCCACCGTCTTCGCTAGCTCCAGACGGGCTTCCAAGACTGAGGCCGCTGCCGCGCGGGTCTTGGAGGTGGGAAGGTGAAGTGTAGCTGCCGGACCGGCTGTCAAGAATCGAAGACGAGACTGAGGAGGCACTGCTCATTTGCCGGAGATGAGACGGCCCGGCTGGGAGATGAGGAACCGGGCGCGGACCCGAAGTGGTGGCCGAGCTCCCCGGGATGGCTGAATCGGCAGCGATGGTAGGAGCACCCTCGGCATGCATAGGGACCGCGCGGCCGACCCCCTTCCCTTTGTCCTTAGAGTTCGCTTCTAGACCCTGCGAGTCGCCCGTGGCCATGGCGCTGGCAACGCTCGCTTCAATGCGGAGGTTGCTAGCAGCACTATTACCTCGCTTCCTTCCGAAGCCTAGGCTAGGTAGGCTCAAAGTACTCGCGCTCGCCGAGCTCTGGCCACTGCGACCGCTGGCATTTTCGTAGGGAGTCCCATGTTTCGCAGCCGCCTTGGCCGCCTTTCGAGCCTCCTTTTCTCGCTTCTTCGCCTCCTTCCGTTCCTCTTTCTCCGCCTTACGCTTACGCTCTTCCTCAGCGGCAAGCGAGAGGCGAACAGCCTCGGCAAACATCATCTCCTCGAGATCCTCAAGACGGTTGCGTCGGCTTCCACCACCACCAGATCCCGCTCGCAAGTTCTGATCAGGGCCACTCTGAGGAGTTCCGGAGCCACTGTCTCCGTTATCGCCGTCTCCATTTCTGGCTCCGCCAGGAGAAGGGTCTGCAGATCCGGATCCGCTGGTGTTTCGCCGCCCGAACCGGCTGCGCACCCCCCGACTCTCGTTACCCATAAGGAATGCCGCCGTATGCAAGGCAGTAGCAGCGGCAGCTCTCCTTGCCTGATGAGCCCGCGCTGCCTGCAGCTTTGTTGCCCACTCCGGCCGGATTTTGTCGGTCAAAATAACATTTGGGTTGCTAGCGGACAGAGACTGGTTTCGCCGGCGGCCAGTACCACCACCAGGAGATGCAACTCCCGGGGACAGGGTTGCTGAGTTCACTGAGCTGCTCGAGGACATCGCAGCATTCGCAGTCCCTAGTGCCGTGGGGGATATGGTGTACACCAGACCCCGACGGAAGGGTGGCGGTTCGTAGGTGACGCCGAATTCGGGCTGCGTGCAGTATGGGCAGCAGGCAGGCTCCGAGATCAAAAGGCCCGCAGCCTCCTCCGGGTTATGGTTGGGGTCGTTCTCGTTGTGGCCCTCCGGGAAATGCGGGTCTGGCCGCTTGATCTGGACGAAGCACTCGCTGCAGATAGGTTGGTCGCAACACCGTGTGTGGTTCAGATACGGCGGGTAAGTCAAGAAGCAGATGGGGCACTCGATGGGTTCCTTGTACAAAAATACCTCGAGGGGTTGCCCGTTCACGAAGGGATCATGCGGCAGATGAACCTCGTGCGGGACGATCTCGGTTGTGGAACTGTTTCGCGAGTTCCCACCCAAAACGGCAGCGATAGCCTTCCCGCGTGGCTTAAAGGAGGAGCTCAGTACTTTCGGATGTTGCGCGGAGACGGGCGATGGGAGGGCAGAGGAGGGGTTGGATGCCGCCTGATCAGAAGCGGTTGACTGGGAGCGTTCACCGATCGGTACTGTGAGACTGTCTAGATTCCGAGACGGTTCCCCGCGTGAACTCGCCGGAAGGGGCCGCGGGATGAGCTCTTCGGGGGGCGTCTGGTCGGCAGGGGGTATAGGTAGGCCCCGGGCGGCGGCAATGATTTGGGGCTCGGTCCACTGGTCGCTGAAGTCGTTGAGACCTCGCCAAAATGGAGCCAGCTTCCGCTCAATCTGGGGACATAGTGAGCACTGCCCAGCATCGGTAGAGAAAGAGGGGCACACTCACTTGGAGCTGTCGAACAATCTGTTTGTTGAAGTCTTCGGGCCCAGTGTAGGTTCCCATGGTGACAAGGAAGCCGCCATCGACATGTTCTTCCTTCATGCTTCGTTCTCTCTCGGCGATCCTCGCAATCCGTTCCCTCTCCAGCCTCCGTGCCTCTCTCTCTTGCTTAGTCTCGCGGCGCTCGTACGGCGGTTCTGGCTGCGAGCCTGAGCTTCCCCCAGATCCCAATCCCAGAATGCCTCCTAGATCCCCCCGACTGACTCGGCTTCTCCGGCCGGACGTTCTATCATGTTGTAAAATTCCACTGCCGGCCTCACGCGCGACCGCGGAGCCGGAATGGGGGTGGTGGTGGCTGGCATCACCGCCACGCGATTCCTTTGTGCTTGCATTCCCCATGGCTGCGATACCCCTCCCTGTATCACTTCATTCGCAGTCGTCGGTCGGTAGGCGGCTAGAATGGGGTGTCGCCGGTGGGGTAATGGATTTCAGATTTTGAGCCACGAATCGGAGGGGTGGTAAATCTGGAGGGTATTAGGTGACGTATGTTGACAACCGAGCGGGTGGGGGGAAAGGCAGATCAGGTCGGGACCAGCGCAGGGTTCACAGGTAAACGAAGGGCGGGCAGCAAGCCTGCGCACAGATATGCTTGGCAATATAGGGTTCTGCGATCTACCATCGGTATCCGTATCGCAGGCGTACCAGTGTAAGAAGGCTTTCTTCTAAACTCGAAGGAGGCTGGTCGATGTGGTCAATGCCGAGGAGCACATGCCCAGAGCCGCGGGTTCGGTTGCTGTGTCGCGGCAAGCCGGATACGGCGGGTGGTTGGCAGAAGGTGGAATTTAGGGGTTCAAGCAAAGCCAGACATCATCGCGCCTTGCAGCAACTGACACCTGCAGCTTGCGAGACAGGCCTGAGAGAAATGCGGTAATCGAAGAGCGAGCGACTCCAAGAGCACAGTCGATAAGCCGTTGTGTAGCTGTGCTCAGGATATTGGGAGGGCGATTGCCAAGAAACCATCTCCAAGTTGGCGGGCCACCGTGACAGCTCTCCATTATTGCTAATGCGGGGCAAAGCACCTGACGGAGGCTCCGATAGAGAGATACACTACAGTAAGTAACGTCACCTACATAGATCCGGGCCGTGCATGGATCCGGGCCAGGCAATTTCGGCTAATTTAGGGGCACCATAACACCATGCCCACCATCACCAACATGATCACAGCTGGGTCAAAATTGAAGCTATTCACAAGCAGACGACAGTGCCATGGCCAGAAAACAATGGGGGTCTAGAAAACACATGCAAACCCACCTACTTGAACACATCTGGGCCCATTTTGTAGTCCTTCCAAACACTCTTCGCAAAGCCCACTACCCCTCTTAATGCTATACGACGTTCCTTTTCCCTGGTTTCCACGGCTTCCTTAGCCTCCCTTTCACTGATGCGAGCCCGGATGTCTTCCACAGTCAGTACCCGGGCCTCACCAAAGTGCTTCCTCGAGGACTTTTTCCGGCTCTCGAACCTCTTTTTCACTACTTCCTGGGTCAGGGCCCTGAGTGTGGTATTGTCAGCTTGCATAGTTAGGAAGTAGTCTTTCATCCAGGACAGCCTGGCTCTCTTGGGGGTATCACAAATCTGGAACAGTTCCTCCACAACCTGGTTGATCTTTGTAGCCATGTCGCCAGTCACCGGGAGCTCGGCTCGACGGCCCTGTTGATCAGTAATACTGACCATCGCTGGGGTCTTCGGCTGGTCAGAGGTCCTGGGTCTGGGTGCCATTGCGGGTGCCGTTATGGGTGCCGTTGCGGGTGCTGTTATGGGTGCCGTTGTGGGTGCTGTTGTGGGTGCCGTTGTGGGTGCTGTTATAGGTGCCGTTGCGGGTGCTGTTGTGGGTGCCGTTGCGGGTGCCGTTGCGGGTGCCGATGTAGGTGCCGGTACCAGTGCCAGTGCCGTTATAGGTGCCTCGGCTGGCCTATGCCGGGCTAGGACCTTCTCTGGGTTGTAAGGTAGTAACCCAGCTCCTCTCCATGCCCCCGGAATGTTCCGGAAAATGCAAGCCCGGGCCTTCTCATAATACCGGAGGAACTGGTGGTTATCTACCTTGACAGCTCCGAACAATGCCCCCTCAGTAACTAACTTGCGGTAAGCCTTAGCCAACGGCCCGAAGACCCCGACATCAAGAGGTTGCAATTCATGTGTCGAGTGTGGTGGTAAGCAAAGTGGTATGATGTTGTTGTCCTCGCAGTATTCCACGAACTGGGGTGAAACATGGCTTGCATGGCCGTCAAGAATGAGGAGCCGGTATTTACCATGTGTTCGGGGTGCCGTATACTTGTCGAAGTGTCGGATCCATTCTAGAGCAATGTTGCAATCGGTCCAGCCGTTCTCACTAACCCGGATAACAAACTGGGGGTCGAGGTCCTTGGGAATCCACGCTTGTTGAATGCGTTTGCCCTGGAAGATGACGAAGGGTGGAAGGACGTAATTGTTGGCCGAGATGCATTCGATAATAGAGACCCATTCGCGGTTACCGGGTTGAACGACGGTCGGCTCTAATGAATCCCTCGGAACAATGACTTTGTGGTTGTCCCCAATGCCTTTTATGCACCCCTTTTCATCCATGTTGTAGGTGTCGTCGTCAGCGATGTTATAAGCCAACTTGATAGTTTGATATAGCTCGAACCAATGTTGTAATGTGTTGTGATCGACAGCGTCCTTCCTAGCTTGGTCCAATGCCCGGGACCTTCGAGCTTTCAATTCCGGGTGCCGGTTCAGGAAGTTGTAGATCCACCGTTCACCCAAAGGCTGGATGTCTCCCTTAGCCAGCAACAACTGGGCTGCAAGATGTTCTAGTGCCGAGATTGACATTGGCCAGCCCCAGGCATCCAACTGGTAAATGGAATTAACAATGGATTGTTCCTCCTGTGGTGTCAACCGCTGCAAGTGCTGGGCTGCGGCCCGGTGGTTCTGCCGTCGACCGGCATACCGTTCCTGGAGGGTGGTTCGTGGTATGTCAAAGATGTGGGCCGCGTTTCGAACGCTGGGGACCTCCCCGGCTCGCAGGGCTTCAATAGCAGACTGGATGCGTTCTTCCTGGCTGTTGGTACGCTTGCGTGGTGGCTTCTTGAGTGTGGGCTTGGGAGGTTTGGGTTTGGATTGAATGGGGGCCATGGTTGATGCGGTTGGCTGACTGCGTTGACTGCGTTCATGATACGGTTAGTTGACTGCATATGATGTGGTCGGTTGAGTACGTACCATGCAGTCGGTTGACTGCGTCGATTGCAGTGGTGATGTGGTATGTTGACTGCGTTGGTGATGCCGTAGGTTGACTGGTATGTGGAAAAGGTTAGCTATTGTCAGAGGAGTTCAAAAAACAGGTCAAACCATGGATTCGTTGGAAAATGCGGTCAAACAGCGTGTTTGATGAAGTTGTTCGTGATGTTCATTGTGGCTGACAGTCGAAATGAATTCAGGCCAGGACCCTGGCCCGGATCCATACACAGCCCGGATCCATGCAGGTGACGTTACACTGTGTATAAGTTTATCTGCATTATGTCATCGGGCTGCATCTGGGACTTTGGTGGGCCGTGCTCACCTATTTGCCGAACCTACCTTAGTTAGTGTACGTACCTTTGCGCAGACTTTTGCTCCAGGTTCACAAAACAAACTTTGCTGCTTGTGCATGCAGTGATAGGGAGATAGCTGCCTTGCCTGGCTCATGTACGGATGGCATACTGGCTCCGTGTTGATGGAGCAAATCCATGGAAGCCCAGAGTAAACATGGCATCCATTAGCCTTGTACCTAGGCATGTGGTAAGCTTGAAATCTCTGGTCCGACTGTAATGATTAAGGGGTAGAAAACTTGAGCCTTATCATGATCAAAGGCCAGTGGTCTGGATAGTCAAAAGAGCGATTGGTTCGATGCAGCCCGGGTAACTGAGGGTGTTCATCATACACTAGTTCAGCCTAATAATAATAAGTGAGTGATGAAAAGGATCACGATGCTGTTCTGGGGATACTTTTTGGCTGTGCCCGACTTTTATTTTATCGACCCACATCATAGGGTAAGTACCTCATTACACCAGCAGGGGCGCTTTTGAAGAGGAGTTCCTCGGTCGCATTGTCCGAGGATATGCCGATGAACTGGCAATGGCAGAAGGCATACTGTGTATGCTGAATCATATACAGTTGCTCCAGTCTCAGAAGTTCCGTGAACAATGATGGTCGTGGTATTCAGTTGCTGATCTATCAGGACTCAGGAGGAAGGCGAGCGGCGAGCGGGCGTAAAGTAGTACCTAAGGTGTTGTACCTATCTATCCACATTGCCCGGGCAAAGCATCTGCAGCTCTCGCCCTTCTTCCGCACATTTATTCTTGTCTCTTGTCCTTCCCGTGATCACTCCTGATATTTTCTTGCTTTCCTTCTCCCCCTTCATTTGTACAGTAGAGTACCACTGCCGGCGTATTAAGGGCAACTTTATAGTTCATGCTTCGAGAGCCATAGCGTTCTACGAGTGAATGCACATCAGTTCCTGGCTCTACATAGATCACCGGCCGCATGAGAGTTGGCGGCATTCAGGCAGTTAGTCGAGTACCTAGGTATCGAGAATTGATGGATTGTTCGCGCCGACGCCTCATCTGATGGGCTGGCAAGATGCAAGCATGATGATTGCGTATACCTCCTTTCCAATCCGGACTTGTCTGAGCATCGGATCACTAGTCAGAGCGCCAACCAAGTTCTACGTCGTTATCGATCATTGTTTGAATGTGTGCTCTGCTGTCAGGTAGAACTAGTTGGAGGCAGCTGAGATCCAACAATATCGGCGAGCGGCTTGCCGAAGAATATGGGAGCTTGGAAGCGGAGGGAGTACAAAGCAGAATGAACTGCACAATGCCCAGGCCGTATTCCTCTAGCAACACCAACTACGAGTCGTTCGAGCGTTTGACGCTTGATTTCTTCAAATCCAGGCCTCGTAGGAGGTCGGGGATACCGAGTATGCCCAGCTGCGCAGTAATACGGCTGAGTTTTGTCTCAGTACCTAGTTAGATTTGGATGCATCATTAACGGACATATCCGGACTCCGGAGCGGCCTGAGAGACGTCAACCGAGACACGTTGACACTCTGTCTTCCGAGAAAGCCGGGCGCGGTTCTGCTTGTTAAAACCCTACATCTATGTGTCTTCGCGATTTGGGAAGTGCCAAGTGGCTAAAACCAAGCCTCTGCAGCAGTTCCGTATTCGTATCCGGGCGGTGGGAGCACGCCAAAGCTCCGCGACGAGAACCGATAACCTGTGAAAACCCGCAAGTGTGTGCTGGATTATCAAGGAGAACATACCCCGTCTTATCATTCTAGGGCGTACTTACTGTAAAGAACGTCGCCGGCGAAAAGAGGTGGGTTTTCTCGGGAGCAAGGCCGAAGACAACGGAGCCGGGCTGCGCCGTTGCGGGCTGTCGGGGAGTCGCAAAGTCCGAAAAGTGCGAAGCTGGACCCACTTGGTCCCGGGATTGCGGGCTGGCTTCGGATGGCGTTAGGCCCAAACTGCCCGATGAGACGAAGTTATTGGTCGAGTTTGACTCCGCCAAGAGCTGGCGAGATGAGGGATCCTGATCGGACCAGGGATTTTTGACTGTTCTGGGCAATGGTGGGGTCCCCATAGGGCTTCCGTTGGCCTTCAGCATTCAGCAAATTCCAGAATCAAGGTCCAGCAGTAGCGCGGGGGAGTATAGCGCAGGCAACGGTCATCGATTTCGAGGATAGACGAACTCTGTCTTCGGGTTCCCTAGAATCCAGTCAGAGTCCTCGCAGTTTCACGCCGCATCGACACCAGTACATAGGTACTTATTTCGGCCCGATCTTTGCAAAGGAGAAGACTGGACCTATGTAGGTATATACCGAAGCGATAGGGACGGGCATGGAAGGAAGAGGAACCCCCGCACGACCGCGGTGCTGGGCCTGGGTAGCCGAACGATCCCCACCATGCACAGGCTGATGGTGGATAGGAGAGCGTGTCGGATGCTATCGTATCCGTGCCTCCGTCGTGTACGTTGTACACTAGTGTACTGTGGTACCTCACAGTATACATTGACTCAACTGAGCGCTTCAAGTATCCTCTTCCGGCACGCCTTTCTATACTCAGATCCCAATAGGTATCCTTCCATAGTTACAACTGAGATAGCATGGCTAGCATGGTTCGCAGGAATTATCTTCCTCTTCCAAGAGATACGTACTGGCGAGCCAGAGTTCCTATGTTAGTAAGCCGTTATCTGATGGAAAGATCGTTTGCTCTGCAACCAGCAGCCACGGCTCCCCACGTGTCCATACAATCATTGCACATACCTTACGTACGTGCGTAATGGAAGGTCTGTACACGCAGTACACAGTAGTTAACGTTTGCATGTAGGCACGGATCCGTACATACCTTCCAGGTTGAGGGTGTGGTTAGGTAGGTCAGGTAGGTAGGTATTTCTTTTTTCACCAACGGCGCGTTCCCGTTCGGGGACTTTTCCCCTGGCGTGCGGTCCGACAGGCAGTGCGCAATCCCGTCACCTCAGCTGGGCACTCCACTCGGGCCCTGCGAACTCCCCGTCTCTCCATGGCACCCTGCTGCCCTTTATAATAACCCCCGCGACCCTGTCGCCCCAGGAGGATAAGTCGCCTTTTTTGGGTCAATTTTTCTTCCTCGGCTCGTGATCGCGCGTGTCCCCTTTTGTGTCGTCGCCGTCGCCGTTCTCCCTTCTCAGCCGCTCTTTCTGTCAACCCCTTCTCTACCAGTGAACACAAGGACGCCAAACCCTCGCCTGTTGCCACATATAGTCCCGCTGTTTTGGTCGCACCGCGGCCCCGCAAGCGGCACTCTCCGTTTTCCTCCCCACTCGGCAACACGTGGTGGCCGCACCGATCGGACGGGAATTGAACGGACGGGCCATGTCCTTCACCGGGACCGGTTCCTTCGGGAACTATGATCTTACGGCACAGATGACCGGCTCGCCCCTTGCGCGGCAGACCACACGCGACCAAGAACATGAGGATGTGGCATCTTCGCCGGCGCGGACGATAGAGCATGTGAGCCACACGCGTGCGACGTCGGTGACGGAGGTTGCCGAGGGAGATGCAACCCGGTCCGACAAGGACGGAGCCACACCCGGCAATGCAACGGACACGGCAGCCGAAGAAGACGACGATGATAGCGACGCTATCGAGCAGGAGCGTCGCGGGAGCCTTGTGCAGGCCCTGGCCCGCAAGTACACGACCCAGTCCAACGCGGGCGTCGAAGCCGGCGCGAACGTGTTTTCCATTGCGTCCACCGACGAGAATTCGCCGCTGAATCCCAATGGCCCGCATTTCAACGCCCGCGCGTGGGCCAAGGCCGTGGTCGACATGGCCACCGGAGCAGGCCGCCAGCTGCGCACGGCCGGTGTCGCTTTCCAGAACCTGAACGTGCATGGCTTCGGATCGCCCACTGACTACCAGAAAGACGTGGTCAACGTGTGGCTTGAGGCGGTTGGCCTTGTGCGCCGGATCACCGGGCACGGAAAGCGCCGGATCGATATCCTGCGCGACTTCGATGGTCTTGTGCAGAAGGGAGAGATGTTGGTCGTCTTGGGCCCTCCCGGCTCCGGCTGCAGCACCTTCTTGAAGACCATCGCTGGCGACTACAACGGCATCTACGTGGACGAGGGGTCGTATTTCAACTACCAGGGTAAGACTGCCTACCGTCCCCTTTATACAACTACTACTAGCTAGTACTACTACTAGTACCGAATACTAACCTCCGATGCAGGCATGACTGCCAAGGAGATGCACACCCACCACCGCGGCGAGGCCATCTACACGGCCGAGGTGGACACCCACTTTCCGCAGCTGACGGTGGGCGACACTCTGACCTTCGCCGCCCACGCGCGTGCTCCGCGCGAGTTGCCCGCCGGGGTCACCAAGACCACGTTCGCCAACCACCTGCGGGATGTCGTGATGGCCATGTTCGGCATCGGCCACACCATCAACACCCGCGTCGGCAACGAGTACATCCGCGGCGTCTCGGGCGGCGAGCGGAAGCGTGTCACCATTGCCGAGGCTGCCCTGTCCAATGCGCCGCTGCAGTGCTGGGACAACAGCACTCGCGGCCTGGACAGTGCCAACGCCATCGAGTTCTGCAAGACCCTGCGCCTGCAGACGGAACTGTTCGGCAACACGGCCTGCGTGTCCATCTACCAGGCGCCGCAGAGCGCCTACGACCTCTTCGACAAGGCGCTCGTGCTGTACGAGGGACGCCAGATCTTCTTCGGTAAGGCGAGCGATGCCAAGCAGTACTTCATTAACCTGGGCTTCGAGTGCCCCTCGCGCCAGACCACGCCGGACTTCCTGACCTCGATGACGAGCCCGGTGGAGCGCATCATCCGCCCCGGCTTCGAGGGCAAGGCCCCGCGCACGCCGGACGAGTTTGCCGCGGCGTGGAAGAACAGCGCCGAGTACCAGGCGCTGCAGGCCGAGATCGAGGAGTACAAGCAGAGCCACCCGCTCAACGGACCCGATGCCGAGGCCTTCCGTGCTTCCAAGAGGGCGCAGCAGGCCAAGGCCCAGCGGCTCAAGTCGCCCTTCACGCTCTCGTACGCGCAGCAGGTGCAGCTCTGCCTCTGGCGAGGATGGAGGCGCCTGATCGGAGACCCGAGCCTGAGCTTGGGCGCCCTGATCGGCAACTTCATCATGGCCCTGATCATCTCCAGTGTCTTCTACAACCTCCAGCCCACCACGTCCAGCTTCTATCAGCGGGGCGCCCTCTTGTTCTTTGCCTGCCTGATGAACGCCTTCGCCAGTGCGCTCGAGATCTTGACGCTCTACGCCCAACGCCCCATCGTCGAAAAGCACGACCGCTACGCGCTGTACCATCCGTCTGCCGAAGCCGTCGCCTCGATGCTCTGCGACATGCCGTACAAGGTTGCCAACACAATCGTCTTCAACATCACGCTGTACTTCATGTCCAACCTGCGCCGCGAGCCGGGCGCCTTCTTCTTCTTCCTGCTCATCTCCTTCGTCACCGTGCTCACCATGTCGATGATGTTCCGCACCATTGCGAGCTCCTCGAGAACCCTGTCGCAAGCCATGGTGCCGGCCGCCATCATCATCCTTGCGCTCGTCGTCTTCACCGGCTTCGTCATCCCCATCGACTACATGCTGGGCTGGTGCCGCTGGATCAACTACATTGACCCCCTGGCCTATGCGTTCGAGTCACTGATGGTCAATGAGTTCCACGGCCGCAACTTCTCCTGCACGCAGTTCGTCCCGAGCCCCACCCTTTCCAGCTACGCGAACGTGGCGCCCGAGAACCGCGTCTGCTCCGCCATCGGTTCGGTTGCTGGCTCGGCCTTCGTCGACGGCGAGACCTACATCAACACGGCGTTCCGCTACTACCACGCGCACAAGTGGCGCAACCTCGGCATCATCTTCGCCTTCATGTTAGGTTTCCTGGCCTTCTACATGATCGCCGCCGAGAATGTGGCCGCCAAGAAGAGCAAGGGCGAGGTGCTCGTCTTCCGCCGCGGACACAAGCCGGCCTCCTTCAAGGAGAACAAGGGCGATTCCGAGTCCGGCGGCACTCCTGTGGCGGGCCCCATTACCAAGGCGGCCGACGGCAATGTTTCCGACGGCGGCCGCTCGTCCGACAAGGAGGGCGGCATGCTGCAGGCGCAGACCAGCGTCTTCCACTGGAATAATGTCTGTTACGAGGTCAAGGTCAAGGGCGAGACGCGGAAGATCTTGGACCATGTCGACGGCTGGGTCAAGCCGGGCACCCTGACCGCGCTGATGGGTGTTTCCGGCGCGGGCAAGACCACCCTCCTCGACTGCTTGGCCGACCGGACCTCCATGGGCGTCATCACGGGAGAGATGCTTGTCGACGGCCGGCCGAGGGATGCTTCGTTCCAGCGCAAGACGGGATACGTGCAGCAGCAGGATCTCCATCTGCAGACGACCACGGTTCGCGAAGCCCTCAACTTCAGCGCCCTCCTCCGCCAGCCCGCTCACGTCCCCCGCGCGGAGAAGCTTGCCTACGTCGACGAAGTCATTAAGCTGCTGGAGATGGAGGAGTACGCGGATGCCGTCATCGGTGTGCCGGGCGAAGGTCTCAACGTTGAGCAGAGAAAGCGGCTGACAATCGGTGTCGAGCTGGCTGCCAAGCCACCCCTGCTCCTGTTCGTCGACGAGCCGACCTCCGGCCTGGATAGCCAAACCTCTTGGGCCATCCTGGACCTGCTCGAGAAGCTGACCAAGAGCGGCCAGGCCATTCTCTGCACCATCCACCAGCCCTCGGCCATGCTGTTCCAGCGCTTCGACCGGCTCCTGTTCCTGGCCAAGGGCGGCAAGACGGTCTACTTTGGCGACATCGGCAAGAACTCCAAGACCATGACGTCGTATTTCGAGCGCAACGGCGGCTTCCCCTGCCCCGCCGACGCGAACCCGGCCGAGTGGATGCTCGAGGTCATCGGCGCTGCCCCGGGCAGCGACAGCAGCATCGACTGGCACAAGACGTGGCGTGAGAGTCCCGAGTACGCGGCCGTGCAGGAGGAGCTGCAGCGACTCAAGACGGACGTCAAGGAGTCCAACCCGATCAGCGACGATCCCGGAAGCTATCGCGAATTCGCCGCCTCGTACTGGGAGCAGCTTCAGCACGTCACCCACCGTGTTTTCCAGCAGTACTGGCGCACGCCCTCGTACATCTACTCCAAGGCGTCTCTGTGTGCGCTGGTGGCGCTCTTCATCGGCTTTGTCTTCTTCCGCGCTCCCAACACGATCCAGGGTCTCCAGAACCAGATGGTAAGCCCAGAAGCTCAATCTTGACAACGGGAATCATGCTAACAGCTCGGCAGTTTTCGATTTTCAACCTAGCACGTACCCCCGTTTCTTTGCATTATCCCCTTCCCTTTCCCTTTCCAAAGGATGCCATTGCTAACTTTTCAACCCACTCCTGTAGCTCACAGTTTTTGGCGTAGGTGAACCTTTACCCCTTGTTGGATCTGACCACTCGCTAACACATAACTGTAGCAACTGGTTCAGCAAACCATGCCTCACTTCGTCATTCAGCGCTCGTTGTACGAAGTCCGGGAGCGGCCGTCCAAGGTCTACAGCTGGAAGGTGTTCATGCTTTCCCAGATCATCGTCGAGCTCCCCTGGAACACGCTCATGGCCGCCATCATGTACTTCAGCTGGTACTACCCTGTTGGCCTCCAGGACAACGCTGCGGTGGCGGGTCAGACGGCCGAGCGTGGCGCCCTGATGTTCCTCCTCATGGTCACCTTCCTTCTGTTCACTTCCACCTTTACCGACTTCATCATCGCCGGCTTCGAGACGGCCGAGGGCGGCGGTAACATCGCCAACCTGCTCTTCTCGCTCTGCCTGATCTTCTGCGGTGTCCTCGCCACCCCGGACACCATGCCTCGCTTCTGGATCTTCATGTACCGCCTCAGCCCCTTTACCTACCTAGTCAGCGCCATGCTGTCCGTCGGCGTGGCCAATACCAACGTCGTCTGCGCCGCCAACGAATTGCTGCATTTCAAGCCGCCCAACGGAACCACATGCGGCGACTATATGGCCGACTACAAGGCCGCCTTCGGCGGCTACCTGACGGATAACTCCAGCACCGACCAATGCTCGTTCTGTACCATCAGCGACACCAACACCTTCCTCGCCACTGTCCAGTCCAGCTATGACGACAGATGGCGCAACTTTGGGTATGTTTCCTTGCGTCTTCCCTTCTATTCACTTACTAACACCATGCCCCAGCATCCTGTGGGCCTACATCATTTTCAACATCGGCGCTGCCTTGGTTGTCTACTGGCTTGTCAGAGTGCCCAAGAACAAACTTGGAAAGAAGAAGCAGGATTAAGCAATTCACCTTATGCTTGCTTCAGCAAAGAGTCGTCCGGCGGGCACAGTCTGTTTTCAGCTAGTTCGCTTCTATCTCTCTCTCACACCGTGTACAGATATTTGTACCTTCCATACTTACTTCTCTTGTTGATAATGTCTAGATTAGATTGAGGCGGTGGCGTTGTTTGCATCTGTATGTGGCGGATAGACTCAAATAGATTCGCACCCTTCGTGTAGGGCTTACAACAGTTCACCCCTGGATCATTTGTCAATCACCAAGACAAAAACTATGTAATAATGCATCCATATCTAAAGGACCGCACAGATCCGCGAAGATGGCAAGATATCCCCGTCTGCCAGGCAGGTACAGTACAAAGGGGGGTTACCTGGAACCTTTTATAGGGTGCTCACTGGGTTGCTACGATCTTTTGCGGACAAGGGACCTTATCTAAAGCGGAAGGGTAAAATAAATCCACGTGGATGATAATAATAAAAAACAAAAGGAGCAGAGAATATGGAAGACAAAATAAAGAGAGAAAGAGAGACAAACAGAGTGAGAAATAAAGAAAAGGGGAAGGAACAGAAAGGATGAAAAGGAAGAAGAGAAGGAAAGACGACTTGCAAGAGGCACGGTCAGAGGATGAAGTGCCTGACAGCTGTCCGCCAGCCGGCCACTTTGATCTCCAAGGCGGTGAAACTTCTCATGTCCTTTTTAGGCGAGTCCTGGATTTTGCATCTGGCAGGTCCCGGCCTTGCTCGCTGATCTCGGAGACCTGATGCGCAATGACAGACCGCATTGAAACAACATCCCCTTCCAGCACCACTGCATACGTGCGATTGCACGTCACACCACTTGACAACGAATTGCTCAAAGTCATCCTATCGTCGAACCTTCTCCCCAAAGCGCGCAACATATCCTACCATACGATTGAGACCTTCCCGGAAAAGCGCTACGGCTTCCTGGAACTACCGAATGAGGATGCAGACAAGCTCAGGAAGAAGCTAAACGGAGCGGTGCTGAAAGGCGTAAAGATCCGCATCGAGCGCGCGCGACCGTCAGGCATTCCTGCTCCGCTAGCCGAAGCTGCAATGGCCAAGGAAAAGATCCGCAAACAGTCCGGCGAAGGCGTCGCTCAGTTAGAGGATAAGAAAAAGAAGAGGAAACGCGGCGCTGAGGAAATCAGCGGCGTTGTCCTGGAAGATGGCAGGAAGGTCAAGCGGGGATGGACCAGCGCCGACGACCCAAAGGAGAAGAGATCAAAAAAGGGCAAGGAGAAGAGGGACAAGGAGAAGAGAAAACAGGCGAAATCCAAGTATACCGATCATGCCGAATGCCTAGTCAAGGCAGTGTTGCCCCCAAACGCTGTCGCTCTGAACGACACCGACCACACCACTCCCACGAGGAAGAAAAAGGGCAAGTCGCGGGAGATCGTGGTCCATGAATTTGAGAAAACCACCAAATTTCCCACCTTCCTCAAGGCGGGACCAGCTGCCGGCCGCTCAAGGACTCCCCTAGAATTCGTCGACGGGAAGGGTTGGGTCGATGAGCAGGGGAATGTGGTGGAAATCGTGAAGACCAGGCCGCCTCAAAGTGCTAAGGTCCTGCTTTCGAACACATCAGCAACACAGCCACCGGAAAACGACCCGGATGATGGGCATACCACAAGCTCCAGTGATGATAAGCCTCTTAGGGAAGACGAGCAGGAAAACACCGAGCTTGCGAGCGAGGGGGGCTCGGAACCCGAATCCTCAGAACCAGAAGCCTCACCAGAACCCTCTTCGCCTTCATCTCCAGTCAAATCCGAACCTTTGCGGCCCAGATCATCCGGTTCAGTCAGGAGTTTATCCGTGAAGATACCTCCCGCGACCCCCAACGAACCGAAGGTTCATCCCTTGGAAGCCCTGTACAAGCGACCAAAGCAGCCCCAAAGCGAAACCCCCGAGGCGTCCTCCGGTACACAGGGTTTCAGCTTTTTCGCCGATGGCAGCGAAAGCGCAGGCAAGGAGGGTGATTCAGAAGTCGGCGATACTTTCGGGCATCAAGTACCCCTGACCCCGTTCACCCGCCAAGATCTGGAGCTGCGCGGCATTAGGAGTGCTGCGCCTACCCCTGACACGGCGCACCCCAACCACAGGTTCACGCCGTGGGAGCCTGAAGACGATACCAGGGACCAAATCGACGATGAGCTTGCAGATGAGAATTCTGAGGAGGATGAGCGGGTTGCTTCTAATAGCGCAGTGGCCCAGGGTGAAGATAAGGATGCAAGAAACACGAGCGACTTCCAAAAATGGTTCTGGGAAAATCGGGGAGAGCTGAATCGATCCTGGAAGAGAAGACGGAAGCTCGCAGGCAAGGAGAAGAGATACAGGGAGAACAAGGCTCGTATGGCCCGGGCAATCTAACTATTCTGACTCAAATGCGAATTACGACGCTACCTGGAGATACCTGACGCAGGCCGATGTCAACCCCGACAGGATATTCTATCAGACGGACCTCGCTTGAGGCTGATCCGCTGGGCGCCCACTAAACTAAACTAAACTAATAGAACATGATGGAGAACTGGGGCCGGCTTAAGACACCACGTCTCACCTCCCTCTTCCTCCCTATTTGACATTATCACACATCAAGATCTCTTTCCATCTACTTACTTTGGCCATTTCCGTCTCTCCCTTCTTGTCTGTCGACATCTCCTTTTTGGTCTTTTTGGGAGGATTTATCCGCCGCTCTTCCCCCAGTATTACTTACAACATATGTCGCGGAGCAAGTGCTCGTATGCGTTGCATCCATCGGCCGTGGACCGCGTTGTGAAACATGCTGAGTCACTCAGCATTACCTGGCCCATTGTTCAAGGCAGCCCGCCTCTCCTCTCAAACCTATCCTCAAAACACAGTAGGCTGTTGCTTTTGTGTTTGTTCAGATATCATCCGCATTGCCGTTCAGAGTGCGGCGCAGATGCCCATTAAACGCACAGGAAGGATACTAGTAGATGACAGTCTTGCTCGGCAAGGCAAAGGGCCGGAGAGTGCTGCCCCGCGGTCGAGCGGAAGGTGTGTCGTTATTGGAGTTATGGGAAAAGGGGGACGATCCACCACGCATCTGCTCAGATAGGGGGCTGTATCCCTGCGTAACGGCTTCGCACAATTCTGTGAGAATGCTCGTCTTGGTGTCGGAACTTGGGATGACGCCCTTATTACTGCAGTCTCCCCAGGATTTGGATTCAGGGACCGAACCTTCCGACTGAAGTAGCTGGCGACGGGATGAGGAGCCCCGCAACACTGTCGCCTCCTTCAGTGCGTCCTGGTCGTTGTGCGGCTGGCTGGATGGGCACATGTTGTTCTCATTGTTAATGTTGCTGGCCGCACTGTCCCTGGTTCCGGTTGGGTCGGCTTCGGAACCGTTGTTCTGCTGGTCAGCGGTCTGTCGACCCTCCTCGAGAACACCAATGCGGCTCTCAAGGAACTCAACGTATCGGCGGAGTTGCTCGTGGTCCCGGACGAACTTTTGCCACGCCTCTGTGGCGCCGCTGTCTTGGTTGCGCTGCTCGCTCTGGGGCCGCGGAGGGAGAGGTCTGGACCGAAGATGCATTTCGATCCAATTCTCCCCGGAGACCAGGTCCTTTCTCGTTTTCTGATGTTGAAGGAAGCCGATTCCCAACAGCCCAGCAAATGTCAGAACCAACACGCCGCTCACAGCTGCCCAGGCCACTAGGCCGATGCCAGCGTATCCCTGCTCGATGTGGGTGACGATGACAGCAGTAACGCTGGAGACGAGGTTCAGGATGCACAGCTCCAACAGAATGGCCGAGGCGAGCATCATCTTGCGCAGACGGCCCAGGACACCCCACAGCTCCTTCGTGCCTCGCGGTATACTCCATCCAGCGTTCGCCGCCATGCTGGGACTCGGGGGCAGGCGGCTGTGGCGGATCCTCGGGCCACGGCGGAGAGACTCAATATCGGGGATCTCGCCGTGAACTGTCATCGGTCTCCGCGAGTGAGCGCTGTTGTTTCTCGCCGATTTGCCAACCCCGGCCGCGGCTTTCGTGTCTTCTGCCGGCCCCAGGAGTATGATGCCTTGGGACGCGCCCGTGGCGGTCCCAATGTCTGAACCTCCGTACTCGGCTTGTGCACTGCACGTACTGTCATCATTGGTATCGAGACCAGGTCCGGTTCCGTTGCTGCTTCCGTTTGTCCTAAATGGCGGGTGCACCCTCGACAGCACCCGGCCTTCCTCGTCCCGCAAGACGGGCGAATTTAGAGCCGCTTCAACGCGGCTCGCGGTCCGCAAGCCGCCGGTGTCTTTGTCAGGCCGGTCACCGGTCACCGACTCTTCCGGGCTGAGGCCTGCCAGTTTCATATTCACGTTCTCTTGATTCTCTTCTGCTTGCGGCATCGAGTGTTGGTCGTCCTCAGCCTTAGCCGCCTCCTCTCCAGTCTCCAGATGGGAAGCCTCAGATATCTTTCGCAGGACCGAATACGGAGTCGGCGTCATAGGCCGCTCAGGAACCCCATCTGTGGGCTGGAGAAGCGGCCCCTTGGCGTGGCTTAGACGGGAGCACTCGGCTAGAGCATTGGTTAAACGGCGACTTGGTCTCATTCTCGTTTCCAAGGGGTTCCTTACCGGACATGCCGCTTTCATCAGGCTTCGGGGCGTATATCTGGGTTTCGACCGAATGGAAAGACGCTTCTGCGCGAACATGACCTCGCGAAGTTTCGTCGCGCGCAGCCTGAATAATACCGCCAGTCGCCGTCAATGAGCTGGCCGCCGAAGCCGTGGCTCTGTGGCTGGATCGCATACTCGCGGTGCGCTTCATATCATCGTTCACACCTTGCGCCTTGTGATGCGGTGCGGGTGCGAGCGGCAGCTCCCTGAGCACCGTCAGTTATGGCCCTTATGGGAGGAAACCATCGATGTCAACACAGCGATCGGGTCGGTCTTACAAGGATGAGGATTCTTCTGATTTCGGGAACGGCCAACTGGATGGCGAATATCTTCCAGACGCCCGCGAAGCAGGGGCAGTCCGGGCGGTGTGGCTGTATGGTACAGCACGAATGGAAGGGGTCCGTGGAGATGTAGCCATGAAAGTCGGTCGAGGTATCCGAGTCGGTGATTTTGGAATCGAGTCGTGGGAGCCCATTTGTGACTTAGTCTTCCTCCAGCCGACGCAGGCTAATTTCTGACGGCAGCTAGGGAGCTGGGAACTGAAGCTTGATCAAGGGGGTAAGAGGAAGGAGTCTTGGGTCGAGGATGGACCAAGAACAAGGCCAATTGCGGATTGAGTGAATTGAAGGCACTGGCAGTGAACGAAGATGCGTTCGGCGGGGTGTATCTAGCAGCACCGGTTGAGTAGGTACAGTACTTGCCACCGAGCCAAGTGTATTGCTTGCTATTGTGCGCCCCGGCCCAGTCAATAACAGCAACAGCTGGGTGCTCTATGCAAGATTGCTACCCACAGGACGCAAGTACATGTCCACGGGTATTGTATATACATTACCCATCACTCATGAATCCACGTTCCCTTGGACTGATGCCAATGAGAAACCTTCCAGTCAACATGTTTACGATGCTGCGATTCCCCTTTCCTGTAAGAGCCACCTACTCTCTCACTGCCGAGGGTATCTACACTGGGGTTTGGCATAGCTTGCTTCTCTCACCACCAAGACATTGCTTACCGTAAGTGATCCGTTCGTGGATGTGTAAGTGGGTGGGCAGAGGAAGTGCCTGGCATAGCATCAGCGTCAACCAGACGCAGCATCTGTCTCTTTCTCCTGTGCAATCTTCGTACATGAGGAGTGAGAAAATCCTTGTGCCACACATGCACAAAAATACAAGTACATAAGCCAACCAGGAGCACCGGGAGCAAGAGAATGGAAGACATCTAAGATCACCAACATCAACATCTGCATGCAGTCAAGAGCCAAGTCAGCCAGCCGCCTGAATATTCCTTCCTAGCATTCAAGCTCCCGACCTCAGCTGGAACATACACAAGCCAGTCAGCAAATATATTCCCTCTGATTGAGTAGTCTCATACAACAGTCCAACAGCAATCACTCTTTGGCTCCCCACGAACAGGGGTTCCCAAAACCAGCGACTTCCCCAACCCTCCAAGCTGCTTTGGTCCTGGTTACCATGCAGCCCCAATCGGGGCGCTACCAGTCTGCAGGAGGTATTTTAAGCCATTAGTTGCACAAGTTGATGATGTTGGGCAGCGGCGGATGACACGCCGCACAATCCAGAAGTGGATGATGGCCACTCGGTCTCCCGCGAAGGAATCGCTTGGAGGAAAGTGCGTGGGCAAGAACTGCAGCAAACTGCAAGAGAATACTGGGCGCCGGGCGCACATGGTCCTGTCGCTCGACATCGCTCCCTGGCCGTCTTGCTCCAGACGATGGTGGCTAGAAGCATGGGTAACCAAAAGACCTTCTGCCTGCAAGAGCATGGGCTCAGCAGCCCGTCCAAGGGAGGGCGCCTCGGGAGCCGTACGTGGATTGTTCAGGTGAGCAGCTCCTTCCTTTGGCTTCTTCATCCTTCTTTCTTTCTGCTTTCCTTCTTTCTTTCTGCTTTCCTTCTTTCTTTCTGCTTTCCTTCTTTCTTTCTGCTTTCCTTCTTTCTTTCTGCTTTCCTTCTTTCTTTCTGCTTTCCTTCTTTCTTTCTGCTTTCCTTCTTTCTTTCTGCTTTCCTTCTTTCTTTCTGCTTTCCTTCTTTCTTTCTGCTTTCCTTCTTCTTCTGGCTTCCTTTCTCCCCTTCTATCCTTGCTCCTTTGGCTATTTTCTCCGTCGGTTACTGCGCCGCTCCCCCAGAAAGGGGGAAGAATCCAGACTGGGAAGGATTCGCCAGCTAGGAGTGCAATAGATGGTGGTTTTGTTCTTGGTGGGCAACGGGGCTTGCTACACATCAACGGACCAAGCAGTGCTGGCGCCGGCACGAGCTGTCGTGTATGACAAGGCACTTCCAGAAAGTGACCGCGAGCAAACCCGCCAAAAGGATTCGCCTTATCCCTTCTTTATCTCTGCCTGAAATCGCAACGCCCAGTCCGAAAACTCGTCCTTCTGCCCTTCCCATGGTTTGACGAGCAGCTCGGAGGCTGCGAAGGCGTCAAAGAAGCACTCGTCCATCAACCGATCAATCTCGGCGGGATCTAGTTCGTAGAATGCCATAGCTAGGCTGCCGAACCTCTCTGGTATCCTCTTAAGAAGGGGGACAACCTCGTCGAGGCGGGCCGGGATATCTGAGGATGAAGCCGGGGGCAGGTGTGGCAAGGGCTTGAACCTACGCTTGACAGCGGCCTGGTACAACAGAGTTGTCAAGCGGAGCCTCTTGAGGCATGATTCTAACCTCTCCCGAATCTTGTCCGGATCATTGCGAGGAATCGACCGCTGCGAGTTCATTAAATCGTCCAATATGTCCTGGGTGTCTCGCGTAGCAGATATTGAGCTGGATCCAAGGTCCGAAGTGACTTGAGCAACACCATCGTCGTCTTCATCGCTCTCACCATCATCTTCTTGGTCGTCATCGTCCACCTCCTCGCTCCATTCCTTGAGCTCATCCATGACATCTTTCAGCGTGTCCCGGAGCTGGTCCACCTTGTGCGCCAGATTGCCAGCAAATCCCCGCTTGGCGAAGGCCATAACATCGTCGCAAGCAGACCACAATACACCTGTGGTAGCGATACTGCCTCTGCCCCCAACCGCCCCGGCTGATGCGTTCTTCTTGGAATCGGAGAGGACCTTTCCATCTTTAGGAATCCGCGAGAGGAGCTCCCCCAACTCCTTGAGCACACGCCCCGCCCGCCAAGCTAGATCTTGTTGAATACCTCGCGTGTATCGCTCCGGCGCACACACCTCAACTGCGGCGGCTAAGCTGGGCACGGCACTAGCAACAAGCTCTCGGAGCACCTTCGTAATGGCCGTCGGCGTGAAGGGCTCGTTGATGATAAGGAGAGATATCTTGGTGGCGTGCGCCTTGATCAGGGCTGCCGAATCATGTGCTAGGGATAGTGCGTCGAGAAGTTTGTCGGTTGCGGCAAGCCGTTCCGCCACTGACTGCGCTGCGCTCACAGCGCCAACCTCCTTTGCTGTGGCGACACTTGACACAGCAACTTCCAGTTGGCTGATCAGGGTAAGAGCGTTGGCGGTGACGGAGCCAAGTGTTGACAGAGCATCGCCGGATGACATCATTGTAGCGACGATGATATTAGCTTCAACTGGAACAGCTTGGAAGGGATGCGGGAAACCGGTGATCTATGTTTCTTGCTGATGGCGGGGCAGTCGATTTTATATCCCTGGTGGGGCTCAGAGGTGCCCCCACAAAACTACGTACCTGCGCCCCTGGCCCTTGCACTCAGCCGCATCCCCATTGCCGCGTAGCCTCGTTCATGGGCGGTGGTCATGGGCGCCGCACCATAGACCCCACTGGTAATGCTACAGCCGCACGTGACAGTAGACCAGCTGTCCGCAGCTCCCATTGAAGCTGGCAAGCTGTCCAGTATCTGTGCTGGCGCTTCCCGCCGATATATACAGCCCTAAGTTCCTGCAATTCGCCGACCACGTTTCTGATGTTCTAAGCTTTCCTCCGAGACACAGGAGGGTGCCAACGGGACAATTATGCGAAGGACCGGCGCATTGGCGCTCTTGGGCGCCTTCGTTCATGGCACTCTTGCTGTAGGCGAGAGCTTGCCGCGCGGTGTTGGACCTGAGTGTAAGTCGCCCTCCTCCGATTTTCGAGTCCTAGCTCCATCGCACATCACGCGTAGCACGACACAACGAGGCGAACCATTAGGATTGCATGTGTCAGTTGCGAGTAGATGCGTAGTTCGAAGTTGTCTGAAAACCAGAATGATAACACCGGGCAGTTGTCAAGTTTTATACGAACAAACCCACATTCGCGTGCATTAGCAACCCCTCCGTTACCCTCGAGGCGTCCCAGATCAACGACAACTCGTGCGACTGCCCTGATGGATCCGACGAGCCAGGCACGGCGGCTTGCTCGCACATTGACTCCCTGTCCCCCCAGCAACCCCTTCCCGGGTCGGTGACGGGCACCACCAACTCCACGAACGCTCTACCGGGCTTTTGGTGTGCCAACGCTGGACATATTGGCAGCTACATACCCTTTATGTACGTCAATGATGGGGTATGTGACTACGAACTCTGCTGCGACGGCAGCGACGAGTTTGCCCATGTTGGTGGCGTCCAATGCGAGAACCGATGCGACACCATTGGCAAAGAGCACCGTCGCCTTGAGGAGCTACGCAAGCAGACCAAGGAGAGGTCAGCCAAGCGGAGGCGGACCATGGCCAAGGAAGCCCGCGAGTTGCGCCGCAGGGTAGAGGCCAAGATTGCTGCCCTGAAATCGGAAATCGAAGGGCTTGAGGTCAAAAAGGTGGAGCTGCAAAAGAAGTATGAGGAGATCGAGCGTTCCGAAAGGAGCAAGGTTGTCAAGGTGGAGGGACAGGGTGGGAAGCTCGGTGTCCTGGTCAGTCTGGCCAAACGCCGCGTTTCCGAACTCCGAAATGCCCTGGACAATCTGCTGGACCAGCGTGACGACCTGCAGGATAGGGTTGAGCAGCTGGAAGATATTCTCAACAAGCTCAAAAGGGAGTACAACCCCAATTTCAACGACGAAGGTGTCAAGGCGGCTGTCAAGAGCTGGGAAGACTATGCTGCTGGCCAGGCCGGCGAAAAGAAGTCCGAGCTCACGGATGCTGAAATCATGGACATGTTGAAGGAGGACGGCGAGACATCTGGCATCAACTGGGCCGAGTTTGAGAACTCCGACGCCAGTGACGTAGACGTCGGTAAGTACCCACCTCAAAGTTCATCACCAACTCGCCTCTTGCTCTAGCTAACAGCCGCAGTCTACAATTGGGAAGCATACCTACCGCAGTCTGCCAGCGACTTCATCCGTGACAAGCTCAACATCTTGCGCATCTGGGCCATCGACAATGGCATATTGGCCGACAACCGGAGCGGAGGGGGTGAATCGCGCCTCATCACGGCAGCCCGTGAGGCACTGGATGCTACCAAGAATGAGATCACATCCAAGACCTCGGCGCTCGACGAGCAGCAGCGTGATCTGGAGAAGGACTACGGCCCGGACGACATCTTCCGTGCTCTCAAGGGGAAGTGCATCAGCAGCGACGTCGGCGAATACGAGTATGAACTCTGCTGGATCGACCGGACAATGCAAAAGAGCAAGAAGGGCCACGGCAACACTAACATGGGCAACTTTGTGCGCATCGATAAGGAGCTAGCAGACGAGGAGGAACGTCCCGACGGAAAGAGTCTGGGTAAAGGGGAACGAATGGTGCTGCGGTACGAAAACGGACAGGGCTGCTGGAACGGCCCGAACAGGAGAACCGACGTCTGGCTCACGTGCGCGGAGGCGGACGAGCTCTGGCGCGTAACGGAGTCAGAGAAATGCGTCTACAAGATGGAAGTAGGCACCCCTGCTGCCTGCGAGGAGGAATTGCCAGAGCCGGGAGTGAACGCCAAAGATGAGCTTTAGTAGTTACGTAGAAGTTGTGCTATGGCACATGGCACTCATCATTCTGGATCCTGGTGTGCATAGAGCAACGTATACAACTGAAGGAGGAAGAAACGATCTTGTTTTTGTATCCTGTATCCTCACTAGTGTACTGTGACCGTGTGGGATCCGGGGAACGACGGTGGTATCATGGTATGTACCGTCTGACAAACTTGCAATGGTAAAAGCAGTGTAGAAAGCAGCTATGCGCAGCGATCAGTTCGCTGACGCAGCCAGCTTACGCCGCTTGTTGCGCTCCTCCTGCTCTGCGAGGACTTTCGCTGTGAGTGATGCTGCCATGGCATTGTTGATGCCGCTCATGCGACTGCTAATGTCCGGTTTAGAAGGCGCCTTCGTTTTTCTCTCGTTATCTTGCCCAGCGCCCTTCGATTCTCCCGACTGGACAGCTTCATCACCTTTTGTCTCTTCTACCTTGCGCTTTTTCTTTCCGCTCTTCTTCTCTTTCTTCAAGCTATGCGTGAGACCCTCTGCCCTGAGGTTGCTAATCCTCGCTGTTAGACTGGCAAGGTCGGCCTCCTGAGTGGGAAGGACGGGGATAACGTCTCGGGGGTTGAAGCCCTCGTTGCACTCAGGACAGATCTTCTCCTGGATTTGCTTGATGGCGGCCTCGGCGAAAACATGCCCGCACGGCACGAGGTAAACCGCCCTCGTAGCGGGCCCGAGCTCCTTCAGTGATATTGGGCAGGCCCAGACTTCCCGGCCCTTGGTACCGGGGGGTGCATAGCGCCTGAACTTGAGCTTTACCACGTCACGCAGCGATTTGATGCCCGTCGACGCGAAAGTCAATTCCGACGACTCACCATTCACGAGCTCTGGAGCAACGGTGGCGTCGTCGTCGCCGCCGCTCGGCATTAAGCCCCTGAGGACCGACTCGTAATTGTACAGGCGGCCGCGCCAGTCAGAGACCACATTCTCCATGTCCAGGTCCTCCAATGTTAACGGGTCGTGGGACCAGGCATGAGTGAGGTTCTCGAGGGCAGTAGCTTTGAGTTCGCTTACTGTCGGCGTCCGCGCAGCCGATTTGACGAGTTCCCGTCGCGTCGGGATCGAGCCACCGTCATTGCCCATTGCAAGACGCCCCTTATTGATCCTCTTTGATGAATAGACGTTGTGAAGGTTTCGTACGGGCCGGCGCAGATTCAACTGCGATGCGGCTGGTTTGTTGAGGAACTGTGGCAGCTAGCAAGGCGAGGCTGGTTTGTTGGAGCAAATGGGAGGTTTGACTCGTCTTACGGATAACTCCCGACCGACGGCATGTACCTGTACCTTATCGCGATAACGTGGCTGCAGTGGACAAGGATCGCACAGGACACTCGCGCTTATCCGCAAGTCTTCCGCAGATTGCACTGTATTTTAAGCGCCGTTGTTGCATGTGTGCTGGGTTGGCTGCTAAGGCTTCGCGAGCCACGAAGGTCTCCACTCGGTAAGCCCCACCTCCTGATGTACCGTTCTGCGCACCCTCTTACGGTATTATGGATCGTGACATTCTGCGGTGATGTACTGATTGGGGAGGTGGTACAGGAACCGCACTACACAGTATCGTCATCTCTCCCAACAGAACGACTAGCTGAACAAGTTGCATTCCCGCCCATCTGATCGAGCTTTGGGTCATCCCACCATATTCGCCGCCCGACGCTGCCATCCTTTCCGTCTCGCTTGGCCAGAAATCTAACGAGGCTCCGTCGGCCGCATCCGACCCACGCGTTCGTTGCGTTCCCTTCCATCGCATTACACCACTACCAAGAGCCATTCTTGGGGCGAATCAACCTCGACAAAGAGAACTACGAACACATTGCGGGACGCTTTTGCCTCGAATAGCCAAGCCGAATCTGCGGCCCAGAGCACGAAACCGACTATGGGTCGTCGACCGCGGACCTAGCGCTCAAACGCTTGCACAGTGATTAGCCGGTGCATTGAGGAGTTTTGGAGGAGAGAAGGCTCGACAAGATGTCGATCATCAAAGATCAAGCGTCCAGTGCGCTGGACCAGTATATCAAAGAAGTTAGGAATCGGTGTGTTTCCCGTCCAATCCGCCGTCGTCGCACCAGGATGCCCAACGCTCGGGTATCTTTTGGCCTTGCTCTAAGGCTTCGATTCTTCGCCTGTCCAAATAGGGAACAGCAGTTGACATGTATGTTCGTGCCAGGAACTATGCCGAAGATCAACGCAAGCGCGCTGCGCGCCAGGTCCGAGATCTGGTCAACATTGCCAAACAAGGTCAGCACAGAACTGTGCTTTGAATGTTAATTTCGTTGTTGACTCGCAAGCAGAGATGGGCACGGAGCAGTTCCAACGCTTCTTTGACACCGTCAACCAAAGGACCATGGCCCTGATTCAATCTACGGATACATACGACAAGATGGGCGGGGTCTATATCCTCGATGCGTTGGTAGACTTCGATGGGATAGAGCCCGCGCTAAAGTATAGTCGCTTTCAGCAGTACATTGGCACCATCCTGCGTGGAAAGGACCTCAATCCCATGCAACCTGCTGCCGTGGTCCTTGGAAAGCTATGCAAGCCGGGCGGTTCTCTGATCTCGGAGCTCGTGGAAGCCGAGGTCCACACCGCCCTTGAATGGCTACAGTCGGATCGCATCGAGGAGCGGCGGTACAGCGCCGCTCTCGTCCTTCGCGAGTTGGCGAGGAATGCGCCCACTCTGATGTACCCCTACGTCGGCTTCATCTTCGACCAGATTTGGATCGGGCTGCGGGACCCTCGGCATTTGATCCGCGCCACATCGAGCGAGACTGTCAGCGCTTGCTTCAAGATCATCCGAGAGCGAGACCAAGAGATGAAGCAGGAATGGATGGACAAGATGTGGACTGAAGCAGTCAGGGGCCTTAAGACGAGTACTATCGAATCCATCCACGCCTCGCTCCTCGTGATCAAGGAGCTCCTCGAGCAGGGCGGCATGTACATGCAAGGCCACTACCAGGAGGCTTGTGAGATTGTTTTCCGCCATAAGGATGCACGAGACCCGGCCATCCGTAAGACTGTTGTCTTCCTCATCCCGGATCTGGCCAACTATGCGCCAACGGAGTTTAGCGCGACATACCTGCACAAGTTCATGGTCTATCTCTCAGGCATGCTCAAAAAGGAGAAGGAGCGGAACGATGCGTTTCTTGCCATTGGCAACATTGCCAACTCGGTCAAGAGCTCCATCGCCCCGTATCTCGACGGTGTGCTGATCTATGTCCGCGAAGGTCTCAGCGTACAGTCCCGCAAGCGGGGCTCGGTCGATCCCGTCTTCGACTGCATCAGCCGGCTCGCCGTGGCGGTAGGCCAAACGTTGAGCAAGTACATGGAGGCTCTGTTAGACCCCATCTTTTCCTGCGAGCTCACACCCAAGCTGACACAAGCCCTGGTCGATATGGCTTTCTACATTCCACCTGTGAAGGGGACCATTCAAGAACGATTGCTCAACATGCTCAGCAAGGTTCTGTGTGGCGAGCCCTTCCGGCCGCTTGGGGCACCCCATCCAAACCCGATCCCTTCCATTCCACCCATTCCCAGAGACTCCAAGGACCCGGCGGTGCACGAGCGGGGCAAAGCCGAGGTGAAGCTCGCATTGAACACGCTCGGCAGCTTTGACTTCTCGGGCCACGTTCTGAACGAGTTCGTTCGAGATGTTGCCATCAAATATGTAGAGGACGACGACCCCGAGATACGCGAGGCCGCCGCCCTTACCTGCTGCCAGCTTTACGTTCGCGATCCGATCGTGAACCAGACTAGTTACCACGCCTTGCAGGTAGTGGCTGATGTTGTCGAGAAGCTGTTGACTGTGGGGGTTTCAGACCCTGAGCCCAAGATCCGCAGGACAGTCCTCGCCGCCCTCGACGAACGGTTCGATCAACATTTGGCCAAGGCCGAGAACATTCGCACTCTCTTCTTCGCCCTTCACGACGAGCAGTTTGCGGTGAGGGAAGTCGCCGTGTCGATCATCGGCCGGCTAGCCCGCCATAACCCTGCCTATGTCATCCCTCAGCTACGCAAGACGATTATCCAGATGTTGACCGAGCTCGAGTACACCGACGTGGCAAGGAGCAAGGAGGAGAGCTCAAAGCTGCTCAGCCTCCTCACGCAGCACGCCCAGGATCTCGTCAAGCCCTACGTCAGCTCCATCACCGAAGTCCTCCTGCCCAAGGCTTCCGACCCCATCCCTACGGTCGCTGCTACCGTCTTGGAGGCTATTGGCGAGCTGTGCACGGTTGGCGGTGCAGAAATGCTCGCTTACAAGGACACTCTCATGCCCATCGTCATTGACGCCTTACAGGATCAGAGCGCCCCAATTAAACGTGAAGCAGCCCTTCACACCCTCGGTCAACTGGCCAGTAACGCTGGCTATGTAATCAAGCCCTATATCGAGTATCCGCAATTGCTGGAGATCTTGCAGTCCATCATACGGGGTGAGCCTCAGCACGGCCCACTACGACAGGAAACGATCAAGCTCATGGGGATCCTGGGAGCGCTGGATCCTTACAAATATCAGGTACATTTTACAAGCTCCTATACTCCCCTTCACCGGGCCCATTTCTCGTCGTTGTCGTATGCCACTCCAACCATGGCAGATTCGGACGACGAGGAAGACGAGGCCGCCGATGGCATCGGCTTGATCCCCCCGCGTGCTCCGGCAGTGCAGCCCAGAGGACAACCCAGTAGATTCCTTCTTCGAGGCAGAACTAAAACCAGAAAACAGCAGGTCGAAGAACGAACACCGCAAACCCAACGACGTCCTGAGGCCACGCCGCAAACCGATGTGTCCCTCATGATGGGCGGTCTTACACCGTCGCAGGAAGACTACTACCCCACGGTCGCTATCAACGCGCTACTCCAGATCTTGAAAGACCAGTCCTTGCTCCAATGGCATGGCAATGTGGTGGATGCCATCATGAGTATCTTCATCACATTGGGGCTTAAGTGCGTTCAGTTCCTTGATCGGGTCGTGCCCGCCTTCATTTCCGTCATCCGGGCGTCAAGCCCGGCGCGACTCGACTACTACTTCAACCATCTGAGCAGGCTCGTCGGGATCGTGCGGCAGCACATCCGCGTCTACCTGCGGGACATCATTGAGGTTCTGCAAGAGTTTTGGAACACGACCTCGTCTCTGCAGACGACCATTATGGCGCTCATCGAATCCATTGCCCGCTCGCTGGAGGGCGAGTTCAAGATCTACCTTGCAGATTTGCTCCCGTTGATGCTTGGGGTGCTGGAGAAGGACACGAGCACGAAGCGGCAGCCGACGGAGAAGATTTTCCACGCCTTCCTGGTCTTCGGCTCCAGCGCGGAGGAGTACATGCACCTCATCATTCCCGTCCTCGTGCGACTATTCGACAACGCGGCGCAGCCCATGTTTTTGCGGAAGTCGGCCATCGAGACGATTGGAAAGCTGTCCAGCATGGTGAACCTGAACGACTATGCATCCAAAATCATCCACCCTCTAACTAGAGTCCTCGCCAGCCAAGAACCCAGTCTCAGGGTGGCCGCACTTGACACCCTCTGCGCGCTCATGCTGCAGCTGGGACGTGACTACCTGCATTTCGAGCACACCGTCGACAAGGCCATCACCATGTATGGGATTCAGCACTCCAATTACGAGAAGGCCGTCGAGAAGCTTAAGAAGGGAGAGGCCCTTCCTCCAAACCTGGCCCCTCGGTTTGAGGACAACGCGGTGGAGCCGTATACATCCGAGAACAACCCGCCAAAGAAGCTGGACCTGAATCCTGTGCACTTGAGAACAGCATGGGAGACGAAGGGCAAGGCAACCAAGGATGACTGGCATGAATGGTTCCGCAAGTTCAGCACCACACTGCTGTCCGAGTCGCCAAACCACTCGCTCCGCGCCTGCGCGAGCCTAGCAAGCAACTATCAGCCTCTAGCAAGAGAGCTTTTCAACTCAGCCTTTGTCTCGTGTTGGAGCGAGCTGTACGACTCATACCAGGTATGTATCCGAAGCTCATTACTATTACCTGGGAACATGCCTGGCTGACCCGCTCAAAGGAAGAGCTGATCACAAACATCGAAAACACCATCAAGTCGGAGAATGTCCCGCCTGACCTTTTGGGCCAGCTGCTCAACCTCGCAGAGTTCATGGAGCACGACGACAAGGCTCTTCCCATCGACATTCGTGTTCTGGGACGTGAGGCTGCGCGGTGCCACGCTTATGCCAAGGCTCTCCACTATAAGGAGCTTGAGTTCCTACAAGACCACAACAGTCACGCAGTGGAAGCACTCATTGTCATCAACAACCACCTGCAGCAATCAGATGCCGCCATCGGAATTCTACGCAAGGTCAAGGGTTACAAGGACGGGATCCAACTGCGGGAGAGCTGGTTCGAGAAACTAGAACGCTGGGATGAAGCTCTCAATTTCTATTGTCAGAGAGAACGAGAACTCCCAGAAGATCAACCCACGCCAGTCGACATTGTGATGGGCAAGATGCGCTGCTACCATGCGTTGGGAGAGTGGGACTCGCTAGCCTCTCTGGCCGGCAAGACTTGGGCCAACTCGGGTCCGGAAATCCAGCGGAGGATCGCACCCTTGGCAACCACGGCAGCATGGGGCCTCGGAAAATGGGACTCGATGGACATCTACTTGCAGTCAATGAAGCGCTTCTCACCCGACCGTGCTTTCTTCGGCGCGATCCTCGCTCTGCACCGGAACCAGTTCCGGGAAGCCTTGGCCTGCATTGAGCAGGCCCGGGAAGGGCTCGACACGGAACTCAGCGCTCTGGTCAGCGAATCTTACAATCGGGCCTATCAAGTCGTTGTGAGAGTCCAGATGCTTGCTGAGCTTGAGGAGCTCATAGTCTACAAACAGTGTGGCCCTGAGAAGCGCGCCACCTTGCGTGCGACTTGGGAGACTCGTCTCAAAGGTTGCCAGCGCAACGTCGAGGTCTGGCAGCGGATGCTCCGGCTGAGGTCCCTAGTGCTCACTCCGCAGGAGAACATGCACATGTGGACCAAGTTCGCCAACTTGTGCCGCAAGTCCGGGCGGATGGGCCTCGCTGAGAAGTCACTGAAGTTGCTTATTGACACCGACTCGCCACTGGAATCCGTCATACCGTACTGGTTCGAACAGCCAGCCAGCCCCGGTCTCGAACGGATTGCTTCTCCAATCGTCTACGCAGTGCTCAAGTTCCAATGGGAAATGGGTCAGCAGCCGGGCGTCCGGAGCTCGGACCGCGGGATCGCTGAGAGGACGCTCTACTGCCTTCGCAGGTTCACGGAAGAGATGGCGCGCCGTGTGGAGAGCGCGAGGTTGCAGCTGAATGCTTCCGTGCAGGCCACGAACGGCATGGGAGACGGGCTAAGCCACCCAAGGTACGCCGACTTGGACGAAAGTGCGGTCTTAGGCCCAGAGGCACAACGTCAATGGCTTGAACAGACTGTGCTGCTAGCAAAGTGCTATCTCCGCCAAGGAGATTGGATAATCACGCTGAACAAGGACGACTGGCAACACACGCGGCGCCAAGATATTCTTGACTGCTACTCGAAGGCTACTCACTACAATCCTCGATGGTACAAGGCGTGGCATGCCTGGGCTCTCGCCAATTTCGAGGTGGTCGAGGCCCTGGCGTCCAAGAGGGAGTCGGAAGGCCGGTCGGAGCATAGCATCATCGTTCACCACGTCGTCCCAGCGGTGCATGGCTTCTTCGAGTCCATTGCCCTCTCGTCCGGCAGTTCTTTGCAAGACACCCTTCGCTTACTTACCTTGTGGCTGACCTATGGCGGCTACCAAGAGGTTATCACCGCTGTCACGGACGGCTTTGCCCACGTCAGCGTCGACACCTGGCTCGAAGTCATACCCCAGCTCATTGCTCGCATCAATCAGCCCAACAGGCGGGTTCAGGCTTCGATCCACGCCCTGTTATCCGACGTCGGACGCGCACACCCCCAGGCGCTTGTGTATCCGCTGACAGTGGCGATGAAGTCGCGACAAAGCACGCGGAGATCCAAGACTGCCAGTTTGATCATGGAGAGCATGCGACAACACAGTCCCAAGCTTGTGGAGCAGGCCGATATCGTGAGCCGCGAGCTTATCAGGGTTGCGGTTCTGTGGCACGAACTCTGGCACGAGGGGCTCGAGGAGGCTTCCCGGCTCTATTTTGGCGACCACAATATCCAGGGCATGTTCGATGTGCTTGAGCCCCTTCACGATTTGCTCGAGAAAGGCCCACAGACGCTCCGGGAGATCTCCTTTGCGCAAACATTCGGGAGGGACTTAGGCGAGGCTCGCGAGTGGTGCCGCCAGTATCGGCACTCCCAAGATGTCAACGACATTAGTCAGGCCTGGGATCTGTACTACCAGGTCTTCCGGCGCATTAGCCGGCAGCTTCCTCAGATGACCAGCTTGGAGCTGACGTATTGCTCGCCCGATCTGCTCCGGGCGGAGAACCTCGAGCTTGCAGTACCTGGCACATACCGCAGCGGTCAGGAAATCGTCAGGATCACGAGATTCAATGGCACCTTCAACGTGATCAGCTCAAAACAGCGTCCAAGAAAGCTCGACATTGTTGGGAGCGATGGTAAAACATACACCTTCTTGCTCAAAGGCCACGAAGACATCCGGCAGGACGAGAGGGTCATGCAGCTCTTCGGACTGTGCAACACCCTGCTCGCCAACGATTCCGAATGCTACAAGCGACATCTCAACATCCAGCGATATCCAGCGATCCCGCTATCGCAAAACTCGGGTCTCCTGGGCTGGGTGCCAAACAGCGACACAGTTCACCAGCTGATCCGGGAGTACAGGGAGTCCAGAAAGATCCTCCTCAACATTGAGCACAGAATCATGTTGCAGATGGCTCCGGACTACGACAACCTGACGCTTATGCAGAAGGTTGAGGTGTTTAGCTATGCGCTGGACAACACCACGGGCCAGGACCTATACCGCGTTCTCTGGCTCAAGAGCAAGAGCTCCGAGGCTTGGTTGGACAGGAGAACGAACTACACGCGCTCCCTCGGCGTCATGTCCATGGTTGGATACATCCTAGGTCTAGGCGACAGGCACCCTAGTAATCTGATGCTCGACCGGGTCACTGGCAAGATCATCCACATCGACTTTGGCGACTGCTTTGAGGTGGCGATGAAGCGGGAGAAGTATCCGGAACGCGTGCCCTTCCGACTCACACGCATGCTCACCTATGCCATGGAGGTTAGCAACATTGAGGGCAGCTTCCGCACAACGTGTGAGCATGTGATGAGGGTTCTCCGTGACAACAAGGAGAGCGTGATGGCCGTCTTGGAAGCCGTAAGTATCACTATCCTCTAGCAACTCTCTCAAGGCCGGTTGCTATGCATAGACTGTGGCTAATTCATTGCTCCCTTATCCTAGTTCATCCACGATCCACTGCTCACCTGGCGCCTCACCAACCCTGCCAGCCCACCGGGTCCCCATTTCAACTCGGAACGGGAACAAGCAATTGCCGGGCCGCAAGCAGGGCGCGCTCGCCGGCCTTCAATCCTCGACGCTCCGGTCGCTCCCACCGAATTCCTCGCCGCTCAGGCCGGAGGTGTGGATAGCATGATAGGCGCTCCTCCGGGTGCCCGCGGTCGCGCACGTACCAATTCCTCAGCCGCACCCATGGGCAGCATGGTCAACGGCAACGTCAACGGCAATGGTGCGAACGGTGCTCCCGAAATGGCCGAGGTACAAAACGCTCGAGCGGTCGAGGTTCTCGACCGTGTCTCACAGAAACTTACTGGCCGAGACTTCAAAGCCGAGGACGAGCTCAGCGTCACCGATCAGGTGAACAAGCTTATTATCGAGGCTACCGCACTCGAGAACCTCTGCCAGCACTACATCGGATGGTGCAGCTTTTGGTGAGGATCAGCTTTGTATGCACACTGCATGTGAGCTGTACTGTCTAGACAATTAATTGGTGGGTTTTGGGCGGCGGAGGAGATTGGTGGCTTTTATTTTCCCGTTATTCTTCGCAAGGCTTATTCTCCAGGCGCCACTCGTGGCTCTGTATGTAATTTGGTTCGTTCTCTTTTGAGTTACTACTAGTAGTGCGGGCAATCTCAGGTACTTCGCGGTATTTCAAGTGCTCCCTTTTGGCGGCGTAGGTTGGGAGTCTGGGTACGGTAAGGGAGTTGATATGGGCCTAGTTAGTTATCTTCGTCCTGATTATAGACTGTCTTGTATGCTTGGCATGTGCATCGCAATACTGCACATCATAGCTTCCTGTTTGCTCGGGCCGGTCTTGTGCCCCTTGGTCCAGCCAGTACTCCCCCTTCCTCTGCAGCTGGATTAACAGATCTTTAGAAGGCGTGAACTCTGTCCCCTTTCCAGTGCCCTCTTTGTATGTGGAATGCGCTCCACTGATTCGAAAAAGATTGGTGACTGGTATGGGGGAACACAGGAGCGCGGGGTCCATTATAGTAAATGTTACTGCCATGTTACAATCATCCGGACCCGGATATTAGTCTCCCCCCTCCCAAGTCGGCACTTAGACGGCAATGTCATCGCACAGGTTAAGCTCCCGCTACATCAACCCACGGTATCTGGATTGCGTCGACTGCTGTCACACGCCTGTAGTTTCACGGCCATCTCTTGATCCTCGTATGCCAAACCAGCTGTCATATTGATATCCCGGGCCACTTCCCACGATGGTGTCGTTCACTGGGTCCAAGGCCTGTATTGTTGCTGCGGCAATACAAGTCGCTCTGGGGCATCCTCTTGCGCGTCAGGCCTCTGACTGCATCCGTTCAGTGCTGGCCGAGGCAGCTGATGCCTACCTCGCTGCACAGACAGTGGGCAACATCAACCCCCTGCAAGGGATGCTTGCCGACGAGTGGGCGTACGAGGAGAACAACAAGAAGGCGGACGCCAGGAAGGGCGTGTTGAGCAAGGCACTCAAGATCGACCACTACCGGACCAATTTCGACCTTGTCGCATGCGCAACATACACCGAGCTCATCGCCGCTGACCGGGCTAACCCCTATGTAATCGGGACTCAGCTTCGGCACGGCAAAGATGGCAAGGTAACCCTCATCGACACAATCGCATCGACGACGAATTCGTGGCTCTTCGACGCCAAGAAGACGCTGGAGTACGTTCTGCAGGAGAACTGGGACCCGATTCCCGAGAGCAAGCGAGACAGCCGGGATGTGATCAAGGCTGCCGGCGATGCCTATTTGGATATGTGGAGCAACGCAGCAGCTGCCAATGCTGTCCCTTGGGGGACGCCTTGTGCCCGTTTGGAGGGTTCGGCGTATACAGGAAAGGGGAGGCCTGACGACTCGTGCAAGGCTGGCATCCCGTCGAACCATAGCCAGGCGCCAAACACCCGCCGCCGTTATGTCATTGACGAGTCAATGGGCTCGGTCAGTATTTTCTGCGTCTGGGAGCACATGATGATGGCCGCCGACAGTCATGAGTTCCGGTTGGAGGGCGGCAAGCTTCGCTATGTGCACACAATGACAGTGTGTGGAGGCCAGCAATGTAGACTGTGAGGGTTATCCAGACAGCCTAGAAACAGCCGTAGTTCGATTTCGCCAGGGATGGCTCGGAATGTGGTGGTGCGAAGGAAGGGCCAACAGAACGCGCGCAAGTGTTCTAGACATCATCAGGACAGAGCGCAGATTGGTGGCGCTTACGAGAGGGAGGCTTACTATTGCCACGTAGTAGAAAGGCTAGCACCTTAAGAGAGGGTCGTCTCACTTCCATACCGCGCTTACGGTGTCGTAGAAAACAGTAACTACTAGAACTTTGTTCCGCAAAAGGGTCCGTATCGGGTTTTGCCACGGGAGAAAACCATATTGTAATACTCCTAGAGTTAATACTACGTTCTGTAATATAATATTATCCTATAGAGAATATTATTACTTACATATATATATATATATATAACGTAGGTGTATAGCAAAAGTTACATACATGCGAAAGTTACACTAAACTACACCCTCTCAACTAAATCTGTATTAATTCCACCCAACCACCTCAAAACAAATGAAACTACTCGGAATCGTCTTCCTCCGATATTTCTATAACTATCTGACAGGTACGCGCATTGTGGCCTGGTTCACCGCAGTTGCCACAACGCCGCGCACGCGTCTCAATCCTCGGCTTCCGACCACTACCCGCCTGCGTTTCCTCCTTTATCTGCACCTCAATCTCTCTCTGACCCTCTAGATCCTGTGCATCCTGTATAGAAAGCGATCCTCCTTGCCGCAGCTGCTGTTTTTTGGCTCTCCGGCGTTTACTTAGCGCCTTATTTGCAGCTCGGAGGCTCTGGTTCTCTGCCTGCAATAATGCCAACTGATGTATGACCTTAGATGTCCCTTTTGCAAATATATTAACCGCCCTCAAAATCTCGGTTGGAGAGCTATTTTGATGCCGGGCAATTCGATTCTTGATAAGGGTGGACTGCAAGGAGGCTTCTATTAGGTTGTTTAGGGTCTTGGAAACCTAGGTATAGGCACTGCCGGGCCGTAAGTTCGAGGGTATTAGCGTATTTAGACGGATATTAAGCTGCGAGATCACTCTCTCGGGATCAAAAGGAGCAAGTCTAGCACCTCGAAAACCTCCTTAAATGTTTTTAGGGGTTAGGGCGGCTTAGAAAGTAGCGTAGAATACGGGAAAGAAGTCCTCTTTGGTAATATAAGTTATACTTGCCTATATCAACCCCTCGATTTGCTTGCTATATGCTATCTTAAGCGGGCTAAAACACCTAATATCGAGCGGCTAGAGGATATAAGACGAGTAGGGAGATATATAGAGTATAATAATGTTATTCTCCTTACAATAGAGTTCGAAGTCGGTCGAGTGGTAGCTATCGTGGCCGTCGAGGACGAGGAGGTAATAAACCCTAACTGTTCGAGCTTTAGTATACCTATCGAAATGCTAGATCTATTCTAGGCCTCTCTCGTTAGTTGTCCAACCGTTTTTAGAAGTTATAATAACCCAGTCCTTAGGCAATAGGCTATTTTTATACTAAGAGGAGAGGTAATGCTTGCCCTTGACGATAATAAATGGCAGGATCGCCTAGCCAGTAGTATTAACGCCCTAGATTACTATTGCCTACTCGCAATTGCCAGGCTATTTTGACTTTGCCCTCCTACGCCGTTCGGAGCTTGTAATAACTATTGCAGTCGAGATGACGCCTATCTGAAACCCGGTCTCGTCAAAGTTATAGATATCCCCCTCCTGGATACTATACTTCGTGATTGTGTTCCGCACAAGCGCAAACCAACCGCAAATGATCTCTGGATCTTTATATCGGGCCCTCTGGTAGTCGTATTTCCGATTGAAACGCATAGTAAGCTCTAGGTGGCGTTTGACGAAGGTTAAAGCCCAACGCATTCTAACGCGTCCTATATCGCGTTCGGCAAGCAGTCGATTAGCTATATCTTCTATACTAGACAAGCGGGAAGGAAATCCTTTGGCGTCTAGGTCGAGGATATATTGAACAATGACAGATTCCTCTAAATTGGTCAATTTCCGAGAGTTGGCTTGAATGTCGCGTCGTGACTACTGACCGCGTCGACGGCGGCTTAGCTTCATTAGGTCTATAGAAAAGATCCGAGCTATAGCTCTAAGACTTAATTTGGGATTATTCTCAAGAGCCTGGAGGGCCAAGATAATTTGGCTTTCGTCATTTTTCTGAGGCATGTTAGGTTGTAGAGGAAGTGAGTATAGAAGTGAAATATCGCATTGGTATAGTTTAGTGTAACTTTCGCATGTATATAACTTTCGCTATACACCTATGTTATATATATATATATATACATTACTAGTAACCCATTTATCTAAGTATATTATAGTAACTAAAGGTCAGATATAATGGAAAATCTTACTCTTAATTATACTAAACTATTTATTTTTAACTATTTAGTTAATATAGCTTTCCTCTTATAATTAATTATAATTTAATTTATAGAATATATCTTTCTCTTTTTCAGCGTAATCGCTGCTTGCTTGTGATGAAACCACAGGCAGTCCTGCCTCTGAAAGGGTTCGCCGGTCGAAGGTACTTGTGACAGTGGAGCATAAACCTAATCCACTCGGCTATGCACACCTTCCGAAAAGGATGTCGGAATCGCAAGTCCCTCGGACTTGCAACTCGGTGGATTATATCTTCCCTGACGGCAAGCACCCCGCAGGCCGCACTTGCCGTCACAGTACTGCTGGTTGGACTGTAGGTCTCGGTGAAGCCAAAAGGTTCACAACAATGCAAGTTGCAATGTCTGCACAGTAGGTAAGGGCTACTGCTTGTATTGCTCACTGAGGAAGCTAGCTATCTGAATGAGTGACAGAATGGTAGAACTATATACAGCTTCCTCTCCTAGGTATCTTTGTACCTAGATCACTAGTGATCACCTCGGCTCAGTGATCATAGGTGAGCTGCTCACCGGGATCACTAACTCCCGATTGATCTTGGTGATCCTGCCGTTCCTGACGACTATTAGCCTAGTGTCACGAACCAACCATATAGCAAGACCCGGTTGGGCACAACGGAAACAGGCAGAACCAATCAGCAGGGGTGAAAGCTGCAGGCGGCCGCATAGGGACGACCTGGGTAGCTCAGGGTCGCCGGCGAGCGAGAGCGATCATGATAGACTTGGGTAGACGTCTACCCAAGGCGATCGGGGGTAGACCACGGTAGCTGGCGAACGACGGCGAGCCAACAGGATCGGCTAGGTATATAGTCATTCGTTATAGAGGGCTCTGGGAGTCCTCCAGTGAGCAATACAAACAGTAGAGTAGCCCTACCTTACTGTGCAGACATTGCGACTTGCATTGTTGTGAACCTTTTGGCTTTACTAAGACCTACAGTCCGACCAGCAGATACCTTCGACCGGCGAACCCTTTCAGAGGCAGGACTGCCTATGGTTTCGTCATACGTTACTCACTCCCTTTGACTCTATTACGGTTCAGATCGAAGGTAACACCGACCATCATGGCACCTCAGACACCTAGCACCCCGGAATCCCAGAGCTAGGCCGCGACCATGCGACAAATACAGCAGGCTCTTGAGGCTCTCAACGCCAAAATCGCCCAACTTGAAGCCGAGAATAGCTATATACAATAGCTCGTCAACGAGGCCTACAACGGCAAGCCCAAGGACAAAGCCAAGCTCGAGGCACCCTCTAAGTATGGAGGCGACAAGGAAGGGCTTATTGGATTCCTTATATCTATAAGGGCCTATCTCAAGTACTACCCGGACAAGTTTGCAGATGAATCCGCCAAGGTCATATTCATCTCCTTACGGCTCGAGAGGAGAGTATTTCGATAGTTTGAACCCACCCTTAAGGATTGGCTAACCAACAATACAGACGCTTAGGACGACTTCACTATTGAAATTTTCAAGTCGTACGACAAGTTTAAGCAGGAGATATAGAAGGTATTCGGGGACTATAATAAGAAGCTCTATATATAGGAGCGATTCGCATGCCTAAGGCAGACAAAGTCGGCAGCTGCCTATACTATGCAGTTCTGCCAGGATTCACTTCGGTGCGAGATTAATAACAAAGGTCTTATATAGTTATTCTACAACGGCTTAAAGGAAGAAGTCAAGGACAAACTATACTAGAAAGACCGACCTAATACGCTTGACGAATATATCGCTATAGCTATCTATATCGACAACCGAATTTATACCAGGCGCTAGTAGTATAAAGGATATAGAATATAGCCTATATTTGTCAAGGCCAACGATAAAAAGAAGCGATAGTACCCTAGCACGTCGTATAGCACCTATACTAGTCCTATAGATGTTAATACTATCTAGTATAAGGATAAGGGACGAAAGAACAAGTCCCAAGTCACCTATTTCAACTATAGCAAGAAAGGGTACTTTAAACGAGAGTGCTATAGCAAGAAGAATTAGAGGCAGGTGCTCGGCAAGGAAAACGCTACCCTTGATAAGTTAACCTATATAGTCGAAGTAGCCGTAGCAAGCTATACTAAGAATAACTTCGACGATATAGTCGACCAGGGCCTGGCTAAAGGAAGCATCGATGATTCTTCAGAAGATAATAGCCCTAGAGTTACGTTCAAAGAGCCTATTATAGGCTATAATATCGCCGCTGCTATAGTATTATAACTCGCAGAAGATTAGGGATTCCAATTGACTTAGAATGAAGAAGGTCAATAGAGGATACGACAATCGGGCGACGAACCTATTGGCCCGAACCCTATCTTTCTTGCTTAGTGCCTTTAGAAGGCCAAGGAGGAACAAGCTAAGCTTCGAACGGTCATTTGAAGACTTGTAGAAGAAAAGGCTCAGGCCATAAGCCAACTGGAATTTGTCAAGGCCAAGTTGGTTAGGGTCTAGGAAGAACACTACTTAAACTTGTAGGATAGACCGGCATAAGACTAAGGCTAGGATAAGAGAAATAGTAGAATTAAGAACCTCAAGGCTGAATATTAGAAGGCCTAGAACCAGCGAAGACTTAAGGGGTAGGAACTATAAGATTGGGACATCTTTTAGAATAAGAAGTTATATAACAGTGTTAGAGATAGTAATGCAGTATGTATCTGGATTGGATTCGGCCCGTGCTATAAACCCTACGAACAAGATATACTTCGACTCCAACCCTAGCGATATAACCACGTCTACATCCTATAGTTCCAGTATATCGTATACAAATGCCGATACCATTTCCGATCAAAATTTGACAGCGACTTTTGGCCCGATAGGCCTACCGACCGAAACAGAGAACCTTGACTAGTCCCGTAGGTTTAGGATATAGGAACCGGCGCCGACCAGTTCCTATAGAAGGTCGAAAGGACCAGTATATATAATA